TTCGCGAAGTACAGCAGGTTACTATACTCTTACCAACAATCCACCTACTGAATTATTACCTACCTACCTAGGTACCTACCTTTGTAGGAAACGGAAGTATTATGCAGTAATATTGCGTTTCTATTCTCATCTTATTTGCACAAATCACCCCGGCACAGCCCGCATCCGTCCCAATCGCATTTGTGCACGGACAGGTACGAGTACAGGTACATACAAACAAACCCCCCAGCTTATCCCCCTGGCGACGATCTCAGCAACCTCGCGTCAATCTAGGCATTCTTCTAGACGTATTGTACACGTACTTGTACAGAACAGAAAGCTTACAAGCCAACTCCTATTAAAAAAAATTACATCATTCTCTCATTATTTCTTCAATTTTTCCCCCTTATTATTTGACTCATCTCTCAGTCGCCACGGCAATCGCTCAAATCCCAGTACCAACACCCTATTCCTGTTATCAACTATGGAGCACTGTTTGCGGCAATGACTCCTCGTTTGCGCATCCTTCGACCTCACCGGGTCCCTGCCCGACTCCGAATCCCGGAGGCGCCACGATGGCAGCCTCAGCCAGTAAAGTGGTGGCGCTTCTCGAATGACTTTTCTCCGAGTTTGGCCTCCCATGCGAGTAGCTGAGGCAGGGGTCCTTGCTAAAACATCTGGCGTCCCCGCGCCACTTTCACTAGCAGAGCCCCTACTTTGCGGTAAGTTGGAAGCTCTGAACCCCGACCCGACAATGTTTGGCAGCGCATTTAGACTTTTGGCATGGGTGCATGTACATTTAGGTCCTGCAAACCACATTTTCCATGTTCCATCTATGCTCGTATGCGTTCCAGAGGCAGTAGATGAGGCATAGATTTTGGCCTTTTCTATCGCACGCACTTACAAATAAACTCACAGACATTTTTATTCACCGTAGCTGCCCTTTTTGCAAAATAGTCAGCTGACTCAGGTACTTGAAGGTAGGTTTGCGACTCTCGCACTCCAGAACCGAGCCGAAATCCAGACCGCCGGCATGAATAGGAGGGGGCGCCATCCCTTACTTACCATTCGGTGGATGATAGGGGAGTCGAACTGGCAAAAAGCTTGTTTGTGTACAGACGGGGAGCGAAACATCAAATATTTTTCCGGCTACCGAGTAGTTTATGTGATCATGCTTGTATTTTCCGTTGAACGGAAGCATTGACCTCCATAAGACGGCGTGTATAATACGGAGTACAAGCGGGTATAATGAAGATCAAAAAATATCAATCATTTAACAGGGGCTAATATTTTCTTCGTACTTCGTTTACTTTGTACTGCGTTTACTTTGTAGTTGCTCAACTGAAGCCCAATTTTCATTCAATTTATTGCTGCTGTGTATTAGGTAGTATTCCGTTCGTTTGGTTCTTCGTTTGCGGCAATGAGCTTAGTGCCATGGTCCCAGCCACGCGAATCCGAATCCCGGTCGCTTAACGCCGTTACTCACCTGAGCCGCTCAACCCCGATATTACAACACAGCAGGCAACTAAAATGCCAGCAGAAAGTCAATCTAACGACAGCCATGCGGCTGCAAGGATGGAGCACAGATTTAAAGTGCCGTGTATCAGCAACGTGGATCAATCCTTCGGAGTCCTCGTACAGTCCGCTATCATGCAGACTGGCGTAACTGCAGGGCTGCAATATATTCTTACTTCGTCGTAAGTGGCAATAGCTCGTCATCCTTCTCATCGGGATGACTCAATATACCTGTAAAAAGAATTCCCAAGAATGGTTGCACGGCGGCCCGGTTAGACAGTACTCTCTTTTGGCCGTTGCTTATTTATGTATTGATTTTGCTATTTTTATTTTTTTTCGTGCGGGCGTCTTGTGCTAGATGGATGGAACGCAGGTGAGGCATCAAACTCATGAAAGTAGGCAAATCACCCATCAAGCATATCACCCCTCTAATAATACCCGATGCCTCAGCAAGTACTCCGTACGGTACTTATTATTGGCGGTGGTCGTCCCGTTTACGGCCCCATCCGGGCTCTTGGCATTACCGACGTCCGGAATACCCTCCCTAAACCCCATATCAATGAGATGGTTTCATAATGGTGTGCATCCACAGCCCATCCCATTATCAGATGGCTTGCTAGTTGCAAGTTCTCAATCTTTCAAGAGCGTCAGAAGCGTCGATACACGGCATCCAAATTGGAATCAATGGTTTCGTGGTCTAGTTGATCATGACATTTCGTTAACAACATCTGTTGACACCACCGAAAAGGTCCCCGGTTCGAGCCCGGGCGAGATCATTCTTTTTTCCCCAGTACACAATTTGGAATACTTTCTGCCGTCGTATATCGCCGTCTTTTGCTTCTTTTTTTACCTAATACGATGATTCGAGGGTCGCGCATGGGGTGCGGTCAATACCACCTCGTGGATTCATGTAGTCCGCAGGCCGAGGCCAGATGCCTGAACACCACGGCCGTTCGATGGTCTCGAGCAACAACAAAATTGCAATGAAGGTAAAGGGGTCAGTGAAAACATTATTACGCAAAGACGTAAATGGGGGCTTTGAGTTCTGTCGTTTCTGATGGAGAAGCAAGGCACCCCCTGATGTGGACGGGATTCAACTGTCACCAGCCTTTTGAATTCGTAATCGAGTAAGAATACGGGATTCGGGGAGTTAAAAGATATTTGGCCAGCCCACGATGGCACTGGAAGGAATCAGCATTTGATGGATTATGTTGTGTGGGATATCCATACGTCACATTGTTGCCTGACCCCCCTTTTATTTTAGGCATCTCCAATCCTAATGCCTAAAGCAGAGAGGCTGCTCTCCATGTCGAAATAATTCCTGTTCCCTTTGCCAGCAAAAGAGTAAATCGGCCTAACTGGCGGAGTTATGCCAACAAACGAGTGCGTATTGCCGAACAAATCACAGCTGCATAAGCCATATTTAAGGTCTGTACGCCATGGATTTCAAATAGCTGCAGTTGAGTCACTCGGCTCATGAAAAGGGGGCTCGTCCCACTCTCTCGGCATATGCAGGTATCATTTAATAATATCTCAGAGAGCTTAAATTTGATTGTTTATCAAAAGAAAACAGTAATCTTGGAGTGTAGTTTTATTCCACTCCATGCAGCCAATCAAATCGCACTGCCGTCATTTAGTTATGATTCAACTAATATGTATAACAATGATCTGAATGCTGAAACAGCTACCTTGAGCAGCGTCAGTGTTTTCTCGAAAGTGTACATCGAAGTTTCGCGTCCGAGATTCAGGCTCTCGTCCCTGACGTTGGCGTTCAGTGGGTGTATATACAAGCTCTTGTAATTAGATCTCAATGACTTGGACTTCCTGTGAAATCGACTCCATTGATTTTGGCGGCCAACTCGTATCTGAAGCACCTGTCTTCACCGGAAAAGACTTTTACTTCTCCAATTTCCATGGAATCATCGGCACCGAACAATGGCGCACTATTTGTCAGCTTGGAAATATGCGTTCTCTTTGCCCTTTTACGTGGTGCTATTTGTTTGAAGAGCGACACGACAAGCAGGATCGTCGCCATAGGTCTTGCATAGACTGATGCGTGCCTTTTTCTAAAAGAGAATATTTTAATTTCAATGTCAGCCATCTCTATCAACTGTTTTTAAATCTTCTTGAAAGGAAGAAATTACTTTGGAAGGATAAATACGTCAATACGTCGGTACCTTTGGTAGCCCTGCGTCAAGATGTAGAGGGAGAGTCGCAGAAGACAGAGAAGCTTCTTGGAAGCCTAAGAGTGAAAAATATTTTCTATTAATGAAGAGAAAGAAATAAAATGATATGGTACGCGTGGTATGCACTGCTCCATATTCTGTTTCTGAAAAGGAGCGTTATTGCGTGGTAGAGTGCATAAACCTTAGGGTAGCAATTGACTCTCTGACCGAATCATCTGATAATTTACCATTAAGCAATCTACATATGTAAATAACCATGCAGGAAGTGCAGTATGCAGGTGGGGGATATAATACTATTTTGAGATGATATATTCTCAGTAGATTATGAAGCTTGATACAATTTGGAGATGCATTCTATATAGAGCAATCATTAAGTTATGCGATTCCAGTAGCTATGACAGGTTAAGAAGCGAGTATCAGTAAATCTGCTTCAGACCAGATATTTATCTATTTATAATGACTGGGTCTCAAAAATTCTCTTTACATAAAATTACGCCAATGGCTCAATGGCGTGGTTTCTCCTGTCCTGATGCGCGGTGGTGTCATTCTCCATGGATCAGCCTTACGGTGCCTGGAGATCTTGGAGATGGCCTCAGTCCTATATTTCCCAATTGGGATGTCGGACCAATGACGGGGGCCACAGGCGGCGTTGGGTGAGGGGCCGCAGCTAATGCTGCCGTGACACAGTCTGATAGCCTGATGCCACCAGGGAGGATTTCAGCTTGAATCGACCAATCTGGCGTCTTATAATCTCACTCTCTACATCACCTGCGTAGCGACAGTGTGAGCTAAGTGTTGAGTTCCATTGCTGTATAATTCCCATCCAGATGCGTGAGCCTAGGCTTACTTACTACTACTAGTACCTTACTTTACAATCAACATGACTCCAGACGGTTCGCGACGTCATTTTTGCCATCTCCGCAGTTGCTCTTGATAAGCTCGCCCTTGCAAAGCATACGCCCCACCCCACTAAAATTCCTGCCGCCCTTGGAAGCAGCACGCATAGCGCAATTCTTTTCTCGTGAATGACCATGGACTTCACTTCCTAGGAACATTCACATTTTCTGCCTTCTTCGTCGCGACTGGATCAAACCACTTGGCGCTCGGTCGCCTTTCATTGATGTCGTCCCCACGCTTATGAGAGCACTGTACTCTGCCGCTGGCCAGCTCCAGCGAGCTCCAATAACGAGCTTCGTTCGGCTTGCTCGCCACCGAGGACGCCGCATTGCTTGGAAAGCGCAGTCGCGATGGCTCGCTGATGTTGTCCAAAGGACTGAATCGAAGGATATCAGGTCTTTAGCTTGTAAGATGCTTGCGATGATGTTTGCGTTTGCGATTTTGGTATTGGTAGCTGATACTGCAACAACAGTGTCTTCCACTCCGCGATACAATGAAGTTGGTGTACAGCAACTCAGTGATCGCATCTTCTCTCAGATATTTCCCGGGGGCTCCGAACCGCCGCCTGAGGAGCTGGTAAAGCTGTCTAGAGATCATTTGACACGACACGACCTCTATGGAAAGAATACGGATAACTCTGACCCCATCGCTTTCGACCTGCCCGAACTCAAGGGCGAGACCCTCGACGAACACTTTTACAAGCTTGGAATCGATTGCGCCGAACCATATTTGCGGCTGGCTAAAGAATTCGCTTGCGCTAATGTCCCTCTTAAGCCGAAGCAATGGGTGCGACAGAGTGGGTGGACCAAATATTACTCTGATGGGACGCCACCGGAGTCGGTGGAAGCGCCTGATGAAGAAATGTTGTGTTTTGACACAGAGGTCATGTATAAAAAACACCCCTTCGCAGTAATGGCTTGCGCAGTTAGCCCTACGGCTTGGTATTCTTGGCTATCCCCTTGGCTACTGGGCGAGACCGACAACGAGCGACAGCTAATCCCGATTGGCGACCCAACCAAAGACCGCATCGTTGTGGGACACAATGTCGGGTATGATAGAGCCAGAATACTGGAAGAGTACAGTCTTAAGCAAACTCGAACTGGATTCCTCGATACCATGTCGCTGCACGTTGCTGTTAATGGTATGTGCTCACGACAACGCCCGACCTGGATGAGATTCAAGAAAAATCGAGAGACGAGAGAAAGAGTCGCTAGCGGAGACGTTGATCAGGGCTTGGCGGAGCTTTTGAAAAATAAAAGCATACACGAAGAAGAGGAGCTGTGGCTTGAGAAAAGTTCAATCAACTCACTGCAGGATGTTGCCAAATTCCATCTCAATGCCACCATCGACAAAAGTACGCGTGATGATTTTGTCGAGCTGGACCGCAAAGTCATATTGGAAAAGTTGGATCGGCTCCTGGAATACTGCGCTGCAGATGTGTCCACCACCCACAAAGTATATCAAATCGTCCTCCCCAGCTTTTTGAACGTTTGCCCACATCCAGTCAGCTTCGCTGCCCTGCGGCACTTGTCATCTGTCATCCTACCGGTCAACGAGACTTGGGAGTCATACCTCGCCCATGCGGATGCGACATATGAGAAACTAACTGCATCGGTCCAGAAGAGGCTAGAGGAGCTGGCGAATAAGGCTTTGGAAATAAAGGAGAAGCCCGAGATTTGGAAAAATGATCCCTGGATGATGCAGCTGGACTGGTCTGGCCAAGAAATTAGGATGGTCGGGGGTAAACGCAAGAACGATCCAATAAGACAGGATGGAAGACAGAAGAAAGCAGGCGAACCGAAATGGTATAAAGATCTCTTTGCCAGCAACAAAGCTCCCATCAACCTAACGGTGCGAACTCGCATTGCGCCCTTGCTATTAAAGTTAGCTTGGGATGGGCATCCATTATTCTGGTCTAACCAGTATGGCTGGGTGTTTCGAGTCAACCCGGCCGATGTGTCCAAATACACCGCGAAGCAAATGCCGGAGTGCATCTTTGGTGAATCTGATCCTGCTCTGCGCGACGATTGGGGGCACTCATACTTTAAGCTCCCTCATAAGGATGGCCCCACTGCTCGCTGCTCGAATCCTATGGCAAAGGGATATCTCAACTATTTCGAAAATGGAACTTTATCATCAGAGTATGAGTATGCGAAAGAGGCGCTGGAAATGAATGCTTCATGCTCCTACTGGATGAGTGCGCGCGACAGGATAAGGTCCCAGATGGTCGTCTACGAGCACGACATATTCGCCACCAAAAAAGAGGCCAAAGAGATGGAAGTTGGAGAGAAGCGTCAAGGCTTCATCTTGCCCCAGGTTATCCCAATGGGCACAATCACTCGGCGCGCAGTCGAGATCACCTGGCTCACAGCAAGCAATGCCAAGAAGAACCGTGTTGGGTCTGAATTGAAGTCGATGGTCAAAGCTCCAGATGGCTACTGCTTTGTGGGTGCCGATGTAGACTCGGAAGAGCTCTGGATTGCTAGCCTCGTGGGCGATGCAACGTTCAAAATCCATGGCGGAAATGCAATTGGTTTCATGACGCTTGAGGGGACAAAAGCTGCAGGCACAGATTTGCATTCGCGGACAGCGGCAATCTTGGGCATCACTAGAAATGACGCGAAAGTCTTCAACTACGGGCGTATTTACGGAGCTGGACTGAAATTTGCTGCGACTCTTCTTCGACAATTTAATCCTGCACTCAGTGAACAAGAGACAATGGATATTGCCAAGAGGCTGTACGCCAACACCAAAGGCACGAAGACCAAATGCAAGGCAATAAACGAGCACACATTCTGGAGAGGCGGAACAGAGTCATTTGTATTTAACAAGCTGGAAGAATTCGCGGAACAGGATTGGGCCCGAACACCAGTGTTGGGAGCAGGCATCACGCAAGCCCTTATGAGTCGCTTTGTGAGCAAGGGCAGCTATCTTCCTTCCCGCATTAATTGGGCCATTCAATCCTCAGGCGTCGACTATCTCCATTTGCTGATCGTTTCTATGGATTACTTGATCCGCCGGTTCAACCTCGATGCTCGACTAGCCATCACTGTCCACGACGAAATTCGGTATCTGGTGAAGAATGAGGATAAATACAGGGCTGCACTTGCACTCCAGGTTGCAAATATCTGGACCCGTGCCATGTTCGCACAACAAGTGGGAATCAACGATCTTCCACAATCCTGCGCTTTCTTCTCTGCTGTCGATATTGATCACGTTCTCCGCAAGGAAGTTAACATGGACTGCATCACTCCAAGTCACGAAACTCCGATTCCTCATGGTGAGAGCCTAGATATCCAGACACTCCTGGATAAGGGCCTTGACGCGCAACTCGACTCCTCCATCGTTCCGGATCCTAAGTTGGCCCCGAAGCTTGATGATATAGCGTATATACCGCGCACTCCTGTAATGCAAACGCTTCAAGAGTCCTCGCAGAGCAATATTTCGTTTATCAAAGCCCAGATCGTGAGCAATGAAGAGGAGTTGCAAGGTATCGTCAAGGATGTGCGGAAGCTTACGACGTCGAGGCCTACAACATCGAGGCCTACAACCCCGAAGCCTACAGCGCCGAAGCCTCAAGCAAATGATGTGCTTTTTTACCAAAATCCATGGTTGACGGACTTTGGCAGCAGCCAGCCCAGATCGAACTCCAACTTCTACAGGTATCAGGATGGGAGTCGGAGTGCGAGGGTCAATCAAAAGCACAATGCTTCCCCTGGGTCATTTCATTAATGTACAATATGGGTTTGTTCGGCAAGTGAGCGGTACGAGACATGTACAGTAGTAAGAGGTTATATGCTTTTTTCATTTTCTTTGTTGGATTATGTGGATAAAAAAATGTGGCTGTTATGGCTTGGAGTTGGGTGTGTATGAGTAACGACATATTCTTTTCGGGGCACGCGGTCATGGATTTATGGATAAAGACGGTTCGTGGATTTGTGTATTTGTGGTTACAAATGTACGATAGAAGATGAAGGTATATGCATGTATATCGATGCGCCAGCTTTGATTCACTCTATTCTCTTTGTTTATTCGTCAAATGGCCTCATAGGATGGTGGTGCCTGTACTATTTGGCGTTATATCATTCACTGAAACATTGTCTAGAGAGTTGCATCTAATCGTGTTGTAGGCGGCTTGTCGAGTCACATCTTGTGAAGTTACGTGTAAGTGGTGAACATGCAGGAGGCGCATTTATTTGACCGAATCCCTCACCCAATCTTTATAAAAGAACAAATAATTCATTCTAAACTCTAGCAAAGCTTACACTGTAAGAATTATCTATGCTTTACATTATTTATAAAAGATTAGGTCTTATATTACGTTTCTATAATCAAGTGGTTTAGGTTATACAGCCCAGTGCAATCTAGCAGACCAAGCCTCACTAGCATGCGGACGAGGACCGCAACTGTTAGTGGCTATTGTTGTCTCTAGCCAATCACAGCTGCCACATTACATGTCTACTAATTTTTTTTTGTGACGTAGCTCCGAGGCCGGCTCTCTGCAGAGGAATTGAAGTTATCACCAGCATCCACAGGCAGCGCTAACTATTCCCTGGTTGTCGCTGAAACGCCAGAAACGGTCTTTTTGGAATCATCAATGCCTTTTCCTGGCTGTAGATATCCATCATGACTGCGCTAGTATGCTTCCCTACCAACCATCAATGCTTTATCGCGTGCAGGTATCCCATCCAAGAAGCTTGACTGACAGTGTACTTCTTTAGCGAAGAGTCATATCTCTTAATGCTGCCGCCATTGCGGCGCGGCAGACTCGAACCTCAATTGCCCGCTCGCGATTGCTGTCGGCATCTGCGACTCAGTTCCGTACCTATGCCGTAACCAACCCCCGACGGCAACAGGCCTTCCAGTCGCAAACGGATAGCATCCCCAAATCCTCTGCCTTCCAGTCCTCTCTGCACTCCGCCACCCCGACCAACCCACAGACACTTACCGAGAAGATTGTACAACTTCACGCAGATGGCCTCCGTGAAGGAAGAAGAGTCAAAGCTGGCGATTATGTTACGTTGCGGTTAGTCTATGCTCAGTCCGGATACCAAGAAGTCGAGCTAATATTATGTGCAAAAGACCTCATAAAAGCATGACCCACGACAACTCCTGGCCCGTAATTACCAAGTAATAACACCTACTCTACTAATGATAATTACACGCTAACTGAGCTGTGTAGGTATATGGAAATGGGCGCCACCTCAGTCAACGATAATCGCCAGGTCGTCATGACGTACGCTATCTTGCTTCCAATTCAGCTCATATACCCTCTCTAATTGCTAGTAGACTTGACCATGACGTACAGAACGACTCTGAACAAAATCTACGCAAATACCGCCTGATTGAGGAGTTTGCCAAGACGCATGGCATAGATTTTTGTATGCTGGCACTTCCGGGACTTCCCGCCCCAAAGATGTATGAAGCAAGGTAAACTGACTTACTAGATCCCGCTAAACACGGAATCGGGCACCAAATTATGATTGAAGAAGGCTACGCTTGGCCGGGAACCGTGAGCAAAACATCTATTTAACGTTATGGTAATTGTTATTCACTTAGATGCAGGTTGCCGTTGCTAGCGATAGTCACTCCAACATGTACGGTGGTATCGGATGTCTTGTTGGTCGCTCTACTGATTGAACTATATCTTCCTTTTCCTAACCTCTCGTAGGGCACGGCTATTGTACGCTCAGACGCTGCAAGTGTCCTGGCAACCTCTACAGTATTCTGGCAGGTTCCACCAATTGCGAAAGTCACTTTCACCGGCGTCCTGGCTCCGGGGGTCACAGGCAAGGACGTGATCATAGCATTATGTTCCTTGCTGCAATCTGATGTGCTCAACATGTGCGTCGAGTTTACCGGGTCTGAGCAGACTCTGGACAGCATCCCCATTTCCGAACGATTGACAATCGCCAATATGACAACCGAATGGGGAGCGCTATCAGGTCCGACTCTCTCCCCCGCAACTCCGCTGAGTTACTAATACGTATGGGTAGGACTCTTCCCTGTTGATGACAAGCTCATCTCATGGTACCGCGGCAGAGCCACAGTTGCAGCCATGTCTGACAGTCCTACCAAGGATCGGATAAATCACGAGCGGATTGATGAGCTTTTGGAGAGCCCTATGGTTGCTGATCCTGGTGCTAAATATGCCAAGGAATTTTATCTTAACCTCTCCACCCTTTCGCCCTTTGTTGCTGGTCCCAACTCTGTGAAAGTTGCCAACCCCGTCAAGGACCTCGAGGCTCAAGATATTGCTGTGGACAAAGCATATCTTCTGAGTTGCACCAATGGCAGGAGCGAGGATTTTGCTGCTGCTGCTCGTGTATTCCGTGAGGCTGGTACAGATGGCAAGCCTGCCAAGATTCATCCTCGTGTCAAGTTCTATCTTGCACCTGCATCTCTGGCTGAACAGAAAATAGCGGAAGAGGCCGGAGACTGGCAGATCCTCGAACAGTCTGGAGCTGTGCTCTTACCAGCAGGGTGCGGACCATGCATAGGACTCGTACGTACCAGATACTATATGATTCAGACGTTTTTGTTCAGTGCTAATCTTTTTACAGGGTACTGTATGTACCGGATACTACTATATGATCTAGATGTCGTTGCTCAGTGCTAATCTATTTACAGGGTTTGCTCGAGGAAGGCGAGGTAGGCATCTCGGCGAGTAATAGAAACTATAAAGGGCGCATGGGTAACTCGAGCCTACGAATCCAACTTTTTATCCAATACTAACTTGCTGTTTAGGTAGCCCAAAGGCACTGTGTTATCTCGCCAGCCCTGAGGTAGTCGCAGCCAGTGCTATTCGTGGTAAAATCACTAGCCCTGGTTGGTACCTGAAGCCCGAAGGTGTCGAGAAGGTTATCTTTGGCGAGGGAACTGGTGACTTTGTTGCCGACAAAGCTCACGCCGTGGGAAATGCCGTTGACCAAATCATTGGCGAGATGGAGAGCATGATTAGCGCTGCTGAAGGAGCCGCTGAAGAATCGGCCAGCCCAGTGGCCACTGAAGAAGAGACCTTGACTGACGTCCTCCCGGGTTTCCCTGAGAAGATCGAAGGCGAGATTGTTTTCTGTGAGTGGTTTTATATGAACTTATGGAGTTAATTCCTAACGGCGGCAGGCGATAATGACAACATCAATACTGATGGCATCTACCCTGGCCGCTACACCTACCAGGATGGCCTGACCAAGGAGCAAATGGCCAAGGTGTGCATGGAGAACTACGATACCGAGTTTGGCAAGATCATTAAACCAAATGATGTGCTGGTGGCTGGTGGAAATTTTGGTTGCGGCAGTTCCCGAGAGCAGGCTGCCACTTCTATCCTAGCCAACCAGATTCCTCTCGTTGTTGCCAGTAGCTTCGGCAACATCTTCAGCCGCAATAGTGCGTACCCCTTGAGATTCTCCTGCCTTTCCTCATGATGTCAAGCAACTAACGGAAATATTTCCAGGCATCAACAACGCCCTCCTTGGACTTGAGATCCCAAAACTGGTTGAGCGGCTTCGTGAAGCGTACAAGGACGATGCGGAGAAGCCCCTGACTCGTCGTACAGGCTGGAAGTTGCTTTGGGACGTCCGTCGCTCCACGGTTACCATTACGGAGCAAGATGGCTCCTCTTGGGAGCAAAAAGTTGGAGAGATGCCTCCTAGCGTTCAAGAAATCGTCGCTAAGGGGGGTGTGGTGAAATGGGTTCAGTCGAAGATGCAGGCTCAAAATGTGTGACTGGTATTGTGAATAAACAAATAGAGTTTATATCCGTATGTATTATTCTATGTATATGTATTCAAGCAGCTGCGTATTTTCATGACAGAATCAAATGATAGTTACATCTTATATAAAGGTTGCTGATTGGCTTGTAGTATCGTATGCATGGCAGCCAGACGAGGCGGCTGTTTTTTTCATCACGCAGCGGGCATCTTTCCCGATCTGCATCACTTCAACGTTTGCAAAATAAGAGAGGTGAACCTAGAAATGGTTCTAATAGCTAATGCAAAGTGCGAATTATGATCTAAGTACATGAATATTATGTTAATTACTCTTTACCTTGAACCTTCTTCTGAATGGCGATCATCTTCTGCACTGAAGGGCGCTGCAAGACCCTGTTATGCCACGCAAACCAGTCAGGCCACAACTTCTTACGCTCCTTGGCAGTTGCAGCCTCTGCATCGCCCAATAGAATAGTGTCCAATGCCAGGTCCCAAGGGATATATGCCAGGTCGGCCAGAGTAATCTTGTCTCCAACCAGGTACTCTTTGCCTCGGAGAGCGCGGTCTACAGTGGTGATTGTCCTTTTGACTAAGGCTTGAAAGTGCTTTGTTGAGCCCTCATTCTTCAAGATGTGTTGCGCAATCAGACCCTGTTTCGATTAGAACATTAGAACTGATGAATCTTGAATAATGGAATCATTCTTGAAAGACTTGCCTGAGCAAAGAATGGTCCCTGGGAGGCCGCCTGAAATCCGAGCCATTGCTTGACAAGAAGCTTATTTTGCTCGCCCTCCACGCTAAAGATACCCTTCGTATCATAATGATCAACTAAATATTCGCTGATCAGGTTGGACTCTGTCAACTCAATTCCTACTGAAGTATTAGTCGCTGACTTCATGTGGACATTTGCTATACAAACCAGTTGTAGGGTCCTTGATCCATGGGACACGCCCAGCTGGATTTTTCTTCAAAAAGTCTTCGTGCTCAACACCACCACTCGCCCCTCCAAAGGTGAGGTAAGTAGCATTGTAAGGAATTTGCAATTCCTCGAAGAGAATTACATTCTTCCAAGGGTTAGGGCCATCGCCTTTGACAAGACTCATCAGCTCATTGCACGACAATTATACCGTTAGAATACAGATCTTGGTGATACACTTACGGTGAGAGTAGAAGTCAATTGCACTGTTTGCCATATTTGTCTTTGTTGTTTCCCCGTTCTGGGATTGTGTTTTGCTAGAGGTTGATGTGGGTAATAGTTGAACTTTTTGGAGAATCTTTTTAATGTCTATATCCTAAATGATATGAATTCTTGAGAAATTTCGGATTGAGATACTTATACTTTTTCAGGCCCTATGTCATCGATATTCACTCGTAGTGTTTGTATTCCATCTGTTTAGTCAGTACAGCTCCGCACCAGTTCCGGAGCAACAGGCTAAAATTTTTGGCCTCTAGTCAGTTACTACATATGTTTGCTTTGTATTGGGTTGCTTCATGCAGCCGTAGACACCATTAAGTTTGACAATCAGAGTATAGCTCATTGTAATTTACTACCTAAAACATACCTAGTTGATGGCACGGCAAATATGGAGAGGCTTTGAATGGTTTCCTACATAGAAAATATATTATAAATTTGGATTTTTCTAACCTTAATGGGGCGTTCTTTTTCTCTCAATGTTGGTGATAAATACCAAGCCATGTGTAAGATGCAATGATGCAGTTCTAGTGGAACTCATGATTCCATGCCAATTGAATGTATAATGTGGAAGGGGTAATTGAGCATGACACAACTAGAGGGCATTATTAAGCCTCTGTGAAGGAAATCCTGAGATAATGATATCACATTGCGATTTTGTCCGCACCTTCGTCCGCACCTTCGTCCGACGTGTTAATGGCGTGAATTGACTACTGGAGGTAGCAAGACCTCAATTTGGTAACGTCAAGCGAGGGGCGTACATGCGGGCCCCGGAGCCTAAGTCTTATGGATCTAACCAGGAGCTTTCCCCAATTGTTGGCCTAACGCGGAGTTCTCCGTGCCTACTCTGTCGGCTTATCCCCGTTGCTCTCAAACTACACGGGCACCGAGAGAGTTGGCGTAGCAGGTCCGCAATTTCGAGTTATGTCCACCAGCAATGCCGGGCGACTCTTCATGCGTTAGTGTCGTAACGATCGGAATATGCGGACAGAGATTTATTCTCCTGTCTTCTTAGATTCAACCTTGCGAAGAACTATTCGAAGATCTCTTCCATAGTAACAGTTACCTCTGCAAGTTGGGCATATAAAGTTTCAACGGTTGAGAATTGGCTATCCCTGGAGCGGAAATCAGCGGTTGCCTAATCAAGCCTTGTCTACATGATGTACCCTGGCGGTTGATATTTACGTCATGCAAGAGTAAGCGTCAGCAAGCTGCTGGACATATATGTCACTGAAGACAAATGCATCTCCTTTTGCATGAGCTCTTCATTGGAAAATAGAAACACCAACATCTAAAATTCCGCCTACCGAATAACTAAGTTAAAAATGGATCTGAAGGAATCTAACCCCTCTATCTCCTCGTGGAACGACAGTCAATTCAGCTATGATATGTGGGACCCCACGGACATGACATATGTAAGTGAACCTCTCTTAGGCAAAAGACTTTTTCGGAAAAGGGGCTGAGAAGTGATTAGGAAGCATATACGGAGGTGATACAGTGCTTTTTGCCCACCAAGCAATCAGATTTCGTTGCTCCTTCGTCGAGATGCCACTCGCCTACCAAATCATTTACCTCACAACCAGTTAATGGAATGTCAGAAGGTTTAGTCGAGACTCCAAACCCACCACTCTCAACTCCATCGAGTCGATCTCAATCGCCTGCATCATCATCATCAATATCACAAGTCGATCTAGCAGTGATACACAAACTTTCAAAGCGACAGAGGAACAGAGACGCGTAAGCACACTGCCAAAGTCCCCCCCAAAGAAAAAAAAAAAAAAAAAAAAAAAAAAACCAAAGGAGCGGAGGCTAACGTAGAGCATCAGGCAACGAGCGTATCGAGGGAGGAAGGAGAAATTGCTTCAAACCCTTGTAGAAAAAGTGGAAAAGCTTGAAGCTGCGTATAACGCGGTAAAAGAAGAACGCGACCAGCTTCGGCAGAAATTGGATAGTTTGGCCGACCTCCCTCCACTTGCTGACGATAGCATTCCAAATTACAATGATCAATTCGCCGCCTTTACGAATTTCCAATTCGACAGCTATCTATTCAGTAATCTACCAAGACACCAAACCGTATTACCACTATCATGAGAAAGATATCATCTATTCGTTGACTCCTGGAGGTTATTTCCACCTCGTTATATTACACACGCCATAAACCGCATACCTAGAAAGCCATGGGATTGGGACGATTCAACGAAACAATAGATATATATTTACATACACTCTTGTAATGACGGCGAATAACCTTGGAAAAGGTCATGGTTTTATTTGCTACTTTTAATTCGATTGCGAATGTGTATGCCGTAGTGAGGTATCGAATCCGTTGATCAGGCCTTGTAAAGTCATCTATATGTGGATTTTGCGACATATGAGCTAGAGATTATGCCATGACAAGAAATCGTTGGAGGGCTATTGTACTTGATGATGTAAAAAGCTCAAGTTATACAAGAGAAGGAAAAAGTACAAAATCTTAACGTTCAGTACACAAAAGAAAAGCCCAGCCCTGCCCATGATAGACATAAATTATGCTGTTGGTGAATATTTATCCATGACAAGGAAGAAGACAGCCTTCAGTTTCTAGGTATTTCGTTTCATCGCCATCAATTGAATCACATAATTAACCCATCTTGATTCTGAATTTCTCTCCCCTACATCTAATGCAAACAGAAATCTGCTCACACCATTGTATGCCGCCACAGCTACCGTGAGTTCCACAATTTCTCTGCTGCTGAGGCCTGAGTTTTGCAGTTCCGCGAATATTTCATCTTCTATTGCAATATTTCTTGTTATGGCATCGGCATATCTAAGGACAGCCCATTGATCGAGACTTAGGAGTCCTCTGTCCGACGGCTGCAGCGTTTCCAACACGCTCATTTTTGCCGAGCCAAATCCTTCACAACGGTGTAGCATCGCTATGTGGCCGTCATATTGGTACCAAGCTCGGTTAAGCAGGGCAACACGGCAGATTGCAAGCTCTAGCAGATCAGCGCGTAAGACCGATCCTGAACAGATGGCACCAAAAAATGAATGCCAGCCTCCGGCAATTGTAGGAGAATGGAGTAGAGTTCGGTCAAGCGATATACGTAGGGAAGATGCATCTTTCATCGGATATCTTTCCACAGGTAGTGGCGCTAGAGTAAATGAATGCTTGGTTTGGGGCGAGTCTTCAGTATTTGTTTCCCCCAGTGTTTCTTGCGTCTTCGAGTTGTGCTTATAAATCGAGATGCGGTATACTGTGACATTTGTAGCTCTCAACTGAAATATGTATATATGCACGTCATTTGCTATCAGACATCACGGTTTCTATGTCGTAAAAAAGTGTTGAATTCTATGGCATCCTATTACCAGTATTACTGTAGCAACATAAGCCATGAGTTACGGCACGTCGAATGCTCGCACCATTAGCGCAAAGCCAGTAACTAAGTGGACTACTCGTAAACCTTGTGAATGCAGATTCTATTCGTGACTATTGGAGGCGAGGTATAATTAGTTCCAGTTATTTCCGCATTGCCGTCGCTTGTTTAGTTACTAGGAGGTGGGTCAACTACGCATGTGGCAGGAAGATGAGGAATCAACATTTGATGCAATATCTATTGATCGTGAATTGCAGTATAGGTGCTTATTGCAAGCTCGTGTTTAGATAAGTTACCGAAATGCGACTACATGTTGGTCCATATTTGGCCCCCAGTGTGTATGTCTAGTTGCATTACGAGCGAATATGGAGGGATGGGGCACAGCATCGCTCTGTACTCAGGAAAACAGAAACAGAGTGGCGAGGTCTGTAGGTTGGGAATATTTACGACGTAGTATACTGAAAGTAAATTGGCATAATGTGAATATGTAATAATCAAGGTCTCAAACTTAGTAAGAAAATTACGACTATGAACTAAAAAGGTATGCTAGGATATACCTGTCAGTGCTTTACCCAGCGGCGTGATGCGTTTAGCACTGAAATAAGAAAAATATTAAGGAATCAAGTATTCCTATTTAGTAATTCTGTCTCTTACAAGTCACCACATAAATAAATCTGTAAGCAACGGAGTTGAATATTGATGAATGGACTTATGAAAAGAAAAGATGTGTGTACCAGGACGGGGCGAACAAAATATTCAGTATATAAAGCAGCACCGAAAACAGCCATGACTTCTAAATAGCAAAAACACAGAGCAGTAGATTTGTCAAGTTCCAGACCAAGGCTATCAGGTCTTCAAAGACCTCTACAGACGTCACGATGGGTGTAACGATGATAGCAGAGGGAGAAGATGATGATCATAGGTCTATCTACCTGCATAACCTAATATATATATATAGGGACGTCCTCGGACGTCCCTCTCCTCTTTCCCTTTCCTCCCTGCCGATGGGCAGGAGGTGCCCCAACAAAGGCAATACATCCAACATGCCGTTCACAAAGTAGCGAGTCGAGTTTAAAACGCAAGATGGAACAACCCTTCGCGGAAACTTGACATTACCAGGCGCATCAAAAGCACCATCTGTTATCATGATTACATGGGTATGGGTACTCTGATCAACTGATGTATCCTAGAAAGTGAATGAACTGCTAATGAACAATTCATCTAGCTCACTTTACTAAAGGAACATGGTACAGCTGACACCGCTGAAGCATTCCACAAAGCTGGTTTTGCTACACTGCAATATGATCATCGACACTGGGGATCAAGTGACGGGCTACCCCGACAACATGTAAACCTCTTCCAGCAAGCCGAAGATTTGTCAGATGCTATCACATATATGGCTGGTAGATCCGATGTAGACGGCGATAGAATTGCAATTTGGGGAATTGGTTATGGCGGAGGAGTTGTAGTGCAAACAGGCGCCTATGACAAGCGTGCAAAAGCGGTTATGGCGATATCTCCATTCTTCTCTGGGGAGATTGATATGCTCAGATTTCCTCCGACTGCATACCGGGAAGCATGGGAGGAACGAGCTTCTCGGATTGCAAACCCCGAGATTGAGCATAAATACGTTCCCATCTTTGCGGAGGCCATGGAGATGGCTGAGAAGAGCCCACTGGCTAGCATCATTGGAAACCCTTAGGGATTCTTCTTGTGGTCAACATTTAAGCTAATCTCAGATGCTGCAGGAACACCATGGGAAAACAAGCTGACGCTTGAGAGCTTGTATTGGCAAAGCAAATTTGAGCCTACCTCATCGATACATCGTATTTCTCCTCGCCCGATTTACTGGGTTGCAACCGATGCTCCGTTATTACCAAATTACCAAGACCAGGTCCGAGCTTATGAGAAAGCGTTTGAGCCGAAGCAATTCCACAGTTTCTGCAGCTTAGAGGAGTCTGTTGTTGGCCCGGCACACGAAAAGAATCTGCAGGAGCAAGCTGACTTTTTGAAGAAATGGGTGTAGTGAGCAGTTAGTCACAATGGTCGATGAATAATATTCACGGATGCCTGCCAAGTTATGGTGTAGTATAGAAAAATGCTGAAAATCGGAAGTAATATGTTGCTCTAATCAAGAATTTTGTTCAGTCATCGCAATAATGAGTGTGGTACTGACTAGCAAGACAAAGAAGCAGTTGCGCTTACACACGAGTCTATCTCAAAATTCTGCTTGTAGAGAAGATAAGATAAGATGGAATCATCTTCTTGTTGGATTAGACTCAAATGGATTTATTCGATTACTACAAAGAGACGGTAGAGATACATCTACGGAAAAGAGTAGTGAATAAAGTGAACATAATTGGGTGATTCAAGTATTCTCATTGTATCTGCGGCTTCATGTCTTGTACATAATTTGGATAATGATTTTAGTTCTGAGCGGCCTGTTCGCGGTTACCAACTTCATAACTCAGGCAGACTTACACCAGCTCATTTAGCAGCAGAAAATGTCATGATTATCGAGGTTATAAGAGAAGGTTTTGTTATCACTAGTTCTATTCTAAAAAAAAAAAAAAAAAAAAAATTCTACAATTCGAATACTAGTTAACGTTCCGCCTACTTACGCTTCGCAAGTGCCAAAGCTGCCATGAATGAGTTGGCGTAGATAAACGTGTCTCTCAAGAAGTATCGCTTCTTAGGATACCACCCTAAAATTTGCTCGGACCTGGCTCTGTTGGCGTTGTGGTTCCCGCCAATAACATCCAAGAACTCTGTTTCCTCAGGCTTGTACATTTCTACCTTTCCCTTGCATCCAAAATAGAGAGCGTCGCGCTCAAACAGCAAACCAATCGGAAACTGATCTCCCACCAGCTCGAAAACCGGATGTACGCTGTTTCCATTGATGAGCTGCAGTTTGTTCACCGCTAGCTCAATTGCAGCAGCTACATCATCAATATTGGTGAAGCAATACACCTGATCTTCAGGGTCGACGGCGATTTTCATCACGTCAGTAGATCCTGTGCGCGCTCCTTCAACTAGAGGACCCAGAATGCGAGTCCAAGAGGCGCCTCCTCGAGCCCAAATAAACGATGGCTGGATGATAGCAACATCAAGAACTGCCCTAGACTCCAGAACCTCCTGTTCATATAAAAGTTTTGACTCATTAAGGCCCTCTTCGGGTACGGCTGATTGCGCTTCCGCAGTCATAGGCTGAAAGCTCCCGTAAGGATCCTCTGTTGATCCTTGGGTCCATATTCCGCTCAGAGTGACAAAGCCTAGTTTTGGTTGAATGAAGTCTTTGCCCTTGGAGAGCTGTTGCCGCCTGATCTTCTCAGCTTCCACAATGGTGCTTAAAAGCCTTGACTTGGTTGTCTTGTCGTTATAGCTGGTGGTATCCACAATAACATCGATTTTATTAGAACAGATGAGTTCGAACGCTGCCTGAGGTGAATCAAGGTTCCCATTAATGGGAATGATTTCCTTGGTAGCGAGGCGGAATCCTTCCTCTTCGCTCTGAGATGCGGCGTAGACGTAATTATCACCGCTACGAATGAGCTGTTCGCTAAGAGCCGAGCCGACGTAACCAGTTGGTCCGATAACAAGTACGTTAGGCATCTTGACTTGTAATGATCTTGACTTGCTATGATACGTCGATCTGGTGTACTATGTCGCTGTTGGTATTGATGGTCGCTAATGTTCTTGTTGATACACTATTTCTGTGTTGTCTTGTATCTCTTGTTGATATGATTGATGTATCGTTAGATTGTGTGATCATACTATTTTTTTTTTCCCCAATTCCTTGTGGACATTCTTATATCCAACCTACGGGGCACGTCGGACGAAACTTCACTATATTTTACTCATTATGTGCCATATGGATTTGGAACTGCAATCGAAAAACCAGGAACGCGTCTTGAAACGGCAATGGAATCCCCTGAACTATGTGTAATCTTTAGTAGCTGATGTACTATTCGTCCGAAATGACGTCCGGATCTCCGCAGTGGCGACAGAGATCTAGAAGATGATATAGAATCAAATGGCTCATTTAGGATAAAGTTGAAGCCTATAGATCCGCTTTTTTCTTTCCTTCACGGTTAATGTAATAGCGATCTGCGACGGCCACGAATTTTCACTCATTTAAAAACTAAAATGAGTCATTACAATATGAAATGCTGCTTGACATTCTGGTCTTTTCATAAGGTACATCCAGCAAGCTCCCATGCTTTCGTCTAGGCAAATTAGCTGAAAATAGTGGTTTTTAGCCGGTGAGAAATAATGAATGTAGGTGCTAATTGTAATTGCCCAACGGATATGAGCCTGTCTTTCATGTCGTCCTCAGAATCAGGAGGCAGTTGTTGTTACGTTTTCTTTCTATTTGTTTTGGGGACCTAATTATAGTTCTGAAGAGAAATTACTCTCATTGAGAGTTTAGATTTTCACTACTGTATAAGCAAGGGTGGCTAATCGACTGCATGTCAAAAGGGTTTGGCCTCTCTTGTCCGCCCTTGACCCTCCTTCAAAAGCCAAAGTCTTCATGCAATGTGTAATTACTCTTGCTTCGAATAAAGCTGCTTGATCTAAATTCTTGTTGGTGGTAGCAGCGTTATGAATCCATCTGCAGCCGCGGGGGAGTTTTTTTTCTCCCTCTCCTTTTCTCTCCTTTTCTTCTTTTTATCTCATGTTAAGACTAGTACCGTAGGTGTCTGTTTCAGAGTCTTAGTCCAATTATCGCCCATCTCTCGGCAATTCCAAATGTGATGGAGCATGACGAATGCGGTTGTTGTGTTAGTAAATGCTCCCCTTTCAAAAATACCCATCAGTTTTTTGGAGAAAAAGTTGCGTTTCGCGGGGGCGGAACTCTCCGCTGCAGCGATGAAATACACCCAAGCCAACGAATTTTCACCAGGCGCGTAAGCAGGTATTCCATCAACAGTGATTTTAAGATTGTCCAGTGTTTCTTCAATATTCGCCGGAGGAGCGTTGTGCAAGATGTGAGAGGAGTAAATGTTACATGCTTGTTTTATAGCTTCTTCTATTGCTTTGAAGATGCTAAGAATTCTGTCTTTAAACGTCTTGTCGTCAGAAGTTGTCTGTGAGTCATGCTGCGCAAGTATTGCATATTGTTCTTTGAGAAGAGGCTCTGCGTAAAGTTGTAATCTATTCATTTGGGTTAATGAGCGAATAATGAAGCAGTTCCCAATGGTGGCTCTTACATTTCAAGCTGGTTGAGGAGAAACTGTTCTATCACGGACCGGGAACTCGCTGTCGGTGGGCTGCCATGTTTCATGGCCGCTACCCAAGATTTAGCCATGTTGACGAGAAGGTAAAATTGTTGGCCTCCGTTCATCATATCTGTGATCAGCATGAGAATTATGGCAGCTAGAACTGCACTTCTAGTGGCGCCATTAGCAGTTTCATCTCTAGAAAAGACGGACAGCTTCTCAACGGCTGTGGACTGTAATCTTGAGGCTAAAGGTGACAGCTTAGGGCGTTGGAATCGTAGGTGATTCGCTGATGCTGCTAATGTCGCAGACCGAACTAGATCATTGGAGCAGGCGAGAGGAAGGATCATAGTTCTATACCCATTGGAGAGCCCATCTATCGCGACAAGAGTTGGGGCAATGTTTTCTGAGACTGATCTTGGCGTTAATTAGCGCCCCGAGATGTTCTTTGAGGTGGATTCACATACAGTTATAGAAAAGCATCCTGGTTAAAGGATCGAACAGCTCAATACTCTGTGGTATTGTGGTTGACTCAAATCCTTTGTTATCCAATCATTGAGTTAACAATCGTTTATATAAACAACATGGCAAATAAGACATACTCAATCATAAGTACTGATACTTACCGAAAGCATCACTTGCTAACAAATTCTCTACGATGCAAGGGTCTGCAGTGCTCGGATAGCTGCTTGAAAATATGCCAGTTGCAATCTGCCCGTTGAAGCTCTGAATATGGACATTAATGTTGACATTATTGATAGTTTGAAGAGCATTTTGTGACGATGATGGGGCGCGTCGTGGATTCCTTGACTCATCAGACATTGTCGTAACTGAGGCTCTTAGTCGGAAGATCTCGGCTTCGAGCTCGTCGATGTAGTCCATTGTTCTCTGGCGATGGGCACTGCATCATGAATCAGCACTGACCCTTGATCACGATCTCCTCGTGCTCAAGAAAGCGGAGTATGGACGAAAGGAGAAGTGCTAATCACCGTTGGGCCTTAAGAACTTGGTGTCTCCGTTTACTGTGCTCAGTAACTTCTGCAGGCTTGGCTTGACCACGGCTCTTGTCAGCAGCAGAGGAAAGGGCACTGTGTGATATTCGTAATTGTCGTCTACCTGAGTCCTCAGATTGAGGAAATTTCAGCGATGTTGTACCCATAACACGCCGTCGTCTCTCAGGAATCGTCTCTCTGCGACCTCGTGTGGTCTTGTTCGCGCCATCTTTGCTTTTCCCAGATTGCTTGATGTTTGAACTATCCATAATTACAAAGTGGGATATCAGACAACTTCACATTACTAAGAGAGAAAAAGAATCTCGTCCTCGTTGGCCACGCGCGAGTAGTTTGTTTTAAAAACACATCAGAGGTTTCTGACGCAGTCAATACTGGCGTCTACAGCTTATTGACACAGGAACTGGAGGTATTATACACGTGAGCGGCGCCGAGTTCCCAGACGGAAAAGGTCCAAGTTTAGTCTCGACCATTATAGCAAAACGCTCCGAAGTGGCTCAATCCAAGCGTCACAAAAAGAGGGGATCGGTTACCACTTCTCAAATGCTTATTATTGTCAATTCAATCCAGCAACTATTTCACCCGAACGATAGCGAGCTACGTAAGCGACTAAGTGGTAACCAACTCCACTCGAGTCCGAAATGATGCGGCGCTAGATGACGAAGTTGCAGAGTAAACTTGTGAATGCGAAAGCTGTAAATGCTCTTTTTTTTTTTTTTTTTTTTTTTTTTTTTTTGGGAGGGGGCGAATGTTGTAGGACAACTCTGTATACTCTGAACACTAAGCCCTCTATAGATAGTTATTCAGAAACTGAATCTGTGCTGTGATATTCTTCTCAAAACTGGCGCCGAAATAGTTGGCGACGTGGTGGTTATTTAGCGTGACAAACTGCTTTGGTTCCCCTGCTTGCTCAAATACCCTCTTATGCGATTCAAGGGGTGCGGTCAACACGTCTTCCACGGCGGCTAAGTATAGCAATGGTCGCGGGCTGATCCTGCGGATGAAATCTTGGGGTTCAACTTTGCTAATATCGTACAAACTCCGCAATGTTATCTTGTTTTCCCAAGGAGTGCCTGCGACATCAGAACGTTGTTTACCTCCAGAGATGAACTCAAACGCAGGAGGAGAATGTAAGATAACCTGTCCACGTTCGCCGGACGCCTGCCCAGAAGAATTATCCTAGACTTGTACATATGTTTCTCCCATGGCTGGGTTTTGTACTCTTGCAAGACGTTCCACCTTGATCTGTTCAATCAACCCTGGAGGAAAGCTTGTTGCGTCTCGTGATCCCGATGGCAAAGGCATGACTAGCACAACAGCTTTGATATAATCGTCGTTACCTGCAGATATCATTGCGGCGCCACCAGAACGCCCTATTCCCCACATGGCAATTCGGTTACCATCTATCCCTGGAACACTTCGGGCAAAAATTACTGCGTCATGGTAATCCTCTGCTTGCTGCATTGGATTTACGGCGTTTCGTGGTTCTCCTTCGCTAGAGCCCCATCCCCGGTGGTCATAGATAAGCACAGCATAGCCAGCAGCTTGAAAGCGAACAGCAAAGTCGGGTAAATAGTGTTCTTTCAGCAACGTTAACTACAGTAAAAGAGTCAGAAAAACAAGAATATAAGTGGCGACGGCGATTATGGGGCTAACTCCTTGTGTCATGACCACAATAGGGGCGTTATTGGCTGTATTATTTGGCATATACAAATCGCCTCTTAGAGTCACCCCATCCACCGTTCGGAATTCAACGCGCTTCGAGAAAGCCATCTTCTTCTTCTAAGCTCTCGGCAGAGGAGTGTACTCAGTATGTCGGGATTCTTAATTATTCGTAGTAATAGTAGGTTAGTGATTAGTTGTAATTATACCACCCTGTATAACCGTAGGGGAAGCGCGTGGTTTTTTATGGCTGTAATTCATCTCCAAAAGTTTTTCCGCCGCTATCAATTTGCTAGGGCCGATTTTTTATTAATAACAATAGACAAATCATGTAAAACTCAAAAGGAGATAGGGTGACGCTGTCACGACAGGTGGGATGTGTTGCAGCTGTGATTTTTAGACTCATCGCATCGCTTATTTTAGGCAATATGTTTAAGCATCAAATAAAACATGTCTTCAAGTTGATCACTCGGCTTGCCGACGAGAGACCACTTAAGCTACTCCGGGATACAAACAACAGGGTCCTCACCACGCAATCACTCCAGTAGCATCGTTAACAGAATAGTGCAGAAGATGCCCAAATAGTAATATCGCGAATATCAGACATTATTGGTCAAGTTCGCATGGGTTTTTCTGTGACTGCTACGTTGTAACATCCATCAGATATTACTACAAAGAAATCCAACCCATAATGAAAGCAAAGGCGGCGCGGGTCATTTAGTCAAGAAGACGGGTAAACCCGCATTTACCCTCAAAGGGGCAAAAGGATTAGGAATCTGAGATTTAGGGTATTTCCATAATAAGGAAAGCGATTCGGACCAAACTGGGGCAACTGGGGATTCCATTAGTTAGTTTGAACTCATTAACGGTGAGTCAAACTACCATGCAATGTGTGACGGGCGGAAGTGAAGCGTGTGCCGCAAGTGGTACAACCAGGTTCACAACTACCTATCCATTGGGATTGCTAAGGTGTTGCAACGTGAACGGTTTACTCTGAGTTTGTCAGCTGTTGCTTTCAATATGTAGAGGAATAACATACATCTAGTCAAACTAAAGCGTCTATTACCAATATAGGCTGCTCTCACACACCAGTTTGGCTGCCGATCGCTGAATAATTGATGGTTGATGGTCTGTTCACATTGGGTATATATAAGTGTATCGCATGAGCGCTGCTTAGAAGAGATTAACTCCTGCAACACGTATAGAGAAAAACATACTCAATCCACTCTTACTCAACAATACTTTACCAAAAACTCACTTAATATCTGAAGAAAACTCCACAAACAATGGCTGCATCAAATTTTTTGGCCGCTACTCTGAAGTCATTACATCGCCCTGGCCAGCCCCTCATTCTCGCCAATGTTTATGACGTTTTATCAGCGCGCGCCGTAGCTGCTCTTCCGAGCTGCAAAGCACTCGCGACAGCAAGTTATGCTGTTGCTAGAGCTAACGGGACAGAGGACGATGACATGGACGCCCAGACAAACCTCCGCGCAGTCTTACCAATAGCGAAAGTTGCCGCAGAGTTCAAGAAGCCATTCACAGTTGATATTCAGGACGCATATGGAGAGAAACTCGAAGAGGTCATAACAGCGCTTATCTAGGGTGGTGTTCATGGAGTGAACTTGGAGGACGTCAATAAAGACACTCAGAAGCTTTACAGTCTACAAGAAGCTGCAGAGCGAATCAAAAGGACTTTGAAGGTCGCAGAGAATCTTGGAGTTAAAGATTTTGTGGTCAACGCCAGATGCGATGTTCTTATCCACGGTGGTCAGCTTAGTGAGGTTCTCACTCGAGGCAAGGCGTATCTCGCTGCCGGTGCTACCAGTGTATTTGTCTGGGGAGGATCGAAGAGGGGTGTTAGCCGTGATGAAGTAGCAACGATGGTGAAGGAGTTTGATGGGCGACTTAACGTTTCAATGAAGCTGTCTCCTGACGGGTTGAATGCATCTCAACTGTCGGAAATCGGCGTGGCCAGAATAAGCATTGGGCCTGCAATTCAGTTCATCGCGATAGATACATATGCAAAAGAAGCAGAGAAGATTTTGACTTCGGTTTAATGAAGTGTACACTAGAATAATAAGGCCGAATAGACTGTATCCAGGTAATACAACATTATTTTTTTGCTATTAAAAGTTGAATGTTCGGTTATGGCGTCGGATCTAATGGCCAGCTCTTTGTATATATGGAGAAGACATATTTGGTATTCCTTATCAGAACCCGTAGACTCAGACTTCAAATATACGTACCAGCTGAAAAAGGCCGTATCATAGCAATCCAAACTGTGAATTCAATAAATAATACCTAAACTGATATGTATTCCAGAATTATTACATTCAAATAAAATTTTTGAGCTTGCCGACGTTTTATAGATATTGGGACATGACACCACGTCGTCAAGAGCGCTGGGAGCCACAACCTCAGGACAGGCAAACATACGCAATACCTTTAGGCGATCACATGCGCAGAAGGAATAGAAGGAAGAGAAGATCTCTTCGACGCCGAAAAACCAACTCAACCACCCTCCAAAAGCTCTTTGCTTAGGCCAATACAGGGCCACACCCGAAGGGCAGCGCTTCCGCACCAGCATCCAGTACAGTCTATTAATCAGCAGCATTTCAACATTCGAGTGTAGCTTGTAATCGAACTGGGTCAACGAGACACATTATTTCCCTTCACCAATCGCTAAACTCACGGCAAAGCTAGTAGAACTAATAAAACTGGAGTGACGTCTTATTGACTCAAGCCTGGTCTCAGTTGAGTCGGCTGGTGTTGGTCTGGCGATTGCTGTTTCACTGTCGACTATCCACCACCGAGGTAGTATAAGGGGCCTTACCACGTCCAACATCTCCAATCACCATACCGAAGACTCCTATGGCCGTATGTAACGGTAACTGAGTGGCATAAGTTTATAAGGATAGCGCAACTATTTGCTGAAATTTGTCTTGAGTAGGATATCAGCAGGCATGTAGAGAACAAACCCTATCTGCTACCTCCTCATAGTTATCTTAGGTACCTATCTCTAAATATATAATAATAACTGTAACGATCCGTTTTATTGTTAAGCCAATAGGGCAAAAGATTAGACCAATAATCGCAATTGTCGTAACTTTATAAGAGAACTAGCTATTTATAAGAGATCAACAGACCGGAACAAGAAGTTCACAGGGAAGTCATGACATTCCTCCTTTCCAAATTCTGCTTGTTCGGCTTTGTAGAAAGACTACTCTTCTTCCTAAGAGACGCTATCTTTACCAGATTAGAGTAGGAAAGCTCCTTCTCTTTATTAGTATATGAGAATATAGTTTCGACCTAAGTATTACCATCAATAGCTTATTCTTTAGCAATTGATCTAAGATACTAGAGCAATATCTAACATCTAACGGATATAATTATTATAGCTCTCTTGTCTATATCATATAAGAATCGCCTTTGAGAACCTTTATTCCCCTTAGCCCTTGGAAGAACCCTATCGGTCAGGACCCAAGTAGTCGTGATCGTAATACTCTTACTTGGATAAGACCTTCTTGAAAATCTCAAAGGTTGCCCGGTCTCTCACAGGGTCGTCCATTGTGCGCATTGTCGAATAAGACCAGTACGGCACAAGGCACACTAACCATACTAGCACCCAAAGGTACCCCAAGGCGCGCTCGATTTGTCGAGGGAGCTGTACGGGGCTGAAGCTATACAGCTTGTGGGCTGTATCTTCTAACATGATACCAAGTGCCTGACTGCTGAAGAATATCAATTGTCCAGTTTCGGATCTCTCGGCCTGGTGGTGTAGCATTGCAGATAAAAAGAATGCCAGGGCGAGCCGTGAGTAACGCGAGATCAGGGTACCACGAGGGATAACCAAATCAATAATCCAATCAGCCGGTCCACTAAGCGCCTTGCGCAGACCTTGGTGATAGTAATTGCTGGATACACTCGATTAGCGGTCAGTAATACAACTAGAAGGTGCTCAAACATACCCCCAGAATCTTCTCACGGAATACGCCTGGCTCGGCCAGCCCTGCCAGATGGGAGGCCAGCTCTGGGGCTGGTCACCACAAAGGACGGCAACAATTGCCAGAAGGTCGTAGACTCCAATTACGACGATGGCTGCGTTGATAAGAAAGACGATGGTGGTTGCCACCCGAAAACCGACCTCTTCTGAGGTTGCCCCTGTGCCAGCAAACAGATATGAGATAGTTTGCTTCTCTCTCGTGATCATATTTGGGTCTGGCGGAGGACCGGCGGCGCAGAGGTCCATGACGAGATAGCAGGCGATTAGAACGACCAGTCTCCTGAAAAGAAAACGCACGCGCCCGGTTATGGAGCTATCTTCCGTCGAGGCTGGGACCTGAATTTGCCACTTAGTTCCAATGCGCCGCCAGTTGAACGGTAATGTAGCAGCCCGAAATGCCCGCCAGATGGGCTTTCCAGGGTTGGCTGACTGAAGACCGGGGTCATGAGGGCCGACATTTGACACAATGAGGATTTCGAAGGCGTTCAAGAATGTAGTCCAGGTTGCGCCCAACGCGAGAGATATAAAGGCGCGATTTGAGAAGTATTCCAGGAGGCTGAGCTGGAAGCTGTAAGTCACGGCCGCGAGGAGGGCGATAGCCGCGGCGCGGTAGAAGGTGTGCGGCGGCAGACAGAAAAGAGAGGCTTCAAAGATGGCAACTGCACAGAGCAGAACATATAGGGGCTGTGGGTAGACATATATTTCCATTTTAAATGATCACCAAGTGCGCCTTTTGGGGGTTTTGCCTGACGAAAATACAAGTTCACTTTTAAACTGGTCGTGAATTGAATCGCTGAAATCGAAATCGATTGATGAAAACTTCAGCCCCTGTTATAGTGCTTAGTACTTAGTGCTTACATCTACGCTACCTACGTTGGCAGTGCGTCTTAGCGGGTGTTGATTACAGTAACCACCGAAAATGGAATTATGCAACTTCAGATTTGGAGTCTTGAGATGTGAAAAATGAAAGACACCTATTATAGCCGTATATGCTTAGCAGAGGACCTACGTTACCGTATATCGTTAGCTGCCACAGCTCCTCAATCTTAATATTTTTAGTATGAGTTCTAAATCAAATCGTTCCATCTCCTGGTTAACCCTTCATCGGTCTTTAAATTATTCCTCAATTGTGATGCCATCTTGGGTATTATAATGGAGGCCTTGGCCTACTTTGTCCAACCATCAGACCAAGTTGTTGGCTTTCTTAATAACCATTTGACGGAAATTTCCCACAAGCTTCTCCATCCTACGGATGCGCTTGGGCCGAATCGCCTCCAACCTTTCTACTCTGGTGTCATTACGTCTGAAGTCCTGGCTTGACCATGGCTTCTGTGGATAGACCCGTCGATCAACAACAGTTTTATGTTGCAATTATCTGTGCTCTGCCTCATGAATCTGATGCCGTAATACTACTCTTTGATCAACTCTGGAACAACCGAATGTACGACCGCACAGATGGAGACGCGAATACGTACGCGACGGGCCATATCGGAAACTACATATAACGGCGTCGTTACTGTATTGCCGAATATGGAAACAAAGGCAGCGGCTACGACAGCAGCCAACCTACCGTCAAGCCACGTCAACCTTAGACTTGCATTCCTCGTCGGAATATGCGGGGGAACGCCCCATATCTCAAAAGAAGATGTCTTTTTAAGCGACGTTGTGGTAGGCAACACAGTCATTCAGTATGACTATAGTAGTCAGAATCTGGGAGGGTTTGAGGCGAAAAGGATTATAGCAGACAACCTTTCAAGGGTAAATAAAGATATAAGAGGCTTTCTTAGGAATCTTGAGATGGAGTCTCACAAAGAGAAGTTGCAATTGGAAGCTGCAGCACACCTAATACATCTGCAGACAGCTGCGCTAGACTCCGGACGGCGCGCGGACTGCCGGTATCCTGGTATTGAGGACGATAAATTATTTCCACCTACAGTTCAGAAGCGAGTAGCACATCGCAATCAGGAGCAAGTACTCGATAAACGAGGCCCCAAAATTTCCAATACAAACGCTGTCGTATGTGCTTCATGTGCTGGTATTGTATTGTCTTTGATTCGCCGTTGTTTTGAAGGAGGAACATAAGAACATAAGGCATCTAGACGAAACTTCATTTGGAACCAACTCTGCGGACTTTATCGGCAGATTGTACAGTTGGGAGAACGCAAGGCTGTAAAAGTGCAGCCGGGACGCAAGCGGTTATAATGGAGACATAGCCTTATCTATACCTTGCTATCCAATGAACTTGCCGTACATTGCGTGTCACTTGTGTGGCCCGATTTCACCAATGGCGATTGTCATTTAAGCCACGGCTAAATCTGCCTAGCAATGCCACATCGCTGCCCAGCCTGCTGCCTATTTACTGTCGGTTAAGAGGTTTCACCTCCAATGTTCCCAGTCGCTCTTCCATTGCCTTGGGTGTCTCTCCATTTGAAGCAAGACATTGAATCAGATTACTGTACCGCGGCGGCCTCTAGTGCCTTCTATCGCTATTACTTACATCGCTGGTCGCTTTACTCAGGCGAACGTGGTTTATTGGCCCTGCATAATGGCAACGGTGCCTGATCCTGATCCTGATCCTGATACTATCCAACTAGCATTCGCAGAAGCAGTTCGCGAGTTCAAATCCAAGCTCAAAAACGATCAATTGTACGCAGATATTCTCAAAACGAAGTCAATTGACGAAGTCTATGATGCTACCGACGCACTTCAAGCCGAACAGGGGAAACAAGGACGACTTCGGCACCTCTCGAAGATCAAACCGTTCCTTGAAGGACTCCGAGGCTACGCAAATGTCATCGACACATTTGTCCAAGTCAAACCAGACGTCCTTGCACTTATTTGTGGTCCAATTAAGTTGCTTATTCAATGGGCCACTTCTCTAACGCAATCCATGGATGCCCTTATCAATACGGCAGCCGAAATTGGTGAGCTGCTACCAGAATTCAAACTCATAGGTGAAATGTTCGGCCACACCGAGCAAGTAAAGCTCGTTCTTGTCCTCTTTTTCCAAGATATTCTTGACTTTTATGCTGTGGCCTTAAAATTCTTTAGTCTACCCAGTACGTTACAAGCCCCACGCAATATAGAAACCGAGCTGACGATTAAATTGAAGATTGGCGGTATATGTTCGAGGCCTTATGGCCTTCTCAGAAGGAGAAAATTAAAAAGGTAATGGATCACATTGGACGACACACGAATCTAATGAGAAACAATGTTCGCTTAGAGCACCTCCGGGAGGAGAATGAATATAGACAGCGAGCGTTTGAGCATTTTGAAGCAACGCAGAAAAGTAACCTGCGTCAGGAGTATAACACCATCAAAACTGATTTATCCCCAAGTTATTACGATACCGAGCTGTATCGGATACGAGGCCAGGTCTGTAAGGGAACGGGAAATTGGCTGAAGCAAGCGAGTGATTTCAAGAAGTGGTTTGATGGGAACGATGATTCAACAAGGATATTGTGGCTATGCGGCATTCCGGGAGCAGGTTTGCGAACTCATCTCTACCATTGTCGCTAGATTGAAGAAATTTAACGATTTGGATAGGAAAGACTCATCTAGCAGCCACGGCAATCGACTTTACTTCATCAACTAGAACTATATTTGCTTTTCTTAGCCACGCTAACAATAGTAACACCTCCGCCTTGTCGATTTTCCATTCCCTCATATTTCAGTTGACTTCGGAAGATGAAAGTCTTCAGGCGGTTCTCTGTGGCTTGGTTCGGGAAAATTTGAAAAACAGTCTTGATGTCGCTGTTGAACTTCTTCAGACGCTACTTAGCTCCACTGGCCCGATTACCATCATTATTGATGGGGTTGATGAGATTGATATCTCCGAACGAGAGAAGCTACTCAAGAGGCTTTGCGAAACATCTATGGCCTGCAAGAGGACTCATTTATTAATAAGCAGCCGGGCAGAACATGATATTTCATCAATCCTAAGCCCAAAATCGTCAACAATTCGAGTAGATGCACACAATGCGGCAAGTATCCAAATATTTATCGATGACTGGGCACAAAAATGGTTTTCAGATCATGATTTTCTACCCGAAGACAAGTCCGAGATTGGAAACCTACTTGCGCCGCTTTCCTTAAAAGCAAAGGGTAGGTATTTTCCACAGTTATACTGTTGCTGATCATCGCTTATTCTCCAACAGGGATGTTTCTCTATGCCAAGATCATGCTGAATAGCATAGAGGAGCTTGACAATCTAGATGAGATTCGCAACGAACTTGGAGTACTTCCAGAGAGTCTAGATGAGGCGTACAGTAACCCAGCTACTCTAAATATACAGAAAGCTGACAAATTTTAGTTACGAGAGAGTATTTGACAAAATAAATCGCAAGTCTCAGATCATTAAAAAGAAGTGTCGACTTATTCTCGGCTGGATCAGCTGCTCACCAACGCCTTTGGCATTATCAGAACTGGAGCAAGCTTTGGTAGTGACTATCAGCGACACCTCCAGAGTTTCCTCACCACTGAATGTTGTCCGTCTTTGTGGTCCTATTATTGAGATCGTGGGGGGTAACATTCAGTTTGTACATTTCACGGTCAAAGAGTAAGTAATCTCACTTCTGATGTGGTATTTTCATTAACCAGTTTTTATCATAGATATATTCACAGTCGCCATAAAATTGAGAACTATATTGACCTTACCGAATCAACGTTGATCCTAGCAATTTGTTGCATACGATACCTATGCCAGGACCACCACTCGCCTAACATCAGTGATGAAGACTTCGAGATGGGCCTAAGGATGGGTAATTACAGACTGCATTACTATGCCACAGACACATGGCTGAATCTTATTATCCAATATCTGCGCCTGAATCGTCCCAGGGATTTATCAGAAGAGTTAATCACCACTCTAAACAAGTTTTACGAAGAACGAGGTCAGCAAGAATCCTCTGGCCCCACGGAATTAGATGAGCAGCGGTATCCATCTGAGCTACAACAATTCGGATCACGCGATCCGAGTCTCTTTTGTTTCCTTCGGAGTATTGCGCAATTCCAACAAAAATGTTCCACATCCCTATTCCATCTTGAAGAAGGTAAAGTGCTGTGTTTTCTCGTGCTTCCGATCGTGAAATAACAATATCTATAGTGCACGATTGGATCAGCCTGGACCCCATCACCACGTCAACTATTTCCAAGAAGCTGTATGATCAATTTGATGAATTTCAGTGCCAAATGGAGCAGCATACTGATCAATGCTTGTACACAATTTTGGAACGTCATTACGGCCAACGACTCTATAAATGTGGCTTTTTGTCCTACGTATATCATCGCCAGGGGTTTGCTACCCAACTTTCCAGGAACTCGCACAAAAAAAGTCATGACCTCCCTTAGAAATGTGACATTCCCTCATACCATTATCCAGCGTTTGGGGTTTTTTCCAAGGCTATGAGAGACTGGCACTTGGATCGCCATCGCGCAGAAGCCCAAGAAAATTCGCCGAGTAAAGAGACATCGTTATTCGATCCGAAATCCGATGACTTTATACCTTTCTTATTCGATCTTGTTTACAGTGACAATATAGAGTCAGTTGGAAAGCTTCCATCCTTTTTCGAGAGGCTTGGTGATGACCAACAAGACGAATTGCTAAAATTTGTTGCACATTCTGGATCTGTGGCAATGACGAGGTTGATTTGTGACAGAGGAATTCGAGAAAAAATAATCCACAAGAGGTGGCTTACCTTCATTTTAGCTTGCATGGAAAGTCAGAGAATCGATTCATTGACTGTGGTACTGTCAGAATATGGTGACAAAATTGCAAAAGAGCTCCGCATGAGAGTTCATTTTGCACAGATTCGGATGCGTGCAGTCGCAACTGGATCAATGGAGGTGATTCAGATAACTGATTCTTTTTTGAAAGCAGCCTTTACGCATTATGAATGGGATCCGACGGCCGATCTAATTTGGAGAGATATAATCAAAGCAACCGCAAGATGCCCTGACCGAGAGGATTATCTCATCAACGCATGGTCAACTCATGGTGTTTCCAAACTCCTATCCGCGGTCCTTGTCAAAACACTCACACACATCGCTCGGACAACATATTCAATACGCCTTGCGCAGGCATTGCTCCAATACGGTATCAACATGGATGAACGACAGCGTCATACAACTCTCACGCCGCTCCATTGGGCCACCCGCCATGACTGCGCTGAAGCAGCGGAGTTCATAAAATTTTTGCTGTACCAAGGAGCGAACCCATACATATGCAAGGGAATTAGAGACGAGAAATGTGCTAAGAATATGTCAAACTGGCTCGGCATGACTTGGGATGAACTTGTTCAGAAAGCAGAGGAAGATAGGAAAAGAGGGATTCAGTGGCCATAATAGTTTAATCCAACGATTAGATATTAACGTCCTAGTATAGGGTTAGAACCGAAAACAATATTGACTACAATTATCCAAAATTCAGGTCAATTTCCAACCCTTGTATCTATATTGACATGTGTATATGAAAGAGCATAATTGCAAGTTATATCCATTCTATTACCAATATGTAGCCCAATTCCTGTAGACTTATTATGAGCTCTCACATTTCAGGCAAGCTCGCAACTCCTGTATTCTATTAGCCACTATTCACGTAGAAAATTAAATATTCAATTCCTAACCTTCCATCGTTGACCATTGGTATCTAACTGAGAAATATCGTGAGAATCGAGTGATTGTTGAATGAGCCTAATCTTTTCTTTTTGTATCCATTGCACGTACTATTTCATTAGTCTCAGGATGCACATACATCAAAAGAGTTAATTAGAACTGGTTGAGAGCACAAAATCCCACTTACCATTTCTATCGTGTCTTTTGTTAAATATCTTGTTATTAGGACTTTCCGTGATTGTCCTATCCTATGCACGCGGTCAACGGCTTGAGCCTCGACCATTGGATTCCAATGAGGCTCGAGCAAATGTACGCTGTTGGCAGCTGTAAAATTAACCCTATAGCTCTGCTGGTTATTATATAATTGCAGTGCTGCCGAAATGTCATGAGAATGGTGTTCTGCATGAGAAACTTACCCTTCAGCAGCACTACCAAGAGTTGCAAGCATAACTGTGCATTTTGGGTCCAAATTAAACTGATTCATCGCCTTTGATCGTGCTTCTAGGCTTTTTTGACCATCAATTCGTGCGCAGACAAAGCCGTTGGCCTCGAGGCATTGCTGAGTCAGGTCTATCATTCTAGTCCAACAACTGAAGACGACGCTATGTTGTGGCTTCTTAGCTAACTTGTCACTGAATTACAAGCATATCCGATCTTCTTTACCTTTTGATAGGCTCATTTGATGAGCATTGACCAAAACGAAGTTGTTCTTGGCGGAGGTTCTCAATCAACGCTTCCAATTTTGGCGATTGTTGACCTGGTCGGATGTCAATTGTAGAATACGACCCTTCTCCGTCACTGCGAATAAGCAAAGAGCTGTCTGGGTGTGTTGATTCAATCTTAGACCCAACTTCTCCAGTACTGGTAAGACATCTTCTGCACATGACTTGCGGGCATGAAATGTGGAAACCGATCGCAGACCGGGACTGGGAAGAATCAATGCTCAGGCCACACACATTGCATGCTTCGCGAAACTTTTGAACCTTTTGCCAGTCAATAAGATTATCACCTGGCGTCCTCCAAAGTTCAACAGCTGACCGAGGAAGAAGATACTCCCCGTGGTCGCAGATCAAGCGAAGAGCATTGATGAATTTTAGAATATTGTTGTTTTTTTGATCATTTGAGTTCGAATTCTCAATATTGTATCGATAAGATCCTGATGCTATGTTGGCTGCCTCTTTTTCGAAAAAGGTATATAAATCGCGATCTGCCGGTAGCAATTCTACCCATGTTATCTGCTCTCGTGGATCAGGTAGTTGATCTGATAATTTAATTAGCTTCTTTGTACGTCGCAGGCAGGTGCCTTTGATCAAGAGGCGGAGTCTTTGCAAGCCACAGAGATGATTCTCTTTAATGGGTCTTGTTATCCAAAAATCGAATAAACTCTTCTTCATAAAGACTGGCACCCCGACAAAGCTTAGAAGTGCTGCAAAATCATCGAGGGAATTGTGAATCGGTGTCCCAGTTAAACACCAGCGGGACCGAGCCTGGATGTCGCAGGCTGCTTTAAAGGTTTTGGAATCCCTGGCCCTGATATGATGTGCTATAATTACAGTGTTAGCAAGATTTTCATTGATGACTTAGCCGTCGATTCTGTTTGTACATGCCTTCGTCTAGGACAACACGTAACCATTGCCTGGTAAATAAAGCTCCATTCTCTTCCCAATCCCGTCTCATTGTTTCGTAAGTGGTGAGGGTTATATCGGAGTTTTGAAGGCTATCCTGCAGTTTTTGTCGGTCGGAACCATGATATATTGCAATTTTTAGAGCTCCCGGATGAATGTGACTGGGTCTCATTAGTAGCTGCAGTTTCAATAATACGTTCGACGAACCTCTCGCATTGTTGCTGCCAATTATGTATAGCCAATAAGAGTTAGCACGTGTTAATAAGATGGCCGAAGCATAATGTAACTTACTTGACTTTGGTGTAACAATAAGTGTTGTGCAAGATTGCCTAGACTGTGTCTCTTCACTTCCAGTCTTCTGGACCTCCATAATATCCAAAGATGAACAAATTAAAGCCAAAATGCTAAGGCTTTTTCCCAGTCCCATCTCCTAAGCTACAGTTAGCGGGGGTATAAATTTTAGGCAACATTATTGTTCCCTTACGTCTGCTAAGACGCCGCCAGGTGCAAGTTCCGGCCTCGGTTTTCGATTTCTCGTAATTTTGTGTTGATACCTTGCCAGGAAAATTAGAAGCTGGCCAGTGAGACAATAATGCAAAGAGACGTACTCCTTCGTTGGGAATGACCCCGATACTGGCTCCCATAATGATGAAACCCCATCTCTTATGCCTCTTGCTTCAATACCAGTCAGCCAGGCGAGGGCAGAAATTTGATGCCTATTGAGATCAGTATTCGTACACTTGCAACTTTCGTCACATGATTCGCGTCTTACTCTTTCAACGTGGACCTGAGCCGACGGCTCGGCTCAATGTTCGTCTTCAAATTGCTGTCGCTGGCTTCATCAAAGAGTCTCATGAATCGCCCTTCGTTTGATGTATTAAGCAAATCCGATTCCATAGCTCGGTCACATCTTGTTCCTGGGTCCTCTTCTGCCTCTTCCGGCGTTGGCATTTGGGATCCTGGACGAAGAAGATAATGAGGGTTCCAATACCGCACATTGCTATTATACTCTGAGGATAATGGATGTTGGAAGTAGAGACCAGCATCTCCAAGAATATTCCCGATGGTGTTTTGGTCAGCGGCAAGTCCATAGAAGATAATTCGAACATCGCAATTAACGGGAGAATAGATCTCTTTAGGCAATGTCTTTGAAGTTCTCTTCCTCAAGGTTGTCGGGATTAACAGTTTGGCATCGACTTTGATAGTAAACTCCTGGAGGACCCTGGCTAATGCGGCATCATTGATAATTCCGGCGTACCTTTGACTACCTTGAGATAAGAGCTTCAATTTCGTGTTACAGGTCTCGAGGGTCACTGGGACTTTCGTCGTGCCGTCCTGGCTTTTGAAAGAAGATGTCGCCGCCGCAACGATCTGCCAAGTGGTAAATATTTGAGCAGAGATTCACAAAGAGTATGGGGAGCATGATGTACAACGCCAAAACAAGTATCCGGCTGGGATTTATCGATTCCTGTTGGTACAGTCGGCGGACATGTCGACTTGATGTCGCAAGCATCCGGACTCACTGCAAATAAATTGAACGATGAGAAAGCTACACGTTGAAGTCAATCCTCTATTAACTTACAGGACGTTGTATCTTCTTGGGCGAAACCAGGCGTTTCATCACCGCTCGTATCCATTCGATCTCCGAACCAAGATAGATCGAACACTTCACCTGTTTCGAAGGGGAAGTCGATGCCGTAAGTTGGGTCTATAGCATACGTTTGAAACCCTTCTGAGGACTGTGAATCTTCAGCCAGTGGATGTTGGATCTGTAAGCAAACACGTTTAGATGCCACATGACCGCTGCCTTCGAAGTCATCTAAATCGAAATATCGTTTCATTGCGACAGTGTTGTGCAAATCCAACATATTAGGCGTCGAATCCCAAGATTCCATGGCAATATACTGTCCTGACGAAATGGCTACAGTGGCCAACAGGACAATGGCGAAAGGTTCAATCGCGAGACCACGAAAAACATTTCTCTCAATAATAGCACAGCCTACAGCTTACAAACAAAATAGAAAGCCTTGCTAAGAGCCTGCAACACAGCCTCACCGGCATACGACATTTCGGATACCTCTGTGGTTTCATTGGTTGGACCCATGCATATTTGATCAGTTCGTTTGACAAACTCGGGTCCCTGGATTGTTTCGTTGGCGTCGCCCATCGAAATTTGCATACGTGGCTCAAGGCTTGAAGAGTTGAAAGATGCCTCGTGTGGCAATTTTATCAACCTGAAACACAAAAAAATAAAAACACACCTTCACATACATTAGACGGGGCTCTGTTTGTGTAACTTGGCCGCTTTGGGGCCGCATATTGTTCCACCAGTGAGTGCTTAGAGTGCCACCGTGCTTATCAGCACACCTCAATGCAACCTAATCATTATAGGGGCAACGTGTTCCCAGAAAGCAACCTTGAAACTTCGCAGTATGTTTCCAAGCATTTCATTGCATTACTATACTCTTCTAGTTGGAATTGACTCGTATCTTAGGGGTGGCTCAAGGACAGTACCACTCTATACGTGTCGCTGCCATCTACTGCTGGCTATAGTGCTACCATGCAGTCTTGCCTTTTTTCTGGTTGTAGAGTTAGTGATAGCTCAATGTTACATAGAGCCGAAATAGGGCATTACATAGATTCTGGACTAAGCGTGTGGCGTCCCAGGAAGATTTCTAAGGGGTCAAGCAAAGAAAAACAAACGCTTTGCGCATAATAAGAGAAAGGAAGTATCTGTAGCCTTCGTACACTTGAAGGGAGAAGGAGAAGTCAAATTTTCCAACTATATACAAGTAGTCGTATTTGTTCGGCTCTCTGGTATGACAGCATATATATTTGACTGTTGAGGAATACTTCATTCACCGATTCTTAAACCTCGTCCCAGAAATCGAGATTTTTGCTATCATCCTAGACTCTTTTGATCTCTCTGAGTTATTAAGTTTTATTCTGCCGTATGGCTTAAATTGTCTAGATGGATAAGTAACGACTTGCCGGTTTGACTGGATGGTATTCTAAGGGTAATACTGGCCTCAGTGCAACATTGTTCTCATTGCAGCTGCATAGAATACACGGTTAAATCGCACACTATTTCTACAAATGCCTGTGCCACTTGCCCACACCCGTCTGCCGCCAGAATTTATCAGCTTTGTCTCTATCAAAAGCCAGCCTCCGAACACCATCCACCCTGTATCGAACTCAAGCAAGACCCGTCGGCTTGGGTAACTGTTCAACTTGCAGGGCTGCGCTTGCCGCCGCCAGCCCCGTGAACTGACCCGTGACGTGGGGATCGGGCCCGATGAAGTTGTTGGGAAATCCAATTTCGAAGGGCTTCACACTTTCCAGGTACGCTACCTGCTCTTGCGACAACTTGATGCTTAAGGCCTGGATGTTATCTCTAAGATGCTCGATCTTGCGGCCGCCGACCATAGGAAATACACGAGTGGCCTTGGCTCGTACATAAGCGAGTGCAATTGCCGTAATGGACTCGATGCCATGTTCACTGGCAACCTTCTCCAACGCCTCGCTGAATTTCCTCTCGTCCTCATTTTGGTCATTGCCGCGTGTAGAACGTAGGCCTTCGCCCTTTTTCGCCCGTTCTTCTAAGGCCTTCTTCGTTTGGAACTTGCCTCCGCCGAGAACATCCCATGGCGCAAGAGCCATTCCATATTGACGGGCCATTGGGATAATTTCCCTTTCAAAGTCACGTAGCATAATATTCCAGCGACCCTGGTAAATGCTAAACGGAGTCTTTCCAAACGCAGCAGCATATTCATTAGCCGCACTCACGATCCAAGCCGGGGTGTCTGATACCCCTAAATAGAGGACTTTGCCTTGCTCAACGAGAACGTGCAAGCTATCCATGATTTCTTTGACGGAAGTGGTAAAGTCCCACCAATGAACATAGAGTATGTCGATCCAATCGGTTTGAAGTTTGAGGAGTGAGTCACGGACACTCATGTGCATGCTTCGTCGCGAGTTGCCAGAAGAATTAGGCGTCCGCCCTTTGCCGAGGGCGTACGACTTGTAATCAGTCGTATATTTTGTAGCAATGACCATCTGGTCACGGTTCTTTCGTGCCGACATCCATTCGCCGAGCCATGCCTCGGAATCATCATCTTGATAGCAATTTGCAGTGTCGATGAAGTTGCCACCAGCTTCGAAGAAATAATCAAGAAGTTTAAAAGACTGCTCTTTATCCATCGAGCCCATGAACTCGGACCACCCATTACCAATAGACATCGCTCCTAACTGGAGAGGCGACACACGAATACCAGCCGTAGAAGAAAGGATTCGATATCTCCCCAGCTCGGTTTTCGGCTCTGGGGCTGGGGCGTAGACTGATGCCATGTTGGTGACTTGGGTATTATCTTTCGTAATAGTTAATAAATTTAGTTGAATCTGTGCAGAATCCTCTACAATTGAATAGCGATAGGACACAAGCACTTTATATTCACGACCTGTAACCTAGTAAACAGAATAGCCTGGCCTTTTGTTATAGTGACGCTGGGACTCTCGGACTATGTTATCGGCCGTCTTGTCTACTTCGGTTAATCATGGTCTAGGCCGAAAGTCATAACGATGGGTGGCCCCGCTCCGACAATTCTTGAACATGATACTATTGCCACTCCAAAAAGTTCAAACTCTGCGACGTCAACATGCCGTCTTGATCATTATATCCGGAAACTCCGATATCATGAAAGGGGTTAAAGTTGCACGTATGAGACCAAGTAGCCGAAAGTCAGTTGTAACTATTTACATGCTCTACTGATAACTACTTGTTGGTAGAGAAACAGTTGACGCGAAAGTACCCCAATGTACACGACCGTTGAATTAGACATCACAATTTCCATGAAGTTTTATTAATGCTACGCAGTCTTTGGGTACTCTGTCTCTAGTATATGAATGAATACATGTATGTTGTGTCTGTTCTGTTCAAGGCAAACTACTCTAGTTCAATCGTTCCAACTACCAACTGTAGAGCAATACGCCCCCTTTCCCTACAACTCTAGCCCGAAAAAGCCCGAAAAAAAGAAAAGAGAAATACTCTAGTTAGTACCCCTTATTCCTAAGTCCTAAGCAAATAATAATATCCCCGAGATATCCATGCGGAGTTAACCAAGATCCCACCGCTTCAGGAAACGCCATGTTGATCACCCGAAAACGACAAAAGGGTTTCGGCCGAACCCCCCACAAGTTTTCGACCGAACACTAAAGCTTTCAAGCACCCAAGAGATTTCGGACGAAAATTAAAGCTATTGAAGATAAAATGTATCTAGTATTCGGCCGAAAGATGTTGGCGCTCTTGAGAAAAGGATGAACTCCAGCTCCATGAACTGTCATTCATCCCCGATACCTCCGCATAGGCGAACTATTTAAAAATGCATGAACAGTAAGTTACATTCACGATTCAAAATCATTAGCAAATCCAACAATTTGACACCTTCTACTCAATCCATTGACCAACAGCATTTAATCATGTCTTCACCAATTAAGGTCACGTTTCCATCATTCATGCTCACCATCAGCGGAGAGCTCTATGAGCCTGCCAACGGGTCTCCGGACCGGAAAGGTGCTGCCGTTGTGGTGAGCCACCCCATGACGGGAGTCAAAGAACAGACGGCAGCGGATTATGCCCGAGCTTTATCTTCCGCGGGATTCTACGCCTTGGCATTTGATGCTGGCTATCAAGGTGAAAGCAGCGGCGAACCCCGTGGGCTTGAGGATCCCCACCAACGTGTCGAGGATAACAAGGCTGCGGTTACATACCTGACCACTTTGGAGGGCAAAGTTGATCCCGGGAGAATCGGCGTCCTAGGAATCTGCGCATCAGGTGGATATACCTCGTATGCTGCACAATCAGATACCCGCATCAAGGCTCTTGGAACAGTCAGTGCCGCCTGTGTAGGTCGGATGACACGCAATGGTGGTCTCTACGAAAGCAACAATAAAGAGTCACCCGAAGCCATCGCAGGCGCTCTCAAAGCCGCAGGAGACTGGCGCACCACCCATGCCAATGATACTAAAACCCAAGCACCTCGTATGTTCGAAACGGATGCATCTGCAGTACCAGATAATGCACCTTCGTTCTTTAAATCGGCTGCCGCATACTATGGCTCAAAGCGTGGCCACCATGCTCGATCCGACCAGCGGGTTCCCCCATCGAGCTATGATTTGATGATTGGCTACGACTCGTTTAATTATCAGCATCTCATTTCCCCACGACCGTTGCTGATGATTGCTGGCAGTGAGGCTGAAACTCTACACTATAGTAGGACGTCAGTGGAGGGGGCAAGGGAACCTAAGGAATTGTTCATTGTCAAAGGCAAGAATCATTTCGATTTGTACGATGATTTGACCGAGTCAGCGCCAAAGCTAGTCGAGTTTTACGCAAATGCACTTTCTCAGTAAAATAAAAAGGGATGCAATTGCTCATCTTAAGTTGAATAATTATGTACCTACATATCAAGAAGCCGTAATCTGATTAATCCGCCTTGAACAAGCATCATACATTACCTAGGTAACTTACTAAATATGTTTACCTTAAATGGGTTTCACTGTATTCCAGTGCTTCAAAAATACCAGCTTACTAGGACATCAAGCTGAAACTGGGATCTCTACCATGGTCAAGATCTATTCGTAGGTGTTACACCTACATGTACCTAGATTGTAGACTATCAAGAAAGGTCATCGGAAAGTTGTAGGTCTGCCACCCCACCAAGATCCTGCACCCTTTTGGCTGTAGAACATTTCTTTGTTAGCAGCCTGCATTCATCCAGACCACATAACTAATGCGTTTTCTCTTTCTAGGTGGACTGGATGTTCGCCTGATCTATGCTTGCCCTTGTATTTACTAGGTAGTAATGGTGATTTTGATCTTCTTTCTCTCGATCCTTGGCAGCACTCTTAGGCTCCATGCATGTTTAAAGCCCCGCAAAGCTTAAATCTGAAAGTCGTATTTTGGATGCTGCGGTAGCCCGTGCAGATTGTAAATACCTGGGTTCCGGATTGTTATTACCGCCAGTATAGAGGTAGGTAAGCACATGAGACACCTAAGGATAGGATTTACATGTACTTTTGGATGAGGTTAGGGATTGTACTTCCAGCACAATAAGGCGCACTCTGCCGACCATCTCTTTTTCTGCCTTTTAAACAGTATTACCGGGTAGGTGGCACTTATTGGGCTGCAAATCATCGGCATCTATCCAGGAGACAACACGTATGCACTGGATCCTGTTGTGGAGCGGGCGTCTATCATCTCCGTATCCCGAGTGGCCATATCTTGATTCATGTGTGCGAATGCTCCATAACGCAACTTTGGTGGTCCGTAACCTTTGAATCATGAACCGGTATAGACGACTCATGCAGTGAGCAGATCCGCGAACAAGCACAGCATTAAGTGGTCTTCACCACGCCGCGTCACAAGCCCACCTAGTATGTGGTCCGAGCGATTCTAGAATTCAAAATATGCATCCGTTTCTCTTGGCTCTCGATATTCATATATTACGACGAGCAATCTATCCCTTTTCTGCATTTGGCGTCGAATTCATCGTCTGTTTTACCCCTCAGACGCGGCTCGTTTGGCTCCCCAAGGCGTGACAACATCTCCCCCACTTGGGCCTGTTGTTCCCCTGTTACAGTGACGTCTCCAGCGTGTCCCCTCTCTAAAGCAGCTAGTGCGGGGCGTCTCCTGGGGCAGTTTCCGTCGACTAGGGGAGGGGCAGAGCTCAATGCCTAAGCCGGTCGGCACAAGCAATGGTCTGTAACCTCTAGCTCGACGATCAATGGCCTTGTGATCAACCTGCTTCTCCCTTTTCCATTCTCTAACCTGTACAAGCCGTCGCTCGTTCGTTTGGCAATCTGCAGTCTCCAGTGCCGTGCGATCGGGAATTGCCAAGCCGTCTCTCGCGTATCTCGATTCACGCGATACTTACTTGTGGCATTTCTACCTACTAGGTACCATTTGCAGGCTCTTGCACCGAATATCTCCCCGTCTCCCCATCTACCCATCTACCAGACACATCCTCATCATGGCGACAACCGAAGAGATTGTGCGGCGGCTCCAGGAGTCTCGCCCGCCAGCAACAGATGCTGCCACCTACCTGACCATTGTCGAAATGTCCTTGTCTCCAGAGATCCTGCCCGCGCTGCAGGAGATATTGGAGGACGTTTCATTGACCAATGAAATCGGCTGGGACATGGTTGATATGCTAATCCCTATTCCCGGCAGTGAGGAATGCTTGGAGAGTATTGCGCGTCTGGGCAACCCACGAGAGGTCATTCTGAAGGTGCTCGAGGTTATGGAGAAAACCACTGCCGCGGGAGAGGACGCTGATGAAGATGACGAGGTAGAAGGACAAGAGAAAGCTGAAGGCTCTGAAGCTATAACTACAAAGGGCGAGACGAAAGCTGCTAGGCACTTCGTCACCCTTTGTGGCATGTTGGGGATTCTGCTCAAACGGCTCCAGGTCAAGGCCCCGTCGCGGTTTCTACACACCGCGCTCGAAACAGTACAGAGATGCTACGATGCCACAAGCGCAGCATCTACGGCGGCCGTCATTTCTCTGGTGCAGTCTCTTGCGCGCAAGTCACGGCCCCCGCTGCCCTCTAGAAAATCGAGCATCATGCTGGATACGCCATTCCAAGACAGCGACCCGGCGAAACAGGCGCCGGACCCCGAAGCGGAGCGCTCAGATACACTGAACAAGGACGAGCCGCAGCTGATAACCAGCCTACTGCAATCATTCATCACATGCATCATTGAGGCATACGTCAACTCTAACGGCATAGAGTGGGCCTCAAGAATGCTCGAATACACTTATCCGGAGCGCATAGTGCCTGGCCGGAAAACTATGATTCAAACATTCAAGGAGGTGGTAGAGCTCCAAGCAAAGGATGCTCTAGTAGGACAGCTAGTGGTGAGTATTTCTCTTAAACCTTGTGTGGATATTTGATGAGAGTATGAGTTAACCGTGTTACATAGGCTCTCGCCAGCGATCTTGGCTTGTCGAAACTGCCCCCTTTCAAGATAAAAGAGTATCTTGAAGGCCCTATTCACCGGGCGCCTCTCTCCATTGATTTTGACCCCCAGCAGCCGGAGCAACTCCACTTGTCAACAGGTGGCTTGGTGTGTCTGAACGCTTACTGGATGTTTGCTGCCGACGTATTTGATGCGGACCGTGGCCTTCCAGATGGGGATCTCCTGCCGCAATACATGATGCCAGATCATCAAGTCTTACTAAAGAGCTTCCTGGACGATGAATCTCAAAGCCAGATTGCCACCAATCCCGGAACAATCGAGGCTCTGGTCGTAATGGCTATCTGGCTTGATGGCCGGAAAGCAATATCAAACCCAAAGGGTGCTGATACTAGTGCAGGATTTATGCCCTACCACCATCTCTTAACCCTCATTTCCGTCTTCCACCCCAACATCCGAGTCCGCAATGCGGCTACTGTTGTAGCAGGTTCAATTTTGCACTCCGATCCCGAAGAAGAAGACCGGCTGGCCATTCTGGAAGATCTGTTAGAGAGCTGCATCTTTTCGTCTCTACAAGCGTGTGCAGTTTCCTGGCTGCGAGAAGAGATTATTGCAGCGAAAAAGGCTGGGTCAAAGGGTCGCTTCGCCAGCCCGGAATGCTTCGAGACCATTCAGTACACCTTGTTTCCGGATTTGTCCCATCTCAAGCAAGATGATGCTTCAACTCTACTGGACTTCTGGGCACAGAGTGCGCCTCTACACTTGCAAGTTGCTAATTTTGCGCTCTTCTTGTTCGGCGATGAATACAAGAGTTTGGCCCCCGTCGGCATGGCCGCGGCTATTGAGCATCGCTATGTTGAGCCACTGCTGCATGCTGCGAGGACGCTGGAGAAGGCAGCTGGTGCGAAGGAGGTGGAGATTGATGGAGAGGGTCTGATGCAGCTCGGCATCTTAACAGATACGCTGAGTCGGGTACCGCTACAATGAAGATCAGGCCGTAGTGATTAAAGGAAGGGTGTGGAGGGGATGTGACACCAAACAACTAAAATATTGCAGTGACGGAAAAGAAAGGCGGAATAGCCTTGAGTCTGCCGGATCAGACTGTTACATGGTCATTCATAGCTCGACTGAATAGTATGTAATTCGATCAGTTAATCTGCAAAAAACTCAGAATAATGCTTGAGCGGTGGAACTCTGTTTCGGAATTATACGTTGGTGTGCTTTCTATGTGATGGTAAATGTAAATGTATCTGCTGCGGATGCTTTCCCCTTTGAGCCCCTTTGTCATGTAAAAGTAAAAAGTAGTAAAAGATCCCGTCGCCATCCGCTCAACTGAGCAACGAATGAAAAATATGCAAGACAGTAGGCTGTCCTTTATCGTCGACGATCCCGCTCATGATCGCGATGCCGGTCCTTATGCCTATCGTGATCCCGATCTCTATCGCGATGTCTGTCCCTATCCCTATCCCTATCCCTATAATCTCGGTCTCGGTCTCGGTCTCGCTCCCGATCCCTATCTCTGTATTTGTCCCTCTCACGATCGCGCTCACGTTCCCTCTCTCGCTTATAGCTGTCCTCGCGTCCCCGGCCTTCCTTTCGTTTGCTCTCCTCTCTCCGGTAATCGTTCAACCGCGGTCTGGATTTCTTGCCATTCTGATTCCACCCACCGAGATCCTCTTCTTCCTTCAGCTCCTTCGCGCCAAGACCAAGCCGATTCTGCCGTCTCTTGACTTGCTTAACTGGAGGCCCGCGAGCCTCGCCGTTCCAGCCCATGCCGCGAAGGAGAGCGGCGCCAAACTCTTCGACAGGCATGTCTTCGTAGTCTTGGAGGGTGGATATCGCGCCGGAGGATTCGACGTCACGGCGGTAGGCATCGTCTTCTGTTGGAGGTGCCGCGGTGATGACCTTTTGCTCTTTGGATGTTTTGCCGAGGAGGGCATCCATAGCCTCGTCATCAGCAGTCCGCTCAACTGGTGGTGTATCTTTGCTTTCTTGATTTGTGTCTCGCATTTCGTCGTCGCTGGGTTGTGCGCTCGGCTCCGAGACCATCACGTCGTCCGACACGGCGCTCTTTTCCTTGACCGTCAATCCCCATTTCAGCGGCGTGTCCTGGTCCGCAGGCTCTGTCTCAGTTGTAACGGCGTTTTGCTGAGCTCTGGCCTCGTCTGGAAGTAGGTTTTTCGATCTCCGGTTGCTCTTCAACTCGTCTTTCCAGCTCCGATTCGGCTGCCGCTCAATGATGTACTCCTTCTTCTCCTCCCTGGGTCGCTTCCGTTTCGTCTCCGCGCCCTCTGCACCGAATCCTGTGATGACCTCATGGCGCCCTCGATGGCGGTCATCCTCAGAGTCTGAAGTATCGGATTCGCCTCCTCCCAGGGCGTGGGAGCGCGGCCGCTTCCCTAGAGCTGATGACGGTTTCGCACGGGCTTGCTTCGCTGTTGACGATGAATTGCTGCCTCCGCCAAATTTGATGGCTATGCGACCTTTGTTCTGGTCAGACATCACGCGCAAAACCCTGCAGAATGCTGCCTGTGAAAGGTGAATCTCTACCTTGACGCCGTGACAGAAGCGTGCTTCAATCTTTGGCGGCTCAAAATGATGACTTTGGCAAAAAGGTACGTATCGCAGGCTAAGAGGCGTTAGCGCGCCGCCACGAGGGTACTTTGCACTTGTATCTTTTCACAAGTCGGACAGAAAAAATTGAAGCCGCAACCAGGTGTGGGGCGCGTGTGGCTGCAAGGGAGAAAAAAGATTTTGAGGCGTTGAGGTGAACTGGCCAAAGCTTTCACATTGTTTTTGGAGACGTGGCTAAGTAGCAGTTCCATCATTAATTATGCCACCGAGATGTGGAGGAATGAAGTATCCATTACATCCGTAAATCCACCCTTGGTGAGGCAGTTAATGTGTGCTGGTTGCCAGAAATAGGCATCACCCCAGAGCTTATTCATTGATGCCAGAGTTTATTTGTGCCGCAACGTTGTTGACGCCTAACTGCCAGTACTACTAAAACTCACTAAGAAAAAAAAAAAAAAGGTCGCAGATGGATCCCTGATGCGTGCAGATGAAAAGGGAAAGGGAAGTCTAGGCATCTAAAACGGCGTGAATTAACTGTTAAGGAATTAGGCATCACTGCAAATAGGGGCCATCCGAATAGCCTCCTCTCGAGCCATTAGGTGTTTTACAGTTGTATAAGCGTCCTGAAGATCTTCGACGCCGCATCATTGACACGCACAACAAAGCGGTGATGCACCGTGCCTGAAAATCTCCACCCTACTGTGCACTAGGCGCTCTGAGCGTCCTCGCTGCACCGTCTTCGTTAGCGGAGCGCCCAGCCAACGCCCAGCCAACGCCCGCCAACCGCTGTTAACGGCTAGCGCACCCCATACAGTGCCAACAGGTATCCGCCTGGGCCCAACTGGCAGCACTCCGCCAGCTCCAGCGCTCCCCCCCGGCCAAACTCCCCCCAAGACAGAGTTTGACTGCCCTCGCACCGACCGGCGACACGCTCAACGGCCAGAAGATCCGTCAAAACGGCCACCACTACGACTTTTCCATCGCCGTGCATCTCGAGCCTCATCTCAGACGACGTCTCTGGCTATCCTCCGACATCCGTTTCGCCCGCAAACGGATGTCGCTCCTGCCGATGCTATGACGGAGGTCGGCCACACCGATCTATCGAGGCTGCTTCAATCCAAGCGAAACGAGTTCAAGTGAGTTTGTGCCCGTTTGAAAGAGCGGATTTTTCCGATTCCAACGAGGTGCTTTTTGCCATACTGACTGCCGACAGTGCAATCGTGACGTCGCGGAAGAGGAAGATTCGTGAGCTCTTCGCTGTCGCGACTCAGGTCGATGGCCTACCGCAAGATGCCTTCGCGAACCCCGACGCGCCGGCAACTACCGCTGCGGAATGGCAGTTTCTCCAGACCAGCGAAATATTGCAGTTCGTATCCCTCTTGTTAATTTTTTAAATGGCAAAAAAACAAGGCATCGCCGTTTGTACAAGCGGTCGCGTCTTCGCGTCTGAAGGATAATTCAAGACCATATCTGTGGCTGACTCTCGTGCAGAGGAAAGACGTTGAACGAACAGGCTATCCCAGCACGCCCATTACTGTCTGTAGATACGTTGAAACGTTTGCTTGCCAAGTCGATACAGGAAACAGTTGTGCACTCTCCCGTACCCCCTACTCCGATCGTTGCATCTGCGAAAACCAAAGGAGTTGCATCTGTCCCGACAAACGATTTGCGACAACCTCTTGGATTTATATCGAACGAGTCGATCCCTGCGCCTCTCGAAGAGAGCAATAAGCTCTCAAACAAACTAACGAAACCCACCCTGACGCCATCTTCCCAAAACACTAACAATGTCGTACCCCATCCCGTTGGACCCAATGTAGCCTTTACGCAGTCCAAGCCCGTTGCTGCACCTTCACCCCTTCCGCCTTCAACGAAAGAGACGAAACACGCTGAGCATGCGATTAATGGAGCGGCGAGTGAGGACGTTCCGTCAGAACGAAGATCGGCACAGGTTTCTTTCCCTCCAGGGACCAAGGGATCACCATCAAGGGAATCACATGGCGCTGTGGCGGTGGCCGAGGCTGCAAAAGGCGTAGATGTTATGGATGATGGGGATGTAGTCGAAAAGTCCCAATCGGCGCAGATTGGACGTAACCAAGAACTCTCTATCAAGGTTCCCCACGCAGCATCCAAGATTCCCGATGCGCTTTCCTCTCCGGGTTCGACAGCACCGAGCGCAACGACACCCGGGAATCATGATGTCTCAGCGGATACCAGCCCTGAGCATGATGCTCCCCAGTATATTGACGATAGGATGGAGCGAGATGTTGATGAAAAGGAGGAGCAAGGCGATGAGGTGGAAGATGCTGCGGGAACTGAGGTGGAGACGGGAGCGAAGCCGGAGCCTGATGGACCCGATTCAAAAGCTTCTAGGCTGGATGAAGATCAGCTTCTTCAAGACTCTATTCGGTCGAGTGCTGCGGCTGCAAGCCCAGAGCCCGTAAAGTTTCAGAGTGGACTCCATGCTGGAGCCGATGCTATCAAATCCGCGCAGGAAGCTAAATCTGTGACCCAGTCGACTACAGAACCACAAGCGGACTCCAAAGCTTCTTCGACGCCAGCTATCAAGGCGGCTGACGAAGTACCTGATAGCCAAGAAGAAACTCCTGAACGAATGGATGTGGACCCAGTCCAGGCAACGGGGCCGGAAAATGCAGAGTTACCTGTGACTCGACCTCCCACTGGCCCTCCTCTGGCTTCTACCAACAGCTCACCCGTCGTTGTTAAACCAACACCACCCAGAGAACCTCCAGCACCCGAGAGAGCGGTTACCAGAGTGTCATCCGGAGCCATGAGGTTGAAATCCGTGTCTGAAATAGTGGGAGAGAGCCCGCGACCTGCCAGTACAACAGAACGAAACGCAACGAAGGCGCCACAGAACCAGCTTACTCCGGTAACATCGACACCTCAATCACCACCCCCAAGACCTAAAAACACAGCCAGGAGAGAAAGGCCAAAGGGCCATGCTTCTACTGTTCTGTTTGGCAAACAGCCGAAGCAGATGGAGGAAAAAGCTCTAGTTCCCGGCCAGAAGGAAACAATCCAGGCATCTGATGATTATTACACGCCTCTCTTCATCCAGAATTTTACAGGCGCTACCAACTGGATGCAGCCTATCGAAAAGATCTTGTTCCACGCAAACAAGACCATCGCTACCCCTGACGCGTACCTTGCGATTCAAGACCATCAGGCATGCAAGGTTCTGCGTAGGGTCTACCACCTCCAGCAGCACGATAAATGGTCTCTGAGACAACCCAAGAGATGTCCAGAGCCAACTCGCCCGCCGTCTCATTTGGATGTGCTATTTCAGGAGATGAAATGGATGCGGACTGATTTTCGAGAAGAGAGAAAGTGGAAGATGGCTGCAGCCAAGAACATCGCCTATGCCTGTGCGGAATGGATTGAATCGACTCCTGAAGAGCGCAAAGCATTGCAAGTCGCCGCATTCATTCCTCCGCTGAGGACGGATGATGTAGCAATGGGCGATGCCGACGCGGACAGCGCCGAGAACCATCCAACCCCTGATCTCGTCACGGAAGATGCAGATTCACCCCAAAATTCGGATCATCTTGTTGAAGAAGATTTCCCTGAAACTGTTGCGCCATCAGCCATATTTGCTCTGCAGGAAGAGGATGTGGTCTTTGCGCTGCGACGGACACCTGCTTCAGATAAACTGCTGGAGGAGCTGCCATTGTACGGCGCACCCTTGAAAATCCCACGGTTCGAGCTCACAGGGCCAGAGTATGACCCAGATGCTCAGTGGAAGCGACCTGCTCTGCCTCTAAGCAAGTACGTCGAAGGAGAAATGAAGCTTCTATCAGATGGCCCTCCAAGGAAGCGCAGTCGGTATAGTTATCGTGATGACGAATCCGAGGATGAAAAGGAGAGTCCCTTTGATGCGGATGCGCTCGCACACAATGTCAGACTCCCGCCACAAAGCTCTGAGGTTGCCCTATTCGCCCCAGAGTCGAAGCACATTCGGGATCGTCTCCATGCCGGTCACCAGTTTCGTCCGCCATCTGAACATCCTATGCCTCTGCAGAGCTTTTACGAGTGTCGAAACCCGTCGCAGTGGACTGTGGTCGAGGATGATGAGCTTCGAAGCCTGGTTCGAGAATATTCGTACAATTGGTCCCTCATTTCCAATCTGCTGTTTACCAAATCTTTGTTTGCGTCAGGAGCAGAAAGAAGAACGCCGTGGGAGTGCTTCGAACGATGGATCAACTTGGAAGGTCTGCCCGCCGATATGCAGAAAACGCAATACTTTAAGGCCTACAACAGTAGGATTGAGGCTGCTCAGCGCGTCATTGCCCAGCAAAATCAGCTGGCGGCACAGCGGGCTTCTCAAGATGGTGGCGCAGTAACACCGATACGACGAAGGCAATCTACACCGCTAAGAGTTGAGAGGCGTCGAAATCAAAAGCATCTGACACTCATTGATGCCATGAGGAAGCTGGCGAAGAAAAGAGAGACCACAATGCAGAAGCAACAGCATTCTGCGGCCCAGAACGCTGCGAAAAAGGTTAATGACACAATGGCTCAACGACCGGTTAAGACACCTCGGGATTACAGTCTGTTGCGATGGGAGCGCGACCAGGCTCTGGCAGAAAAGATGGCGCTATACGCGCAGCGGCAGGAAGCCCAGAGGAGGGTAAGTAAACATCTAACTTGGCATTATCCAGTCTTGACATAACTGACATTATCCACTCAGGCTACTCTCCAGGCCAGAGCCCAAGCTCAATCCGCTCAGTTGGCCGCGGCGCCAGGTGCAGCAGCCCCAGCAGTTCAGAATCCTGGGCTCCCTGCGGCGGTCGCTAACGGCGTCAACGGTGTCGTCAACCGGGCAGCGGTTCCCAATCAACTTGCTGTTGCGGCAGCAGCGGCTGCGGCAGTGGCGGCGCAGGGTCGAGCACGAATGCCCATGCAGGCCCCTGCGAATGGCATGGACGGCATCGCCGCTCAAGCCCAGATGGGCGGTAATCTCGCTCCGCCGGCGCAAATGAGCGGCATCCCACAAGCTCAGTTGCAGGCTTTGCAAGCGATGCAAGCCCAGCATAGGATGCAGATGCCCGGTCAGCAGCCTGATGCCAGCATGATGATGCGTGCACAACGTATCTCGGAGCAGCAACGGGCTGCGGTTCAAATTCAGCATGCACAGCAACAAGGGGCCGTTGTCGGCACTCCGGGTCAACAAGCACAGCAAGCCTCATCGCCCGCTATGCGAAGCGGAGTCCCTGCCATCAGCCAGCAGGCCGCCTTTATGAATAATGCCCAGGCTATGATGGCTTCGTTTAACGCTACGGCAGGTCATGCTTCGGCAGCTGCTAATGGTCTACACATGCCGACTCTTGCTAATGGCGCGTCTCCTGGCCCTCGACTGCCAACACAGATCCCTCCTACGATTGCCGTACAGATTAACTCCTTGGAAGCACAGTTTAGGAGCAAGAATCCCAACCTTTCACCCGAGCAACTTCGCCACCTTGCTACCGAGCATTTGACCAGAGCTATGATGGCACAGCGACAAAGCGCTATGAATGCTGCAGCTGGTGGACAGACTGGCATTGCGACCAGTATTACTGCTACGGCCAGCCCTCATCAGTATGCCGCCCTACTTAGACAACAACAGCAGCAGCAGCAGGCACAGGCCCAAGCACAAGCCCAACAGGCCCAAGCCCAAGCTCAGGCTCAGGCCCAGGCTCAGCAGCATCAGGTACAACACTCACAGCCGACGCCAACGCCGACACCCACGCCGACACCACAGCAGCAGCAGCATCAACAGCAGCAGCAGCAGCGACCTCAACAGGTACCTCAATTGCAGCAGGCCCAGCAGCAAGCTCAGGCACAACAATCACCAGTCCCGGTGCAGCAGCAGGTCCCGCAACAGCAAAGGCCCCAACCACAACCACCACAACAATCTCAGGCCCAACTTCAAGCTCAGGCTCAGGCTCAAGCCCAGGCCCAGGCTCAAACCCAGGTACAGCAAGTTCAGTCGCAGTCGCAGCCCCAGGCTTCGCCTCAACTACCGACACACCCACCGGCGGGAAGTCCAGCACCTGCTCAGCGTCAGGCCAGCGGAAGCGCAACCCCTTCTGCAGGCAAGTAAACGACCAGCGTTTCTGAATTTGTTCTTCAGTACTCTTTTTTCTTATTTTAATGCAAAATGCCTCACGTGGTCATTGTATCCTTTTCACACGTCTATTTCGTTCGACGTTTGTTTCGTCAGGGCAAAACGGGAGGTGTTAAAGCGGGAAAGGGGGGTTTGGGCTGGTTTACACATTTTAACGTTAGATGCCTCTTTTTCTTTTTCTTTTCTTTTTCCACCCCCTTCTATCTGTTATAATGTGGGCTTTAACAACAGGGTTCTCGGAACTCTTATTCTTTTTCTTTCCAATTCTCCTCTCTTATGCTAGAACAGGGGGTTCGCAAGGATCGCTGCTGGATACTTTTTCTCCAGTTATTTTGCGAAAGGCGGGAAAGAAAAAATCAACAAAAAAGGGATGTGCTAGGGAAAGCGGGCGGGCGGCAAACCAATTGTAGAGAAACATGTACATAGCTTTTCGTCGTTTCAGGCAACATGGGCATACACGCAGGTGAAGAAGATTATTGCCTAAATCGTCCCCAAAAATGGGGGGTTGGTTGAGGCAGTAGTGGAAATGTTGTATGCAAAAAGAATTAAGATTCTAGGGCGACCAGCTGGGGCCCTGATTTATGTTGTCAAAAGCTCTTGTTTTCTCTTTACGTGATATGTGAAGTGTTATGAGCAATGATTAACGAGCATTTGATCAACGAGGAACAATTAATGAAGCAATGAAGCAACGAAACATGGGAAATTATCATCCATTCTGTTAATTTCATCAAAATATAAAACGCCAGGTATGATATACATACATCATATATTTCCCAAGAGTAACAAACAAAAAAATATTTGAACCCAAAAAAAAAAGGCCGCATCTATTACACAGCCCCTGCTCCACCACCTCTGCTGTTATCTCCGTGAAGTAATAGATGAGGCTTGATGAAATCATCGTCCAATTGTTTGAACAAACTAGCTGGATCCTCCGCCGAGAGCAGCTGCCGAATAGCGCCCGTGGCAGTTATCGGAGTAGCAGACGATGAAGCTTCAGCCGGGCTCATGAAGGCGCTGCCTTCAGCCGATGGCGGGTTAGGACTGACTGGTGCTCGGGGAGAGCGGCGATTTGCGGGGGGCGGCAAGTCCGAAATATCGATGTCGCTGCCAATATCGGAATCGTCGGTATTGCTGCGCAGCAGATCGGCTCGCTCGGTTTCAGTAGGGTTGCGGATGGAGTTCTTGCGACTAAGGCTATTCGGCCGGACACCCGTGTGGGGAGATGAAGTGCCAGATACGTAGGCTGCGGAATTGTCTGTGGGAGCGCTCAGGTTGTTCAGAGCGACGTTGCCGTTGCCGTTGCGACGGGGGTTGTAACCAATGGCGGACCCGGAGCGCTTAACCTGAAGACCAGTGCCAAACGACTCGATGTCAAACTCGTCATCACTATCAATCTCTTCGACGACTCCGGTACGAATACCAAGAATCTCGAGCATACGAGCCGTGGTCCCGCCAAAGATGATGACAGTCAAGACCACAACAACCAAGACAGTAGCTCGAAGGGCGTACGAGTTTTCGCCCGTGAGAAGGGCTGCCAATGCTACACCGACAGCACCGCGAAGGCCGGCCCAAAAAAGCATAGCTTGGTAGTTGTAGGGAAGCTCGTCACCAACTTCCAGGCCTCTCCTCCTCGCGCGGTAGCGAATGAACCAGTTGATGGCCTTTGACAGGGGGAAGACGGCGACCCAACGAGCAGCGCATACAGCGCAGATGGTGACAATAATGAGAGGAGGCTCAAACTGTAGGGCATTATCGGTGAAGAGTGCCAGACCCAGGTAGATGAAGATGAAATTCTCAGACAACTGCGACATGACTTGGAAGACGAACTTGGTGGTGAGTTGAGTACGCCTCGACATATTAAAGTAGGCATAGTGTTTCAGCGTGATACCACAGAAGAGCAGCGACACGATACCTAGACAAGGATTAGACTTATTCACAATACACCAGCCGTAAGGGAATCTTACCAGATGCGTGAACGCCATGCGAAAAGAAGTAAGTGGCATAGGCGATTAAGATAATCAAACAGCTTTCAATCTTTGGGAATCTTCGCACATAGGTAAACTTGAGTAAAAGAGCCGTACCGATGCCGACGACAATGCCGATAAGCATACTGCCAAAGAAAACAAGCAAGAACATGCCGATACCATCAAAGAAGCTAATGATGCCGTAGTTGGCCTTGCCCTCGCTCTTCTTGATATATTGCGCGGTTTCGAAAATGACAATGGCGATGGCGTCATTGAGAATAGATTCGCCAAAAATGATGGTGTAGAGCTTAGGATCAACCTTGTAGGTGTTGAAGATGGCCAGGATGGTAACGGGGTCAGTAGCAGAGAGAGTTGCGCCGACGGAGATGGCATCGACCAGACTTAATTTCAAGGATCCAGGGACCAAGTTGAATATCCACAAGATCAGCCCTATGACCATGGCAGAAAGAAAGGTGCCAGCAAATGCGAACGTTAGGATAGTACCGATGTTGCGAAAGAAGTTGGCCTGGTGTAGCTCGTATCCGGACGACAGAATGATGGGCGGTAGGAGGAGGTTGAAGAAGATCTGGTAGTCGAAGCTGATGAGGTTTCGAATGGAATCGCCCGAGCTAATAAGTAGAATAAGACCAACAACCATGCCTGTGAAGCGGGCAACGTTAGCGCAAGTCTTTTGGATTGAGCGAAGAGCAGTCGAACCTGCGAAGATAGAAATAACTGTCTCGTGGATAGCAGTCACCTTCTTCTGCTGGAGAAAGTAGCTTGTGAAGAAGGCGATGATGAGCAGCATGATTGATATGAAGATGGCTCTGGCCGCGAAGAACTCCTTCTCCCCAACGTCATCTGAATATAGCTAGTAGTTAGCAATCGTTGCTGTTTCCCCTTGTCCATATTTTCTCATGTTTCCCCTCCCGGTCGTCGTCTTCATCATCGTGGGTGGGCGACGTTACCTTCGGGATCGCCCTCTTCCTCCTCTCGCCCTACACGATGAACGGTCAGCTTGTCTCGAGCAGCAATTTACAGCGCGATATTCCTGCCAGACGCACGTAACAGCCTGAAGCCCAAATTGGCCAGCTCGGTGGCGGCCATGGTGGCCATGGTGTGCGATCTCGAGATCCGCTGCGGACACGATCGAGGTGGGATTCGGATTCGTCAAATGGTGGAGCTTGCGCGAGCCTTGCGGCGCAGGCGGGACGATGCGGGCATGGAATCGCAGGCCGGGAAAGAGAATCGCGACGACTGCAAATCGAGGGACAAGGCGGAGGAGGCGAGGCTGGAGTTGGTGGAAGAGAGTTGCGGTGCTCGGGCTAGAAATCCAGCGACGACTGTGCGAACATGTGCCAAGTCCAAGTCCAAGACCAAGTCCAAAGTCCAAGTCCGGAGTTGTTATTACAGTACCGTATTATGCAGGTGCCTGTTTGATAGCGATGGGCCAGATCTGGTAGCGCTCTAAGCCCTGTAATTGGCGCGGGCTTGTGGATCGCTGATGACGAGGCCGCAACCAGTAGGAGGGACATGCATGTGCCTACACACAGACGCCGTGCCTTAGTATTAGACAGGCTGCCGGCAATGTTAATTCCGTGCGTGCCTTAGGTATAGATGAATAGAAAAACAATAGAAGCCACCTCTCACCGAAGACGAGGTTTGCTGCCGCGTGGCCTCATCAGCGAGGCTTCAGGGCACCAATTACAAAGCATCCACTGATTCAACGTGCTACAAGTGCCTGAGCCAAGACGGGAACACGGAACACGGAGAATGGATCGCCGTCCAGGTCATTTTATTGCTGCAGGGCGAGCTGTCGGCGGTCCAGCGGCCTCTTGTCCTTACAATACTCGTACAACATAATAGAGGTTAAGCAGCTGGAACTGAGACTTGCCCATATGAATAGCGACTTGACGTGGGTATTGTCAGTAGTCGAATGTAAAGTGTCAAGTAATACTTGGCAGGCAGAAAACGTGCTATGTAGCAAGTGGACTCTCGTACGTACAAGGATGCGGACTTTGGTAGTACATTAATTAGGACGCTGCCTCTTATCACTTTTGTCAGTGTGACATGGCCCAGATCAAGCAACTGATTTCCGTATAAATGCATCAAATAGTAGCGGCATCTCATCCACCACCAAATCAATCCGGTCAGCCCATTTCCAGCGTCTCTCTGGCGGGGCTCTTCGGGGCAGCGCGGGGTGGGGAGGCGCTTTCCGGGGGCGGCTCACTAACCAAGACGGCCTTTCACCGGCTTCTGATCCTCCATCCCATAAGCACACCTGATGTGATCCAAGACCAACTCCTATCCGCTCCACGACCAGCTGCTTTGCAAATCACGGCTCTCTACATGCCACATGATTAGTATGATATAGAGTCGACAATGTACCACCTTGCCAAGGGCCTCTATCTCCTCGCAACAAGCAAAGAAGGTGAGCAGAGCCCGGCCTCGTATCCCCTCCACGGCTAACCAAGCAGAATACTCCGTCATCCTCCTCGGCCTCGACAATGCCGGCAAGACAACCTTCCACGAGCAGGTCAAGTCCATGTACCTCCCGAATGCGCCCGAGCCCAAGCTCAAGACGGTCCCCACCGTCGGCCAGAACGTCTCGACGATAACCCTGCCAGACATGTACCTCAAGCTCTGGGACGTGGGCGGCCAGCACTCTCTGCGCAAGCTGTGGCAGAGCTACTACGCCAGCTGCCACGCCATCGTCTTCATCATCGACAGCACGGATATTGGCGACGGCGATTTGGCGCACGAGAACACGGGCCGACTGGACGAGTGCAGGCTGGTGCTGGAAGACGTGCTGCAGCACTCGGAGACGGAGGGCGTGCCGCTCCTAATATTGGCAAACAAGCAGGACAGAGAGGACTGCGTTGAGACGATACGCATCAAGGAAGGGCTAGTGAAGCGGGTTATGGAGGGCGAGAAAGGCGCCGCCATTCGCGACTCTCGCGTGCTCGCCATGAGTGCGCTGACGGGCGAGGGCGTGCGAGAAGCAATCGACTGGGTACGTTCGAGGGTCCAGTGGAACAAGGAGTCACGGCCACCTGTCATGAGGTAGCCATCGAAGAAGCGGAAGGACGAAGCGTTGCATATGGGCTACAGACAAAACGAGCGTCGGGTGGTGTTCTGAGGCGTTTCTGGTTGGATAGATATGGGTCGCCTTGCTATTTCATCTCGTTGCGAGCAAGCGAAAGCTGAATGTAAACCATCAGCGGAAGTTTATTTTATTTTGTAATCCATCAGAGGGAAGAAATCATATCGGGGTATCATGCATTTTGCTTTCCTGATTTTTTTTATCCTTCTTTAGTTAACGTATATAAGTAGATCACATTATTGCCCCCTTTGGCATTTTATCCTCATCTCTCATTCTCCGCAGACAGCTCAGCCATCAGGCCGCCCTTGTCTCTCCTCTTGGCGTCCTCCGCCAGTTTCCTGTCTACCAAATCCGTAAACTCTTTTACCTTTGCCAACGCCATTTGCGCACACTGTATGATCAACGTAGCCTCTATGGGCTTGCCTCCTAGCTTTGAAATCTGGCATATTTCGCCATGCTTGTTCAGACTGAATGTGCAGCTGCCCACCCGCAGCTGCTCCTCCAGCCATGTAGTGTCCACCAAGACGATCTCGCCGTCTTCGCCAAAGAAATCAAACGATGTGCAGAATGGGGAATGCAACCAGCTCAAAGGCACAGGCTCACGCTCCGCAGCCGTGTAGATGGTGAGCGTCTCGCCTTCCATGCTGGTGTCGGGCTTTCGAAAGTGCCTCAGTGCGGCCACGACGGCGAAACATGAGCTGTCGATGAGGTTGCCATCGGCAGATAGAACGTGGAGGTCAACTCTGACAGACCAGCACTTCTGTCCCGCGACGAGGCAGAGCGATTCCGTATCCAGGGCTCCCGATCTCCGGATGGTCTTTTCGAGGAGTCTGGCGAGCAAGACTTCGGTTTCAGTTGGACGGTTGACTTCAAACGAAGGGGCCACCATGGGGCCAAGCTCTGAAGTGATTTGAAAGATGCCATCAAAGGGCCGATCAGGGAACGGGACTGTGACTTCCGCTGATACCTTGGCCAGTACTCTGAGTGTAGAATGTTAGAAATTGTGGTTCTAGCTTTATGTCGCAGTGTAAGAGGCATCAAATGTGAATTGAACCTGCCTTGTTTTCCCCAGCTTCACATCTGCCACGCCATACTCATCACCAAAGCTGAGTTCCAGAGATCTAAATTCGTCGAGTTTTCGCCCATCTAATCGCAATCCCTCGCCAATGGCCTGAAGGGTGAATGTCCGCTCGCTTAATGACGGCTCAGCTTCTCGAGGCATGATGAATTAATATTTTGTAGATTTTTTTTTAGAGCAAAGAAAAAACAGGCAAATTGCTTTTCTGCTCCTCTCCAAGAGTGAGTTCGATGATATGAAACTCTCAGTGAGAGCGCAGAACGCCACTGAAAAATTCTGCCGGGCGGTGTGCATAAAGTTGCATGCATCTAAGCTGGTGCCGCGACCTTGTTGAACGACACACGCGCCTGACTATTACTGATTCTCCATCCTATTTCAATTCATTGCTTCGGCGTCTTTTGTTGTGCAAATCTTGCAAAGATGACTACCGCTCATAGACCTACGTTTGATCCCGTAAGATGTCATCACTCCAGATGTGAAGGGACGCTGGCAATGCTAATCGCAGTCACTAGGCTCGTGGCAAAGAGGCCCTCCGGGGCCCTGCCTACCACCAGCGACTTCTGCCAGCACACACTCAACTCAAGTACCGAAAGGCGGGACAAGGTGGCGATGCCGACGACGAGCCTACGCGCGACCTCGCTGCCGAGCTTCTTGCAGCTGAGGCAGCACACTTCAAGAAGAAGAACGGCGGCGTCTTGGCCCCCGAGGACGACGAAGAGGGAGATGTGGAGGTGACATCAGCACGAGGAGAGAAGAGGTCGCAGTCTGCAAACGGCGAAGAAGAAGAGGATCTCGAGGCGAAACGAAGAAGGATATTGGAGGAGAGCAGAGATATCGATGCGGATGATGACAGTGAAGAGGAAGAAGATAGCGATGAGGAGGAAGACAGCGATGATGACGAAGATGCGGAGCTGCAACGAGAATTGGAGAGAGTGCGAAGAGAGCGTGAGGAGAAGAAGAAGAAAGAGGTACGTTGTGGTGCTTCCATGCTCCACCATTGTCTACAAATGAGGGAACAGGTGGGCTAATCAATCATGTTCGTTATAGGAAGAAGAACGAGCAAGAGAAGAGCAAGAGGCCCGAGAACGAGACATTGCACTCGGCAACCCCCTTCTCAACAAGCAGGATTTCACAATGAAGCGCCGGTGGGACGATGACGTCGTGTTTAAGAACCAGGCCAGGGGGACGGAAGACAAGAATAAGAAGAAGGAGTTTGTGAATGTAAGCCTTGCTCTACTTTCAGTTGCTTGTGTTACCATTTGGGGTGCGAGTTAAATTGCTAACTATTTCTCCTTTTTAGGACATGCTACGTTCTGATTTCCATAGACGGTTCATGAGTAAATATGTTCGATAAAGAGGGAAACGATTCGGCAATATTCAGGATTAGCGACGTGCAAGGTTTTTCTATTTTTTTCTATTTCTTTTTCTTCTAGAAGACGGTAGACGCCATCATCATAATGAATCACAAGCCTCCATAGCGGCATTACATCTCTTCATCCACTGACGAAACATGGACCCTCTCAATGCTTTTCTTCTGCAAGAAGCCTACCCTCCATCTCTTCAAACGCTCCCAAGACCTTGCCGTACTTTTCATATGTGCCCTCCCGATATCCAATGTCCACCTTCTCAATCGAGCCCTCCTCCGTCCACCGCTTGCCAATCAGCTCATCAAACGTCTCGCCATCTTTCCTCTCCAGAGCCCAGAGCGCCTTGTACGCGCCTCCCAGGGCACATGCATTACCGCCGACGTCAAGCTTGTATACACCATCTGCACCGCCGAGCACTTCGCCGAGCACGCGTGTGATGGCTGGGTTGAGGGATCCGCCGCCGACGAGGTAGATGCGACGGGGTTGCGCGGGGAGGCTGTCGCGCGGGCTGTGAACAAGCTTTTGGGATCGGAGACGCATGGAAAGAGCTTGAGATTCGACAATGGCACGAGCATCAGATTCCTTGGACCAGCCTTGCGGGGATTCCTTCAGGTCGGTACCGTCACCATTGCAAGTGAAACGCCAGGTTCCAGCACGGATATTGGGTACCGTCTCCCGGAGATAGAAGTACAGACCAAGCTTTGCCCGGTCGCTCTCGTCGTCCACACCCAGGGGTTTAGTTTCCAGCACGGCCTTGTTGAAGTTCTCCCAGCCTGTCGCGCCGTCCTGGGGCTTGGGCAGGGTGTCACGGACTTTTTCGCGGGCCAGGCCGCCGTTTTTGTAGCACAGCATGAACATGTAGTTGCCGGGTGTTGTGGGGTGGTTGAAGAAGTGATATGACTCGTCTGGCTTATATGCGGGCGTATTCATAAGGAAAGTAGTTGACGTGCCAAGCGAGACGATGGCATCGAGAGGACGCAAGGGGAGCGCAAGAATGGTGGCCGGGTTGTCGCCAGTGAAGGAGACGATCTGGCACTCTGGGCTGAAGCCGTACTTGGTGACAAAGTAGGGTGAGATGGCACCCATGGAACCGCCGCCGTCCATGCGAGGCTCGCCGAGCTTCTGGCGCAAATCGGCCACGCCATCAGGGCCGGCGGAAAGGGCCAGCAGGCGCTCGCTCCAGGTCTGGTTGGGGATATCCCAGAGGTTCATGCCGCAGACGTCGCTGACGTCCAGGGGGGCAATGGCGCCCATGAGCACGGAGGCGAGCCATGAGGAGACTAGAGATATCCGCTTTGAGTTTGCGTAAACGTCTGGGAGGACTCGTCTGATTCTCATGATTTGGAGTCCGGTGAATCTCTGAATATGATTAGCATCATATGACGATCAAGGAGAAAAAAGAGTGAAAGAACATGACACAACTTACATGATGGGCACCGCTGCCCGTAACCTCAGCCAACTTCTCCCTGTCTCCCAGCTCGGCATCAAACGCAACCAACTCCTCATGCGTGCTGTGATCCTGCCAATTCGGCGCAAACTCATGCGCCAGCGCCTTCTCCAGCTGCCCAACCAGGGGCTTCGCCGCATCCAGCCCCTTCAACAGCTCCTCGGCGCTCGCGCTCCAGAAGACGCTGCCGTGCTGCTGGCCGGAGCCGCTGATACCCCTGATGCGGCTCATGGGCACGGGCATCGCCTGCGAGAGGCGCTCCAGCACCAGGTCGAGCGATTCCAGCCACAGGGCGACGGGGGCAAAGACCTCGCCCGTCTGGTCGCGCACGTGGACGCCCTTGTGGATGCCATACTTGGCGCCGAAGTCTTGGTCAAAGTCGACTTTGGCCTCGGCGACGCTTTTGAGGTCGGAGTTGACGACGATGGCTGGCGGGGTGTTTGTGTTAGTTGCTGCTGTTTTCGATGAGGTCTCATTCGATAGGTGACGCACCCTTGAGTTGCTGGGTTGAAAGGTCAAAGCCCAGATAAAGCGGCCCGTTGTCGGCACTCATGGTCGCAAAATCAATGTCTTTAAAAAAGAAAAAAAAGAAGAAGAAGAAGAAGAAAATCCCGTATGCTGCCTATCCAATGCTTTGTAGCTCGTCACAACCAAGATATTGTAGTGATGGGGGGAGTCTATCGACGATATAATATAGCTCGGATCTCAGGAACCGCCAAATCCTTCACCACAAGCTAAAGCAAAGCCACACCCTTTCGAGAATTCAATTTAAGCTTGAAAGGCGTTTAAACGGGTTACGGCCCAGCTTTATGGGAGCGTGCGACGAACGAAAAGCTGTCAGACGTAAGAGTTACACCACCTCAACGCTGCCCTGACATACGCGCGCTTAAAGGCCATCCCCGTATGCTAGAAATAGTCGGATTGTTTCTACAGTAGCTTCTCGGGCGATTAGGCTAAAGTACATGGAGTAAGGATTTGCGGACGTTGTGATGCAATTTAGCCACCTTGGACTACACCATGGTTCCTCTTTTTCTGGATCTCTTTTTTTTTCTTTTGATTGATCATGGGATTCAATCGTCTTTGAGCCATGGTTGAAAAGTGCTTGCACAGCAGAGAGGAGAGGCGGATGTGGATTATAGAGGGGTTCATCATATCAGCAATTTAGCCTAAATAGAAGCTTGTCACTGCTACTTTGCGCCGTTGCTAGATCAGCGTTGCCTTGGCTGGTGGCCTCATGTAGAGAGTACCTGCACTAAGGCCTTTATTGCTCTTGGCCATCCACAATGGCTTCTCACCTCCCTCGAGTACTCCATAGGTACCTATACATGTATACAGGCGAATGCCGTACAACAAAGAGGTCAATACGATATGCAAGTAAGCCTGAGAAACAGGGGCACATATATAATGCCATGGTTCATCTGCACTCTTCCCATTTACTATCCAGTACCTTACTTTCACATGGCCCAAGTTGAGCAGGGCAGCGCTACCACTAACCCTGGTCACGAACAATCAGCATCATCAGACGGCAAAGATAACGGTCTGGCTGCGGAGCCGGAACATGACCCGGAGGAAAGCCGGCGCAAGGTAATACGGGGGAATCGTATGAGAGATCGGGGCCGGGGCTCTTCGGGCCTTGGCGAAGCAACTACCGTGTGTAACTCAAGTCTAGTACTACCTTAACCCTATCTAGGATTTATACAAATACAACAAAAACGAAAATGGAAATGCCAAAGGGAAACAAGAGTGCTGCCATCTCTAATGCTTGTGCTTGTGGTCGTGATCGTGCTCCTCCTCCTCCTCTTGCTCTGATTCTTCCGAGACACTCGCCCGGGCGCCGCCTGGGATGAACTCATCAAATCGCTTGTTGACCTCTGCATCTCGGGACACGAAGCGCACACGAACTCTCTTCACGCCGCGCACCTTACCTCCCACCAGGGTGCGGACCGCATCCTCCAGGTCCTTCACGTCGTCGACTGTCCATGCGCCGGGTACTGCCATCTCCAGGTCGACCAGGTAGTTGGGCCCGGACTTGGTCCCCGTGATGTCCCGCAGTTCGGCTCGATGTCCTTCGCTGACATTTGCGATTGCTCGATGCGCGTGCTTGCGAATTGACGCCTTGACGTCGTCATCAAGGCTTTGATCAATTAGCTCCAAGAAGGCGGATTTGGTGTTGCCCAGGCCGGCGTGGAGGACCATGACGGAAATGAGGAGACCGCCGACGGGATCTAGCCAGGCGGCGTTTTCAATGACGTTGGCGCCGATAATCGCAAAGAGCGTCACAATACCCGTCAAGCTGTCGATGCGATGGTGGATGGCGTTGGAGGCGAGGACAGACGACTTGCGTTCGCGCGCAACCTTCATAGCTGTAGTAGAACGCGTGTTAGAAGTAAAAACAGAGAGGAATTCAGTATACAGAATAAGGTTGAGTCCACATACTAGCTTGGTATAGCCATTCCTTGACCAGAATGGTGCCCGCCGCGAGCCAGGCTGCGTGTATGCTCGGGATTCCGAGGTCTGCGTGACTGTGCGAATGGCCGTGAGAATGTCCATGTCCATGGGCGACGTGTTCCAGCATGTGACTGGCAGCTTCCGGGTTCCAATGGCCATAGAGCGTGACGGCGCTCTCGAAGCCCATGTAGAAGCCGCCAACAATCAACATGCCCGACACGCCCAGCGCGCCCAGGCTCTCAACCTTGCCAAAGCCCAGAGGGAAGCGGTCGGTCGGCGACTTGAGGCTCCACGACACCGTGGCCAGGGTCAGAATGTCCGAGGCCAGATCGGCGATGCTGTGCCAGGCGTCGGCAATCATGGCCTTGGAGTTGAAGGCCCAGCCGCCGATGAACTTGGCAATGGCCATGCTGAGGTTGCTGAGCAGGCCGATGCGAGTGATGCGCACGCCGGGGTCGTTCTTGTCGGCCGACATCAGGAAAGTGTTGTCGTGGTGATGGTGATGGCCGAAGAGCCCGTGGCTGTGGTCATGACCGTGATCATGGCCATGATCGTGATCGTGGTCGTGGTTGTGCTGGTCGCGTGCCTGGCGAGCGGCGCCCATGATGAAGGGCAGCGAGCGGATGCGGCCGCGGAAGACGGGGCAGATGTGAAGCACGGCGCTGCGAGACGTCAAGGTGTCGGCCAGCGCAAGATGGCAATTGGACGAGGCCGAGAGCGAAAAGGGCGGCACAATCGTGGGCGAGGACAGCGTCTGCAGCCGGCGCGAAGGTTGATGTGGCCTTTGGAGCTGGCTAAATGGAAGCGAGACCGTGGCTGGCGGATGTGCTCGTAATTTGAGACTGCCAGCTGCCCCGGACCAGCGCACGGCCAGGCCCGTGGAGCGCCTGGCCTGGGCAGACATACAGCGTCCTGGTCTGTTTCAGCCTTGAGGGGATCCTGAGAGGGCGATGCGCCAGAAACAATGGCGGCTCTACGGGACTATCGGCCGGCTGGATGCAGACATGAGAGTTTTCCCTTTGACTCTTGCTCCAGGGCCCGGATTGCGCTGCATTGCGTGCGGCTGGAGAGATGCGCGAAAAGAGTTGAAGAGCGGGAGAAATGACCGGGTCCGTGGTCCGGAGACCGAGTTCGCCGGTCAGGCCACTGCGCTGCCTTAGAGATCAACAACTGGACCGAAATGGATGGATGGGGTGCATACATGTACGTTGGATGTACCCCAAACTGCCTAGGCGACCTATCAAGGCCCATCTCCAGGCGGCTCCAGGCGCTGACGGTGCTGGTCCGGGCGCTGGAAACGCAGCGCTGGTCCCCTGTAAGCGCTGGAACTGGAGGGGTACTTTCTCGACATCAAGGTGTCGCGACCTGCCTGTTGATGTAATGGTGCGTCACTCTTTGTCAGCAAGGCCATGATCGGATGCATCAATCGGCAGCGCCTAGATCGGACGGAGAGTGTTTAGATAATCATTGCCGAATTGATTCTTCGCCGACTTTTGCCCAAGTTCCTGCAATAGTTCAATCACGGATTCGACTTACGTACCTTGGCTATTATCACGTTGCCCGACTCCGTACCAAGAGGTCGGTTCCATCAACTACTGCCGCGGCAATCTCTTGGATATATCCCTCCCTCTAGGCCGAACAGCTGTCGACACGACATTGATGCCAATTGGCACCCCCAGACTCCAATGCGGAAACCGTTGATGCGAATCCCTTATACTGACATTCTCCCGTCACCAACAATCATCCCCGCCTCGGCCCATTCCCTTCAAGGTGCTCTCGCCGCCCTTCACAACTTCTTCGCAGCGCCTCCGCCTAATCAGCTGCCTCACTCTACTGTCGTTCTCACAGGCGCCGGACTGTCGGTGGCATCTGGGCTGGCCGACTACCGAGGGCCCAATGGCACGTATCGAGTGAACAAGACATACCGTCCCATCTACTACAACGAGTTTGTACAGAATCACGAGGCTCGTAAGAGGTATTGGGCCAGGAGCTTTCTTGGTTGGTCTAGTCTTCTCAAGGCAAAGCCCAATTCCGGCCATTATGCCATCAGAGATCTGGGAGAGTTGGGCTTGATTAGTGCTGTCATTACGCAAAACGTTGATTCCTTCCACCCCAGAGCCCATCCCCGGATCCCCTCGCTTGAGCTCCATGGCTATCTAAGATCAACCAAGTGCACTACCTGCCACACTGAATATTCCCGCGAGGAGTTCCAACATCACCTTGCCCGGCTCAACCCTCGCTGGGCAGCTCTTCTCGAAGAGGCGCTGGCATCGGGAGCTCTCGACACCGAGGATCCTGACGAGAAGAAGTTTAGAGGCTTAAAAGTCAACCCGGATGGCGACGTTGACCTCCCCGATGCGCCTTATACCACGTTTAGATACCCTCCCTGCCCTCGATGCTTGACCGACCCACCAATCAAGACAGAGGGCTACAGACACACGGTTAGAGCCGACAGTGACGGTGCGTGGCTTCTGCCTAGCTCAGCTGGTGTTTTAAAGCCGAATGTTGTCATGTTTGGCGAGAACATTCCGACTCATGTCCGAACCGCGGCCGAGGATGCCATCGATAACGCTGGTAGGCTTCTCGTCCTGGGGACTTCGCTTGCCACTTATTCGGCGTGGAGGTTGGCTAAAAGAGCCAAAGAGAGGGGTATGCCCATCGCCATCGTTAATATGGGTGGTGTGAGGGGAGAAGACCAATTCTTCATTGACGTAGATCCCAACCAAGCTGGCGAACTAGCCGTCAGGGTAGAGGTGTCGACAGACGATCTTCTCCCAACTCTGGTGTCTCAGCTTCGCCAGAGGCTCGCTTCGGGCTCGTTGCCCAATGATGCCCCTTTCCCTAACGACCCGCGAGAAAACTCGTCTGTCTTCAAAGATATGCTCTCTTAGACATCTGTAGATAATAATTGCGTTGCATCATGGACCATGATTCAGAAGAAGTTTCCGAAACTAGCCGTCTTCGTCTTCACAGGGGCTTCCGGTTGTACCTGCTGAGCGCTGCTTTCCGGCTGGCTTGTCGTCTTCGCCTGAGCTCCTGTCTGTTCCTGCTTGGGCTGTTTCTCAAGGCCCCGGGATGCTTCGTCGCGCTCAATGGCTTGCAGCACTTAATCATATGTCAGCCACCCGATTGTGACACACAGATAGAGTTAATGCCGGGATTACTCACCCTCTTCCCACTCCGTTTCCTTCTGAGCATCTCCAGTTCCCAGAACCTTTTCTACATCTACATCCTCTCCATTCTGTATGCGCCGAACCACTTCTCGAAGCTGGGCAATTCTTAGCGCCGACTGTCGCATGTATCGCTCTGTCTGATTCCGCAGTGCAATCATTTGGATCGACATGGATCCGATGAACAGGAACATGACAATAAAATAGGTGGCCGGGTTCCATTCCTTCTTCGCCTTTGCCTTCAATTTCTTGCGGTTCGCCTTGCGCATCGGCTTGGGTATAAGAGACCTCCAAAAAGATCCCTCCACGATGGTTACCGGCGCCGTGCTGGAAAATCGCAGTCCTAGGCTTGCACGTGCAAAGTTAGTGGCAGTAATGGCAGCCATGCTCTGCCTGCCGGCGTGCAGAAAAAGCCGCTGAGCCATCATTGTCGACCTCGTGCTTGGATTTTCGTGGGAATTTGATGTTCGAAGTACTCGTATGCACCCGGCGTCGAAGGTTTTCTAGAACCCGTAGTCGGATCTCCGAAATGGCGCTTGTCCGGCCCAGTTGCCCCGGACAACCCCCGAGGTTTGCCCGTGGCTGCTTTAGCCTGACATCCTTGCACTCCAACACCTTGAAAGTTGATTACCATATTAGGCTCGTACACTCATTTGTATAATCAGCTTCACGCCGTAAGGCAGAATCTATTTTGGATTGACTTCCGGGGCGTTGCGATGGTATGATTAACAGCTGTGGGCGAAGAGAATAATCTAGATGGCTTCATTACAGGCAAAGGTCGACGCCGTCAAGGCAGCTGTTTCATCAACATCAAGCTGCACGCCCGCCACCGTCGTGACGCTCAAAGATCTTTTACTCCCAGACCCCGAATCGCAACCGTCGAGGCCAAAGTCACGATCTACAAAGACAGGAGCCACAGCGAGAACAAAAGGCGGCATTGGCTCAGATGACGAGGCTCTGGGTGCACGGGATAGAGCTGCGTTGGCCACGCACATCATCAATGTTACCCTCAAGACGCTGTCGGAGGCTGCGAAGCCTCTGCCTTCCTCTACACAGTCGAAACAAAACGGCGATCTTCGAGAAGCGGCGGGGAGGCAGTCATCACGAAGATCCTCATCCTCACCGCTGTCTCCCGCACAGCCCAGATCGCTCAATCGACTCGTCACGTCCACCAGCGTCGAAGCGAACCAGACGAAATCACAAGCGCCCGCCCAGTCGACCGGATGCCTTGCTACAGTAGAGTGCGCGCGCATTGCCTTCTCCGCACTTCGAGCCATCAAAGGACCAACGAAACCGGACGAGACCGACTTTCAGCTAGAGACGGGCATGTCAGCGCTGACAGGGAAGCTTCTAGCTTTAGGGATGCACGATCAAGCTTTAAAAGAGCTGAGAGTGTTGAAGCGAAGGTTGGACAGCATAATCTCTGGAATACAGTCAAGCAGCGCCAAGTCTGGATCCGAAGGCACCACGACCACCACATCAGCAATCGCCGACTTGTTAAATTTCCAGGGTTCCATCACGAAGCAATGCCTTGCCACCGTCACAGGCTACCAGATGCAAGTTCTAAAACTAATTGCGGCGACAAAGAAGCCTTCTCACATAGAAGTTATCCTACCTTATCTCGCCGATTCATATGCCTCGTCTCCATTCAATCTCTTGACCGCTCTCGCCAAGGATGGGGCAAAGGAGGCCGCAAAGGCAGCGCGCCAAATGGCATCCTTATCCCAAGTTCTCCTTTCGCTTGCGCCGAGCATCTCCAGTCAGGAAGATGCAGTGGCTACCGAGCCTCGACTCAGCCCATCCCCGGATACCGCATTCGAATTACAATCTTTAGCTTTCCGAATCCAACTCAAGTGGTGGAAATTGGCTGGTCACAAGGGAAATATTGACAACGATGTGGTCTCCCCTTTCTCTCGCTGTCTACGAGCTTACACCCGTCGCCAAAAACTAGATAAAGGCTCCGTCTACCAAACAGTCTCCGAGTCATACGAAACCATAATGCAGCTTATCTATACCCAAAAATATCGTCCAGCAACATCATTTGATTCTCCTCTAGCATCGATACACCAGATTTTAGGATCCGCAGCTCAGGCTGAGCGCCGATATACCGAAGCACACCGCTGGTTCCAAGAATTGAAGAGCTCACTCACACCAGGGCAGGAGTCTTCTGTTCTCAGATGCTCTGTTTCAGCGCGCCTTCTTGCTGTAGCCCTAAAGAAGGCCGATTTTGACCATACTATTGAGCCTTTGCTCTGCGAAGTCATCGAGGGCTTAGATGGTAGCCTCAGTGGAACAATTGCAGAGCTAAATGAGCTTCTCGAGAGCCTGTCGCTTGCAAGGCGCTCCGTCGTTGGCCTCCTAATGACATGTCTGGGGCCGAATGCAGCAGAAAGCACCGTTCCCAGAGACCTGGTAAACCAGCTCAAAACATTCGTTCTCAAGTATCCACGATTTGTGCGGCGATGGACGGGACTGCCGCCGAGCAAAGACGCATCGCCCAAGCAAGTTCTTCAGTTTGATCAGAGACGGCAGCTGGTTGCACAGTCCATTGGCCAGACCCTCGACGCTACCCTGATGGTCATCAAATGCGACATTCAGTCGGATGCGAGCGGATATCAGGCTGCCGATGATGTCCTTCAACATTGTGTCTCACTTCTCGAATGCATGACTGCTTCAACTTTATCCACCACCAAGATAGACAACCTTGGTACCTACGCTGTCAAGATCTCAAGCCTCTACTTCTCCATCTTTTCACAACTTCGAAAAAAATCCAGTCGATCCAAACAAGAGAATAAGCATTACCTGCAGGCCCTGCATCGATCGATTAGCGTAGTTAAAGATTGTACCGAAGCCGAGAAGGAGAAAGCACAACTATCGACAAAGCTTGAGATGTTTGCTGATTTGTGCAAAACCGTTGGTAGAACTGATGATGCCGTGGAGATGCTGCGGTACATCTGTTCTGGCATGGTTGAGAACGGCACTTTGGCCGATGTTGCCACTGCGCTCTCTACACAGTCTCCAAGCCTCGCCTGGACAATGAACGATAAAGTATCTCTTATGTCACGCACTCTGCGTTCCTTGTCTAAAGTTGATAGTTCGTGGAATGAATGGACTTTCCCTCTCCCGGAGGCCGAGCGTGCTGCAGTTTTGGAGCATTTGATGAACGTTAGTCTTGCTGGCTCCTCAGCGTCACCACAGCCTCTTGGACTTTACGATACGGCAGTGGCTGCGTTACTTCGCATATATACTATGGACAAGTATCCACTGCGTCGGCTTCGCGTATTGTTGCATCTCTGCTATCAGAATCTTGGAGAGGAGGAGCAGCTTCCCAAAATCCTTGCCCTGGCTGAGGAAACATGGGAGCATATACAAACCCAAGGCAAGGGGGAGGATTCCTCGTTGGGCCACTTCATTCCCCATCTACAGGCTTATTGCACGTCCATCTCTGCTTTGATACGCGTAGATGAATCAATGTCAACGCTGATAAACGAGGCAATTGATTCCTGGAAATCCATGATTGGCAATTGTCAGACCCAAGACGAGCTATTTGTCATGATAGATGACCCTCAGGGCCTCCTTGATCACCTGCGGTCGCTACACCAGCTCGCAGGTCTCAGGGGAGAGACTCGACTCCAGCTTGCAATTTCAGAGCTTAATATCGCCTTGTCAAGAGTATTTGTCGGATCTACCGAAGCCAGCGGTGACGGACTGGTGCTCAGTCATAGCCAGTTGGCAGCTCAATATGTAAATATTGGACTCTTCCCTCAGGCCCTAAAGACAATAGAACGGACTCAAGAACTTCTCGGCCGCTATGACGGCCTATCACGCCAAGTTATTGTCGACTTTTACCTCTCCCAGGCAGAGTACCACACAGGTATTGGCGACATGGACACTGCGTAAGTACATATTTTGCTGTCATATATGAATTCGATGAAGGAAACGTAAAAGCTAATATTTGACAGACTCGATTGCCTATCCAAAGCCAGTGAGATTTGTAGTAGTCCATATCCCTCTTGGGCTCAAAGCAAGTCTCAGGCTTCGATGGTCATATCCGTCACCTCATTGTTGCAATCCATTGCTACTCTCCAAGCTGGAGATTTACAAGACGCACTCTCATTTGTGAAAACGAGCGTCCGCATGCTTACTCACGACTGGACCAAGCTGGAGGCAGCACTAGGGGCTGGCACAAAGAGCGCGGATACCAGCCTGGCAGATATCAACACCAGCAGCACAGATTTAACATCTTCAAAGGGGAAAGTAGCTGGCCCTCGGTTCTGGACTCTGGCCAGTCCGCTCATTCGAAGCCTCTTACATATCTCTTCAGTCTACGCTCATATTGGCATGTTCCAGGAAACAATGTATTATGCCGAGTCAGCTTGGAAGATTGCAGAGAGCACTCAATCCTCACTCTACAAAGCGCAAGTAGCTATCTGGACTGGATCGGTCTACCTCAAGGCCGGAAAGCTGCCCAAGGCACTTACTACGTTCCAAGAGGCAGAAGAACAGCTGCCGCGTGATATCTGTTCTGCTCGAGTTCGCTTTGCTCGTCAACTCGGAGAATTTTATTGGGAAATCGGAGACGACGAGAAAGCTGCCGAGTTCCTGAAAATCGCTGAGGAGGCTGCCCATCTCCTCAGCACGGCTGAAGATGAAGATGAAAGTGACATCGTTGAGGAGCCTGCCACCAGAGCAAGGACTACAAGATCCGCCAGATCAGCTGCCCCTAAAACCTCTAAGCGTACTACGGCTAAGTCCAAAACACCTCCTGAGGCAGATACTGTACAACTGCCAAAGGACATATATTATGCAAGCCTTCACGCCGCCATCATCATGGCACGCACTTTGGGGCTTATTCACCAGAAGGAATGGGCGTCGGCTCTACAAGCTCTAGAGCAACTGAAAGATCTACCCAAGCTTATTAGCGTGCTCTCTCAGGAGCAGGTCATGACGGCGGTATCGTTAATAGGTCACAGCATGGAGCAGATGATTTCTGATCCTGTCTTCTCAGTTATGCAAGACTCAACCATATCATTCCCTGCCGTGTCCACCATCGACCTACGTGCTACTGGAGTACCTCCAAAGAATCCCGAGGATTCCAACTCCGATTCTCCTGCCTTTGCTGATGCATTGAAAAGGGCACAAGAGCTTTTGATTGAGGCCCACGCCTCTGCCTTGTCAAGCGCTGACAGCAGCATGGTTCGTCGCATCTCTGCGCTGCTTCAAAGCACCGTCATTTTCCTGTCGGCGACTTTAGCCTCGAAGTCGCTTTCAGAATCGGGGGTAGGCACAGTTGCCGTTGACATGGCTCGAAATGTGACTTGGAGACGAGAGCAGCAGACGCTGGCCGGGCTAAATAACGATGCGGCTCCTGTCCGTATTGCAACTCCAGTCCACAAGCCGCCAACGGCGGAAGCAATGGCTGACATCGCCAACTTCCAGAAGAAATATGTCGACTTGATCCCGAAGAAGTGGAGCGTGATTTCGATTTCTTTGAGCGATAACCGCCATGATCTTTGCATCACCAAATTCCAGGCGGACCAAGGCCCGTTTATCTTGCGCCTACCTTTGGAGAGGGCCAACTCTCGAGATGCCGATTCCGAGGTCTTCAACTTCGAACAAGGCCGCGAGGAGCTATTGGAACTCATCAAATTGGCCAACGAAAGCAGTCACTCTGCGCGAGACTTTACTGCTAAAGGAGAGCGTGGTGCCTGGTGGGCAGAGCGACAGGCTCTGGATTCTCGACTGAAGCGACTCTTAGTCACCATCGAGACCACATGGCTAGGAGGATTCAAGGGCATATTTTCACAACATCGTAAGCAGGCGGACTTGTTGGCTCGCTTCCAAAGGGATTTCCATCAAATGCTGGATAGGACTCTGCCATCTCGAAACAAACCCCGCGGGAAGAGGATGGCAACCAAGGCAGAGACTATTACTTTGGATCCCAGGATCCTCGACCTGTTTATTGGGTTGGGCGATCCGACTGAGCCTGACGTCGAGTTTGATGAGGCGCTGAATGATTTGCTCTACTTTGTCGTGGATATCCTGCAATTCCATGGCGAGCGAAATGCGTACGATGAGATTGATTTCGACGGGATGGTTCTGGAGACGTACGATGCTCTGCGTGGATATCACAACGCAGCCATCTCTACGGAAAGGGAGGAGGAGACACATACTGTGCTCGTTCTAGACAAGCTCCTCCATGCTTTCCCTTGGGAGTCGTTGCCCTGCATGGATGGCCTTTCTGTGTCGCGCGTACCCTCATTGGCATGCCTTCGTCAGCTCATTCGAGATGCTAATAGAGGACCGACAAGCAAGTCGCAAGGCCACTTTGTCTCAGCAAAGGCTGGAACGTATATTCTCAACCCTTCATCCGATTTGACCAATACGCAAACGTACTTCCAACCGGCCTTTTCGGGTCTTTCGTCGTGGACCGGAATCATCAACAAGGCACCAAGAGAGTCAGAATTCGAAAAGGCTCTCGCTACGTCTGAGATTATGGTGTACTTTGGCCACGGCAGCGGCGCCCAGTATATTCGCGGCAAGACGATCCGCCGCTTGGACAAGTGCAGGCCAGCGACGTTCCTCATGGGCTGTAGCTCCGCCGCCCTGACGGATGCGGGCGAATTCGAATGCTACGGCCCCGTGTGGAATTACATGATGGCTGGGTGTCCGGCCGTTGTGGGCACGCTTTGGGACGTGACTGACCGCGACATTGACCGGTTTGCGGGCAAGACTTTTGAGGAATGGGGGCTCTTTGCCAGGGGCACGTTTGATGGGGCGACGGGCAAGGGCAAGGGCAAAGGCAAGGCTAGGAGCTTTGCTGAGGAGGTGGAGGAATTGAGTCGCAACGGGGACGATGATGCTCTCGGCAACGCATCACTTGCCGAGGCGGTGGCGAGAGCGAGAAACGCGTGCCGCTTCAAGTATCTTAACGGCGCTGCGGTCGTTTTATATGGAATTCCGGTCTACATTAAGAAGGATTGAAAGTATTTTAGAGGGGTTACGGCACGGAAACTTATGGGAAATCGGGATTCAGAGGGGAAAACAGGATATCTATATATAAAGGGAGCGGAAAGGGAAACCGGATTGATACGATCTTTGAATGATGGACATGACGACCCCGTAGCGTTTTGGATAATGAATATGGCTTTAGATTGGGGTGGCGTTGCGTTTCATTTTCGGTTTTTTTTTTTTTTGCATAGCGGCGGGCGTATATGAAATGAAGTAGAATTGATATGATGCCATGACATATTTAATGAAGAATAGTTAATTGTTGTGATGGATAAAATACATTGGAAGTTGCATCAAAACATCATAGAATTATCAATCTTTGAATCATTCTCCACCTCGAAACAAACAAAGAAAAAGCACAGCAATCAATCAACACAGCAGACATCAAACCGCTTCAGAAAAAGATTGAAAGACATTTTCAATTGGTTGTTCCGCCCTCACAAGGCGCTTCAGCGCACCCCCTTTCTCCATCTCCATGAATATCTCAATATCAACAAGGAATAATAAAAAGATATAAATAAAAAAAAAACCAAAATATGCTAGGCAAGGCCAATCATCAAGGCGCCTCCCGCCCTCCCAAAAGACCAACCGAAATCGTGTTCCCTGGGTATATATGGATATACATATGTCCGTTTTTTTGAAAACAAAGAAAAATACTCAATATCCATCCCTCCCGAAGCGCCATTTTTCCTTCCAAAAAATGCTCAGACATGTTTTTCGTAATCCGACGTTATGACCAAAGACAAAGAACAGTCGTTTCCCGCCCTGCCGTCCTAAAAAGAGCAAGATAAAATATACGAATAGTAAATGTAACCAAAAGGGCGCGTGGATATATCCCTCTCCCGCAACAGTTTCCTGCCCCAGAGGTCGTTCAATGTTGCATTATCCAGACAAAAAAAATGCCTTCTTCCTGCACACGACTACTATCCAAAAGTTGTCACGGTATGCTATTACATGCCGCCCTGGTGGTCAGCCATAAGCATTCCTCCGTTGCTGCCGAATAAGTTTGCAAAAGGATCGACGCTTCCGAATCCCATATCCTGACCTCCTTCCAAGGATAGGAACCATCCAGGAGACGCATCTTGGCCAACGTACGGGTTCATAGCATTGCTGCCCATCTGATCTTGGGCCTGAGCATCGTCGCCGCTCATGCTTTCAGACTTCATATTTTGCTGACTCTGAATCTGATTATTGGCCTGAGGGTTATTTCCAGACATGCCTCCCCAGCTGCCAGATCCGTTCATCATAACATTCCCGGTGTCCATGGAGAAATCACCATATGAGATTTGCTTGTCTAATGAGTTCATCATCCCGATTGACTGATCCATGTTCATAGAGAGTAGATCTGTCGAGAAAAAATTCTGCAACGGCACGTTTTGAGTGAATTGTGCAGCGTTAGCAGGGCCCAGTGGCATCATGGGGTATGTTGGATTTTGTGGCTGTGACACAGGAATGGAGAGGAAGGGAGTTGGATTGGTGGTCTGCACCCCAAGCGCGTCTGAGAACTTCTGCGGTTGCCGAGATTGCTGCTGCTGCTGCTGGTGCTGGTGCATGGCCAGTCTCATCCGATCGTGGAGGTGTTGCCCGCTAATAGCTGCCGCATTTTGTTCGTTGGTCTTCTGCGGTTCTGCACTGCCCGTTGTCGGCACGGTTGGCTTCTTCAGGGGGCCCTTCCGTTTCGATGGCCCAGGTCGTGACCCTTCCTTGTCGTTCATTGTCGGTCCAACAGCCATGAAGAATTCCTCGATCGACTGCAGCTCTGGCTTCTGTTCCAAAGCGCCATCTTCTCCCCGCTCCTTCTTCCTATATATGGCAGGATCCATATAATCCGTGTCCGAGACTCCGTGAGGATAACGGTTGAACCAGTCAGCATACTGCAATATCGGTGATGAAGCAGTACTGCCATTGTTAGGGCCGCCAGCGCGGGCTGCATCGAGGGCGTTGCGGAACTGCATACGAATGTTCTCTACCATCCAGTGGAACATGCCCCAATATTTCATCATATTACGCAGGAATCTCACGTTTACACTGGAATTGGCCTCTCCGGTGGCTTTCATCGCTGGATTCCCAGAGAAGATACCGGTGATGTGGATGGTGGCCGAAGAGAAGGCGCAGTACCCGGCAAAAGGGGTTGCTATGCTACACTGCACCTCTTCAGCGTCTCTGATCAGGTCTGATATCTTATTAGCGGCCGCAAAAGTCTTGATGCTGGCTTGTGGGATGAAATCTTCCGGCGCTTCCTCTCCGACACGGTCTTGGGAGAAGGAAACCGCGGCTTGGTGGAGAAAGAGCAAGTTTTGCTGAATGGCCATGTGAAGATACAGGAGATGCTTTGCCGTGCTCTCTGCTCGATGGATATCCAGAGCCTCGCGAGTACACTGCAGGTTATCGGGAAGAGTTCGCAGCAGCTCTTCAGTAGCCCGCACCAGTTTCGCATACTCGGAGTCTTTGTTCCACATCGGATAGGGATCCTGTTCTCTGCCACCCTGATTTAAGTACGTAACGATACGGCCCCAGATAGACACGCATCGAATAGTATAGGCAGATGCTCCCATGTTGTCGCGAGGGTTGTCCACCTGGTCTTGTTCGGGCACGCTACACTCCGGGACGCTGCCGTCAAGGAATTCTGTCCGAGCGGGCATATCAAACTGGAAGTATTTCTCGGCGACGGGTAGAGGGATTTTCATGGTCTCTTCTTTGATGAAGACTGGGCGATCAGTGCCGGACGAGTTGAAGCGGTCCATCATGAAACAAGCCCACATAACACGGCGACGGATTTCACGGTCAATGAAGCTCAGCTTGACCTTCTTGTTCCGCGACTGCGGATCGTACTCCAAGTCTTTATGCAGATGAAGAGCAAAGGCCATACGAATAGCCTGCCCACCCAGGGCCCAGGCGCGGCCGCCGTGACATGTTCCAAATTCGTGCATCCCCAAGATGAGAAGACAAGTCAATATCGTTATATTAGGCCAGTCGTATCGTTTGGTGCAAATGTCTCGCGCATGTGAGGCCCACTCCTCTCCACGCATAAATTGTTTGGTGGCCGAGTTGAACTTTGGGCTTGAGGTAAAGCGCGCTGCGATGGCGCACACGGAGAGGACTAGCACTGGCGGAAGCGTATCATTCCTATAGCTCGCGTTAGCGGTTGCATTTTGTGCGGTTGGGTGAAAGGGCTGCAGTAGGAAGGAAAGGCGACATGCTTCATTCCCCCGTGGAAAAATTGTCGTACTTTAATTTGCGAATATAGCTTGGTTTGTGGAGAAGGTGATATGATTGCCCATAGACATTGTCAAAAAAAACTTCAGTAAGGTGTTCCTGGACGTCTTTTGGAGGAAGAGCTTCTCTTCCTTCGCGGAGGAGCTCATTCTCTTCAGCTTCGCGAGACTCGGGTGTGCCGGCCGCATGATCTTCCGGTAGCTTTGGCCTAGGAGCTTTGGCCCAAGCCTCAAGGTCCCGGCCAAATGCTTCGTCGGCATTGCGTTTCTTGGCGGATGCCTTATTCGAGGCCATTGTGCCGGTGCCGGGAATGGCAGGTTTTACCACGGCACGGGGTACCGACGATATTGTCTCCTGCTCACCCTTTGGTAATATCTTGATAATGCGCTCTTCCATGCGCTTGAGTCGCTTGTCGAGCATGGCCATGTAATCGGTGCGCGGGGCGGCTTTTCGAGTAGTGACTTTGTAAACGCAGGGTATTCGTGATCTCATGCAGTGCTTGCAGGCAGGCTTCTCGCCAGAGCAGCGTATCTTCTTGCGACGACAGGCGATGCAGGCGAGTGGTAGGCGTTTCCGGTCCTTGCCAGCCTTGGTCTTGAGCTCGCTCCAAGCTGGAGGTGCAGAGGACGAGTCATCCTTTGTCTTGCCCCCCAAGTCTGTACCATCACCGCGATTCTGATTCAACAGGCCAAAGTCGTCGTTTCCGTCATCGGTGATGGAGTTGGACGCCGGAGTCGATTTCCTCGCCATCGAACCGTTGGCTAGCTCCACGCTCGGTATCTGCTGGTCGTGCATCGGTACAAACGGCTGCCTCGTAATATTGTTGACGGCATTCATGGTATGTGGCGGCACAGAGGTTATGGCGCCCGCCTGGTGCTGTGAGAAAGGATCCGCCTGGTGGTTATTGATACCAGGCTGTTCAGACATGTGGAGGTCGGGCATGGCGGAGAAGGGAAAGTTATAGTCACTGAAATGAGGATTGGCACCCATCATATCGTCTGAAGACATCTCGCGCTGCCCTCTACCAGAAGGATCTCGCTGCGGGTAAAGCTGGGACGGATTGAAGTTGTGGCGATTTGTGTTGCGGAACTGGCGATTCATGCCGGCCCGGCCGTCCGACATGGTTGGAATCCGGTCCACAGGCCAAAGAGACTAAGTGACTCTCTTTCTAATTGGGGACGGGACGATACAGCAGATCAAAGGGCCAATTGCTGGGCATTTCACGGGTCTAAAATTCGTGATACAACGGCCGTGCCGTGTCTGTCAAGACGGTGCCGATGCCGCTGGGACGCACACGGCTGGAATACTGGGCTGCCGGAAGCTCAAAGCCGATTGATTCTCCAGCAGCCAGAGTATGAAGACGGCGATGCAGTGGCAATGGTCGTTTGGACAAGGCGATTCCGGCGTGGTTTATGCAGGTTGGCGAGTGGGAGAGCAGTGAAAGATTCTGATTCTGAGGCTGGAGCTTATGTAGGATAAAGATTAACAAGCAGAGCAGAGCCAAGAAGCAAAAACGAGAGTTGATTCAAGAAAGAAGAACTGAGCTGGCAGATGAAGCCAAGCCAAAGAACCAAGCAGTGGAAGATGGGGCAAGGCAGGTGCATCGAAGAGAGCCACAAGGCGTGGGTCAGCAGGCACTCCGTACTTGCCGCGTATCGGTAAGGTCGCTGCGAGGTACTGGTACCAGGGCGAGTACCTACCCAGTACTTGGCACTTGTGCTGACGCGCCGCCTGGTTACTACAGTACCTAGTACTAGCGGTAGGTAGGGCTGCGACTGGTGCCAGCGCCAAGTCTGCTGAGTCCCCAGCTGGTACTCGACAATACGGCGTCGCGTACAGGTACTCCAGGCTCGGTTGTCGGTACCGCGGCGCTCCCTTTTCCGTTCGCGCAGCCACGAGCTTGGCAGCTCTGGCAGGGTTCGTGGGCGGCCGCAAAGTTCAGTGGCCCCTGTGCTGGGAGTGCGAATGCTACCAGACCTGTACTTGTAGGGCCTGTTGCTGCCAGGCGGGCTAACTGAAGACCTGTTGGGCGGGCTAATAGCGGGCTAATGCAGCTGGTTCCATTGACCTGGAGAATTTGGCGAGAGGTGCCTCGACCCTTATATGTGCGTGCGAGCAGATACTGTACTGGTTCGTACATGTACAGAGTACCTGCACAAGGCTGTGCTATTGATTCTGCTTCGGGTACGGGGTTGACAGGCGCTTGATCGATGCTACTACTACCCGGGCAGTTCCTACCTAGGTACCAAGGCAATAAGGTACATTAATACCTTCAGATCGGCCCAAGTACCTAAGGTACCTACCTGTACTCTGCGTGTGCCAATACTGTAGATAAACTGCTACTTGGGTACTTGTCCATACCTGTCTAGAGCACAACTCTGCATCCTGCAGTGCTGCCAATGCTGCAATGCCCATGTGAGCATGTGCATGCAGCGAGCGTCTGTTGTAGAAATGCAGTCCGACACAGACCCTACCTGTACCTGGTAGCAGCAGCAGAGGTACCTGTGTGTGTCGCCAGCCAGACGGGGCCTGCAGACGCCACTAACTGCCCTAGTGCGCCAGTGCACGCCGCTGGAAACCAAATACCCCAGGCTGGCGCCTACCTAGCAGCTGTGGGGTTGAAAACGGAGCTGGGATGTACCTGTACCGCACAGACCAAAAACGGTTCGGGGGGGTACTGTCTCGTTTCGCTTGTGTGAAATGTCAAGATTGAAGCCATCGTCATGCAATATAGATATGTGCGTCTATATGCGCCAAGACAATAGGTAGACGCACATAGATAATAAGCGCTAGGGCTGTACGAACATCCAGATATAAAACAGCATCCATATTGACGAGGCTGTTGAGGTCACCCATAGGGAGCAGGAAGAACGAGCAGATAAATGGAGAGCAGGATAACGTGCAGAGCTAGAGGGTTGGATCGCCAGAAAAGGCGGGCAGACAGCCAGAAGAGGGGTCGCCGATGACGGGACCGTAGAGCTGCTTGCTGTAAGTGAATCATCCAGAAGCCATCACCAGAAGGCCTTTCCTTGTCTCCCTTCCTCCCCTCCTCCCCTACCCAGCAACCCGATATCAAGCAAGCAGCAGGACGCAGATAATCAATAGACCGGGGCAATTTTGCCGCGACGGGGTCCGGAACGGCTGAGGCCCCCAAGCGAGCAGCAGAATTGTGTGCCTCGGGGCCGCATTGGGCGGCTGACGAAGCTGCCAGCCTCTCCATGATGCCCATGTTGATCTACCAAGCAAAACCCGCCGAGTAATACTGCAATCGATGGGCACCCAATCGAGATGGCGGGTGTCTCGAAACCGAAGCGGCGCGCACAGTAACTTGGCGACACGTTGCTCTAGTCGACCGTTGGTCAGAGCCGGGCTAGAGACGGCGCGGAGGGGCTGAGTATGCAGAATGGCACCGTCCCCGAGTGGCTGCGGCCTGTCACCAAATTGTACAAAGGCAGTATGTATAAATATCCAGGAATGGTAAAGGTTTGGTTAGAATCGAGGATTGCTCCGGGGGCTCCGTTTGCTAGAGTGACGCAGGCAAGATGAAACTCAAATCACAAAACTGTGCGGGTAGATAAGATAAAGAGATAACTTGGTGGAAATATGCTTTTACGAGAAGCTGCGCATTGCATCCGTGAGTACCTACTACTAGGTAGGTAGTCATGGATGTCGATCTGTCTGTGTCAGTGATGCTGTACTCGAACAGGCAGGTCTGGTGTTGCGTACCTAGCATGGTCCCTGTACTCAACTCTCAGCTGGAATTAGATAGGTGGTCAGAGCTTGGCAGCATACTTGAGGTTATACTCGTATTGGCAGATGCTGCATCCCGAGTCCCATTCCATCTCTTTGCTTTGGGTTCCAGCTCATCGGCAAACGACGCCATCGACGTCTTCAGAACGGGCCCATCATGGCTGTCGCCATTGTGTGGACCGCGGTGAGATTCTCATCCCGCGCGATAACGCTTTCACGCACATCTGCCCCCTAGAATTACATGTGGCATTTGTCGCAGGCAAAGGGTACGAGATGCAGAACAGCTAAACTAGCGGCATCGTGCTGCAGCCAATCCCTCGTCTCCCACGGCCCAATACCCGTCGTCTGGAGGTGTGGCCGCTAGCGAGCCGATGATGACCTCGCTGGATGCAAATGCAATCGACCCCAGGTAAGCTCTGCTTTGCCAACTGCCGTCCATATCCGCAAGCCTCAGGTCCACTCCGCAAGTTTAGTATGAAATATTGTCAAAGAGCTCGCATAGCTCCGGCGGCCCCAGAACAAGTATGAAAAGACGAGAAGGAGGAAGCAAAAAACAGGGGACTGCTTGTCCCGGCTGAGACATGAATGATGCCATCAAAACTGGGAAATAAGCCGCCAGGGAAATACCTAGGTAGGTAGGAATCAATAGCAGTACCACTGAGTGTACTGAGTATGAGCTCGAGTGGACATCTATTACTCGTACAGTACACGTGCTTATTCTACGAGTAATGAGTACTGCGTCATTGCCGCCTTGAGGACAAATAGGAGCATCAAGATTCAAGAAAGAAAAAGGGAGGCACGGAGCAGAAGCCCATCTTGTCTCTTGCCTCGCACGGAAAGACCATATTCGCCTCTTTGGAGCATCAAAGAAAGGGGCTGCCTCCATGTAATCATGTAATTCCTCCTGCTGCCTGAATAGCTGTAAACTGAATGCTCCGTGCCTTGTTAAGGTATAACAGCCGCTTGCCACCTCGACTTACTCGTGCATCTCATGTAACAACAATAAAGCTGGCAGATAAGGCTGCCACCGCTGCGTCCTTCCCCGGACTCATACCCACTTGCCGTCTGCTCCTTACCTAGGTTATCTGCAAAGAGGCGAATGTCTGTACTGTACTGTAATTCGTAAGTACCTGTACTCCGTACAAGCATCTTGTAAGTGCGGTAAGAGATACTACGAGGCAACAGTCAAGGATACTACCATAGCTCTTGAGATATCACTCTTGGCAGCCAGATCATCTGCATTGCTGACAGCGCATTGCGCGACAAGCGACTCGAAACTACGGTTGTCTGGCACAGAACAGAGCCTGCCAGAGTGCCTGCATGCACTGCAAGCTCCAAAGCTAGCAGCCCTCAGGCCCTGAAACTTTTGCCCCGGCACCGCTTTTCCGCCTGGAGCAGCGGGCCCCTGTCAAGAGAGAGCACTAAGGCAAGCCAACTGGCATGACGTCCCGTCGTGCTGGACAAGGCCTCCCACGTCTTTTAAGTTAATTTTAAACGCGAGGCCCTCCAACAAAGAATCCCTGCTGGGAAATGACTTGACACCGACCGGAGGACAAGCCAAAGGCGTGAAACGGTGCTGCAATCATTTCATTGTCCCCAAAGATACAGGTATTTCTCGACCAATGGACAGAGCCAGCTGCCAGCTCAACTACACGTACAGCCCGTGAGCAAGCACGGACGGGCTCAAGTATGGGCTCAAGTACAGGCTCAAGTATAGGTACCGGCACGGATACTACAGCCTGACAGGGTACAGATACAGGCGCGGAACAGCACGTGCGCGGCAGCAGCCCGGACTCCTCGCCTCCCCGTTGAAGATCCCATGATATGGACGTGCTCCTTGTATTGTACAGGTACGCACACACCAGGCCCGGCCCCCTGAGATCGCAACCAGACCTCGAGAGATTCAACTGCCCGATTACGACTTCTTTCGCTCCTCTTGCGTTTGGCCGCTTCTGCTTGATTACGCTCTGGTTGCCCGACGCGGCGCAATCCCACAAACAAAGACCAAGTGGAGGCGTCGGAATCACGCACCTGTTCGTTATCCCGAGCTCTGTTCCAGAATGCCGATACTAGTATCACGATCTAGGGAGTTTGCATCAGAGCACAGCAGGTGAGAGGCGGGCACTAGACGTCCCATGCCGCCCCTACGAGTACTGCCTATGTATGTGGTGCAACCTGCGGCTGTCATCAGTCGGGTCAAACGGTTTATCTTTTCTGTCTTCTTTCAATTTTCGATCTGCCGGGAGTTTGCCAACTTCTCCACTGACATAGTTTGTACAGTAGAATTAGATGGATCCCGAACACAGCTCCACCGCCGACTAGGCATGATTTGCCCTACGGACAACATCCCTTGAAGTGTGGAGGCCGGTGCGCAGCAAGAAATCATCTTTAATATCCAGTTTGTTCACGGCAGGGCTTCCCCCGTGGCAACTAGAGGTACGAAGAAGAAAAAGATTGCCTGTGTTGTGAGATCTGCCGCACTCCTTCAGCATCTTCTCATCTTCCGTGTCATCAGTACCGAGTTCATACATGTATCTTTTGGGAGTCCCTTCTCCCGATGCCTGGCCTCGCCCGCTTTGTTTCCGCTTGGACTTGCAGGGATACCCCGTGCGGCCGGCCTTTATCACCGCTCCATGTGCAATCTTACGGATCACGGAACACGGAACACGGGATATCATGCAGTCGACATGTTGCTTTGCGTACTTACTGGCGATATCCACGTCCCTTTCGGTGGTATTTCAATGGGGCAGTCGCTCTCAGCGGGTTCCGGAAATAAGGAACAGGCAGGTGTACCAATTGCAGCCGAGTCTCAGCGTCCCGGCGAATCTCACGCCGAAGGACCAAGTTCAAATCGGCAATGCGATGGGTTCACCACCGCCGCCGGTGTGCCCCCGCGCGTGTAACGGCTTCAAGCCCTTTACTCCGTACTTTGCCGGTCCATCATTGGCTTGGCCTTACCCCAATCCGCAGTCCAGCATTGTACCAGCAACAGTTAGCCCAGTGGTCATCGCTTATGGCCATCTACATGGAGGCAGTACTCCGCACCGCACTGGGTTACAACTCCGCCGTCTTCAGCACGTTTGATCAGCGATCATGTCCTCTGGGGATACTGCAAAAGTATCAATGTAGTGGTCGAAACTTTGTCTCTTCGATAGACAGACCAAATCCACCCGGTATTATCCCACGTGCCCGTCCGGCGCCTTTTCCCTTACAAGCCATTCCGCAAATGACGGGCCAAGGGTCGCACGCAATCAACGGAGTCGAACAAAGACCAGCCCCTCACCCAGCTGTTCCCCCGCAGATGCGTCATCTCAGAGCGTGCCCTGGCATGGATGTCTCAACGCACGCATCTCGCTCTCCAAGATTGGAGTGGCGGGCCGGTGCTTAACTAACAGGTCAGCTACAACCAAGGGAGCAATTCGTATCGCGCCGTGTCTGCACAAACTCGCCTGGCACTCCATATCCCCACTACTACTACCCGACTCTGCTCGCTACCTGCACTCGACTTGTACTAAGTTCTTGTAGCAAATTTATTTGTTGCACTAGGAGGTAATAACTTTTATAGGCGCGCAAAGTTTGTGAGTTGGTGCTTACTACACTTAGATGCTAAGGCAGGTATATTTACTTTGAGCATTCATGTATTTTTCGTCACATCTCTGGACTTGACTTCTAGACTCCCTTCTCTCCACTTCGGAATTCACTTTTCAGCCTTGACAGGGTACGAATGCTCTAGCGGCAATAAAACTGCAATATGGCGATACCATCCCACCATTAACCCGACTCAGCAAGACGACTTCCCGCAAAGCCCACGCTAGGTGCAACCGGATACCTCCATCCCTTGTTTTCCCGTTTGTCCACTCTACTACGAGAACTCGCACACTCCGAGAGACTACTCTGGTATAGACAAATACGAGTAAGGCATCATCTTTTCTTGAAACAATAACATCGGAACCAGTTCCGTAGCGCAAGGACTTATTACGAACGTCCTGCCAAGTGTTCCGTGCTGGTCGCAACTTCTTACATGCTAGCCCAACTCCGGCCTATTGCAAGGTAATCATCTCTACTACTGCTAGCATGTCTCAGCCTGTGATGAAAATATGAGATATTATAGACTGTTGCCTGGCCGTTTCTCCTTTTAGCCTCGCTTTTCCTTCTCCGTCAGACCCCCAGTTCAGCCCAAAGGAACGAATGCGCATGCCACTCAACAAGCACCTCGTCCATTCGGGCCATCTCTCTTTACATCATCGCTGTGTCATGAATGCTTCTTATCAGATATTCCCAATGTCCTTGTATAGCCATCAACGAGCATTCAGAGTGACTGCTGCTTTCTACCACAGGTATCGCTACTGGATCTTGAACCAGCTAGAGGCGGTGCCCGCCATCTTCTACTACTGCTATATCTTGTTGAGTCAACACTCGTTGACGGCAAATGCAAAGTGGGACTAAAACGGAGGATCAGAACGGTTACGCTTCTGGCCTAAGGTCCGTTATCCACCTTTGCCCGACTACCCGCAGATAACCCTGGGCAATGCAGGGAAGCTCAAGCAGACAGGGCTAACACCAGCAACCTCACCGACTTGCAAGTGTTGAAGAATCCAAACTCTCACCCAATATCTCTTGACTTGCATCCCCCACAGTCTAAAGGACAGATGCGGTAGGCATCACGAGGCACTACACAGTTTTAGGCTCTGCTGTACGGAGTATTAGCTAGCTAACATGCTGGCTGTTCTGGACCTGGGCGACCTTGTGCTGTGGGAATGCAGATTCGCCCTTTATACGAGACATATTCAGCTAGGCCAGGGCTAGCGAATCCTCGCTGTTGATGCTGTATTTAGCATACCATGCTGGCCAGGCAGTGTACGAGTACTCGTAGAAATCCTCCGAGCAACTATGCTCCCTGTCTGAGTCTACACATCAAGGGCATGCATGCTCTGTATCTGGGATATCAGTATCACAAGTTGGCGCGCTGCAAAAACGGCCTTGGTTGTCGGCGAAGGGTTCCAATCTCGGAGAAGTTCCGATATGCCGCAGCTAAAGTTACCAGACCAGCCATGTACGAGTACGGATTTTGTTGCCGGATTTTATGCCAGTTGTCTCTTTTCGTCGTTGGTTTTTGCATATGCCGAGACTTGGCCACCAGGGATTGTTGGGCAGCAAGCCGCAAGCAGCAACATAATAGACGGACAAGAGAACAGCAGAGAAGGTAAAGGAACGAATAAACGGACAGAAAGGGGGGAGTGCAGAGCATAGCGGGAGGGTGTCCCTGTCGAGACCCCTTCCTGGCCATTTCCGCACCAAAGAGGGCGCCGCCAAGTCATGTCGTGGGATACTCGTCAAACGGCGTCACACACCTACAAGTGCCAAGTGGGATTAAGGATTCGCATACACCGTACCTGTCGTACGTAAGCCCAAGATGCGACGTCTCATCACCGCGTGTGGCGCTGGGAGGAGCTTTTGCAAACTACTGTAACAATACGCATGCCAATACTCCGTACAGCAAGGCTCTGTCAATTGAAGAAACAGGCCAAGGGGGCAAAGCCTGTCTGGCCCCCAAGCACCCAATGGCAGCTCACTCAGGGCACCCCTCCCTTTCTCTCTCTGTAATTTTCCTGTCCCCCTTCCTGGCTCTATTAGAAGAGTTTCTCCGCGCCAATGAGGAAGAGCATGAGGAACTTTTTTTTTGGTGTGTGTCTGTTACTTTCTTATTTATTTGGAATTCCTGCCTGATGGTCCTTGGAGTTGCTTGATTGGCCAGCGTCTTTCAGCAAGAAAAAGGGTTCCATAAGACTGAACATGAACATAAGAAAAAGAAGAAACTCGAGACCCACCACTTCCTTGTATTGTATAGTATTGTATAGTACTTGTACATAGAGCGCAAAAAGATCGACCGAAAATCCAGGGTAAGTCAACCCCCCCCCCCCCCTTCCCCTTACCTAAAGGCGCAGATTCGTGCCAGAAACGGGATATGTCTCGTGGCAAAATAGGGAAACAAAGAAAAACCACGAATAATAGGCAAGGTACCAGAGTACATACAAGGTAAGCATGGTGCGCCGCGGCTCTCGCTCGCGGAAATCCTTCCGACTTTTTTTTTGTGCCCCAGCAGATGGATTTCGGAGCCGAGGAACTACGGCAATCTAAAGACAATAAAAAATAAAATAATAGTAATATTAAAATAGCTTGAGGCAGTTTTTTTTTTTTTTTTTTTTTTTTTTCCTTTTCTGCTCCATCCATGCTACTGCTGCATATCCCGTACAGTAGTCGCCTTTCGTTTATACGAGCGTAAACTCGTGCTAGGAATCAGCCCAGGTTCTTTCTACTATAAAAAAGGACCCTTGCGCATGATAAGCGTGTCCAATCGGCGCTCTTGCTAGCGACGGAGCTGCTGCTAGCATGTAGGAATTGCTTCTCAGGATCAGCGCTAGGATCAAGTATTGATACTATCTGGACATGGTCCCCTTTTCTCGTTTCTTCTCTTCCCTTCAAGTACATACTATGTAGTAGCTTCTCTGCAGGCATTCGGTGAAGGGATGGGGCGCCTACGCTCCATGAATCCGGCAGGTTGACCATCCGCAAACTACTGTACGGAGCATGTGATTCCTTGATGATCCTTCTCATGAATGGGGTAGGTAGACTGCCTAGGTATTCAGCTTCCATGACCGATTTGGTTGTCCCTGCATGTGATTGCCATTGAAAGTCTCCAGTGTGCTGCCTGATTTGTATGAATGGAGCTACCAAGCTACTGTACTCGTACCCAGTAGATAACAGCGTGCTGGGGGTATAACAACTCTAATAGTACTCGTATTTTGTATTGCGCCTGCTCTAATATGTCTCAATAGAGACATCACCTTGGCCCAAGGGGAAATATGTACATAACAGCCTAACGAAGGATTGCCGCCCAGGTCTATAATAATACTACATCAAGTGAATGCTAGGAGTTTTCGTCGATAACCCCCACGGGGGATAGCAGGGAGCTGTCACATCGCTGTTCAGACTCGGCCGAGAAACGATGCCCTTGTCTTAAAACGAGTCCGTTCTCTAAGATTGCTTCTCCTCAAGGTCATACGAAGAACCCTTGTGCAGGATGCGGTCTCTATGCCAAGGCCCGAGGAAAAGTCCGTATGGGTCGGCATCATCACGCACGCCTCTGAACTTGTCAATGTCACCGCCATACATGGCTTCAATCTCGGGACCATAGGTTTCAAAGTTCTTGGCCCAATGTGGTCTGCCACCCATGTCCTTCATCAGCCATTCAAATGCCTGATAGTAACGTTTCCGGCACGGTGGATCACGCCAGTAAGGCCGATACAGAGTAGCGTTGAGATACAATGTCGGGCCGTCCTTGACGGTTGGGTCGAGATATGGCCTGGCATTTGAAGTAAGAGTCGTATCACTGACACGAACTTCAACTGGCGCATGAACGTAGAGGCCATCGGCCGAAAAGGGAATGTTGTGTGGCACATAGTCCGGGTCACTCGGTGTGAGTTGGTTGAGCCAAGAGCTAAGCCTGCGGAGCGCCTCTGGGCCCTTGTGTAAGGGAATAGCCCATTCGTTGACAAACTGGGAATAGAGACAGTTCATCAACAGGGCCTGGCGGCTTGGCTGGACAGCTGTCGTTGTGGAACCGTTGGCAAACCCGTACTGCATGCCAAATACGAACCACTCAACCCACGGAAGGATACGGGGCACATACTGGGCCAAGTAAAGCAAGTTGTGATAGACGTAGTATCCCAAAGACCCATCGTAATAGCTCACTGGAGGATCACGATGCTCCTCTTCCGTTTTTTCAGCTTGCCAGACTACCGCCCGGCGTGTGTAAGGGAACCACCAGACCCGCACAAACTCACTCTGAGTCCACAAGTCTTTTGACCACGAGTTGAACATTCGCAAATCAGAGTCAATAGTCTGCTTCCACTTCAGGCTAAAAGCTAGAACGGCGCGGAAAGTGATTTCGGAGATGATGCCAAGTGAGCCGAGAGAGAGCAACGCGGCTTGAAACAGTTCGGGGTTATCATCCTTGGAGCATGATTTGGTGCTGCCATCGACAAGAGTGATCTTGAGAGAAAGGATATCCTCCGACATGAGGCCGTGGCGGAGACTGCTGCCATGTGTTCCAGTTGAGATGGCGCCGGCAATTGACTGTTGATTTATACTGCCGAGATTTGGCATGGCCAGGCCATGGCGCTCAAGCTCCTCGCATAGCATGTACAAGCGAATGCCGCTTTGCATCACCACGATGCCGGTTTTGTCGTCCACAGAGAGGATCTTGTTGTACTTGTCCAGATTGACCAGCCATTGTGAGGTCCAGGTGATATCCGAGGGCGAGTGTCCGCATCCCACCGTCGTAATTCGCCTGCGCCATTTACGCGCAAGATTGACAACCCTTTCGATCTCTGGCAGCGATTCGGGCTGTATGTAGATCTCTGGGATGCAGGAAAAGGTGCGCGCCCATGTGTGGTGAGTATGGTTGAAGACGGCGCGAGAGTGGATTATCTCGTCCCCATCGAAGGGATACTTTTCGAACCCTTCTTCACTAAAAGGCTGCATATTTGCGTGTCGCGGGGTGCCGCAGGATTTCTTTTCCCCCCTTCTGTCTTCTCCCTTGCCTTTTTAGCCCACCTGTTGATCTCAGATTCAAACGGCGGGAGGAATTGAGGAGCGGCTTTTCCGATAACCGCTGGCAGGATTCCAACGAGAGATAGCTTGGAAGGGCGATCACGCAATTTGTTTGCTCTGGTGGAAAATCCCTGCTGAGCAGAAAATTATCTCAGTCGGTGCAACCACGTCTTGTGTCACGATAAGGCAGCTGTAGATGAGAGAAGAGAGGAAATCAAGAGAGCCATGGCTCAGACAATAAGAAGTGAGCTTCGCAAAGGAAGGAGGCAATTCACAGCCGTTGCTTCCATGATGTAACGATTTTTCACGGTTTCCTTTCAAGTGGCCCCTTGCCGCATCGAGACTGAGTTTGGATTTGTAACGCCTACCCGGGACGGTCCAGCGTCAAGATTTCGAACCTAAGCCATTCGGGGTACGTACGAGTACTGAGCAGACTGCTATCAATTGCCTCTGCTATCAGTGTACTCGTATCAGCGTACTAGGAATTCGATGGGCGCAGCTTTTGGCCACTCAAGGGTCTAGATCTCAGAAAAAAAAAATTTGGTCCCTGCGTCGGCGCTACTCAATCCTCCGAGTTCAGCCGTGCCTGCGCTAATTTTCGATATCTTTAAATGGACAACCATATGGCGCCGGTTTTGACAGTTGACAGCAATCACGACTACCTACCTTATACCCTGCAGCTCAGATGCTAGAACAACTTAAGTAATGAGGCTGTGTTTATGCTCAACCGAAAGGGTAACTACTACTCGTAATAGGTAGGTCGGCATGGGTCGTTCGCCGCTGAGCAACAATTGTTCTAGAATGGAGCATCTGCAGGAATGACATCTCCAACCGTCAACTACTATTCCGTCCAGTCTACAATTGGCAAAGGCATTCGACGACCAACTAATCAATTCTCATCGCCCCGATTCCGATTCCCGTTGAAATTATTTTTCACTTTGCCCGGCTACTCAGGCGGAACTGGATTGCTCCTCACTAGTACTACCCAAGTACTGCTTTGTACCCTGTTCCATGAAGCTGAAATCAGACCATCTTGTTCAAGTATCCGAGGCCGACGGGACGGCTGCCTCCATTCCAAGACATGTCCCTGCCCCTGAGCGTCCATCATTGGTGCCCGCCAAAACACTTTGCACGTGCGGCACAACTGCCGACGTCAGAAACCTGTTCTTGTTGCTCCGAGTCCTGCAATAGCTTGCAGCTGGAGTGGGTTCGCCGCGATAAATTGCCTTATTCATGTTGGAGTGGCATCCCCTCGGACCGACGGCGCTCGCCCACAGAGTCTAGAGATTCGCCTATATTAGCGATGCAAAAAATTTGGGTGCTTTGATTTCGTTAGCTTCGCTTGCACCGCCTGTTTCGCAGGGGCGCCGTAGATCAGGAGCAGGTTTAATCCGACTGTCGACTTGTGAATCTTTGCGCCTAGATCCCTAAATCCGATGACATATCATGAAACCTGTATAAGGTAGAAACACAAGGAATCCAGCATCAAAAGCTCTTTGCCCGCTTGGCTAAGCGGTATAGCGTGTCACTAGTAAATACTTGACATGACAAGGTGATCAGTTCGACTCTGATAGTGGGCATTCTTTTTTTCTTGTTCGAGTCCCATTTTTTTTTTCATCTTCCCAAGGGGCCGTAGGGCTATCTCAATTGTTCTCACCTCCACTCTGTATAGAGTATAGGTCTTGGGGATTAGGTATATAGATTTAGAAAAAGAGGATCCGTTGGTCGGTAGTCCCATGAACTCGATGCTTGGGGATGTCACGTAAAATGCTAACAGTGAACTGAAATGACAATGGGTGATGGATGAAAATTGAGTTAGACTACCTAATGTAGTCATCATAGACGTATAAACAAATATGATGTGATATCTAAAACCCATGTCGACACCTTCCCTCTATTCCAATAAATTGCAAGCTGCTAGAACCTTTATTTGGAGCCTGTAAATATGATAATGCTTTATTTGCTGGTGGATAACTACATAAAAGAAGAGGAGAATATTCTATCATTGCATCAAGTATCTTGTTGTTCTGTTTGCGAAACACCCATCTCCAAAACGCCCTTGGTTAATTTCAACCGCGCAAAGCCAACGCCAAATCTCATACTACATCGCCTTAAACCCTTGCTAAATCTCCACAATCAGAGGTTCTTCTCCTCGCAAAGTCCTCCAGTTATTGGCGGCATTGACCACATCCGGGCATCCTTGAAGCAAGAATCCCCACTTAGTAACGAATTTCTCCGTGAATTCCCAGCCTGTTATGTCCCATGGGTTTGACCATGAGAGAATGCCGAGCTCTGCGGAACTCGATGGAGTGTAGGTTCTTAATCTGTATTCTTGTAATGGGGTCATCCCGTTTGGTGGAGGAGGTGATGGTGTAGGGGCGTCCTTGTAATCATCCGATGTGCCGCTTGGCTCTGGTCCGCCGCTTGGCTCTGATCCGCCGCTTGCCTCCGATTCATCGTCATCCATTGAACAACCAAGGCTTGCGAATATATCTCCAACCAAGTCGTTCAAGATTTCATCTTCATTAATATTGAACTCCTCTACTGCAAAGATGAGATTGTCACGCAGCTGAGGCGATGGGAAAAGATCAATCCAGCCAGGGTGAGGCACCTCTTGCTGGAGTCTTGTGGGGGTAAACGACGGGGGGATTGCAGGAGTACCATCGAGATTGCGAGGGGCTAGCTTGAGATCGCTCAGTGCAAAGACTCGGCGGCTGTCGCACATAGTATAGGCTAGTGTCGAGATGCTACTTAGGATGAAGAAGTTTGTGATGACTGCCCGGGAGACATTGAGGACGATGACGTAGAGTAGTTTGTGGTCGGGAGTGAGCGGGAAATAAAATTGATGAGAACGAGGACCGCGCTTCCGACGCTGGCATGCGGAAGGTGATGGGAGCACCGCCGTAGTCGTCTCTGATTCGTGCTCTTGGGCAAGAATCAACCTCTGCCGCCGGCCTGATTCGGATATCGGGTCAATATTCCGTATACAAGAATAAAAAAAGAGGGACCAGGCAAGGTATTCTTACGAGCTGCCCTTTGGTTGAGCCTGTTTTGCCTTTTCCTTCTTTCCTTAGCATCTTTCAGCCCCGACCATTCGTCGTTTTCATCAATCTTCTGTTTGGGTCCCCTGATTCAGCTCTTGGCCAACCTTGTCCGATCCACAGGAAGCAAACTCACCTCGTCCCGCAGAGGCACTAGACGAAATCTCTGGAATGTAGCCATCGTTTACGTTGAGTTAGACCAATCGTTATGTCCAGGAAATGAACGCGGAAGAGGATTCCGTAGATAGGAGGAGGATGAATCTGGAGGTGGATGGTCATCGGTTTGGTCTTTCAATGTCTCCTGCTGACTGAGTATGACCGAATTGGGAAAGTCGGTGGGGTTTCAAGAGACTGACGCTAATGCAATCTGATGACAGAACCATCCCTGTTTGAGCCTAGACTGGCGATATTCTGAGGCAAAGCCGAATGAGACATGGAGATTGATGACGAAGAATCCCCTTTCTGGGTATCGATACTCCAAAAGTTTGGCATTGACTTGGAAATCTACAGAATTCTATGGGCTGTCTACCATTTTGAAGACTTTCACTGCGTCAATTCAACTTGATCATTTGGTGCTTATAAGAAGACAGTTGCCTTCCCCGGAATATTGGAATTCACCATGGAAACAAAATCACCGTTCGGGATCCTCTGCAGATTGCCCAAGAAAAAAGCCAACATACGACTTATAATTTCTTTGGAAGTTTGACATAATATTCATTCGAATCACCACATTGTTTAATCTAATTTCAACCAACTGAGTATTACCAATTATATTCGATTCACTTATCACGAACCTTTACCATCACCATGGGTGCTGCACATGTAGTCTGGGGCTTGTTGACAAACCGCTGGTCAGCCCCTGACTTTGAATCTCTCGACAACCTCCCAATTCCTGGAAAAACAGTCATTGTCATCGGTGCTAGTGGAGGTCTCGGTCTCGAAGCTGCCCGACATTACGTTCGTTTAGGAGCATCCCGAGTCATCCTAGGAGTTCGGTCACAGACCAAAGGCGATGCTGCCAAGAGGAACATCGCCTCTAGTCTCAGCCCCGAAGTAATCAAGTCATGCACCATTGATGTCTGGATTATTGATCTGGCATCGTTCGAATCAGTGAAAGCATTTGCGGAGCGGGCCACAAAGGAGCTTTCATCAATCGATATTGCCTTGCTCAATGCTGCTGTCGACAAGGCTCAATTCGGACTCACAAAGGATGGATGGGAGGAGACTTTGCAAGTAAATGCTCTGGCGACGACATTTTTGGCTCTGCTGCTACTTCCAAAGATGCGACAGTCATCACGACCCGACTGGAAGCCGTGTCTGAGCATTGTAGCCTCGAGAGGGCACCAAATGGTGTCGGATGGAGCACCTTGGCAAGACGCTCCGAACTGTCTCGAAGCGCTGAACAAAGAGGAAAACTTTGGAAAGTCAGCCGACAGATATTGCGTTTCTAAGCTGCTTGTCATCTATGCGGTTAGGGAGGTTGCGAAGCTTGCTCTCTCACCCCACGGTGAACCAGACGTCGTGGTGAATTATTCATGTCCGGGGGCGTGTAAATCGGATTTGGCCCGGGAATCGGATTCCGTAGGGAAAAAGGTTGGGCTTGCTGTCGTTCAGGCGACGATTTGCAAGACGACGGAGGAAGGTTCCAGGACAATCGTCTTTGCGAGCGGTCTTGGCGTACAGAGCCATGGATTGTGGTATCACAAGGATAGAATTGCAGAGTAAGTCTCCATCTGAATTTTTATTTATTGACATAATATTTTTATGACAGCTTGGCTAACATTGTTTGATTTCTAAGGCCTGGAGTGCTGGTGTCGAACGAAAGGGGGAAAAAGCTCCAAGCAAAGATTTGGAAGGAGATGATGCAAGTTTTGGAGCCATATGGCATTGAGATTAGCTCAAAATGATGAGGTGTGGTTTATTTGTATTGTTTTACAGATATTTGTATTTGATCTCTACTCAGTCGACGAAGTGATTCTAATTAGTTGCGGAAATTTCCTGTATTACTCTCCAAGGTCGTATGTTATTGCTATCACTCGACTCTCCTATTGTGAGGCATGTGACGTTGATGTCAAGTCTGTGCCTATTATTTCTCTCTACTAAAAACGCCGCGAATCCAAACTAGGCGTGTACATGAAAAAGGCAAAGCAATCCCCTCCCCCCCTTTCCCCGGATTCTGTTCTCCGTCGATGGCGCACAGTAACAGCGTGCAGCATAAATAGATGAATGCGCAAAATCAGAATTGGCGTTGGCTATTATGAATCCATCTGTTCCAGCAGCTCTTGCCAGAAACCCGTGTCATATTCCTTGAGTACATCCTTAAAGACGGTCTCATATTCTTTGCTGAAAGTTTGCAGATCGACACCTTTGGCAATCAGCAGCTCCTTGAAGGTGGGCATGTAAGCAGTCATATCCTTGAGACCGGCCATTTTGGCGAGGCACAACATCAGCGGCGTCCTCCCATGAGTGTCTTTGTGTTCTTCTAGATAGCCACTCTTCCATGTTAGCAGTAACTCAGCTACCTTGGGTTTACCTTTTGACAAGGCTTTATGGAGGGCTGTCTCCCCCCAAAAACACTGCTTGTTAAGGTTTAAGAGCGGCAAATCGAGGTAAACCTTGATCATGTCTATATCATCGTGCTCAATCGCCCACATCAAGGGTGTGTTACCTGCCGACCCTAGACGGTTCACATCAGACTGATATTGGACAAGCATGATAATGGCCGCCTTGTTGTTGTGCTTTGCAGCAAAATGAAGCGGAGTGTCTTTGTGATCATTAGTAATATCTGGATTTGCACCATTCTCAAGTAAGAGTCTCATCAAGATCGTGTTTTGATCCCTGGCAGCCGGAAGCAACAACTTGTCGAAGGACCTGTCTCCTCTATTGAGGTAGCTCGCAATGCCATCGATACACAAAAGTTGACTCGCGATATCATGATAGTCTCTACTCACCGACCAAGAGAGCCATGTCTTCCATAGGGATCGCGGTGCGTGCTTCACAACCGTGCCTTTTCTCTCAGACGTTTTGGAGTTCGTCGAAGCCTCCTTAAGCATTTGCTCCACGGTTTCCTTGTCGTTAGACGAAACGGCATAAGTAAGAATGTCCATGCAGCCGAACTTGACATTGTGCGAGATACAAACCTCTCTTACTCGCTGGCATTGTTCTGAGGATGATTGGACGAGGCTACTCCTCGGCTCGGCGAAGAGATGAAAGTAGATGAGACTTGGATGGAGATTATCCACAACGCGAGCGATAATTTCGGCTGGGAACCGGGCAAGAATGTCCATGGCTAGTGTCGGATTTGCCGCGAGAGGCGAGGCGGGAGCTGATGCCATTTTACACCTGCGTGTTGGGACTCATCAGAGTCGTTAGGACGGGCAACTGATGCAAGAGTCTATCTTGAGAATATGCGCTGATTTTAATCTACAGGTATGCACACTACGGGAATTATATATGTGCGCTACTGGTGGCATTTTCTTGAACATGAAGCCATCTCCGACCATCTTGATATAGCCGCTCGCTGAACATCTTAGCCTCAGAGGCTGAACATTCACTACGTACAATCGAGTTCTCAATGGAAGCTCAGTAAAGACGGCTTCATACAACGCTGGTTCAAAAAAAGAAGGGGCGACATTCCTCTAGAACTAAAACAAGACTACGTGTATGTAAAGATGGCCTCTTACAGCACGGCATTTACGTTGTGTATGAGTCTGTACAAACATTATGGATTGATCAAAGATGCAAGAGTTGGGGCGACAAAGGCATAGCGACAATAATGGCCGTGCGAGAATTGCCTCTTGAACACCACCCAATTCCCGGGTGTTGCGTAACAGGTAGGCTTCGATGATTAATACATGTTCATGTGAGGAGAGGGGAATGATACACATCCATTGATTGAGCCTTTGAACCGCTAACATGTACACGATACGCGCTGTTGAGGCCATGACTCGCCGAGTTGCCATCGCGTGAATCCTGCCCGATAACTAACGCGTATAGCACACTCCCCCTCCCTTTTCGCACTTTTGAGCCAAATCAATGAGTGCCTTACTTAGAAATGCTGCTAGAAGAAAGAAGCAGAGAAACCGCGGGGTGGTTCCGTCATGATAACGGCATATCATACCTACCTGACCTTTTATGTAGGTACATGTATACCGCAGTAATCAAATGTACCAACCTGTACTTACCTCTTTACGGACCCCTCGGTATTAATAGATTAAATCCATTCAATCCTGCTTGCTGCATCGAGCCAGCCCGTGAAAGGAAGCTGGTAAAAGAGCCCTTCTCCAAATTACAGGCCTGCATGACTAAGCGCCCCGCTGCTCGATGCCCGCTAGTTCGCTTGGAGAAAAAAACGTCATTCCGAGTCGAGCACTTTGTTGCTCGGAGCTACGAGTTACAAGTTACAGGCAAGCTTAGTGCTGTTAGCTAGGCACTGTGCCGTGCAGAGAGCGCTGCAGCGGCTGCTACAGTGTCTTTTACAGCGCCTCAGGACACCTGAAGGACAACTCAGCCACGAGTGCAGCATCATCCCTCATTTTCAGACCAAGGCCTGGTCCATTCTTGTACATGCCACTTCTCCACCACCAATCTCCCACGCTGCTGGCTTCCCTTCTCTTCAATTCACATGCAGCCCGGGCTGGATCTGCTCTTCTTGCACATACCTGTACCGCTATCGACGCCTTCTTTCACCTCTGCTCCGAGCTGCTCGGAATAGTCTCTGCGTTGGCGGCTGGGGGCTGCCTTCCGCGTGCAACTTGAACGAACGAACCCCCCCGAATACGAGCGAACAATTGCATGTAGCCCAGCATGTCGGACGTGGGCGAGAGGTACGTCGACCAGCCTCTGATTTTTAATCCTCGTCTTGTCTATTTGCCCGCTGCAACATCTCTTTCCTGCCCGCGTTCATCACCGCGTCCTGTTCTGCCGTCGAGTGCTGTTTGAGCAAGCAATTGTTGGACTTGGTGGGTTGGCTGACTCGGTTGATGTGGCTACAGCAACCAGCACAAGCGGTCCAAGTCTGCTGCCGCGCTGTCGCTGCTGCGGCGCAGGGACACTCGCGAGGACGAATCCGGAACTGAAGACGATCGATTGTCGGCCACTGGCAGTCATGCATCACCTCCGAAGCATGCTACGTCAGCTGCCCGAGGTCATAGCTCGCGGCTATCGACGCCGTCGGCCGTTCTGAGCAGAACACCCTCCAACACCCAGACCGCTGCGAGCGCAAAGGGCTCCCCTGTTCAAGACATGAAAACCGGTAGCCTTGAGCAGTCGGTCCGCAAGTTCAGGGTTGTCGAGGCCCTGCGGAGCGGGGACACGGCGTCCATCTCAAAGGCCATTCGAGAGACGGCGGACGGCGTCCCACGTGCGAGCATGTCGTCGCTTGGCGGGGCCAGTGCTGGAGCGCTGGAAGATACCACCATACTTCATCTGGCCATGCAGTGCGCCGAATTCCCTGTTATTGAATACGTTCTTTCCGACGGTCTTGGTAGTTTGGACGTGAATTCTCGAGATAAGGATGGCAACACCCCGCTGCACATTGCTGCCATGCACGGCCGTACTCAGGCAGTCAAGCTGCTCCTGGATCAGAAGGAGATCAACGATGCCATCGCAAATTCCCAGGGGAAGCTGCCCATCGACCTGGCGCGAACTCCCGAGATTTTCCAGCTTCTTCAGCTCTCTCGCTCCATGTTCACGGATACCAAGGTGCAGCAAATCCAAGACCTGATCGCCAAGAGCGACTATGATACCCTTGCTCAGGTGCTAGAAGAGCAGCGGCTGAAGACGATGCTGGACATCAACAGCACCGAGTTTGTAAGCGACCCAGCTGTTGCGCAAGCTGGGGGTACCTTGCTTCACGAGGCAGCCAAAAAGAAGAATATTCAGCTCATCCAGGTGCTTTTGCTCCACGGTGCCGACCCTTTCCGTCGCGATCGAAAAGGCAAGCTGCCCCAGTCAATTACCAACGACGACAACGTCAAAGCCATTCTGAAAAAGTCGCCGGCCGCTGTTGCGGCACAGAGAGGAATTCAAGAGAAAGCCGTACTGGGACATGCAGCCTCGCAAAACGCTACCACTGGCGGGCCTGCTGATCCCTTAGCAGGCCGCGAGGCTCGCGAGATGAAGGGTTACTTGAAGAAATGGACCAACTATCGCAAGGGTTACCAGCTAAGATGGTTCGTGCTCGAGGATGGCGTGTTGAGCTATTACAAGCACCAAGACGATGCCGGTTCGGCATGTCGTGGCGCCATCAACATGAAGATTGCCCAGCTCCACATGAGCCCTGATGAGAAGACCAAGTTTGAAATCATCGGCAAGTCGTCCGTTAAATATACCCTCAAGGCAAACCACGAAGTGGAAGCCAAACGATGGTTTTGGGCCCTCAACAACTCCATCCAATGGACCAAAGATCAGGCTAGGGAGGAAGAGCGTCAAGCGGCTCGCAGCGCGGAGCTTCTTCGACTGGCCAAAGCCGATCAGAGCGGATCGGTCTCTGCCCAAGACTCTCACAGCGAGAACACGAGCATGACGGACTTGCGGCGCGTCAGCACGCAGCTTCAGGCCCGGCCGATCCTTAGTGTCAAAAAGTCAGACATGACCGGAACCAGCGTCGGCAGCGTAGAAGAGGATGATTTCGTGGATACCTACACAGAAGCGGATGCGATGCAAGGCCACGAGCACCCCGCTGGTCCAGGCACCCTGCCTGGCGACGGAGACGACGACGACGATTATGGAGAGGAAACGAGCGGCCGTGAAGAACCCCAGGCAACCAAGGACGCGCTCAACATTACGGCACAATCAGCAAAATTGCAGCTCGAGACCATGGCGAGCGTCCACTCGGCTCTTATGGGAGAGCTGTCCCGTAGTCCTGCCACGACGTTGTCAGATACAAAGGTGACACAGGCTCTCTCCACATATGACGCTGCCATTCGGAGCTTGACGGCACTGGTTGGCGACCTGCTCCGGATTTCGAAAGATCGCGACGCGTTTTGGCAGTACCGGCTTGAACGTGAGTCTAACATGCGACGGATGTGGGAAGAAAGCATGGCACAGGTGGCTCGTGAGCAGGAAATTCTCGAGGCCCGCGTCGGAGAATCAGAGATGAAGCGCAAGCTCGCAAAGAAGGCATTGCGAGAAGTCATGGAAGGTGGCGCCTTGCCGCCGTCTGTCAGCGTCACTCCGACGATGGAAAGGGTGCAGGAAGAGGTTGAGGAGGTCGTTGCCGTTGTCAAGGCAGCTGGCCGCGGCTTGCCTCGAAAGCCAACGGCTCTCGAGCAGATGGCAGAGATGTCTGACAGCGAGTCTGGAGTGGAAGACGAGTTCTTTGATGCTGTGGATGCCGGCGATGTCGAAGTTACAGAGATGCCTCCTAGCGAAACCAAGCAAGAGAAGGCCATCGTTATTTCGGGTATCGATATTAGTAGTTCGTTCAATGGATATGAGAATGGAATTCGGCACAAGCTCAAAATGGAGAGCGATGACCGGCCAAAGATTTCTCTCTGGGTACGTCAACTAGTCAATCAGGTTTCGCTGACTTGGGTGCGCGGATGGGCTAACAAGAAGCGATAGGGTATTCTCAAGTCTATGATTGGCAAGGATATGACGAGGATGACACTGCCCGTGTCATTCAACGAGCCAACGTCTTTGTTGTACCGTTGCGGCGAGGACATGGAATACGTGGAACTCCTCGATCTCGCAGCTGAACGCGCCGATTCAATCGAAAGACTAATGTACGTGGCCGCATTTGCTGCTAGCGAATATGCCTCTACGATTGGCCGCGTCGCCAAACCTTTCAATCCCTTGCTCGGCGAAACGTTTGAGTATGTTCGTCCGGACAAGAACTACCGCTTCTTCATTGAGCAGGTCAGCCATCACCCGCCGATTGGCGCTGCCTGGGCAGAGTCACCAAATTGGACGTACTGGGGCGAATCGCACGTCAAGTCCAAGTTCTACGGCAAGTCATTTGATATCAACCCTCTCGGAACATGGTTCCTCAAACTCCGCCCTACCGCCGGCGGCAAGGAGGATTTGTACACGTGGAAGAAGGTAACCTCTTCAGTCGTTGGCATCATTACAGGAAACCCCACGGTGGACAACTACGGCCCCATGGAGATTAAGAACTGGACAACTGGGGAAGTGGCGCTGGTTGAATTCAAAGCCAGGGGATGGAAGGCCTCGAGTGCGTACCAGATCGTCGGCAAGGTCATGGATGCGTCGGGCCAGGTTCGTGTGAGCCTCGGCGGACGATGGAACTCGAGACTATACGCCCGATTGACGCCAGGCTACGAGGCTGCTGTGGACGAGCCCTCGACGAAGAATAAGGATATTGTTCACCGCGGTAGCATCGCGGATCCCAGCCGAGCCTACCTCATCTGGCAAGCCAACGAGAGACCGACAGGAATTCCCTTCAACTTGACGCCGTTTGTGCTGACGTTTAACCACATCGACGACAAGCTGAGGCCGTGGATTGCACCCACAGACTCGCGTCTGCGGCCAGATCAGCGTGCCATGGAGGAGGGAGAGTATGATTTCGCAGCGACGGAGAAGAACCGGCTGGAGGAGAACCAGCGAGCTCGCCGACGAATGCGCGAAAGTGCCGGAGAAGAGTTTGTCCCTGCATGGTTCTCCAAGGAGACTTGCGAGGTCACGGGTGAAGAGTACTGGAAATTCAACGGCAAGTACTGGACACAGAGAGAAAAGGCCGGGCCTGATGGCGATTATGAGGCGGCGTGGGCAGGGTTGGAGCCTATATACGACGATATACCTGCTTAGAATTTCGTGGTGACAGATAGCGGCAGACGACAAAAGACTCAGAAAAAGTAAGGACAAAAATGTAACTGTATGGTTTTAGCACTAGATTTCGAGGGGTTGAGCTTGGTTGTTTTGTTGTTGCTTTGTTAAAGAGAGAGAGAGCGAGAGAAGGGGAGTGGAACACGACGGAATGAGATAGGAAGTAGCCCGTATGCAATATTAGTACTATACCGAAACACTCATTATTCCATCTTGTTGCATTTTGTTTTGCCTGTGGATGTATATCATGCATTACCGTACATGGCCTGACATGTGCCAAATGTTGGGGAAGAGATTGGCGGGTGCTGACTGGCGTCGTTTTCACATGGGCGTTGTTGCAATTCGAGTCTCACCAAACACCACTTGCTCTATAAGCAATGATGCCGCCAAGCAGTACATTTACTTACATAGTACTCGTGTAGCAATTTGGTATGGACCACAGTTGCTTGTTATGGCCCCCTTAATTCCGTGGATTAATGGAACGGGTAGTCCGCGGACGGCGAAGCAAACCTCGGCAATTCTGTGCTGATGAATGCAATATACACGAGAAGCAATTCGTCAACTCAGGAACAAGCATGAGCCGACGCATCCTAGTGGATTGTCTAGCTTGATTAGTATTAATGGCAAAGTCAATTCGCCAGTGGATTCAATGTCAAAAATGTGTTGAACGTGTGCGTTTTCCGTGCGTTAGTACGGAGTTGGGAGTATAGATGGCAATCTGTGCTAGACATTAGCTAGGCTGAGACCGGGCTGAGCCGAGGCAATTCCTCAGAGCCTGACGTCAAGTGAGACCCCTGAGGACTTGACTCGAGTCTGAGACGTTGAATCTCTTTGTTTACCTCTTTATATTTTCAATAGATATATGGACAGAAGCCGCTGAGATCCATTATTCTACGGACATGAATCGCCCTTGAAAGACTCCGCCAATAATACCAAGAACTAAAGAAAAAAAGAATGAGTGGCAGCGATAACGACGCCAAGATGGAGGGGACAGAAAAAGTGTTGGACAAGCGGACGACGCTGCTACGGCCTCCGGAGCCGGATCTGAGCAAGTCGCCCATCGAGAACACAGTCGAGGTGACGCCGCTGGCAGTGCTGGGCCCGGTAAGAAGACGAGAAACCCAAGTGAAGCCATCACGAACCCCCATCTAACCGAGAGTCTGCCGCAGGACATCTTCACCAACACGCGGCCGCTGTGGCTGCCCCCCGGGGCGCGCGGTGTCTACGGAGGCGCCGTAATTGCGCAGAGTCTGGCGGCGGCGCAGCTGACGGTGCGCGACGACTTCCTGGTGCACTCGTGCCACTGCTATTTCCTGCTGGCTGGGTCGGCGACGATCCCCATCATGTACCACGTCGAGCGGGTGCGCGACGGCCGCTCGTTTGCGACACGGACGGTGCAGGCGAGGCAGAAGGGCAACTGCATCTTCACGACGACCATCAGCTTCGTGCGGGAGAACAGCGGCGGCGAGAAGCAGATCCGGCATGCGGCTGCACTGCCCGACGCGGAGATGCCAGATCCGAGCTGGGACGAGGAGGATCAGGCCTGGTCCAGGGCAGGGCCGTTCAAGAGCCGCCGCATCGAGCTCAAGGACGCCGACGCCCGGCCGGACCAGCGCAAGGCGCGGCAGTGGCATCGCGCCCGCGGCCAGATCTCTGAGGCGGGAGGCCACCAGGCGCATCTCAACGCGCTGGCATACATCTCGGACAGCTACTTCATCGGCACGGTGTCGCGCATCCACCGGCTGTGGCGGCTGGGCATGACGCCGGAGCAGGTGGTGGAGCTGCCGGAGCCCGAGGGCACGCGGATACGGCAGTTTCTCGCGTACGACGGCATGGGCAGTGAGCCCGAGGAGTGGAAGGGGCTGGAGCGGGTCGGGATGCTGGTGAGCCTGGACCACAGCATCTACTTCCACGAACCGAAGCGGGTGAGGGCGGACGAGTGGATGTTTTCGGAGATGGAGAGTCCGTGGAGCGGAGATGGGAGGGGGGTTGTGATGCAGCGGATTTATGCGCAGGACGGGACGTTGCTGGCGAGTTGCATACAGGAGGTGAGTCTCTTTTTGTTTGTTTGATTCTTTGATGATGATGAATGATGACGATGTATGATGAATGAATGCTGACATGGAGATGAACAGGGCGTCGTGAGGTTGCAGCAGGACGGGGCGGAAAAGGCATCCAAGATTTGAACGACGAGGTTTTCGGTTAGAATAAGAACAGGGGAGATCATGGCGTTTTTCTTTACTTACAGCATGGAAACGAACGAGATTTAGGTTCGGGATATTTGAACCGCTCGACATTTTTAATTTCACAGAAGCTCAGCTTGCTTGCTGTTTTGGTTTACAAGAGCTATATACCTATGTACATTGGCTTTGAGACTATTGTTCGAGTTTCCAAGAGACTGTTCTGGCTTATTACAAGATACTGTTCATGTCTACAGCATTATGCTTGTTAAGTTGCCTTGTACAAAACAATATCGTCGTTATGTTCATATACAATGATGTCCTTTCATGCCCAATGACTTCTGTCATATATAATTGCCTCTAAATCTCCATCTACACGCAACTATCCAAGGCTGCTAAATCAATCCATCTTGCTTGATATCCCACTGCTATCAACCTCCATCCCCTTCTCTCCCCATCATCATCATCATCATCATCATCATCATCATCATCATCATCAAAGCGCTCATCATGTGTCGCCTCGTCATATGCCACTACACTGTTTGCATGTGTTGGTCCCGAAACCACTACGAATTCTGCTCAAGCGCCCGCCAGATCAAAGGAACGGACTACCACAAACAGTGCAGTAAAACAACCACTGCTCTCAGACTTCTCATTGGCTGGTGTGACAAATGCATGTCGACAATTGAGAATCACATCAAGAGCGATGCGGACTACGACAGCAACAAGCCGGCAGTCAAATTCAGAGACGCAACGGCCATTCGAAGATTCTGGGGCGTCCAAGCCTCCGATTACGACGATCCAGAAAAGGTCCGGAAGATTTTCTCGCGGCAGCACGACCCCCTGACGTGGCTCTGGTGGGACCCCGTTGTTGATAGAAAGTCCGATCTGCCTGTTCAACCCGGTCATATCACATGGGAGGGGAAACTCATCCATGATGCATATCGCGCCGCAAAGGCCAGCGCGGTCTTGCTCGGACCGGATTCATACGACCCCAGGGTTGTAGACTGGTCTGAGATTACGCAGCGGGCGAGGATTAGCACCATTGTCTGGGCCAACGGGTATGAGGATGGAGAGAGGCATGCTCCGAGGGTGCCTCTGTATATGGATAAGCCGTATGATGCGGAAATGTGGAAGTTGACGGCACCTGGGATGAGTCGTCCAGTGGTGAGCTACCGGTGGTGGAGCGATATTGTGTCGAGAGAGACCACACAGCCTCCTCCTCCTAGCTATGGGGAGCTCTACCCAGCATCTGGCCATATTATTACCGAGCAGTAGACGTGAGGCGTATTTTGTTTTTGCTTTTGTATTTGGGAAGACAAATGCGAATAGATTGGATCAAGGCATATGTTTATTTGGTTTTGTGGGTTTAATCGAGCAGGAGTTGATGGTAGACATGCTCAGTATAATAGACCAAGGTTATTGTGTTAGTAAAATCATGGAGCAGTTTGCATGTATCCAAAAGACGTGATGCTTCAGTCGTGTTTATCCCTACATGATCTTATCCGCCACATGTTCCAGCATCTACATCGTTTAGGTATAGTACAGGCAGTCTTATTAACACCCGACAAACATTCCAGAGATTCAGCCTCAAATCGCCGAAAGGCGGCATTTCGTTAGTCCCATCCTGCGATGGCCAACACATGAGGCAGATTTCAGCCGCAGCTACACTCCATCTGCACAAGCTAGGATCTACTAGCAGTCCAGCCCATCCTATTCAAAAATAGATACAAAAACATGTTTGTCCTGGCCATGTGAGCATCTCGCCTCACTTGCTTGAAGCCAATATTTCACGTGCAATATTGATTTCAAGTGTACTACTAGGTACGTATCTAGGTAGGAGGTAGTATGGGCTGCAGTCCTCTCAGAGGGAAGGTACGGAATGCCTCGTTCCGACACCGACAACATAATCACAACACCAAATGTCCTTTGCAAATGCAAAATCCTTTTCCTCCAATCTTTTTCTCGTCTTTCCCGCGTTAGCCTATCTCATTGTTCAATCGGCAAATACCCTTTTGGGACAGACACGATAAAATCACAGACCCGGCAGCGGTCCATCGCCAAGATGGGCAGTTCCATTTACCCACCGCTGACTCACTCGCCTCACAAAGAAATTGTTCCTAGCCGTGGCCTGGGGTTGTGGCGCAGTGAAGCACATTCAGACCAGCAAGTGCCCTGAGCTAAGACGCTCGCCTAACTGCTTTGCACTGGCTCTTTTGCACAACGGCGGAACATTGCTTCCCAGTCAATAGCCGGCTAGCCAGATCGGCGTGGCGCTTCAGCTCCAGGAGGATTCAAAAGTGGCTCGTCTTGCGTTGCCAAGAATAAGGAGCCATGCTATGCTACCCCATCTATCGAGCTAGCTGCGGCTCTGGCAGAAGTCGAGACAGTGATCGAGACTCTCTGGCTCTGGGAACCCCCCGATGCTCTCCAGCTGCTTATTGGCTGGTTGCCACCATGGTTGGGCAAAGGCGCGAAGCTACCGCGATTCTGATACATGACACAATCCCGCAGGGGCTATGTCTCACTCACTGAGGCTCTCTACCGCCGTATCGTTCTCGTACGGCACAAGAAAATTAGACTCATGGGGCCTTTCCCGTGCCACTCGAGTAGGCAGGGCTGCTGGGTCTAAAGCATGGCTTCCCAACCCCGAGTGGTTCTAGCCTCATGCACGGGCAGGGATACACGAGAGAATGGGCTTTCAGCTCCTTCAGGCAATCGCCGCGGTTTCTAAATCTATGCTTAAATAACTGAGACGCCCCGAGCAATTCCCGCTCCTCTTTGTTTGCCCGTGATACCAGGCAACTAAAGGCGGTTCGAGTTCATCGTTCCTCGAATATCACCGCAGCGTTGGGCCCGATTTACCCTTCTGTTGTTTCTTTTCCACCATTCACAATGCGTTCTTCCGTCCAGTATATCTCGTTGGCAGGCCTCATTGCCGCAGGCACAGTTTCTGCAGGCATTGTCTCCATCCCTCTTGAGAAGCGATATATCATCAATGACCCTGCCCCTTCATTGCTACGTCGTGATGGCAGTATTAGTCTCGATGCGCTCAACAACATCACTGGGGGTGGCTACTATGCCGAGTTCAGCATTGGCACGCCACCCCAGAAGCTGAGCTTCCTTCTCGATACCGGCAGCAGTGATACCTGGGTCAACTCGGTCAAGGCAGATCTTTGCACAAGTCCATCAGTACAGCAGACGGTTGGGGAATACTGTTACAAGCAGTGTAAGCCGGCTGTCACTATTACTTATCCACTCTGTCTCTGAATTGCTCGGCTGATCTTCAATGTTATTATAGTTAATCCGTCTAGTAGTTCATCCTACAAGTCGAGTACAGAAGACTTCGACATTAAATACCTTGATGGCCGCAGGATACAGGGCACTTATTTCAAGGATACCGTTACCATTAACGGTGCGAGTATCAAGAGCCAGCAGCTCGGCTTGGCTCTTGTCTCTGTTCGAGGTACAGGCATCATGGGTCTCGGATTCACAGACAACGTCGCGGCCGATGTGAAGTATCCTACCATCATCGACAACATGGTATCTCAAAATGTCATTCCCGTGCCGGCATTCAGTCTCTACCTCAACGACCTGCAAACCAGCCAGGGCGCCATTCTCTTTGGCGGTGTCGACACCGACAAATTCCACGACGGCCTCGCCACTCTGCCCCTTCAGCCGCTGCCCGCGAATGTTGCCACGACCCAGGAAATTGTCATGTACAACGTTCAGTTGAATGGATTCACAGCATCCGGCGTTGATACCCCTGCCGTCAATGGCAGCGCAATTCTGGACTCTGGCTCAACGCTCACTCTCCTTCCAGATGCTGTCGCACAGAGCCTCTGGAAGAAATACGGTGTCATCAACCTCCAAGGCCTCCCCATTCCTTTTGTTGATTGCGGCAAGGCGAACACCAAGGATGCGACCTTCAACTTCAAGTTCACCAACAAGACGATCAAAGTGCCCATTGATGAAATGGTCATCAACAATCTCGCCTCGATTCAAGGCGAAATCATGTCAGATCCCACTTTGAGCAGCTTGTTCAAGGGGTGGAGCGGAGTTTGCACGTTTGGCATCAGTTCAACAAGAAACTACGGTATCCGCACGGACAACTTCATCTTGCTAGGTGACACCTTTTTGCGGTCTGCGTATGTCGTCTACGACTTGCAGAACAAGCAGATTGGCATTGCCCAGGCGACTCTCAACTCAACGACCAGCAGCATCGTCGAGTTCCAGAAGGGTTCAAAGACAATTCCTGGCCCTGTTTCCACTGGCGCCGATGATTCAGGTAATTCAACCAGTCCCAATCCAACCAATCCAGGTAGCTCTGGGCTTCCAGATAGTTCTGGAGACTCTGGAAATTCTAGTGATTCTAGTAATTCTGACAATTCAAAAGGCTCTGCCGGCTCCGCGATATATCCTACTTTCTCGATTGCTCTTGCGGGCACCGTTTTCACAGCTCTTTCCATGATGCTGAGTGCTCTGTAGAGGCCAAACAGCTACGGGAAAGGGTTAACGTCATGGTAATGTTCTTTTATTTTTCACAAGACAACTGGGGTATAATATGATGGTGAGAAAACATATGGGATAAGGGGATAATTGCGAATATACGAGCTATCAGATTTAATGTAAGGTTACGAAACGGCCAAGGGGATATACTGTAGCGACGATTTGGGGGTTTTGGGTATAAACAAGCAAGTCAATCACATGAAATATACGAGCGAGATTACTGGCACAGACAAGCCATGTCGAAGCATATAGCACCCATAATTTGTCCTTGGACATTGACTCTACAATATTCCTACACATAACCATTCTAACCCTCTGCGTAGTCCTCGAGTAATGCTTTCAGTAGGGAAGAAAATTCGAGATGAAGATAACTTTGAAGTCCGAAACTGCCTAAATCCGCAGATACATCTCGAAGTAGATGAAAAAAAAAAAAGAGCAGCAGAGGGACTTGCTGCTCAGAAGTGTATTCGAGTCTTCCAACGCCTTTGTTGTATATGTTACAGAATCGCCTTCATCCAACTGACCCTCCCCCATAAGCTGTCTTCACTCCTCTTTCTTGTCCTGGTCCTCACCATTTGGCTCGTCATTCTTCTTCTCGCCAAATTCGTTGAAGAATCGCTCTCTCGCCCGGTCGTTGACAGCATCCACATAGTCCTTGCGCTTGTTGAGCGTCCTGCTCTCTCCCAAAGCCTGCGCGTTGCCCAGGTCAGCGCCTTCGGCCCCAAGACCCACGCCCTGCCGATACACATGGGTGACGATACTCTCGGTGCGGCCTTCAGAATTGGCGCCCAGGCCGCTTCCTGTTGTCCAGCCCATCTTGGCCAGCATACCAGCGCCCTTAGACTGCACCGTAGCCTTCTCTTGGACTGGGGCCTTGCCCTGGTCTTTCGGAGGTCCCGAGGCGTTCTTGTCTGCTGGGGCAGGTAGTGGCTTCTTGGGTTGGTTCCATTGCTCGCGTCGCTCCTTGGCCCTGTCACGGTATTGTGGTGCTGTGGCGCCGGTATCATCACCAGCTTCAGTTTGTTTTGGTAGCTGGATGCCTCGTTTATTCAGCCTCTCTACCGCGCTCTTGACAGACTGCTCATCTAGCAGCTTCTCCGCATGCAGCTGCGAATTTCCATGGCGGCCCAGCTCATCCAGTGATTTGAATTTTCGCATGCAAAGAAGACATTGTAGCTTCTCTCGGTCCGCATATGGGGTGATTGGCTTTTCTTCCTTGACCTGGACGTCAGGTTTGGCTGCAGGCATGTTGTCGTTGATTTGCTCCTCTGGCGGAGGTGGAGGTGGAGGTGCAGAAGAGGGTGCGGGAGGTGCTGCATTGGTTGAGGCTGATGATGAAACCGCTGGATGGCCTGAGGCCTGTTTTGATGCTCCAGTAAATGAAAATTTGATGGGTGCTTCCTTTGAAAGCTTTAGGGCGAGTGGTGGCTGCTTGGCAGCTGCCTTGTCGTCAGATTCATTCGTATGGATTTCTTCATGCTTCTTCTGCCACATGGCCATATGACCAGCCATCGCGGGGACTGCCCTTTTGGCGGCAGCCCCTTGGGGATCATCTGCCTTTCTCTTCTTCGGCTTCTTGCTAATTCCATTCGGGTCACTTTCTTTTGGCTCTCCATCTGCGTTCACAGTCTCGGGAGGCTCAGCTGTCAGGAGTTTCTGGCTAGGGTAGGCTCGCAAATCACGATACCGGACGCGGAGACTGGTGTTGAACAACGGAGTAAAGGAAAATCGCTCTATATCCGGAGTAGTCTCACGATCCTCTGGGACAAAGACTCCCATGTGAATGTGAGACACGTTGACGGCACAGGCTGCAACGGTGAAGGATGGTAGCAGCTTGATTTTAGCCATGGCATCAACAGCGTCTTGCACAGTCCAGAACTCAGCAAAGCCATACTTGACAGACTCTTCGGTATTGGGATCGCGCATTAGGAATACGCGGTGGAGCGACCCTGCGCGCGCACCAGTCCGAGCAGCACGATCGGCTGGGGCAGTTGATTGAAGTTTTGAGCCTGGTACCAGCTTCTGGCTGGCCGGGTCAGGCTTTTCAAGCTCTAGACGTTTCATGTCTGCAGCGAACATGTCCTCGTTGACAAAAGCAGTCAGAGGATAAACCACCAAGATCTGGGTAGGTGCTTCAGCCGCATCAGCAGCGGGATTCAGACTTAATCGCATTGTGGAGGCTAAGAATTATACGTCAGTTGTAAGCCATTGCGAGATGGTGTTGAATTATACGTACATGTTGGGGGTGAGCCACAGCGCTTGCACTTGATGCGCGTAGAGTAGTTGTTGAAGCCGCACTGCGCATTGGTGAGTTACGGTTTCTGTCTATCGGGTAATGGAAATCTTACAGGTTGGCAGATCCATTGGCCAGCACCGGAAGCGCGCGTTTCTGCGTCCTCCCTGCGATGGGCAAAGTGAATGTAAGCACTGATTCTGCCATCTGGAACTTCATCAGTCGTGTCAGGTAGTGTGATGAGGACTTTGGGAAAGTTTTCATTGACAAAGGCGGCTGCATGATCAACTTCCTCAAATTGGATAAAAGCCCGGCGTTTTCCTTTGTGCAATGTTAGGGTGAGACGTTCAAAAGAGCTAGAATCCAATGGTATGCATACCTTTGGAATACGATATCCGGACGTCGACGAGAGAATAGTTGTCGGAAATGCAATTGCGGATAATGCTCTCTCGTAGCTGGATGTGCACTCTTGTTAGACACACATTCTATCTCGTAGCCTCTCTCTCAATATATTGTGCGAGCAGTACAAACCTCCATTGCGTCTACCCTGGCAGGTAGCCCTTCGAAAATAACGGTATCACTGGGCAGCCCAGCCTCTCTCAACCGGCCACCCTCTCTGGCAGGACTGCGGGAACGACTCCTGCTATAGTACTCTCCGTACTCTCCATGCGGCGATCGGGACGTGTAGGATCTCCTATCACGGTAGGAAGAAGAGGAGCCATGGTCGTAGCCTCTGTCTTGGTCATTTCGCCCACGGTGATAGTCATCGCTATACATTCTGCCCTGGTTGTCACGGCTCCAGTCACGAGGGCTCGGGCTTCGCCTCGGGCGCGCATCATGAGCGTCTCGGTAGTCTGGCGCACGATCTGCACTGGAGGGTGGCCGGCGATGCGGCCGGGAGTGATAGTCGCGCCGGTCCCACGCGTTGCCGTACATGTCGTCGTCCCTGGATGGAGACTGTGAATAGCCTCGTTGTCCCGTGGGCAAGTTAGCCGTCAAGCTCAATTCATCAGCCATAGGTAAAGCCCAGTGAGTGTTCTCAACCTCCTATGAGGATGAGTGCGCGGGCCGTGTCTTTACCCTGCCGCGATTGTTGGTAGTCGTCGTGGTGGAAGTCTCGGTCTCTGGATCGAGCATGGCGAGAGTCGCGATTGGCTTCACGATCTCTGCCCCGGTCTGGGGATCGTGCGTGCTGGTCGTCGCGCATAACGACAGAGGCCAATCAGGCACAGTCTTTGGCGGAGGATGTAAAGGTGTAGAGGAAGAGAAGGATAAGAAGAGGAAGAAGAGAAAAAGAAGTAAAGAGAGCGGAATGGAGGTAAAGTTGGAGTCGAAGTCGAAGTCGAAGTCGAAGGCGAGCGCATCACATGGTGGGATGTTGCAACCATCAAAAAGAAGTCCCACCTTATTTTGCAGCAGAGGGAGCTGAACTTTAAAAGACCTGGCGCTGACTCAGCTGCCTGCATCTACTCTACTGTATCTGTACTAAAGCCTGTGCTGTGAGGAGGGGCTCGCCGAGAGGTACGCACACTCCCACCCGTTTCTTGCTGCACGACAAGGTACCTGCTCTACGCCACTCCAAAACCTTCGCAAACGGCATCTAGTAAATTATAACTAGTAGTATATAATCATTTCTCATATCTCATCTTTGTGTATCGTCTGTCTCTTCTTCTCCATATATCTGCCTCTTATCATCTTTGTCTTTGTCTTTTTGGATTCCCCAGCGGTTGTTTTGGACATCATTCATTGTTCGTCGATCTTTGTCTCAGCCTCTGTATCACTCAAAGAACCGACCGAGCCTCTTTCGCCACCAGCCATGGGAGACATCAAAGATGACGATGAAAACACCATCTGGGAGATGTCCGACGAAGGCTGCTATGTGGGCCTAACGCACGATCATCTCAATATCCAACAGGCCATAGACAAAGTCCGCAGTCCCGCGGCTGGTGCTATTGTCTTGTTCGCAGGTTGGTGGCTGACTTATGCGACATTCCGTTCTTATATCTCATGCCAGGGCCACTCTCTTGCTAATCACATTCGACAGGAACAACGCGAGATAACTTTGGCGGAAAGCCGGTAAAGGAACTCCAGTACACATCTTATAACAAGCTGGCCTTGCGGACAATGTTGGCCATCTGCAAGGACATCCTCAGCAAGCACGGGCTCAAAGGAATCTCCATGATCCATCGCTTAGGGACCGTTCCCATTGGCGAAGAAAGTATCCTCATCGCAGTCTCGTCGCCACATCGACAGGCTGCGTGGAGGGCAGGGGAGGAGGCTCTCGAAGCGTGCAAATCCAGGGTAGAGGTATGGAAGAGGGAAGAATTCGAAGGCGAAGAGGGCGTCTGGAGGGCAAATCGAGACGGCGCCATGGGACAAAAGATGGATTCATGAGTAGTTCTATATTCTTTCTATCCTGTTGTTTCTCTGCCGCTGTCATCTACCAAAAGATGAGGTATTGTGATATATCCCCCGCTATTTAATCATTAAACCATGCCCACTGTTTCCAAGTCTCGCTCTTTTTATTTTTCGTATACGGGTAACGGCTCTTTTAGATATTCAAACGGACAAAAAGCCGGACGATTGGAATCACGCTTCCCCAGCATGACTGTCACAAATGGCCAAATTAGTATCTATGGACAGTTGTAGAGACACAGTGTTGAGGATGACAAACCAATGTGTTCGCTGTAAATCTCTGTAAAGGTCTGACTCGTCCCCAGTCCTGAGGGAGCTAGACACTCGGTCAAGGCGGACGGATATACAACGATGCCATACTCGGCGAAGAGCATCTTCCAGAAATCGACCGGTAACCTGACACAATCATCTCCATGGTCAGTAACCAGAAGCGCAGCGAGATGAAAAGCAATGTGACATACTTGTATTGCCCTGATTTGACACACCCATGCACAAACACGCAGACCGTCTCCAGCATCACCAGCCCTTGCTGTTTAGCAACGACAAGCTCATCGTCTGTCCAGCCATATAGTCGTTTCAACCGCTCTTCTGAACAGCTCATGGCGATGCTCCACCCCTTCTCGATTTTGTGCAAAGTGTTATCTTCGAGGTCATACATTGTGTGTCGCGTGAGAAAATAAAATGATGAAATATCGACGTTGACTTGATCGCTTTTTCCACTCCAAAAAAAAAAAATGTGTATGAGGTTGTCAACAAAATCGCATGTTTGTGGTGTATAGGTTAAGTATCGTAGAACAGGCGCATATGACGACAAATGCACCGAGCCATCAAGGTTCTCGGAAGGTTCGTTCATGACAAACTCTATCAACAGCGGCATACCATCAAGGTACCAATTAATAGTGCATGACTAGTTCAAAAAGATAATAAAAATGAACAAAAATGAATCATTGTCAGCTTAATTACCAAAACGGGAGTGACAGCTGTGAGGGTTCAACAGCGGCCGTTGGGTCATCTTGTCAAAGAACTGAATGGATGACTGTTGCTTTGGAATCCACCTGAACTTGAAATACAAAGAATACGATTTTATTCGTTCATGCTTCATTCCTTCACAATCATATTGCGAGGTATAACATCGTAATAGCGGCACGGAAGGCAATAGGTAGATTCTGCATTCACGTCTGTAGCCTTCCCTCAACATCTTCACAGGTATGTAACTTAGAAGGTAGATTCGAGGTTTTGGTGGATAACCAACCCACTCGATGCAAGTGCCCACCAGCACTTGGACCACCGAAAGCAGGCGCTAAGAGCATGGGGATAATCGAGTAAGCGATGGCGAGCTTTCATTTCCATGGTGAACCGTAGCAGACGCTTTGCTTAGTCTTAATCCCTTAAGTGTTGGGTGTTAGCAGAGGGAAAAATAAACATTAAAGAGTAAAGACATATGCTCGCATAAAACTGCTTGATTAACGCTAGTAAAGCCAGGAATATATGTGCATGCTGCTATGTACAAGTGGTATCTCTGGGGGGGCTCATAAGCCAGTTCGTGACTTCAAAGAATATACATCAATCGTGATCCTCCGCCTCATCATCATTATATCTACAAATACACACACACGATACACCGTCCACTCTATAGAGAATAGTTCTCCGTATGCAAAAATATCTCTTCCAGTTCGTCGTCGCCCCAAATCTCTGCCTGGAGCTTCGCGACGGTGTTGGCCACGCCCACTCTCATTCCTGGAGGACCGCACACGAAGACGGCAGTCCTTCGGCCCAAGATGCCTCTGCCCTCGGGCCCGCCTGTGGCCCATTGCTTGAGCATGTATCCAAGAGAGGGGCGGCCATATTCGATGGTCCAACCGTCTTCAGTTATTTGGTGGGGCATGGGGAACGCAGATCGCATCAGGTTCTTTTGGAATTCGGTGGGAGTCTGCGGGAATCCAAAGTCAAACCCGGCTGGTGGGCCAAAGGTCGATACGGGACGGTCGCTAGGGCCAACGGGGATGCCAGTGTTGTACAAGTGTGCAAGCTCTGGGACCGCGATGGGCTGAGGCTGAGGTTCCTCTGCTGGCGCATCATACTTTTTATCCTCGGGATAGCCATTCTCGTTGAGGTAATCCAACCTGTCTTCAGATAGGGCACCCTGGCTCACCGGTGATTCATTAGGGGGGAGGTTAGGAAGGGGAGGTGGCGGCGGGTATTGGTGAGGTTGCAGGTATTTTTGCTGCGGAAGGGCCGTGATGCGATCCTCATTCTCAGCTCGAAGTTCGCGCTCTCGCTCCGGATCTCCCTGTGCCTCAGCCTGAATGAAGGCCGAGTTTCGCTTCGAAGCAATGCCTGCAACGAAGCCGTCAAGTTTATCGTGAAACTTGTGAGTCAAAGCTCGGGTGTTTGTTCCATTTATGGGGGCAGTCATTTGCTGCCCTGGTCGGTTCCGCACAGCCGTAGTGACGAAGAATTTACAGCTGACGCTCTCGGGAGGCGCAGATTCACGGCAGATGCGCAGCTCCTCTCGGAACCAATCCATGTCCTCAAACTTTTTCATGGCCCAGACGACGACAACCTTTCTAGTGATGGCTTTGCCATCTCGCATTCTCTTCACCAGATTGAGAAGCTGGGAAATTAATGAGGTGATGCCGCTTCCGCCAGCAATGAGGATGCAGGTGTCAAAAGCGGCCAGGTCGCGCCTCATGCCGCCGTAGGGACCATCCAAAAACGCGCGATATGTATGAAAAGGGCCTTTTTCAATGGCAGTTTCCAGGACCTTGCGAGTAAATCCACGATAGGCCTTGAAAAGGAGAATGCAATCCCGGTAGTTTTCTCCGTACTCGGAAGGCAAATCATCGCTGCAGAGGGACGTAATGGTGAACGGGTGGTTATCGAATACTGAAATGCCTGGCATTCGGAGATAGACGTATTGACCAGGCTTCCACCGCATCTGGGTAGGAATGGTGACCTTGATAGCATTCTCGGCCATGAGGGTGATTGCAGCCTCGTCTCCAACCATAAAGGACAGTCGTCCAGGCCATATCCAGTTAAGTTTAAAGACCCGCATGAGATTGCAGGCTCCCCAGATGGCCGCAGTGGCATAGAGATAGTCCCAGGTGAGGAGTCGGTTTGCCGTGTGCCAGAATAACACGCCGACGAAGAGGATGCCGACCGGGACGTGGCAGATGACAAACAATTCGTAGGCAACTCTCCTAATCCAGGGAAGAGAGGTCACATTAAGCCAAATCAACGGAACGATACAGGCAATTCCAGTGCCGTAAATGATGCCCTTTGAGGGAGGGAAGGTTGAGGCCCAGACCGACATGCCATTGTCATCCCACACAGGCTGGACGTAGAATGGGATCATGTGAACCAAGGAAAGGAATAAACAAAGGTAGCTTAGCCATCGGTGAAAGACGTTTAGTCTCTCGGGTCCAATGCCAAGCATCATGGTCAGTATATTTGTCTTCATGCCTGTCGCAATGATCCACGGAATCAACGCCACGGCAAGCATACCAGCCCTGATGGCCACTGGAGGCGCTCCAAAGCGAATGCTCTCCCAATAGAGCGGCTGCTGGAGGAAGGTGTAGAGGGCAACAAAGGCAAAGGCGATAAATGTCGTCGCCAGAACAGAGAGCGACGAAAACGTAAATCGATGCTTTCCAATGACGATATCAGGCAGAGAGCGATAGAAGACCCATCGAAACAAGGCTAGTGTGTCGTTGACAAACCCAATGGACGAGAAATGGGCCTTTGGACGGAACTTTTCACCCATAGGGTTGCCGTCAGGGAAGAACTCATGGGCCATGCCGGTGCGAATGGCGGCCTGGACAAAGTTGGAATCGACATTGTAAGTCTCCTGATAGTGTGCCTCTACTTGTTGTTTGTAAATGGCCTGGCGAATCTTGTCTTGCCACAAATGCCACATGCGAACCAAGAAGACGCAGGCCGAGAGCGCAGCCGCGAAATAGGTCCACCCGAGAGCATATTTACCGGCCTTGGACCAAGGATCGACAGTGTTCGCCTGAACGAGGCCCGGAGGGCTTGTAGGAGTCAAGGGAATCAGAAGCCGCTTGACAACGTTGGAAACGCTTCGCGTTGCTTGGGTGGTGACCTCCTGCATATGGGGTGCCATGATGGCCAGCAGGAAATCGCTTCAGCTGCGTCGTAGCAAAAAAACGTGGCGGGCGAGGTACGAGTTGGAGTTGGTATTACCCCGTGCTTGCGTTGGACGTAGGTAATGGGTGGAAAGCCCACGGTTTCAAGCTGGGCCAAGGACAGCGAATGCTTCTATCGCATTGCAGCCAGGCGCTTACAGCCCGCCGATCAGGACTTGCTGCCGTGAATGAGTGGCTATGAAACAACAGCGCGCTCTGGAGTCATAACGAGTAGTACCAGACTTCTCGAAACGAATCAAGGCCCGATGATTAACGAAAGAGCCGGGCAGTGAGATGGCAAAGATTGATCAACAACTGATGAGCGGTGGGGGGGCTAAATGCGGCGGCCCGTGAGGATATAAAGCACAGGCGAAGCTCAAAGAGCTTCCCTCCTCCCTGCACTCGCTAATACGGAGCGAGTGATACAGGGATTTTTTAAGTCGGTGGATCACATCAACGATGAGCTAGTGAAGGCTACAAAAGCGTGGGTTGCAAGCGCGGGAGAGATACGAACGAGCATCAGACGTTGGTGACATGTCTAATCGCCATGTGGGCGGGGAATTGAACGACGGTCGTCATGACCTGAATCGTTCAATAGTCCGGACAAAGGCAGAGAGATGAGAGCCGTGATGGAACGCACCAGGTCCCCCAGCGGCTGGGCAGGCCGCGAGATTGGTCGCCTGTGCATCCGGGGATTGCACACGCCGAGGACGAATTGGCGCGGCCCAATGTGACAGGCGAGGTGATGAACCTGGCGGCATGCAGGCCAACTTACCGCAATCCAGACATGGTGTGCTCCAACCAGACATCGAGTTTGCTAGCGGGCGGGGGCGACTGGCTTCTTCTCGGCAGACGGTTGATGATCGAGCAAGGGGTCGTCTGCATGAGCAGGGCGGAAGCTAACGAGAAACTCGATTCATGTGTCTTGCACTCCGTTCTGCGCACATCGATACTGTACAAGTACATGTGCGTCCTCCAGGCACAAGAACGGGCTGCCGCTCATCCGCCAGAGATCCACAAGTTTGCTGACAAGGGGCTCCATACTTCGTTGGTGATGACCACAGTCCCGTGCTGGCGAAGAAAGAAATAGACTCCGAGATATTCCACAAGACAAGATTCGAATACGAATACACCGGCGAAAGTTACCGTCTCGAGAACGGAGCCAGAGCAAGTCATGAAGACCACTATCAACAGCCCTAGCGCGAATGAGGGGAAGCCAGATTTCTGCTTTGAGCCACTCAAGAGCTCCAACAGCTCCCAATCGAGGGCCGTTTGGGCAAGTAAAAACGGCGTTTAAAGGCTGTTGGTGACGGATCTAGTGCGCCATATGCACTCTGCACTGTGATTCGACGGGCGGCAGGGCGAGGGGGACCGTCTTGGACAAAGGCGGCAAAACACGGCGTGTGATTCGCTGGGCGCTGGATGGCCGACAGCGGTCTGAGCAAATAGGGCCCTCGGAAGAGTCCGCCAAGATGCTGATAATCTCACAAGGAGCGCTAAGAGCCGGAGCCTGGCTGATCGCGTGGGATGAATTCGTGTGTCTCACAAGGTTTTGCGGTTGCTGGTGTTGAAAATGGCGCTGCTTCTGCTTCTGCTTCTGCTTCTTGTGGTTGCTTGTTGCTGCTGGTATTCCGTAGTGGCCCGGAGAAATGGGCGTCCGGCAAATGCTTCCCCCTGGCCTGGCTGCCTCGTCCTGAGAGAATCACCCGATTGTAGAAATCGTCAAGCATCTCTTCCTGCACAATGCTGCTTGCCCATGCGAACTCCGTAGACACTCGGCCATCCGGCCACGGCAGCGTCGCAGTCAAATCACGTGTGGCACCCATCGGGAGTCGAACTTTGTAACCGAGCAGCTCTTTAACTTCGCTGCGCCGCCAATTGATAATGAGTCCTGCCTGGAGAGACACGTCAGTTGGATATTTATCGAACCACTAACTCCATAGACGATACGAAGTAATCGGCAACGACGGCAACGACGGCATCGATCGACATCCCCGTCTTTGCATCTCCGAATTTCCAAGTAATCTCCAGCTCCCAGGTTGCCAGGCAGGAAGCGATGGACTCCTCTGTCAGCCTTGTGCTCCACCTTGATTTCATTGGCCGTAGATTATCCAAGCTTCCCCACCCGCAAGGCTGAGAGCTCAAGTTTTCTTTCTTTTTGGGCACAGCGGCGCAGAGAACAACTCCCGATACACACGACACACTCGATACGACCCTTGTTCTGATGTTGTAATTCTGCATCCGTCTTTCGATTATACCCATCAACGACGCCGAAGTCTCCCGAATCGCCGCCATCATGGCACCCGAGGTGGGCCTGTCTCGCTCTACCTTTGCGAAGCTTTCTCCTCATCCGTATCTGCTCGCAAATCTTGAGCCATCCGACGACTCTATCCCACCGGCACGAAGCAATGGCCGAGCTCCTTTCGAGGTTCGGAAACCTACGGTGAATCTGTCCAGCTTATCACATGCCCACGGAAGTGCCCTGGTGCGGACAGGCGATACCACCGTCATTTGCGGAATTCGGGGCGAAACTATCCTGACAGACCACATCCCCAACTTTCGCGCATCCAATACACAGACAGAACTGGCCGACTACGACCTACTGGTTCCGAATATTGAACTGGCCACCGGGTCAGCACCACAATTCTTACCCGGCGGTCCGCCCACAACCCTCGCCCAAACATTGAGCACCAAAATCTACTCTCTTCTACACAGCTCCAAACTGCTGCGCGCCGAGGACTTGCGGATATGGCACAAACGACCTGCCGAAGCTCCGATCTCAGGCTACGAGGACGAAGAGGAGGTGGGGAATGAGAAACAAGAAGGGGAAGAGTACGTGGTGGCATACTGGGTGCTGTATATCGACCTATTCTTCATCTCCTTTGATGGCAATCCGTTTGATGCCGCTTGGGCTGCAACTGTGGCTGCTCTTCGCGACACCAAGCTCCCCCAAGCTCGCTACGATCCAGACAGAGAGATGATTATATGCTCAAAGAAGGACCCTAGACCTCTCACGGTGGAAAGCATGCCCATTGCTTGCACAGCAGTCATCTTCACAGGCAAAGAGACAAAGGAACAGGCTGCGGATGGCAAATTCTGGATATTGGCTGACCCAGATACCCTGGAGGAGTCATTATGCGACGAGACAGTGACGATTGTCATTGACTGCGCAGGCGGCTCAAGAAGAATACTGTCCATCTCGAAGCACGGAGGCACAGTCATGACGGCGAAGCTACTTGGGTCGAAGGAGTTCCTCGACTGGGCAAGCAAGCGGTGGGAGGGCTTTGCATCGGCAATGACGGGCGGCCGATAAATCTAGAATACCATAATACCATAATTGTCCAAGCATTGAGAGCCATTTTGCTCCAACTTGTTCCGCTGGCCAGCTTATACAAAGCAAGCACCAATTAACACTAGCAAACTCTGCACATAGTACCAGATAGAGGTATGGAATAGCAAACAAAATTCATGGATCAAAGCGGGCATGTGTCAACCATTCGAACCACCCTTTCAGACTTTATTCTAGGGCAGTAGATACCGGCCGACGACTCTCTCTGCCGCTCCAGTCGAAAGGACCCGCGATGCCACGTACGTAAAGTACCAAAGACATAACGTGAGATATTCAACAAGCGGATAAACTATAGAGAAGAGAGGAAAAGAGAGAGAAAAAAGCTCAGAAACAGAAGCTCAATTTTTTAGACTCCCACAGCAACGCACAGGCCACCTGACTTAGCTAATCCGAATCCGCCTCCCCACTTCGCTTGAGCTTCGAACCGCTTTCAAACCCTCTAGCTAACCCAACATTTAACGAAACTTATTTTTTTTTCTCTCCGTCGGTTTCTCTTTCTTCCTTTCCTCCCTCATCGTCTTTGAACCGGACCATGGAATCCCTCTCAGATACAAAGTGGGATGTAGTGATCAGCGGCACGGGGCTCCAGCAATCCCTTCTCGCCCTGTAAGCTTCGGATTCCATCGGCTTGGCTTTTTTGCCCTCAAACTGACTGACCAGCCTCGTCTCGTGAAGTGCGCTGTCGCGATCTGGCAAGAACATCCTCCACGTCGATCCCAACGAGTACTATGGCGAGGCCGAGGCTGTCCTGAGCTTGCAAGAGATTGACGAGTGGGCTGCTGCACGGCAATCCGGCGACGGCGATGGAGTTTTCGCAGCCGCGCGAGTGACCCGTCCCGACGGCCCCGAAAGCTTGTCGCCGAGAGGCTACACCCTTGCCTTGGCACCGCAGCTGATCCATACGCGATCAGAACTCCTGTCGAAGCTGGTGTCGTCGAAAGCCTTCCGACAGCTCGAGTTTCTTGCCGTTGGCTCGTTTTACATCTACCAGCCTTCGTCCGGAGAGACCTCAGCTGCTAGCCTCAGCCGCATACCCTCGACTCGAGAAGATGTGTTTGCCAACACAACAATTTCGGTCAAGGCAAAGCGCGGGCTTATGAAGTTTCTCAAGTTCGTGCTGGACTACAACGTTGAGCCGCAGACGGACGTATGGAAACCACATGCAGGTGACTCGCTGGCGAGTTTTCTTGCGGCAGAGTTCAAGCTTGACGCCGACCTGCAGGCATACATCGTCACTCTGACCCTCAGCTTGGATGGCAAGATATCAACAGAAGCTGGTCTGGCCGCCATCCACCGCCATATTACTTCTATGGGAGTCTTTGGCGCTGGCTTTGCAGCCGTTTACCCCAAATGGGGTGGCCTCTCTGAGATTGCCCAAGTGGGCTGTCGAGCTGGTGCTGTCGGCGGCGCCGTTTATATGCTTGGCGTTGGTATCAGGGATGTCCAGAAATCTTCTTCCACGGCCGAAATGCCCGAAGAGCTGGACATTGTCCTGACCAACGACGTGGCTATAAAGTCAAAAGCCCTGGTGAAAGCCCTGGGCAAGCCGGCAGGCGAAAGCCGCCGCTTGAGCAGGCTCACGGCCATTGTCGACTCGGATCTACCCGCACTCTTTGAGAAGGTGACCGACGGTGCGCCAACCCCAGCCGTGGGCGTGGTTGCGATTCCCGCTGGAACACCCTTTGGTGAAGATGGAGTCTCATCAGAGTACCCCATCTACGTTCTGGCTCACTCAAGTGACGCCGGCGAATGTCCTACTGGAAAGTGTAAGTTTCTTTCTTTCTTTCTCTCTCTCATTCTTGCACTCCTACTTGTGTTATGATGATAAAACCTAAAACGAATACTTATCTACATTGGCTGAATCCCATTGACGATAACTCCTCTGACAACCTGATACACAACCTCATCATTAGCATTTATTTATCTTTCACATCTCTTGCATCGGATAGTTTGCTAATGTTCTCACCAGGTGTATTATATCTAAGCATCCTCACAAGCCCAGATGCTCAAACCCATCTTGAAAAAGCGCTCGCATCCCTTCTGGCCTCTCTCTCTGTAGAAGGCCACGAGCCTCCCAAGTCTCTCTACCAATTGTATTATGAACAAACTGGCTTTGACGTTCCATCTATAAACATTGATGGAAAATCCGCTGTGTTTTCCCTGCTACCTCTGGATCTTGCATTTAATGACTCTGTATTGGACCCTGTCCGAAGTGCTTGGGAAATGATTGCCTCTCCAGCTACGGATGAAGAATCTGCAGACTATCTAGTATTCACAGACAGAGAAGGCGCCGATGCGGAAGATGAGTTTGATAATTAATTAGCTAGCAGAAATGCATCAAATGAACGATTATATGACCCTGTGCTTTGTACTAATTGAAATCCATCGTCGCGGTGCCCTTGAGATAAACCTGTCCCTCCGTCGAAATATCCGTACCATAGTCATGATATCAACTGCAATAGACGTCCCGGTCACGTCCGTGTTCCCATCTTGGTCTCAGATGTTCCGAAATTCCCACCATCAGAAATAGAAGCATTTAAAGAAAAGAAAATCCGAAAGATGCGTAGAAAGTCCCCTTCCTGTTTTCAGGGCCGTCGATTCCTCATGATTCATCCCACTGCGAAAATAGATGTCCTTGTCTCCCAAACGCCATTGTCAGATGAAAGCCCTCTTATTAAATCTTGAAAACGCATGAAACTCCAATACTCGAAAGGCAGAATGGTCATATGCCTTTAAACTCAAACTCCGAAACCGTTGCTGACAAGAGGCCCAAATCAAGCAAGCTCATCTTCAGACTCCGTTTGTGTCTCGTACATTTCACCACTGACGGCGGTACTGATTCCAATTCGAATGGCTCCAAATGGTTCCATGGCTGCCGCGCCCTGTTGGTGAACTGAAACGACATTCTTTGTCGCCAGAGACAGCACGTGTAGGAATGCCTGAGCGGCAATGGCTTTAGAATGGGTGCTGGGATCAGCCAGCTCCTCAAACTCAATCCACCGACGATTTTTCGGATCTCGACTATGGGTGACACCCGTCTTTGAAGCTTGCTCCGTGACATATCCCAAGAAATTCTGACTGGTCAAATCAAGACCTTGAGTTGAAACCTGAGTGTTGTCCTGATTAAAATCAAGGGGACCAACTGGGCCGCCCAGCTGGAAAGACGAGTCTTGAGAACCAAAGTCGTCCATTCCGAAAAAGGGCTCAGCAGGATCACTATGGCGGTCAATGGCGCCCAGGGCGCTTCCACGATTAAACAGTGGGCTTGGGGTAACTTTTGATTTCTGTGCACTTCCTCGAACAGATGAGCCTGGGACGGCAGAGCCAGGTCTGCTCCATGGCATCAGTGATGAAGAGTGACGATCTTCCATTGGCGGTGCTGCAACCATTCCAATCTCGGGGATCGAATTATCATTAAATATGATGTGTGCGTCGTCGTGGATGTCGCGGTTATCGCCTCGCCCAAGCTCAAATTCCTCCATCATTCGCTGCCTTGTGTTTCGCTCTTCAGAGTTTTGCTCGTCTTCAAATGCTTCTTCCGACTTTCGGCGTCGACCTCGTTTTTTGGGCTCAGCTTGCTCGATTTCATCTGGTTCCTGGCCCTGAAGGCGAGCCTTCAGCGAGATACCAACAAAATCAGCCGCCAAAGGGTGGACCAAGCCAGCTGCATTCTGGTATGCTCCAACTTGAGCGATGCCATAGTCATAGAGAAGCGCTATGGCATTCTTTTTCGCCTGGCCTTGAGTAGTAGCCGTTCTCTGCTGCTGTCTGCCAACAGATGCCATGTTCGTAGCATAGTTTAGATCCCAATCTTTAATTTCTTGTCTGTGAAGTGAGATTCTTGTGTCCACCACAGTATGCGGATTCACTCGACGGGATCTGACCACCCTGGAAGATGTCCGGCCAGTTTTTGCTTCTGCTGATTCAGCTACTTGTTGCAATGTCTCTTCCGCTTGTTGCACCGATTCGATCGTTTGAACTGCATCTCTGCCTGGTAGTTCCTGGTCTCCGAAGTCGAGCAGGTTCTCTTCTTCGCCCATGATGACACCTCGCTCCACTTTCGTTATGCGTTGTAATCCAATATTAACCACTGGGGGAGTTGCTTGAACAGGAAGAGGAGGTAGCTCTGGCTCCTGGTCAAGAATGCTGATGAGGTTTCCCTCTGCGTCAAAACCGAAGCCGATTCCCGCCATGGACGGAAATTCATCATCACCAAATGGCTGAAATTCGCCCATGCTGTCAGTGTGGTGAATTGATCTGCCAAACAAAGGGCTGAGATTGCCGAAATCTGAGGGAAGGCGGCAACTTGCAGCTGATTGAGAAGAAGGCGGTAGCTGTAGGTTGATCAGTGCAGAGTGGTGGCGTGGCGGCGAAGAACTGCCTTGGCTAGCAGTGCCGAGCGGTGTCATCTGGGAGAACTTGCTCGCCGAACCCTGGCTTGGAAGCAAGACTAGATCTCTATCCCATTGAAGAAGGTCAAAATTGGGAAGTGCAGCCAATGGGTCGAAACTGGGATCATCCTCCAATATGATATTCTGGCGCCTTGATATGCAGGTTAGACTTATGATCAATAGATGGAGATAATGGTTCTGCTCGCTTACTTTGTCTTTCCAGCCCGTGGATCAGTCTCGCTTGTTTGGATGATGCGAAAGAATGTCACCATATCAGACTGTGTCCTTTCAGCATCCGTGAGAACGTACGCGCACTGATGAGCGAAAACACGCGATACTCCGTAGAGTAAGTTTCCCTGAAGGCGGAGGGCCAGGGGAGCTCCTGGATCCAATATCTTTTCACATGCCTTGGGGACGTTGACCTCTTGGATGGCTTTCTTTGTCAGTCTCTTTTGGTTTCCTTTGCCCACAGTGGCCACCAGCCTACATGGCGATGCCGATCGTTAGAAGAAGTCAGCCAGCAGAGGAGCATTTGAGGTACATACCAGATAGTAGCAACGCCATACTGGGTGTTGTTCAGAACTACACGAGAGATAAGTCAGGATGCCTCAGATCATCACATATAGATGTAAGCATATCGTAACTTACTCTCATGACTGTAAAACATGGTAAATAGGGGGCCGCTAAGCAGCACCAACAAGGGGAGAAAACTCTCGAGAGAACGCAGAGAAAGACGCAACGACCAGACTGAGTAAACCAAATGAAGTAAACCGATGATGATGCTAATAATGATGGAGATGTTGATCTGGCTGCTTGAAACTTGTTCTTCAACCCCCTTGTCGAGCTTCTGTTGGAGTGGTTTGTTGTGATAATGAATCTGTTGGAACAAACAGTAGAAATTGCATGAAGGAGTTGGAAGAAAGACGCGGCTGCTTCAACGCGTCGAAACGTGACGCGATGACCAAGGCTCGGAGAAGGAACAACGCTGTCCGCTTTCCTCAATGGTTGCTGCCAGTTGCCCAGCAGTTGCTGCATCACCGCCTTTGACCGAAACAGCTGTCGCAACTTTAGGTACCCTAGTAGTAGGTACCTCTCTCTCTCTCTCCCCCTCTCTCTCTATGCAATAATGTACTTGTAAGACTGTAGAATCAAAAAGAAACAATCTTCATACTATCAGTACCATATGTCCGAGGGCCACAAACAACCAGGCGGCTACTGTCACAGCCAAATAACAGCAATGTCCCAAAATATTCATCGCCATCACCGCAATCCGCCACATCAATGAGCCTCTTCTTGTCACAATCCTCAATCTCGTCCTCATCGTCGGATCAATAGCGCTCTCCCACCCGATTTCAAAAGAATCCCAATGCAATGTCACATAGCGCCAGGGCCAATAGGGCAAGTCACCATCCATAGAACGGCGTATCTCAGGCCAGCGAACGGCATCCCAAAACGCCGCAGACCAGACATCCAGTATGCCCTCTGTTTCCGTCGAGATGTGATAAGATCCAGGGGCTGATAAACCACGGCCCAGCTGATGCATTTCGGAAATTTCCAAGTTACGCCAACTGAGGTATGCTCCTCTATCTCGGGAGCCCCAAAAGGCTGTGTACTGGTCAAAGTCCATTGGCGGCTTTCTGGTCCAGTTGTCTCTCACACCTCGAGAAAGGACCATCCCAAACGCATGTGCTGGGTGATTTACTGCACCTATGATTACTTGGGTCCTAAAACGACTGAAATCTCTCTCCTCTCGTCTTGAGATGGCAAGAAAACCATTAAATCGTATATCCTCGCCATATATACATACGACCTGGTACATACATTCTATGCCGTTTGCAAGAACATAGGGTATCAGCCGCTCGACAAGAAGGCAGTCATATTCTGTTAAAAAAAAATGAGTCAAGTTGTTGCATAATAATACAAAATGTTCATGTACATGTGGTAGCTTACCTGTAACACGCATCTTGCGACGAAACCATGCCTGCAAAGAAAGGACCTGGTACAGTTCCCAAGGAGCCATAAATCCGTTCACAAGACTGCGCTGCAGTCTTAGAACCTTATTCCCACATTCAACAGTTCTATTCCGGATTGTTTGCTGGTCCTGGTCGCCTTGAATATCCAAGAATAAATTCATGCAAAAGATGGACAAGATGTGGAACATGTACATCGAGTGTCGAACTCTCCTCAACTCGGCAACCGATACTGGCCGACGTCCAATAGACTCCCGCAAGGGATAGAATCGGCGACCCAGCCCAAAACAACAGTCCTCCACAAATGCTGCCGATAGCTGAGATATTTTGCTCCACAAGAGAGAGATTCTGTCGGCATCCCGAAGGGTGACCCGCATAGATGAGTGCGCAGGTGATGATCGATGTAGGATCGAAGCCTGATTCCGTATCCGCAGAAGGATGACCACTTTGGTATCGATCTCATCCATAGGTAGCATGTCAAAAGCTGGTAAGGCTATACGATTCTTCTCGACGTGGTGTGCAACAACAGCATGAATAAGGAGGTCCTCGCCCAACTCATTCTTCAGAACACATATCACAATGCTTCTGTTGTGATTCTTGAAGATAGTATAGACCCTCCTATTCAAGAGGATAAATTTTTTCAACGTGGCTACATCTGGTAAACATTCCATGATGTGAAGAACCATCTCTGACGGGAGATTAGCAATCTGAGTGGTCGCCATTCTCGAGGCTTTTCCAGGGGGGCGACGAGAATATGTTGATTCGAGAAAAGTTGCATGGTGTCGACTTGGAATATGAAAAAAATAAAAATAAAAAAAGGACACGCAGTGGGATATAGGGGATATATATATAAAAAAAAAAAGAAGAAGTAAACATTGTGGAAAACCTAATTCATTTATGAGGAACGTATTTGAAGCCAAACTCAGATATCAGCCACGATGCCTCTGCTAGTGGAGGTTACGTAGCGACATCTCGTCGTAACGGATGGTTCCAGATAAAATTTACGGCCTATCTAACGGCCACGTTAGAGCCGCCAAACAAAGTTGGTGGCCGATGCTGATATGATGGACAATGGAAATAGTGTTTGCATAGATGCTGACGACCTGGAAGCGGAGCAGGTGGCGATACATCTCGAGGCTCTTGTACATGTACGTATTATATATATTACCCCTGATCAAGGTTTACTCATCCAGTCTAGGGTCTATCGAGTCGGCGGGTTTCATTGATACAAACCACCCTTGACTGAAGCCAAGCCCTGGATGAATGACAGGTAGCAGCATAGCACTCATCTTCAGCCTCAATGTAATAGGGGGGATCAACCAAAATTCCATTTGCAGTTTGTGACGCTACTATCTAACGGCGGCCCGAACGCTCAGCACCGCCGTACATGGAACGAGATCACTTGATTCTCTAGTTCTAAAGCCATTCCCTAAACCTAATCTTCTTTTCTTCCCCCATCTTGCTTCTCGCCAACCCAAGGCGAGCCAAGCTGCAAAACAAACGGTTACCCCACACGCTCCAAAGTTCCCTTGATATTCCATCCACCACTACCGCGCCCGGTTTGCTGCCCTTGCAAAAAACCAAATCACAAGAGCCATTCCTAAATGCAAAGCCCATTCACTCGAAGGGCATCCAATAGATGAATGCACGATGATAAGAAACACCAACACAGAAAACTGAACCGACTAGGGCTTGAACTTCTGCTATTGCTGTTGGGGGATAAAGAAACCTAGAAAGAAAAAAACAAAACAGAAAAACAAAACGATGAATAGCCGGCCTCCTTTGTACTCCCTGTTCCTTTCTACATGACTTTTGGGTTAGCTGCCGCCGTTCTTTTCGATACGTGCGGAGCATACATGACTTCTCTATTCCATCGTTACGACTGGGGGGCAAAAAGATGACAATTAAAATGGGATGGAAGGGGAAGCGGGGATAATTGTAAATATGGAAACTGTAACCACTCGAATGAGAAAAAGGAATATTGTGTAATGTGTAAAAAGCTTTCATGAAGGGGGTATTGGATTACTGTAGTGTCATAGGGTCTATATACACATGAAGTGGTCATGGGGATCGTGTTGTTGCTCTGCTGTGATGTGTTGAACTGGGGGGAAGGGGAAGGGTGGGTACGCCCGCTCGCGTGTCCTGCGGCAGGAAAGTATAACGAGGTGCTCTCGATTTGGAATCAACGGCTGTTGCGATGTCGTTGTTCGTTTTGTTATTGTTTGAGACTCATGGTCCAAGATAGGACGCTCAAAGATTAAAGGGTCGGATTGCGTCCTCAAGACTGAGCAATGACGCCCTGTGTGCCGCCCAACTGACGCTTGACTTGCTCACGAGCCCACCGAGCGGTCTCTATCGTGCGCGGCTGGAAGTCACGGTTGGTCTTAGTCTCCTTAATCATAGCCGTTAACCAGCCCTGGCGGAAAGCATCAACAAGCTCGCCATTGGGGTAGGCGTCAGCCAAGTCACTAAAGATGTCGTTAGCATAGTCGCTCTAGCTTATCGCGTAGGCAAAAGTGGCATTCAGTCCTTACCCGATGACTCCCATAGCTGCCCTCATAAGTGACTCGCTGCGGTTGGCATCACTGCCGATGAGGTTGAGAAGCTGGAAGATGGCGGCAACATATTGCTGAAGGACTTGAGCTGCAGAAATTTGTCAGTATCAACATCAAGACAGGGTGTGGCGGAAATTCAAAGGCAAGACGTACTCTTTCCGCTAGACTTCATGGCACCAATAATGCCACCCCAAGCATCCATGATACCTTCTCTCAGTGAGATGACGTAGTAGTACATCTCATCGGGGCCCTCGGGGGTCGCAGTGACTGTGGATGCTTGCTCAAGAACCTGGGCAACAACAGAGAGGTAGGTCTCAAAGTGACCTCCAATGGCACCAGCGATATCTCCAAAGCACTGCAGAATAGCAGGCTTGAACTGGTTGGCAAGGGTAGTACTCTGTGATACGGCAAGTTAGTTATATCAAGGCACAAGTTGTTGTTTTAAGCTGACGATGAAAATGAAGGAAAAAAAACTCACCCTTAGGTTGTTGAGAAGATAGTTCATGAAGTTGTCGCAGAAAGGCTGGCTGCGCTCGCCCATGGATCGGGTAATGTCGCTGACGAGGCCAATAGCCATCGAGCAGAGACTAGGCTCGTCCTGGTTTCCAAGGGCATTGTACAGGAAAGGAACGAAGGCCTCCATGTATTTGATGAAGTCTTCTTCCATGGTGGTTGACAGGGCGCTGATAGTGGCGAAGACGGCCTCGGGAACGCTGGACTTTCCTCCAATGGTGCTGAGGATCTGAAGGAGGACCTGCATGATGCGATCACCCTGAGGGGAAATCTCCTTGTCAAGGCGTGAGATGATGGCCTGCAAAACAGTGCACAGGCTGTTTTGCATCTCTTCCAGAGTCAGCTTGTCCTCAACGCTAACTACCTGAGTCTGCAGAGGAATGGTCTCCTCGAGACGCTTGATGATGACATCAGAGAGCGATGCGACGGCCGGCAGGCTCTCAGAGGCAGAGTTCTGAACAAAGACATTGAGGACTTCGTAGGCAGCGGTTCGCACAGATGTCTCGGTATCCTGGCGAGCAGTGACGTCGAGCAGGGAGCTGACGGCCTGGTTAAAGTGAGGAGTAATGGGGTTAGAAGCAGCACCGAAATCGCCGGCGAAGCGCTCGGCGAGGTTCATCAGGGCCCAGCAGCAAGATGGGGCCATCTTGGCGTTGCTAATGAGGCCCTTGAAGAGGGACGCAATCAGCGTGGGAAGATGCTGTTGAGCATCAATAGCCTCTGAGCACGCCTCAGTAACGCGGCCCAGAGCATAGGCGGTGGAGTCCTTGACCTGGAGAGACGAGTCATCCATCATGGTGATCAGGACAGGGAGAGCCTGCTTGACGATGGGCTCCAGGACCTTCTCATCAGGGCCCTCCATAATGGCACCAAATGCAGAAACGGCCGCGTCTCGGTTATGCCAGTCATCGGATCTCAGGTTTGACTCGACAAAGGACAGAACTGGAGCAATGATGGTGGCGTTGACAGCCTGGGAGTAGAGCTGCAGACACTGGTAGGCAGCCCGGGACAAGTTGTACTCGTCATCCGTGGCATCCTCGTCCTGCTTGGTCAGAAGGGTCAACAAGACGGGTACAACCTCATTGGCTGCGACGCGCGCAAAGTTGTAGAAGGAGCGCATCTGGTCTGAGCTCTCGACCTGTGAGTTGTCGTCTTCGATGGAAATTTCCTCTTCGCAGACGGTGCTCCAGAATTCGACGGCCAGCTTGGCAACGTCTTCATCCTCGGATTTCATCCCGAGGATGGTCAGGCCAAAGAGGGCCTTCTCCATGTAGAAGCGCATGTTCTCGTAGTAGAGACCCATGATGCGGTTCAGGCAGCCAAAAGCGCCCTGCTGGATTCTCGAGTCGTCGGCCTGGGTGGCCTCGCAAACGACTTGCATGATGTAGTTTCGCTCGCCCTCATGCTTGAAGTTGTTGGCAACAAACTCCAGCGAATCGCCCAGCGCAGTGATGGCGGCGAGTCGGACCTCGACGTTGGCCTCCTCCTTGCGAGCGCCCTGGACGACAGCCGTCAGGATGGCGTTGGAGTGAGTGACGAGAGCCAGTCGCAGCTCGGAGTCTTGGCTTTCGCAGATGTAGCCAATGGTGGTGAGTGAAGCCTGCTTCTGGTGATCGGCGCCCTCGCTCACGTTCTTGACGAGGAAGGACAGCAGATCCGGCCATTGGTTGCGGGGCAGCTCGATGGCGGCGATGGAGGAGATGACTTGGGCGGCGGCATTACCAGCACGGGCGTTGCTTGAGGACAGGGTCTGCAGTGTCAGCTGCTTTACCCGGTTCTTGGTCTCATCGTCCGTTCCCTGAAGCCATTTTGTCTGCAGCTCCTGTTGCCTGGCAAAATCTCTGGCTGTGAAGGCGTTCTTGAGGGCAATACCGGCAGCGGCTCGGATGGAGCTCTCTGCTTGTTCGTTTGCGAGTTCTTGAACGAGTGTAGCGAGGTACAGCGGCTATACGAGGACGGAAAAAAAAATATATTGTTAGTGTCTGCGATCGGATCTTTTCGTTGCTTCAAGGGAGGTGATCAAAAACGTACGAAGTTACTCTCCGCTGCCTGGGTAAGTTGCTGTTCGGCGGCGTTTCGCAGGTTCGCATCTGTGGTTTTTCACTTCTGGTTAGCTGATGATGCTCTGTAGCTCGGATCCCCGCAGTCGCCTTGTTCACCTCGCTCTGAGGCGGGCGTTCCTGAGAGCAAAGGCCATCGCAAGCAAACAAAAGTGCCCCTCTTGAGGGGTGCGCAGAGAGGGCTTCTGCGGTAGAGATTTTCCCTCCTCTCGTACTAACCTGGAGACAGCGAGTTGGCGAGCACCGTGTTAATCTCTGAGCTCGACATGGTTGCGGTCTTGAAAGCGTCCTGTCATGCGGCGTCCAAAGGCCCTGGTGATGCTGGTGGGAAACGCCCTGTTGTGATGAGCGGCCACACACGTGTTGGACCAAGGGGGGGAGAAAAAGGGCGTAGACGCGGGGGAGTGCCCAAGGCGGAGGCGGAGAGAGAAAAAAGAGAGAGGAAAAAAAGGGTAGCCTTGTGGGATACACGTAGTTGGTTTGGCGCGACAAGGCAGAAAAAGGAAAAGGGCGGTCTATTGTTTTTCGGTGATGTACTTTTTTCAATCTTGGAAACCGTGAGGATCCCAACAGCTGCCTGGCTGTATTACGGTCAGAAGCAGACGCAGAAAGGGAAGAGAGCGAATAGGGTCGAGGGATCGCACAGAGGGTCTGCCTCCAAATAGTAAAAGGTTGGCAAGGGGGGTAGTTTTCTGTGGGATGACGGGGCCAAAGTTGCTACCGCCACTTTCTTGCAGCTGCACGACTGCGTGCCTGTTTGGGCGCTATTTTAGAGGGAGAGGTGCTAAAGAGCGTGCCGGGCTGTGAGAATGACGTTGACGCAGCAGCGGGAGTGGGAGCAAGAGGCAGCTGTAGACTGCCCTGTGGTGTTTTGGTGTTCTGGTTTGTTTTGTTATTGGATGTCTGGACGAGGGCAGAGACAGAAGAAAAAAGAGAAGACAAGACAAGAGGCAGATACGGAGCGGAGCGAGGTATGCCGAGATTGTGGAAATGGTCAAGAATGCAAACAAAGAATAGAGTTTCTGTCCTGGAGCCAGACCTGAATCAACCCAAAATCAGCACGCAGAAGCCTAAGTAGCAGAGCGCAGCACAGCACAGCTGGGCGGCTCAGTACAGTCAGTACTAGGTACCTACCTTAGTAGCGGTTGGTTAGGCTGTCAACAGCACTGCCAGTGGCGGCACTTGACGGTGCTTCCGGCTGCTCTCAGGGCACTTTCAAGGGCGAGCTCCCACTAACACGAACAGGGCCGCGCACTAACCAAGTCCCAGACAGGCCAGTGCGGCAGCTGAGGCAAGGCGCGGGATGATGTTTTTGCCCATCCGTGCACGAATCAGCGGCCGCCGTGGCGGGTTTGCAGCGGGGCAAAGGGCGAGGTTGTTGCCCATCCGGCGAAACAGCGGATAACACAGCTGAGGCTGCGGGAAAAAAAAAAAAAGAATTCAAGGAAGAAAAGCTTAGCGACAGGCGGGGCGGGCGGATCTCAAGGTTGCCGCCAAGGAAAAGCTGTGAGACAGCACATGCATAGTATTTGGCTCACCTTTTTCTCTACTCGACTCGACTCGAACGTTTTCGACGCGAATACGATAAGATAGGTACAGTGCAGTGCTGTAATACGCCGTAGATAGCGGGCCGGATCAGCGGGCAGTGGCAAATCCTGTGCCATTGGGCCTTGCTTGATTCGCTGTTCCCGTTGTTCCGGACTTGCGGCGTCTGTTACTGCGTCTGTTACAGCGGCTGTTTGTGCCTGTACAGTCTGTCATGTGATTCCATCAATCAATCAATGTCAAATCAATCAATCAAGCAAACTGGACAGTGCAGTGACAGCATTATCGACAGAGTTTGAGCCTCAATAGGGCGGCACTACTGCTAGTCAGACTCGAAACTCGCCCTCTTTTGCTGCTCAGCGGGGTCCCGTCAACAAGACGACCCTTTCAGAGGTTCATGCAATCATTTCAGCTACATTATGCTTATACCTGCTAAGGCACTCTTAAACCAAACAGACTCCTTTAAAGCCGTGCTGTCGTTATCCATATATACCTGCATTGTCCAGCGATCAAAACAGGCAGCAAGACAATCTTTGACACGCTCCGCAGCCCAAGTTTCGCACAGTGTCCGCAAGGTTGCCTGGTTTTGCGGGACGCCTTTCCAACAGCTTCTATTATTCCCCGCTCGACATTCTCTGTCGCCCTCTGTCAACCCCAAGTGTTCCCCACAGCTTCCAGGGCAACCTGGGAATATGACACATGCTCAAGGGTGTCAACTCATTTGCACTGTAGAATAAAATGAAGATGAAGTGACAACAGTAAGACGCTTACGTGGCGGTGCTTTGCTTTAACCTGCCAGCATTTTGATACTTTGCAATACGAGTTCCATGATAAATACCTAGTAATACTTTGGGCCTCTGAAATTAGAACGATTATGACGGGTCGTGTAAATGATGCCTCAACTGTGTTTTCGTTGCCAACTTTATACCACAGAGTGGCTGTTCGGCACCCCGGCTACCTATCCAGCATCCCAGCAGCGTATTATATGCCATAGTGAGACGCAGGAGAATCATTCTGAGTCTACTTGACTATAGTATCCTTTCAAATATAGATAAGGCATGCTGCTATCTCCCCCTTCTCTAATTGCCTTTCTCCTGCATCTGACATCAAGTAAACAACTAAGGTAGCTACGGGATTTGAATAGGCCAAGATTCCCGTACATTTATGTACTACGCAATTTAATACACATCACGCGGGATAAGGTAACCACGCCATATCAGTACTTCAGGTGAATCCTCCCATCTTTGCTCCATAACGGCACCAAGACCGCCTAAATCGGCAGCTTGTTCATACATCATACCTACAGAATGATATCAATCAATGCAATCTCGAGTGCCTCTTATGGGCTACATTCATCTCTGCTATTTTTTGTCCATGCTTAGACCATCATCCACTTCCGTATCTTGTCCATCTCACCCAAAGGTATAAGTTTCAACAAAGCATCCCTCTCCTAGATCAACCACATTCACTGTTTTCCCAGTGGCCAAGTGCCTTTCCAGCATCTCCAGAACCCAAATCGTGAATCAATTTAGTTAGTTCCATTCACCTCGCTGGGACCACCATTCAGATTCAGTTGAGTCACATTTTCATCTACACTGACAGGTTTGGCAACAAATGGGCTGTCCGGCCGGCTAGAGGCAAACTGTATCTCAAATGTCAGCATTTCATGTCCCAAGCGGGTTTCCAAACGCTGAGGATATATGAACTCACGTTGCTGGCGGTACTCAGGAGGGCAATCAGTGAGCTCTGTACCACATCCTGGTGGCATTGGCGAGACCGGAAATAGGACCGTTGCTGCGACTCTGGAGCTTGAGTTTCTTGCCGTCAAAGGAGATGACGCCGTTAAACACACGCATGAGATGCTTTGTAACCGGAATCTTGCTAGGGGCCACAGGGGCCGGTGATCTGGATCGGTCAGTAGTAACGCTATAGTCGACAATGCTGAAGCGCGGGTTTTCCGTGAGGAAGTACGTCTCCTCGAAGAGGTCGGTAATCTCCTTGGCCAGCAGCTCGCGGCCAAGGCTGTTGGTGTGGTTCTAGACGACCTTGGAGAAGGCGACCTGCAGACCACGCCGCAGAGAAGCCCTTCTTGATGGCTTCTTGGTGGGAGCCACTGAAGGCACACACGACCAAGGAATCTCCATACGGCGCTCGCTGATGAACGGGGGTCTTTTTACAGTTTTCAATGGTGTCAATGATGCTGCCGAGATCTGAAGATTCAATGTTCGGGTGGATATGTACACTGTCTGTAAAGATTAAGGCCCAAGGTCCCCAAGTCGAGATTACCCGTCCGCTCGCCCTCATCTCTATCATCGCCGGCCGTTTGAGCCGGCTCACTTGCGTCCACAGCACAGCCGCGGTCATTATGTCCATCTCGCCCTCAGATATCGTTGGCCTTGAGCAAGCGTCATTACTCCGATCACTTCCCACCAAGTGGGGATTTTCGGTCTCTATCGATCATGGAATCTACAGTAGAGCTTGTGCTGGGTGTGCTCTGTTTGAGTAAGTCTAGGAGAAGGCATGTATGCCGGCTTTTGTAGTGTGGATTAGGCCGCGTTGGGCCGAATCAAGGCAGCATCGTATGATGGGCTTAACAATTTAATTGCTTGCTCCCGATTTGATGCGTATAGATTAACCGATTGATGGCTGTTGTCACTGCTTAGGTATAGTGGGTGGAATAGATCAGACATCATAATGCGGTGTCACGTAGTGCTGCGTAGTGCCTCGGTAGTTTGTAGATGAGAGGTATTACCAGAAAGACGTTTTATCAAAGAGTATGTTTATTTGCCTTTTCGTTATTCATTACATGTTAAATGAGAAATAGAAGAAAGAAAAGAAAAAAACAATTTAAACTCCCAGTCGTCATCAAGCATTCATGGATCGTAAGACATGAGGAAAGAAATAAGAAAAAATGATCCAACTTCTCACTCTCGTCCCCCTCAAATCCCCTTGAATCGTCCCTGCGAAAAAATGATAATATCAAGCCAGCTCAGTTTATCCCATCCATGCTATACATTCCCTCCTTTCTCTTTTCGAGACAGACTATTCTCGCCTCTCGCGGCAAATAGCTTCTTTACATCCAAAAACAAACAAGAGGCAAGTCGACAAATACCCAAGCTCACTCATAAAAGAATTAATCGTGCTATGGGCTTTCGGCACATGGACGGCAGGTTTAACGATAGCGAGGAGCAGCGCGGTCGTAAATCACCTCAGTCTCCCTGACACGCTCACGCTCGTCCCGTCGAGGGGGTGCGCGTCTGTCATAGGTCCGTCGGTCAATTTCCTCGTAGTAGTCACGCTCTCGGTCGAATCGAATCTCGCGCTCTCGCTGTCGCTTAGATCGTCGAATATCCTCAGTGATCTCAGTCAATTGAAGAACATCATCCTGCGAGGACGTTTGTGTTAGCAGACTGTATGTAAGAACAGATTAACGGATAATGACTTACATATTTGAGGTAGTCCATGACGTAGAAGAACTGGTCAGTCTCCTCATACTCATAGCCAAGCTCTTCGATGGCCTCGCGAATTACCAGGTCCTTGGTGATCTCGGTCCACATCTCCTTGGGTGGTGGAGGAGCAGGGGAGCGGCCGACCCGCCTGTCGATTTCAATCTCACGCTCACGGTCGAGGACGGAAACGCTGACACGCTCACCCCTGAGAGCGGGAGGAGGCGACGGCGCCCTGTTGGACAGGTCATCTCTGTCCCTCTCTCTCTCCGGGATAAACTTGGTCCTCCGCACACCGCTGTACTTGGACCAGGTGGTGTCGGTGGTTGCACCGCCAACACCATCCATGCGTATCCGTTCAGTTCCAGGAGGCACGTCCACGATGGCCCACTTCTTGGTGGCACCACCCCAGGCCTCACCCATGTGTCCTCGGCCATCGACCTTGGAGGTGATGTACTCAGCCTCGTCCTCCTCGGCAGGGCGTGCGGCGGCAGAGTGAGCCCTTCTGCGGGTCTTTGTATCCTCAACCTTCAAGTCGCGGCGGATGACAATGTCATCGTCATAGAAGCGGCTGGAGCGCCTCTCACGGCTCTTGGAGCGAGTGCGGCTGGCAGATCGGTGAATGTCAACCTCAGTGCGGCCCTTGGACAGGGAAATGTCAATGTCTGTCTCGCGGGTCTCGCGCTCCCTCGGGCGGGGCCGGGCCGCTGGAGGCGGGGATGGCTGTCTGGCTTGAATCATGCCTAGGAACCCGTTAGCATCGAACTCTAATTGACAACATCTGATGGGCCAAGACCAGCCAGAGAGAAGGGGAACTCACCATGGTCAATGTCTGTGTAGTGCGTAATAACCTCGCGCTCAATGACTGGGCCGCGGATGACAGGGGGTGCTGGAGGGGGCGAAGGTGAGGGCGAAGGCACCCGCTCACGCTCGCGCTCTCGCTCGATGATGCGGATGTGCTCAGAACCAGCGTCGGACGGCTCGACATAGCGAACGGCTCTGGGCGAAGGAGACCTGCGCCGGGCAAGGGAGGGGCTCCTGATCTTCTCGACGATTCTGGTGCGAGAGTGCTCATGCTCGGGCTCTGAAGGCGAAACGCTATGGGCTCTTCGCACAATGCGCTCCTCGCGGTAGCGAACCGGGCTCTGCTCCCTGGGCGGGCGCTCATAGGGATCGGCCTCGCGCTGGCGCAGGACCATGGGACCAGCCTCAGGCCTCCGGGAACGGCTCAGGAACTCGGGCAGATCGCCATCTCTTTCACGGATGCGCACGTCAAACTCCTCAAAGTCTCCTCGGCGGGCTCTTGGGGCGGGTGGCGCGGGGCTGCGGGTGACGGTGCGGGTGCGGATGGTGTCGTCGAACTCGACGGCAGAGCGACGGTAGTCTCGCTCCTGATAGGCCATGCTTCGTCTTGTTCTTGTGTCTTGGTCTCGGGTGGCGTAGGTTTCAAGTCAAGCCCAAAGATGAAGCTGGGCGCTTCCCTTTGTATGTGTTTGAGCAACAAAAGCCGGGCAAAGGGTTTCCTGCGGTGACTTTGCTTTATCAATCAGTATAAGCGGGAGGAGTTGGAGCGGGGTCCAAAAGGTGGGAACGTCATGCGGCTGAGACGAAACGGCCTCCCTTGTGACGTTTTCCTTTTTTCTTTTGTTCTTGGATAAGAGAAGTGGGAGAGTGGGAGAGTGAGCACTCACATTTGCTGGGGAGAGATAAAGAGCCACGCGGGGAGAGTCGACGGAAGCGGGAAACAGGCGCGCAGCACAGATTCGAGCGACAAATGCAAGTTGGTAGTTACCGAGACAAGACAAAGAAGCGAACCAAGAGGCCGTTGCTGGTTTTGAGGATTTTCTAGCCCTTGTAAAGCGGGCGCCAACGGCCAGAGGGGCAGTGATGACTTTTTAGAGGCAGCAAGGCAGTATCAGCTGGCGACAGGGGTTGGCCAACGTCATCCCGGCAGCGAGAAACTGGCTCAGGCGATCAAAGTTGACCTGATGTCTTGTGTCATTCATTGGAGGCCCGAAAAAAGAGGCAGGGGGGGTGGTTGATGCGCCACTACGAGATGAAAGGCACCTTTTTTTTTTTTTTTCTCGGATTCCATGTATTTTTTTATTTTTTTTTTTGCTTTCTTTCATGTGCTGAAACATCTAGGCTCTGACTCTCTCTACAATCTGGGTCTTGGGATTGCTCTTGTCTTGGAGCCTAAGCGGGGACTGCATCCTACCTTGATACCTGGGTCGTGCATTGCTGATGGGGTTGAAGGGAATGACTGGGTTGTTACAAAGGATATACATGCACTCGCGATGCATGCGGATGGAGTCTATAAGCCAGAAGCGAGTACCGCAATGTACGAGTATAGCATAGCATAGGTAAGGTATCATATCATGGCATAGCAACAAGATGATAGAGACTGTGTCGTGGCAGCGACACCGACGATGACGCTGCTCCTTTCGCTTGGGCTCCCAGATGTGAGACACTCACTCCATGCTCGATACCAAATCCAAGTCTGTTGTCAATGCAATCAGGAGATGCCCATACACTACAATATTCCAGTATCCCATCCATCCATCCCATCCCATCCCAGTCCAGCCTTGGATCTGCTAGCGCAACGCCTCCAGCTTAATCCACCAAACTCTCGCTATTAGCACGGCCACACAACATCTAGCAGCGGCTCGGTCCATGGGCCATCCATGCCTCCACGCCTAGCAGAAAATGGGACATGCTGCAAGTTTGAGCTTTACGAGCGCCGCCAATCACTCGACCTTGCCGCCTGAGAAGGCGCAGCATTTCACGACCCTCTTCTCTGTTGTCCCTCTTTTTTTCTTTTTCTCTCTCTGCTGTGACTCTTGCCCAGTAACCCACCCTCATGGTTCTCTCTGCTTCCCTCACTCACTCAAAGAAGAAGAACCTCCACCCCCGGCTCCGTCTCCATCGCGGAGGGGCTGTGAAAAAGGACCCCAACCAACCACTTCGATTCCAGCCCAACCTGATGCCAGAACCAAGCTCCCCCATTAGCGTCTGCCATATCCTGACGCAATAGTGCAGCGACTAATCCCATCTTGCGGGTTTTTTCTCTGCTTCGCTCCCCCTCGCTAGCAGAGAGCGACACAGCATGATGATGGCATAGTTTCTTCATGGGAAGCGAACCGCAAAGTGCCATGCTCCCCTCCCCCCCTGGTTAGGCATAATTTGGGCCTCGCCCTTCTTTCCACAACCTTCTCGAAGAAATATGCACCAAAGCAAAAAAGAAAGGAAAAGAAACCAGACCGGGCCACTCACTCCCACTCCCACTCCATCGAAACTAGAGCGTTCGCAGTGACCCCGTCCGGTGACATGCGCCGCGAACCAAAAGCCTGAGAGCCTGACAAGGCGTCCATCCACTTCGACTGCAAAGCACAAGGAAAGCGAAGGACATGGCGTCACGGCTCAAGCTTCGTCCCTGGTCCCGGCTGGAACTAGACAAACTGTCCCCCCGTCACATGCGTCACTAAGCCCTGGCATCGTGACCCCGACCCGGGCTAGGCGATGGTGGTCTCGTCTACGCCGTGAGGGTGTGTGTGTGTGTCTCGAGACTCGATTCACGATGCCCATCAAGGCCCAGGCGAGATAAATTAAGAATAACCATAATTGAGGTCTAGACAAAACCTGAATCGTAGATATAGCAGCACTTAATATATACAGAGACCTCGGTAGGTGGGCAGTATTACTATGGCTAAGCGCTCCAGGTGTAATAAACCAACAACAACCTGGGAGTAATCGACACTAAAAACTGCAGCTTACAAGCAAACGCAGGTCCACATGCACAGACTCCGCCATCAAACGCTCTCTGCTCTGCTAGCATCGCCCATGAGATGCAAGGAACGTTTCACTCTTGACTGCCGTGCTCCGTTCTGGTACTGTACACGTATCCCATTTGCCCATTTATCTCCTAGCCAGAGAGCCCGTTGCGGCTCTGCTGCCGAGTCCACATCGCCAGTTCTCGGCCCCCAGCGGCGGCATCTCACAGCCATCTTCAATCTTCCCCTTTCTGCTCTCCCATGCTGACTTGTTTATAATCAAGTCTGTCTTTTATAATGATGTTTTTTAAATACTGATATTTCTTTCGTAATGATGTTTTTTTCTTTCTTTCTCAGTCATTTTTTTTTTGTTAACACTATTGAACAAGCCCATGTTACGTTGATACTCTCGTTTTCCTCAAGCCCAAGTAATCCCTCTCGTCCTCATCAATCCCAAACAAACAACAAGTAATCATAAGCAACCCATTAGTCCGCACCTGAGTAGATTCCGCGCTTTGTATCCTTGGCAATAAGTCCTGTCAAGCTCTTTTCCGGCTTGGGATAGTCTGGTCTTCCACCCAGGATGTCAACCACCTCTCGCATGTCCAGCCAGTGGGCCACCTTGGGTCTTCTGTTGGGCCAGTCTGTGTGCTTCTCCTCCAGCTCCTCAATTGGTGTGAAGACGACCTCGGAGCCTTGGATACCAATGACGCTTGTGCTGTTGGGATCCTTCTTCACCCGGTTGTGCGCGTTGCGGCCATATTCCTCCAGGTGCTGCATACACTTAATGGCTAGTCGAACAGCACGGCAGCGGTCCATGGGCGAGGGAACGCCTCCTTGCTGCACGTGTCCGGGAATGCTCTCACGGCTTTCAAACCGGTCGTGCGCCTCCTCACGGATGATGTTGGCAATGAGCTTTGCGTCGTAGACCTTGCTGGCCTTTTCGTTGACGAGAATCAAGCGACCCGCGCGGGACTGGCCCTTGTCTTTGCGGAAAACTTCCTTGAGGTGCTTGACGTCCGCGTTCAGCATCTCGAGGCTAATTCCCTCTTCGGGAATGTACACGGCCGAGGCCCCCACGCTGAGGCCACCCAGCGTGGCTACATAGCCCGAGCGTCCACCCTGCGTCTCGATAACAAAGACACGGCGTCGGGTGGCCGAAGCGGACTGCTTGATCTTGTCGCAGTAGTTGACCAACTCGTTGAGACAAGTGTCCGATCCCAGCGAGTACTCGGTGCCGGGAACGTTGTTGGAAATCGTGGCCGGCAAGAGACAAAGGGGAATGCACAGTGACGGAAACTCATCTCTAGCCTTGCGCAGCTGAGAGACGGCGTGGAAAGCTTCAAAGCCACCAACAATGAACAGGGCATCGAATTCGTACTGCTCAATGAGGTTGGCAATCAGCTCCATGCCGGATTCGGAAGGGAGCTCTCGGTTGGTGCCAATCTCCGAGCCACCTTTGCTAGCCCAGCCGTCAACCTCGAGCCAGTCAAAGGGCCGCACGGCTCCGAGGGGAGAATCGCCGTGATGGCGAGCGAATCCGGCGAATCCGTTGTGGATGGCAAGGGGCTCGTGCCCGCGAGAGAGGCAGTATGCAACAGCCGCGCGCACTGCGGCATTCATACCACCGGCAGGGGCGCCGACGTTGATGAAACCAATCTTCATTCGCTACACAGGAAATTAGTCAATGTTGTTTGCTAAATGAAGAGGAAAAGAGAAGGGGAAAGAAGCGAGAAAGGATATAGGATCGCAAAACAGTGGCAAGACTAACGCTCTTCTCAGGCAACTTGTGATCTTCCACCATCACATTGGTCGTTGTCAGGTAGGACTTGTACTGATCCGAGAATTCGGTATCTCGTAGGCCCATGGCCTTGTCGAAATCTTTGGCGTCGACAGCAACGGCCACCTCCTTAGTCTCCTTGACGGCCTGCATAAGCGGCTTTCGCACAATCTTGTTCTCGTTGATGGCAATAAAGCATGTTTCGGTCTCGGGTGTGGCCTCCAGCACAGCCTTGACGGCTTCAACACCTTGTAATGTACCAAGTATGCGGTCGTAGGCGACTGCTGTGCCTCCTCGCTGGACGTGGCCCAGGGTGGTGATTCTGGTGTCGAGGCAGAGACCGCCTTCGCTCTTGTCTGCCAGGAGGTCCTTGATTTCGGTGGGAGTGATCTTGGTGCCGTCTTTATCACGGGCGCCCTCTGCGACGATGACAATGGTCTTTCGCTTTCCCATGTTACGGTGCTATCGCAAGGAAGAAGAAATCACCAAGTGTTAGTCATGTGCGTCGCATATTTAAAGAGAAAGAGGACTGCGCTGATTTGGTTATGATAACTCACTCGCTGAACCACGACCTTCATGTCCTCTCTCCAGTCCTGATCTCTGGGCCGCTCGGGAATGAAAACAAAGTCGGCTCCCGTCGCAACTCCGGCTAGAAGCGCCAGCCAACCGCAGTGTCGTCCCATGACCTCAATAACGAAAGCACGAGAATGTGAAGAAGCCGTTGCTTCAATGTAGTCAACCATTTCGCAGATACGCGAGAGGGCAGAGTAGCAGCCGATGGTGGCATCCGTTCCGGACAAGTCATTGTCAATTGACCCGACCAGGCCGACAATGTTCAGATGCTTGTACGGCGCAACTTGCTCCGGAGTCAGCTCCTTGTTGTCAACAAGCTCCTCAAGCAATGAAGGCCATTCCGCCCGGAACTTGTCGGCACCGGTAAGAGAGCCGTCGCCTCCGCAGATAATGAGGGCGTCAATGCCATTGAGCACCAAGTTCTTGGCGGCCGTCAACCGGCCCGGTCGTTCGTAAAAGGCCATGCATCGAGCGGTTCCAATGAGCGTTCCGCCTTCGGACAGAAAGCTTCTGACGTCGTCCCATCCCATCTGCCTGATGAAGTCGCCGCCCTGCACCAGACCCTCGTATCCCTCGTAGATGCAGAACGCATCGCAGCCCATGTGGATGGACATGCGGACAACGGCGCGGACAACGGCGTTCATGCCCGGGGAGTCGCCTCCCGAGGTCATGACGGCAATCTTCTTCTTGAGAGCCATTCTGGTCGGAAGATTCGAAGAAAAGGCTGAAGTGGTGGTGTATCCAAGTCCGCGAAAGAGAGCCCGCCAAATTCGTCGAAAGAAGCGGCGGAAGGTAAGGAGAATGTCAATGGGCCCCGGAAAGAATTCTAGGTAACTCTGAAGAGGCATTTAAGAGGGCCTGTCGCCCGTGAGCTCAGGGATGAGCAAAATTAGGAGATGGCGAGCAAATGATACGGTATGGAATGTTGGTGTAGTTCAGAGTGGCATGAGGGGAATTGGTAGACAGAAGCTCTTATCGGCCCTTAAATGGATGTTATCAGCTGGCGGGGCTGTCTTTTTTTTTCTCTAGGTTTTATCCCTTGCTCCTCAGATTTTCTCAACAATTTCCTTGGTAAAAGATCTAGAGGAATATAAAGGACTGGTTTCCAAGAGGGAGGAAGATGGTGCCTCCTCTCCGACTCTCCGAGGATTTGGAGCTGAACTTGTTGTTTATCGCTGACAGCAAGATATTCATCATTCGTCATTACAGCTGACCGACCCCTCCTACGTAATTGGTGCTACTGGAACTTAATTGGACTCAACTGCTCGTAATTCGGCGCCGCACAGATCCTGATCCCGCGCCATATCGCATGATGCCTTGGCATGGTCAATCCCGTCACAGCAATTGGGCATTGACTACAAACACCACGTAATGGCAATGAGGGAATTTGGGAATCGGCGAGATGCACAAAGTCGAGATGCGCTTGCCTGCAATTTGCGACAGGGCTGCACCAGCTTCCCACGCCCACAGCACAGCACGGAGCTCCGGCAGTCGGCGGCTACTGCGCTAGGGCCCCCTGTAGGAATTCACGGATGGACAGCTTTCGGAGCTTTGCGAGCAGCGCTGGACGGAGTAATACTAGCAGTGCTACACTACAGCTGGAGTTGCCACTAGTGTGCTGAAATTCGGATCCGTGATAGGTTCCAAGTTGATAGGTTCGCAATAACTAAGTTCGCAGCAGGTATGTGGGCTTTTCTACAGCAAGGCCAGCTCCAGCAATTCCCACTTGGAGCGCTCATCGATGCGCTAACACGCAATTCTACTAGCACTACGCAACGCCGCAAGGCTACCACTTCATGTATCTGTGCACCTACCTGCTGCGTACAGGTACAAGCCTCAGCTCCGCAGCAGCCCATTCAGCGCCAAGCCATGCAGCAAATCAGCGATGGCCCTTAGCTGACCCCCACTGGGAGTCTTCCTCCAACCACCATACCTGTAGGCTGTAGCTCTCAGCCTCGTCAAGCTGCAGCTCCAGACCTTCACAAGACGACGCGACTGCTCGTCATTTGTGTCGCAGTCCATCTAATGAGGCCGACACTATTCGCAACAGAGCTGCTGATTACCGATTAGACCCGCCATGTCTTCAGGCGACGGCCCGCCGCCGCTCTCACTGCGGCCGTTCCCCGTTGCCGACCAAAAGCCCAAGAATCTCGCCGAGTTCATCGCTCGGGTCAACGCTCAGCCTGGGGGCTTCCGCTCCGTAACAGAAGAAAAACTCCGCGAAGATCTGAAAAACAGCGAAAGTTCCGATGGAGCGGCCGATCACGATGAGGACATGTCCGAGGCTGGGGCGGAGAACGAAGTTGCAGAGAAGGATCCCAACGTTGCGCGCATGGAGGTCTTGAAGAACATCGAGTAAGAATGGCCGGCATAATGGTTATGATACACATCTACTTAGCTTAAGATAAACGTACTGACTCTGCAACTTCAGTATAGCCGGTAACATCGCTCTATTGACCCTCGACTCCATGTCCCTTCTCCTCTCCAAGCAGAACCCGACGCAGGCTGGCTTGACCCTATCGCAGCAGCTTCGCGACATGGTCGGAATTGGTACTCTCGGCGCGGACAGGCTCAATGACTCCAATTCCACACCAGCCAAGACAAAAGATCAAGAAGCGATCGCTATGGGATGGACCATTATGGAAATCAACAAGACCAGGGATTCCGCAGAAGAAGCCGCTGCATTCTTGGAAAAGGAGATTAGTGCAGAGAGCAAATACTGGGAAGACATCATTTCAGTCAGGAAAGCTGGCTGGTCCGTATGCAAGGTTCCGCAGGAGAGGCATACCTTGGGCGTTAAATTTGGCTTTTCGGAGGGTATGTTAAATCTTGAGCCATCTGATGGACTGATTCTCTGCAGCAACTAATTCGTTCCCAGCCGCTCCCGAATTCAAGAATAATGGCTTAGCGCCAATGAGACGCGGCGACAATAGCTCAACAGATCTCGATTTTGGTCGGCTAGGCGGCGTATCGGAAGCTCTTGTCGTGACATACGAACGAGATGGCAAGATTATTGGGCGGTCCACTACACGATCAGCCTCTGAGGATGGCTCGCTAGAGTCCCGCGTTCTAGAAGCACGCAACACCATCTTCTCACAAGAACTTTGGCATGAACTTACCAAAGAGTCGCGGTCACTAGCCGCCTACGATGTCAAGCCTGAAGGGAAAAAATTGACATGCCAAGCCGACGACGCAATGAAAATCACCTTTGAACTCCTTCCTCTGGAATCATGTCCCTCCCATGACGAGCATCTTCCAGAGAATGGCCTGGCGGAAAAGACATCCATGGTGTTGCATATCCTCCTCAGCTACGCCCATCGATATAATGAGCTTATGAGAATTCGGCCCGTCCCCCCTCACATCTCCCGCTCCTCTCGCCAGCAGTCCTACGCTCTCCTTCGCCCCATCCTCGCACGCACAATGTATCTAAAGAACATTGAGGAATCCATGCAATACGTCGGCGCGCTGGTTAAAACCCTTCAAAAGGCCGGCCTCCCCTCTTCGGTCATCCTACGCACCACGCAAGCGAGTGCGTCCGACCCCAATTCTCGTGGGCCGAACCAGCTCTCCGCATCGCAGACTTTGGTCCGCAACCTTTTGCAGACGCAAGACTTTACCCTCGAAATCACCATCCTGCCCGAAATCTCATTCATCATTCGAGCCCGTGCGTTTAGCTTCCCCGTCACGGCTACGTACTACTACATCCTCCTCCCGCCCTCATCGCCTCTCCCAACCATGTGCCCCCCCTGGGCGGAGGGTTATCCCAGCGTCCAAACTCTGGGCGACTACCTCCGCACCGTCGTCGTCCGCGTCCTCACCAACCACTTCGTCACTATGCTCTCCTCCGGAACTATCCTCCACGACGAACCCGCCGCCCCTGAAGAAAGCACATCCAGCCAAGCCGTCGACAAAAACATCATCGACATCCACTTCTCCATGGAGCACGAAGGAGAAGACGCCGGCGAACTAGCTCTGTCTCTCAGCAGCACCGCGGAAAACGGAACTTCCAACACGTGGAAGTGGTCCGTTGGCGGGGCCAGCGAAACCCGCTCCGCGAGGGACGTCATCAGGTCGCTCGTCGTCGCCGCGCAGGAGCTCGCTTAGAAGGACGAGCAGCTCGCCGTGGGCGCTTCCTTGCCCTATGTGAATGTTCCAGCTCAGATTGACATGTGGCTTACGGGTCTAGAGGCGGCTTGGACAGTGGTAAATGCAGATGATGCTGAGGATGGAGAGCCATGGCATGACGAGACGGAGGAAGCAGAGGAACTTTGAAAAAAAAAAATATCCATCCTATAACGAGGTTTTGATGCGTGAATAACAATTGAGTCTGATTCTTGTTTCGTTTCAGGCAATACGGCATATACATACAGGAGGCACGGAGTTTCGTTTAATGATTGGACTAGGAGTCTTTGGTAGTTGCAAGAATATATTGCGTCCTTGGGATGTTTCTATTACAAAGTAACAATCGTGCATGTACGTACCACAGAGTCCAAGAAACCTTATAAACATCAAATGACTCACTCAATTTAGTGGCTTGTCTATATCGTCCATCACTAAAACACAAGCTTGCTTCCTCTCATTTCATTACCTGACACCATGCCGTTTCGTCTCGTTCCATCGCTCATAAAATGCCGTTTCGTCTCATGTTCATAGCAAAATCCGCCTTCGCCTGCTTGCGACCTCGCTCGCTTGCGACCTCGCTCTCAGCAATAACCATTCCAAAGAAATAACAAGTCATCATCCATCCTCCAAAAAAAAATAAAAATCTCAAATAAGCTCGTAAATCCCAGCCACAAAGGCAACAAAGAGAGAGCAAAATGAAAAAGCAAATCCCAGTCACCCCTAGCGACCGCTAAAAAGGAACTTGAGTTCGTTCACGCCTAGTCGTCCAATCTTTGAACTTTCAGCTTCATCCAGTGCCGCTTCTACCATTTCCTTCTTCCGCTCCTGAAGCTCGACGATGCGGTCCTCAACGGTTTCCTTGGTTAAAATCCGGTACACCTTGACTTCTCGCATCTGGCCGATACGGTACGCACGATCAACGGCTTGCATCTCGATGTACGGATTCCAAAAAGGATCCATAATGACGACGCGAGACGCCGCGGTGAGGTTGAGTCCGGCATTTCCCGCTCGCAGAGACACCAGCATGACCTTGACGTCGCTCTTATCGCGAAAGTCTCTTGCCGCGTTAAATCGCTGCTCTGCAGACATACTTCCGTCATATCTCCTCACCTTGCCTGGATAGTCGTCATGCCACGCGGCCACTTCGAGCAGATCCAATAAAAGGGTCCACTGAGAAAACACAATCGTCTTTTCGCCAGTCGCGTGAATTTCCTTCAATAGATTCATGCACTCTGACACCTTGGCGGCAGGTAGCCAAGTTTTTCGCAAATAGCTCATGTACTTCTTGAAAGCAGCTTTATTCTTGGACGCATCTTGTCGAAGAGCCTTCAGCATAGAAGGCCTGATATCGGCCTTCTTCTTGTCTTTTCTCTTCTTTTTCTTCTTCTCCTTCTTTATTTGGTCTTGCTCCCCCAACTCTGAACCACTCTCAACGCCGTCCCGCACAATGAAGTCTTTCAAATCACCATAGCGATCTACTTCATCATCTTCGTCAAAGTCATCTTCATCTTCATCTTCAGTAGAGCTTTCGCTCTCCTCTCCTTCAGAAGTAGATGCCTTGATAGATTCTGGCATATGAATCTGTTGAAATGCTTCATAGGTGAAGCACTGCCTAGGATCGAAGCGACCACGACACACAGGGCACTTAGCCGTTGCCGTGTTGGTATCATTGCCCTGCTGAAGATTCATGGCCGCTGCACTATCCACCAACTGGGCCAGGCACTGTTTGCAGCTGTCATGCCCACAAGGTGTGTAAAATGTTGGTGATTGGACAGCATCGTAACATATAGGGCACTCAAAGGCGTCGGCCTCCTTGATCCTCGCTACAATAGACGCATCCAGCTTCCTGACCAACTCAAGCATCTCTTCACTAGAGATTGGAGCAACGTCATCCACATCTAGGTTGAGGTGGGGGTGACAGCATGCTTGACGCAGTCGAAGCAGGAGAACCAGAATACTGGAGTAATTCTTCCCAACACTGCCTTCGCGAAGATATTTGCTGAACTGTACTTGGGACTTCTTTTCAAGTTGATTGTAAAAGTCTCGCTCGTCTCCCGAGAGCTCAGCATACACAACTTCTTCCAACTTCTTAGGCAGTCTTAGAATCGGTTTCCCATCTAACTTAGAGTCCTTTTTGCGACGAAGCATAATCGCTTTGAGGAGAGCACGGAGCCTGCTCATGGCGACACTTTTTGGATCGCCATTTCGGCCAAAGAGCACACCAAAACTCTGTGGAACAATTAGAGTTAGTAAAGTGCCAAAAGTTTGAAGAACGGGTCAAGAAGAATGAAGGGGGGGCAGGGCTGAGGCTCTTACTCTACGAAATTGGTCCCAGATACAATATGGCTTTATCCGAAGGAAACAGAGTAAGGAGTAAAGCTCAAGAACGCCATTCATCATGGGAGTTCCCGTGAGGCACCATCTATGGGTGGCGATGAGCTTGTGACAGGCTTTGGCGGTCTTGGTAGTGTGATTTTTGATGCATTGTGCCTCATCGAGGATGACGCGGTAGAATCTAGACTTTCTCGGGTTCAATAGTGGAAACTTTGCTGAATTGGCTCTATCATTAAAGTCGATGTTGCGGTTTGCATTCTCCTCCATAAACTTGTCAAGGCGTTTCAGCTCTTGGGCTATGGTGCCATAAGTGGTCAAGACGACGTCAAACCCGAGCAAATCGTCGGCCGTGGCTTTTTTGTTATGGTATACAAACACGGACAACCGATGCGAGGGTTTAATTTTCTTATAAATCTCCTCTTCCCATTGACGAATCAAGGCCAGTGGGCCTATGATTAAGTTTGTCTATGATAATGATTAGCACAAGTGATGCAAATAGAGGTTAAAAGCTACACTGGCTATGACTTACTTTGGGGCGAGATTGGGCCGGGCGTGACAATATGAGAGCTAATGTCGATATAGTTTTTCCAAGACCCATATCGTCAGCCAGAATACCACCTTTATTAGTCCCCGTCTCCATCTGCTTCATCCACGTGAGTGCCAGCGTTTGATGCGGGTACAGGGCGTGCTTAAGGCCCTCTGGAGTTCCATCTCGCTTTCCTTCCGGAATCTCCATGTCCGGACGGATATTTTGCAACAAATCATCCAACTCCTGTTCCGTTACTCTAGGATCATGGAATGTGTCGTTGAGATAATCCATTAGCTGGCCAGAAAACGGGTTGCCATGTTCATCGAGACGGTTGGCATAGTCAAACATGCTGGTTCTGTTGATGATATCCGACAAGGGCGTGAAGCTCCCATTGCTTGGGAGGACCGGCCGCATAGGGGGTCTGGGATATGCTCCAGGCATTTGCACATACTGAGACGTCGCCTGATGATTCCTAACAAAAGGCGTGCCTGGGAACGATTGGCTTACAGCTCCGAAAGATCCAGGTCCAAACCCATTACCAACAGGGGTAGGGGGGTTGCTGAACCCCTGGAGTTGTTGCTGCCCTGAGAGGCCCGAGAACTGACCATGTCCAAATGACGGGTTCGAGGCAGGTGTGGAAATGATTGAATTCCAAGATACTGACGCATCATTAGGTCCAGCACTAGGCATAAAGCCCTCAAACTCATCATCGGAGTTGATTTCGATAGGGGCTTCGGGCGCGTTAGAGCGTTGAGACGCCATAATCTTAGAAAAGGCGGAAGGCTGCTGGGGACCTGAGCTTCGAGAAGGCCCAGAAGCATTCCGAGACGAAGGCTGCGAGTCTTGACTTGACAGAAGGAGAGCCATCTCTCTATCCGCCTTTTCTTGCCGGTGCCGCTCAGCTTGTCTATATTGTTCCGCGATCCGTGTCGAGTCGGCATCAACATCAGCCCTGCCTCTTGTGTCAGTGTCTAGCTACAGAGGGATGGGCAATCAACCATGAATACAAATGCATCTACATCGACGGCACATACCCAGTTAGATCAATAATCTCGACTTCGCCGTCAGATGGAGGGTCAAATTGTCCTGAGAAACCACCAAACGGCGACGGCGTAGTCCGCCGAGACTTACTCGACTCACGTCCAGCACTCAGATTAGTTGAATCATAATTTCGCTTTCGACCCAGCATCACCAGCGAGGGGCTGCCTCCATCCTCAGCAGGCCGCAGCTGTCGCGGGGTATCCATCACGGCAGAGGGACGATGCGACCTTGAGGCTCCAGCAGAAGCCGGTGTCCTTGCTCGGCTTTGACCTGGATTTCAGACACAAAAGAAGTCAGTCTTATAAAGTTCAATCACCTCAAGACGGAAGTTGATGGCGAGCCTAAAGGAGGAATAACGCCTCGAGAAGCGCCCAAGGCTTTGGGGGAAGCAGACAAGCGGGCACCTTATACGTCGCACAGAGAGCTGGCAACAGAGCCAAAGAGGGTCTGATGAAACAGACAGGACCGGGTGACTGAGACCTTGCCGGTACAGAATAACGGAGGCTCTGGGGCAAGGGGGGATAATGACCACTTGTCACTTGTCGATAGAATCAAGCTAGTGGAGTGGCGTGAATGCAGCGGGAGGCGAAAAAAAAAAATTGAAGTGATGCAAGGGAGAGAAGGCGAGTGCACAAGCATCCAGAGGAAGGTGAAAAGGGAGATGCCAGCACCGTGAATTTGATGCCTGCTTCCTCAGGCTTCTTCAGGCCTCTTGTTGCTGCAGATGCAAGGAGGAAATGCTCAATCGAGTTGGGCAAAAAAAGTGAAAAAAGGCAAGAGAAGGAGCCCAAACGATAAGGATTGGATTGGATTGGGATTCAAGCAATAGCTGGAGGACAACGCACGTACTCACTTTGGGGTGACGCTGGAGCCTGTGAGGCCAGGCCTTGGGCATGTGCGGCTCTTGGACCACCTGAACATCACCGAATCAGCATCGAATCCGCGCAAACGGCCAATATCAGGCTCTTGCTCTCATACCCTCATCAGCGCCGCCGGCACCCTTGGAAAGACTCCTCAGCGCCCTCTTCAGCCTCACAATCTCCCTCCGCGCCTCGTCACGCTGCACCTCGACATCCTCGGCAGTCTCGTCCCGCAGCGAGTCGAGAATCACCTCCTGAACCGTCAGCTCCTCCTCGAGCGCCTGGCGATTCATGGAGCCCAATGCGCTGTCCTTGTTCTATTGGCAGAGGACGACACCGAAAGAAAGAAAAAAATTACAGGTAATGGCAGGGCTGTGCAAAAGAGCCAAGCTTGTCTCTGCTGCCTTTCAGGTAACCAGGCAGATTAGGCAGAGAGCGGTTCTCGCCTTTGTCTGGCCAATGGCTGTATGGCCGCCTCACACTGACGGTGTTACACCAATAACTGAGTCAGAAACACGGATTAATAAGAGCAGAAAGAAAGGAATGAAAGGAAGTGGTAAGCAGGTAATGAATATATGTGTCCAATATATGTGTCTTAATATACCGAACCCGCTGCAGTGAGCGTGGTGCAAAAGTCAGAGGCCAAGTGTGCGGTTGATCAGTATGTACAGGTTGACGCCGTGAATGTACAAATGCGATTTCCCAAGTCGCGACGCGTATTATCCAGAGCTCCGAGCTTATTAACGCTCTGGTTTAATTTTTCATCCATGCCACCGGCTGTTGAAGCGGTTCCCCACACGGATGTGGGTCGCCCGTCACTTTGGAAGGCATTCCGCTCTGATTCGACCTCTTCCATAATGAGGGGCAGCGTTCCATAATGGACCTCGAGCACATGGCATGTCAATCGCCACTCAAACTATCCCACTTGAGAGTTTTTCCTTCCAAGAATATATGACGAGTTGAATTTTACAAAACAGAGATAAAGTTCCTAATGCCCAAGGTGCAATCTTCTAGGGTAAGCCATCGTCCTCTCGAAGCATGCAATGTATGTATTAATATGGAAAGTAATTATCAATGAGCCGCTATATAAAAGTCCTCATAACGATACCAGATCGCGAGAACCTAAAGACATGCCATGAGGCGAAAAATTAATCGCAATGTTTCTCCTTATAAAAACCATATAACCCATGTATATCCATGTAGCTGAATAAATCGCACCACCCAAACGCCTCTATCAACAATACGCGTGCTTCAAAAACTCTTAAACGCTGTGAGGTGGTATTATCAGATGCAACTCAACTCGATCCATCGGTAATCTTATGCCAGACTTTGTCTATTTCTTTGGAAAGCCAGTCCCATATACCCTTCAGCCCACCGGAGGACTCATCATCGTTTTGGTCTCCCTTGTTGCCATCTTGGGGCTTCTCTGTAGGGGTCACTGCTGCCTCGCTTGAAGTAGTGTGCGGCTGCAGCAGAGATGTCGAGGTAGTTGATGATAGAGATGTCGAGGAGATTGACGACAGGGCGGTAGAAGAAGTGGTTGGCTCAGGGGGAACTGACGGACGCTGAATAGTCTGAGTCTTTACAACCTGCGAGGAGGTCGAAGTCGAAACAATCGTATAGGACGTAACTGGATCCACCGGTACCTGAGGCGCGTCTTCAGCCTCGTGGGTACCAATTGGTTTCAGAGGCAGCCGCAAAGTGCCATTGTTAGGCTTCGGCTTTAGGCCCAATGAGTCACACAGCAAGTTATAAACTTCAATATTCTCTGGAAACAAAGTATTAGCCAAGGTCACACAATCATTGTAAGGACAAGTGTCACTCACGAAATACATCAACTTGGCTATTCGCCGGGTGAGGAAACGCGGGACCTCTGGCGATGAAAATGGCTCTCATAAGCGGGTGTTCATGGTCATACCCGTGTAAGCCGCGGGGATGATACACGAGGTTCTCCTTCTTCGCCTTCTCAACGTCAAACTCTTCCTTGGTGACAATTGCCCAGCCGGTCTTGGGGACAATCCAGAGGGGAGCAATGCGGTCGTTTTGTGAAAAGTGATAACGCTCCGGCATGTTGACATCACGGAGGTAGACGTCAAAGTTGGGGTTCGACTTGGCCTTTTCTGCCAGGCCGTCGTACAGACCCTGCAGATCGTCGAGGTTCTTGGGTCGAAGCCCATATAGCGGCCAGCCATCAGTGTGCTCAATCTTGGAAGTGTCGACAAGATCCTCCAGCTGCAGCAGTCGAGTTGTATCCGTCGTGGCCATGCCGTGGTCTGATACCACAATGACGTTGACGATATGTGTCAGGTTCCTTGCGTCGAGCCCCTTGAAGAGCTGGTCCATCATAGTATCAACCTTTTGAATGCTAGATCGAATCTCCGTGCTGTTTGGTCCATACTTGTGACCATCGCTATCCACGTTGGGAACATACGCAGCAATGAGCTGTGGTCGCAAGCCTTTAGCCTCGACAGATCCGCTCTCTTTTCCGGGCAGGTCCAGCCAACCAAGAATCCGAGAAACCTTGTTGTCGAGATCCTCCTTGCCATTATACTTGTCGACAAAAGTAGGCTCCGCATGCAGAATATGTGCTTCGCTGCCAGGCCACATATGAATCGCACTTCGAACGCCCTGCTTTTCAGCCGTCACCCAAAACGGCTCTCCACCCCACCACTTGGGGTCCAAGCTCCGAGCAGGATCGGTATAGTGAAACTCGGCCTTCAGCTCGGGATCCCAAAATGTGTTGCCTACGATACCATGGGCTTCGGGGTATAGGCCGGTCGCGAGAGTATAGTGATTGGGGAAGGTGACGGAGGGGAACGACGGATGCATCCACTTGGGAGAGACGCCCTCCTTGACAAAGGCATTCAGCCTTGGTGTAAGTCCCCGCTGCAAAAAGTCGGCACGGAAGCCGTCGAGGCTTATGATGATTGTGGTTGGCCCAAACACAGCAGTGCCGTTGCTGGCGAGATGCATCTTGAAGCTGGACTTGCGACCCTTTGACAGCTTCCAGGAGGCCAGAACGAGGATTGAGAATCCGATGGCAATCAGCAAGTGTATGAACAGCCAGCGGCGCCAGCTCCGCCCACGCTGTGACTTTGCCTGAGCAAAGGCATTAAGGTTGCGACGATCGTACTCGTCGCTCTCGCTGCTGTCGCCGGTGGAACTGCCTTCCTTCATGCCGCCCTCCTCCATCTCGTACATGAGCTCGCCATCTTCGCCATGCTGAGCCTCCTCCAGGACCCTCTTCCTCTTAGTCTCCCTCCTCTCCCGCCTCTTCTGTTTCTGCCTCTCCGCCGATCTCTTCTCAGACACAATATTCTCGTTCGAGCTGCCCGCAGTCGACATGCTTCCCAGACTCGGCTTGCGCCCCAGGTTCCTAAAGGGATTCGGCAGCGCCAGAGCGGACCCACGGCGCACCAGCTCCTGCTTGCGCCTCGAGTCCGTCACCAGCTGGTCCAGCTCCTCCTCCTCCATCAAGACGATGCGGTCATGGGCCAGCAGCTCGCGGCTGTTTCTGGCGCGCTGCTGCAGCGCATCGTCCTCGCTGTCGGTATCTTGGTCTCGGCTGTTGATGGATGACGCGTCATCGTCGTATGCAATCGGGGACAGCAACGACGAGTTGTCGCGATCCCCTTTTGCAGTGCTGGTGTCGAGGAGATTGATCGACATGTTGTTGCGGCCTCAAAGAGCCCCTGAGGGTGCGGGAAATGCACTTTGAAGTCGTGCAATTCAAGATATTAAACAGACACGAGGTTCCCAGATCGGCCGAAATATCCACCGACCCACTTGGGTGTCAAGCCAGATTAGGAACAGTTTGTAATGATACGGTACTTCTCTCTAGGTACTTCCCTAACCGTCCAACTCCTACCTTATTACTGGTCGCCTTGATTGAGACTTGGTTGTAGAGCATCAGTTTTGGAGAGTTTATCTAAACCATTTTTTTATTTTCATGTCATTTCATTTGACAATCCCTTCTATAGCTTCAGCCCTATGTATAGATATTCGCAAGTACTCGTGTTGTATAGGTAGGCTGTGGGCGGGGAAATTGCCTTCATTGACGCCACCGATCATCTGCCACGGTAATTTCTGTAAGCATGCAAGAGTCAAAAAACAGGGGCCGTAACACGAATATGATCAAATACTACAAACAAAAAAGCAGTATAAAACAACATCATAAAGTAGTTTCATCACTATTCCTATATATGTATTATACAGATTTGTGTCATAATATTTGCCGTCCTCCATTTTTTATATCCGCTTGACAAGCTTGAGAATGCCCTCAACAGTATTGCCCAATACGGAATACATATGGCTGCATACGTCACTCTATCATCCAACGCGGTTTTCATACCCGACAGTATGGTCTCAGCATTGCTAGCACTAATTTCTCACAAGACCCCTCTCACTGTTGTGAAATTGTCCGTGTAATTCTAAACCCCCCTCGGCCTCTCTCTCTTCCTATGTGCATGTCACATCATGACTTCAAATACCGTGTAGTGTATGTCATTGAACACGGGCTCGTAATACATTCACCCAACATGTTAACCAAACCTAGACCAGTTTCGCCGCTGTTCCAAGATTATATCCCTTTAAAGACTCCAGATTCGCCGCGGGAAAAATGAGAGAGAGTTCCCCGGCTAAGATATGCATCACCCAAAAGAAGAAGAAAAAGAAAACGCCGTCCCGCTGTGCCCGTTGTAAAAAGGGCAACCAGCCCAAAACTATCAAACAGCCCAACGTTGTGGGCGCCTATCGGTGTCGCTGGTCTTCAGCAGATGCTCCGGTAGATGAGGACTCGGCCACTACAAGGCTATTCCTGACGGACGGATTATGAGGCCAACCTATAGGCATGTTCGACAGCCGTCGTTGACTCACTACACTGTGCCGCATTGAGTCTGTAGCTACCATTGCCGGCTCAGTCAGTGCGTTATTTGAGCTGCTCTCCGAATCACCGTTGTTGGCGACCGACTTTTCATTGATACGGACTCCCTTTTCCTTGTCGCTCCTCCTTCGACCGGCGGCAGCAGCTGCAGCCATTCCACCGCCCGCAGCAAGAGTGGCAATGGCTGCAGAGGCAGTCGAGTGGAACCCTTTGAGCTGAGCCACAGGCCCTTTGGTCGATGTCTCGTCCAGGAAAATGAAACCCATGGCCCCAACCACTGAAGCAACAACAATCACCGTGAGGATAGCGGCGCCAAACTTATCGGCTGCGGTGATGGGTTTGTAGTCTGGTCCTTTCGGCTGGTTTCGACCAATGTCATCACCGCCGCCGCCAGGATCTCCAACACTGGTGCCACCGCTGTCAGCAGTCACCGGAGCACTGCTATTCGCGATCAAGTTGGACATGGTAATCTCCAGGGCAGCCATCTGCTGGCCGACTCCAGTCGTATTGTCGTATTTGCCATCGTACCAGATGAGGCCACACATACGCTTATTATCGCCTCCCTGACATTGCTTCGCTGCGGCAACTGAAGATGCACGTAGGTATGGCATGATGACCTTGTACGTGTGAGGAGCCCATTTAATCATCATAGTTAGCCAGCGCGTCAAGTACGCCTTGAATGAATGCTCATCAACGTTGCAGGTATTGACCGATTCACAGGCAACCTCTGACATGATGTTGTTATTTGGCCCCGTGAAGAAGACTTTGCTGCCCTGAAGTAGATTGTCCAAGCGGTTTTTCCATGTCTGCGACTCCGTATAGTTGTACATGGCAGCGGCACCAAGAATCATGCCTCCGGCATTGTAGGAGAATTGGTAAGGAGTAAGAACGGTGCAGTTGGTCTCAATACCGGCACCGTCATAGACGTACCAGTTTGTGGTGTTGATGAGCTTCGTATTAATCATCCAGTCCCACGTCTTCTCAGCCCAGTCAGCGTAGCTCTGGTTGCCAGTATACAGGGCTAGTCTCGCGCCGAGAGCGAAGAAACACGCTTGCGAAATTGAGTTCTATGCACCGTTAGTCTCATCGCATGATCTGATGGTCATATATAGCTCCACAAAACGCAATCTCGACCTACCTTGTAGTCATAACCGTTGTTCCATGTGAAGATTTGCCAGCGTAGACCTCCTCCGCAGTGCTCAGTGTCCCACCGAGCGGCTTGAGTGTTGAAAACTGCTTGAGCGAGGGCCAGCCACTGTGGCTTGTCAGCGGGCGGATTCGGAAAGTTGTATTCGGCAGCCGACATGACGGAGAGGCCCCAGAAGCCTTGGTCGTCGTTTCCTTCGGTTCTGGTTTGATTTCTCGGCATATAGTCGTTGGTCTCGCCGACTTGAAAGAGGAGAGCTTGTGAGGTTATGTCGTTGTAGGTATCATCACCGGTGTAATACCAATAGTCGATAAGTGTTCCCATCATAGCACCGGCCTCCCACCCTGAGAGCAAGCATTAGTAATGAGCTGAGAAAATGTGTTTATAGCACGGCACAGCGAGATACATACAATAGTATGGATCGGGAAGAAGACCAGGCGTGTTGCCAGGCTGATTGCCGTTGTAAAATGACACCAAGTCCTCCGCCATTTGTTTTGATATCGACTTGACAGAGTCTGCAAGGCCCGAGTTAGCGGCTGCATTGATTCTAGAATCGGTTGAACCATTAGTATCCTCATACCGGCCGAGTCTGGGTTCAAGTTATAGGCGGTGGTGAGCTGGCCGGCCGCCAGCAGCAGCCCAACGGCCAGACGACCAAGCCGTGGCACTTTGCGCAATCGATCCATGATTTACGGCGGCGAAGTAATCTTCCAGAGACAATGGCTCAAATTTTGATACCGATAAAGGATCCCATGGGCCGGTGGTCGCGAGCAGGGTCCGTCGATCGAGGCTGTATCGTGGCCAGGGTGGAATGCAACCGGCTATAGCTTCAGATCCATCTATACGCCGCCTACAGAGCTTGGGCACCAACACAGCGACGGAGACTGGCGACAACGCAACACACGAGCACGACAAGCGAGTGACCTTGAGCGAGAGACGAGGGATGGGATATAAAGGGAAGAAGAAAAAAAGGAAGACTGGAAGAGACAGGCGGCACAGCTGTGGAGAAGGGAAACACGAGGTGAGCGGTGGACATACGAGTTACTGCATGTACTCTTTGTTCTCAACTGCTCTAGAAACGATCGGGCTGGGGAACTGACATCGGCTCCGGAAGCGCTTGCATCGCTGAATTGACGCTTGCCTGACGTACTTGGGCTGTACGAGCTGTCGGGCAAACAACATGCTCTACAAGCTACAAGCGAGCACAGGCGGTATTCCGGGGTACTCGGCCGCGCCATGGTCTATGAGCCGGTACCTTGGCGCTACCTGGCGGGAGGCCATGGCGATTGAGTCTGTTGAGCTGGAGCTGGAGAGCGCCACGGAAAACCTTGGTAGCACCACTTTGCTGCATCGAACTATCACAAAACGACTGGCCCTAGCTCGGTGCTGAGCCTGAACGGGAACCTGGCATGGTGGCCAGGGTCCAAATACGAGAGCTGCAAGCGGGCCAGCGATGACATCGGGACCCCCCGCTGGAGATCCAGGCGGGTTTTGCTGAGCGGCCGCATCAACTAATACTGTAGACTATTACGAGTACTTGCTGTGCTGCTGAAGCCAAGCTCACCGGAGAGAAAAAGACGCTGCAAGTATTGTTGTATTTGACCGCACTGGGAACAGCGAATGTGTTTGCTTGGCGGGTGGCTCGATGCGGAAGTGGCCAAAACGGGAGCATCGCGAAGGGCCGCCGCAAAGTTTCCTCCTTGGTCAAGGTGCTGACGGCCCCAATGGAAGAATAGAACGATTACCTGACGATTGTAAGCAGCAGTCGTCCAGTTACGGCACTCGTATAATCGTGGCTGGTCCCTGGGCGCGGTGGTTGGGCCGTTGTGGTGCTTCACTTCAGCCCGACATGGCAACCACTCCAGCTAGCACGAGCACTGTACTCGTAAGCTGCTGCTTGTTGGTGGAGGGAAAAAGGGAAAAAAAGGGCCAATGTAGCCTAGTCGTGGGTGGGATGGCAAGATGGGAAGAAAAGAGCGGGGGGATTGGGGATAAGACGGAGCACAGGCATCACCGCGTTGGATTTCTCAATGTCTCTCGTTGTCGAAGCCGAGTTTGTGCTCGTCATACCTGAGATGGCGATCGCTTATCGGCATCGATGTTCGATAGGGCGGGCCACCGTCGTTGTGTGTTCTGGCTCTACTTGTGCATGATCTGCACGGATGCGTAACCGACTATCAATAACTATCAATAAATAGTAAAACTCCAAGGAAGTGCTGTCTTGAAAAGCACACGAACTGAAGGGAATTGAATTTTTCCATCCAACCCCTCCTTTCACCAATCACGCTGGCGTCGGGCCTTTCCCCAACCACACAGGTCAGCAGCCGGATTCTTTCTTGGCACGCAAAAAGAGCCATAGCCAGACAAGGGAGGTGGGAGGCTAAGCAGGTCTGCTTAACGGAATACGAAGCAATACTACTATCACATTGATACTTTGTACGAGTACATCAATCAATTCAGTCTACGACTTGGGACTGCTGCGTGTCGTCGTCACTCACCGTTCTGATAATGACGACGGGAGAATGGATGGCCCTGAAGCCAACAAGGGAGGGGGGGTTCTCTCCCTGGCCCTGTGGATGTTTAGAATTTATGCCTATAAATACAGTGCCTTTAGTCACGATTCAAGCACCTGGAGGAGTCCACCAAAAGTCTCCAGCTGGAAGTGGCTATGGTTAGTGCTTGGAATTGAAGCGGCTTTTAGCCGACACTTAGCAACGCTTGAGCAACCAAGCAACGAATATTGCGCGGTACGGTACATACTTTACGCATTAAGTTTACAACCTCACTCAGGTACTTGACTGCAAGGTACTAGGTATGTAGCAAACCAACAATCTCTCATACCAGGTACATCAGATGGACGAGGCTTCGTAATGCACTGTACGGATTGGATGCGGCCGGAGCCGTTTGCGTCGCTGAACACGGCCGCCGTCCGCCAGTGACTCCCGCACAAGTACTGCTGCTCCGTCCATTACTTTGGACGGCTTACACTGCTGCTTTATTTAGCTGCACAATGTAAGAGAGAGGCGAGCGAGAGAGATCGAGACTGTTTTCGATTGCCAGGCTAGCCGCTCGTTGTCTAACAGGAATGCATCAAGTCGCGCTTTCGTCTATTCTCGATGAAACCGGCCTGCGACAATGGTCGTGGTTCAGCTTCGGGCCAACTGTGTCCAACTGTGTCACGGTCTGTGCCTCGGCCTTGTACTCGTAGCATGTACCACCGCAATCGACAGCATCTGCACGTCGTTCTCCAGACGATCCAAGCTCTTCTACAGAGTACGTGCTGCAGAATCCGTTTCCTCTTCCAACTCCCATCGTCGCCTCTTGGCTCAGCATCACTCGATGACGCCGCTAGCCCGCTGAACCGGTTTCTGACCGAGGCGGCAGCAATCACGTGTGCGAGTGAGAAGACGTTGAGGAGCCACATTCTTTGGCGAGGCAGTGTGGCGGGGCAAAGTAGCGGTACAGGCGATAACCATGTACCGCTCCGTACCTCTCGTCTGAACCTGTCCCGGAGCCTCAGGATGGCGATGCCGGTGGCTTCTCCGGCCTTCCTATGGCATTACAAATCGCTGGGAAAGTGACAAACGTGCGTAATAGAAGGGAGGCTTGGATGCAATGTCTATAGATTCACATGAAGATACGGGCTTACGCCTATTGCCCAGGTAATAATCGAACGGGATCTGCTGCTATTAGGCACTTCCCAGGCAGGCGTTACGCAGCAGTGAGCCGCCGTAATGCGCCAGAGACTGGACGGGCGGTACCTGTGCAGTACCTGCTATCTACCTGTAACCCGTGAGGCTGGGGGTCTTGGTTCCGTAGACTCCGCGCTGTCGTCAGCCGGGGGCAACGCCTCCAACAGGTATGCTCCCTAGTCGAGGGGGCTATTCTGCGGACCAAACGTAAACTTGTCTTCCTCAAATTCCCTGCCCGCCATTACGAATCGTCGTCTCTTCAAGCCACTCCAACAACAAACCACCTTCAACGTTGTCGCCCGAATCCGCTTCACAGCTGCGATCGCTTTCTCGCCTGCATTTTCCTCGTCCGAGCTTGCTGTATTGAATACCCTGTCCTCTCAAAATGGCCGACGCTCCGTATGATCCTTACGTTCCCAAGAACGGCGCCGAAGCAGCTGGCGGCGTATCGCGCACGCAGGCGCTTCAAGGTGTAAGTTATGCGAAGATTAGACCTATGATTTGCTTGAGATGAGATCCCGTTTGCTTTGATATCTGGGAGACTGCATACTGCAGAGTTAAAAACTGCTTGGCAAACAATTATGCGCTTATTGATTGGCCTCACCGCTGAGCGATAAACGAAATCGAGACTGCGGCCTGGTTTTTATTGGGGGATTTTCTTAGAGAGAGAGAGATAAAATCAGTGACAGGTAAAGCTAACTTTTTCGTTCTAACTAGGAAATCGATGCAACCGTCCAAGTAATGCGAAAGAATATCGAGAATGTGGCTCAGCGTGGCGACCGCCTGGATGTCCTGCAAGATAAGACGGATAACCTGGCAGAGTCCGCACAAGGTTTCCGTCGTGGTGCCAACCGAGTTCGCAAGGCAATGTGGTGGAAAGACATGAAGATGCGAGTCTGCATCGTTGTTGGAATTATCCTCCTCTTGGTTGTCATCATTGTTCCATCAGGTAAGTTGTCAATATGAGCAAACGCTGCAGCAGATTTCTGACTGTGAATTATAGTTGTTGCCACCCGTTAAATGTTCAATTTCCTTATTTGAGTACCCATGATTTACGAGGTCTTTGATGAGCACCAGACCATACTGTTCTGGACGACTACGGGCTAAGCCTCGTTATAACTGAAAGATTATGAATTGCTATTGGATGAGGGTTCTGTGTCATGATGGAGTTTGTTCAGACTTACTTCGGACTATTTTAACGGGAGATGTAGCCTTGGGACGCTCTCAGGCTGGTTTATGTATATGTTTTGCAGGCTAGGCGTTCACCCCGACCAATTGAGATAATGTGCGCTCTCTACCGGTCCTAAAAAACGAGTATTATTCAAACTATCTCTGATTTGTATCCTGTTTCCAGATATATTGAATGCCTGTTATATTTTGAAATATGATATGTTTTTGGAGGAAGAATAGATTATTACAGGCCCCCAGGAATCCTCAGTCTTCATAAGGTTATCTGTATTTTGCGTAACGATAGTGTTTTATTAGGTAGTTATTACGGAGTACTAGTACTTTGTATATAAATCTACTAGGTATACATACTCCGTATTTAGCAGAATTAATAAAACGGGATGTATTTACTTTAATTTGTTATATGGTCTATGCGTTGAGGATTTGAGGACCAACATCGAGGACGTGCGTCTGTAGCTATTAAGTACCTAAGACTGACTTGCTGAACGAGCTGGTCGCACACTCTCTATAGATGAATTCATTCTTTTACTGTCATCTTATGCTATCGCCTACCGAGGTTCAAAAGAGCCAGTGAGATTCGGCCCAAACTCAAGGTACATATGCTTTTGAGGCAGAATTGAGATTGATGTGTTTAGCGGGAACCGCCACATCAAAATGTGGCATTTGACAAATTTGACGTTATTGGTAAATTGCACAGTCTCCTGCAACCATTTTTAATTGTAGCGTATCAGGTCTCTCGCCACCACTAGACAACAATCCGCCTATGCAAGCAAGCAACACATTCATGTGCGGCCAACAGCTGAGCACCATGTCTGATTGGGGCAGATTCACCGCCTGCCCGTATGTGGTGAGCGGTTTCGGGGCGATTTTTTTCTGCCCCTCCCCCCACAGCGGCTGGCACAGCTCCTAGACTAAACTGGGTGACTCTTATCTGATCTATTCCCTGCGCATCCTCATTTCTGCTCTTTTGGCCATTGCTTTTTCGCCCTTGCCCAGTCAATTGGACCAGATACCTCGAGAAATATGCTTTCCGCAACCTCTGTGGCCTTGCGGGCCGGAGCTCGACGAGGTGCGCCCCGTGTTGCGGCTCTCGCATCTGCTTCGAACGTTGTCCGATGCCAGAGTCTAGTCGGTAGCAGGGGCCTGTCAGCGACGAGGACTCTAGCCTCTCCTCCCACGAAGGACCGAACTCGAGAGATTGTTGCTCAGACCTTGAGCAGCATTGGTAGCAAGCGAGAGGGGTATGTTTATTTCCTTGTCCTTGTTTCCGGTTCACTCTGAAGCTGCAATTGCGCTAACTAGGACTCGAAGCGCACAGTATCACCAGCTCTTCACTTCGGTCTCGTCTAAGAAATTTGCCGTCATCAAAGTGGGAGGTGCTATTCTGACTGTAGGTTTTATCATCTACCTTGGTGATGGTTTTTTCAGAGGCATGCGTATGCATGCGTAACTGGGGATGAATTGGAATTGTGGGCTGTATGCTGACGAATTGAAGGATTACCTTGACGAGCTTTCTCGATCACCCTACACGAACTGTCACTTTACCCTGTGATTGTGCATGGTGCTGGCCCTCAGCTGAACCGTCTCCTAGAAGAGGCTGGCGTCGAGCCTCAATTCGAAGAGGGCATCCGTGTCACCGACGCCAAGACACTGGGTGTGGCCCGCAAGCTCTTCCTCGAAGAGAACCTAAGGCTGGTGGACAGGCTCGATCAGCTGGGTGTTGCCACCAGGTCCATCAACGGTGTCTTCATGGCTGACTACCTGGACAAAGAAAAATGGCAGTACGTCGGAAAGATTACAAAGGTTAACAAGGAGGCCATTGAGAAGTCGATTGAGGCCGGATACATTCCCGTTCTTACTTCCATGGCTGAGACTGAAAATGGCCAAATCCTTAATGTCAATGCAGACGTTGCTGCAGCCGAACTCGCCCGCGCACTGGAGCCTTTGAAGGTTGTGTATCTGTCCGAGAAGGGCGGCTTGTTCGACGGCGAGGGAGAGAAGATCTCACACATTAACCTGGACGAGGAGTTTGATCACCTCATGGCACAGCCTTGGTGCCGATATGGTACGCGCCTCAAGATTAAGGAAATCAAGGAACTCCTCGATACCCTCCCCAGGACCTCCAGCGTTGCCATCATTCACCCCAGCGATCTTCAAAAAGAACTATTCACGGACTCCGGCGCCGGTACCTTAATCCGACGAGGAGATAAGGTTCAAAAGGCATCCTCCGTGTCAGAATTTCAGGATTTGGATAAGATCAAAGCAAGCTTAATTCGAGACCGAGAGGGTCTTGATGCTGAGGCAACTGTTGACCGTTTTGTCGACTTTCTTAAGGAGAACCCCTTTACTGCCTACTATGATGATGCACTGCAGTGCGTTGCGATTGTCATCCCTGCCGGCAAAGACCGACCAATGGCTACACTTGCTACTTTGGCCATCACCAAGTCTGGCTGGCTGACCAACGTGGCCGAGAACGTTTTCACCGCTATCAAGAAGGACTACCCTAGCCTTGTCTGGACTGTCAGTGAGAATGATGAGAACTTGACCTGGTTCTTTGAGAAGGCCGACGGCAGCTTCAACCACAATGGCAGCGTCTTGTTCTATTATGGTTGCGATCTTCGATCTGATGCCCTGGCTCCGGTCTATGACGACTTCATCTCGCATGGACGGGCTATGCTGGGTGATTCCAACCTTGAGGCTCGACTACGCCGTGCAGCTCAGGCAGCCAGCCAGGCGCTGAAGGCCTCTCAGCCTCGGGCCTAATCAGCATGAACCTCGCCCTAGGATACGCAGAGTTCGAAGGTATCCCTGAAATGTAAATGTAGCGGAACGGAAGGCGGGGAGGATTGCAATATTGCTTTACGGAGTTCAATGGGTTTTGGGGTATGTGTCTGAGTATAAGGGGGAAGGGGCCAGAAGCATAGCGGCCAGTTTACAAATGGTGTATTCACGCGTATATTCTGTCTATTTGCTTCAATGCCATGGTTGTGCCCTTCCTGTGACACGTCTTCTGTGCGTGCTTGATCTAGTACTGTTCTGATATTTGTGATTTTGCGCCAGAGATTAAAGGGCAAATCAAGTCTCCGCGTGGGACTTGGTCTAATTACTGAGCTTATTCTTTTGGGAACGCTAGACGCTCTTAATGTTGGCACCCTGTGAAGCATAAGATGCGTATTAACAGTGTCGCAAGTGTGACGGTTTGCAAGGCTACCACAATATTTTGTTTTCTCTCTCTTATTATCTCCCCCTTCGTATTACGCGTTATGTTCTGTTAATTGAACTCATTTAGACACATGCATGGTCGATGGATTTCTAGGCGGATGTTGGTGCTACGCATTGCAGGCCACCATCAAATCATATTGCCAGGACCCCTGTCTGTCCATCCGCCAGCCCCAGCGCGAGGCGGCTACGCGCATCTGCGACCAACAGGCAGAAGGATCAGTTCGCCAGAGCGCGAGGAAAATGTCGAGTTGAGGAGAGCGGGCGCGTTACGATTCTACCTTTACTACTTATTGAGATATGCCGGCCGGAGACTTCAATGTCGTCTTGTTTGTGGCTCGTTTGATATTTGCTACCTACGACGTGGATGGTCTCACACGTTGAGGAGCTGGATCGTGGAACCTCTGAGCTATGCATGAGCGGAATCGCCACTGTTCACTGAGTTCCCTGTGAGAAGTAAATCACCGCCTCGCCGGAATGAAGTACGGCTTACACACGATTTACGGCGATTCGGAGGTAGATGGCGATACTCGCGTAGCGGAGCCGGAAATCGAGTGAGTAATACTGATACAATAAGCTTAGGCTTAAATGAAGTCTCATTCTCATTTCTTGCAGTGTAGTAGCTGTTCATGGCCTCAACTTCAAGGCCAACCCAAATCATGCATGGGCTACATGGCGTTCACAGGGATCGATATGGATTCGGGATTTTCTCCCCCAGAGGCTCGGAAGGCCATGCCGGGTCATGTTGTTTGCCTACAATTCCAGTCCTGCCAGAGCGTCAGATTCAAAGCTTCTGGATGAGCATGCACGGATGCTGTTGGAATGCCTGGAGGATAAGAGAAAGGTACAAGATCTGCACGACAAACAAATGAGACCAACCATATCCATGGTCTAACACGTCACAGGATACACCGCACAGGCCGATTATCTTTCTTTGTCATAGCATGGGCGGCATCGTAGTGAAATCCGTAAGTGCATGTCGCTGATCAATGCTGTTGGGCGGAGATGACGTTGGCTTGTGCATGACTTACACTTACACGAATCTTACAAAAGGCAATTGTTGAAGGCAAACTCAATCCAGCTTATAGCAACATTGTCACGTCCACCAGGCTTCTAGTCTTCTTTGCGACGCCTCACCTTGGCGGTAACTACAGTGAAATCGGAGATATTGCTGCCAAGATTGTCAGAACTGGCCTAAGAGCTCCTAGCAACGACTTGTTAGACGGTCTGAAGTCGGGGTCTCGTGACGTGATAAGACGCTTTGAACAATCTCGCCACTTGCCAGACGCCTGTCTCGTTATAAGCTTTTATGAAACGCAGAGTTACGGCAGGCTAGGACTGGTTCGTCATACACAAATATTAAATGCTTGCGTCGTCCTTTGAGCTAACGCGGTCTTTACTCTTCCGTCTGTCATGTTAGATTGTTGAAAAGGAATCTGCAGTCCTGAACCTCCCAGAGGATCAAGAGAAACAGGTGGCTCGCCCAGCTGATCATAGCAAAGTCTGCAAATTTCCAACCGCAGAGGCCTGCGAACCTGTTATGGGGCTGATTACGGCAGAGTTTGATAGAGCATTGGACATGAAGAGAGCTCTTGAGCCGGGTCGTACGTGGGGAAGAGCTCCTTTTACAAATGACTGTGCTGCATGCTAACCGGTGCATAGCTGAAAATGTCCATTTCATTGTCTCGCAGAGAGAGAATGATTTGTTCACAGGCCGCGATGAAATAGTAAACAGGATTATTAGCAGCATAATTTTGGTTGAAGACGACAATTCAATCCATCAGCCGCGATTTGTCCTTACGGGAATTGGCGGTCAAGGCAAGAGCGAAATCTGCCGGAAAGTGGTAGCCCAAGTCCGAAATTTGTATGATGTTTCCATCTCTCTTTATTAGTTCTATTTATTTGTGCATCTAACATCAGCTTGATAGGTTTTGGGGCATCTTCTGGGTAGATGTCAGCAGCAGATCTGTGGCTGCTGTCGGTTTCAAGAGGATTGCTCAAGCGCTGGGAAAATCCGATGTCACAGAAGTCGAAGACGTGACGCTTCTTTTGGCAAACATTGAAGTGAAACACAACTGGCTCCTAGTCTTGGATAACGCTGATAACCCAGAGATCGATTATCAGGAGTATATCCCTTCTGGAGATCGGGGCAAGGTGCTGATTACTTCTCGACTCCCTGAATGCAGGATCTATGCTACAGCTGGCTACGAAGAGATTGGTAATCTCAGCAAAGAGGATTGTGTTAGCTTGCTATTCAAAGCTGCCGAAATCCCTGAGAGTTTACACGCCGAAAGTTTGCCCATTGCTGAGGAGATTGCGAGCGAAGTTGGGTTTCACACTCTGGCACTAGTACAAGCTGGTGCATATATTGCCCACAAGAACTACCCCATGGCAGATTACCCAGCACTATTCCGCCAGCAGAGAGAACGGCTTCTCAAGTTTGGCCTGTCTCAGCTGCGTTCAAGATATCTCAACGTTTATGCAACCTTCGAATCGTCGGTACTAGCTCTTGAAGCAATTGAGACAGGGGCTAAGCAGGATGCGCTTGATCTTCTCCACCTTTTCTCCTCCATTCATTACCAGGATATTCCATTGGACCTCTTCATTGATTCCAGAGAGGGAATAAAGATGGCTCAGCAAAATCAGCCCGAAGACGAGACCATAGACCATCTCTGTGACTGGCATGTCTCCCAACTACCAGATTTCCTCGGCCCTCACGATACTTCTTGGGACCGCGATCGTTTTCTATCATCACTGGCAAAACTATGCTCATTGGCACTAGTAAAAGAGTCCAATATGAGAGGTGTTGCCGTCCTCTCACTACATCCACTAGTACACGAATGGATCGCAAGTCGTCAGGAGATTGTAGAGAGACATGCTCGACTTCAATCTACTAGCTGCATTTTTGCGCTATGGATATATGCTTCGACTGAATGGAAGATCTATAGTGATTATTTAGGGACTCACTTATCGTTCTTGATTACCGCAACGGCACATGTGGAGGACGCACTGGCTTCAGCACACGCGGTGCAATGCTTCTTTCAGATCGGACAACTTCTCCAGAGCTTACGATATGATGAAGAGCTTACCAGCCTTCTTACACGGTTATTTTCACGGTTAGATGTCCAGCCTGATTGCCCAGTGGATGGCTTATTGCCGTTATACTACTTGAAATCGCTCAATGAGCGCAATCGGGGAAATGTCAAGCTCTCTGTAGACATCCTCACCAAGGCATTAAATATCCAAAGAGCTAACCATGACCAAAATTTCTTTCAAACACTCAAACTTGAAACAGAGCTTGGAAGCGCATATCTGACGAATGGACAGATCAAAAGATCAATAGCCATGTTTGAGGGAATGGTCAGCATTCAATCTCCCAAAGTCAACATCAGTGAAAGGTCCATGGCTGTACTCAAATATGAGCTCGGTACCGCTTATCGCGCAGATGGCCAGATCAAGAAGGCTATTGAGGCAATGGAACAAGCTATCCAGATTGACTCGAGGTACTTAAAGGAAGGAGACGCTACACGAATACCACCAGCATATGAACTGGCAAGAAGCTATCTCAGTGACAATCGTATTAAGGAGGCGATTGAACTTTTCAACCAGACAATCCAGGTGGCTGAACAACATCTTCGTAGTCAACATCCAAACCGAATAGCTTTACAGGATGGTCTTGGGAGAGCCCTTCTCGCCAATGGCCAAACCAAGGAAGCACTCGACATATTCGAACAAATTGCCAAAGTGGAGAGATCATCCCTCGCCTCGGATCACCCCGTCAAACTTGCTTCACTGCATATTCTTGGCACTGCCTACAACCAAAATGGCCAGACAAAGGAGGCCATTGCCATATTCGAAGACATTTTGAGTATTTCAAGCGTTGATGAAGATCATCCCAACCGACTTGACACACAAATGGCACTCAGTGTTAGCTATATTGCTGATGGCAAGATAGAAAAAGCAATTGCTCTTCTTGAAAAAACCTCCACCATTCAAGAACGCGTCTTCGATGAAGCTCATCCGTCTCGGTTAATGACTCAGACAGAGCTTGCCAATGCTTATGGGAAAATGGGTGACTTCTCTAAAGCCATCGACATTCTCGAGAAAGTCGTTGCCTTACAGGAACTCAATTTGGACGAAGGGCATCCGATCCGACTGGCTGCGCAATATGCGCTTGCGCTTGCGTATCTGAACGCTGGACAAACAAGCACATCTATTGCTTTACTGGAAGAAGTGGTTCGACTCGAAGACCTTGCGGTCGATGATAACGAACATCAGCGAGCAGTGTCGAAGCATGCGCTTGGGAGAGCTTATCTTTCTGAAGGACAAGTTAAACCTGCGATTGCACTATTCGAAGAAGCGATTGATGCTTTGTCGCTAACAGCGCCAGAAAGTCATCCCGATTTGCTGGCCACCAAACATGAACTTGGCAGGAGTCTTGTTATGGATGGACATCTCTCTAAAGCTATTGCTATATTTGAGGAGGTCGTGAAAGTGCAATCCACTAGTTTGGATGCAACCCATCCCGATCAGTTGGCATCGAAGCGCATGCTTGGTCTGGCCTATCTCGAAAACCATCGTATCCAAGAAGCGACAGACATCCTCACCGAGATTGTAAATATCGAGAAGGCGATTCTGGATGAAGCCAATCCTGGACTATTGGCATCTCGTCAGGGACTTGCTCGTTGCTACTTGGCCAATGGCCAAGTTCAAGCCGCTATTACCTTACTCGAAGATGTGGACCGAATCAAATCGTCCTTACTACCTGCTGATCATCTTGACGTGTTGCGTACTAAGCAACAGCTTGCTGCAGCATATCTCAAGCAGAATCATGCAAAGGAAGCCATCACCATCTTGACGGATATTTCAGCAAGTTACCCCCAAGAAAACCATCCAAGCAGACTCGCGGCACGCCACGAGCTCAGCTTGGCATACATCAAAGACGGCCAAGCTGAAGAAGGAATAAAGATTCTAGAAGATGTGGTCAAAAACCAGACTCATCTCGACGAGGGCCACCCCAACAGGCTAGCTTCGCAGTATGAACTCGGAAGCTGCTACTTGACTCTCAGGAGACTAGACGACGCGATTAACCTTCTTAAAGAGGTCGTACGAGTCGAAACCTTGACACAAGGCCGCAGCATTTCACTAGCCATGACCCTGGCAAAACTAGGGTCCGCCTACCTGATGCAAGGCAAAGCGAAAGAAGCCGTAGAAGCACTAACATCAGCATGCGTCATACGGAGAAGCCGCCTCGAACCAGACGACGTCTTGCGCCTCGCATCAGAACACGACCTTGGGCTGGCCTATCTCGAAACCGGCGACGAGAAGAAAGGGTTATCTGCACTGGAGGAACTTCTCGCAGTAGAACGACAATGCCTTGAACAGAACCATCCGCTGCGTTTGAAGACGCAGTATGAGCTTGGTTGCGCATACTTGGATGCTGGGAAATTAGAAAAGGGTATCCATCTCCTGGAGAATGTGATTTCGATCAAGAAATGGCATCCTGAAGATACATATCCAACGTTGAATGAAGTTCGAAATGAGCTGACCAAGGCATACAAGGAGAGGAGCTGTAAGTGTCTATTTTTATATCTGCGTCTTCAATTTAAATCACTGACAAAGCTGAGGAGTAGTTTTATATCGACTCTTGGGGGTCTTTGGGCTTAATGTCTGCTTGGATAGAATATGATTCATATATTTTGGGCCGGGGTGGTGTAATATGGTAGTATTTTGCCTGGACTTGGCCCAATAGATACCCTTGATGTCATCAATGAAGTTATTTTCTTTATTTGGTTGCATTCTCGCATCAATCATGAATCCTTTGTAAGCGTGCCTTAAATTCTCACCGCTCCTTCCCGCCGGTCATATGCTCCTCTATCGTGGAAAGGCTCGAAGCATGCCAAGTACTCCTTTTGGCTAGTGGTAAGCAAACGAAGAAGAATGGGTGAGAAAAGGAGAGAACCTAAGTGAGGCCAAAGAGTAAAGCTGCCTAACTTTCAAGACACAGCTCATCCATCACAGACCACGATATGCTTCTGTTCTCAATGATTAGTGTACGGAGTATGGACATAGCTATTCATCTGATGTAACGTGTCCGGGTCCTATACCAGCTCCGGATCCGAATACAACGGCCGATAAATCTCCAAATCCTCGGCATATACTCCGTAAAAGGCTAAATATATACACTTGGCAAGGTCTGCTGAGCTCACCACACGAATCAATCCTCGCGAGAATGAAGGGTCCACGTAGCAGCACTAGGAATTGTTACAACCGATGCGGCTTTCTTCTCCGCATCGGCCTTACCATGCCATATTTCCCCGAGCCTCTTCCTCCGCGTATCGATCGTCACCTAGTACTATGTACGATGTCCGCGGACACGGGCCATGAATGGTTTCATGCTTGTTGGCACATTAAAAGGGGATATTAAAGGTGTATCAATGGGGCAGGACAATTTGCGGCTATAAAGGCGGGGCAGCCGAGGCTGCAGGTGTTGAGTGCCGTAACGGTCGAGATGAGATCTATAATTTCACCCTGGTCGTTGCATACCAAATTTGCATGTGAAGCTGTCACCTCTCCGTGCATGGTCGGGGCAAAACCATATTCCTAAACCTGTTTCAAACAAGATGTACGAGTAATCGAAAGCTGACTTGGCAGCTTTTAACTTTGCCAGCTCATCGAAGGCGTCGTCGCGAAGATGTACTCGTAAGGAGTGCTAAGACCTAACCATAGCTTGAGCTAAAATTCACTTCCTTGCATAAAAACGGGCGTAAATATACTCTCAAGCACGTAATGTTATCAATGGAGATGTCCACCTATGAAAGGGAGAAAAGAAATGAGAAAAACTCAACTTGTCATATTTGTCTTACGCTTGCCAAGTCTGTCAAGCTCCATGATGGTGAATTGTATGTTTCACCCCACGCGTCGTACTCGTTTATTTCGTTTGTGTAGCGAGTATTCCTTGCACTGTAACGTAATATGAGGCAATCAATGAATATATAATCAATGCGACATTTCACGGTACTCCGTGCTGGGACCGGGTAGCTGCGTCTTGTTGGTGGTAGTCGGCTGTATAACTCTCGCAGCCTAGCCTTGCTTAGTGGCGGGGAGAGAACCGCCCTCTGCTGCTATTGGCTGCCTGTTGGAGACATCTGACGTATGGAACCTTTCTGGGTCAATCTGGATGCGTTGCTCATACCGTTTGTGGAAAGTTAATGGACAGGTGACGAAAGGAGAAGCGATGGATTAGCGGAGAACCAGAGCAAGCTGTTCAAGCTCGTATATATTGCCAGACTGTCCCCAATCTCTGTTTCATCATGCGGAAGCTCATCCCCAAGTAGTGTGAACGGCTATAGATGCCAACTCGTATGCGATCACTAGACAGACACATATTTTAGTCGACAGCTGCACAGGCTCGTCACAAGCAAAGACGTCGCCATGTCACTCATCGTGAGTGAGATCACGGCCCTGGCTGGTGCTGTCCTCACTAGCACTTACATCGCCTGGTCGGTGCTTGAACGCATCTTTCTCGTTGTCACGGATCAGCACCTCACACCATTCTCCTCCTACGCGTCCCTTGGAGCCGCCATTGTCGTGATTCCAATTTTCGCACTTTTCCGCAGGAGGCACCACTACATTCGTGGGACGCGCGTCAATGGATGCAAGCTGGCCGCGGTATATCCTCACCGGGACCCAATCCTAGGCCTGGACATGCTGAGCATTTCCGTCAAAGCGCTCAAGGAGTATAGGCTCCTGCAGTTGTGGGATGACCTTCTCAAGACTTATAACGGAACATATTGGTTCAGCTCTATGGGTAAATGGATGCTTATTACCTCGGAGCCAGAGAACCTAAAGACGTTGCTATCGACACGGTTCGAGGACTGGCCGATGAAATCGCTGCGACAGCAAGTGAGCATATTGACTCTTGGCCCTCACGCCATCTTCGCTGTCAACGGACCCGAATGGCAGCATGCACGTGCCATGATTCGCCCGAGCTTCGTGCGAAATCAGATCGCCGATCTGGAGTGTACAGATAGACATGTTGAGAACTTTTTGGCGAGACTTCCTCGAGATGGATCCAAGTTTGATATCGACAAGCTGCTGTATCATTTCACCATGGATGTAGCAACTGATTTCATGTGAGCAAGAATGGTACCGTCGCACTGAAGCAGTACTAAATGTTTGCAAGGTTCGGACACTCAACCTCTATTTTGACGTCTCCAACGAAGGAATCTCTCGAGTTCATGGCAGCTTTTGACTACATCCTCACTACTTCGACGAACCGCGCCCGTCTAGGATGGTTGGTGTTGTTGCGACCAGATAAGAAATTTGATGAATACGTCACGATTACCCAGCGTTTTGTCGACCAACACGTATCTCAGGCGCTCGCTCAGGAGAAGATGGAGAGACCCTACATCTTCATGAACGAAATCATCAAATCTGGAGCTTCTCACCGTGAGGTGCGAGATCAACTATTTTCGCTGATTCTTGGTGGCCGTGACACAAGCGCCAGTACAATGTCTTCGCTCTTTTGGGTCCTGTCACGACGGCCGGATGTGTTCAAGAAGCTGAGGAACGAAATTGCCGAGCTGGATGGTCGCAAGCCCACTTGGGAAGAGCTAAAGAACCTCAAATATCTGAACATGGTTCTGAAAGAAAGTTAGTATCGCCTTTCCGTCTTTGAGCCTGATGCGGGAGACTTACACAACTCTGCAGCTTTACGGTTGTATTCTGCTGTAGCAAGTAACATGCGCACTGCTGAAAGGGACACAGTCCTGCCTAAAGGCGGTGGTCCTGATGGCCAGAGCCCTCTCTTTGTCCCTAAAGGCACCGATTGTCGGTTCACAACCCACAGCTTGCATCGCAGAAAAGACTATTGGGGTCCTGATGCTGACGAATTTCGGCCCGAGAGATGGGAAACGCACCGGCCGGGGTAAGCACTCTTCCGATCGAACCTCCACTAATGACGGCGAATGCTGACATGATATCAGGTGGGAATATATCCCGTTCAGCGGCGGCCCACGAATCTGTATCGGCCAGCAGTTTGCTCTGACCCAGATGCTGTTCTTGATCACGAGAGTGCTCCAGACATTTGGCGACATCCAGCCGGGAGACGATAAGCCAATGCAGCATGAAATAGGCTCAACTATATCAATGGTTAATGGATGTTGGATTCAGTTGACTCCTGCAGAGTAGGGGAGCCGGTGAATAGATATGCCAAAACGTGGAACACTTACAAGAGCAGTCCCTCTTGACGATGAGCGTATGCTGCTCAAGTGACTGGGTATGGATGCGAGAAAGATGGGCATTTGGGTAGAAAGCAGATATTCGACGTCCGACACACCAAGTTGTATCTTTCGGTTGTCATGTTTGGTTGTGCGTCGTGTAGACTAGTCTTCTCTTTGGGTGGTGGATATAAGTCAATTGCGGCCCAGAGAGGTAGCCTCGGAGAAAGCAGAGCAGAGGGATATCGACGAATTCTGGGGAAAAATTAGCGTCAACCTCCATCAATAAATAATCACATCGAATACCCAGACAAAGAGAGGGGTCTTTATCTCAGAAAACATGGCTAACTCCAAAGAGGGAGAAAGTGAGGCTCTTGCAGCTCTTTCAGCTCGCTTCAAGCTGCCAATGCAGCAGATGCCATCACGTGACCACGCATTCACTCCCCCAGTCCCAGTGCTCCAGAATTGGCGATAAGCTCTGGCGGGCTTTCAGAAAGCTCGAACCTCCCTGCTGAGCTCTCCCAACGCACCAAAGATCCGCCATTTCAGCATCAGCAATGGCGTCGCGATCTCCATCCCGAACCCGCCGCAGGGCGTCATCGCGCACGCCTCCACGGTCCAACTCCAACGACTCGCGCTCGCCGCCTCCAAGCCATCGCCGCCGGCGCCACGATTCGCGGTCTCCGTCGCGTTCTCGATCCAGGTCGCGATCAGCCACTCCGCCTCGTCGCAATGGACGAAACAGGAGCGGCAGTCGAGACAGGAGTCGCGAGCGTGGCAGAGACAGCCGCTCGCCCAGCGAAAGCGCTCCTAGAAGAGCCACCAAGGTTCGTTTATCCGCAACGAATGGCCCATTCAGAGCCCATGGAAGTGCAGCCAGGCTAACCAGCGACAAACTAGATTGTGGTGGAGAGATTGTCAAAGAACGTCAATGAAGAGCATCTCTACGAAATCTTTGGTCAGTTTGGCCACATCAAGGACCTTGACCTGCCGATGAACAGAACCTGTCAGTTGCTCCCCACCCCAGCTCAGTAGAACGACCCCCATAATTAACATGTGATGGACGTATTTGCAGTTGGAACGAACCGGGGCACCGCGTACATCCTGTATGAACACCAAGCCGACGCCGAAGTGGCCATTTCATACATGCACGAAGCCCAAATCGACGGCGCCGTCATCAATGTTTCTATCGTATTGCCGCGCAGGAAGTCACCTGGTCCTCCCCTCGCCCGTCGGGGTGCCAACATTGACCCCCGAGTCCCCTTCCAAAGCTCTCGTGGGGGTGGTCCGCCTTCTGGCCCTCAAGGCGGCGGTGGAGGTGGTGGGCGTCGTCGCTTCTCGCCCTCAAGCAGATACGGTCCTCGATCCGATGTCTACCGACCCAACTCCTTGTCGCCAGCTCGATCTCCAGGCGGTGCTCCCTCTGCTCGAGGAGGTGGCGGCGGCGGTGGCGGCAATCGATACCGCAGCCGATCCAACGGCTCATACTCGTCCCGATCGAGATCCAGGTCGCCAGCGCCCAGACGACGCGGCGGTGGAGGAGGGAATGGAGCCGGTCGATATGACGATCGTGATACACGACGCCGCAGTCGCACTCGCAGCCGCAGCTTCGATAGTGACCGGAGCACTTCGCGGAACAGAGGTCGCAATTATAGATGATGAGGGAGAGATTCTTTTCCTTCCCCCTGTGGTGTAAGGGCTTAGGCTTGGGAATAATTTGATTTGCTTTAAAGCAGTGGCGTTGGGAGCTCGGAAAGGCTAGGGGAAGTCTCAGCAATGGACAACAACTTTGGGGAACGGCGAGTTCTGTTTGTAGTGCTTGTATAGTTACAGATATCATGATGGCCGATGAGCCTTGTTAATGGATTGAGAATGTGGGCAGTTGCCTCGGAATAGACGAGGTATCGCAAAATGATGCAGAGATTTTATACCATGTTTGCTGATACGTTATTGTGAGATGTGCCTTACCCTAGATTCATGTTCTAGACAAATACTGTATTGGTGAGAAATTATGTCACGGCAGTAATCGCATTTACTGTACTATGTAAGTAAAGAAACATTCCAACCATGCCGTTTTGATCTATAGTTTGGTAGTATAAGACATATGGCACTCCGTATTATATGCACCGATATCATATCTCGAGCTATCTATTATACGCAGAGGTAATGAAATCTGATGCCGAAATACCAAAATCCCACGAAATTACACCCTAATTCACATACATCTACATGAACATTAGCCGTCATAGACAAACCATCTTAATTCTCGATCCGTCGCATAGAATCAAGAGCTCGTTTACGCAAAACCAACTACTTATTTTATGACACTAACTCATAATTCAATCATCGTCATCATATTGCAATACTATTCATGGGTAACAGAAATACTCCCTTTCTATTAAAAAGACCCTGAGGTCTGAAAAAACACAATATCCAAACTCATTACGTCTAAATCCATCTCATTACTACTCATACCAGTGAAGGCTCTCCGCTTTTTGACATCTTCTTCAACTTCTGTATGAAGAAAAGGTATACATCTATATGATAAAAAGAAAAATCATCAAGGTTTTACAGCATCATTCCCGCACCAAGCAGACCCAGAGCTGCTCCCGCAGCACGGATGTTTGCCGTAGCCATGGCTCCTGCGGCTGCTTTGCTCTTGCTTGTGAATATGCTGGTAGAGGTGCTTGTCGCGACTGCATCCGTGGCAGTATCTGCAGCCGTCGTCGTAACGGGGCAGCTCACTGTGCAAGGCAGAGCTGAGGTGAACGGGTTACGGGCCGAGCTAACAGGAAACACGGGAGCTTGAGAGACGGCGGTGGGGTTTGGAATGGCAGCATCAGCATCTGGGTTCAGGACGTTAGAGATGAGATGCATAATGCCGTTGGCGAGGAGAATGTCAGGCTGGACGATCTGAGCCGAGTTGACGTATTTGTTGTTGCCGGACTGACGGATGACGATAGACTCTTGGGCTGTGCCAGCGGGGTTCTTAGCAAGTGTTGAGAGACTGGTGCCGTTAGTGAGGGTCGACGAGACAAGAACTTGGCCAGGCACGATGTGGTATCCCATGACGCGTGCAAGGGCCTTGGCATCGAGGTGCTTGAGAGAACCACCAACAGCGGCAAACGCACTGTCAACGGGAGCAAAGACGGTAATGTTCTCCTCATAAGAGACCTTGGGCATGAGATCGGCGGCGTAGAGGCTGCCCATGAAGTTGGGCACGCCGAATGCCTCAGTCGTGTTCTCGATGCGTGACGGAGGGATCAACAAGTTGTCAACCACCTGGACCAGGCCGCCCTGGAAGGGAATATCACCCTCGACCAGAGTGCAGCGAGTGCCCATGCTTGTAGTGAAGACAACAGTGTCACCGGGCTGCTTGGCAATGAGGACATTTTGACCAAACGTCACGTTGGTGTAGCGAGGGCTCTTTAGAAGAGTGGCCCGGACATAGGTTGGCCCAGTGTTAAGACCAGCCGTTGCGACGGTTCCTATGAGAACGTGATATTGCAGGAGTGGCACGGTGGTGGCCTTGTCATTTGGGTTCCATATGCCATTGAGGGCAGTATAAGGGATGTTTTTGAAGGCCTCATTGGAAGGTGCGACGATCTGGAAGACGAGAAGTTAATAAAAATTATTTTGTAGAATTGATGCTAGATTCATTTCATGTCGTGATGAAGTGACTTAAAGAGTGATGCCGGGCAGAATCAAAAAAAAAAAAAAAAAAACACGTACGGTGACGCCTGCGTAGCTTGGAAGCTGGAGAAGAACATCCGGATATTTCTGCGGAAATGTATTAGCACACCAATTGGTTGCTCAATTGTAAATAAAAGGCGTTCTGAAGCTCAAACTGCTTACCTGGATGAGCGAATAGTAGGTGGACAGATCTTTGTTGCCAGCGAGCACAGTTCCTAGATCCCGAGGATCTGCTGACACGCTTGAGACGAGCAGTGTCGCCAAGGCCAGTAGACTTTTTGACAGCATTGCCACGAAATGAAGTTTTTGAAAGTGAAAAGTGTGTGAGGCGTTTGGGGGAGCTTCAGAGAGGTATCTTGGCGCCAAAGAGGAGAAAGAAGGTATGAAAGTATATAATGGCAGCCGTGGCTTCTCAAGAGGTTCAAGAGCAACCAGTGAACTGAGGATGATGGGACGTGGCTATTCTCTCACAAGGTATAGACGGTGAGAGTAAAGGAATTGACTTCAAGGGGTATGCATAGCCTGACAATAGTGTGTAAGCTAAAGTTGAGCTGAAGTGCAGGCTGTCGACAACACTCACAACAATGATATTATACTTGGGCTAGAAGAGCGGAGGAAAATAGGCGAAGGCTGGACTTGTATGGATACAATGCAGGCTTCCAAAGTCTCTTGTTAGCCTCTAATAACGTCAAGTAGCAGCGACATGGACCAAAGATACGGAGCTGAAAATGGCGTTATGATTCCCTGACGCTGTGCGCTGGCAGAAGATGCAAGGAGGTGAGGAGAGATGTGATGTCGGGCAGTTAGATAGACTACCTGCTGCTTTCATTGGAGCCTGGCTTTGTTTACTGTAGCACCGTGTATATTGCAATGGCTGGAAACTTGCGAGGGTTCCTGGATGATCGGCATCGCGGCCTCACACTTGGCCCAACATCGGACATGGAGGCTAGCCTGCCGCTAATCATGAAGCGGCTGGGACGGGCCATGATTGGCTTCAAAGCCTCTTTTTCTCCCTGCGTGATGTACGAGTACGATACGTGTACTTGTTTATCAATGACATGGCCAGATGCTACCTGGCCAGCTGAAGCTGTGAGCCAGCATTGCAGCAAGGCCAGGGGTTGGACGTGTTAGTGCACCAACTACGACGTACAGTCCATGCGACACCGCTGTAAGAATTGCAAATACTACCAGGAGAGGAAAAAAAAAAAGAAAAAAAAAAAAAAACAACGCACGTCGAGACAACAGCGAGTAAACGGTGCTAAATGGAAATGCGGCTGCATTGGTGACGCATTCCGGCAGTAGTTTGGGTGTGCTGGCATGGAGCCCTTGCAAAACCGAGGATACGAACAAAAGAGGCTGCAAAGGCGAATCAATGATGCCAACATGGAATCCTGCTGTGTCCGTCCCGTCCATGAATGTGGTGCCACCCAATCGCTGGACTGCCTCAGCGATGCAACAACCCCCTGGTCCTGCATCCATACGAGCCCTGATGCATCACAAGCGCGACCGCAAAAAGCGGAACTCGTTGGAACTCAAGTTGAGTAGCGCCACGCTACGGTCGCAGCAGCGGCAGCCTGATAGCTGATAGGAACAAAGGAGAAAGACGATGGCGATGCCAACCAGGCGGCATCCCTGTATGGCCTCATCGGGAGCTACCCGATCTCATCCGAGTCATGCTCCGTCCGTCTCGCCGTAGTATTATGGGGATTCTCGGGTTGTGGGAACGGAAACAAGAAGGCGATGGATAAGAGCCGTGCTGATCCACCGCCGTCCGTTGTAAGCGTGCGGCCTGTTAGTTTCCAACTCGGGGCTCTTATCCAGTAGACTGAGTAGGCTTTCATTTACTTGTACTGGTAGCAATTGCAGCAGTCATACAGTCTGGTGTCTGAGAGAAGAGGGCGTTGCTTGTCAACATTGTCAAGGGAGATTGGATTGCAGGGCTCCCTCTAATCAGCACAATATGCTCAGGTTGGGACCTTTGAAATGATACGATATGACTGCAACAGCCCCATGCACTAGGTAGGGCGCGGGCTGCTTTCACCATGTGTACGCCACAGCCTTTGGTAGGTAGGCCAAGGTGGCCAGGTGGACATTACCTGGTAGCACAAAAGGCGTCAAAATTGACTCTCTGATGGCATGGCTGGTGACAGTCAGACCAAGCATTTTCGTTGGTTCCACTGGGTAGGTTAGTACAATACTAAGGTAACCCAAGGATTCGTACAAGTAAGTGACATACTCGTACACATCGTATTGCTCCTAAGCGACTGCCAAGTTGAAGTAACGAGAGTTACACAACCAATAAGTTGCTCATGGAATGACATCGGCAGTTGGACTGCCTTCAAGAGCACCACAATGTCTCTCAGGGCTGAACGAAGGGCAAAAGTAAGGACCCGCGCTTGGTCCTTGCGCTGCGTACCCAACTCAGCTTCGAGCACCTCAATGCCAGGCATGTCTTATCTTTCGGTCTGCCATCCGAGCATCATACTTACTGTACATTGCACCGTAGCATCGCAACGACACACCTGCCAGCTATACGAGATGTAAGGGAGCGGTTGCTTGACTGAGACATGCAGCCCAACAAAGGCGTCGAGGACGCTACTGCTGATAAAAATAGAGCGAGCCTCGTCGATTGGTTGTCGAGTTGCTGCTTGGTGGTGGGGGCCATCAAGGCCATCTATCTGGGTTGCCGATCTCAGCTCTTTTCTCCCACTCTTTGTTTTTGCCCCTTCCCCCTGCGGCTGGGATACGAGCATGATGCCGTGGATTGAGACAGTTTTTCTTGCCCGGCGGCCGCAGGGAAATGCCGACTTCTCCAACTTGAAGAGATTGACGATGTTTGGGGGCGATTTAGGCGGGCAAAACCAGGCCAGCAGTTGAACCAAAACCCCCCACAAAGCGGAGTCAAGCCGTGTTCTTAGCCCTGAGACTCAGCTGCCGCTATTTCGTACACGCGGGACATTTTGACTGTCAATGTCCTTGGCCGTCTACGAGCACTCGTACAGAGTTGTCTGCTCAGGATATCCATTGGAGTGCTGTACTGTAGCTCGCAGTATGTCGTGGAGCCAGAGCCTCGTTTGCCATCTCGCCAAGCCGGAGCTCGCTGCCGCGATATGTAGATTTTCGGGATCCGCTCTAAGAGATACTGGAGTCAGGATTGAGTCTGATTACGGAGTACTCTTGGGCGTGCAAGACAAGCTTATCGTCAACTGCGAGTCGGCGAAAGCTATCCCGGTTGCTGCAGTGTTCAGCTCAGCTTGCAGCGTCCGCAACGTTTCCCAGCCAATTCAACTCAGTCCCGCGGAGCAATTGTTGCCGTTTGCCATGGTACTCGTATTCCATCGACCGTGAGACATAGTTTGGATGTGGAGCAGCTAGCAGCGGACAGCGTCTAGTCCATTTCTCGTTTCGCCTTGTTCTCTTGTTTGTTCGGGCACTTGAGTGGCTCTGGGCAGCCCGCGTTCCAAGAGTATAGTTTGTAGAGCCCCATCGGTACCAAGCAATATAGACAGAATTGGTGTTTTGTGTGTCGGGTCTAGGGACAAGTAAGTTCAGCAGGATCCGCATGACGTATTCGAGGGCAGAGGCGAGGGCTATATGTGTTTTTTCGCTTGCATCTTCCTCCAGAGTGGATTGCAGCCTCGGTAAGAAGGATCTGGTTCTCTCTGCCGTCGACAATGACTCTTGACAGGGCACTTAATTTGAGTTGTGCCCCGAACTATTATCTTGCCAGGCACAAAATGCTATTCAGCTCCTTCATCCCCGACAGACCCGGGCTTGTTGGCTGGAGATTGACTGTGACCAGGCCACCCACCTAGTGCCTAGTAGTAGCTTCATGCTACCGTAACTACATATGCATAGACGGAACTTTGTTACGGTCCCTTTGCGCTGGCACCAATTTACCCGGCAAGGAATCCCACGTCCTGGAGCAGACTAGCCACCGCAGGCAGAGTGGGAGGCAGAGTGGGAGGCAGGAGGAAAAGGACCGACAGAGTTCTCAGTTCTCTCTCGGTGCCCTTTTTTTCCTGGTCCGGCCTCTTGGCAGCGTTAACGTGGGACTGCTGCATTTCTGGTGGTGGCCAGCGGCGAAACCTCGCCATTCCGAGGGTGCCAACATCTCTAGCGACAGCTTTTGATCTGTAGCTACCAGATAGCGCTGTTGAGCGTGCCCTGGCTAGTGCAAATGCGGGAGGCGTAAAAGCAAAAAAACAACCATGATGTTGTTTTGACTTTGTATCTGTGAGGGGGTGGCTCTATCCAAGGCGGTGAGCGCCATGAGCAGGGGATCTTCAGGCACGGCACGGGGGAGGCAGAGTGGCGCAAGAGGCGCAGCGCTGAGCAAGCCACAGCGGCAGCTAATCTCAGCCACCTATTGCTGCTTTTACTCGTACGAGGACGTCGTCCACTAGAGCCCGCTCTCCGGCTTGTGCCGCTGAAGCCAGTGTCAAAAAGTGCCAGGGGCGCTGGAGTGTCGTGCGGAGTCCGCGCCAGACCCGGCCTTTAGCGCTCAGAGGAACCGGCTACAGGCACCGACCTGACGTTCTAGCGCTTTGTAACAGCGATACGGGAGGGCGCCTGGGAGCGCCGATACGAAAAGTTTGTTTCGTACCTATGGAGGGAGGTTGAGGCATTGTCTTCAGGTCGTGTTGCAAAGAGGGTGGCCCGGCTCAGCGGCAATGAATCAACTCGTTGCGTGCGACTCTCTCTTGTTGTATCGGCGGTGGGTACGGCGGACGCAACAGATGCGGCTGATCGATAGTCGCAAGCAGTATCAGTCACAAACGAGGCAGACGAGCCTTGGCGCTGCAAACAAGAGATTGACGGGACGCAGCGCGAAGCGACCATGTGTCACGACAGGCAGAGACGTGCTGTACTGTAGCACCGATACTCGTATGTCCATGTGGTGCTCCGTACAGTACGAGGGCTAAGGTATGGTGCTATAGGCATGTAAGTTGTAGGGCGCTTGTCTCGCCAGAAGGGTAGCAGCGGGCGGTGCTGCGACAACCTTAATGCTTCGAGCGGCCACGATGGAGTTGAGAGCGCTCCCATGACAATCTCAAAACAACGGTAGGATTCAGTCCCGTAACTCCAACTCCCTCCAACTATGTTGTCTTGTAGACTACAAAACAGTGTCTACCTAGTCCTGTTAGCATGATTAGCAAGCCCGCCGTTGTACTCGCGGCCGCTTTCGTGGGATTACTATCGCCTTGCGGCCGCGGAGATAATAGCAAAAAGCAAGGTAAGATCTAAGCATACCGGACGCTGCTAGCCTCGCTCTAATCTCTGCCTCTTGCTTTTGCGCTTCCCACGTTCTCCCCAACAGCGCTGCTTGATAGGACAGAGCTTAAGCTGCCCGAGGGTGTGGAGATGGGCCAGCAAAGAGTCGAACAGATGCAAGGATCAGCTTAGCAAGGGACGGCATCTTGGCACTGGACGAGGAGCTGCACACGCCCTCGACACCTCGATATTCCAGGCCCTGCACGCCAGAGGTTGAGTTGCCGCGACTCCGCTGGAAGGGCCGGGGGGCAGCGTAATTGATTGTCGCTCTGAGTGAGGGTGCAAGAGAAAAAACTTGAAAGTGTCAACATTGGATATTGTACATGTGCATGTGCCTCAGCCAATCTGCATGCACGTGTACATGTACCTCTGGTGCTGAGGTACTGCCTGAGGTAGCACCCGTATAGCGACTCGGTCAGCGTCCATTCCAATTGAAGGGAGGGAACAGCTTCATCCATCCGCTCAGCTGAGTCTATTGCTTCGGCCTCCTTCTTCCTCGTAACAGCCACTACACTGCAGTCCCTCTTTTTATCATTTCCTCCCAGTTTCTCCTGCAAAGTCTCTTCTGCTTATCGGCATATCAAAGCCCGCTCTCCGTCTGCCCTCTTCAGCTCCCATACGTCACAGCGGGCCTCTTTTCTTTTGCTCTGCGTGCCTCATAAGACGCTGGTCTACTACAGTCTGCCCAAGGCTTCCACTCTCTGATTCAATTTCGAGCCACCTGCTGCAACCCAAACCCTCGGCTTTTCGCATTGTCCACAAGTCTGCATTTCCCAATGGAGCAAAACTTTGACGGGCGACCTCCCGTCGTCCCCTCGGCCGCAACCTCCAGTGCGCCCACGCCTCTCCGTCCTGGAACTCCCAACACAGATGACAACCGCAACATCTTCGAGGGGGGGACCGACACGGCCTCAAACGCTCCCGGAACTGGCACAAACCCCTTTGTGAGCCCGGACGCCTCACGGCCCGCCTCCAGCTTTGAGTCGTCCAGCGGCAGCCCCTACGATGAGCGTCCCGAAGAGCGTGGTGGCCAGCGATATTTCCACTCGCGGCTGGTCAAGAAGGGAGAAATCGAAAAGCCCTGGCTGGAAAAGGTCGATCCCAAGGAGAAATGGGTCACCATATTGCCCCTCCTCGGCATCCTCCTTGGCTTGTGTATTTCCGGCTTCTTGGTCTGGGACGGCATGCGTAGTGTCGTCAAGCACAAGTACTGCCCTGTCTTGGATGAAGATTTCAGCAACGGCATTGATCCGAGCATTTGGACCAAGGAGGTGCAGATTGGCGGATTTGGGTAAGTACTTTTATTCGAGTGGCATCCCGGTGTAATGGCTTTGCTAATAAAGGTCAACTAGCAACGGCGAGTTCGAACAGACTACTGGTGGCGACGGAAACGTCTATGTTGAGAACGGCCATCTTATGATCAAGGCAACTCTCCAAGATGCCAACCTGGTCCAGAAGAACAATGTCATCAACTTGCTCAAGGACGGCACTTGTACCTCCAAGGACTACTATAGCTGCGTCGCCGCCACCAACACCACCAACGGCAACTCCAGTATCGTTCCTCCGACACTGTCCGGCCGTATCAACACGCTGAAGGGAGCAACTATCAAGTATGGCCGTGTTGAAGTCACTGCAAAGCTGCCTGTAGGCGACTGGCTGTGGCCCGCCATTTGGATGTTGCCAGTCAAAGATACCTATGGCCCCTGGCCCTCGTCCGGAGAGATTGATATCATGGAGTCGCGTGGAAACAATCACACCTATGCTCAAGGCGGCAACAACATTGCTTCATCTGCTCTACACTGGGGCCCTGACCCCGCCAATGATGCTTGGTGGAAGACCAACAACAAGCGCAAGGCTCTGCACACCACTTACAGCGCGGGATTCAATACCTTTGGCCTTGAGTGGTCGCAAAAGTATCTCTTCACCTACATCAACAGCCGGCTGCTGCAAGTCACCTACACCAACTTTAACAAGCCCATGTGGGCACGAGGCGGCTTCCCCGACTCCACCTCTAATGGTACCAGGCTGATTGACATCTGGAGCCAGACCGGCCGTGACAACACCCCATTTGACCAGGAGTTCTACCTCATCCTGAACCTTGCTGTTGGCGGTACCAACGGTTGGTTTGAAGACGGTCAGTCTGGCAAGCCTTGGCTGGACCACTCTCCCAATGCCAAGAAGGACTTTTGGGATGCCCGCAACACATGGTATCCCACGTGGACGCAGCCTCAGCTCGAGATTAGCCGCGTTGTCATGACGCAGCAATGCGATGGTAACGAGGATTTGTGAGCTATATGGTTGACTACTACATACTACTGCATTATTGCAAGGGGAGTGCCATTCATTGTAATCATGGGCACTCATAGACACGAGGATGAGGGATAGTACATTTTTTCTGGAAAAATTATCGGGTATATGAAGCAAAGAGTTCTTTTACGATTGAGAATACAGTAACTTTAGGTAATATTAGGGATGGATGGTTTATTTGGCTATTAGATGCGCAACCAGTGCTACCAGGCGTTTGAATTGAATATCCACTGATTTTCATGTTATTTTGTTATTTTGAAGACTACCATGATTTTGTGACCTCAACTACTCATGCAAGTACTGTTTTTGGCTTCACTTTTCTGAACCTTCAACTACAATCATCGAGTGTCTCTGGATACACTCAATAGCTATGAGTCTGAATGACCAAATCCTGAAATCAATATTGAGCTCGCTTGCATGTAGACACGGCACGGCGATGCGGTGTAGAAGCCAGCTGTGAACAGGGGCGGGAAAAGTTCCTAATTTGAGAAAGGCGTCCATATTTGTTGGCAGATGGCGTGCGATATTTTTTTTCCTCCCAAGAATATTGGATGGCTCTGCATGTCCCATTGGTAAGGCTGCATATACATGTAGCCAAGAGGGGGGATGCAGCGCCCTTTTTGGCAAGGGAGAGAGGCTCGCCATGCTGTCTTTCAATAGTAGCTACGAAAAATATTACATGGTTGGATTGATAGTCTTGCTGTCCCCTACATTAGGTGTGATGTAGGCATTCAGGGTCAGTACATGTACGGTACGTGGCGTTACAAGGTGATGCATGAAGCTGAAAACAGGGATGTAGATAAGGCTGAAATGCAAAGTAAGCAGGTTGGGCTCTTTTTTTTCTTTTCTTTTTCATCCACAAAGGAGTCAACGTGGTGTCTGGAAGGTCGGTGCTCTTTGTTCCCTATTGCAGATGCTGTCTTATCTGGCGCTGTGGCTTCGAGGCAATCTCAACAATAGATGGGAACCGAGACCTGCATTATCGTCCCTCTTACCGCCACACACCATCTACAGGTACGAGGACGCCGGTGATATCATTGTCCAACCACAAAGATCAGATTGCTACTACTGACAGCTATCCAATACCAAGCAAGCCGATCATCTTTTAGCGGCGGACACTACACAGAGGGGGTGTGTATGGGCGTGTGTTGAGGATATCTTCCGAACGTTGCAGCAAGCTTTCTGCCCCTTTTACTTTTTTTCTTCTTCTTGTTCTTCTCTCTCTTATTCAGCCGCAAAAGGCTTCAATATTTCTCGGGTACTAGTCCCGTTTTTGTTCTGGGAGTTGCATTGTGCTTGTCATGTATGTGCATGTATCTTACCAGTAGCTTGCTCCTTGAGCCGGAAATCACGGTGCTGCAGCAATATATTGATCTAATGTGCGGCGATGCATGAACACGTTTCAATGTGCAAGGGTCTTTTTGACAAGGAGGCTTCCCAACTGGGAATTAGATGCGGCATAGAGAGCACAAATCGGTCAAAGACAAGTTTATGCTACTATACATCTGCAGCATAAGGGCTTGGGAGGCTTGCATGGAGATGGGTTGGCGGTTATGTGATTTGTTTAGCGGATTCAATAAAAGCAGCCACAGCGGAGAGAATGCCATGGTGTGGTTGGGCTGGAGGTACATGGCGTTTATTTGCAAATACATATGCCCTTTTGTTGTTGGTGAGTAGCACAGGTACTCCGTACAGGCATGAGATATCTGGCCAAGGGTTGTTTAGTGTAAGTGTACGATTACATGAGTTACTGTTGACGTGGCTACCCGTTGGTGGTGATCTCCTATCTGTTCGGAGATGTCCTGGTTGGTAACACAAATACGTAGGGAGAGTGATAGCTACGGCGGCTACCGGGGGGGTGTACATGATGAGCAAGTAAATGAAGCTGAAGACCATGGGAATGAGCCGCTCAGTTGGCCCTTGGGGAAGCGTTTACGCCTCAGCTACGGGTTTCCGTATTAGGTGTTGCCTGGCTGCTCTGCAGGGAGTAAGGAGTAGGGATTTGCGTCGTGACAAGTAAGGGGGCGGCTGATAGAGCCTATTATAACGACTGTGGCTTTCTTGGCTGATGAAAGGGAGATTGCCGTGGCGTCTATACGACACATGGCAGCTGCATGGAAACCTCTAAGGCAGCCAAATGTTCCATGGAGGCGTAAATCAAGACCCTTATTGCAGGAGAGGCAAAATGTGCAGCACTTGGCGCTCTGCAGAGGGCAGGTCGTGATAGTGAAGAGGCGTAGTATTGAGGTCAGCCCGTTCTCGATGCCATTACTACCACGTATCAGACTACCCCCAATTATCGGCCCATAGAAGCACAATCTGTATAGATTACATAGGTACAAGCTAGAGTAGATGGGCAGTAGGTACTACCTTAGGTAGTATTACTGAGTTGACAGAGTTGGCTGCTCTCTCATAACTGCATTCAGCTGCCTCCCTTGAGTTTAACCAACGGCCACGTGCACACACATCCGAGTAATGATTTGCAGACTTTGATAGATATCAGCCTGGCTGGTTAATATGCAAATACTACCGTTCCGGACGGATGGTATTGCCCTCGGATATGTGTTGTGCGGGAAGGGAGCGAAGGAGTGTTGCTGTAAGTTGAGACCTTGTCAATGCCTGGGTGCAACTCTGCAAACAGAAACGGAGATTTTACCCACACAAAAGTGGAAATACGAAGCCGCCATGGAGAGCTGCCCAAAAATAGCTTCTAGTGCATGGACCAAGTGCATGTTCCGTGCCATTATGCGCAACAACGCACGCTCAGGTCCCTCTACAGCTTCTGATTTGCAGGCCAGCGCACTTGCCACCCACCACAACATTGCAGATACGGTGCCTGTGGCTTCGTCTAAGTCTAGGTAGGGAGGGACTCATGCCGTCCAAGCAGCCATCGTCTCTTCCCTTGCAACCATTTCCCCCTTCTGCAGGACCGGTGTTTTCGCTTCTCACTCGCAAGCCTCACAGGCCAAACGACGGAATAGCCCGGCGTTGCGCTACTGTACGAGGGAGTACCACACGTTCTCGACTCTGTGCAAGGGGTCCGGAGCTTCGTGGGACGGGCTGGCCATTGTTGCTTTTTTGATGCGCTGTTGTGGTGGCGCTGGCCGTGCGTTTGTGGTTGTCCTGAATCTGGCGTGCAGCTGGGAGCGATCCAATCGGGCATCAGGAACTCGATTCTGTTATCTCTGGTGGCCTTGACGCCATGGAGCTATCGACGGATTGCATTTTCATGCCTTGCTGACCGACCCTCTCGCAGCCTCTTGCTTGTATCGTGCATTAGGCAGAGTTGGACGGCTGGTCATCTTGCGGGTGTCTCACAGATTCGATGCGATATGCCCTCTCGCGCCATCTGCCTGGGCGATAAGACGGAGCCACGAGTGCCGGGAGACAGTCTGGCCCTAATGTTCCGAGCCGGGTGCCGCGGATTGTGTCAGCCGCAGCCTTTGGTCGATGACGATGGCATCCAGGCGAGTGCAAGATGCAGCTACTCGGCGCTAGAAGGACGTTGGTACAGTAGCTTGGAGATACTGTACCGCACCTCTCGCCGCTTTAAGGGCTGCTTGAGTGGCAGAAAACGAGGGCCCACAAGTCGTTCGCTAGGGTTTCCACAAAGGCCACCAGCTTTTTTTTTTCTGCCGGTTTCTGCCAAATCTCACGCCCCCCCGGGCCTTGTTGTACTTGAACGTGAATTTGCACAGGGCATCCATCCATCCAACGGGCGATTCGCCGAGGAACCCAGCGAGCGGGCACGGACTGAATCCATCTCTGGGAAACCGAACCTTGAAGGCAAAGAAACAACTCCACTCGAACTATATCCCGTCCCAAAGCTACGAGGACGTGTTGTCACCATTGGCAGCCAAGCCATTGAGTTTGCAGTCGCCCGCTCGAAGCGCAATCCAGGCACAGGCACAGGCACAAATAAGCTGGTCCCAACTCTATGGAGCTAGCCAAGGCCGTGGGAAGCGCTAAGCGGGGAGAAGAATGTCCGTATTACCGGCTTGGTCTTCGTGACAGCTGCTCTTGACTGTACGAATCCACAGCTATTGTGACCATGCCGGCGGATGTTTGGGTCATGGGCCACGCTGTGGCGGAGGCAGACAGCGAGAGAAGCTTTGTCCTAGTAGGAGGGAAAAGGCTATTCCCAATGGTCAGCACCAGCCAGCGGCTGCGGGCATTCACAACCAGCTGGACATGTGCTCGTGCGGGTGCAGAAACGAACTGCCATTTACAGGCCGCCAAGAAGCAGCTACAGGCATCAGGGTCCGGTCAAAGTTCACAGTTAGGCCAGGGGAAGACTGGGCCATCAATGTCAGTCATTAGGGACTCTCGGATACTGTTCAGATTACTGAGCAAGGGTATGTGTAATTCGTGAGAAGCACCCGAGAAAAACAAGAAAAACGTGGGCGGTGGCCCGGGGCCCATCGGGAAATGTTTCTCACAACAATCCACCCATTGTTAACCACGAGGGGCTGTAGCATCGGTCTGGGATCATCTGGAGCCTGGCGTCTCTCAAGTGAGAGCTCAATCTGGCGTCTATCTGCTTGTACCTCGCTCTGACCAGTCCTCGTGCTGCCGGGTATTGGGCATCAACTCACGCCAGGGCTTCATTACTCGCCAGCACCTTGGCCCGTCCTTTTCGCTATCGTATCGTTCCCGACAGCAACAAGTGTCCTGCGGCCTGGAGTGGCGTCCAAACGGAGGCCGATTCCCATCAGCTTGCTCTTGTTCCTCAACATGCCCACTCCCACTGCAGTGCCTTGGCGCATAAGAGCTGCAGCTTCTTGCGCCTGCAACCCTGCATTGCCAACCACACCCCCTCCCCCTGCTCCCTTGATCAAACTCTGTCGTCTCTCTTGTTTCTTTCTCTCAGCTCCAGCTCAAGAGGGTGTTGCTATTGCCCACCATGCACACCAGACCGAGAGATCGAGCGGGAGCCACCGATCGGGATACTTTGAGAGTCCAGCCCACCAATTTCTTGGGCTGCCACAGGCCCTGGCCTGATCTCGTCCCTAGTCCATCATCCGCGATTACATGCTCGCCAGCGGCCTTGCTTCACTCCCCACCCTCTCCCCAACTCATACTTCTTTTGCGTCGTCGCACCTCTTTATCATCTCCTCTCTCTGCCCTTCCCTCCCCTCGCTCATCAGGCCTGCAGACGTTGCGTTCTCGGCCAATATTGCATAAGTGGACAAGGTGTTCGGGCATTGCCTTCGTTTTCGGTCCACACCACACTCACTTACAGTCGCTCTTCTCAACACCGTTCGTTACCTGAGGAGTTCGGCCTTGTTGCCTAGGGTGGTCTCTCTCCACATGGTGGTAGCATAACTTGCTTTCTTTATAATATCAAATCTCCACGCTGCCGGTTTTGTCAATTGCAATCACTTACACGCAGCCGTATCCAACTGCATCAGCCGCTGCTGTATCGACAGGTGGGCACCATTGCTAGGAGTTATTCGTCTACACCTCGCAAAGATTCGGGACACCAAAATACTACACGGAAAAGAATTCTGAAAGGGTTCTCTATCTGACTCTTCAAACCCCCTCAAGAGGGCTTGGGACTCGAATAGGCCCATTGCCTGGGGAACTCGAGCTTGAATAAGTCTTATTCACAGCGCCTTCGCTTCATACCAGTCAAGATGGGTATCACGAGCTACTTCAAGGCCAGCACCAAAAAGGCTGAGCAGGAACCGCCAGCGCCGCCGCCGGCCAAACCGGTTGCTCCTCCTCGATTACAGCAAGAAACTCGGAAGTCAATAATGTCAGAAAAGACAACACCTTCATCCGTTTCTGCCAATGAGGCGGAGCTCCATCCTCCTACTCCTAGATTCAGCTCCCGGCCTCAGTCTAGCTCTGGCAGGTCTACCCCATCAATTCAGAGCTCCATGTTCCTTGATGATATCAAGCATGAGGTCATGGTCAACTATCTGTACCAGCAGCAGTGTTCTCAGCTCTGGGTAAGCGATGGATCTGGAGAGATTGAAGGAGTTTTACTTCGCAAGGCTCGAGGCCACTACATGGCCTGCCCACCTCAGCTTGCCAGCTCTCCCTTCGCATTGGCATGCGCTGCTCTCAACGTTCAATGTGCCATGACGGTCAATTCGCGTGTTATCAAGACTTTCTTGCAGTGGTCTCCTGACGCTGTTGATGTGCCGCTCATGAACGGCCTGCGCGTGCAAATCCTCCCCACAATTGACGATTTGCCGCGAGCCCGTAAATACCAGTTTGCAGCCTTTGTTGCGTCTGAGGGCCTTCTAGTTGTTTGGGACGATGACGCTCTTCATCTGGTTGCACGCGCCAAGGCCATTGAATCCGAGCTCATGGAGTTGGTCTGGAAGGCTGGCAACCCTGAAGAAGAAGACAGCGATGAGAAGAGAGCCCAGCCTGTCGCCGAGGTTGAAATTGATGAAGAGAGTGGTGAAATTAAGCCTGAAAAGCGACCTATCCATCTCCAGAATACGGTCCTCGTGTCTCTGACTCTGGTTCTTGTTACCGTCTCTCTTGGTGCTGCCTGGAGGCAGCTGGCCATTGAGGTTTCTGTTGACAACACCTACATTCGTCTTGCCCTCGTTGCACTGGCTCCGGTTCAGGTGTTTTTCACCCTCTTTTTCGCCCAGGTTATTATTGGTTGCTTGGCTCAGATCTTCGGTCCCATTCGCCAGCTCACCATCAACTCCAAGTTTTACTCTGCCAGACCTCCGCCGCGTTTGCAGACTGCCATTCTTCCCCACGTCACCATCCAGTGTCCTGTCTACAAAGAAGGTCTGCAGGGTGTCATTATGCCAACAGTCAAGTCCATCAAGCAGGCCATGTCTACATATGAACTTCAGGGTGGCTCCGCAAACATGTTCATCAATGACGACGGTTTGCAACTCATCTCCGAAGAGGATCGTCTGGCACGCATTGAATTCTACGCTGACAACAGCATTGGCTGGGTTGCTCGCCCGAAGCATGGAGAGAACGGCTTTACCCGCAAGGGCAAGTTCAAGAAGGCCTCCAACATGAACTTTGCTCTCATGATTTCCTGCAAGGTTGAGGAGAAGCTTCAGGCAATTGAGCGTCCTCCCGAATGGAGCCAGAATGACGAGGCTTTGGCATATGAGGAAGCTCTCAAGGAAGTTCTCGAGGCTGACGGCCGTGCCTGGGCTGATGGCAACATCCGCATGGGAGACTACATCCTGCTGATTGATTCTGATACCCGTGTTCCCGCTGATTGCTTGCTGGATGCCGTTTCCGAAATGGAGCAGTCTCCTGATGTCGGCATCATGCAGTTTTCTTCTGGTGTCATGCAAGTTGTCCACACCTATTTCGAGAACGGCATTACCTTTTTCACGAACCTCATCTACTCTGCCATTCGATACACTGTATCCAACGGTGACGTCGCGCCCTTTGTCGGCCACAACGCTATCCTTCGTTGGTCCGCCATCCAGCAGGTCGCCTACCAGGATGAAGACGGATACGACAAGTTCTGGTCAGAAAGCCACGTCTCAGAAGACTTTGACATGTCGCTGCGTCTGCAGGTCAACGGCTACATCATTCGCCTGGCTGCCTGGGCTGGCGAAGGTTTCAAGGAAGGTGTGTCTTTGACAGTCTACGACGAGCTTGCCCGATGGGAGAAGTACGCCTATGGTTGCAACGAGCTGCTGTTCCACCCCATTCGAACCTGGCTCTGGCGCGGTCCCTTTACGCCTCTGTTCCGACGTTTTCTGTTTTCCAACATTCGCTTTACGTCTAAGGTCACTGTTATCTCCTACATTGGTACCTACTATGCCATTGGAGCTGCCTGGATCATGACTGCGGTAAACTACTTCGTCATGGGCTGGTTCAACGGTTACTTGGACAAGTACTATATGGATTCGTGGCAGGTCTGGTTTTCCATCATCATTGTGTTCAACGGCCTTGGTAACATTGCCCTTGCTGTCATGCGTTACCGTGTTGGTGAGCGTGGTCTGCTTTACGCCCTGTTTGAGAACTTCATGTGGACTCTCATGTTGGCCATTTTCCTCGGTGGCTTGTCATTGCACGTCAGTCAGGCTCTTCTGGCTCACATGTTTGAGATTAACATGACATGGGGTGCCACTGCCAAGGAAGCCGAGTTTTCCAACTTCTTTATTGAAGTTCCGAAGGTCTTGAAGAAGGTTAGTTATCCCGTGAAAATATATGCTTGCTCTATACTTCAATATATCGAGTTTACTAACATATTGTTCTCATAGTTCAAATTCTCTATGCTCTTCTCGCTGATTTTCATTGCTGGCATGATCGTTCTTGCTCAGGCACCGTTTGTCCCCTATGATTGGCAAATCAAGGACTTCGTCGCTATCCTGCCCATGGCCACCGTCGCCGCCAGTCACTTCCTGTTGCCTCTGGCCTTGAACCCTGCCCTCATGACCTTTTCATGGTAAATGGATGCATTGGCATTCATACCTACATTGAATCGCATATACCAAAGACAAAAAACAGAAAACTATACATCATATTATAGACGGGAGGCATTGTCCCCATTCAGTGGCCAAGCACAAGCTTTAATCCCACATTCATTTCCCCCCATTCTATCAATTTTTCATGAAAAGAAACGGATCGAGTTTGCAATTTTTGCTTTTGCTTTTTTATTACCCTTTTTACGTATGATCTTGAGTTGCATACACTTCATCACAAGACATAATGTTAGATTCTTAAATGTTAATACCGGAAGGTTTGGAGGCTAAACTGTTATGAAGGATTGGGATGGATATTATTTACGACTTTTTGGGTATTTGGGGGGGAAATATGGGACATGACGGATACGGAACGAAAGTAGGGGAAAAGTAAAGGTGATGGATAGCTTAGATGATGGCTAGTATAGGATAGTAATAGGATAATACAATTTTATCCTTTTAATAAAGACCCTTTTATGGCAGCTCGTAACTTCGATACAAAGTTATATATATATTGTTTAAGCTACCTCCTCCTTCTTTTAATGCTCTCCTAAGGCATATCTTTATTAAAAGCCCGGGCGATATTGGACCACTGGAAACTTCTGTGCAATTTTCTCAATCTGGGGATTGATGGCTTCATTGAATTTGTTGATCATTGAAATTGCCATCACCTCCTTTTGTTGCGTTTTTGAAGCCTCTGCGTCAGCGTCCTCAGACTCCTGTTTAAACATGTTGAGTAGGTTCATGCCCTCCTGACTCTTCTCCAGTGCGTTGCCTGCATAAAATATGAAGTGTTTTCGCCAGAAAAACCGTTCTTGATCAGATGTACGCTCTTGCTTATTGGCCGAGGCGAACTTGCTCAGGCCTACTTCGGCCCGGGTCTCATACTGAGTAGGGCTGCGATCCCCCCCTTAAATTTCGCAGTGTTTCCAGTATTTTCTGGCCAGAGTCCTCCACCAGTGAGCGATACTTATTCTCTAAAGATGCGCGCGCATTGATAGCCCCCATGTATAAGTCAATTGCATTCCTATTGGGTTTCCTGATAAAACAGCCAAAACGCATATATCGGTGGTCGACATCAGCAGATATACTTTTTAAGCCATCCTTTTTAATATTGCTGTCATTTTAATACCGATATTCGTGTGAATAGATAATATGAGATCCGAGCAAACTTGGAAATGATGTTCCATTGATAGCTTCACAACAGTCTATACGATTCATAAAGTGAAATTCCCAAAGAAAAGATGAAAAATGAAAAAGAATCCATCTATGTATCCGTAAAACGCCTCTATGCCTCTTCATCTCAAAGTCATGCACATGCCCCCCCTCCCATCATCTCAACCATCTATCCAATTCTTTTTTTCCCCAGCGCGCAAGCTCTACCAGACGCTATAAACACACAGATTCATGCCCAAACTCAATACCCAAGCCCCAAAAAAATACTGGCATCTGCCTCCTTCTCTAAATAATAATAATCTTCATCAAGTAAAATAAAGCAAAACTTTTTCCCCATTCGAGAGGCTTCACAAAGAAGAGCCCTGACATTTTACTCCTCATCGTCAGTGTCAGGAGGGTGAGGAGTTCCCTTGGGGCTGTTGAGCCACTCAATGTGTCGCAGACGGCGACGAACTTCTCGGTCCTTGAGCTCCTTCTTGGTCATCTTCTTCTTCTTGCGAGCCTTGAACTTGAGCTCGCCGTTATCCTCGACGCCAGAGTTGACAGCGCTGCTAACAACCGAGCTGGCCGCAGTGCTCGTAACACCGCTTCCAGGGCGGCTGTCCTCAAAGCGACCAAGGTCAACAGCAGCGTTACCGCGCTGGGCAACCCGTCCGTCGTTGACAAGCCACTGCTCAGAGCAGAGCGCACCAACAAACTCTTCGTTGTGGGAAATGAGAATAACACCTCCCTTGAACTCTCGGATAGCCACAGCCAAACCTCCAAGAGAGTCTCGGTCCAAGAAGTTAGTAGGCTCGTCAAGGACCAACAAGTGGGGGTTGTTCCACATGGCACCAGCAATAACGACCTTGACCTTCTGACCACCAGAGAGCGAGCCAATTTCGTTGTGGTTGGCGATATCGGGATCCAAGCCGAGATCTTCAAAGTGCTTGGAGATGACAGATGGCTGGAGTTCACGGTATCCAAGACCCTCACGAGACGCCTCGTGATCGTCAAACTCCTGAACGAGCTTATCAAAGCCCAGCTCAAGCAGAGTCTCGCGCGAAATCATGGTGTTGTACTTGGGAAGAGTGGCACGCCATTTACTAAACCGAAAAGTTAGCCTCGATGAATCCGAATTAGATGTTGAGTTTCATTCTTTGTCACTTACACTTCATATTGGAACGTCTTCTTGTACTTTTGACGACCAACAAGCGACTCGATTTGCTTGGCAGGCTTGCCGTCCTTGAGGTCGATGAACTTGTCCATCTGTTCACGATCCTGGTCAGACAAAGCACGAGTCTGCTTCATGTGGACCTCACGATCGTCACCATGCTGGTATCGCCACTGCAGGTACTGGTTGGGAGTCTTCTCCAAGTGCATCTCAACGTGCTCCAGGGCGTGCTGCTTAATGTAACCGATACGAAGGTTGGGGTGCTTCTCAACCTTGCCAGTGGTGGGAATGGTCTCACCGGTGAGCAGCTTGATCAAGGTAGACTTGCCAGCACCGTTGGGTCCAATAATGGCCACTCGCGAGGAGAGGGAGAGGGAGCAAGAAACGTCTTGCAGCGATGGCTTGGGAGCCTTGGGGTAGGTATAAGAGACGTTTGTCATGCGGATGATGGCACGGGTCTGAGACTTGATACCAGTGAGAATACCAGGAGGAGGGAACTTGAACTGAACGTTGGATGCCGATAGAGTATAGTAGCTCTTAGCCTCGGGGCGGAGCTGGACGAATGCTGCAAGGTTACCCTTGTAGCATGCAAGCTTCTTGTTGGGCTCATAGTGGTAAATGTCGGTGGTGACGTTGTCCAAGAAGCCAGAGTCGTGAGACACGATCAAACTGGTGATATCGGGGTGTGACTTGAGGTAGTTCTCAAGCCAAGCAATGTTGGCAACATCCAGATGGTTAGTAGGTTCGTCCAACAAGAGGACGTCAGCACCCTTCAGCATGGCTCGGGCCAGGGCAAGCTTCATCTTCCAACCACCAGAGAGAGATCCGACCTGCTGAGATTGACGACCCTCAGGTCCAGAAGTGAATCCGAATTCTTCCAAAACCTTGGAGATGTGAGCAGTTCCCTGGGGGCCAATCTCAGGGTCCTTGGAGACAAACTCAAGGATGCTAATCTCAGCGTCTTCGCCCTGGTTGTGCTCAACGTAGTAAGTACGCAAGACGTCCTGGGGAGGGAAACCCTCCAGCTTGCCACCGGCGATACTCTTCATGAGAGTAGACTTGCCAGCACCGTTGCGACCACAGAGACCATATCTGTGGCCCTTGAGAAGTCGCAGGTTGGTGTGAGAAAGCAGCAGCATACCACCGTAAGCCAGAGAGAAGTCGGCGTTGACAATCTCGACCTCGCCGTCGTCCTCCTTCTCAGGGACACCATATCGGCGCTGGTCCTCTTCCAAGTAGAATTGCTGGACGGCATCCGCCACCTGCTGGGGGGCGTCGGGGCTCTGCAGCAGGGTCTTGAGGTAAGGCGCAATCCTGGCAGAGATTCGGGCAATATGACGGTAGTTGACATCAGTGGCAACCATCTCGGAGATGTAAGCTTTGGCAAGCTTGTAAGTCTCGGCCTGTAGCACCAGTGCATTGTGCTTCTGAACCTCTGCATCAAGGACCTTGGCAACGTCGTCGATGGTGGTTCGGGCAATAATGTCCTTGTCGTTGCCCATAGCCTTCTCCATAGTTGCGAGGGCTCTTTCGGCAATCTCTCGAACCTCGGGGAGAGATGCACGGTCGCAGACGCCCTTGACACCAGGCATCAGCTTGGGAAGGAAGGTTCTGGCCTCGATAGGATCGTGGACGAGCTTGGTCAAGTTCTCGACGATGACGACTGTCTGTCTGAGAACTTCCTGAGAGGTAGTGGGGGTGTTGAGAGATCTCTCGAGGAAAGGAGTCAGCAGCGCCAGCACAGGAGACGTGACAACAGCCACAAATGTAGTCTGTGACAAGGCGTGGATGGCTTTCTGGAGAGTCTGGGGAGAGGGATGCTGCATAGTGTCGACAAGCAGGGGAATCCGAGGGGCAACATCGTCATTGGATAGGAGACTGGTGAGAGAGTTCATCGTCTTGACAGCCTGCTTCTCCACCTCGGTCTTCAGGTCGTGCATGCCACCCTCAACGATGGGGATCAGGCCGGCGAGCTTGGCTCCCATGGCCTCGCGAAGCACATCCTTATCAGCAGCCTCCTCCTTGGTGCTGCCGACAACCATCTGCGATTTGTCGGCCATCTTCTGCAGCAGCAGGTAGGCTCCCACGGTGCCCTGCCATTTGCCCGTCTTCTTGCCGAGATACTGGGTCAAGACGGGCAGCAGACCAACAACCAGGGCCTCGGCACTGAGGTTGGCGAACAGCGCATCAAGGCCATATTGGGCAGCCTCACGGACAACGGAGCCCTTATCAGCCAGAGCATCCAGGGCACAGGCCACGGTGCTGGCATCCTGTACCAGCAGCACAACCTCGCTCAGGGCCTCTCGCGGAGGGAACCGCTCGAAGATGGCACCCAGCAGGTTCTGGCTGCTCTCTCGTCGGAGCCCGCTCTTCTTATCAGCAGCCGCCTTCTTGACCTCGGCGAGGATCCCATATGTGGTCAGGCCGGCAGATCCGACCGAGTTGAGGAGCAGATCGCAAAGGGCATAGCAGGCATCGATGGACGCAGCGGACGTCTGGGCGTTGAAGATGGTGTTGATGAAGGCCGCGACATCCTCCTGTGATGGCGGGGGAGGGGCTTCTTTCGACACCACAAGCGGCGGCGAAACCGGGTGAGGCATTGTTGTGGTTTTGGAGCGTCCTGCCTGTGAGAAGATAAGGGGGAGTAGAAACAAAACAAGGAGATTCCCCAGAACAGAAAGTCTCAGCCGCAGGACGCAGGGAGGGCTGTTCTATAGCAGAGTCTGGGGAGGCAAAAGAAAAAAAGAAAAGGCGAATGTTCCAGGGAAAAAGAAAGAATACAGTACGGGGATACGACAAGAAGCTGAAAAGGGTCTGGTGCTGGCCCATAGCAAGGCGCTGCACCTTTAGTTGGGTCCGCCATTTTTCTTTTTCGAAAAATTTCTCTTATCAGCCCCTTATCTCGCTAGCCTGGTTGGAAATGCAACTGCCGCTAAGCATGTGCGGCTGACGTTATCGCCATTTACAACTCCACGTGGGTCACGGCGAGCATCATCTTTGGACGCCCCAGTAGCCGTTACAAATTGGGGGTAAAAGGCTCATTTCTCATTTTCGGGATGTTATTTCTGGCCAGTGTTGGATCTACAGTGGGCACATTCACAGTTCACTCTCACATTTCGAGCGTATGCGAAACAGTTGAGGAATGACAAAAGGATGCAAGAGAAAAAGAAATAATGTGCCATATCAAGGTCAATGCAGAATAGAATAGAAAATCTTGCTTCCTGTCTAGACGACCTTGGTTCTCCGCAAAGTCCAGCATGCTTTAACTTTAGTTCATGATCCGAGTCTACACTTCGTTTGCCCATCGCTGTGACGCCACCACGCCTCTCCAGTCAAGAAAAAAAAAGATAAAAAGAAGAATGGATGAAGAAAAGAAGAAACATCAAGTGAAAGTACAGAACAGGTAAATATACCGCCCACAAAGGGTATAATTAGAAACACACACATTAGCTCTTTTCCAACACGTTGCAAGAATCGTACACTGCTCCATGTATGTTCATTCCAGCCGTATGTGTTTTCCTTCGTGAATTAATCGAGTGCGAGTAATCAAGAAGCACCATCAACGGTGTCTGTGAAAGAAAAACGAAGAAAAAAAGAAAAATTGGAAAGAGAAGAGAAAAAAAAATAATCAAGAAGATTGAAAGCACGCGATATACTGAGGTCATTAACATCACGGTTCGCCCTGGCTTGAGCCCCGGAGGGCCACAGGGCCTTGGAAGCCGCCTTGTGAAGGGGGCTTGACGGCATCCATCTCAAGGCCTCGAGAGTCGAGCACCGGTCGTTGGTCCCGGTGAAGGCCCAGTCGTTGATCGCCGTTTTCATAGCTCTTCTTGAACTGGTAATAAGAGGGCGTGCGAGGTCTGCAGAGAACGGCCAGGATATTCCTCCAGAAGCTTGCCTGGTCAAAGGGACGGTATCGTTCGCTCTTGGTGAACTTGTGGGAATTCATAAACTCTCTCGTCGTTTCACCTCGGGCCATCAAGAAGATGTGGTATCCCATGAGGGCGGCGGGGTAGAGAAAAGCAAAGACTCCCAGGATGACCAAGGCCAGAGAAACGCGGAAGTGGTTGGTGGATTTGGCAAAGGAAATGTTTTCTTGTTTCATGTAAACAATGAGCTGTGCAAGACTTGCACCGATCAAGTAGAGGGAGAGGATGGTGGCAGATGAGACAAAGGTGAAGAAGTATCGGTAGTTGCGCTTGCCAACGCAGTTATTGAGCCACACGCAATGGTGGTCGTGCGTCTCTACGCAGTTGTCACAAAGACGGCAGTGGTGAGCACGGGGTGGTCGCCAGATGTTGCACGTCCGGCAGTGCTTGACGGGAAACTCCATGGCGGCAGCCGTCGGCTCCGCTGATTTTATCAGTGTCCAGTCGTTTGTGGGGGGGTCGACACGAAGAGGATCCTCATGCGGCCCAAGAGGGGGAAACTGGTGAAGATTTCGGGGAAGGATCTAGTATCAGTTAGCATGCTGGCCATGTCTTGCTTCGTCAAGAGAAATTCCAAAGTCAATAGTGCTACTTACTCCGGGGTCTGAAATGGAAGCGTGGAGGAAAGATGAGAAACAGAGGTAGGCAAGGTACGCGAAGATGATGGGGATAGCGGGAGAAATGTTGTGCCACAGCCACGGTGCCTCAAAGACGAAGAACAGAACGCAAGGGATAACCACAAAGAGTCCAGTAGCAACGTTTATGGGCCTTTGCCTGGTGTTTTGCCATCGGCCTCCAAAGAAGAACATGGTGTTGCCCTCAAAGTACTCATAATTGCGCTCCTTGCCGAATTTGTGCTGTACTGCGGTGCTCTCGGTCTTGGGTCGAAGTTGGGAATCAATGGGGTTTAGCCGTGGTGATGACGCAGTGGAGGCGAGCTTTTCCACGCCAGCCGCATTTCGACTCTCACCACTCTGGCCCTGGTCGCGGTCAAGCATGCCGGGGAGAAATGTCGACCTAAACGACTGGGGGGTTTTGAGCATGGGGCTGGGAAAGCTCTTCAGATCTCTCAGGCTCGTCGTGCCTCCGCTCAGGTCGAGATGCGGGTGGGCCTTCTCCGGAACCGAGGCCTTGCGCAGCGGTCGAACGCTCTCTGACATGCTCCCGCCGGCATAGTGGCCGGTAGGACTGGTGGTTTCCGTGGCCTGATCAAATGTGTCGTGCTCGGTGAAGTCGGTGCCTCGGGAGGGCAGCTGTCTCTGCTCTTCGCTATACATGACGTGCTGGAACTGCACCGGCGGGCCATGCTGGGCCACGGGCGAAGGGGCAAAGTCGTGGATCACGCTCCCATCAATATCCGTTGCGTTGTCCGGCAGGTCCCCAAACTGTGGCTGGGGCGCAGCTGGTGGTGGCTGGGCCGTCGCGAGAGGCCGTGACGCTCCGGCTCGCTGCGCCTGCAGCTTTTGCGAGCTCATGGGGTGGAAAAAGGCGTTTGACGTGAGCGAAGGGACGTGGCTGCGGGATGTCAGGCTCGGCGATGTTCCCAGCGCTGAACTGGTCGTGCTGGTGCCGCTTCCTCTCTTCCCGACGCCCAAGTTTTTCCTGGCGCCTCCCCATATTTTGGACGAAGCCGCCGTCATGGCCGTCTCTGGCCGGATCACTGACCCCGACTCTCTTGTTTGATGCGTCTTGGGCGCCGACGTTGATGCGTTGCCGTCGGCCTCATCCTCGCTGGGAATGTCGGTCATGTGGGAGGATACAACGCTCCCAGGGCGTTGTCCATCTGGCGTCGAAGTTGCGGGAGGTGAGAAAGTCTGGGCATTGCCAGTCGGCGAAACGGGTTCGTCTTGGGACGCCATCGCGATGGTCCCGTATGTGTAATTTCCGTGCGTTGTCCTATAACATAGCCCGCTGTCTCGATATTTTTTCCCCTCTATGTTTTCTTTTCTTCTTTTTTCTTCAGGGCCTTTTCAGAGAGCACGAGATCCGAGTGTTCCGCCAAAATCTCACTGCAAAAAAAAAGAAGAAGATCGTGGCGGACAGCGTATGACAGATCGACTCGACGTTTGACAAATTTGGCGGCCGCCGGAAACGCGCAGGGGGATGAATAAGACGGATGGTTCAGCTCGATGGGAAAATGGTAATGTGACAAAATGGTAGTTCGGGTGGCCGCTTTGTAACAAGTGTCGCGCAACAAGTCGTCGAGGGTCGGATCGCGAGATTCCAAAGAGGCGTGTTAATCAAAAGGAACGTAAATGAAAGGCTGTAAAAAAAGACAAGGGAGAGAGCGTAGACGAATCGAAAAACTGCAGCACTAGAGGGAGCGTCGGAAGCGGGGATGCTTCAAGATGGAAAAGAAAATTGAAAAAAGGCGACAAGGCAGTTCGGAGGGTGATGGACAGGCCGGAAGGACGCCCGCTCCGGCAAAAGCGGAGGAGGAAGAGAGAGAGCGAGAGGCAGCGAGTTAAACATACGAATTCCTTTTTCCTCTCTCGCGAGCGTCTTGCCGTTCGTCCACTTTTCGATGCCCGTTAACGAGGCTGCAGGCATGCGCCCAGACCCTCCTTTTTCCCTGGCTGTAGGCAAAAGGGGCTGGCCATTGGTGCGTTTGGCTCTGCGCAATTTGGTTGTTGAGGCCGGCCGCGGTAGTGGCTGTCCGGGCGTGTCGTATTGGGTACCTCCAGGTTAGCCTGCAGGCGGTGGAAATTACGAGGTTGCCGGGCTGTTTCGAGTCTAGCAGGTGTAGTTGGTACCTGAGCGGAATGCAACGGGTACATGCTTGCGCGCGCACGGAGCACACCACCAGTGCTGGAAACTGACCTGCAGCAAGAAGCTGGGGGCTTGCATGAGGTGCAATTATTTGCTGTAAAGCATGGAGCATTTACATGTACAGCCAGCGATCCGCGATCTGTATGTTTGCTTACGAGGGCTGTACAAGTATGAAACAGAGATGACGAGTGCTGACAAACCGTGAGAAATGGTGTACTGTATTGATCTCTTCCCAGGCACTGCATTACGAAGTCCTACTGTATTCAGAACCGCCTGCATCCTGCTTGGCCATGCACAATTCTCGCCACGCTCGTCATTGGCCTGTGGAAATTGCCCAGCAGCCATTAGACGGCCTAGCGCGCCCCGATGTGATGGTGATCAATGCCTAACAAGCTGGATTTGTTCATGCCTTGGCCCGACCTGTGAGGTGAGCTCATGGTTACCTAAGCAGTCTACTGCCGAAACAGCTCGCTGCCATGTGATTTCTCACGTGCACCATCCCACCTTCGGCATTGGCCAATGGCAGCTTCGGAATCTCGGGTTGAAATCATCATACGACCCCAGCTTTAGCACCACTATTCCAGCAAGCTTTTGGTCTCTCCAGCCCAGGAATCCAATCCAAACCAACCCTCCCATCAACCACGTTCCGCCAATTCGTCCGTCAAAATGGCCTCCATGATCACCCGCCGCTTCTTCTCCACGACTGTCCGTCGCATGGCCGACACCACCAAGCAGGAGCTCCAGACCGAGTCCAAGCGCAACCCCGAGATTTATGTGCGTCATATTGGAAGCCGAAGCTCTTTTTTTCGCAGCTCCGTCATGTCCCGGGCTGCTCCCTTGAGGACTTTGAATGGCTAATTGTTTTGTTTTGGGGTGTTTGTAGATCCTCGGCGGTGTTATGGTTGCCGCTCTGGGCGGTGCCGGCATCTACTTCGGTATGCGACCCTGACATGCAGCTCCTTGCTTGACACGATGCAATCGATGCATTCTGTCATTCACGACATGACCTCCCCTTTTATTCTCCAAGCAGCATGAAGCAGCATGAAGCAGCACAAGAACTCTCCAGATACTAACGTCCCTCACCCAAGGCCGATCTCCCACCCACGCCACCTCTGAGTCTCCCGTCAACGTCGCCAGCATGGCCTGGGAAGGCGAGGGCCAGGGCAAGTACAAGTACCACCCTGGCGGCGACCCCAACGCTGCCCCCCGTGAAGCTCCCAGCGCCCTCAACGTGGTCATCATCCCCAACGTCACTGCTCCCAAGGAGTACCACGACAAGTTCAACAAGTGGGGCAAGGAGGGCTACCCTTGAAAGGCACAATGCGCACATGGAACTGTGAGCAATGATGGAACTGGTAGAAGCGGGCATTCTTGTATTTAAATGAGGCGTGTTCGCCTGTGTAGACATATGAGTGGGGGGAGACGCATCATGGTTTAAAACAAAAAACGATGATGAGGCAGAAAAAGAAGGATAAGAAAAAGAAGATTATTTTGCATACATCTCCGAAAGTGAGACATTGTGGTTGAAGCTCCCAAAGAGGCAATAGCCCATACAGCTGAAAATTGATTGCTTTCAAAACCTTTCCAAATACTCTTCCCAGGATATAGAGTTGCAGTTATTCCATCGTCTTTACCAAGCCGGCATCACTGAAGCGGAAGAAAGCACCAAGCCAAATATCATGGCTCCTGTCATTGTAGCTCCTTTCTCATTCCTTAAAAAAGAGAATATGCCCTATCACAAAAAGGCTGTCAAACAAGCAACCCCTCATAAATCTCTAGCCCTTTCGACGCCAATTCTGATTCTTCCCTACCAGATCCAAACACCTCCCTGTTCCCCTCTCCCGCAAAACACGCCCCATGGCTAAGAAATCAGCATATCTACCTCCTCGCCCGTGAATCCAAACAAATACAGCAAGTCCAGCATGCTCTGCCCGTTCAACCGCGCGCTCGCCTCCATCTGCACCGTCGGCTTCGCGTTCCATGCCACGCCCAGGCCGGCCTTTTCCATCATCAAGAGGTCGTTGGCGCCGTCTCCAACGGCAATTACCTGGGAGAGATCGATGCCTTCCTTTTGCGCAATTTCAACGAGGAGATCGCGCTTGCGCTCCTTTCCGACAATGATGCCCTTGACCTCGCCCGTGAGCTTGCCGTTTTCGATGACCACTTCGTTGGCGTGTGCATAGTCGATACCGAGCTCCTTTGCCAGCCATCCCGTCAGCGGCAAGAAACCTCCGGAGAGAACGGCCGTCTTGACACCAAGGCGCTTCAGCGCCTTGAGTAACTCCCGCACGCCGTTGGTGACATCAAGAACAGGCCGGAGGTCCTCAAAGAGGGTTGCCGGCAGGCCCTTGAGAAGCGCAACTCTCTCGCGGAAAGACGACTCAAAGTTGAGCTCGCCCATCATGGCGCGATGTGTAATGCCAGCTACCCGCTCCGCAAGATCCGGCGGGTCTTGGATGGTCTCAGCCAGCAAATCAATGACCTCTTGTGTGATGAGGGTGCTGTCCATGTCAAAGACGACCAGTCTGGGGTGCTTCCGCCACAGGACATCTCTCTGTAGAGCCACGTCGACGTTCCACTCCTGCTCAAACCGGTAGATCAGCTCGTGTTTCCGCAGATCCGCCAGGCTGAGATAACTGGGCGACGGAGCGGGAGTAAGCGTCAGCTCAACAACCCGCGGATTCTCCTGGTTGTCCAGACAGCGATGCGACGAGTGCGGCTCCTCTGCGCCGTCGGGCAGAGGAAACGTCGACATGAGGTGAAGGAAGGACGTGATGCACAGCGGCGAGACGTAGGAGCCGTAGAGGTGGTCCAGCTGCTCCGACTCCTGCGTGGGAGGCTCAAGAGGAAACTCATCCATGCTGGTCGTCGGCGCCATGTTGGGGGGCAGAGACTCGGTGCTGTCGGCCAGCCCCGACTTGGCCGGAGATCGCGACCTGCTGAGACCTCCGGAAGTGCTCCTCGGCAGCGCATTGTGGTCGGATCCCTTGTAGAACAGCGTCGCGATCAGCCTGTCGGAGCGATGGCCGACAGGAGGCGCGCAGTTGGGATGCGAGTAGCTGTGCGAGACGCCGCTGTCGACAATGATGGGCGGGTGCTCGGGCGACGGCACGCCATTGAAGGGCAGCTTGGGCGATTTGGACGGCGACGAGTCCTCGACAACGGTGTCGATGCCGTGATGGGACTCGGGAATGCGGTGCTGCGGCGGGCGATACTGCTGGTGGTCGCTGAGGTACGAGCTGCTCCGCATGCTGTTGGAGAGCTGCGGGCGCTGCGACGACGTCTTTGCCGTGTCTGCCATGGCGAAGGAAGAAGCGGATTCGGTTCGCTGTCAGCTGTTCGAGGAGATGCCGGATATGGGACACAAAGATATGGAATCGCCAGGAGCCGCAGCGGAAGCCGGGAGCTGGTGGATGAGGGCGAGGGCAAGGGAAAGCCGCAAACAACAGCCTCAGAGTTTGTCGATTTACAGCCTCGCACAAGTTCGAGCAGGAGGAGTCAGTTCAGCCTGCCCGCCGCTTTTGCCGCTTTTGATTCTAGACGGGGTGGAGAGATTGCTCCGGGGTCGCACTAGCAGAACAGAGCAAAGTGGACTGGCTCCAGCTATGGCGTGATTTGCGCAGAAGAGCTAGACTAGAAAATAAGATGGCTGTGATGCGGGCAAGTCTGGAGGAGAGGCGCGACAATACGAGTACTATGCTCTATACTGGTACAAGCAGGACTGTAGAATTACATTTACATACCCGGGACTGAGATTTACCAATGTCGAGAAACATAGAAAAATGGTACTAGTTATTTATATATATTTTTAATTTTACACTGAATTTCTAATAAGTCGATACCCCAAAATAGAAACAGCATCAGGAATGAGAAATAAAAAACAAAACTTCGACGCCTCCGATCAAGCTCATTCGTCACTGTGCAGTTGCTTCTGCCCCGCTCCTGTCAGTCCCACGTGCGTCTCTGGCACATGTTTCAAGACACCAAAGATGCTTAGTCATTTGTCAGAGACAAGTAAAACTCCAAGATTATCATGGCCAAGTCGATTCCATTGGAAGTACCAACTACTATTAGCATCTGTGATTTTGTATCTGGTATCTAATCATGATCAAATGGCTTATTTTATTGTGAATTCAATCTATAACAAAATACTTGCCAAGGTATCTATAACCTATATAAGTCGAGTCGCTGTGTAATTCATTCTTCAGCCCTCACAAACTGTCGGGTATATGTTCCATGCAGGACGACAGAATCTCAACATTTCGCTCTTTCACGCCCAATACGCCTTTCACGAGCATCAACAACTCCAAAAATCTTATCTCCACAAAAAAAGAAAGTGAAACAAACAAACAAACAAACAAATAGACCCCCAAGAAAGTATCCAACAACTTACATCATCATCTTTCACCTCTAGCCCTCTCAGATCTCAGCCTCAGGCCTCAGATCTCAGCCCCCATTTCACCAGCATAGGCCTTTGCTTGCCCATCCAATTCTCCATCTTATCAAGTCCATGATGAAGTCCCCAAAGCACCATCCCCAAATCATCCATGTCCTCTGGCAACGCTTCTTGAGTGTCCGGGATAAACGTCCGGATCGTCACTTGCAACTTTGGTCCTCGCGCCCACATGGCCTCCCATTCCACTGCCGTCTTGGCCTCCCAGAGTGCTACCTGGGCAGTAAACTTGAGCTGCAGCGAGCGCGCCTCGGCTTGGTCCCAGCCTTGCTTCAGGAAGGCGTATGTACCTGAGAGGATTTCGGCAGTGAGGATACTGCGGCGCATGCTTTCGTAGTAAATCCAAGATGACCAGCTGTCCATAGTCTTGGAGAATGACTGAAGCCGCGGATACAAGGCCGCCAGCAGCGACTGCACAATGGCTTCGTCCCGCTCCGCACGCATTCGCTCACTTACATCGTCTCTTGAGAAGAAGCGAATGCACTGGTACACGACGAATGCCTGCAGTATCGGCAGCAGGTCGAGTTCAGCTCCGGCGACCGTCTCAGCTGCGGAAGTAATCGCATGGCGGATGGAACCAATGAGGCGGGTGACTCTCTTGGCAATCTCGCCTCTCACGAGTGATGCATTGGCCGTGTTTCTCATGCAGTGCAGCGCACTTGCAGCGAGGGCTTCCTGCAGCACCTCTGAGGCTGACACCTGCGTGTGGTGGATGAAGCAGTTCTGGCCCGTCATGGCGAGGATTTGCGGCTGCATCGCAAACCGGCTGGCCGCCCACTCAGTCCGCGACTGGAACACCTGGCCAGTGGTCACAGGAGAGTCGGTTATGTCAAAGTAAATAAACTCGGGGGTGGAGAACTCGCGGCCAAAGGCCAGCGTCGGCTCTATCGGCCCCGAACTCGGGCCCAATGATAGGACAGTCTGATCCTGGGTTTGAGAAACGTATTCGTCTAATTGGGACAGCAAGCAAGGCACAAGCGGTGGGGGCACCGTTGACGAAGGACCCGGCGACAGATACGCGCTGCCATGGCTGCTCCCACTGCTGCTACTACTGCTGCTGCTGCTGATGCTCCCGCCCAGCTGCCAGATGCCGCTCAGATCCTGCGTTATACTCGTATCGGCCCTGACACCCGCAGCTGATGAGTCGAGGCCCAACTGCTCTGCGCTCCCAATCGCCATCCAGGGATAGACGCAGTCCTTTCTCCCCCTACGACAACGGCCGCACGTCGGCAGGTCGAGGTCGCACCGCCGCTTGCCCGCCACACAAGCGGCGCACGATTTTCTACGGGTTGAGATCATGGCGAGCGGTATCTGGGAGATCTGCGGAATAACGATAAAGGGCGAGTGCGGAAGTGAGGGAGAGAAGCAAGGCAAGATTCGAGACTCGGGGCTTGTAGACGCGGTTCTCCTGTCCCGTCACGGCCCCACAAAAGTGCGGAATTCCGCCTTTCATGTCCGCCGGAGGTGGGACGACAACCGGCGAGGATACAAAGAAGCACGGCGTTGTATGAAGGAAGCTGTACAGGTGCGTGAAGAAAAACACGGAGCATGAAATGTCTTTTCTCTGTATGTATGGTGTAGGCTGTGTGTAATTGACGGGTTACCGGCAAAACAATCCTATAAAGGGAGTTGCGAGGTACAACTCTCCATGTATGGAGTATTGATGAATGTACATCACAGTTGGGCTCCTTGAAAATACTACAGTCAAATTAAACCTTCAATTTCATTCAACATGGCAGCCACTTCAAGCCAAGACTGCATCATCCCCTACCGCGTCATCTGCATCACGGATAAGGCGCACAAGGCCTCTTACCCGGCCATTTCTCCCTCCCGCCCCGCCCTCTCCCAAGCCGGCCGAACCGTCCTCATCACCGGCGGCAGCGGGGGCATCGGCTACGGAATCGCCCTCGCCTTTGCAGCCGCTGGAGCCGATAGAGTCATCATAGTCGGCCGGGAAGAAGCCAAGCAACGTGGTGCAGCTCTGAGCCTTGCTACGGATGCGGGTCCTGATTCGCACACCAAGTTCGAGGGGAGAGCCGCTTCACCGGCGAGCCCCGAGAGCATCGACAGCCTCTGGGACGCCCTTGAGTCTGAGGGTATCCAGGTCGACGTGCTCGTGCTGAATGCCGCTGTGACGGGCTCTACAACAACAGAGTCCCTGTGGACTGTGGGATGGGAATCCATCTGGGAACAGTACATAGTCAATGTTCGTTCTCTCAGCCACTACGGCCAGCGGTTCTGGATGCAAAGCGGGGACAAAAAGGCAAGTCACAGATCCCATATCCCTTTTCTCATGCTTCAGCAGTCAGGTATCTTGACGGAATAGTCTACTAACAACCCCGTTTCGTGCAGAGATATCTCGTCAATGTGGCTACGTCGGCGATTCACGACTGGGCTGCTGGCGAGGCCGTCAAAGCCTACGGAATGACCAAGAACTCGGGTGTGCTCTTGCTACAGCAGCTTGCACGGGACACACCAGCCTCCAAGATGCAGATTGTCAGCTTCCACCCGGGGGCCATATTGAGCCCTGGCGCCAAGCATGCAGGCCTAAATGAACAATCTCTCAACTGGGATGACAGTGCGTACAGTCCTTGCTCTTTGACACAAGTTTTCTCCAGCTACGGCCTTCCTTGTCGGGTAGTCAATACTAACCATCCTTGCCATCTAGTCAGCCTCCCCTCTTCTGTTGCCATCTGGGCGGCTTCGGACGAAGCAGCGTTTTTGCATGGCCGATTCATCTGGTCAGCATGGGATGTCGAAGAGCTGCAGAGTGGGCCCCTCCGAGAGCGCATTGAGAAGGATGAGCAGTTTCTGCGAATCGGTGTGCATGGTGTATAACTGGAGTGACACTTCGTTGCACCTAGATGATTGAATCGCCTAGCCGTTGTGTGCAGTACAAAGATGTAGGAGTGGTATAAGGCCAGGAGTCGGTCGATACACTTGAAGATAGCAGCAAACTAGAACCAGAGTAATAGAGAACCAACCCCATTCTATCCGAACATTCCTGCGTCATGCAAGGGCCAGTCAGTCGGAGGCTTATTGCAGCAGAAGTACTCACCTCGGACTCTCGGGCATGTGTAATCAATGCCTCTCCTCTCCTCCATCAATACGGAGTAAAGCACTCCATCATCCGAGCTGACGAGGCACACCTCGCTAACATTAGTTGGCAATAAACAGCCTTCCCCATTCAGCCAATATTCAGCTCTCCAATAATCCTCAACGCGACGAGCCGGTTCGGACCCTCGCGGCGATCCACACAAGGCCCATAATAAAAGGCATCTTTCAGCCAAGCGGCGCTCGGCTCCCGACGCCCGCCTAGCCGCCGACAGCCCGAAGGCGCACAAAATGAACCGTCTGCCCGTCGAGATGGCATCAAATTTCTTGCAGGAGCTTGTCCAGACGTCTCCAGTAGATCCGTAACTCTGGTACGGCTTTCATCCCCGGATTTCCAAGCTTTTGAGCCCTTCCATGATCCCTTCGTGACTCTTCGAGATGCATTCGTCATCCGGGATGAGATCATTCCCTCCCTGCTTGACGATTACACCTCCGGCGGCCACTCCATTTCTAAGCCAACAAGCCCCGGAAAACCCTTCGCAGCCCCAGTATTTCGAAACTGGAGCCTGTCCAAGTAGAAGATACTCGAATGATTGCTGATTCGTCCCGTGTAATGCAAAGTCCTTGTTACTGAAATCCAATCCTGGGGGTCCCGCTTCCAGCCAATCAGAGCCACTAGCTCGACATCGCGGAAGCTTTGGCGTCGATGTCGTGATCGCTCCTAGACGCAACGCCAGACGCCCAGGGAGCTTCCAAGGCGCGTGCTCAATGCATTTGGCTCGTTTTTTTTGCTCCCTCTGAGCGATGTTCCGTCAGGCCTGGTAAATTGGACGGGGGTCCTGCGTTTGCAATCCTTGGGGCTCGGTGTTTTTCAGGCAGGCGAATTAGTCAGGGCGGGCGAAAAACAGGGCCAGATTCCCCAGATTGCCTTCCTTTCATATACAGAGAGCCTGCCCCCAAGATTCTCCCGTAATAATAAAAGTCCAGCTTTCATTCTTTGCTCCCATAGACCTTTGACTGGCATCCCCCTTTGATCAGTGACACTCTTCTCTCCAAGAAACTAGTCCCGAAGAAAGACAGCCACTTGAACCTCTGAATCATCTCGCACTTGCGAATACAATTCTCCTCTCAGGCACAACAACCCAAGCACCTCTTCGGTTGCCCAACCAAGAGATCACCTCAATCATCCACAAAGGCCTCCTTCTCTTTCGTCGTCATGTCCGTCATCATGGAGCAGTCGACGGCTCAGTCGTCTTATACCCACAAGATTGATGCCAACGACATCGAATCTGGCTATGTCTCCGGCCAGTCCGATTACTCTCCGTCACCGCGAGAAGAGAAGCCCGTTGTTTCCCTCAGCAAGTCTCACATCGAATACCTCAACCAGCAGATGGAGACCATGCACCCCATGGACATCCTCCGCTTCTGCAGAATCATGTTCCCCAACCTCTACCAGTCAACGGCGTTTGGCCTGACAGGTCTCGCCACCATGGACATGCTGTCCAAGATCCAGGCGGAGAACCCAGAGTCCCGCACTGTGGACCTCATCTTCCTTGACACTCTGTACCACTTCAAGGAGACATATGAGCTTGTCGACCGAGTCAGGGAAAGATATCCCAACGTCCCCATCCACGTCTTCAAGCCCGACGGCATGGAGACTGCCCAGCAGCTTGAGGAGACGTATGGAGAGGAGTTTTACCACACTGCCGGCGACATGTATGACTGGATCGTCAAGGTCGAGCCCCTTCAGCGAGCATATGAAGAGCTCAAGGTGGCAGCAGTGCTCAACGGCCGTCGACGATCTCAGGGTGCAGCCCGTGGCTCCATCCCCATCATCGAGCTCGATGAGGAGAGAAACATTGTCAAGATCAACCCCATGGCCGCTTGGTCCTTTGCCCAGGTCAACGCGTACATCAAGGAGAACAATGTCCCCTACAACGCCTTGCTTGACCAGGGCTACAAGTCGGTTGGCGACTGGCACTCGACCAGCCCGGTCGGCGAGGGAGAAGATGAGCGTGCCGGCCGCTGGAAGGGCCAGAACAAGACCGAATGCGGCATCCACAACAAAAAGTCCAAGTACGCCGAGTTTATTGCTCAGCAGGAGAACCAGGTTGCGCCTGTTTCATGAGCGTACGCGTCTGTTCCTCTCAACCGAGGCGCTCTCTCCGTACGCAGGACCGGGGAACCTGGATAGATTTGTTATGACATGATGACCTTTAATGGCATTGGCGATTGGAGTCTTGGGAGTTGCATCGATGGACCAGCATTGGATGGGGGTTTGACCCCATAGATATATCATGGGCGGCGTTCGGCTTGATTTTGTTTCTTTTTCCTTGACCCTTCTTATCCCGAGAATTCACCGACTGAGCAGGTTTCTGACAAAAAGGCGGCATCACATGCCCGTGGCAGTAGATAGCGGGAGTGAAATAAAGAAAAGTAATTCAGTATCGACTCTTTCTGTGTCTTGTGCAACTGTGAATGTTGGGGGAAGCATCATGAAGTCAGCACTGCGTCGGTTTCTGGAACGTGTTTATTTGAGCCACTCGCTGCCCCGCGCCACGCCCCGTAGATAAGCGTCTGACAGCGATCCGCGACACTAACCACCAGTTTTTGATAGGGCACTATCACTCATTCAAGACTTGATTTTCAGTACCTCTCCAGGGTAACAATAACCAGCGTGTTCTTTGTGACGGGGATTTCATTCAGAATTTGAGCAGAGCGGTCGTCTTTTTTTCTGCATTCAATTTCTCCTCCATTTTTTTTTTTTTTAAAAAAAAAAATTATCTAGGCATTTGTTTCAGATATCATCCACAGTATGCAAACTCTCACTCAGCCGTCAGCTCCATTCCGCGAGAAAAAGTCAAAAATCCTTGAGCAGCTTGCAGTCCCGGACACCGAATACTCTGACGCATCACCCAAAGGCTCCGTCGATGAAGGAATTCGGTATCTTATTGACGAAATCAACACTGCTGAGGGATTTGTCACAACGAGTAGCTGCGCCGGGCGTGCGAGTGTATTCCTCGAAGGCAGAAAAACCAAGTCTGGAGATGCAGACAACGGCGAGAGTGAGCAGGTTGCGAGAGTAGGCGGGAAAGGTGCTGGAGGAACGTGGCTGTACGTATCTCACGATGCTCGGGCTGATGGAGATGCCACATATTTGGATTGGATGCAGAGTCTAGGGCTGCCTGATGGGGTGGATATGATTGAGACTCTTCCTGATGGAAGCAGTGAAAGGAGACTCATACACTTCAAGTTTGAGCCCATGGTGAGCAATCCCTTTTTATATTCGCCGAAGAGACAATCCATTATGGCATAAGCTAACTGGATGCGCTTCAAAGATTCTCCACGTTCTTACTGCATCACTTGGCCACGCTCAGCTTCTTCTGCGCTGTGCCTTACAAGCCGGATTCCGCGAATCTGGTGCCATCAATATCACTTCCCAGTCCAACGAGCAAACCATGCCCATGGTCGCCATACGGTCCATGGGTCTAAGCCTCGAATCCCTCGTTGGCTACCAGGACTCGGACGGGCAACGCCGACGGATAGTCTCTGCCGGATATTTCAAAATGCTCCTACAGATATCCAATGAACGGTTCGTGGAAAACACAAAACGCATAGAAAGGTTCAGGTCCGCGTTCAAGGAGCTTGTACTTGAACCAAAGTCATCAAGCATCCCAAAGAAATTGAACCCCGAGGGTAAGGAGTGGGAAGATGCTGCTGCCAGGCGCGAGAGGTTGCGAGCGGAAGGGCTGAAGAGGAAAGCGGCGCTTCAGGCGGAAAAGGCCGATGCACCATCATCACAAGCTATAGATGTTGAAATGCAAATAAATTCTGCTTTTTAGCGCAATAATGTCTTCTTTTTTGTTCATACATTGTGCCCCATGCATGCAGCTTTTACCGCTGCCGTCTTGCTATAGTGTACAGATATACACACCTATCCCAACTCGCTCCCCTGGATTTCGGCCAGTGCGTTTGAATCACTGACTGTCATCGTAAGTCTATGTAGCCGCTAGTCTCTCTTCTTTTGCTTCTTTCTTTTTCTTTTCTACCATCTCACCTTGCCTCCTTTTTTCACCTTCTCGGAAATGACTCTATGCAGTGACCCTGTTGATCCAGTCCTTCTCCAGCTTCTTCACTTCCGCCTTGAACGCCTCGACCTCGTCATAGCAGACCAGCGGTCTCCTGTCGTTCTCCCTCAAGCATCGAATGACATTGTTTCGTGCCGTCTCGACACTTTCAGGCAGCTCTCGCACAGTCTTGCGCTGCTCGAGCTTGCTGCGCAGCTCATCAATCTCCTTGCCAACGGTGTAGCGACTGGGGCCCTTTTCCTCAGTGACTGAAGAGGCAGCCTCTGCGATTTTCTCGTGTGCGAATTTGAGGGCATCGGACTCTTGCTTTTGCAGCTTCTTGAGCTCCTCGGCAACGCGGGCCTGGATATGTTGCTCAACTAGCTTGGCGCGGGAGGCATCCGTCTGGGAACCGCTGGATCAGTCTCGAAGAACATCACAACTACAGGGGATCGAATCGAATCGAGGGCGTACTTCGGGGCTAGTTTGCAGCGACTCCATGACTGGCAGAGAGACGCTTGGCGGTCCTGAGCTGTTTTGATATAAAATTTCACCTCGTTAGCTGGCGCATGGGGCTTTCGGGAAATGGCTTTTTTTGTTCAATTGGCATGATTACATACACCTTCCATTCGTAGGCCTGGGGCTTAGACTCTTGGGCACCCATGGCGACGGGCTCAATGGCGATGCGACAAATGTAGGACGGGTTGAGCTCGTGATAAGCGCTTTTGGAAAATTCCGGGCATATTCGGCTGGCGTCACTGGAGCTGCCGGGTCCGGAGGTTTCTGCCTGAGGAGCAAGTGTGGCTGGTGGAAGTGGCGCAAACGAAGTGGCTGGTGTGCGCCTCAATCAAGTTGGGAAACCTCAAAACCTCAAGTTCCAGTGCTCGCTTAGTAAGGTGGAGCATCACTCGACTGCGATTTCGAGGTTTTATGTGCATAGGTATCTTAAAGTCACATGACCCTCCGTGTTTCACAGTTCAATAATCAATTCATCGAACTGATTGATAAAAAACAATTAATTGTTCAAGCCAACAATAGCAAGCCGAGTTCGATTACACAATGAGAAAAGGAGAAGCGACCGATGGAATCCAACAAGCCCGTTTGTTCTCTATTCTCTAATTTTTTCAGATCGATCTTGCTAGTGCGCAATCTCTGCTGTGTTTCAGAAGCCATGCATCGCTCCAGTTCGAGTGGCGCAGGTATTAAGATTGCCGAGCCTTTCGAATGGATGCTACTCGCACACGTACTAACGGTTTCGCCTTCAAAACCAGGACAGACGCAATCTTCAGCAGCCCATCATCACGACATGATCTTTGATTGTCGTTCCACGGAATCACGAAAAGCTTTTTCTTGGTGATTGAGCCAAGATGGTGATGACGGCTGCCATGGCTTCATCGGGTAATTCGCCGAAGCAGACGTGGGGCAGTTGAGCAAGTTGTGGCCCCTGGCAGCAGTAGATTAGATGAGTGGCCTTGGCCTCATCTTCCTGTGACATGCCAATGCGAAGGGTTCCAATGGGGTGGAAGGCCATTCGCTAGCATCATGCTTGTTGGGCTGTCCACGTTTTGCCCACCTCGAACTCTTGCTATTCCGCTATCGTATGGAAATTCCGGGCAGGCTCTGGACATGGCATGGCAGAGTGGAGAGGCGTTGCTCGTGCGCAATCTTAATGGTAATCTATGGCAATATATCTGTTAATATCCATCCCCAGCAACTGAGCAGGCGGTCCCGGATAGATGATTGACTCTTTAGGTGCCTTTCAGGTTCAGGTCGAATATTACCCAGGGGCTGTAGGATATGATTTAGGGCAGAAATATCTCCTTATGGCCTCGCATATCATGCCATCTTCTCGTCTGCTCATGCCACGCTACGCAGCCAGAGTGATATTTGTGCGGTGGCAGGAGATTACGACGAAGCAGTAGCCTTTTGCTGCTGGATATCTCGGGCTGAAACGACGTCTGTCCTAGTGTCGCCGCGATGACTTCCGCAGATCCGATGCGAAGGGCCGGCTTGTGCTTCTGACTGGCTGCTCTCCTCGCTGCAGTGTCGCAGTCGGTCGGAACGCAGAACCAGTCATCGTGAGTTTGCCACATCCCTCGTGTTTCTGTTTCCTCGCAGGCAACGGCAGGGAAACAAAAAAAAAAAAGGCACTCCCCTGAACTAGGCTCGATGGCATGCAGGGCCCGCACAAGTGGCTGGTTTCAGAACCGAGCGACCAGTCAAACGGCGCATGTCGACGTCAGACCCCAGCATCTGAAGCCAGAGATTGCAGCCAACCACGGCGTCCGGAACGGCGTTGGAGATGGTGCCTTTCCCTGTTGGGCGGCCGTCTGTCTTCTCTGCGTCGGCCATCCCTGCATAGCGCTCCCGAGCCGGGTCAAGAGCATGAGGGGAAGAGGCGCTGTTAGCCTATGAGTGGATGAGGGAGGGCGCCTAGAAGAGGCAAACGGCCAATTCTGCCCGAGATTCTGTAGAGCTGCTGAAGATGACGCCGGCGATGCGGATTTTGACTTGGCAGTACGTACGAAGTATCAGCTCGTATCCGTCATCCTGGAGCGCTGGCTGTAGATGCACGCAGCAAGGCGCAGTTACAAGTGTGTACACGCACATCAGACTTGGCGTCTGGGGAACATGACATGTGAAAAGCAAATTGATGCTGATGGTGCTATATTGAAGCCATTTTGGTTTGATGAATGTCACTCCTCAATGCCTCAAGGCCAGCCGTCTGCGGACCACTCTAACAGAGACAGACTCATTGTTGCGGTCAGAATTAAGCGTAAACTCAAACGGCAGACGACGGCCATTGAACATTGACTGATTCATCAATAATGTATTAATAATATTGACTTTTCTCCTCCAGCCTGATCTATTAGTAGTTGAGTTGGGTCGAGGCGAGTTGAGTCTCACCAGCTCGCTTTTAACTTCACAGCTGCAGTGGCGTGCTGACGTGCTCTTGGTACCTGCGTTTGGCGTCATGCAAACATGCTTCGTGCAGCAGAAACCAAGGCAGCTGGCGTTTTTAGCGGCCGCGTGCCACTGGCAGCCACTGGCAGCCATCCGAGCGGAGTTGGGCGCTAGAGAGCTCCAGGGGCCTCTGGGCGCCCCATCGAAGCTCCATAGGCCCCCATAGGCCCCCATAGAGGGAGCAGGGCCCTGGCTTGGGTGGTCCTGGGTGGTCTTGGGTGGTCCAGGGCGTCTGCTGGGGGCCCTCGGCAGGGGAGCGCTAACCGCTTGGCCGCGCACCTTCAACGCCCAGCAGCCACTGATCGCCTCCCACAACATGCCATCGCAGCCATCAGGGGGAATGTGGGCTGCCGAAGGCGAACCATCTTTTACTCTCCCTGCGCCCCCTCGAGGCCTCTTGTTTCCATCATCGTTTTTTGCCTGATTGTCTCTTTTCTTTCCAGCTTGGTTGGCTTGTCCTGTCCCTTCCTTCAGCCTCTGCGTTTCACCTGATTTGCCCACTCGCTCGTCATCACGTTGTTTCCACCTGACTGAAAAAAAAAAGAGAAACTGAAAAAAAAAAGTATTACTTCAACTGCCTCCCTCACAATCATTTCTCAAAAAGGCTGGTGATCTTCACACCTCGTCATCACCTTCAATCTCAATCCCAACTCTATTCTATTCCATCGAAACATTGGCTGCCAGCGGTCTATTTGTTTCTTTTTCTTCCCAGGACCCCCTTGGCGCGGAGATCGGCCTGACTATTGCAACTTTGCGTTTCAACTACCACTTTTGCCGCTGCACTCACATAACCGCCTCGCACATACCAGCGCCGGATCGTCAAGCTGAAACTTGGGCGGCATAAATAAACACGCCAAAGCAAATACACGCACGCAAGACAAGCAAAATACCGCTCCCGGTCGCCTCCTGTTGCTGAGATTATTTTTTTGACTTCCTGGTCCTTGCCGAAGTCTCCATCCCACACACTATTCCCTATCCACGGGTCCACTGGTTGCGCGTGTCAGCAACCCCCCAAGACGAAACAATCGAATCTCGCAAGGAAACAATTTCATTTTTGGACCGATTCATTGCCCCGAAAGCCGACTGGCCCTTCTGGAAACAAATTCTATTTGCCGCTACTGCGTGGTGACAAAGTCTACCGGCACACAGCAACGGGAGTCACTTGGGTCCCTGCAACCCAGTTTTTGTTTCGTCGCCTGTTCAGAGCGAACCAGTTTTCTTCTTCACCCCCCTTGAGCCTCTCTTTCCTTCCCGGCCTTGGTTGTTCGTTGTTACACGCACAGGATGCCATTCAACAACGAGGCGTAACACACACGAATTGTTTTTTTGCCCTTTCTTCCGACCGACCGTGACTCCATCTCGCTACTGAGTGGCGCTCTTTGGAACACGGCCGACACTCTCGTTTTTCCTGTTTGGATTCGCAAACAAGCACCTTTTTGGTTGGCAATTCGTTTCACTCTTTACGGCCTGCTCACCACTGCATCCTCACACTCATTTACCCTGCCTCTCCCGACGACGAAATCCTAGACCTCGTCCAGAAAACAAAAAAAAAAAAAAAAAGAAAGAAAAAAAGCAAAGACCAAGACAAAATGGACTTCCATCCGCGCCGGTTCGCTGGTGGCATCGAGTCCCTGGTGCCCTCACGGGTGCTTCAAGTCAGGTCGTCGGATAGCTCAGAGGTACCATCCAATCCAACCATTGCACCCTATACCACCGCGCTAAATGGTGTCAATCAGACTCAGAACATTCTATTTAAGGATATCCTTTGGACCAGTCTGGGAGCCGTTGCTGTCATTGTGTTACTTATCAGAATCGCAGAATTACTATGGGCCAAGCTGCGCCAGGTGTCGGCCATGTCGGTGCCGCGAGACAAGCAGGGCTACTGGAAGATCTCGCAATGGAGCTGGATGCCGGGCGTCAAGAAGCATATGATTTACGCTCCTCTCTTTGGAAAGCGCCACAACCGCGAGTTTCGCTTTTCGTCCGCCATCAACGTCGGCACTCTGCCCTCGAGACTACACGCCACGCTGCTGTTCCTGTATCTTGCTAGCAACATTGCGTACATGTTCATCCTCGACTGGACGCAGGCCAATTACTACTCGTTTTGCGCTGAGCTGCGAGGCCGAGCCGGTACCTTGGCCCTCGTCAACATGGTGCCCCTGATCATCATGGCTGGCCGCAACAACCCCCTTATCGGTCTCCTGCAAATCAGCTTCGATACATACAACCTCCTGCACCGCTGGATGGGCCGCATTGTCGCCGTCGAAGTCATTATCCACACTGTTGCCTGGGCCATTCCGAGTGTCGCTAACAGCGGCTGGTCTGGTGTCTGGAAGTCGATCTTCAAGGTACCTTTCCTCGGATATGGAGGTCTGGGCACGCTCGCCCTGACTCTGATCTTTTTCTTGGCCGTCTCGCCCCTCCGACACGCCTTTTACGAGACGTTCCTCAACCTTCACATCATTCTCGCCGGCATTGCCTTTGCCTGTACTTGGATCCACTGCGTCACCGCCAGTATTCCCGGTGGCCTCCCGCAACTGTCCTGGATCATCGCGATCGTGGCGCTGTGGATTGCCGACCGCCTGGCCCGCATTGTCCGCCTTGCGTGGGTCAACTGGTCCGACAAGGGCTTTGCCGACGCTCTGTGCGAGCCCATGCCTGGCGAGGTCACCCGAGTCACCTTCCGCCTGCCGCGATACGTCAACATCAAGCCGGGAACCCACGCCTACCTCCGCTTCTGGAACGTCAATGTGTGGGAGAGCCATCCCTTTTCCATTGCCTGGGTTGAGCACGAGATCCAACACTCCCTGCCGACATCCGAGAAGGAGCCTCTCACCGCGATGGACCGTAGCAATGCGACCACCTTGGTGTCGTTCCTCATTGGTGCACAGACCGGCATGACACGAAAACTATACAACACGGTCAAGGGCCAGGAGCAGGGCATCCGAATGAAGGCGGCGCTTGAGGGCCCGTATGCTGGACATCACAGCCTCGACTCGTACGGCCACGCCGTCCTGTTTGCTGGCTCCACGGGCATCACGCATCAGATTTCCTACATTCGACACCTGCTCAACGGCTACAATGAAGGCACCGTTGCGACTCGACGGGTGACGCTTGTCTGGATTATCCGGGAGTATGAATCCCTCGAGTGGGTGCGCCCATTCATGGACCAGATCTTGCGAATCCCCAACCGCAAAGACATCCTTCGCATCCAAGTCTTTGTCACGCGACCACAAAATCCCCGTGACATTGCCAGTTCCAGCTCAACGGTCAAGATGTTCCCTGGACGTCCCAACGTGCCGCTATTGCTGGCCAAGGAGGTTCAGGAGCAGGTCGGCGCCATGGTGGTCACCGTCTGCGGGCCCGGTGCTTTAGCGGACGACGTGCGAGGCGCTGTCCGATCGGTGCAAGGACACACCGTTGTCGATTTCATCGAGGAGAGCTTCACATGGTGATGTGCATATACGCAATCTATATCTTTATCTGGGTATTATGAAACGATGTTTGCAAAGAATCTTTTATACTATACTAGATGGGAGGGATCGAGGCGCTAGCCGGCGAAGGACGCTTTTTTTTTTACCATTCGACCTGTATATATTTTTAAATCTGCGACGCGGAGATTATAGCATCTACGAAGAGGGATGTACCAGACGTTGTATAGAATCTGCATACTTCCCCACACTCTTCTTCTTTTTTCTTTTTTACAAGATGAATCGGCGCAAATACGGTTGTATTTTTTCTGTTCCATAGCATAGCATCTGGGGAAATTGGACTGACATTTATTCTCTTTTTTGTTAATTTTTTTTATTCTCCTTCTGTTCATGACTATGCATCTGTGTATGTCGTGTGACTCCAATCTCATATGAAACTTGTAATATACCTTGAGATGCTATAGTATTTCATTTGTTCTCTTGTGAAAAGTAATTATCCCCTTTTCATTCTCGTTGGTATACAAAAAATGAATACAAATTGCCTGCTATGCTTTTCCCAGTTCACCCTTGGGTAATTAATTGTACACATATTTCCTGTTTCACCGCATAATTGAACCCCCCCAAAACAAAGACAAGAAAAACGCCGTTCACCCTGTATCCCTTGCTCACTAAACCTCCTACCTCATCCAATGCTTACGCTCCCACTGCCGCCGCCAGCCCCTGGAGTTGCGCGGCCATCCCTTCATCGTCAATACCCCTGAACCCTTCCTCGACAACCCACGCCCTGCCTCGCTCCCTGGGGTGCAGGAACTCGCATGAGCGGCCCACGACGAGGAGGCCGGGTGGGCGGCTGCCCTCTGCTTCGATGGCCTCGGCGACGTGGGCGAGGGTCGTGCGGATGACGCGCTGGTCGGGGCAGCTGGCGCGCTCGATGACGGCGCAGGGGGTTGAGAGGGGCCAGAGGGTCCTTGACGATGCCGTCACGGGGGTGTTGCTGATTTCGGGGGCTTTGTCTTGGTCTGCTTCGACAGCGGTGGTGAGTTCGCGCACCAGGCCGACGATGCGGTGCAGCGCCATGAGGAACACGACGGTCCGCGAGGGCACGTACTCCGGGGGCTGGGGGGCTTTACCCTTCTTGCCCGTGCCGGTGCAGATGAGGACCTGGTCGGCGACATCGCGCTGGGTGGCGGGTATGGCGGCGAACAGAGGCGCGCTGAGGGCGCTGGTGACGCCGGGCAAGACGGTGACGGCGCCGGCGGCAGCGAAGCCGTTTTGGCGGAAGTAGGCGAGCTCCTCGCCGCCGCGGCCGTAGATGAAGGGGTCGCCTTGCTTGAGGCGGAGGACCGTCTTGCCGGCCCTTGCGGCGGCGAGGGCGGCGGCGAGGAGCTCATCTTGGGCCTGCTCAGCGTTGCCCGGGAACTTGCGGGCGATCTCGACGGGGGTGCGGCGCGGGATCAGGTCGAGCACGCCTGAGGGGACGAGCTTGTCGGCGAGGATGAGGTCGGCGGTTTGGATGGCGTTGTACGTTGCACGGGTTAGAAGGTCTGGGTGTCCTGGGCCGCTGCCGGCGAGGATGATTCTGCCCTGTGGACGCTCTAGGATGGCGTCGATGTCGCCGTCTCGCGGCCTGCGCTTTGCGACGTCTGATTCTGCGGCGCTGGCGTAGGCTTCGAGCAGACGGTGGACGTCTTGGTCCGTGACGGAGGCGAGTTTCTTCAGGGGCCAGTACTCGCAGACCTGGCTGAGCCAGCGCATCCTCCTATTGCGGACATCCTCCTCGGTGACGAGCTTGTTGAACAGCGCGCTCTGGTCGACGGAGTCGTCGAGGTCCCCGAGGCTTCCCTCGTCGTGCTGCTGGATGCGCCGTCTTGCCTCGCCGAAGCGGTGGCATGCGGCGCCCAGGTTTGGCGGGAGGGAGGAGGCGATCTCGCGGCGGATGCGGGAGGCGAGTTTGCAGCCGCGGCCGTTTGTGGTGACGCCGATTTGGAGGGGGCCGTCGGAGTGGGTGGAAAGGAGGGAGAAGGTGCAGAGATGGGGGGCGTCGACGACGTTGACGGGGATGCGGTTGCGCTTGCAGAGGGAGGAGATGTGTGAGGCTGGTTTGGTGATGTTAGTTGCTTGGTGTGTTATAGACCAGGTAGATGGTTGAAGAGTACATGACTTACCCAGCTCTTCTCGGGATGTCACAAACACGGCATCCACCACTCGGCCAACCTCTTCTCTGCCCAACCGAAAGAGATGCTCGTCGTCAAACGCCTCGCGCACCCACTTGACGCTGCCGTCGTCGATCCTCTGCTGCAAGCCGTAGTGCAGCTCAGCCGTCTCTGGCGCAACCACAATGGGATGCGCTCCGGCGCCGAGAGACTGCGCGCATCGGGCTGAAGCCAATGGGTTTGTGCCGATGACGAGGTGGATGCTGCCTGTGCAGTTGAGGCCAGCGAGCAATGAGCTGCTGCTGCTGCTGGTGAGTGAAGGTGAGGTTGCCATGTTTGATATGGCGGGATGTCGGGAGGCCCGAGATCCGGGATGCTGTGAAGGATTGAGCTGTGGCTGGAGGAGTTGGGAGAATTTCACAACTTAAAAGTCTCTAGGACAGGATATTGTCATGGACCTCACAGAGCTTGAAGTTAAAGAGGGAGAGCTTTGTGTAGCTTGTGTGATGCTTTACTCGTTCTTATTCTCTGCCTTATTATATAATAACCATCTACGCCATCTATCCACCTCGACAAAATCTCGCCAGTCACGTCCCCTCCCGACAGCCCGAAGCCCCGGACACCGAGCAGCCGATGAGACTATTTTTTTCTGAATTAGTCCAGTCCACTGAGCTCCATGGCATCTTTTGCCTGTTGCTCATCGGTTATTTTGTGTGGTTTGGCTGGGGCTCTGGTTACTTGCAGAAATGATCAATCTGCCACCAAGTTGACGCCATTTCTCCATGTGGGGCCGCTATCGGACTGATAAGACTAGGCTGGATTGTGCAGACTGGGAGCGTCTGTAAGACGAGCATCTCCGAGGGGGGTCCTCTTGAGATGCTGCTTATCGTGTGAGGAAGATTGATTGCGTGTGTATCGCGAGTGGTTACACGATGAGCATCTCCGAGGTCTTTTGTTCAGATATGCTGCTTATCAGACTGATAAGCCCCAAGATCTGAACAGATTGTGAGCGTTGATAGTATGAACATCTCCGAGGCCATCTCCAGATATGCCATTCTTAGCTAGGTAAAACTTTTGCGGGGAAATCGCTAATGATCGCCTCGCTTCGCATAAAAAATAAGAAAAGACAATAACGCCAAAGTGTGGACCTGTGACTCAAGTTAGATCATTACGGCTCTCAGTACTACATAAGAGTTGGGAAGGGTACCAAGTCGAGTCCAACTCCCTTGTAATCTTTCATGTCATGTGTGCGTTAAAAAAAAAAAAAAAAAAAAAAAAAAGAAAAAGTCCTTGTGAGAATAGTTCGGTGCATCGTCTTATATGCTTATGAACGGCCATCCGTTTTTGGTAAAAAAATATGCTTCTCCTTCACCTTCTCCATGCCTGGAGAAGGGGTAAATGAGCGCTGGATATCCTTTGTCATTCCATGACAAGAGGGAAAAAAAAAAAAAAAAAAAAAAAAAAAAAAAAAAAAAAACCGTGGGTAAACGCAAAGATCTGTTTGAACTCCGGTCGCTTTATATCGTCAGAGATGGTGAGAGAAAAGCCCTGCCTTCGTATAGAGAGGGGATATCATAAAGCCTGTGGGATCGTCTAACAAGAGGTGAGGGATTGAAGAGTGTCGTGGATTACAACTTCAAGCCAGCCCCATGTATGGATCCTCAACTTCATGGAGGGAGCGCATATTCAACGCGTCGACAGTTCCGTCAGCGCTGCATATGCTCCCCATGCGCTGCTGCTCGTCGTTGCGCACCAGCTTCTCCACGTAGCCCCTGGCCTCATTCTCGACCCAGCGGTTAATGTTGGGATCGTTGCACTCGGTATGGTGTATTAGATCGCTCTTGACCTGGCCAATCTCCTGGCGAAGGCGCTGGTACTCCATGTGGAGGTCGTGGTTGCGCGCCTCCAGACTCGACTTCATGTCCTTGAGCTCATCCACCTTTTCCTTCTTCTTCTGTCGACATTTTGATGCGGCCACCCTGTTCCGCTGCTTAATCTGTTCCTTCTTTTCCGCCTCGCTGCGGCGCCGGCGTGGCTTTTTGGCCTTTGGCGTCTTCTTGTCTGTGCTGGTGCTCGCCTCGGAGAGTCCCGTAGAGATGGATGTGCCGCCTGGCGACTCATCTATGCTGGCAGAGTTCCCCAGCGGGGACAGTGGGAATTGCATATCCTGCTCTGTTCCGAGGGAGAAGGACACGGAAGAGGATTCATCGCTGTGAAAGTCCGAATCCATCATCTCCATGTCCTGTGCGGCTTGGGCGAATTCCCCTATTGATTCGAACATGGGATTCCACGGTTCAAATCCTGTTGAAGTTGAGAGGGGGTATTGATATTGCATGCCTTCGTTGGCTGTGCCCTGGCTCGTCAATTCGAGCTGCGGATCGACGAGAGCAGCCGTCAGGGCAGATTCGGAATCCATGGTGTTGTAGTAGACTTGCCAGCCCTTTCTGGGAGCTGTAATTAAAAGAGTATAGCCCAGATCCAGCTGGTAGATGTGAATGAATATGTATGTGGACGAATTGAATCTCGTTCAAGCAGTAGCTTGGCTTTGAGTAGTGTTATTATACCGAGCACACAGATGTGCGCATGCACATGTACACATGTAGGTAGGTAAGAAGGAGTAAAAGTTTGCAAGAGAGTGTTTAGCGTACAATATAATGTTTCGAGCGATGGGCAATGGTAATTGAAGTGGATTATTTGTTAATGTACGTGTGCGTGTACGTATGTAGTCTTGTCAACCACCAGACACATGTATCGTCCTGTGCGTGACAGAAATAATGTTCAATGCTGTGGTGAGAATTGGGGGAATCCTGTTCATACACCCCAACCGAGCAACTAGTGGCGAGACTTATATACATCTTTGGAGATTCTGGATGGGGAAACGGGCAAGCAGCATCTGCTCCGGATGGCCAAGCTCTTAGTAGTACTGTATGACCTACTTAGCAGGCAGCATATATGGGGAATCTTGATCATTTCGCCTTCGACTTCGCTGAAGAGGGAAACCTGTATATCTAGCGCTTGCGGAACTAGCCTCGCCTTCGATCAGGAACCGAGGGGGCTTTAGCTGGAGCTACTTGCTTTTATTTCTTCGCCGCTTGCATTTATGGCACCCATGCAAGTATCTTGAGAAGCGGGAGGCGAGATGGAGTTGGGTTGAGACACTCGAGTTGTTTTCTAAATGAGATGTCCGCCTGCTCCTCGTCGTGCCATTCAACGTAGCTGTTTTTAATTTATCTAAACAGCAATCTCATATGCCTTGCAGATGCGATTCCCTTGCAGCAGATACTTGGGCTGATGGCCGCGTGCCTGGCAAGCAACAAGACTGGCGACATCACGGCTGTTAAGACAGAGGCACGTGCACCGCCACAGACGCGCACACCAGCCACGCCCACGCTCGTCATGATCCGATCCATCATGTGCCAAGTCGACGATCATCTGCGCTGATTCGCCAATGGCCGGCGGGTTTTGACTTTCCGCCTGCGTGTACGGAGTAGCTCGAGGTGATGTGCAGTGAAACAGCCGGGAAGAGAAACACGTGTGGCTCGTGGGTGTTGGGCTTGGCTGCTGTCAGTGGCTGAAGCACACAGTCCGGACCAGAAGCTCCGGTCTGCTTAAAACTCTGCGATCCACTGATGTTGATACTGTATGAGGTGACTGTGGACAAGCAAGACAAGGAGCAACCACACAACTTGCACACAACTTGCATACAGTCCGCGGAGCCGAACCGGCAGGCGGTGTCGCCTTTGACGTCAGTCCGTACGGGCTTGTTCTTGTTCGTTTTGGTTCAGGTTCAGCAAGGCACGCGTCGTCGTCAACCTGCCTGCGTATCTGCGGGATCTCACGCTGCTCCCGGGTGCTGGTGATGTGGAGAGATAGGCTTGACAGGCCATTGGCAGGGGACGATTAGAGCCGTGCACAGTATGGCTGGCGCTTCGGGTAAGCTGGAGAAGGCGAGAAAGCAGGCCTGCTTCTTTTGGATGGGCTTGGATGGGGGTGTTTGGGGGTGTTTGGGAGCGTTTGCAAGGCCCACCCTCGTTTTGCGCCTGCATTTGTCCATCGGAATCTACAATTCCCATTTCCCATGGGATGGTGGCGAGAGGGCCTCTCCTATGGCCTCTCCTGCACCTATACGTCACTCATGAACGCAACAACCGCGCTGTGCTGGTAGAGGATCCTATTGGGCATTTGAATGACATGGTATATCCGGCATATCCAATTCTATTCTTGTAAATGGTGCTTGTATAGAATTCGCTTCCAGAAGAAATTCTGAAAGGGGATGCGCAGGTAGCGTTTGAAGCCACCAAAATGCAATTGCTGGAAAGCATAGAGCAGAGGGAGGAAAAAAAAAAAAAAAAAAAAAAACTTGAAATCAAGAAAAGCTTGTGTGGCAATTTGCTTTAAGCTTCCTCACGGCTCATTGCCCAGTACATTCCTAGTACACAAACCTTCACTCAGCGACCATGTAGATCCCTCTCTGTAGGTGCTTTAGCTCTCGGAGGAGCTTCTGCTACAAGACTTGTCACTCGTCACTGGCGTGTGGCGTTCCAATCAGATCGACCGGAAGACGGCATTCAGTACGTATCGCCTTCGACAGTGCCTGCGCTGTTCCAAAGCTCTCCGCTTTTATCCATTGAGCTAAATGTCATGCAGGCCGTAGTGGGTGTTCTCCCATTCCTGTTTGGAAGTTTGTGCTCTGAACTTATTGTCTGCATGTAATTGGCACACGGAGAAACTTCCGCGTCCACAGTCGTCATTATAAGCCGGCATCTAAACTAGGTCACACGTAGAGACTGAATGGGTATAAGCGGGTTTGCGCGCTATGTATGTAGACACGGCTAGTTACATGTACTTCTGCAATTGCTCACTAGCATATTTCCAAACAGTCTCAAGTGGCCTTTCTTCGTCTTCCTACCTATCCTTTGATGTACAGAGGCTTCTGTGTGTATACGTGTCATTGCCACTGGAAGACGGCTTCTATGTTTGCTAGTGATGGACTTGCCTAGCTCTGAGAGTCTAAACAGCTCGATTATGAACCTTTGCTCATACATCCCAGGTAGCACTCAGCCACTAGCATCGGAGAAATCTTGACACGCAACAAATCGCCACTGTGAACTACTGTAATAGGCCGATATAGCCTGACTTTTCATCTAATCTAACCTAGGCTACAGGTCTGAGAACTCGAGTAATATTGCTGATCACTACTCCCTTGAGTCCCAAACATGAGCAATACATACGTGTCCAGAGAATCACACGTTTTAGCTTTCTGATTCCCGCTGGTGTGGCCCAATAATCTTGTTTGGGCATCTCAGAACGGGAAGTTACTGTGGAAAATTGTGTCATTGCTTAGGCGGAAACCCTTGATCGCCCTCTGCGTGTGATCGGCAGTTGGAAACTTTCCCGTAACCAATCAATTTCACCGCAAGGCTGTCTCTACATATGAGATTGATGCGTTGGACGGCCTGTGCTATACGTACATAGTACAAACAGGCAAGGATCTTGGGTTTCTATTTTTAACGTTAAGCAAATAACGTATATACAAGATAGCTACTAGTAGACATTCTTATTCATTCATTTCGTAAGCTTAAATGGATGGGCCTCGGTATTCAACACATAGTCATCCAAGCTGATAAAATCCGGCGGCGCAAATATGAGATAAAAGTATTTCAGCGTTTCGGCGAGCCAGAAACTCTGCATCAAAACATCATGGTTAGTTTAAAGCCCAAATCACAAAGTCATGTCAATGAAAGAGAAGTCGACAGAAAATAAAAGAACTCAGCTCACCTCCATATAGTCCTCCAAAGGCAGTTTCCCGCCATCAATCGTAACATCGAGCACTGCGGCATTCGCATACGCCGTTTCCGTCCCCTTCGCGATCGCTGTAAACATATCCCACGCGGCGTCTTGGAACTCTCGCCGCCCTGTGATCCGGTACGAGTAAAAGACACTCTCGATGGCTTCCGGCCTAAGAAGATATCGCGGGTCCTTGGCACTGGTGAAGCCCTTGGGCAGATGACTTTTCCACTCCGGCCTCTTGTCGCGCTCTTGCAGCCAATAATCTTCGTCCCAGGGGCAGTGCGAACGATCTTTGCACGGGGCTAGGTCGATTCTCTCGGGCATCATACCAGTGGGAAAGGCGCGGTATGCGTAGACGCAGCCGTTGGTCAGCTTGACGCCTGTTTCGACGTCGTCTGCATTGTTGAAGAGCTTGCCTGCCAGGCCAAACATTCCCCCTACGAAACAAGTCAGATGCTCCGTTTCGGGATCCAGCACTGGATTACCCTTTTCGTCGACGTTGACGTTGCCGGATATGAGAATGTCATCTTCCTTTGGCAGCATTGGACGGAATAGAAAGTGTCGATCTGCTGTCTTCAGAAACATCTTGGACATGGCCTCATACTTGGGCTCGCCACCTCGTAGTAGCTGGTGCATCTTGGGGAGATACTCATACAAAGAGTCGGCACAGCCACCAAGCGTAAAAGTGCTGCCGTGGATCACATCTTTGGCCATCATATTCACGTTCATCGGCCAAACTCCAGGGACGCTCGTCTTGCTCTGGCCCTGATAAAACACATCCATCACCTGTGACACGGCGCTGTAGTATTTTGGGTCTCCTGTGACCTGCGACAAGTGTGCCAGCTCTAGAGACAGCGTTCCCGGTGATGCTGATACGACGGAGCCTTCAACGACCAGCCCCTCTCCCGACTTGGCTGAGTGAAAGTTGAGAAAGTCGACAGGCATGCCGTTCTCGGTGTTGAATCCGGCATATATGAGGTCTCCCAGCTCAACCGCCTTCTTAAGCAACACTTCCCTGCCACTCAGATCATACGCCGCCAGCAAGCCTCCGAGATAGCGAATGTTGGTCTCAAAGATGTTGACCCGGTTACTCGTCGAAGATCCAAAGTCAATCTCTGCCACCGCCGCCACCGCCTCGTCAAACTCATCTCGTAAGCCCATGATCCAAAGCGTGTCCAGGGAATCAACGAGGGTCGCCGCCCAGCCCGAGAACTGCTCCCTTCCGCGGCCGCTGATGGGTAGTAGCGCATCCTGCTTCCAGGCGAATTTCTTGTATCCTTGCCATGCTCGCAGAAAGACCTCCTTCACCTGGAGCATCCTTTCCATCTGCTTTTTGGCGGCTATTGGTTGTTCGACGCCGAAGCGGTGCTGGATCCGGGGAAGAGGCCTGCCCGGACTTGGCAGCCGTGTAGAGTTATGTGGAGGATAGCGGAAATTGATGCTGCTCCAGTTGAAGCTGGATTTGGGCTCAGGATATTGACTGGACGACGCGTTGTGGTTCATGTAATGTTCATGCCGGGTCCATTCTGATGATGGCCGCTGGGGTATTAGCTGGAGATGCCATAGTGTCAGGATCACGGCCATCAACAGGATGCCGTTGCGGACGAATCGCGGGCGGCCGGCGAACATTTTGACGGAGGTTTGCGCGAGGCGCGACTCTCCTCCAGCCAACCCTAGGTGAGATGGGACATGAAAAGAGACGCCAGTAATTGAAAGATGAAAAAAATACGGATGGAAATCAATGAGACAGAAATGAGAGACACGCCTAACCCGTTTATTCCAACAGCCTCCCTTCAACAGCGTGTAAAGCAGGGTCACGAAATAGTCTCTAAGTTAAGGTGGAATAGAGTTTTAAACAACTCTACCTTGCGCTCCTCCGCGTGACGTCCCTACATTTTCGTATACGGCAAAAGACATATCTGTCCGTTCTCGTGTCCCCGATTTCGCTTAGAGCGCTGCATTGCTGATGCTAAATTTCAAATTCCAGACCCCCCCTCGGATTTTCAAGTTCCCCCCCTTCCCCCTGAACGACAGGCGAGCTTCCAGATGGGGAATCAGTTTCCAACATAGTCCGGGCTATTAATATCGTTCCGACGAATGATTCATGGGCTGGGTCTGAAACTAGGCTAAACAGCGCGGTTATACTTTCTCTTCTTTTCAGCTATTGAATCAAGTGCATTAAGCCTGCTGTTAGGCTGCATGTATTATTACTTACTATTTTCTGTGTGAATTGAAGTAATGTACACGATTGAAAGAGACTTGGACTTTGTTACTACCTACTTGTTCACAGTCTGGATTCCTATTTAGAAGCTGGATATTATTGCTTGTTTCAGCGATGCACAGACCTTTCAAACAACTGGTCTTGGCTCCCACTATGCTTAATCGACACCTTAATTCCCTATTTCAGCTCAGACGCCCCGCCAACCACTAAAAATAACACCCGAGATGAAGATGGCCGCTGCTAACTTTCAGCTCCAGTTAGTTGTGCAGGACACTAAATACTTGATCTACTACGATTTTCTGGAATCCGGCACTCAAAAAGACACGATCCATTGTTCTGAAATCAATAAATGTCTCGTAAATTCCTTGTGGCAATGATCAGACTATTATACAGTTTGGTTCAACTCATGTTATACAGTGTGCCTTTGTTAATGCGTTTCCATCTCATCGCCGCCTCCTCCTCTGCTTCTCTTCCTCTTCCAGCTTCAACTCCTCCTCTACCTCTGTATCCATCTCTCTCTCAATCTCCTGCTCTTCCAGGTCTTCTGCCTCCAAAATCTCCTTAATCAGGTCCGTTTGCCTCTCTCGCTTGCCCTTGGTCCGGCGTTCCTTTCGTGCATTCTTCTCGTTCGCTGATAGACGGCCTCCATCCATTGTAATCTCGACCTTGCGAGGCTTCTTTCCTCCTTCAGCTCGCTTGCCCCCATCGTCTACTCCGCTACCGACTCGAACGCTTCGAGAAACTTTGGTCTTGGCACCCAGGGCCCAGAGATCGCCCCAGTGTGATTTTCTTGCGTCGTGGTAGGCGAGCTTGCTGAAGCTCTTGGGCACCGTCCATCGCTCAATCTTGCCTTCCGGCGTGCAGACATCCAGAGTGACGTGGCCCTTGCGTTTCAATGGTGGCAGGACCATTCTGGGCAAGGTTTGCATATCTGGACTCTCCTTGGAGTTTTTGTATCCGGCAAATGCTAGTTCAGTGGCCTTCCATCCTGGGAGCTGGTCTGTCTTTGAGCAGCCACGCTGTATCGCCACATAACTGAATTCGACATCGCCTTGGTTGTTCGAACTGTTGCCCAACATCTTGGTGTAAAAGGTGGGCCGTGTAAACCGCTGATTGAAATAGCAATAATCTTTTCTGCCCTTGCTCTTCCCGGCTTCTTTGTACATGGGACATGTGCCATGGTTAGTGCACGGCGCAATAATGTGACCAGCTTCCCGCTCCTTGTGGAATGCTGGGTTCAACTCTTCCGTCGGGATACTGGGCTCGCCGTTCTGTGGCAGGAGAAATTGCTTTAGAAGTGTATCTCTGACATGAGCGACTGCTTCAAATCCTCGGGGATGGGCCTTTTCAATAACAATGAGTACTCCGCCATCCTTGTTGAGAAGAGTCCATAAGTTGTTCAAGATAGCTTGACGGTAATGATCCTGCTTCTCCTTGAGGAAGAGATGAGAAGCGATGATGAGATCATAACTTTTCCGCGGTTGTGGTTTATTGCCGGCATCGAGGTGCTCGCCTTGCATCTCTCCAGAATGCTCATAATCCGGCAGTCGAGGCAAGAAGGTAGTATTGTGTAGGAAGCTTTTCAGCCGGTGACGCAGACGATCCGATCCAGTGATGACAGTTTTTCTCCCAGGGGGTTGCGAGCCGGTTACCTCACCCTTTTCTCTTAAGAGATCCCACTCGGTATTGAGTATCTGCTCCCAGGCGACAAGACCAGCACCGCCGGCTCCGGCATCTAGTACACTGAGCCCTGCGTTTTCCTTCTTCTTAAGCCGCTGTTGAATCCAGTCGCTGCCTAGCCGCTTCCGCACTTCTCGCAAAACCGACGTGACAGAGGCATAAGCAGGTGGAAGATAGCCAGCGAGGAATGCATCTGCCTCAATTTCCGTCATGTGTCGCTGATCAGGGGGTAAGCCGACGCCGCCCATCTGCCCATTCTTTCTTCCTTCTGGTGTTGATGGAGAAGTTGGCAAACCCTGCCCACCAAATGCTGCTTCGGCAGCCGCCTTGACGTGACTCAAATGAGTTCGATCCAAAAGGTCCCGAATAGGCGTGACCAGTCCGCTTTGGGGTAGTGAAATTTCGACTGGACTTCCATGGAATCTGCCTTGTAGAGTAAAGGGATGGAATCGTCGCGTCTCGCCAAGGCTCATATCCCTTCCTAGCTCAGCCGTGGTTTCTTCCGACTCTTCAAAGAAATCATCTTCTTCATCCATTTCATATGCCTCCTGCTCTGCCTCGGCTTCCTCCCTCGCCGCTGCAATCTCATCTTCGAGTTGCTTCTTTTGCGCGGCCTTGAAGTCTTGCATTAATCTTTGCAATGCCTCATGCTCTCTTGGGTTTCTTGCCACAGCATCAACGTATCCTGGTGACTCTTCAATAGCTTCTAGTGCAGAATCCGACGCCAAGGGCTGTTCAGACCCTGAAGATGCCTCTGCAACACCGCTCTCCTGGTAGGGGATTCTGTAGGTCACTTCCTCAAACCCCCCTTCCTCCAATTGTCGCAGTAACGTCCTTTCATCATTTACCCGCGTCGATTGGCCTCCCATATCAGCATGAGTTGGAATTCCGACATCTTCTGGAGCAGTCTCTCGAAGTGGTGGGCCATAGAGCCGTTCGTAGAGCGCATACTCCTCTTCGTTGAGATATCCCTTTGGGAGGGTGTCTCGAAAGCGCTGCTTTGCTTCTCGAACAACCTTTTCAATATCCTCCACAGATTGACTCCTTGATCCACCTGTTGGCTCCTGAAGAGCAGTGCTAGAATTGGAAAAACATCGTCTGTTTAGTTGATAAGAGCTTCGCTGAATTTGTATGCGTGGGGCAGTTGTCCTTCGCACTGATGCTAGGGAAGAAGAATGTGCAAACTGCCTTGGTGCTGTGAAGAGATACGTATAGCTGCACTTTGGGCAAGCATTCTTGAGCCCATTGAATGACAGCATCTTCTTCTCTGGTACACAATTTGAGCACGAGAGAAGAGCTGCTGCTTGCTTGAATGATGAAGGTTTCTGGACTTTTTCAAGCTCTGGCAGTCACGTGATGCTGTGATTGGAGATAGCTCGCATGTGAGAGGTCAATCAGCGCTACTGTAGGCCCACTGAACCAGTTTAACAAGATCCATGGTTCAAGCTTCTTTGGCACATGCGGCTCATTTCGCTTTCTTTCTTTCTTTATTTTATTGTCTTTGCCTTTCAAATGGAGAACAAATTATATGGACTGCTACTAGCTGTCGCTTAATCATATAGCGGCATAATCCCTTGTATGCCAGCATGGCTAACGCAGTGTAGGTAGAGAACGCTCACGCACAGAAACACAGACCGCTTCTTCGTCCCTCACATCCATCACATTATAACAAATCACAAATCAGCTAGTGTCCTAATGGCCGACCTTTGTTGTTGCGCCCGAGCGCTGCCTGCTGGTGCCGGCCCTGCAGCCGATGCCGGCTTCAACGGTGGCTGCTGTCTCTTCGGGTTGAACATGGACTGTTCCGCCGCCTTGTACGAATCAATCTGGCTCGCCGGTCAGTAAATTCGCACCGCCCGCTTCCTACGCTTCCTGTTTACGTGCCGAAAATAAGGACGCGAGGTACAGCCCGACAAACATCATGATGATGTTGATCAACAAGGTCACGCTCCAGTGACGGCCCTGGCCGGGGACGGAGCCATCGCCGCCCAATGTTCTGCCGGGAGTCTTGAATACGTCTTCGGCCTTGCCACCGTTGCTGAGCGAGACGGCCTTTGTGATAGCTTCAGTCAGGGCCGTCGGGTTGGCGCCGCGGATGGTCTCGACGGTCGTGCCGTTGTGGAAGACGACGAATGTGGGCATGGCAGTGACGCCATTCGTGCGCGCGATGTTGGCCTGGTTGTCGACATTGACCTTGGCAAAGGCCACCTTTTTCGGGCGCGAGTGCTCCTTGGCGAGGCGCTCGAAGTGAGGCGCAATCATCTTGCAAGGACCGCACCAATCGGCGTAGACTGTGATGCTCTGTTAGTCGGGTTGGCACAAGACCACACGAGATGCCGTACAATCTGCGATGACGACGGTGGTTCCCGAGAGCAGCGACTGCCACTCGCCGTCAGATCCGATGTGGATGGGGCCGCTCATTGTGAAGATGCGCTCGTAGGTGCCGGACAATTAGATTGCTGTTGCTGTGGTTGCGACTCTACCGTTGATGTTGGTGATTGTAGGATTTGGACGTGGCCAGCTTGCGTATTTGCCTGGGTTTGTTCACTGTTTGCTGAGTAATTGGCGGAATACAGCGCCACAGTACTGTACAAGTATACTTGCAGGTAGCCACCCATGCTATGGCGTAATTCCGCAGCGACTACGGACTAATCCAAGGCATGGCCGGAAACGGCAACCAAGCTTCCATATTAGTGCCCTGTTTAGAATAGCTCCTAGTGTGCCTTCTGCTTCCTGGACAAAGTACATGTATTCAAGATCTACAGTTAAAAGTGAGAACACACGAATTGTTATTGCTAGTGCAAAGCAGCCATATGATTAAGGAGTGAGAGAAAGATGACATCTACCTGTATTTAAAAGGCTGTGGAATCGGTCATTGCTACCAAATAAGGAGAGCAATCGGAGGAATGCATAGCCGTGCTCATATGTGAATATAGGCACCCATGGAGAGCAACCTGCATGTCGTGTCACATGATGATGAATAGGATTTAATGCCTTTGCTGCCTACCACAGAAGGATGAAGTCTCAGCGCTTCAAATTCATCGTAGTTTAGAGGGTACAATTTCGAGTCTAAGAAGTTATCTAGCCTCGAGACGAATCTTTGCGGGTCTTTACGAACATGAGGCTAATCAACACGCGGACCCTAAAGCTTCACCAGTTCCACGGCAAGCCGCCACCTTACGCCATTTTGTCCCATACTTGGGGCCAAGAGGAGGTGTCTTTTCAAGATTTCCACTTGCCAGATCAGCGAGAAAAGCTAGCTGGATTCTCTAAAATCAGATCTACTTGCAAGAAAGCATATAGCCACGGCTTGGATTACGCATGGGTTGATACGTGCTGCATTGATAAGACGAGCAGCGCAGAACTTAGCGAAGCAATCAATTCCATGTTCAAGTGGTACAGAAACTCATCAATCGCTTATGCATTCTTAGAGGACTACCCATCTCCAAAAGTCGAGAAAAGTGCTCTCAATACAACATATGTTGGCTTTGGCCGTAGCCGGTGGTTTACTCGAGGCTGGACATTGCAAGAGCTTATCGCACCCCAGCGACTCGAATTCTACAATAAGTCATGGGAAAAAATTGCAGAAAAGGCAGCTGTTGCAAAGCAACTTGCGGTGATCACGGGGGTTGATGCCTTTGTTCTCGACGGCTCGGGCCCCCTTCAGCAGGTCAGTGTAGGAAGACGTCTAAGTTGGGCTGCCAATAGGGAAACAACTCGCGAGGAAGATCTTGCATATTGTTTATTCGGACTGTTTGATGTTTATATGCCCCTAATCTACGGGGAAGGAGGGAGGGCTTTTCTTCGACTACAGGAACATATTCTTCAACAATCTGATGACCACACCATCTTCGCCTGGCGAGCCTCAACTACTTCGACAGATCCAGATATGGTACATGGGCTGTTTGCGAAATCTCCAAGAGATTTTCGCAATTTTGCGAACGGATCATATCGCAGGGGACTACCGGAATACAAAATTCACTCTAGGTTTGATAGGTTAGTACGTGTTTGGGGATCCAAAGTACCGCAAGATCCGATCACCATGTCCAACAAAGGGATTCACGTCACTTCCCTCGTCAAAGACCTTCGACAACCTTGGGCTTCTGGAGACCTTGTGATATTACTACTCAACTGTTGCTTTGACGCAAATCCCTCAGCTACTGCAGGAATATATCTAAAGCGCCTCGGCGGAGATCGCTATGCTCGAGCCCGAGGAAATGAGTTAGCTAGGGTCCATTCGGACTCTCATACTATTCTAGCTTCCATATGCGGAATCAAGAGCACCTCGGATATCATTGGGCTATACCTTGAAGAGCCTTGGACTACGATGGCAAGAGTACTCGAGGAGCACCTCGAGGAAGAGAGATCTCAAATGGGATCTGAATTAGTCAGGAAACGCTATCAGAATGCCTTTTATTTGAAACGAAACCTCCTCCAAGGCAGTAGACTGTTCCCTGGATCCCAGCTTCGTCAGATGCTGATTATGGATTCGCACGAAATCTGGCGCTCTTTTCGATTCGACGGCAAAAGTCATGATGGCGATCTCGTCATAAAAACGTATCCCAACTTCAAAGCGGTGTTGGTGTTTGAGTCCTCTAGACGCAAGACCTCATTTCTTCTCTTCTTGGTAGCCAGAGATAACAACGGGAATTACGAACATGACATTGATGCTGTTTCTCTCACTCCCGATGACGCGAGAGATTGGCATCAGAATCTCTCTACAGTAGAAGAGTTTATACAGACAAAGACAAGGTTCCAAGCTCGCCAGACGACTCCAAGCATCAAGGTATCGCTGTCGCCAGTTAGTATGTATGGAATCAATATGCAAAGTATTGGAATACAACAGCCGTCATTCATTGCATTTCGTGGTCGAGCATCTGAAATTTTTTTGAAGGCTGTCTATTTGATTTTATTACTTGTCTTCCCAATAGAAATGTTTAGTATAGTTTTGAACATGACAAGCCACTAAGGGGCAGTCAGAAAAGGTATAATATGGAGAAGAGGGTGTGTTATTAGTACAGTTTCAACAACCTGAAGCAAGGTAGTGTGTGTGGAAATATGGAGGATGGAAACGTCATTCCGGAAATAAACATCTCGTCCTGACACAATTTACATTTAACTTTCCCCACATATAATATGGAACCATCCAATATCCCAGCAACAACGTAGACGTCAAGCGTCATAACAATATGTAGAGGAAAGATCTTTTACCATTCCTTAAGTAAAGACAGAGTATCCTTTGTATTTACTACTTGGCGTGGCTGAGTTGATGGGTCTTGAGTGTAATAAACGGCTAAGATATCAGTATGAGGCTCTCTAGAAGGTGTAGTGCCGGCGGTAGTGCGGCTCTATATCTGTCTATATAGTTGAGCCTTCGAGTTCGTTGCCTAATAATGCTTCATCAAAAGCCACGCCACTAGACATCAACTGGCGACAAGAGATGTGGGATCTATACTTTATTGACGGATGGACCGACACGAAATCAAGAATAAGGACCTGAGACTGGCGCAAAAAATGCGCCCTACTGTGTAAAACCTTAACCACATCGGTCAAAAGGCCGTAATGTGTCCTCTCTTTGAGATGATGGCCAATCTACCTGACTATTGGTTATTTCAGTACTTCCTACTATACCACACCTGGAGTTTACTGCTGCCACAGAGATCCACTTCTATTACCGCGGATATTTGCTGTTACTAAAGCAATAAACGCCTCTATACAAAATGACAAGCTTACGAACGTCTTACCAAAGGTTCCAGCCAAGTAACTCGGCGCCAGAGTTGAAGCCCAGAAATTTTCATAACCCAATTTCTTCACCAAACCTTCACTTTTCTGTCCTATAAATACATATTTTTGCTCCTCCTCCTTGTACGTTTTCCCTTTGTGAATTTGTCACCGTCGGCCAATCAACACAATTTTCTGGCCTTACCTCACGACACCTCGTAACCAATGAATGCCGAACTATCCGAAGAAAGTCTGCGGCGTGCCGTGTTCAAGTTTTATTACACCGACGGCATCCCCGATGAAATCGATTCTTTATTTGATTGGGCAGCAAAGTCGCACTGGACTGCTATTCCTAGACCTATAGTTACCGCCACCGACTTTCAGCAGAGAATGAGAATAATTCAGAGGATATATGCACTCCATTATGCGTCACGCGAAGGCCATCAAGCTGCTAGCAATGGGCAAAGTCCGCTCCTCCCAGTGCCGCTGGTATCCTATTTCATGCTGGTACCTCTCCGCCATTTACGGAGCCTGACTCAGAGGCCTGGGCAATATTTTCCCTCCCCTTTAACCTTGAATACTTATCTATCGCTTGGTAAGTGCTTGGATTGTATTGATGAATCGCCCCTGATTTTTTATGTCAGTTGTCCGAAGCAGATTGTCTGTACTGGGGCCCCTTGCTAAGCGCTCTTCATCTGCATCACCCACTGATGTAGATGGAGAAACTGCATCACCCACTGATGTAGATGGAGAAACTGCATCACCCGCTGATGTAGATAGAGAAACTGCACCACCCACTGATGTAGATGGAGAAAGCGAAATCAGTGTCGATAGTCTCTACTCAAATAAGGAAGAAGTAGACAAAGTCCTTGACAGAGAAGAGGAGATGTGTATCTTGACAGGAGCGCCTTGTTCAAAGGTGTCTTATATTGTGCCATATTTGGTCAGCCCGGGTGAGGAAAACATGAGCCGAGAGTTCATCGCTCAACTCGACACCATCATGTTCTCGCTTAGTCAGTTGTCTCTTAATGACTTGACTGCTCCAGAGTCATATAACAAGTCTTGGAACATGATTTGCATGGATAGGGTTTATTATTATTGGTGGGGCGAATGCCTCTTTGGTCTTAAATGCGTCGGGATCCGTGATGTTCAAGGGAGTGATCAGTGTATCATTCAGCTACAGTTTCAATGGATGCACAAGAATAGCCTTTCTCCTACCGCGGAGATGGGCCTAAGCACCGCTAATGCCTGGCAGATGTTGTTGGATACACCATTTCGACTAAGAGAAGGCCCTCCGACTGAGGATTCCGTCCCTCTCATCGAGTCAGGGCAAATGTTTTATATTACCATGCCGTGCGAAGATGTCGACAAGATGAAGGCAATGTTTGACATTCGATGGGCCAACACCAAGCTTGCAGCGCTCTCTGGAGCCACGGGGAGCCGGGGGGAATTACAACTGCCTCCCAGTGAGCCTGATCTTGGATCCGCGCTGACGACGGAAGATGTGAATGCTTGGCTTGGTGATTTACCAGACGATACGGGCGAGTATGAGTCGGACTGGGAAAGTGGAGTGCAGCTACAGGTACCTATCGGGCCAGCAACTACTCAAGAGAGCGACAACCCTCCGTCTGGATAATTGGCAGCGGGTAGACATGATATTCACGGTTATCTCACGGTATGCTTCTGCATATGCTATTTCGCTCTCTGCTGATATGTTTGGTTACATATATACAGGTATAATGCTAACTAACGTAGCAGGCTGGCCGTTACCATATCAGACATATAATGCGCCATTTATTGATATGTGGGAAGGATATTGGCTACCTAAATACATTTATCGGAGATGGAAAGATAAAAATGTTTGAGAATCTATTGCTATCTAAGCATATTGTCTGTTGCTATACTATATATTTCCCAAAGCTCAACAACTATAGGGTAATGATTGAGGAAGAATGACACAGTTACAGAAGTGGTAGGCGGTATGATCTAAAGTGGGTCAAATTCCGGCAGAATAATTATCAAAATATTTTGAACCGAGATTTGGCTGCATATGAACTGCATATACTATCAGTGACAGAAATTGTATTCACCATGTCGTACCAGGAGCGCGAAGCAAAGGTATGAACTTACGAGTGCTCCTGAGGTGTAACTGGATTCTAATTGAACTTACAGAAGAGAAAAACTGCCCACAATGGCGGCAATTCGCAGCAATCATTTCGCCAGCCCGTCAGTCTCGCAGCCTCAGAGGGAAGGGAATGGACAGTCTCTGTGGCGTTCCCCAGCAGCACAATTGCGACGTACGTATTCGATTCCTCCAATATGAGATGATTCGGGTCTAGAAATACTTACAGAATGCTCCCAGCCTAGCCACGGCCGAACAGCGAATCGCTGTGCCCAGTCGCATTGCCCGCGCTCTCGCCATCTTCTCCATCGACGAGGTCATTGTCTTTGATGACTCTCCGGTCAAGTCTCGTCCGCACAATACCGACAAATCTGCATATACCGGAGATACCGACCCGTGCCATTTCCTGACGCATGTGCTATCGTATCTCGAGGCACCGCCGTTTATGCGCAAGGCGCTTTTCCCTCTGCATCCTAACTTGCGATTGACGTCTTCCCTGCCGGGTCTTGATACTCCCCATCATCCGCATATCAAGGAGTCGATGATATATAGAGAGGGTGTTACGATTGCGGGCATGACAAAGTCGAGCGATGGCACGCTGGTGGACGTTGGCCTCGACAAGCCCGTCGAAATCAAAGAGGACATTCCTCCTAAGACCAGAGTCACGCTCAAGATTTCGGAAGACGAGTCTGAGCCTGCCGAGTGTGTTCACCCCCATGCGCCTCGCACAGAAGCCGGCTTCTACTGGGGCTACACCGTCCGACAGGCGAATTCCCTGTCTGCTGTCTTCACCGAGTCGCCATACGAAGGAGGATACGATGTCAGCATCGGCACATCCGAGAGAGGATCTCCCGTGGGTAAGGAGTTTCCGTATGGCAAGCGTGTGCAGTTTAACCATGTCCTCATTGTATTTGGCGGACCGCGAGGCATTGAGTATGCAGCGATGAATGACGAGGAGCTTGGCGGAATGGGCATCCAGGGCGGAAAGACGAGAGAGCTGTTTGATCACTGGGTCGACGTGATGCCGAATCAAGGAAGCAGGACGATTCGGACGGAAGAGGCCATGTATATTGCATTGACGGCATTGAAGCGCATATGGGATAATGAGTAATTTGGTTGAATGGAGTTGATACCCCCTCTATCTCTCTCAACCTACATTGGTATATAGCATTGTTGCTTATTTATTTTTTGGGAGAGGGACGATACACATGCATTAAACCCTTTTCCACCCTAGGTACATGATAGTTCTACAGCATCTATAAGAGCCATTGTTGAAGACCCTCGCCATTTCAATCGTTGAATCGTGAACCCTCTAAATAGGAATCCAACCTCGCAAAAAACGCCATGTTCCCAATCAAACGATAACTTCTTTTTATATATTAAAACGTCTTACTGCGTCTTGGTAGCGTCAAGAGCCACCGTCTTGCCAAGGCCCTCGCTCGCAAGTGCAGCGGCCTTTTCACCAGCCCTCTTTCGGAGCACGTTCTCAATGAACGCCTCGCCGGCCTTGTACGATGAACGAACAAGCGGTCCGCTTGCGCAGTAGAGGAAGCCCATATCGAGAGCGCGCTGGCGCCACATCTCGAACTCATCGGGCGTGACGTATTTCTCGACCTTGAGGTGTCGTTTGGTGGGACGCATGTATTGTCCAAAGGTGACGACGTCAACATTGGCCTTCCTCAGTTCTGCGAATTTGTTAGTCATCTTTGTTCTCTTGGTTCTGATTTGAAATCAACGACGTACCTCTCAGAGCATCCATGACCTCGTGCTCCTGCTCTCCCAGGCCAAGCATAATGCTAGTCTTGGTGATGATGCCCTCATTGCCCTTCACTTCCTTGACATGATTCAACACCTTCAAGCTCTGGCGGAATGTGGCCCGTCGATCACGCACATACGGCGTCAGGCCTTCCACCGTCTCAACATTGTGCGCATATACGTCCAATCCGCTCTCTGCCACAATCTTGACCATGTCCAAGTCGCCGCCGAAATCTCCAGTCAGGGCCTCCACGAGCAATGACGGCTTCTTCTGCTTGATCTTGCGAATTGTCTCGGCAAAGTGTCGGGCGCCGCCATCAATGAGATCGTCACGGTCCACGCTCGTCAGCACGACGTAACCAAGACCCCATCGTGCGAGGGCCTCGGCAGTGTGCTCCGGCTCATGGGGATCCAGAGGAGGAGGAGCGCGGCTGGTCTTGACACTGCAGAAGCGGCAGCCACGAGTGCATGTGTCGCCCATGAGCATGATTGTGGCCGTTGCGGCGTTCTTGTCGGAGCCGCCCCAGCATTCGGAGATGTTGGGGCATCGTGCCTCCTCGCAGACGGTATGCAGACCGAGGCCTCGCAAATCGCTCTTGATCTTCTTGTAGTTCTCGTTGCCCGCAGGAATGGACGTCTTGAGCCACTCGGGCAGTCGTGTGATGGTTCTCTTCTTGCCTGCAGGGCCGACTTCGGCAGTCTTGAGGGCGTACGCATCGCTGGGCGACAGAGCCTGTGCGGGAGACGAAGTCGCAACAAAGTCGGAGAAGGGCGCAACGGTCTTATCCTTGAAGTATGTCCTGGGTCGCGACGTCTTGGGAGCTTCGCTGGCATCGGGATGCTGTGGGAGAGTGGCAAACGATCGGAGGGCGGGAGAAGCGGCCAGAGCCCTTCGCATGGGCGCCTGAGCTCGCTGGAGCGACGGAGCTATTGAGGCCATTGTGAATATGCAGAATATCGACGCTGCAGGTTCTGGATGCGAGGCTCTTCCGAGAATCCCGCCTTGTTGGTGAGATGTGGGTGATGAAGATTGAGTTAGCGAAGAGCTCTGGAGAAAAGTTGGAGAGCCGATGGGACCCGCATCGTGGCGCCGCAAGCCGGCGACTTGGTCTGGATGCGCCAATAGGGATGATTCTTTATTAATCAGTCATGAGCGAGCCTTTTTTTAAGTCGGCATTATGACAAGTCGACTTTCCATATCGTTACCAAATGGCGTAATATGTGTTTTCTTTCTTTCTTGCGTTGGTTATTTGTATCACGATTGATTTGGCAGAGTGACCAAATACGCCGAATCCGCACAGTGAATGCGCCGATATCTTGCTCTGCTAGTCCGCGAGGTCAAACCAGTTCACAATCAAACGATACTCAAACGATACTGCAAATGAATCACAAAAAAAGAAATGTACGGCGATAAATATGTATTGCACGGCCTAGTTCCTTATTCACAGTAACACCAAGCCTCCTCTCTCCAAAACTCCAGCATCCGAATGAAACCCCAGAGGACGTACGCCAAGACTACAAGCCATCAAGTCGAGGACGAGGATGCAGCTGTGCAAGATCTTCTCTCGCAGTGCATGAGAGATCTCACCCCAGGCTTCACCAAGCCTCGACTTTTCCATCACCAATACATAAAAAGGGGTATCACCAACAGAAGCGAATAAGTGCCCGTTCACCCGTGAAATAAAAGTTCATCAGCATGCTGAATGTATGCCCATGGTATCAGACCCAAAGATTTTTGAATGGAAGAATCGCCTAGTGTAAGGTGATGATAGAAACAAGAGGGGTAAAAATTGTGTAATTGAATTCAAGTTAAATTCCAGCCAGCGCGCTTGCACACACTGGGTGCTGCTCCCAGCCGTCTGAAGATATGCAAACTGGCTTTTGCTTGAAGGACCAATCAACTCCCATTTGTGGGAATGACCAGTAGCCAGTGCCTGCTTCATCAATGGGTAGAGACAGCGAGGACAGTAAGGATATCCAAGAAATGAAGCATCAATAGGGGTAGTAAGTTCAGCAGCGCCATCGGCGCGCGTAAACATAGGCAAAATTGTAAAATGAGAATAGAAATTAGACCGCCAGGCCTTTGTGGACGAAATGAGCCCGTCCCTTTTCAGCGGAAGCACGTTGTCAAATCGTCGGCGGGTCGTAAATATTCGTAGATTGTCATACAGAAGAATGGGTTTTAATTTTCAAGTTGACAAAGGAAAACGAAGAAACGAGCGAAGAAGTCAAAATGGTTGTCAGTGGATCAAGAAGGAATCCACGTCACCTCCTTCAGATGTCTACACTCCACATCTTTGCAAAGCCGCAGAGATTTACATCAAAGCGACCATGATCATACCAGCAACACCAGCCAAGGCGATCTTGCTGGCCTCAAGAGCAACGCCGGCGTTCTGTGGGCCCTTGGTAACGGTAGCGATGGGGGCGCCAGAGGTGGCAACGGTGGTAGGCTGGAAAGCAGTCGAGCTGACGGCGGTGCCGACGGAGTGGTGGCTGGATGAGGTGGTAGCAGCGGCAGTGGTGCTGTTGTGAGCAGCGGTGGTAGAAATAGAGGTGACAGTGTGGACCTTCTTGAGAGTGACAGTCTTGGTCAGGACGGTCGTCGACGTCTCAGTGGTGGTAGACTGAGCGAGAGCAAGGGCCGGCAGAGCGGCGACGGCGAACATGGAGAACTTCATCTTGATTCTTCGGCGTTTGGTGTTTTTTTGGGTGATGTTTTTGGGTGTAGATCTGCGCACAAGCTATCTAAGCGTCGCGAAGAGATGGGTGAAAGTGAAGCGCAAGTATGGCGGTAGAATCAAGCAAGATGATGGTTCTCTGCGGTGATTTACTCGAGATTTTCGAAATACTGTAAGCGATTAGCGAATGACACCTTCTAAAACGCTGTGTCTGTTGCCGCCAACCTTGAGATGCGCTGGAGGTAGCGGTTATGTGTTATTGCGTGATGCAAAGGAACGTGAGGAGGGTATAATAATGGATACTCGATATCCAAGAGATGCGTCAAGTGAAGGAATGGACAAGACTTTGCCAACGAAGTCTTTTTGGGATGGAATTCGTGAAACAAGCAGAAACGTTTGAGGAGATGGTGAGGAGAAGGAGAAGAGAGAAGAGAGAAGAGAGGAGGCGAAACAAGACGATTTGAGAAAAACAAGCCCAGCTAAGGCGCCATCGCAGGGCGGACTGGTTTGGAGGGCGACTCAACCAAAGACAAGCAGCCAATAGTGCTCTGAAGTGCCAGCCAAACAATTATGGGGCCGGCATCAAGGCCCGATGAGGTAGACGAGACATGATGGGATGGGGGGCGATGGCGGCATCAGCAGGTAGACGGGACCTGGGGGTTAGTCGCGCATGGACGCTGATGAAATTATGGTGTGTCAAGTTTGGTACTTCGTGTGAGGACAGGCCCAAATTTTTCCCAGGCTTGTCGCAGAAGGCAGAGTTAATGCGGTCGAGGACTTCCGCGGTTTCAGCCCTTCCATGTTTTATTCCATTCAATTCCATCAGTCGATTCCTTGTTCCGCGCTGCGTTTCGTTTCTTCTTTTGTCACGCACTCTATTTATTCTACGTCTGTTCAACTATGTGACACACAGCCAATTATTACGCCATCATGCCAGTCCTACTCTACTCCTCACTGCATCGCGAAAACTGCCAACCCCAGCAAAGGGAAGAAAAAAAAGTCATCCCAAGTCGTCCCAGCCCAACCGCTGCAGCCGCCTCTTCTTGGTCACATTGCCGTCCCCATGCATCCAAATACGGGCTGACAGGGCAGATCTTTCTTAGCTGAAGCAGGACGATCTGCACTCGACGGTCCAAAGCGAGCCCCTCCCCCGCATATAACCAGACCAATCCTCACCCCGGTTGTCCAGGGGCCTAGAAGAAGAGAGAAAGCCTGACTCGTCGCGATTCATGCCCTCGCTCAAACGTGCTGGACCCTTACGCAGTCGACAATGTACCTCCACGTATAATTCATGAGGGCTAAGTACATGCGATGCAGAAATGACGAAGAAAAAGGCCCATCAGGGGTCGTTGCGGCTGCTCCTTTGGTGCGCACCTTAAAATGCCTTCATTTCCTGCAGGCAGCTGATTGGTGGCCACTGAGTCTGTTCCTGCATGGTGCCTGGCACTTGGCCCTTTAGCGGAAAAACTACTGGGCAGAGGCTACGCCGCTAACTTTTTAGTGCAGCGCTTTAGCGAGCGCTATGACGGTGCCCAAAAGAGCCTGAAGCTCGATTTGACGACTGCTGCGTGCTCGCATTTGACTCGGGTCTTTCAATGGTCTGGGTTGCATTCTTGGTGTTGCAACCCTGGCCAAAGAATACGAAGCACGTGTACGAGGATGCAGCACATGCATTCATCCGCCTTTCTTCTCCATCCCATTGTCTTGCTTGACCTGTTTCGAAAGCAACAATGCAGGCCGCCCTTCTGGCTCATGCTCTCATGGGCGGCAACACCAACCTGTCGCACTACGTTACGCTTGAAACTCAGCAGCAAAGCTTGGGCCTCCTCGCGTGCGAGCAAATCATCGGCCTTCTAGCGGCTTTCGGCCCCCTCCGAGATCTCGCGTGAAATTATCGACGGCTAGCAAGAGTTGGCGAATTGCTGTTAGTGCTACGGAGCAGCGTTGGTACTGGTACTAACAAAGTGCTGACTTGCTGCCTCTCCAACGACCCAAGGGTCATCGCTCAAGATCTGCAAGCGTTCTCGATTTTGACGTTTCATCTTGTTCTATGAGAAGTCGTCGATATGCAGATCGATCTCGTGGCTTGCTTATCTGATCCAACAAGTCAAAAGAAAAAGAAAAGAAAATTGTGCAAGTTACTAAAAAGGTGAAGAAATCTTTCTATAACATATCTGGCAGATATCCCAAACCCGGGATTCTACTACTACTACCTACAAAGTAGTCTTATTATCATGATGCATAAACAAACCCAGTGCAATGCCCTATTGGTACGTAGTACTTCACTCATGCCTCGATTCGTCCCCAAGCACCTCCTCCGGGGGACTCAATCACAACGCTCTCTCCGGCGTTCAGCCTTGTGGTAGCTTTGGCCCCCAGATTGATGACTCTCTTCAACCCCGTTGCCGCATCTGTGACCTTGATGCTGTTCAGACCAGCCTCGCCGTCTCCTCCGCCCTCCATGCCATAAGGACGGCGTGATCTTCTCTCGCTGAGAATGGAACATTGCACGGGAACACGGAATTCAATCTCTCTAACAGTTCCGTCACCGCCACCGTTGCGGCCCTTTCCTCCCGAGCCTTTGCGTAGCTCGAAGCGCCGCAAAATGCACGGATATCTCTTCTCGAAAACCTCAGGGTCGGTGATTCTTGTGTTTGTCATGTGCGTGTGGACACCGCTCTGGCCGATCCAGTCAGGCCCAGCACCAGATCCACCAGCAATGGTTTCATAATAACCAAAGCCCTCCTTGTGCTCCCCAGTGATGGGATCCTTTCCACCGGTACCGAACGTGAGGTTGTTGCAGCAGCCTTGACTGGCGGCACAAGCGTTGAATGCGCGGAGAACAACGTCAGTAACGCGCTGGGATGTTAGCACGTTGCCACCGACAACAGCGAGGCCGTCCCCGGGATTCAGGATGGTTCCTTCAGGGATGACAATCTTGATAGGTGCCAGGCAACCTTGGTTTAGGGGGATGGAAGATGATACCAGGCAGCGCAGGCAGTAGATGATGGCAGAATGCGTGATGGCAATGGGAGCGTTTGTGTTGCCCAGCACTTGAGGACCAGTGCCTGTGAAGTCGAAGACAGCAGATCCATCCGGAGAAATGCTGATAGATAGAGTGATAGGCGTTCCGTCATCCATGTAGTCAGTCGCAACAAGAGGCTCGGAGCCATACTTGGCACGCGTTTCCTTCAACAGAGCACGGACAGCGTCTTCTGCGGTGTGCTGAATGGCATACATGTATCTGTGCACGGTAGCTAGGCCGTTTTCTTCAATAAGCCCCTTGATCAGCGAGATGCCCTTGGCGTTGGCTGCAATTTGGGCTTTGAGATCCGAGATGTTGTCTTGCAGTCTTCGGGTGCCTGAGCAGCCTTCGTACTGGGCAGGCTCTTCCAGCAACAGCCTTACAACCTCTGCCTCATCGAAGCGGCCTTCACTGACAAGCTTGGTAGATTGAATAGCGGCGCCTTCTTGCCAGAGCGCTGACGAGGTAGGGGGCATAGAGCCAGGGAGAATACCGCCGATATCAGCATGGTGGCCGCGAGAGGCAACATAGAAAGCAAGCTTGTCTCCATCAAAGACAGGTGTGATGACTGTAATGTCGGGAAGGTGTGTGCCGCCGCAAGAGGGGTGGTTCGACACGAGTACATCGCCATCACGAAGCTTTCCTTCCCAGAGGCGGTGTTGGTATTGGACGGCGAACTGCATCGATCCCAGGTGGACTGGCACATGCGGTGCGTTTGCGACGAGGCCACCGTCGGGGCTGAAGATTGCGCATGAGAAATCAAGACGCTCCTTGATGTTAGTTGAGACGGCAGTTCGCCTCAGTGTGCGACCCATCTGCTCTGCGATGCCCATGAACCTATGGCCAAAGACTGTGAGCTGAATTGGACTGAACTCTTCCTGCTCGCCGTTTGTCTTGGATCCCTTGGTGTTTAGCGCGCCATCAATCACGACGTAGCTGTTCAGGATCGTGGCTGTTGTTCTGGGAGCAACGACAATGGTTTGGGTATTGTCGATGATTAGCGCCGGGCCAGCAATTTGTGACCCCTCTGGAAGCTTTTGAAGTTCATAGATGGGAGTGTCTACACGTCCAGAGCCTTCAAAGTACACTGGATTTGATCCATCCGCGGTAGGTGAAGGAAGACGAAGGCTCTGGATCTTGTTCATCTGAGCAAACGGAGTCTTGGTTTGCTTCGCGCCGGTGCCGCCAACGGCTCGGATACGGATGTCATCCACAATGATGTCCTTCTCCGGGAAGTGGAACCCAAAGCTGCGCTTGTGAGCGTCTTCGAACTCCCGCTTGAAATCCCAATCCTGACCCTTGAGGATCATGAGTGAGCTATTTGAGCCGGCATATCTCATGCTGAGGTAAGAATTGTGTGTTATTTGGTCCACTGAAAATCCCTGGCTCACGAGCGCATCCGTTGCCTGTCGGCCTAGGCCATCCAGCTGGGATCGGATTTCGCTCTCTGTCTCTGAGCTGTAGACGATCGCTGCGGGCCGCTGCGTCTCATGAACAACGTCTGCTAGTGAGATGCCGTATGCAGACAAGATGGAAGAGTACTTGTGCATGATGATTCGAGAGATACCCAGGACATTGGCCACCGCGCAAGCATGCTGTCCGCCTGCACCGCCAAAGCAGGCAAGGTGATGATCAGCGGCGTCGTAGCCACGGGCCTCTGTAAGAGCGCGGATAGGTCCCGCCATGCCTTCGTTGGCAACTTTCAGGAAGCCGAGGGCCACCTCCTCTGACGAGAATAGGGAGAGGCCAGAGGCCGTTCTGTCCTTGTTAATTTCGGTTGTGAGCTCCGCAAACTTGAGCTCGACAATTTCCCGATTCAACGGCTCATTCTCCTTGGGGCCGAAGACTTTAGGGAAATATTCTGGTAAGATTCTGCCAAGGAACAGGTTCGCGTCTGTGATAGTTAATGGGCCGCCCTTGCGGTAACAGGCTGGGCCAGGATGAGCAGATGCAGACTCCGGGCCCACGTTGAAGAGGCCGTTTCTCCAGGAGAGGATAGAACCGCCTCCTGCGGCTACTGTGTGGATATCAAGCTGCGGTGATTGAATAGAGATGCCAGCTGTGGTGGTCTCGAAGACGTGATCATAGACACCTGCGTATCGGGATACGTCCGTCGATGTGCCACCCATGTCGAAGCCGATGATGGGCCGCTTCTCCTCCTCATCCCATGACGTTTGGGCGTAGCCAACGACGCCGCCTGCGGGGCCTGAAAGAATGGCCTTGAGACCGCTGAATTTGCGATAATCCGCCAGTCCTCCATCCGACTGCATGAACTCGATTCTGGTATCGGCAGAAGAGAATCCGCCGCGGAAGTTTGCCTCGATGGAGCTGATGTATTTCCTGATAATGGGGGTGAGGTAGGCATCTGCAATGGCCGATGTTCCTCGCGGCACCACGTTGATCATGGGCTGAAGCTCTGATGACAAGGTGACTGAAAAGCCCATCTCCAGAGCGAGCTTGCCGACGAGAAGCTCGTGGTTGGGGTAGGCATATGAGTGGATGAAGACTACGGCGATGGAGCGGAAGCCTTCGCTCCATACTTCTGCTAGCTGTTTCTGGATTGCGCCCAAATCAGGCTCTTTCAAGATCCGAATAGTCTCGCCTGTGACTGCGGCGACGAGCTGTGAATCTTGGGCTGTGGGAGTGGTCTTGATTGACTCTGGGTCTTCCGTGTAATCTTCCATGGTTACGCGTTCATCTACTTCCACTACATGGTCGTAGAGAACTTCTGGTCGCGCCACTGACAGATCGAAAATCTGCGGGCGCGACTGGTTTCCGATGGCCAGAAGGTCGCGGAAGCCCTTTGTGGTGACGAGGGCGACTCTCTCGCCTTTGCGCTCCAGCAGGGCATTTGTGGCGACTGTGGTTCCCATGCGGATGGACTCAAAGTGGAAGAGGTCGAGGGGCTGGCCTCGAGGCAGCTGCTCGCCCGTCACCAGCTCCAAGATCCTGCGAATGCCTTCTGTCGGGGCATCCTGGTAATTCGCCGGATCGACAGACAGGAGCTTGAGGATGATGTCGTCTCTGCCGGGGATTGAGGCGTGGACATCAGTGAAGGTGCCGCCTCTGTCGATGGAGACTCGGATGCGGAGTGATTCAATCGCCATGGTTGGGTATACTGGGTATTGTGCTTGATTCGAGTGCAGCATCACCAGAGCGGCAAGCAGCTAGCTCTTTATATCAAGCTCTCTCTTTGTCGGGAAGATGACAAGGCAAGGATGAAGACACAAGAAACACGGCAACCGTCTCCATCCGCCAGCTGCATCCCATGCCCCATCTCCGCATCTCGGGATCACTCCCGTCCTTCCTAGACACAATGTCAATGGTCGTTGATTCGTGAGTGTGGAGGGACAAAATCCAGGGCAGTCGGTGTGGGTCCCCGAGATGGAGACGCACACTCGGAATGAATCGTCAGAGCCAATCTAAACCAAGAAGAGGCTAATGTGCGCCGCAGATGAGGAGTCCTGTCGGGGTCGATTCCCGACGCAGGTGACGCTGGATTTGCTGACCAAAAAGGCACACTTGACCGGGAATCAAGCCCTGTCGTTTGAGGCCTATCAGTTGGCTGTGATACCTGCGATTGCAGCTGAGTGAGGCTGTCTATCTGTGTGCGCGAAGGAGCTGGTGTAGGCTGATTTCCATGTCTACGCCTATGTCGGGATAGAAGCCCGCGATTTTCGGCTGCCCTTTGCGATCGCCCTGCGCGATCAGCTGGTTCGCGAGCAGGCTGAGGCTCTCATGCTTGAGTTCGCCTGGGCCAAGAAGATTCAAATAATACAAGGAGAGAGGGTCTTGTCTCCTCGATGGCCCACATCTTGCAGGGTTCGTCCGAGTCAAACAAGTTTACGAGAGGAGATACCCTTGTTGCAATTTCATAGACGTTGAGATCTTGTCATACGATGGAAACCCCAGAGGATTCGCCTCGGCAGGTTGCGGAGCAGTTCACCTCAAGACCGGTTGCGTGAGTCGATTATTTTCTCATTATACTTAGGATATATACTCATGTTGCATTCTTCTCATCTAGCTGTCTGAACTGCCGTCAACGACGCTCATACTGTTCCAAGGAAAAACCTACATGCTCGAGATGCCGTGATTCTCGATTGACGTGCATTTACGAGGGGGCGCGGAAGGTTTTGGTCAATGAGTCGTATGTCTGAATGGTTCTTTTCATCGTTCGCATCCAGATCAAGACTAACCCTGGTCAAACAGCTATTTACGAGAGCTTGAAGCAAAAGCAAAAGCCTTGGACAGTAAGCCGCTTATGCTCCGTTTTACTTGATGCAACCTCAGTTACTAAGACTGCATGTATTTATGCAGGCATGCAGCCTAGCGGTTCGACTACTGCGCTTCGCCACCGCAATACCAACGACGAAGAAGACGACTTTGAAGATGAGCAGCCTCTGCTTGAGCCGTTTACTCAACTCAGTCTAGATAAACCCTCCACAAGTAAGCCTTCCTCTGCGATACCGAGAGCATGAAATATTCTAATCCCAAATATTCCACAGGCTTTCAAGGCCCTGCATCAGCAGACAACTTCCTTCGCAATGTGAGAAAGTTGTCTGGTTTCCAAGGCGATGATGGAAGTCTTGATTTAGTGTCTAATTTCTATGAGCCTGACGCTCTACCTTCACGGCGACAAGTTGTGTTCAGCATTCGCTCACGACTCCCCCCTATTGACATGGCACGAAGGCTTTTTTCAGCACAGTACATGTATATCGGCACCATTTTTGCATTTACCGATCCTAGAGACTCGTTTGAGCGTTTGCTTCTCGAAGCATATAGTGGATTACCAGATCCTTCCGATAAGACAGCATGTTTGGAATATGCCAAGGTGCTCCTTATTCTTGCTTTTGGGCAGCTATACTCGGTGAATCAATGGGTGGACTTTCGAGGACCACCGGGGTTCGATTATTTTAGAGATGCACTGAATCTCCTCCCCGAGACCCATGAAGAAGGGTCTATTCTATGTGTTGAGACTTTGGCGCTTGCAGGGTATTTCATGCAAAATATGAATCGTCAAGATGCTGCATTTCAGTATATCGGCAAGGCTTTGCGCATGGCCATTTCGCTTGGGCTGCATCAGGAGGTGAACCCTCACTACAACTCACAGCAGGGCCCGGCTTTAGACAAAGCGGAAAGAGAGCATCGCCGACGAGTTTGGTGGTCAATCTATAGCTTGGACAGGATTCTGTGTGTCAAGTCTGGCAATCCCATCACTATTCAGGATGAGGACATAGGAGTAGCCATGCCATCGCCGCTCCCAGGAGACGCCGAGTATTGTCCTGCTGTGGTGCTGCGACATTACACTGAACTGTCTCGCATTCTTGGCCGGATTCACATGACTATATATCGCAGATCGAACAAATCTGCACCAAAATCTGGCAAGAGCCTCATGGCGTCAGTGCAGAGCATCATCCTCTCGCTTTCGAAATGGAATCGCGAACTGCCTGATGAGTTGCGCTTCGACCCTGCGCAGCTTACCTTTAGCCGCGAGAGTGTTGGGGCATTTGCGCACTACTATCAATGCATTAACATGACTGTGCGGCCGCTGCTGTTTCATGTGGTGCAGAAGCGTTTGAAGGCGATTCGAAGCGGTGATGGTCCGGCCGAGAAGGAGCGTGATTGGAAGGAAGGGCTTTCGCAGACGACGGTGAGAGTTATTGACATGTGTATTGGAGCGGCACAAGATGTTATCAATATGATGACTATTGTAGCGCAGAGAGACTTGGTTGGTGAGTTGCCGAAGCATACTTCTCTCTTTTGTTGAATGTGGATTTGCTAATCTGATGGTTTAGCAACATATGGCTATATGGACGGGGAGCACATCTTTTCTGCCACAATCGTGCTCGTCATGGTATGCACAGCATTTCCTGACAATGCTGCCAACAACTTGGCCATGGCGGCTGGGCTCGGCTTGTTGAGGAATATGGGCGAGCGAGGGAACAGCCATATGGGCGCTCGCTATGAGTTGCTGGCGAACATCTACTCGGGCTCGAGCATTGTCTCTCCCGCCGCTCATCACCAGCAATTTGCCATGATGACGCCTGTCTCTCAAACTGCCACCCCAATGAATGGTAAGGGAACTGTTACGCCGCGCATCTCGATGGCTCCATACCCCATTACCGCATACAATACTGCCGTAAGCAGTGCAAATGGGCCCTTTAACTTCCCAGCCGTCAATAATGATGCATTGAACGAACCGTTTTATGACGAGAGTGTGAGCACGGGAATGGATTTTGGGCTTTGGGAAGAGGGATTTGCATATCCGACAATGGATTTAGACCTAGATTTGGCGCAGCGCACATCCGCAGCTGGAGGAGTCGGCGGCCCAGATATTCGCGAGTGGATGATTGATTTTATGGGCCAAGGTAATTCTGTATGAGATGTTACGAAGAGATGAGAGATGAATAGAATACCAATGCAAAGACATGTTTCTCAAATCCATCTCCACATTCTTATCTCCCGACAAGGATCATGTGTTCATCGTAAACCCACAAGAGTCGATATCTAAACGAGATGCCGATATCAACAACTTTGTAGATACCTTTTACTACCTCATACTTACTGCATCGGACATATTGTAATGTGATTGATATGCAATGCAACATCATGATTGCCACATCTCCACTAACAACGCCATGAGCAAAATCTTCTGTCTTGCCAACGGCCATCATCACCTATCTCCAACTTCCCCGCACAAGGCTATCCTCTTCTTCACCTAGTTTTACACCAAAAACCCAATCGCCACCTCCAGGGGTCGGTGAGGGTCTCCGACCAGCCCCGCAAACTCCACCGTCATCCTCGATTTTGGAGGCTATCTCGGATGCTGCTATCGGTCAACCAGCGACGAACTAGGCATGGAGGGTGGAAGTAAGCGATAAGAAATGGTGGTTTGAAAGATTGTCGAGATGGACAAAGATATATCGCATTTTTTTTGTACGCTCGGACTTGAGCCTCCGTCCCCCCCTGAACGATTTTATTTAAATGGGATGCGATGCGACATCACTCCCCCTGACTGTTGCATTTGAATGCAGATTCCCCATGGGGTTTTCATATTTTATGTTTTATTAATGTGGGGTTGAAAATATCGATATTCTTCCTCGCTTATCTTCATTGTCCTCAAGATCTTGCATATCCTTGACTGAAGCATCCCGTTTGCAAACATGACTTCAGAAACAGCTGACGAGAGGTTCGACGACGACAAGAAGGGACCGTCTTCCAGCGATGACTTCCCTCATGATGTCGACGAGACAGCTTCATCCATTCCGTTGCTCGACCCCCATGCCGAGAAGCGTCTGCTGCTCAAGCTGGACACTTACTTCGTCCCCATCATCATGCTTGTCTACCTGACTTGTTTCCTCGATCGAAGCAGCATTGGCAACGTCAAGGTTGCGGGCATGCCCAAAGATATCGGCGCCAGCCCAAAACAATTCTCGACAGCCGTTTCCATCTTCTATGCGACCTATGTGGTGTTTGAGCCTCCATGGGCCATCTTGATGAAATGGGTCACTCCGCGCATTTTGCTCACGGGTCTTTGCACTGTATGGTCCCTGACGACTATTTTCTCGGGCTTCATCCACAACGTATCTGGCCTGTATGCGGTGCGACTCATTCTCGGTGCCTGCGAGGCCGGACTCTTCCCTGCGCTGAACCTGTACCTCACAATGGTGTACAAGCGCCACGAGCAAGGAATAAGGGTGTCATATCTGTTTGTGTGCACGGCGATTTCGGGTGCCTTTGGAGGATTGCTTGCGTTTTGCATTCTCAAGATGGACGGCGTTGCGGGTTATGCGGGCTGGAGATGGGTGTATATCATCGAAGGTATCTTCAGCTTCATTGTTGCGCCGATTATCTGGTTCGGATTACCGAATGATCCCTCCAATGCCTATTTCCTCAACGAAGAAGAGAAGGCTATGATGAAGGTCCGTGAGGCACAGCGGGCGCAATATATGGGCAGTGAGGAGTTTAGCTGGGAGGAGATTCGTATTAGTCTCAAGGACCCGAAGCTGTATCTCAGGTAAGACCAAAATAACTCCATGTTTGGTATTGGTGAAGAAGTCAGACTCACATTTAAATTCTAGCGCCGCCATTCAGTTCTGTCAGGATATTCTCCTGTACGGCTTCAGCACATTCCTACCTTCTATCATCGTCAGCATGGGGTACTCTTCAATCCAGGCCCAATACCTCAGCATTCCGGTATTCTTGTTCGGCGGCTTGTGCTTCATCGCCTTTGCATATATCTCAGATCGAACTTGTATTCGAGGGCCAATGCTCTTCCTCGCCAATATTCCGGGCATCATCGGCTACATACTCATCCTCTGCCCTACAAGCAACCCCGTCAAGTTCTTTGGCACGTTTCTCTGCGCCGTTGCTGTTTACAACGGCCCTGGATTGAACCTGACATGGCTCAACGTCAATGTTGCGCCGCATTACCGCCGTGCTACGTCAATCGGAGTGCAGCAAGGTCTTGCAAACACGGCCGGCATCGTTGCGGGACAGATTTACCGGACGGCGCCGTTCGTCCTGGGAAATAGCTTCTCTGTTGGTGCGTTGGGAGTTGCTCAACTGCTTATCATTACCAAGTGGTTCTACGTCCGATACCGCAACAATCAGAAGGAGAAGATTGCCAGCGGACAGATAGAAGACACACGAAAGGTTCAGACTGGCGACCGGGCTGTGGATTTCAAGTATCATCTCTGATACTCTCATATCACAGTCTCTTCACGAGTTATGAAGCTTGCATAAATGGGACCTGATGAACTCATAGACGTAAACTAGTCTCTATACATTGATCAATGTGTAAGCAGTTGTAATATTATTAATGACTATTAGCTTGAATTCATGTCTCTTTGCATTGAGTCTAGTCTGGTTACAGGCGTAGCTCCATTGTTGATTCCATCATCTATGGGGCACATGTGATTGGGCAATGATGAGCGCGCGCAAAATCTCAAGTTTTTTTATTCCAAAGGAGAAATAGTTAGAATTAGGCTTATTTTCTACAGTCTACTACTGGGGGCTGTGCTGTTAACATCAACTTGCCTCGGTTGCCTAGGTCGCCCCGGAGGATTGGGGATCAACTGCAGAATCTCTTTACAGCCCTGAAAGGGCGTCGGATGGAGCCGAGCGGAAGATTCCGTGGTGTGCTGGGGATATATATCAGATTAAATCATGACATTAGTAGTCAGCACTACTGGCCAAATGCGGTAAATGCTGCCATTTAGGCTGCATGGCTCTAGACTGAAAACTTGGAGCTCAGCAGACACGATTAATCATGGATGACTTATTGCTTTACTCAAGTAAATTGGAGTGATGATATCATTTTTCATTATTATTGTAATGTTGTATAAGAGACATAGATATCATAGAAATAACGTTTGCTGGATCATGCGGTCACCCACCTATCAATCGTTCAGCAAATAACTGACATCTGCTACTACGATGGCGGAATTAGCATACCAGATTCTTCCGACTATCCATCAAGTTGAGGTCGGCAACTATTCAGTCTTTTATCGCGAAGCTGGGCCAGCTGATGCTCCAACTCTGCTATTACTCCATGGCTTTCCCTCGTCCTCGTTCCTGTTCCGACACATGATCCCCCTTCTTGCTTTAACATACCATGTTATCGCTCCCGACTTTCCTGGATTTGGCTTTACGAAGTCTCCTGCAACTTTCCCTCATACATTTGACAACATAGCCGATGTTATGGAAGGATTTCTCGACGCCCTGAATATTCATGAATTTGCCGAGTACATTATAGACTATGGGGCTCCGGTTGGCCTGCGACTCGCTGTGCGACGCCCGCATGCGGTCAAGGCTATTGTGTCGCAGAATGGAAATGCTTATTTGGAAGGACTCGGGCCCGGATTTGATGCCTTAAGAACCTACTGGGCTTCCGGAAGTCAAGCGTAGGTCACTAGATGTCGTTCTGTGAGAAGCTTGGGACTAAATTTCGTTAGGGATCGCGATGCATTGATTCCCTTTTTCACCTTGAACGCAACCGAATCGCAATACACCACGGGAACAAAGAACCCCGAAAGCCTTGAACCGGAGTCATGGTGGCTCGACTATGCACTCATGAATGACCAGCCTGGGAACATAGATATCCAGCTGGATTACTTTTTCGATTACCGCAACAATGTGGCGCAATACCCGCAGTACCAAAAATACTTCCGCCAGTCTCAAGTGCCCCTGCTTGCTGTATGGGGAGAAAATGACCAATTGTAAGGATTATCCCTCAATGATGTTGAGACTGGATTCTAACACCATGTGCAGCTTTATTCCTGCCGGCGCGAAAGCGTATAAGCGAGATCTACCGCATGCCGAGATTCATCTCATTGATGCTGGCCATTTTGCTTTGATCAGCAATCTTGAAGACATTGCACACTTCATGCTACCATTTTTACACAAGACTTTGGGGAAGGGAGTGCATTATTAGAGAGCACGGGAGTATTAATCGCATGTGGAGAGATTGCAGTAATGTCGCCAATATGGTGGTGTATTTTACACATGAAGCCGCGAGCCGTCTAGATATATGTCTCTAGATGAACCATTTAGACAGTTTTTTAATATCTAAATGCCGGTTGCTATGAGTTCCAGTGTAACGATATATATAAGTATATGCCGTATTCATACCCTGAAAACCCGGCACCCGCCGGAAAGCCCGCAGTTCTAAAATGGCGTCGGGGTTTGGAGCCTATGGGATCCCAGTCTTGAGTTGTCCCCACATCGCCATGACTGGTTACTTCTCCCCCTTTGCTCCGTACATTCTCATGATTGAATTCCGTGAGATTGCTATACAGTTCATCGAAAACAGAAAACAGAATGGCGGCCCAACAACCTGAGCTCGATCACACGTTTGTGAACTTGACCGATGACCCGGCGGAGGGCCGAGGCGCAAGGCGCACGTATATTCGACGCGCTGTAATGAAAAACTTCCACAAGCGCCGAAACCAGAAGAAGAGGGCCTCAAGGAATGAGGGCGAGGCGACCTCATCAAGCATTCCCGAAAATGGACCCCTGGAACCGGTTACCTTGATTGACTGGCAATCAGGCCCACCATCCCGTGCCCTGGTTAGTATTTACTAATAAAATAGACCGAACCGGAATATTAACTTGTGACTGCATTGAAGATACCCAATTTTCTACTGTTCGAACAGAGGAAATTATCCGGTCTACCAATGATGCAAATCAGCAATTTCATACTACGGTTTCTATGTGGACAAGCCTCAAAAGTTGCACACGACTCGTCCTTGGTGGGATTCGTTCATCCCTCGTCCGAGCATGAGCTGGAAGTCAACTTGGAGGGCGCTGCTATGAAGCCGAGTCCTCTAAAGACATGTCAAAACTTACTGCGGGCGTACGGCTCGTATAAAAGCGACACTCTCAGTTGGTCTGTGGATAAAGAACCGTTGTGGGAAATGATTCACCAACATCAGGAATGGATATACTCAAAGGCAAGAGAACCAGCTTCATGCTCCATAGAGTTATTAGTTTGACCACTTTAACATCGCAACTAACTTGCTGTTATCAAGATTCCCACATTTAACCCATGGGAGCTGTTGTCTGCTGCACAGTGTCTTGCAATCTACGTCCTCTTGAGGGTTAAGCTTGGGAAGAACAACCGGTCATTCCCAAACGGAGATATTGCGCTTCTTTACACCCTTGGGGTGAGATAACCCTTGCATTCCCCCCTCGTTCTTTTTATCTTACCGTCACGAAACTTGAGAAATAGAAAACTAACTTTAATACTAAGGCTCTTTTCAGACGCCTCCAGTTTGAACGCTTACTTGACATTACGCATCATCCCAGTGACGACTGGAGACAGTGGGTGTTTTGCGAATCCTTCATCCGCATCGCCACGATTTACTTTACCCTGAACGTGATTGTATCAATGGAATTCGGATTGCCTTGCAACAGTCCACAAGACTGGAATATTGATGACATGCCGCTGCCAGCTTCAAAGGCCTCGTGGGGCGCCCAGAACACTACAGATTGGACAAAATTTACAAAAGTTTTGCCTCCATACAAACAGCTAAAATGGAGAGACTTGTTAAGTCCGGCAGCTTCAAATGACTGTCCGGTTGAAGAGTGGAAAGAAAGTTCAGATGAACTGGGCATGGTTGTCACAATGGCAATGACTGTAAGAGCCCAGCAGCTACGCGATCGAAGTCAATCCTCCTCGTCGAGCAGAATGCTATAAAGCAGCTACCTCCAATTCATGATATTCCATCTAGCCTACACTATAGGATATTGGGATGCTCGGAGTTCCAGCCGTGGGCTTTTGCGATGGTCCTACCTCTTCCTGGCGATCTGGATATGACATGGGCCTTGGATGCAATTTAGCAAACTTGCACACCTCTGACTTGTCACCAACCCTGGAGCCGCGACCATTTCAATTGGTTCAGTCAGTCAGACACTCAACAATCGCTACCCTGAAGAGTTCTGATCTTTATGTTCTGGGGCAATAACGATATGTTCGCAAGCTAAATGGAGGAGTGAAACCACCTCTCTTTCCACAGCTATTAAGGCATATCCTTATTCTCGAAGTCCACCATACCCCTGTGATACTGGACGCACTTGAAACCAAGTTTAATGGAATTCTTAGTCGATGGAATCATTGTAGGCGTGAATTGCTGCCGGCGTCAAATGTAATCAGTTGGTGGGCTAATATGAACGATGAAGAGGGCACGAAAGAATGCCGGCGATCATGCTGCATATGCACTTGCTGTACCCACAGACCTCATGCTCATGAATAAAGTGCTATTCATCTGATACCGTCCTAAATCATAAGTAAGCTAATGCATGCAATTTGTGTCATTCGATTCACGATTGAGTGCATCCCTGATCTTATCATTACACTTCCGATGTTCGTATTCCAAATTCTTAAATTTATTAGTTCCCCTTTCAAGAGCCTCAGAGTCCAGATGCAGATGACAGATTGCCAACGCTTCTATCTGCTGGTTTCATCATCGGCTTGTATGTGACGACTCCAGGCTGAAGTCTGCCTTAGAGTCTGGATGCAGATGACAGGTTTCGTTGCCGTCTGTGAATTGGATTCATCATTAGCCGACAGCCTTGGATTTTACGTCGTGAGGACCTCTGTGTTGAAGGACTCCTCAACCCCAGTGCTACACCAAGCCCCCGAAATGGATCAATACTAACCCCAATGAAGGATTCATCGCATGAACCGGAACATCGAAATAGGAGGGGTTCGTATTTATACACGTTTTCGTCTGCTGTTATTCATGACTCATTTCTCAATGCCAAAGTGCTCAGTAAAAAGTATAAATAAAAATGCTCAAATTTTCTTTTGGGTAGCATGAACTATGAAACCTTAGCACCATCTCATAGTAAGAGCCTTTAGCTCCAAAAAAAATGGAGTTTATCTCTATGAGTGTCCCTCGTACGTATAAACAAGTGGCGTGTGCCACGGGTTTTGGCTGGTGCCCTTTGCTATGATCCAGGCAGCATCCAGAGCTTTGACAACATCCTCCGGCAAAGGACCCTTTTGCAGGTCCAAGATATTCTGGTCCAACTGAGTAATCTTGCTAACTCCAAAAATGACGCCGTCGTTGCCTCCATCTTTGGCAAACTTTAAAGCAGAGTGGTGCACGATCCATCGGAGAGCGACCTCGGGCATAGTCAAGTTGTGGCTTTCAGCCGTAAGTCGGAGGATGTCGAGGGCTTTGAACAAACTTTCGTTGAAGTACATGGATCGAAAAATGGGCCCCAAAAATGTGCTATTGCTGAAGCGGCCTGATTGTTCTTCCTCATCGATGGCCTTGTAGCGACCAGTCAGGAGACCTCCTCCGAGGGGAGTAAAAATGACAATTTCCAATCCAAAGCGACGACAAGCAGGAATTACTTCAGTCTCAAGGTTTCGCGCTAGAGAGTAACGACGTTAGTTCCTCGTTGAGTTACAGATACAACATTTGTGCTGGAGATCTTTTCAGGAAGGGACTCCTTACTGATGGCGTTATAAACCCCCTGGTAGATAGTGGGCTTAACCCAGCCTCGAGATTGACATAGCATGACAATCTCTGCGATTTCGAACGCAGCATAGTTACTAATTCCGAGTTGCTTGAATTTTCCCTCCTTGTACAGTGTGTTTGCCGCTTCCAGAGTTTCAGTGTAGGGAACAGAGCGGTCGGCCGAGTGCAGGTAGAAAATATCTACAGATGTAGTACCAAGCTCAGCAAGAGAAGTCTCCAAGTCCTTGCGCAAATTGGCGGCAGTGTGCTGTCCACGAGTTCGGGGGTAGCTCTTTGTAGCGAGCTTGAAGCCGCGCTCTTTGTATCCAGCTTTTGCGGTGAAAGATTCTTGGTCACCGTTAGAATAGATGCGGGCTGTATCAAGTTCATTGTATCCGTGCTTTTGTAAAGCATCAAGATGGGTTTTGAATTCTTCAATTGTTGTTACACGGTTGTCTGCAAAGTTGTCGGGGCCGTAGGTCATGAGACCAAGGATGATTCTTGGCTTAGGAGTGGCCATTTTATTGGTGAAGTCGAACTTTGAGAAGTAGAGTAGTTGGTATTGTTATTGATGGTGAGAATGATTCTACAGTTGAGGAGATTCAAAGCTCCCTTTATATCCATTTAATGCCCTCATCATCCCAATGTCCCATCATTCATCTTCTCGTCCTATATCAATGTGAAGCCTATTCTGTATAAACCCTTCTGGTTGATATACCGCATTGGGCATGACATGATAGAGGCTAGCCCCGATTAGGCAAAACATGCACGTCTCCGCCTGCTTATTAATGACTCATGTCGCCTGCAAATGTTGGAATGAGCAACGAAGCCACCAAAACTGGTGTCCTGCATCGTATAGTAAGTACGGAATTAAATGGAATTAACGGCGCGGAGAGGGATGAGATTCATGTGCAACTTCGGCTTTTAGGCTGTGACGACGACATATGGATTGCGGATTGATGACTAACCATCTCCGCAGATGGTAACGAATCCTCCCTTTCAGACAAATTCACCTAACTGCATAATCTTCAGGCTGGCCGAGGTCATCGAATGCTAAGAATTCGGGAACTTCCGTTATTAAGCTAAAAAAAAATCTTTGCAATGTTAAACAAGAAAGTGGCACGTCCCTTAATGACGACTTTTTCCGTAGTCGCCAATGCATGACCGCGGATTGGTTGTAAATTTGTTGAGATGCGGGAGGCCGACTGAACGGGAAGTAATACCTGTCTTACCAAAACTCAATGACTGCGGGGGAGCGAGGGAGCAGGTATGGCCACGTCACTCAAGACATTATCTATCGGATAACAGGTATCTTTGCAAGAAGGATGGATTAGCCACCTAAATACAGCCATGCGCCGTCTTCACACGGAGTATTTTGTCATGAGACTTCTTGTCAGCCAGAAGACGTGAATGTTTTAGCACTTACAGTATCTCACACTCCCTCGAGTACACTGCCCTTGGATCAGTCATCAGAGAACAATACTTAATCTTCCTCGTTTACCTCTCCTCGGTTGATTTCATCAAGCCGCACTTGGAATGAACTGAAGATATTTTCTATAATATCTTCAATTAGCCTTTTATTGAACCAGCTGTTACAGCATTGAACCTCTCATCTTGATATCAAATTTAACTTCCATAATATCTTCTATTCGTTTAACTAGCATTATGGATGAATATTCGCGGCCTGAGACATCGTGAGTATCACCCCCCTCATCATCGCACCAATGCTAACGCCAACAGCCCTTACGAAGTTCCCAGCGTTGCGTTGTATTTTGCGAATGGCTGCACACTCTACATCTCACCTCGTCTGCTTGCCCAGAGTCCCAAATTGGAGCGTTATCTGCTCAATCCATCTCCGCTCCTGGATATTTCCAAAGATGCAGGTCATGTCCTTGTTCATTACCTCACTACCGGCAGCTATCAGTCCCTCAAATCCATTAACTTGTCGCCCCAAGAGGAAGTAGTAGCCGATTTTTTAACAGGCATCCATGTTTACACTGCTGCCAAGACTTTCGTACTACCCAATTTAGTGGAACTCGCAAAAGCTGAAATCGAGCGACTAGGCGGGAGACTCCAGCTTTCCCTGGTGTTTGATTTGTTACGAGATGCCTATCCAGATCCAGAAACCAATGACGTGTGGATTGGCAACTATCTGAAGAATCGTCTGAAATGTTTTCTTACGGATGGAATTATAGAGCCATTGGCTAGTGAGGCAGATGTTCGGTACAAGACCGCGTCAATCAGCGATATCCTCTTCAAGACCATACTTGAATTGTTTCAAGAAAACAAGGCCTCAATGCGCAACGAATATATTGACATACTTGCAAAAACTGCTCTGGCGGCTGCAAACTCTGAACCAGAACCTATCGACTTGGTCGACAAGCCGGTTGTCAAATCTAACATGAAAACCGGAGAAACTGGCGGGGATCTGAATGGATCTGATGATAATGAATGGGGTTTCCACCCTAAGAATAAGAAGAAAGGTAAAACGACAAATGCTGTACATGGATTCCTAGAGGAAGAGGAGTCAGAGGATATATCCACTCAAGACATTGCGGCGAATCTGGATAAGAAGATCGAAAAGAGCTTTGACAGCGTGGAACAACCAGAAGGAAAAGGAGCTGAAGAACGGGCTGCCTATATGGCCGTAAAGGCTGCGGAGGCTGCCGCAATTGCTGAAGAAGAGGCAGAAATCGCTCAATTAATTGATAAGAGGGATAATTTCTTTTTGGGCCTGAGCACAAAAGCAGAAGAAAGGTTACATCACCTCCAGGCAAAGGCCAAAAAACGGGCTGAAGAACAAGCAGTTTGCGAAGTTGAGCTGACAGTCAGAGAAGTTGAACAAGCTGCCAAAGAAAACAAGTGGAGAGGCAAAAAGGGCAAAAAGGGCAGCAAGAACAATAACAACAACAATAATAACAGTGTGGCTGTAGTTGATCCTCAACCCAGTCACCTAGGAGATTACTTTGTGGTCAAAACCCAGCAGGAGATTAAACATGACGACGAGAAGGAAAATAAAGATGACTCGCGGGCTTCTGGACACAAGTCACCAAAAGGAGAGAAGAAGAAGCAGAAGAAGAACACAGGGACAAATGATCCAATAATTCAGTCATCAGCTGGTGATCCAGCAGTCGGCCCATGGCAGGATATCAAATGTGACGGCGTCAAAGAGATTCTAAATAAGGAGGGCGAAGGATGGAGTTTCTGGGGCTTGGGCAAACGGGAAAAGGGGGATGAGAAGGCACTTTTGGAGATATCTACTCCACCCTGTAACGCTGAAGAGACGAAGATGTAAAGCCAGACAACCGAACGACTGGATAAAGCTTATAAAGAGATTATCACAGCCTGAATTTGCGTACAGCAGAAAGAATTGAACTAGATATAAAAGGAGAGCTGAATTTTCTAGCCATTAATATCTCCGAACATATATTCGCTATACTTGGATCAAATTGCTGTCATGCTAGGCAATAGTCAAGATCTACAAATAGTTGCGAGGCTGAAGGCTTAAGGAATAATTTAAGTATTATTCCTTATTTTAAAGCCACCTAATCTCATTTATAATCATGTCTCTCATTATTTACTCTAATTTTAGCGTAAAGATAAGGAGAATGTTTGGCGCGAAAACGTATATTTAACTTACCATTGACAGGTATAGTAGAAGAAATCGTGAGAAATCGAAGTACGTGCAGCTACTATAAATGAATGATGAAATAGTCTGCTTCATGTCGCTCATATTTTAGTATTTCTGCAGTCCCAACTAAATCTCTTTATGTATAAAGCGAATCTAATGAATTTATCTATGCCACCACTTTCTTAAGAAGTCCTGTATCAGTGTCGTGAATCCAACCAGTCACTCGCACCTTGCTGAGAGCAAGAGGATGATTTCGAAGATACTCCACCTCCTCTCGGGTAGACGCTTCCAAATCATGAAAAGTAAGGACCTCAAAATTATCCACATCCTTGGAATCCGTCAATCCCAAATTCTTCATCATGATATCATGCACAACCTCAGATGGAACACCAAGCAGCCCGCATCTAGTATGCTTGATAAGAAGAACCTCCTCAGCACCCAGAACATGAGTCGTAAGAAGTGCGGAGCGCGCTGCATCGCGACCTGAGGCGCCTGCATTGCGGATGGTGGTAACCTCGCCTAGATCGAAGCCATAGGCAGATTTAGGATCAAGACGACAATCCATGCATGTGACTAGGAGAAATGGTTAGTATAACTGTACAAGGCAAGGCTTAGCCTTAAAACAAGTAAATGAACTCACCAAGAACTGCTTTCTTCAGAGGAGGGCATTCAAGACCGCTGTGCTTATAGGTGCTGGCGTACTTGGCGTTGGCTTCGAGGACTTGCGATTCGAATGGGGTAGACATTTTGGCAGATTGAAAGAATAAATCTTAATCAGACTTTTGTGACGAAGTGTATAGGTTGATGGAAGCTGTGCTACTGAAGATGAAAATTGGAATCTTCATGATGGAAGAATGTCAAGACTACTTATAGTAGTCAACGAGGATGAATACTTGATTCCATCAACGTCAACTACCGAAATCCTTCAGCTCGAAGCTTCGCTACGTCGAAGAGGTGCGAAATCGAGAATATGACAAATGTATTCTTCAGCGCCATTGGGATAGACCAAACGGCACAATGTTCTTACTTCTGGCCGATAGTTCAAATGCGAATTGGTAGCATACACCCGTAACACAGCAACCAGCACAACTATTTCTCCTTTCGATATGGATGTAGTAGCGATAGGTAAGGAGGAAAAGATGAGCATTTGCCCAAAAGGAATTGAGCCATGTCAGCTGCTGACGCAATAGGACATGCGAGATTCAGTTGAGCATTGTCCGGATTCGTCACTAGGGCGTTGTCCAAGGAGCTGACCAATTTGTAATTCCGGTCTCCGTGGAGAGGCTCACTTGGTATAAAATATAGCCGGCTACCAGAGTCGAAAGCTGTCTTGTAAAACAAAAGTTAGCTTTCTACATGCTTCGATTTTCTTAATATACGAAGTGATGCTTCCTTGGAGGTTCTGCGACAATCCTAGTTTGCGCGTAGGACGCTTACTTGTGAGGCCGATTTCTAATCGTTTGACACGCCGTGGTAAGTAAGCGTTAGAGAGAGACCCTGATACTATTAACTGAACAATCACACAAGGTCATGGACACCGGGGGAAGAAAGCACCAACATGTTTGTATCAACATTAATTTTTGGATATATATTCATCAACATACTCTCATCTAAATCATAGCTGATAGGATATCTAAGGCAGTAGGTGACTCGACAATGGCCACCACCTCCAGACTATCACATATCTTTTGGCGATATCCAATAAGAAATTTCACCGTCAATCACCTTTATATACACTAAAAATCGCAGCAGGATATACAAGCAGCCCGTCCATCCAATACCCCCGTCTAGGCCAGCCAGAACCACACCTTCTCCAGCCAGTTCTTGGGCACAGGTGGCTGATCCCGTGCCTCCATTTCGTCCATCTCCTTCTTGCCAGTAATAACGTCGACTTCAGATATCTTAATGGCGAACGGTGTTCGCTTCCAAATCTTGTGACCAACATAAAGGACAAGGAAGATTGGTAGAGTAATGTATGCAGCCAGGAAGTCGCTGACATTCCAGTTGTCGCCGATGAAAATTTGGAAACCATTGGTGATGGTTAGGATAGAAATAACAAACAGCGCAGCGTAGGTACCATATGGTTGCAGAGGTGTCTTGTACGGCATTTCTCCCCAGAGGTTGTTGAAAAAGATAGCCTTGCGGAAGCGAAGATAGGTAATCATAATGATAATCCAGGCAAGGAAGCCGGAAATGGTGGAAATGTTGACGAACCAGTTGAAGACAGTCGCACCGGAATTGTTGACGTTGAGGAAAGCGAGAAGGGAGAAGAGCCAGGTGAAGAGAACGGCAACCCAGGGGACACCCATGCGATTGGTAAGGGCAAACAGCCTGGGAGCTTCACCATTGATGGCCATGGAATATAGAACTCGGCTGGCGGAATAGAGGAAAGAGTTTCCAGCCGACCACGCAGAGGTAAGAATGACAGCATTGATGATGTGGTTAAGCACTGGAATACCTGCGTTCTGGATGCCGATGACAAAGGGCGACGCGCTAGCATTCGAGGCTCCAAGCAGTCTAGGATCGTTTGAGGGGACAATAATGCCAATGATGAGAGACGAGACACCGTAAAACAATGCCAGACGGAATGTAAAGCGACGGGCAGCCTTTTTGAGGTTTCGACGGGGGGAAACGGCCTCTCCAGCGGCGATGGCGATCAGTTCGGGGCTAGTGATGAAAGCGAATCCTGGAAAAAATAGATTGTCAGCTCCATTACACACAGTTTAAATGTTGGTGAGAGTCGACCAAACATACCTGCTTTGACGAAGGCGTGCCAGTAGCCCAGGAATTTGCCCGTCGATCCCTTGGCATTGTACTCTACAAATGCGCCTGGATCTTTCCAGTAGTGGAAACCGAGGACATGATGCTGATTTGGTCCACCACCAAAGAACAAGACTATGCCAATGATGCAAAGAACAAACAGGGCAATAAGCTTGATCGAAGCAAAGATGAATTCTGCTTCTCCAAAAATGGCAGCGGCAAACAAGTTGAGCGCTAGCAGGACAACGAGCACGATGGCAATCCAGACGGCAACGTTGACATGGGCTTTCCAATAGTCCAGCACAATGGCAGCAGCTGAAGCTTCTGCCGCGACAAGCATTGTGTAGGCATACCAGTAATTCCAGCCAGCAGCGAAACCCAGGCTGGGATCGACATAGCGGCTGACGTAGTAGGGGATGGTGACACCTCGAAACGGGAGATAGACGGTCATTTCGGCCAGGACGTTCATGACGATGTAGACAATCATGGACATGGAAAGGTAGGCCATGAAGAGGGGCGCAGGGCCAGTGTCTGCGAGGATGCCGCCTGATCCCACAAAGAGACCAGTTCCAATGGCTCCTCCCAAGGCCAGAAACTGCAAATGACGGCTCTTGAGACCACGCTTGAGCTCCTCGCCATTGTGGGCAAAGGTGAAGTCTGAGTTGTCATTTGGTGCGCTGGCCTCGATGTTGATGTCGTAGGCCTCGTCGGCGCCAGAGCCGTACTTTTTCTCCATGATTGCGAATGATGGAGATGAGAAGAGAGCAGACAAAAGAGGAATGAGAGAAAGAAAGAGGAGAAGAAGAAGAAAAAAGATGAATGCAAAGGCAGCAGGGTATAGATATAGCGACAGCCTGGAGGAGCGCATGAACCATGGCGAATGCGGCAACCACCGCCTAGGTTGTTTATCGCTTGTTACAGCGGCTTGAGTGCGCTAAAGAGCAGATCCCCGGCACATTGACGCCTCTAGTAGCTGTTTTCAGCATAGTTTGCTGCGGGGGGCCAAGGCACAGGGCGTAGCTGCAGAGGCTGGAGGTACCGGTACTTTGCAGTCGGTGTTGTTTTGGACGGGTGATTCGTTGCGACGGTGGGGGATGGATGGACTTGGGTGATCACCAGACTGGAGCCGGGCCCCGAATTGGAGATTGTTGTGGGCGAGATAAGAACGTTATCTCTGCTTCTGCTTCTCCAGGGCTTCTTTTTTGGACTTGCTCTCCATGCAATAGCTGGAATGACAACCTATACTGTCCATACTTCAACTTCTCCCAGTATGGCAGATTGCGGTGTACATGTACTGTTACTGGCTACGCTTGGTGGCGTCGGCATTTATTTCCCCGAGCCCCATCCAGCTTATCTCTCCAATCTTTTCCTTTTCTTCTCTTGATTTGTCCCGCCTAGAGCAAACATCCAAGTGCGTTGCCGGCTGCGGAAATGTTCCAGAATGCGCCCATTTGGAGAAGCGAAAAAGAACAGCGCTTCTGCTTGCTCCCTCGATCCTGTGCCTGCGTCGAAATGCATTAGTGGATGCCTCGTTTTGCATGTGAGAGTTTCATCCCGAACTGATGTGTGCATGTACATGTACATGTACTCATACCTCCAAGGCTCTGACTCTCCACAGGCCAAAGACGCTCGAATGCTTATCTTTTCCCGTCTCTCTCGTCACAAGCGAAGACGGGGAAGTGGATGTGGAGGGAGTGATTGACTAGGGTGGCAGAAACATGATTCAGTTGCGCGCAACATGGCACATCAGCTGTTACGTACAAAGATGCGCAACCCCACTTGGTAACAGCAGGATAAGATGGAGTGGTAGTGCATGAGACGAGTCTGTCGATTCTCCATAGACTACTCGGTACAGTATATTGGTCCGGAGGCGTGATGCTCCATTGAGGGACTAACACTGTACGGTTCACCTCAGCAGCAGCAATGGTTACATCGTGAGAAGAAGCTCGTGATTATCGCCTCACCTCTCCAGAAACGAGAGACCACATGCAAACTTGGTCTATGTAACAAGGAAACATACCCAATGGCAGTCGCTAAAGCTTGCTTCACGTTTGCTTCCCCTTCTGGAGCCTGACGAGAGCCGGGACCAAGACCAAGCCAAGGTGGAAAAAACTCCACAACATTCCGTCTCATATCCACCTTATACCTACGCAAGGCTTAGTAGGGCTATGAGTGTTCAAAGACAATCAAGCCTTCTAAACAAGCCGATAACAGCCGTCGGCCGAATATCTCGTATCGTCGAAAGGGCGCGTGCGCCGCTTTGACCACTCAATCCTTCACGTATCAGGCTTGAGCAAGGCGTAGGAGGAAAAAAAAAAAAAACTGGCCCTCAGCCACTGAGACCGCATTGCCACCATCATGATCCACTTGGGCAGTTCTTTAGTTGGAGAAAGATTCCAGAAGCTGGCACTAGCCCATGGTTCGACCGCCGCCAAAGCCCCTCATTCCCCCAGGTTTCCCCAAGCCCGTCAACTCCAACCATATCTGGGCCAGGAGATGGGGGAGCGAGGGCTGGGGTATGTCGAAATCAGCCCATGAGAGATTGAGTCAAGAGCATGCGCCGATATGGGCTCTAAGCGTGTGGAACTAGACGAGAACAAATGCCTCACCGTTAGACCGCAGATTTGCATGCCGTATACTATAGCGCCTAGATTGGAGGCAGAGTTCAGCTCTTCATCTCGGTCAGCACCTTATTGTCACGCGATCCGGACGGCTCAAAGACACCCACCTAATTACCTCTCTAGTACTGCACTGGTCTGTTTTGGCATATGCCAATCCGAATCTGGGTCTTCATGTTGCGTAGATGAGATGTAGCTGCTCGCCTTTGCCGAGCCCGTCATATCCCGACCAGCCGTCGCTTTGATCCGGGGAACATACGTTGGGTGTGGAGATGTAGATAACGAATAATTCGATCATATGATTCATTGAAAGAAGCCGTCATATCTACTAATTGCTGTGTTTACGCTGGTGCCAGGCACTATTTGTTCTTTCTTAATCTAGTATTTTGAGCGTATACGCCTATCTAACTATGTAGCTGGGCGCTTGTACGAGTATATCTCAAGTGGGGAGATATTTAGCGTCCTCTCCCTATCGTGGAATACATGTAATTGGATGATTATTGAGATCATAGATTGGGAGTTAAAGTTTTCATGGATGCATTGTCCGCTAAAAGCCGAATGCAGCCGTGTTCGCCATTCTTCAATGCCAGCCAACGACCAGGCTTCTAGTGTCTTTTGCCTCCTTCTAGAAAGCCATGCGTTGTAGATCGGCTTACCTGTGGCGGACTAGCAATCCCGCTACACATGTATCTGTACGTGTAGTTCGCTAGGAGGCCGCGGAATGCCTCTGTAAGAACTAGAAAGACTGTGTCTGGAAGCGGTAAAATTTGCGTTCCACGTCAAACAACTAACCGATCATCTGGCGAGGCAGCCTCGAGCGCCCAATATTGGAGAGGATGATATAGAGCGTACATATTGTGGACCGTATCAATCGTCATATGACTGGCTGTGGCGTCCATATGTATAAAAATGTACATTTGGGACGTGCTCAGTAATAAGAGCCTCACTCTGTAGGAATCCCGTAAGCACGCCTAAAGATGGAAATACAGAGTATGCCATGCCGAATTCCCATCAAGTTTCACAAAAATACAAGATTTCATGATTGTGATTCCCTAGCTTCGCTTCAGAGACTTGTATGCATAAGAAATGATTAAAAAGAGCAAGATTCTGCAACAACAGCTATTTTCGGTTTCATTGCTCAAGTTCTACCAAATATTAATATCTCCACCCAGAGTCTTTTGATGTGCTAGAAAGAGAATGATAGTATCAGATACCTATAGATATAAACAGTTAGCTGGGGCCTGCGTGGTGCGGCGTATCCGTAAATGAAGAAAAGGGGGCAACAAAACTGACGTGACAAGGCACATGGCGCCCTCCAAGTAGTCGCTTTTGCCATCCCGGCATAGCTCAGCGACTAGTAACGTGCCAAGGAAAATGGAAATCGTCTCCAACGTAGGGAAATGCAAAGTCATGGGAACACTGGATTGAGCTACCCATGAGAAGAGGACCAATGTTGGTGTGATAAACAAGGCAACATTCATGCTTCGACCGATTGCAAACTCGAGGGCCGTCGTCATGTGGTTGTTGTACGCGGCAACGATGGCTTCAATCCGACCTGGACCGTCAGTTGCTAGGGGTAGGAAGACAAAACTGACCGCCCTGTTGCTGAGAAAGCTGGAATCTGTCACAGAGCTCATGGTGCGCATTAGGAAATAGGCAGACATCGAAGCCAGGCCCAGAACGGAGATGAGAAGCAAGCCCTCAACAATTCCAAACAGTATTCGACTTATATCAGAGCTGTCAGCCAGTATAGTTGATGTCCCTTCTAGGAATAGCTCTCGGTGAGATCTCCATCTGTAGTGCTGGTATACAAGGAAAAGAAACAGTAAGGCCAAGGATACCGAGCGTGACATTTGCACCAACTTGTCTTCGCAGTCGGGGTCGACTCTGCAGTGCATCTCGGAAATAGCAGACGGAACAACAAGGGAAGTCGATGCGACGATCATGAGAGAAGATGCTGTCGATGCAAAAGTAGTATTAAATATGAGCTCACGATTATGAATGCTTCCGACCAAGAAACACCATCCTACAACCTTTCCTGCATATTAATTCATATGCCAGAAGTAAGAGCAGGTACGACTTACAAGAAGAAGATTGGCCAAGACGCTCCCGAGAATGCAGGATTGTGCAATATGAGCTGCGCCATGTTGAATTGCCGCAATGCCTACCTAGTGGTTGGTGAGCATCTACTGATATCTATCACCATTTCCTGGGAATGCGTACAATTAACAAGAGTGCATTATCTAAGATTGCATGTAGGAATCCGCCACCCAAAGGACCCAACATGGACGACAGCTGACGGAGCTTGCGAAGATTCAGCTTTGACAGCGGGATGATGGCTAGAAAGTTGAACCAAAAGATGAGCTCTGGGTCTCTATTCTGGACACCATAAGTTATCCCCAACGGAATGAAGACCAGAAGTAGATTGGAGTAGCTGCCAGGTGTGAGCAACTTTAACACGATCCGAAGGTCTCGACGGCACGTATCGGGACCCTGTAAGAGAGGAGATTGCTCGCCAACATCTCTGCCAAGGACCGGGGCCGGTAGAGTGGCGGCCGAGTATCTGATATCAGATGAGGAATTCTCCATGTGTTCTACAGCACGATGTAATATAGCTTTTTGTGTCAACTCATGGTATTTTTGCACCTTGAAGTATGCCATGGACGGAGGCACGCGACCTGACGGATGCATCCATGTATTACATGTGGTTATGGATAAACGCTAATGGGTGGCGTAAGGCGGGGAGGATTGAGTTTCCAATGATTTCCCTTTGTGTTGATTTCTGTCATGTAACCGTCGAGTTTTGCTTTATGTTAGCTTTAACATGAATTGACAGGCCAATGATCGGTCCAACAGTGCGATTGGCTAGAGAATCCCTCGAGGCTGAATCCGGCGTCTTGTAAGCTCCCTCCCCGCAGTTGTTATAAGTGCAACCGGACAAACTGTGAGAGCTTCATCAATCCCACTAGGGTCCAAAAATGCATCAATTTGGTCACCTCGGAGGGTGCGGATTTGGTAACCATTATGCTGACAACACGAGAGACGCTTATCACAATGACAGATCCTGATAGTACTAGAAAGGGTCGATGCATTGTTACAAAATATGTTTAGTATGGGCAAATTCACCTTCTCCATGTGACGTCACTGAGGCTTGAAACCATTGCGAGGCCAGTGAAATAGAGTTTCGTCTTTTCAGCTGTGTTTATAAAGAGGAAGAAGTTCTCCATACGACGAAATTCCCAAGAGTCAAATGATTGCCTGGTATTATCGACGACGAACAGCCAGGAGCTACCATGAATATATCGGACTTTGAAGATCTAGGAATCATCTCTGATTTCGAGGAGGAGGAAGACGCAAATGAGTCTTGTCCCAGAAATTTGATGAAACCCATCATTCCTACATCTTCTCATAGAGGTGATGATAGGCCTCATCCACCATGGGAGGGACACAGAGACAAACTCGTCGGCATTGTGGATATGGGAAGGTAGGTCGCTACCCAACTTCTATAAAGTATGTGCTAACCGATTGTGATACTTCTCTAGTAATGGTATTCGCTTTTCCATCACGGATTTATCGGTTGGGATGGCGCGTATACTACCAACGGTGTTGACCTATCGAAATGGCATATCGCTCTACGACGCACAGTTTGATCCTGAGACGGGGGAGCAGATTCCCATCCCGGACGATGTTATTGCCGATGTAGTTACAGTCTTCAACCGTTTCCTCATTGTCTGCGGTGATATGGGAGTTGATAAAAAGAATATTCACGTTGTTGCAACAGAGGCGACTCGCAAAGCTATCAATTCAGCTAAATTTTTGCAAGTTGTCAAAGAAAAGACTGGTTTGACTATCGAGATGCTGCCCAAGGAAATCGAGGGTCAGATAGGAGCATTGGGCATTGCGAGCGGATTTACCAGACTCTCCGGCCTTGTGATGGACCTGGGGGGAGGCAGCACCCAAATCACTTGGATGGTCAGCCAAGGAGGTCACATCAGAATTAGCCCTCTTGGGAGCTTTAGCTTCCCATATGGCGCAGCCGCTCTATCTAGGCAACTGCATGATCTGCGGAAGGGCAAGAAGAAGGATGAAGGGGATGCAGCTGTCGCCCAATTTCGACAGGAAATGATTCAAAACTTCAGAGATGCATATGCTCATCTGCAAATTCCTGACGTTATGGTTGAAAAGGCCAAAGAACAGGGAGGCTTTCGTATCTATCTGTCGGGCGGTGGATTCCGAGGATGGGGTTATCTGCTGCTATATCTCAATCAGTCCCACGGAAAGCATTATCCAATATCCGTTATCAATGGATACACAGTCGGGAAGGACCAATTCGAAGATACAGATACTGTGAAGCAGATTGCAAAGGCGGCGAAGGATGTGTTCCGAGTTTCGGATCGTCGCCGGTCACAAGTTCCTGCAGTGGCATTCTTGGTTAATGTGTTGGCTGAAGCCATTCCCCATGGAATCAGAGAGGCTCACTTTTGTCAGGGTGGGGTCCGAGAAGGATATCTCTTCCGGACTCTGTCTCCTGAGGTCAGAGAGCTATCCCCGCTGGCAGTGGCAACGCAGAACTTCGCACCGATTTCTTATCGCACTATCCAGGAACTGATTAAGAGTGCCATCCCGAAGCCTTCGAAGAACGAAACAAAGAAATTTCCCGATGATTTCGGAGAACATGTTATCGATTCGTTTGCCAACGTAATGTATGTCCACATGTTCATGTCCAAAGAAACAGCATCGACGACTGCGCTCTACTCAACTAGTGTCGGGATCATGTCATCAACCCATGGTGTATCCCATCAAGATCGCGCCCGACTTGCGCTGATGCTTGAATCTCGATACCGCGGCGAATTACCACCTCGAGAGATGGAATTCCGCGAAGCGCTGCGCTCCCTTATTACACCAGAAGAAGTATGGTGGACCACTTATTTAGGCAGAGTTGGATATTTGATTACACGACTGTATCCATCCGGAGAGATTGACACAGCAAAGCCTCGAGTCGTCTTTTCTTCTGAGTGGTCATGGACTATGGGAAAGAAGAAGAACAAAGAGGGCTTCGTCTTGACGATATCGGTGCAGAAGCAGAAGGAGGATCGTGCACATCTCAAGCAAGCTTTAGAGGACAATGTCAAAGTGATTAAAAAAGTCGGCAAGAAGAAGCACTGGATTGGAAAAGACGATCCGTGGGGCATGAAGGTCAAGGTAGAGGTCGTCGAGGAGGGAATTTTGGAAGCTCCAGATTGTTGACAATGGGCCAGCGAGGCCAATGTACGTTAATATGTATCAAACCTGTAACATTTAATTTATTGACGACTTTTATACGTATTTCCACAACTGCTACTAGCGAATGAAGTTTGAACGATCAAATTTAATATGAATTAGCTACCTAGTAGATAAGAAAAACCAACGCCTCGTACAAATGTAGAGGCCCGAAAGCAACTCAAGGTCCAGCAAAATAGAACGTAAAGAATAATGAGTGAATCAATTCGAAAACATGAAGAGAAAATAAGAAGAAAGATAAGAGACAGGAAAGATAGAAAATTAAGAAATCCCAGATTCCTCCACATCCAAAACTCAAAGGTCCTTAACCATGTATACGCTGGAAAGTACCAGCGCGACGAGGCTTGGCAAAACCATCAGTAGACGATTGAATGAAGTCAATTTTCATGAGGTAGCGCATGCTCATTTTAACAGCCATATGCCACTGCTCATGCTCAATGCCTTCAGTTTCAACTTCTTTAGCAGTTCGAACAGAGCCAAGGTTGCCAAGGAAATGCTGCACAGGCCATAGAGGGTGTTTGTCGCCGACTTCGTTCATTGATTCCAAAGCACGGTGAGTCCATTCATCTGGAGAGAGGGGTTCGCAAGGAACATCAAGCTCCTTGTTGATGATGTCCCAGAAAATTGTTGCTGGCATGCCACCCGCGACACTGACGAAGGGCGCGATGCCTTCCTTTGCGTATAATTGGCTGAGCACGGATGATGCAACGGTGGTAACGTCAGCGACAGAGACCCAATGCTCCTCAGGCTCTGCAGGATAGACGCGAAGAGAAGCAGCAGTAGAAACAACACGCCATAGCATATCATCCACGTTAGCTACACCGGTCTCGGGAGATCCAATGATGCGGCCGGGTTTGAGAGTAGAAATGCGGTTCTGGTCAGCGGGGAGAGTATTGATAATCTCTTGAATAATGCCCTCGGAGACAAACTTGGTCTGGGTATAACCCGTGATATTGCCAAGATACTGCGCGAGAATGGTGCGATCCGTGGTGGGATCAGATTTGATACCACCGGAGACGAAGATGAACTTGGGAGAAGCGGCGGAGTTGACAGTAGCCTTGAGCAAATCAACCGTGGAGTCAACATTAGCAGCACGCATCTTGTCATAATCGGCATTCCAGTTTACGATGGCACCGTTGTGGACGATGGCATCGACGTTGTTGCTGGATTGGCCGGCTAGGCGTGCCCATTGTACATCGCTTAGACCCATTCGCTTTTTGCTCAAATCACCACACCAGATCTCGATCTTGCTCGTGTAATTTTCTTGCCACCAGCCAGCGATCTTGGCAGTTTCGCGGATACGGTCTAGGCCGTGATCGGGAGACTTGGCTCGTACGAGCGTTATGATTGAAGCAATAGCATTGTTGCAAATGAGTTGCCTAAGGATCTCTTGTCCAAGGAAACCAGTGGCGCCGGTGAGGAAGACAATGGCTTGGTCAGGTAGCTCAGTTTTGGGATTGGCAGCGAGATTGAGTGCTCCGGTATCCAATACAGAGCGAGAGAGAGACGATATTTCACCATTAAAGTCAACGCCACTTAATTGCTCCTTTTCTTGCCCGTTGTGTTCGTTGTCGATGTGCTTGGCCATATTCGCAATCGTGGTGTGCTTCGAGTTAAGGAGAGACATACCAAGGGAAACACCATATTGGTTGAGGATAGCCTTGGAAATGGTAACGATGCGAATAGAGTCACCGCCGAGGCTATAAAAGTTGTCGTCTACGCCGACGGTCTCGGCGGGAAGATCAAGAGTAGTGGCCCATTGGTGTCGAATCCAGAATTCGGTATCGGTTGAGCAGTCACGGAAAGGCAGACGTTGGCCGGCGAGATAGTTGGAAAGATCGTCAGTTGTGAGTTTGGCAATAGAAGCGACAAGCATCTTTCGATCTAATTTACCAGCAGCGTTATGTGGCATATAGTCAACGGGGATTAGGTACTTCGGAATCATGTGGCTAGGTAAATTGGAGCTGATGGTGGTGACAATGTCAGAGAACATCTCGCGAAGCTCCTCGGTGACTTCCGTGAGGCGAATCTCCTTAGAAACACTCTCGGCCTCCTGCTGCGAGGTGAAGCAAATGAAGGCGAGGAGAGACTCGCGGCCAGCATTTCGAGTGATGTCGACAACGGCATGCTCGATGGCAGTGTTGGAGTTCTTAATGTGGTGCTCGATTTCACCAAGCTCGATACGTTGGCCTCGGACCTTGACTTGAGTATCTTTTCGGCCCAGATATTCGACATAGCCGTCGAGATTATAGCGAACTAGATCACCAGTCTTATAGAATCGGCGTTCTCCCACATTGGCCTCAGATGGCAGCCACTCAACTTCCTTAATAAAAAATTTCCTAGTCTTCTCCTCATCGTTGATGTAGCCGCGGGCCAGAGATGAACCTTGTAGCAATAGCTCACCAACGCAACCGGTCGGCATAAGGCGATTATGGTCATCGGGGTCGACAACCCATAGGCCGTGTGTAAAGCTGCGACCAATATTGGTAGCTGAAAAATTGACAGATGAAGAATATGTGTAGTTAGTCGAAGTTACGCAAGCCTCTGCTGGACCATAGCCGTTGTGAAGTTCCACCTTATCAACCCAGATATCGATAATCTCCTTTGTGGGGGCTTCACCCACGAGGATGATAGCCTTCATTCCAGGAATTTGTTCCGGAGACAGAGTCTTGGTGAATGTAGGCGTTAGGATCGCATGATTAATGCGAGCTTCACGAATGAAGGCTGCAGTGTTGTGTACACGTTGGTGTTCTGTGGGTACGCAAACAGTAGCACCAGCAATGAGTGTCGTGAAGATTTCGATGATACAAGCGTCAAATACGTAGTTGGAAAATTGTAGCATCCGTGAGTCTCCGTTGATTGAGAAGTCCTCGCGTTGCCTGAGGAGCACCGTGGCAACGCCCTTGTGGTCGATAATGACACCTTTTGGCTTACCAGTCGAACCGGAAGTAAACAGGACATATGCGGCGTTATTGGGGCCTGGCCTGACGAAAGATTGTTTTGTGACATTGATGGTAGAAATGTGAGCAATGAAGGATTGAGAAAGCTCGATCGTGTTCTGAACCATGCCCTGACAATCAGAGGCGGTTGTAGGCGACACAACCATGAACTGTGCGCAAACTTCGTCCACTAGAGCTTGGCGGCGACTTGTTGGATGTGATGGATCCAATGGGATGAAAACACCACCAGCTTTGAGAATACCCAACATTGCGACGATAGCCCACATTGATTTTTCAAAGCAAAAAGGCACAATGGTCTCAGGTCGGACACCAAGGCGGCTGAGGTATACAGCAAATTGAGTTGTCAGATGATCGAGTTCGCTATAAGTCATGCTTCCTTCACTGCTGTACAAAGCTTCGTGATCTGGTTTAATAGCTGCCTGCTTCGAGAAAAGATCGTGGAGAGTGCTGTCAGCGGGACTATCAATTTCACTGTTCCACTCGAGTTGCTTCTGTAGATCCCAAGATCCGGCGACTTCGATGTCGCCAATTAATGCCTTATTTTGGATAATAAGTTGTTTGGCAACATTACCAAATTGCTCAGAAATAGACATTACTTGGAACTCTGTCAGAGCATTTGAGTCGTAAATTAGGAGTAACTCGAAGTGGTTATCCATGGGAGCAATTTGAATGACCAATGGATAATTGGAGAAGTTCTGCAAAGATGCCTCGGTGGAATTCACGGAGTCAGCCAGTACCAAGATATCACCTCTGTCGGCCGCATCATTCTCATTAGCAGCCTGAGCGGGTTGGATGACGAGCAAGCTGGAAAAGTCGCATGCTTGCTTAGCTTCAGTGCTTAGAGCCCCGATGTTTTGGAGACCGAACTGCTCATACGCGACCATTTCTGAAGCTTGAATCTGAACATCATGGAGGAACTGTGACGTTGGCTGATCTTTATCAAGACGGATTCGGACAGGGACGGTGGCAAGCATGGGGCCAGGCATAGAATCTAGACCAGGAACAGGAGCGTGACGGCCAGAGACCGTAGTGCCAAAGCATACATCATCAGTATCGCAGTATTGAGCCAAAACAATTGACCAAGCAGCTCGCATAATTGTAGCCTTAGTGATAGAGGTGTTTGTCGTGCGTGGGAAGTCAATAGACTTTGTGAATATCCGGGTTACATCTATGTTGCCATTTGTAGCAGCTAATTTCTTGTCAACAGCTGGGAAGGAAGCCGGTCTGGCATCGTAAAGTTGGTGTCTCCAGTATTCTGCAGCGTCATCTTGATCAATGGTCGTCGTGTATTTGACGAAACGGGCAAAAGGCTGCAGAGGGGGCAGCTCAGTGCCGAAGTAGGCAGCGTAGAAGGTGGACATGATTAACGGCTGAGTCCAGCCATCATACACTGAGTGATGAATGTGCCAGGCAAAATAATTGTTACCGCCATCTTCAATCAGAGCGTAGCGGCAGAGACGAGAGCCATAGCCCATGTTGAAAGCTTGGATCGCATTCCTCATATACGACTGTAAAGAGACATCTGTGGTAGGCTCCCACAGTGACTCTAAATTAGCTTTGATAACGGCTTGGATGGTTTTAAAGCCAATAAGAACAATGGAAGTTCGAAGATTTAGGCAGACTTCGACAGTCTTATCCCAAGCCGCTTTGAACCGCTCAGTGTTGACATGCTCAGGAATGCGGTACACGTAGCGAGCTGTGTAAGAGCCAGGCTGTTTAACAGTCAAAGCCATAAGACCTTCTTGTAGTTTCGTAGTCGGATAGGCGTCCTCGATTAATTCGGTGGAAGAGAGATTGCATTGCTGCATAATTTCACGAGTGACAACTTTGCGATCAGATGGCAGGACCATGCTAAAAGGCTCAGCCTCATATGTCTCTGTAACATAGCCGAATCTTGCCGATGCAGCAACTGATGATAGTCGAGGATCGGCGAAAATACTTGCAACAGTGAGTAGAACACCATGCTCTTGAGCCAGGGTAATCAGGTGAATAGCTGAGATAGAGTCACCTCCAATCTGCAGGAAGCTGTCGTTTTTGCCAATCTCTTCCGCGGAGATCTTAAGGATCTGAGCCCAGAGATCGCGCAGCTTGAATTCCATATGAGTTGTTGGCTCAATCTTGTCTGCCTTGCCCGGAGTAAATGCGGCAAGCTCTTCAGAAGATAGAGAGCTTCCCAGGGCTCGCAGTTGGGTTCTGTCAAGTTTCATCGAAGTAATGAAAGGCATACATTGAAGAGGAAGAATGATACTGGGAACCATATAAGCGGGAAGAGAGGCCTTCAAATTCTCTCTCAAACTTCCAAGCGTAGACCTCATAGTCTCATTAGGAGCAACTAGATTAAGACACAGATCGTCTGAGGTCCATTTAGTGTTTGCATGGCCAGAAAACGAGATGAATGCGACCAGTGAATCACCCGCCTGTCTGTGCATAACATCAACAGCGACATGGCGCACGCTCGAGAGTGACTGAGTAATGTTGTATTCAATTTCACCTAGCTCAAGACGCTGGCCTCTTAGTTTAACCTGAGAGTCTTTCCGTCCGAGGTATTCTAACTCGCCATTTGAGTTGTAACGGACTAGATCTCCCGTAAGGTAGAATCGCTTGGGCTCGTGTAAGAGCGAAGATGGAAGCGAGCCAATTTCACAAACAAACGATTCTTCTGTCTTCATTTTGTCATTTAGATAACCTCGAGCCAGAGCGTGACCCTGGAGAACGAGTTCTCCCGTGCAACCTATCGGTGTGAGCTTGTTATGGTTACTAGGCTCTACAACCCAGCAGGCACCGTTGAAACTGGATCCGATGAGGCGAGGAGATTCGGCACTGGACTTGAAAATATGGGTAGTGGCATAGTTGCAAGCCTCAGCCGGCCCGTAACCATTGAACAGAGTGACTCGGTCAACCCACATCTCTAAGGTGCTCTTAGAGGCGGCTTCGCCACCGAGAACAAGAGTCTTCAGATGTGGCACTTTATCTGGTGTAAAAGTTCTCACAAAGGATGGTGTCAACATGGCTGTGTTGACCTTGGCTCTGTGCATAAAGTCCGGAGCGCATTGCAGGCGCTCATCATCACTAGGGATACAAATGGTTCCGCCAAAGGCCAGTGGGCCAAAAATCTCACCAAGGCTACCATCAAAGATGTAATTGGAGAACTGGAATATTCTCGACAACGGTGAAAGGTTATAAACCTTGCCATATCCAATGGTAGTAGAGCTGAAGGAGCCATGTTGCATAACAACACCCTTGGGCTTACCAGTAGATCCAGAGGTGAACAGGATATATGCCGTGTTCCTCGGTCCAACCTTTGGTAGGATCTTGAGAGTAACAGAAGTAGCAAGTCTAGCCATTACGCTAGGCGATAACTCGACAACATGCTCAGCCATACCTGCACACGAGGCGACTGCGTCAGAAGATGCGATGAGTACGCGGGCATTAACTTCTCTAACCAATGCTTCACGACGGCTGATTGGATGTAATGGATCAAGAGGCACAAATGCGGCGCCTGCCTTGAGAATGGCCAAAATCGCAACCACGGCCCACATGGATTTCTCGAAGCAAAACGGCACCACGGTTTCTGGGCCAACATTCAACGAGCTCAGGTGTGTAGCGAGAATATCTGTAAGGTGGTCAAGCTCACCATATGTGAGACTACCTTTTGATGAATAGATGGCCTCGTGGTGAGGGGCGTTCGAGGCGTGCTTGGTGAACATGTCATGGAGGCAAGTATGTATGAAATCAGACTTCTTGTTGTTCAACTGCACAGCTCGCTGGACATCCCACGGCCCCGAGACACTCACATCGCCCAGTGGTTCGTCACTATGAGTAAGGAGTTGTTGGATAACATGGTCAAATTGATGCATCATAGCGCCCAGTTGAGCTTCGCCAAGAACATCGGAGTCATAGATAAAGACCAAGTTGACAAGGCTATCCAAGAGGTGACACTGGATAACCAATGGATAGGAGAAATAATTCTGCAGCATTTCCTCAGCTTGAATATGAGGAGCGGCAGCAGGAAGTATGAGAGCATTCTGATCGCCAGGATTGTTGCTGTCTGCACTCATGTGCTGAACTGGCTGGATGGCTAATAGGGATGTGAAATCACAGGCCTCTTTAGCGTCAGAGCCAAGTCTAGAGATATTTTGGATGCCAAACTGTTCATAATCAACCATGTTTGAGGCCTGCGTTTGTATATCTTGAAGGAATTGAGAAAGACGCTTTTCCTTATCAAGGCGAATACGAACAGGAACAGTAGCAACTACCAGACCAGGCATAGCTTCAAGACCGGTGACATTGGCATGACGACCCGAGACTGTGGTACCGAAGCAGACATCGTCACTATCGGAATAACGTGCAAGGACAATAGCCCAAGCAGCTCGTAGAATAGAAGCCTTAGTGATGGATGTGTTTGTTGACTTGGGAAACTCGATGGTTTTATTAGTAACGCGAGTATGTGAAATTCCGGACTTGTCACTGGGTGCCGGGAAGCTTGCACGTTTGGCTCCCTCGAGTTGCATCTTCCAATACTCGGAAGCGGCGTTGTTATTGATGTTCATTGTATACTTGACGAAAGCAGCATACGGCTGTAGGGAAGGAAGCTCAAGGTCATAATACGCCGCAGACAGTGTACTCATTACCAATGGAAGAGACCAGCCGTCAAAGACAGTGTGATGGATGCTGAAAGCGAAATAAGTGGCATTATGTTCCTCAATGATGGCATATCGGCACAGGCGTTTGGCATACCCCATCTCAAATTGGAGCGTGGCACGAGCATAAGTCTCAAGTGTCATATTGGATGTGTCGTCCCAAGCGATATCGTCTTTTAGTAGGACTTGAGTGGTGATACCATTTACAATAATGACACGTGTGCGGAGGTTGGCACAACTTTGGACGGTACGCTCCCAGGCACCGCGGAATTTGCCAACATCGACATGGGCAGGAAGTTGGTAGACATATTTAGCAATGTAGGATCCGGGTTGCTTAATGGCGAGTGCCATTAGACCCTCTTGTAGCTTTGTGCAAGGATAGGCATCCTCAAGCAGGTCATCTCCAGAGAGATTACACTGCTCCTTCGCAGCGTCAGAGAGGAGAGATCCTGTAAGTGAATCTCCAAGTAGACTGAAGGGAGGAATAACTGTAGAGATGTTGACTCGGCTACAGTTATTACTAGCCACTAAGGCAAGCTTCGAGAGACGAGGATCATCAAAGATATCCTTAACCGCAATCGAAATGCCGGCCTCACGAGCATTTGTTACAAGCTGGATAGCAGCAATTGAATCACCACCAATTTGCAAGAAGCTATCATCGCAGCCAATTTCTTCTTTGGGCATGTGCAGCACGGTGGACCAGAGCTCTTGCATGCGAGTTTCCATTTCCGTCTCAGGCATGCGTTTGACGCAGTTGCGTAGTGAATAAGCAGCATGGTCCTCATGGCTAAGTTCAGAAACGAGCTTCTTTAATTTATTTCTGTCAAGCTTGGTGGACGCGATGAAAGGCATGTAGCGGCATGGCAGGAAAAGTGAGGGCACCATGTAACGAGGCAGTGTAACATTGAGCTGGCTGATCATATTTGTAAGCTGCGCCTGTAGCTCTTCTGTTACAGGCAAGAAGATGCTCTCATCTGATTCAGAAATGCTTGCCGTGCGTGTTTCATCCGAGAAACAGAAATATGCGATGAGCCTTGTACCGGAATCGGTCGTGAATACGTCAACAGCAACTTGACGAGCACCTTCAAGGCTACTCTGGACGTGATACTCAACTTCGCCAAGCTCCACACGAAGGCCGCGAATCTTAACTTGTGTATCCTTCCTGTTGGAGAATTCAAGTGTACCGTCAGGATTGTATGAAGCTAAATCACCGGACTTAAAGAATCGTGACCAAGAGGGCTGATCTTGGTATGGTGCCCAGGCAGGCAACTTATACATTGTAGTGGCCTTGGTACGTTCGACATCGGCTAGATATTCGCGTAAGACTGTTGGACCCTGGATGACAACTTCGCCCAGCGTGCCAATAGGGGCAAGCTTATTAGCATTCGTCGGATCTACAACCCAACAGAAGCCTCCTACAGGACGGCCGATTGTCAATGGTGATTCATCTACAGATTGGAACTGGTGTAGGGAGCTAAATAAACAAGTCTCAGCAGGACCCCAACCGTTCCATAATCGAACTTTACCAAACCAAGTGGTAAGAATGTCACGAGGAACGGCTTCACCAGCTAATAGCAAAAGTGTGACTGAGGGGAGTTGGTCAGGACTCAGGGTTCGCACGAAGGATGGCGTGAGGAAAAGAGTGTTAATCTTATGCTCAGTAATGAAGTCTTTCAGACCATTCATTCGAGTGTACTCAGAAGGAATGAATATACAGGCGCCCGAAATCAGCTGTAGTATACTTTCGCCGAGACACAAGTCAAACACATGCGAAGCAAATTGGAGCGTTCTGTTGCTTGAGTTTATGCCCATTCTCTTTTTGATAGCCATCTGACTGGTTGAAATGCCACCATGAGTCATGACCAGACCTTTGGGCACACCCGTGGATCCAGAAGTGAACAGCACATAGGCAGCATTGTGAGATGAAACTGAGACTTGAGGATTCTTTGCACCGAGCGAGACATTGATATGCCTGTACAAGGCAGATGAAACTTCAATCACTCGGTCAATGATACCAGAAAGTAAATTCCGGGTATTGTTAGATGTGAGGGCCAACTTAGATCGCGTTTGGGAAGTAACTTGACGGAGACGTTGCTCAGGATGAGATGGATCTAGAGGAACCCACACAGCACCGGCCTTGTTGATAGCAAAGATGGCTACCCAATACCAAACCGATTTCTCGAAGCAGACATGAATGAGATCTTCAACTTGAACATCATACTCACTGATAAGATAGTGTGCTAACCTATTGGCGGCTTCATTAAGCTGACCGTAAGTTAACTCACCATCCCAGGCCCAGATAGCTGGCGAATTAGGCGCTTCCCTTGCACGCAATTCTATAAGGTGATGAATGCACGTATCCATGATCTCTGGTGTCTCCGAGTTAAATTCGGTGGCGCGCTGTAGATCCCAATTGGAAGCAACACTCAAATCACCCAGTAGGTGAACTTGATCTGTGAATAGCTGAGAAGCCACATGCTCAAATTGATAGCAAAGAGCTTCCATAGACGGCTGAGAGAGTACTGAAGAGTCATAGGTAATGATCAATTCAATTGAATCACTGAGAAGATGGCCCTGGATGACAAGAGGATAAGAAAAGTATCCTTGCATTAATTCCTCAGCTGAATTACCCGCAATATCGGCAGGCAATAGTAGAGCGGACGATGTGGCTTCGTCATCACCAGATATGCCTTTGCTTCTTGAGTCCAAGTGTGTTCGAGGTTGCACAACCAGCAAGCTTGTAAAGTCACATGCTTCCCTGAAGTCGGGACTAATCTTTCCGATGTTTGATAAGCCATATTGTTCGTATGGGACCATCTCGTGGGCTTGATTTTGAATAGTCTGGAGGTACTTGCTAATTGTCTGTTGTTGGTCTAGACGAACACGCACGGGAACAGTCGCGACCACAGGACCAGGCATATCCATGAGGCCTGATACAGACGCTTGTCTTCCAGATATGGTTGTACCGAAAGTTACATCATCAGTATCGCAATAACGGGCGAGCAAGATAGCCCAAGTAGCTCGCATTATTGTTGCTTTCGTAATGGCGGCATCAGTAGAAGTGGGAACTTGGATTGTCTTGCTGATGACCTGAGTAATTGCCTCTGATGCGGAAGTTGGCGTGGCAGGAGGATAAGATGCCTTGCTAGCTCCTCGAAGCTGCTGAGTCCAGTACTTGATGGTATCTTGAGAATTGATAGTCGTCAGATAGTGAATAAATCCTGAGTATGGCTTTAGTGTAGGCAGTTCCAGGTTATGATAAGCGTTCTGGAAGGTGTTCATTATCAGACGGATGGTCCAGCCATCGTGAACGGCGTGATGAATTGTCCAGAGGAAGTATTTGTTCCCATTATCACCTTCGGCTAAGACAAGTTGAGAAAGGCGAGAGCCATAGGTCATCTCAATTTTCTGAGCAGCTTGGATTGCGTTGTGGGCATCTTTGTGCTCTTGGGATTGCCAACAAGTCTCCTCTTTGATGATTGTCTGAATACACTTGCCATCTATAAGAACGATTCTGGTCCGCATAGCTGGACATAAAGCAACAGTGCGTTCCCAGGCAGCCTTAAAGCGAGAGGTGTCGACGTCATGAGATAGTTTGTAGGCATATTTGGCAATGTATGAACCCGGCTGCTTTACTGATAGAGCCATTAGGCCTTCCTGGAATGTAGTTGCCGGGTAGGCATCTTCGACCTCTTCATTATCTTCTAACCCACAAAGTTGTCGAGCTTCATCACCGAGAGATAGCTGACGCACAGTCCTATCAAGTAACGAGAATGGAGTGATGTGGACAATAGACGCGTGCTCGTCTTCTCCGGCCTCTCGAGCCTTGTCCGCAACAGTAGAAAGGCGCGGATCTTGAAATATTTCCTTGACAGCAAGCACAATACCTAGTTCTCTGGCGGCATTGACCATGTGAATTGCAGTAATAGAGTCACCACCAAGGCCCAGAAAGCTATCGTCGCGACCGATGGATTCGATCGGAATTCCAAGAAGCTCGGACCAAAGCTTTTGGAAGAACACCTCCATAGGAGTTTCTGGTGAGCGTTTCTTACCATCAAGGAGAGAATATTGAGCTATTTGGGTCTTATCTAATGCTCCGGTAAGCTTCTTCAGCTCATTGCGGTCAAGTTTTGTTGAGGTAATGAAAGGCATATAGCTGCAAAGGATGAACATGGTCGGGATCATATAACGAGGCAGTGAAATACTAAGCTTGCTAACAACTGCTGCTAAGCAAGACTGTAAATCCTCGCTAATTGGTAAGAATGGACCTCCAGAAGCATCATCATTGACACCCACAGTTCGGGTCTCATCACTAAAGCAGAAATATGCAGCGAGGTTTGTGCCATTTTCACCTTTATAGACGTCGACGGCGACTTGTCGGGCATCAGGAAGTGCTTGTTGGATGTGATGCTGAACTTCTCCAAGCTCCACACGTAAACCACGGATCTTGATTTGTGTATCTTTACGAGTTGCGAATTCAATCGTGCCGTCTTGGTTGTAATAACACAGATCGCCAGACTTATAGAACTTATTCCAGTGTTTAGAGTCAGGGCGAGGGGCCCACTTGGGGAGATTGTACAGTGTAGAAGACCGCGTTCGTTCAGGATCAGATAAATATTCGCTTAACAAGGTCGGGCCTTGAATGACAACTTCTCCAAGCGTTCCAATCGGAGCGAGGCGATGAGGATCTTCAGGGTTAACAACCCAACAGAAACCACCGACTGGCTTACCAATTGTGAGAGGTGACTCGTTAACTGACTTCCACTCATGGAGTGTTGAGAACACACAGGTCTCGGCAGGCCCCCATCCATTGATTAGGCGAACTTTGCCAAACCAAGTGGTTAAGACGTCTCGAGGGACAGCCTCACCGGCTAATAATACAAGATCAAGTCCTGGAACCTCTACTGGGTTGATCGTACGGATGAATGAAGGCGTAAGGAATGCCCAATTAATCTCCATATCGCGAATAAATTGGGTAAGGCTATTCATCCTAGTATGTTCAGATGGTATACACAGACAAGCGCCTGTTATCAATGGCGCAATTATCTCTCCAATCGAAAGGTCGAACACGAAGGCAGCGAATTGTAACATGCGTACACTAGGTGTTAGGCCAAGCCTCTTAACGATGGCTGTTTGAGATGTACAGACTGAGCCGTGTTGCATAACTAGACCTTTAGGCGTACCGGTAGATCCAGAGGTGAAGAGAACATATACAGCGTTATCCGAAGATGTAGCCGTTACTGGGCCCTTCTGGCTGTATTCCTCAACCTTAGACAGCTGCAGATCAAGTTCTGAGTCTACAATAATAACTGACTTAGACAAGCTAGAAACCAAATTCTTATTTGCAGCCGAAGTTAGTGTAATTTCGGAACATGTTTGAGATACAACTTGTCGAAGTCGCTGTTCCGGGTGAGTAGGATCGAGTGGAACCCAAGCAGCGCCCGACTTGTTAATAGCCAGGATAGACACAAAGAACCAAGCCGATTTTTCAAAGCAGACATGTATCAGGTCATCCGTTTTGATGCTATAATTAGCTGTCAGATAGTTGGCGAGACGGTTAGCAGCACGGTTAAATTCGGAATATGTGAGCTCTGCGTCCCAAGACCTAATTGCCATTGCATCAGGACGAATTTCAGCTTGTCTCTCAATAAGCTGATGAACACACGAGTCGACAATATCAGGGATTTCAGAATTAAACTTGATAGATTGTGTAACATCCCAGTCAGAAGCGACAGTGAGAGATCCAAGGCTTAATTGAGGTTCAGACACTAGCTGCTCAACAACATGTTTAAATTGCTGAGAAAGGGCGAGAAGTTGCGCCTCTTGCAGAACCACAGAATCGTAAATTAATACAAGATTAATGTAGTTTTCGTGCAAGTGCGCTTGAATTACTAATGGATACGAAAAGTAGTTTTGCATTACTTCATCCTTAGTCTCGACAGCAGATTCAGGAGCAGCCAGTAGAGTCTTTTCATTGCTGTCATTATAAGTAAGAGATTGAATTGGCTGGATAACAAGTAGCGATGAAAAGTCGCAAGCTTCCTTTGCGTCAGCGCTCAATCTGCTGATATTTTGGAGGCCAAATTGTTCATAGGCGAGCATTTTAGTGGCTTGGCTTTGGATGTCTTGAAGGAAGCCATCAACAGATTTCTGTCGATCTAGACGAACTCGAATTGGCACCGTAGCGATAACTGGTCCAGGCATCTCCATCAATCCTGAAACAGGAGCCTGTCTGCCCGAGATTGTTGTTCCAAAACAAACATCATCGGTATCACAGTAGCGCGCAAGAACTATGGCCCAGGCCGCGCGAAGTATAGTAGCTTTAGTGACAGCCATGCCATTCTGAGGCAAATCAATTCTAGTTTCCATAAACCGTGTCACGTCGTTTCCGTCAGATGGTGCAATCGAGGGAGTGGAAGGGAATGTAGCTTTCTTAACATCGTGAAGCTCCGTCATCCAATACTCGCTGGCATCTTTCTTATTGACATCCATCGTGTATTTGATGAATTTAGCGTAGTTTTCGATCCTGGGCATTTCAATGCCTCTATAGGCGCTGTGTAAAGCGCCAATAATAATGGGTGTTGTCCAGCCATCGAAGACAGCGTGATGAATGCTCCAAAAGAATTGGACATCCTGACCTTCTTCTTTAATCAGCGCGTAACGGCAAAGGCGAGAACCATAGCCCATCTCTGTTTGCTGAGTGGTGCGTAAGTATGACTTTAATGTCATGCCGGTAGTATCTTCCCAAGCGATATCGTTCTTGATCACTATTTGGATAGTCGTACCTCCAACACTGACAATCCGTGTACGCATATTAGCACAGAGCTCAACAGTCTGTTCCCATGCTCTTTTGAAGCGGGCTACATCGACATGAGGCGGCAATCGATAATGGAATTTAGCAATATAGGAGCCAGGCTGCTTCACGGCTAAAGCCATCAGACCCTCCTGTAGCTTTGAGCACGGGAAGGCATCCTCGATTTGCATGTTAGTTGACAAATTGATACCAGAAGCGCTGCTTAATACCATGGACTGGTAAGTCTGATCAATGAGTGTAAATGGTTCAATGACAGTAATTTCTTCAATGTCATTCATCAGTATAGTAGCTTTGGCTGCGATAGCAAGGAGCCGGGGGTCACTGAATATGTCATTCACACTAATAGAGATGCCATTCTCACGAGCCTTGGCGACGAGGCGAATAGCAGCGATAGAATCTCCACCAATTCTCATAAAACTGTCATCACGACCAATAGAAGCGGCAGGCATATTAAGAAGGACGGCCCAGAGTTCCTGTAAGCGGTATTCCATTTCAGTTTCTGGCTGTCTTTTATCGCCGCCGGTAAGAGCATATTCCTCAAGCTGCTCCTTAGGAACTGAAGCGGTAAGCTTCAACAAAAGCTTCCTATCAAGTTTGCCGGAAGTGACGAGCGGCATGGACTTAATGGGAACAAATAGCGTGGGAATCATGTATCCAGGTAAAACGACGTTGAGATGGCCCAGTAGACTATTGATACTATCCTTGAGATCGTCTGTTAATCGCAAAACAATATCGTTGCTCGTGAGATCAGCAGTCATGCTGGCAGGAAGAGTATCATTATTAAAGCAGATGAATGATACAAGATTGACTCCTGCATCCGTCTTAAACACATCCACGGCGACCTGCTGGGCATCAATAAGGCTCTGGCGGATATGGTGCTCAACCTCGCCCAATTCCACACGCAAACCACGGATCTTGACTTGTGTGTCTTTTCGGCTGTAGTATTGCAAAGTTCCATCCGGGTTATACTTCGCTAAATCACCAGTTTTATAGAACCGATTCCAGTGATGGGAGCGGCGATTGGGGGCCCAATCAGGAAGAGCAGCGACAATCGATGAGGCAGTCTTATCTTTGTCGGCAAGGTATTCGCGAAGTAAATTAGGCCCTTGAATAACAACCTCGCCAAAAGTGCCTGTAGGGGCTAATTTCTGCGGATCTTCGGGGTCAACAATCCAGCAGTAACCACCGAGTGGACGACCGATTGTCATCTGCGATTCACTTATAGACTCCCACTCATGTAGAGAACCAAAGACGCAAGATTCCGTAGGGCCCCAGGCGTTGAACAGACGAACCTTGCCAAACCAAAGCTCGAAGACATCGCGGCTTACAGCTTCGCCACCAAGGATCAAAATCTCTAAGCAAGCAACTTCCAGAGGATCCATAGTACGAGCAAAGGAAGGAGTTAGCAGTGCCCATGTAACGTTTTCTTTACATATGTAGCCTGTCAGTGAGTTCATCTGAGTCTCCCAGGACGGGATACAAACACAAGCTCCTGAAATCAGTGGGGCAAAAATTTCGGCAATGCTCGCGTCAAAGACGAAAGAAGAAAATTGAAGCATTCGGACACCAGGAGCATGACCAAGTCTCCTGACATAAGAGGTCTGGCTACTGCAGAGGGCTCCATGTTCTATAACAACACCTTTAGGAATACCAGTTGATCCAGAGGTGAAGAGTATATAAGCTACATCTTTGGGCGAGACGCTGGTAGCCGGCTTACTATCTTTGTATTGCTCTTCAAGGGTTTCCATGAACTCGCCTGTCACTTCCAGAACACTGGCCACAACACTGGCACATTTGGCAGCATTAGCTGGGGAGGTGAGGGATAATGTAGATCCAGTTTGGCTAACAATTTGCTGGTGGCGTTCAGTAGGATGTGATGGGTCGAGAGGAATCCAAGCAGCACCAGCTTTGTTGATAGCCAAGATCGAGATCACATACCAAGCCGATTTCTCAAAGCACACGTGAACACAATCGCCAACTTGAACGCCTGAAGATTGGATAAGATAATGCGCCAATCTATTGGCAGAGCGATCTAATTCAGTGTAAGTAAATTTAGCATCCCAAGCGCTTAAGGCTTCAGCCTCTGGGTTGATTAGGGCTTGTTGTTCAATCAAATGATGGATACAGTCGTCAATAACAGTAGGCTCGCTATGGTTTGCGGCACGTGCGAATTCTAAATCCCACTCGCTTGCCACTGAAACCGTGGATAAAGAGCTGCTGTCCTGTCTAAGTAACTGGGAAACCACTTGTTCGAATTGGTGGGACAGGCCAACAAGTTGGTGCTCATCGATAATGTCACAATCGTAGACAAGGACAAAATCGACGCGGTCATCCAATAACTGGCACTGTAGAACTAGGGGGTAATTAAAGTAGTTCTCTAGCATTTCATCGACTTGAATGTCCTCAGTTGCAGCAGCAGTAAGAAGGGCCGCTTCTTCCTCGCTACCAGTGGAAGTTATATGCTGGACTGGCTGCACGACTAACAAGCTAGTAAAGTCACAAGCCTCCTTAGCTTGAGCATTTAGTTTAGATATATTTTGGATACCAAACTGCTCGTAAGTTACCATCTCAGAGGCTTGTGATTGAATGCCTTCTAAGAAGCTATTCAGAGACTGGTTCTGGTCAAGCTTAATGCGAACAGGAACAGTCGCAACGACAAGACCAGGCATTCGCTCTATGCCAGGAATAGGGGCATGGCGACCGGAAACTGTAGTACCGAAGCAAACGTCGTTGGAATCGTTATATCGTCCAAGTACAATAGCCCAGGCAGCTCGGAGGATAGTAGCCTTCGTAATCGATGTATCAGTAGACCTTGGGAACTGGACCGTGTTGTGCATCACGCGAGTTGATTTATCTGATTTTTTCGTAGCTCTAATTGTTTCACTTCCAGGAGGGAAAATGGCTTTCTTAGCGCCGTGAAGCTGCTTGATCCAATATTCGCTGGCGGCGCCATAGTCCATATCCATGACATACTTCACAAAGCCAGCAAATGGAAGGAGAGAAGGGACATCGGTACCACGGTAGAAGGCGTGAAGCGTGCCCATTATTAGTGGCAAAGTCCACCCGTCGAAGATAGTGTGGTGGATATTCCAAGCAAAATACTTCTCTTCATTCTGCTCAATAATAGCATATCGACAGAGAGGAGAGCCATAGCCCATTTGAGAATTTTCCGTGGACATTACGAATGAGCGAAGATCAGGCGATGCGTGCCACTGGACTGAATCCTTGATAACGGCTTGGAAAGCAGAGCCATCAACAAGAACTAATCGCGTCCTGAGTGCTGCACAAGCATTTACCGTCTGATTCCAAGCATGCTTGAAGCGCTCAACATCGACATTAGCAGTAAGGCGGTATACATGCTTTGCAACATATGATCCAGGTTGCTTGACTGCCAGAATCATCAAGCCTTCTTGTAATTGAGTGCAAGGATAAGCATCTTCGATGACTGCGGTCTCAGATAGATCGGTGCACTGTGATCGCACCTCACCAAGAACTATATCCATGGCAGAAGCAGGAATGATACTAAAAGGTTTAGTCTCATATACCGGCATGATTTCCTCAGTATTGGCAGCTTCAGCCATGTGAGATAGGCGAGGATCGTTGAAAATGGTAGCTACCGTAAGACCAATGTTATTTTGCTGGGCCAGGGAGACGAGCTGAATAGCACTAATAGAGTCACCTCCAATGCGAAGGAAGCTATCATTTTTCCCAATGGATTCGGCATCAATTTGTAATACCTGAGCCCAGAGGTCTCTGAGTGTGAACTCCATGGTGGTGCTTGGTGGTTCACTCTTGCTAACAACAGGCGCAAAGCGCAGGCGATCTTGTGTCGATAAATTATGGGCGTGGGCAAGCAGGCCATTACGGTTAACCTTGCCGTTAACAGTTTGGTCAGGTTTACCCTCAAATATTAGATAAGATGATGGAATCATATACGAGGGCAACACCATTCCGAGAGAGGAATCAACAAAGGAAATCATAGATCGAGCCTCATCCGTGACAACTTCCATTAAATGAGCAGTTGGCTGAGAGGCCACAGCGCCTTCGGTGTACCATAAGAAAGCGAGCAAACTATCATGCTCGTGTTCATCCTTGACAACAGCCACAATAGCAGCCATATCCTTTGGCAGGAATTCATGGATACGAGATTCGATTTCACCAAGTTCAACACGCTGACCATGAAGTTTAACTTGAGTATCTTTACGGCCCATAAATTCGAAAGTGCCATCTGCATTGCGCCGAACCAGATCACCAGTCCTATAGACTCTCTTGTTGTTGTTGCCTGGAAGCCAGTCGACATTTTCCATCCAGTTGGATGCAACGTCGGCGGTGGCGTTTAAGTATCCTCGGGCAAGCATAGGACCTTCAATGAGAAGCTCGCCAATGCATCCTACAGGGACAAGTCGCTTGTAATTGTTAGGCTCAACTACCCAGAAGGCCGAAGACGTCGGTCTTCCGATGTTGGTTGACCGTCCCGATTGACCAACAGCGGGATTCCAAGCACAGATCGACGCTTCTGCCGGGCCGTACAGGCCATGTAGATTTGTGCAATTAACCCAACGGTCTGCACATTTCTTACTAATAGCCTCGCCACCTAAACAGAGAGTCTTGAGATAAGGAACGTCGGCCGGTGAGAGAAGATCTGCAACAGTAGGTGTAAGGAATACCCAGTTAGCTTTTGTTACATTCATGGCTCCGGCAAGGTCATTAAGACGAGCATGGTCCGACGGGATGCAAATAGTTGCACCACGCATAAGAGAAACGAGACAGTCTAGTACACCAACGTCGAATGTATAAGCAGAGAACTGGAATATACGCGTGCCGGGCCCAATTTCGAGGTCGCAACCATAAGCATTTCCAGATGAGCACAAACTGTTGTGCTGGATAACCATCCCCTTGGGCTTGCCAGTTGATCCTGAAGTGAATAGTACGACACTTGCATTATCTGGCTGTGCCATAGATTTAACACCGTCCGCGGGGTCGGATAGTTCAAGCAAAAGAGCCTCGTCGACAGCGAACACCTCGATGCCAATATCACGCATAGTATCTTGGCAAGATGGGCTAGCAACAGCTAAAGAGGACTTCGTATCTTCAATAATTCCTCGAAGGCGAGCAACAGGTGCATTGGGATCAAGAGGAACAAAGGCACCGCCAGCCATCTCGATAGCAACCATTGCAACAACTGCCCAAGTAGACTTAGGGAAGCATAGTGGAATGAGTGATTCAGGTCCGACGCCAAGCCCTTGAAGCTTCCATGCCAGTCGTGATGCAAGTACACCGAGTTCTTTGTAAGTAAGATCGCCATCCCAAGAAACGATGGCGGTATCGTTAGGCTGGGTCTTAATACGCTCCTGTATAAGCCAGTGCGTGCATGACTCAGTTGAGGGCTTGAGCCTTGTGGATGCAAGAGCGTGCTGAATATCCCAATCACCGACCAGATTTACACTTTCAAGCGTTTCGTCAGTTTCAGCTAAAAGCTTCTTCACAACATGGTCAATATGATTCGATAGCGCAGATACTCGCGCCTCAGTTAACACCTCGGAGTTAAAGAAGAAGCGTTGCAGAATATGGTCCTCGAAAGTGTTGAGGATAATCACAAGAGGATAATTAAAGTAATTATGCATAGCATCATCTGTAAGGCTCTGTTCCTCGTCGCCATAAATTAGTATGTTAGTATCAGCGTCCTTTTCCGAGATCGTAGTTGCTGGTGGCTGAATAACGAGCAAGCTCGAGAAGTCACAAGTGTCTCTAGCATCGCGGCTGAGCTTAGAGATATTCTGAAGCCCGAATTGTTCATAAGGTACCATCTCATATGCTTGCTTTTGAATTTCAGTAAGAAACTGGGACTTAGTGGCCGAACGGTTTAGGTGAACTCGAACAGGAACCGTCGCTATCATGGGGCCTGGCATAGTCTCAAGACCGGCAACCGGAGCATGGCGACCCGACACAGTCGTACCAAAGCTCACATCGTCAGTGTCACAATATCGTGCAAGAACAATCGCCCAAGCAGCCCTCAAAATAGAAGCCTTTGTGATGATACTCTGCTTAGCCTGTTCGAGGCTGATAATAGACTTGAATATTTGTGTTGATGACGATGAACTAGGAGAGGTTTGACGTGCTGGGAAAACAGCCCTCTTAGAGCCAGACAGCTGCTCCCGCCAGAAATCAGCCAAGGCCATACTATCCAGCTCCATGTTGTACTTGATAAATCCAGAATAAGGCTGTAGGGTTGGTACATCCGTGCTGAGATAAATGGTGTATAGGGTAGTCAGCAAGATGCGCATCACCCAGCCATCATAGATGGAGTGGTGAGCTGACCACACAAAGTATTTATTATTGTTCTCCTCAAGCACTCCGTACCAACAGAGAGGAGCACCATAGCCCATCTTTAGATCTCGAGAAGAATTGGTGATTGAGGCTAGTGTGTCATTCTCCAGAGACTGCCACTGATTATCTTCTTTGAGGAGTAATTGGATTGGCGTACCATTCAGTAGGACAATTCGCGTTCGCATGTTACCACAAAGTTCCATAGTCCGATTCCATGCGGCTTGAAATCGCTCCATATCAACAAAAGTAGAGAGTTTGTAAACATACTTAGCAACATACGAACCCGGCTGCTTCATGGTCAAGGCCATCAAACCTTCCTGAAGTGAAGTGCAAGGATAAGCATCTTCAATAATGTGATCATCATTAAGGCCGCAAAATTTGCGAACTTCGCCAGCAAGTACCAGGGCACGAGTTTGCTTGTTCAAAAGGCTGAAGGGGACAATAGGTCCCTGTGGCTCCTGGAATTCCGTCGATAAGACAGCTTTGGAAGCAACAGCAAGCAGCCTTGAATCATCAAAGATATCCTTGATGATAAGAGAGATGCCCGCTTCACGCGCCTTTGACACTAAATATATTGCAGTAATAGAATCGCCGCCAATCTGGAGGAAGCTATCATCACGACCAATAGAATCGATGGGAAGATTAAGAATTTCGCTCCATATAGCCTGCAGGCGAGTTTCCATCTCGGTTTCAGGGACGCGCTTCTTACTATTGATGAGCGAATAGTGTATAAGTTCATCTCTGCCAAGGGAGGCTGTTATCGACTTCAGTGTCTTCCTGTCTAATTTTGTGGAAGTAATAAAAGGCATATATTTGCAGGGAATAAATAGAGTGGGAATCATGTAGCGCGGAAGAGTCACGCTAAGCTCGCCAACCATTGAAGTAATGCGAGCCTGAATGTCAGCATCAAGAGGGAGATAGATGTCGCTAGCTTTGAGTTCTGGCGAGCTAGGCTGAGAGTCATCATTAAAACAGATGTATGAAACCAACTGCGTTCCTGTTTCTGATGTCAAAACATCAACAGCAACCTGTCTGACGCCCTCAAGTAATTCGCGAATATGGTGTTCAACTTCGCCTAATTCTACACGAAGGCCACGGATCTTGACTTGGGTATCCTTACGGCTGTAAAACTCAAGTGTACCGTTCGGGTTATAGAAGCACAGGTCGCCTGACTTGTAAAAGCGGCTCCAAAGATGAGCATCAGAGACTTGCTTCGGTGCCCATGGCGGCAATTCAGTAATAATAGTCTCCTTACTCCTCTGTGGATCAGCAAGATATTCACGGAGCAGTGTTGGGCCTTGCAGAACGACTTCACCCAAGCAGCCAATTGGGGTCAGCTTATTCGAATCTTCCGCTTCAACGATCCAACAGTACCCTCCGACAGGTCTTCCGATCGTCAATGGTGATTCATCAATAGAAGACCACTCGTGCAAAGTGGAGAATACACAAGTTTCGGCAGGTCCCCAGCCATTGATCAGCCGTACCTTACCAAACCATGTATCAAGTATATCTCTTCCAACAGCTTCGCCGGCCAGAAGTAACAGCTGAAGACTAGGAACATCTTCGGGCCTTAACGTTCGAACGAAAGAAGGCGTTAGATACGCCCAATTGATCCTCGCATCTCGGATAAATTCCTTTAAACCGTTCATTCTTGTCTCTTCCGATGGCACGCAGACGCAGGCTCCGTGGATTAAGGGGGCTACAATTTCACCAATAGAAAGATCGAAGACGTACGCAGCAAATTGAAGAATTCTGACGTCAGGTGTGAGACTTAGCCTCTTAGCAATAGCAGTTTGGCTTGTGCATACAGCGCCGTGCTGCATTACAAGGCCCTTGGGTGTTCCTGTGCTGCCCGAGGTGAAAAGAACATAGGCCGCGTTGCTTGATGGTACGTTGATAGCTGGACTATTAAAACCATCACAAAACTTCGAAAGTTCATCAATAAGACTAGGAGAGACCTCAATGACGTTATGGACCAGTTTGTTACAGAGAGCTGCGTTGGTAGGAGACGAAAGTGCGAATTTGGCCAAAGTTTGGCCTACAACCTGACGCAGGCGTTGTTCAGGGTGTGATGGATCAAGAGGTACCCAAGCGGCTCCAACCTTATTGATTGCGATAATAGAAACGAAGAACCAGACAGACTTCTCAAAGCAGACGTGAACCAGATCATCTGCCTTAATACCTATCTTAAGTATATGATGAGCTAGCTGATTAGCAGCGCTGTTGAGCTGGCTGTAGTTCATCTCACCATCCCAAGCGCAGATAGCTGGTGCGTCTGGTCTGATTCGTGCTTGTTTTTCGATAAGACTATGAATACAAGTATCCAATATTTCGGGATTTTCAACATTCCACTCCTTAGCCTGCTCAAGATCCCATTCGCCGGAGATGGTAATAGAACTAAGGGGATCATTAGACTCATTCACTAGTTGGTTTGCGACGACGTTAAACTGATGGGAGAGTGCCTTCATTTGAACTTCTGACAGGATTGTAGAGTCGTATGTGAGAAGAAGCTCAATAGAGTCCTCAAAAATATGCCCCTGAATCACGAGAGGATAAGTAAAGTAATTCTGTATCAACTGCTCGCCGCTTCTGGCATCAACTGATGCAACTAAGAGAGATTCAGAAGATTCTTTGCCTTTGATCAAATCTAAATGACTTCGAGGTTGTATGACAAGAAGTGAGGAAAATTCACAAGCATCTCTAGCGTCGGTGCTCAACTTAATGATGTTCTGGAGACCGAATTGCTCAAACGCAATCATATCAGTTGCTTGTGACTGTATATTGCTCAAAAACTGAGCTACTGTCTGGCTGGCCTCGAGGCGAACACGAATTGGCACTGTTGCAACGACCGGACCTGGCACCCCGGTTAGGCCGGGCACAGGAGCCTGTCGACCGGAAACAGTGGTTCCAAATGTGATATCATCAGTATCACAGTATCGAGCAAGAAGGATCGCCCAAGTACCACGAAGAATTGTAGCCTTTGTATTAACAGTTTTGACGGATGGAGGGAAAGATATCGTCATATTCATCATCCGAGAGACGCCAGTATGGGACTCAATGCGGGGCATTGGAGGATATGTTGCACGCTTAGCATTTTTCATCTGCTCAGTCCAGAATCTGCTAGCCTCCTCTTTATCAATATTGACTGTGTAACGGATAAAGGCAGAGTATGGGAGAAGATTAGGAAGCCCTTGATCCAGGTATAGACTATAGAGTGTGTTCATGATGATTCGAAGTGTCCAACCGTCATGGACGGCGTGGTGCGATACCCAGATGAAATGGTTGCCAAACTCAGGATCCCTAACTAAGGCATAACGGTTAAGACGAGAACCGTAGGTCATCTCAGAACGGGTCGCGTTGAGAGTACACTGTAGGTCTGTTGAAAAAGCGTTATCCCATTCAGCAGGTCCATCGACTAGTAATTGGACGCAGGTGCCATCAAGCATGACGATGCGGGTCCGAAGATTAGCGCAGAGCTGGATAGTTCGCTCCCAGGAAGCCTTGAATCGAACGAGATCTACGCCACTCGACAACTTGTACACATACTGTGCGACATAAGAGCCGCGCTGCTTAACAGACAAAGCCATCAGACCTTCTTGTAACTTTGAACAAGGGTAAGCATCTTCGATAACCTGACTAGGAAGTAAAGAAGTCTGAAATCGGGTGTCATCACTGAGAACCATCTCGCGGAGACGGTCAGATAGTAAACTGAATGGAAGAACCGGCAGATCTTGATCAATGGCATCCATGGAGCGGGCATGAGATGCAACAGCGGAAAGACGAGGATCGTCAAAAATCTCCTTCACTGTGAGGGAAACTCCGGCTTCACGACACGCGGTGACAAGATGGATGGCCATAATTGAGTCACCTCCTAACCCAAGGAAGCTATCATCGCGGCCAATAGACTCAGATGGGATAGATAGTAACTTCGACCAGATATTTTGTAATTGAAGTTCCATAGGAGTCTCAGGTGCACGTTTGCTGACGCCATGCAGCGAGAATTTGTTTAGTTCAGATTGGCTTAGAGCGGCTGTTTGCCGTTTCAGCTCCTTTCGATCGAGCTTGCCAGATGTGATGCTAGGCATATAACTGCATGGGATATAGAAGGTAGGAATCATGTAACGTGGAAGAGTAACACTTAATTTACCTATTGCGCCAGCTAGCGTTTCTTGAAGATTAGTATCGAGAGGAGAAAATGGTCCATTAACATCAGCATTATGAAGTTGTCTGATCTCATCGTTGAAACATAGATATGCAACCAGATTAGAGCCGTTGTCGGTTTTGATAACGTCTACAGCAATCTGGCGTATTTCTTCGACTGAAGCTTGAACTTGATATTCAATCTCTCCGAGTTCAACACGAAGACCCCGAATCTTAACCTGCGTATCCTTACGAGATGAAAACTCAATCTTGCCGTTAGCGTTATAGAAGCCCAAGTCTCCAGTCTTGTAAAATCGGCCCCAGTTGTTTTCATCTGGGCGAGGCGCCCATTCTGGTAAGTCATATAGAATTGCTTCTTGAGTTTTGTCAGGGTTATCAAGGTACTCGTGGAGTAAAGTTGGCCCTTGGATGACTATTTCACCAAGAGTCCCGGTTGGTGCAAGAAGCTGTGGGTTGTTTGGATCGACAATCCAGCAGAACCCACCGACAGGGTGGCCGATGGTTGACGGTGACTCGTCAACAGATTCGAATTCATGAATACTGCCGACGACAGTTGTCTCTGTAGGACCCCAACCATTGATGAATCGAACGCGACCAACCCATGTCTCGAAAACATCACGCGGTATAGCTTCGCCTCCCGCAAAAACCAATTCTACGTTCGGAACATCGATTGGATTGATTGTGCGTAAAAAGGAGGGTGTTAAGTAGAGCCAATTGATGTTCATGTCGCGGATGAAATCGACTATACCATTCATCCGTATGTGCTCCGAGGGAACACAAACGCAAGCCCCTTGAAGCAATGACATGATAATCTCAAGAATAGAGAAATCAAATACGTAGGCGGAAAATTGAAGAATGCGCACATCTAAATGATAGCGGACCCTCTTCGCAATTGCATTCATATTTGTGCATAAAGAGCGGTGCTGTATCACAACGCCTTTGGGTGTGCCAGTTGAGCCTGAGGTAAATAGTATGTATGCAGCAGTTCGTGAAGACACAGAGACTTTGGGGCTTTCAAGTCCGTCTTGTGCAGGAAGCATACTATCGAGAGCTGAAGATACCTCGACAACATTGTCAACCAAGGCAGAACAGAGTGTTATATTGCCTGGTGACGCCAAAGCCAGCGTGGACTTAGTCTGATTGACAATTGATCGTAATCGTTGCTCTGGGTGGAAAGGATCTAATGGGACCCAAGTGGCACCTGCTTTGTTGATTGCAATTATCGACACTATGTACCATGCTGATTTGTCAAAGCAAACATGGACAAGATCGTTCAGCTTGACGCTGTAGGATTTGATTAAGTAGTGAGCAAGCTTATTGGCTGCACTATTGAGCTCGGCATATGTGTAATTACCGTCCCAGGCAGCAACAGCTGGTGCGAGTGGGTTTAGGTGTACGCGATTCTCAAACATCTCGTGCATGCAAGTATCGATAACCTCGGGAATTTCTGCGTTAATTGCCAAAGCTCTCTCGACATCATATGACGATGAGACTGAGACTGTCTCTAGAGTGGCAGGCGTATTGGTGGTTAGCTGCATCATTACATGTTGTAGATGATAAGATAAAGCAACCATTTGAGGCTCTAGCATGATGCTCGAATCATAAATAAGTATGAAGCTTATATGATCATCATATAAGTGAGCCTGGATAACAAGGGGATAAGAGAAGTAGTTTTGAATGGCTTCAACAGCATTATCTTCCCCAATACTAGCATCAACCAGGATAGAATCATCTTTGGTCTTACCAGCAAGATGTTGAATAGGCTGGACAACAAGAAGGCTGCTAAAGTCACATGCATCTCGTGCATCGTCACCTAATTTAGCGATATTTTGAAGGCCGTACTGCTCAAAGGCGATCATCTCCACAGCCTGTCTCTGGACTCCTTCGAGGAAATCAGAGATAAGCTGTTGACGGTTAATAAGCACACGAACTGGCACTGTGGCAATTGTAGGCCCGACCATTCCCATGATCTCAGGGATGGGTGCCTGCCGACCCGAAATAGTGGTACCAAACGTCACGTCATCAGAATCACAGTATCTAGCAAGAACGATAGCCCAAGCGGCGCGAATGACTGTAGCTATTGTGACTGTTGAGTTGTCCAGGCCATGAGGGAGCTCAATAGATGATTGCAGCATTTGAGTAGCAGCAGGCTTGTCACGAGCCACATCATTGGGCGGGAAAATGGTTCTTTGGGCATTGTGGAGCTGATTTTTCCAGTAATTGGCTGTAGTGTCCTCTTCAAGTTGAAGCATATACTGTATAAACCGATTATATGGTGGCAGAGGCAAAACATCGACACCGCTGTAGATATTGAATAACGTGCCCAAGATGTTCTGCGTTGATAGCCCATCGATCACAGCATGGTGCATATTCCACAGGAAGTATGTATCGTTATCACGTCGAATCAAGGTGTACCTGCAAAGTCGAGTACCATATCCCATCTCAAGAGTCTGAGATTGAGCAAGGCATGACTGCAGATCACCGTCGGCTTCGTCCCAAGAAATATCCCCATTGATGACAACCTGTATAGAACAACCGCCAGTTTGGATAATTCGGGTACGTAAGGCACTAGCTATTTCAACTGTGCTCTCCCAAGCTGCCTTGAACTTGTCAACGTCAACATGTTCAGAGAGTTTGTAGATATATTTTGCGATGTAAGAGCCGGGTTGTTTTATGGCCAGAGCCATCAGACCTTCTTGAAGCTTGCTACAGGGATAAGCATCTTCGATGAATTGACCATCAGAAAGCTCAGATGGTAGAGCAAAATCTTCAATACCAGAAGTTAGAAGGCTGAATGGTTCAATTGGTGCCATGAGATGACTATCTTCATCATTGTCAATAGCTTTGGTAGCAACTGAAATCAAACGAGCATCATCAAAGATGTCATTCACCGTAAGACTAATTCCGGCATCGCGGGCCATTGACACAAGCCGAATAGCTGCAATTGAATCACCGCCAATGCGCATAAAGTTATCGTGTCGGCCAATTGAGGCCTCTGGTAAATCTAGAACCTCTGCCCAGAGCTTCTGGAGACGAATTTCCATCTCAGTTTCAGGTGCTTGTTTCTCGTTAACGAGTAAGGAATAAGCTTCCAATTGGTCTTGACTAAGCTCGGCTGTTAGGCGACGAAGCTTAACACGGTCCAATTTAGAAGAGGTGATGAAAGGCATATATGCGCAAGGAATAAACATAGTGGGGATCATATATGTTGGAAGTGAGGAGTTCAGCTCTGTAAGCATTTTGCCAAGATTAATCTGCAGTTCGGTATCAATAGATGCAAATACATCTTTGCCTTCGAAATCTGTGTTCTGATCTGGCGTCTTAGTGTCACTAGTAAAGCAGAGGTAGGCAACCAAGTTAGCTCCTTTCTCGGTCTTGAAAACGTCAACAGCGACCTGACGAACACCATCCAGGGAGCCTTGGATGCGGTGTTCAACTTCACCTAACTCCACACGTAGCCCACGAATCTTGACCTGTGTGTCTTTTCGACTAGCAAAATGAAGCATTCCGTCATGGTCGTAGAAACCAAGGTCACCCGTCCTGTAGAAGCGGTTCCATGTGGTAGATTGGCGTCTAGGAGCCCATTCTGGAAGCTCAGTGACTGTAGCAGCTGCTGTTTTCTCAGGATCAGCAAGATATTCCTTGAGTAGCGGAGGACCTTGGACAATAATTTCGCCCAAGCAGCCAGTAGGTGCAAGCCGTTGAGGATTCTCAACATCAACAACCCAGATGTACGCGCCAACCGCCCGACCAAGTTTCAAAGGGGATTCTGTATTTGACTGCCATTCGTATAGGGTGTTATAAACACATGTCTCTGCAGGACCCCAAGCATTAATAAATCGCGTGTTGGGAAGACCAAACCAAGTATCGAGCACATCTTGAGTTGTAGGTTCACCAGCAAGAAGTAGCAGCTTAAGGCTAGGAAAATCTTTGGGTTTCAAGGTACGTGTGAATGATGGAGTCAGATATGCCCATGTGACGTTGAAATCACGGACAAAGCTATCGAGACTATTGAGACGCATGTGCTCTGATGGGACACAGACACAAGCGCCGTTCATCAGGGCCTGCACGATTTCGCCGACTGACACATCAAAAACAAAAGATGAGAATTGCAACATCCTAACGGTGTGGTCAAAACCCAGCCACCCGCTTAGCGCTGCTTGATTTGTGCAAAGTGCTCCATGTTGCATCACAATACCTTTGGGCACGCCGGTGGAGCCAGATGTGAACAGAATGTAGGCAGCATCCATAGGAGTGACGTTAATATCAGGTCCTTTTTCGATATTGTCATATGTAGTCCAAAGATTTTTGTCGAGTGTAGATGAAACCTCGACCACGCAGTCCACGACCTGTTCACACAGTCTTGTGTTGGCAGTCGAAGCAAGCGCCAGTTTAGCACCAGTTTGACTAGCAACAGCTTTGAGACGCTGAGGAGGGTGCGCAGGATCAAACGGAGCCCATGCAGCACCAGCCTTATTGACTGCCAGAATAGCTACAAAATACCACTTAGACTTCTCAAAGCAAACATGCACAATGTCGCCAACCTTGACGGCATAGTCATGAACAAGAAGGTGGGCAAGTCTATTAGCAGTGCGGTCCAGTTCACTGTAGGTGAATTTTCCGTCCCAGGCGTCGATAGCAGGCCTATTCGGCCTCTGTTTAGCCTGTCTCTCAATGATAAGGTGAATACAGTCGTCAATGATCTGAGGTCCGTCGCCATTAGACCGTTGCGCAAGCTCCAGATCAAATGAACTAGCAATTGATATATCTCCCAGTTTACCACCATCCTCTGCTGCTAGCAGCTGCTGTACAATGTTGTTAAAATGATGACAAAGAGCAGTCATCTGTGGTTCAGAAACAACAGTTGAGTCATAAACCAACACGAGGTCAGCATAGTCGTTATAGATGTGGCCTTGAAGGACTAGGGGGTAGTTGTAGTAGCTCTGAAGAATATCCTCAAGTTCTGTCTCAACAGGGATCAAAAGGGCATCGTCAGACTGCACACTGAATTCCTGTCGCTGAATAGGCTGGATTACTAAGAGCGATGTAAAATCACACGCATCTCTCGCATCATTGCCTAGTTTGGCAATGCTCTGGAGACCATATTGCTCATACGGCACCATCTCATGAGCCTGGCTTTGGATATTCTGCAAAAATTTAGAAATTTCTTGATCATTATCAAGCTGCACTCGAACTGGAACAGTTGCAACCGCTGGGCCAGCCATTTCCAAGAGGCCAGGCACAGAAGCCTGTCTACCAGAGATAGTAGCGCCGAAGCAGACATCATCACTTTCGCAATACCTCGCAAGAATAACTGCCCAGGCAGCTCTAATAACGCTGGCCTTGGTGGCGATCTCGTTAGAAGATGCAGAAAATTTGAGAGAGGTAGACATGACACGAGTCTTCCTCCCAGTCCATATAGACTTCGCAGCGAGACCAGTCTTTGGGAAGCTAGCCCTCTTTGCATTTTGAAGCTGTTCTCTCCAATAGTCCCCAGCAGCCTTTTGTTCATGTTCCATAGTGTATTTGATGAAGCCGGAATAAGCCTTTGGTTTTCCCAATTCAAGGCCTTTGTAGGCTTGATAGAGTGTATTAAAAATCACAGGTACTGACCAACCATCGTGTATAGAGTGATGGGCTGTCCACAAGAAGTACTTGTCACCAGACTTAGACTCATGGATGGAGTATCTAGAGAGAGGTGAACCATACGTCATGCTGTAAGAGTGGGTGGCGTTGACAGCTTCATCTAGATCTCCAGAATCGAGATTCTCCCAAGTAACACTATCCTTGACTACCAACTGAACACAAGTATCCTTAATCATGATAATCCTTGTTCGTAGAATAGGATGCAGGGCAACGGTGTGTTCCCAAGAAGACTTAAAGCGACCAATATCAACTTGGTGGGGTAGGCGGTATACGTATCTCGCAATATAGGATCCTGGTTGACTAACAGACAAGGCCATAAAACCTTCTTGGAGTTTAGTGCATGGGTAGGCATCCTCAATAGTCTGACTTGTGAGCAACTTCAGCTGCTTCTTGACACTGGAACCGGCAGCGAGCTCACGAGTCTCACCAATGAGGAGGCTAAATGGCGATATATCAGGAGACTGTTGTTGGGCCTCGGTGTCGAGTTCCCTAGCCTTACTGGCAATAGCCAACAGACGTGGGTCATCAAAGACGTCCTTTGCAGTAATAGAGATACCTTGATCTCGTGAAATGCTCACTAGATGGATTGCAGTAATTGAATCACCCCCAAGTCCTAAGAAGCTATCATCACGGCCAATAGAATCAAGTGGTATGTGAAGAATTTCCGACCAGATCCGCTGAATAAGACTCTCCATTGGCGTCTCGGGAGTCCTCTTATTACCACCTAGTAATGAAAACATAGCCAGTTCGGATTGAGTAAGGAGCAAAGTGCGACGTCGAAGCTCGTTCCTATCGAGTTTGGTAGACGTGATAGAAGGCATGTACTTGCAAGGGATAAACAGAGTCGGAATCATGTACCTAGGTAGAGCTATATTTAGCTTCCCAATAGCGACTGTTAGACGAGCCTGCAACTTCTCATCGATGGCTTGGAAAGGTCCAGATGGATGAGCTTCATGGATTTGGCGACTTTCATCACTAAATGAGAAGTAGGCCACGAGGTTGGTACCATTATCACCCTTAAAGACATCAACAGCGATTTGATGAACACCATCCAAAGCGACCTGAACAGCGTGTTCAACTTCGCCTAATTCAACTCTCAAACCACGAATTTTGACTTGAGTATCCTTCCGGCTGGAAAATTCAATAGTTCCGTCGGGATTATACACGCAAAGATCTCCGGATTTGTAAAAGCGACTCCAACTAGATTGCTCGCGAAACGGTGCCCAGTCTGGCAGTGATTTAATAACGGCAGCTTCGGTACGGTCGACGTCCGATAAATACTCGCGTAGAATTGTAGGTCCTTGAATTATAACCTCGCCCAATGCACCGGTTGGCGCAAGTCGATGCGGGTTCTCTGGGTCGACGATCCAGCAGAATCCACCCACAGGACGGCCTACAGTAAGGGGACTCTCGTCCGCAGATTGCCATTCATGTAATGTACTGAAGCAGCAAGTTTCGGCAGGGCCCCAACCATTGATTAGACGCAGCTTACCGAACCAAGTCGCAAAGATATCTCGAGGAACAGCTTCACCAGCAAGTAGTAAAAGCTTAAGGTTGGGGACCTCAGATGGCTTAATCGTACGAACAAATGATGGTGTTAAGTAAGTCCAGGTTATGCCCTGCCTGTTGATGAAATTGGCGATACTATTCATACGAATATGCTCTGACGGAACGCAGATACATGCACCAGAAATTAAAGGGCCAACAATCTCCCCAATTGATAAATCAAAAACAAAGGCTGCGAATTGCAATATTCGAACTTTTGAATTTAATCCGAGCCTCTTGGCGATAGCAACCTGTGACGTGCAGACAGAGCCATGTTCCATAATAAGACCCTTCGGAATGCCTGTGCTGCCAGACGTAAACAACACATAAGCGGCGTTACGCGAAGAGACGTCCACCACAGGGCCATGAGCACTAGATTCTGTTGCTAAGAGCTTGTTGTCAAGCTCAGCGTTTACTTCGACCACCTTTCTGACAAGGGTTGAGCATAATACGGCATTGGCTGAAGACGACAGAGCTAGAGTAGTCCCGGTCTGGGAAAGGATCTGACGAAGACGTAGTACAGGATGCGAGGGATCCAAGGGAACCCAAGCAGCACCAGCCTTATTAATGGCAGTAATCGCGACAAAATACCAAGCATTCTTCTCAAAGAACACAGGGATTAGGTCATCAGGCTTAACGTTATATTTGTTGACAAGGAGATGAGCCAGCCTGTTGGACGCCTCGTTAAGCTGCTTGTATGTAAAATCGCGATCCCAACTGACAATGGCGGGCGCATCGGGCTGAGTGACAGCTTGGTATTGAATTAACTCATGAATGCAAGAGTCGACGATATCAGGAATATCGCGATTCTGTCTCATTGAATGTTCAAGGTCCCAATCGCTAGCCATAGAAACAGAGCCTAACTTCATATCGGACTGAGATGCGAGTTGCTTCATGACGCTTTCGAATTGGTGGGATAAAGCAGTTATCTGATTCTCTGAGAGCACATTTGAATCATAAATCAGAACAAGGTTGATGAAATTTTCATGCACGTGTCCTTGAATAACTAGTGGATAGCTGAAATAATTCTGGACAGTATCGCCAATCTCCTTTTCAACTTCGGCTTGGACAAAGATGGCATCGGCATTTTCATCCACGTAGGATAGTGATTGAATAGGTTGAATGACAAGTAGACTGCTGAAATCGCAGGCATCCTTGGCATCATCGCTGAGTTTAGAAATATTTTGTAAACCAAACTGTTCAAAGGGGATCATGTCGTTTGCCTGCCTTTGAATAGCCTGTAGATAGTCTGAGATGAGTTGGTTGCGGTTAATGACAACACGTACGGGGACCGTTGCAATAGCAGGCCCAGTCATATCTACAAGGCCAGGGACCGGCGCCTGTCGACCAGAAATAGTGGCACCGAAAGTAATATCATCAGAATCACAGTACCTAGCTAAAATAATTGCCCAGGCAGCTCGAAGCATAGTAGCTGTTGTGATCGATGACTTGCTTGTGCTAGGCAAGTCAATCACTTTCTCTAGGGTGAGTGTGCTGTTTCTCTTCTTCTCGTGTACAGATGATAAGGTGGGGGGAAAGATGCTTTGTCTTGCACCTTCGAACTGGGACCTCCAGTAGTCTGCTGCAGCATCGCTGTCAATAGCCAAAGTGTACTTCACAAATCGTACATAAGGTTCTACAACCGTATGAGTTCGATTGTGGAAAATAGAGTGGAAAACTGCCATGAGAACCCTCATGCCCCAGCCGTCAAAAACGGCGTGATGCATGGACAATATAAAATAAGTGTGACCGCCATCCTCAATGAGAGCATATCGAGCCAACGGTGAGCCATAAGCCATCTCGAAATTTTCAGTCGAGCACATATAAGAACGCAAAGAGGTTCCACTTGTCGATTGCCAGGATACATCATCTTTGAAGACAGCCTGGACGGACATGTTATTGACGGTGAAGATCCTGGTACGAAGGTTAGGCAGAAGGCGGACAGTTTCTTCCCAAGAAGCCCTCAGGTGTGAGACGTCGACATTGGGAGAAATACGATAGAGGAATTTAGCAATGTACGATCCAGGCTGCTTAACAGCAAGAGCCATGAGACCCTCCTGGAGTTTTGTACATGGATACGCATCTTCTAGCTCTTTATCAGCTGGAAGGCTGTACTGTTCTCGGATATTCTGGCTGAGAACGATATTTTTGACAGAGCCGTCTAGAAGAACAAAAGGTTCAATCTGAGTCATTAACTCACCGTCTTCGCCAATCTCAGTTGCTTTAGCAGCGACAGCTAACAGCCGTGGATCGTCAAAGATGTCTCCGACGGTGAGTCTAATGTTGGCATCTCGAGCAACAGAAACAAGCCGAATGGAAACAACAGAATCACCGCCGATCTGGAGGAAAGAGTCGTCGCGTCCTATTGAGTCGATACTAATATTCAGTACCTGCGCCCATATCTTCTGAATACGGCTCTCCATGGCAGTTTGTGGAGCGACTTTCTCTTCGTTCGCGAGCGAGTAGGCTGCCATATCTTCTTGACTAAGAGAAGCGGCAAGTTCTCTCAGCTTCTTGCGATCTAATTTAGTTGACGTTGCGAGAGGCATGTAGGCGCAGGGAATGAAAGCACTGGGGACCATGTATCGAGGCATGAGAGTACTCAATATCCCTATCAGTCGACTAATTGTAGCTTGGAAATCTCCATCAAGTGTTGAGAAGGGGCCATTTGCAATGACTCTCGTGTCAGTGACGGTTTGATCTGTGGCATCAGAAAAGCTCACGAATGCAACGAGCGTTGAGCCAGCGTCAGACTTGATAACATCGACAGCTACTTGTCGAACACTTTCAAGGTTAGCTTGAATGTGGTGCTCAATCTCTCCAAGCTCAAGACGTTGTCCTCGAATCTTCACTTGAGTGTCTTTGCGAGTACAGTATTCTAAGTTACCGGCTTCATTGATGAATCCCAAATCACCAGTAAGATAAAAGCGATCCCAATGAATGGAATCACGCTTTGGAACCCACTGTGGAAGGCCCGTAATTGTAGCGGTAGCCGTTTTGACAGGATCAGAGAGATATTCGCGAAGCAAATTTCGACCCTGTATTACAATTTCACCAACAGTTCCCAAGGGAGCCATGCATGTGGCATCTTCCGGATCAACAATCCAACATGAGCCACCAATTGGTCGACCAATAACCTTGGGTGATTCATCAACAGAGGTCCACTGGTGAAGACATGCGATAACAGAGCATTCGGTTGGGCCCCAACCGTTAGCAAGTCTCAGTTTCCCAAACCAAATATCGAGGATATCGCGAGTAGGAGCTTCTCCAGCAACCACTAACATATCGACGGAAGGAACATCTTCGGGGCGGATAGTTCGAGCCAGGGTCGGCGTCAGCACCATGAACGTGAGCTGATGCTTTCGGATATATTCCACCAGCTCGTTCATCTGCTCATCCCATGAGGGCACGAATAAACAAGCACCGGTAAGGAAGGTAGAACCAATCTCAAATAAGATGATATCAAATGAGTAAGACGAGAACTGAAGAACTCTGAACTCTTCATTGAAGTCAAGAGCCTTTGACAGAGATATTTGGCTGGTGCAAAGCGAACCATGCTCGATGACAACACCTTTTGGTACACCTGTAGACCCGGAAGTAAATAAGACATAAGCAGCATCTCTAGGAGTAACATTGACGGCCGGTCTACTGGTGCTCCATTCAACATTTTGAGCCAATTTGGAGTCGAGCTCAGACGTCAGCTCAATAACGTTCGGTAACAGACTAGCACATCTGTTGGAATTAACAGGCGAACTAAGTGCTATCTGGGAACCAGTTTGATTGATAATTTTCTGATAACGCTCAGTTGGGTGCGATGGGTCAAGAGTTGACCAAGCTGCGCCAGCTTTATTGATAGCCAGGGTAGCGATGATGAACCAAGCCGATTTCTCGAAGCATACATGAATGATATCTCCAACCTTGACTCCATAGTCAGTCACAAGATGGTGTGCAATACGGTTAGTAGTCTCGGCCATTTCTCTATAGGTAAATGATTTGTCCCATCCAGAAATAGCCAGAGAGTCACCTCGAACTAAAGCAATTTCATCAAGCATTTCATGGAAGCAACGCTCAACAGCGTCTGGGGAATCGCTGTTGAGTTTTAATGCCTGTTCAAAGTCCCATCTACCTGCTAGCGATATGCTGCCAAGAAGCAAGTTGTCCTTACTGGCAAGCTCTTGAACAGCATTATCGAAATGGTGAGATAGGGCCTCCATCCTGCTTTCCGAAAGGGCTTGAGAATCATATATCAGCATGAGGTTGATGGTGTTGTCATATAAGTGACATTGAATAACAAGCGGGTAAGAAAAGTAATTTTGCAAAGCGCTTGTTTCATTAGTGATATGCGATTCAGCTGCAACTAAGAGAGCATCATCGCCGCGGTATGCCAATTGTTCGATTGGCTGTATAATCAACAATGAGCCGAAATCGCAAGCTTCCATAGCATGTGAACTAATTTTTGAGATATTCTGGAGACCATACTGCTCGTAAGATATCATATCTAAGGCTTGGCTCTGAACGCTGTCTAGAAAGGCAGCTACGGTCTGCTTCTTATCTATACAGACTCTAACAGGAACAGTAGCGACAGCAGGGCCAGCCATATTAGTGATTCCATCTACAGGAGCTTGGCGGCCTGAGATCGTAGCACCGAATGTCACATCGTCACTTTCGGAGTATCGGGAAAGTACAAGAGCCCAGGCCGCTCGTAAAATAGTGGCCTTCGTAATAGAAGAGCCAGCAGTCTGAGAGCAGGTAATGGATTTCTCCAGAACGCTCACGGAGTTTGACTGAGAGGATGCAGCTGGAGGGAACGTGGCTTTCTTTGCGTTATCTAATTGATCTTTCCAATACTTCACAGTATCCTCATTGTCAACGCTCATAGCAAACTTGACAAACCGAGCGTAAGATGCAGGTGGGGTTGGCACTATGCCACGGTAGAAGGCATGCAATGTGTTCATCAAGATTGGGACTGTCCAGCCGTCGAATATGGCATGGTGGATAGACCACAGGAAAAATAAATCGCCATTGTTCTGCTCAATACAGGCAAACTGAGAGAGTGGAGAACCGTAGGTCATCTTGACTGATCTCATTTCTGAAACCGCGGTGTTTAAATCATGGCTGACGGTCCAAGCAATGGGCTCCTCAAGGACAATCTGCGTGGCTCGACCGTCGACAAGGACGATACGAGTTCGAAGATTGTCGCAAAGGGCAATTGTCTGCTCCCAAGCAGCTTTGAAGCGACGAATATCCACGTTGCTGGGAATACGATAGACGTATTTAGCAATGTACGAGCCGGGTTGCTTAACAGATAACGCCATGAGGCCCTCCTGCAGAGCAGTACATGGATAGGCATCCATAATAGTTTCAGAAGAGAGGTCACACTGGGCGCGAACGCCATCGGTTATGACCAATTCTTGTGATCTCTTGCTGAGAAGAGAGAAGGGTGGGATTTCAAGAGAGCCCTGTTCCTCTACACCCGCCTTCTTTGCACGTGCAGCGACAGCAAATAGCCGCGGGTCATCAAAAATATCCTGAGCTGTCAACGATATGCCCTGCTCTCGGGACATCGTGACTAGATGGATAGCGGTAATTGAATCACCTCCCAAGCCCAAAAAGCTATCATCAAGACCGATATTTTCGGACGGAATACATAATATCCGAGACCAGATGGCTTGAAGATCCTTTTCTATTACTGTTTCCGGTGAACGTTTCTTCCCCCCTTGAAGAGAATATGTGACGAGTTGTTCTTGGCTGAGGGCAGCAGTTCGTCGTCTGAGATAGTTCCGATCCAACTTCCTAGAGGTAATAGAAGGCATATACTGGCAAGGGATAAAGAATGTTGGAACCATATATCGAGGCAATGAGATGTTCAGTTGGCTGATCACGGCAGTTAGACGTTCCTGCATGCCATCGTTCATCTCAATAAACGGATCGCATTCGTCAAAGCCCTCACGAGTACCAGTAATCCTTGTTTCATCGCCAAAGCAAAAGTATGCGGCCAAACTGGCACCAGCGCTGGACCTAACAACATCGACAGCAACCTGACGGACGCCGCTCAGGGCAGTCTTGACATGATGCTCAACTTCGCTTAATTCTACACGCAGGCCACGGATCTTGATTTGCGTGTCTTTGCGACTTGCAAACTGAATAGTTCCGTCGGCATTATATAAACCAAGGTCACCAGATTTATAAAATCGGTTCCAATACTTATCCCTACGATTCGGGGCCCAGTTGGGAAGATTATAGACGGTGCTACCTGAGGTCCGAACTGGGTCAGCCAGGTATTCTCGTAATATTGTTGGTCCTTGGATAACGATTTCGCCTAAGGCTCCGACGGGTGCGATCTTCTGGGGGTCCTCTGGATCGACAATCCAACAGAAACCACCCACAGATCTACCAATTGTAAGAGGCGACTCATCAATTGACTGCCATTCATGAATAGTAGAAACCACACAGGTCTCAGCTGGTCCCCATCCATTAATCAGACGGACTTTCCCAAACCAAGTATCCATGATGTCTCTAGTAACAGCTTCACCGACCAGCACCACTAATTCAAGGCTTGGCACATCCATGGGGCTAAGCGTTCGAATAAATGAAGGTGTAGACCACATATAGTTGATCTTATTTTGTCGAATAAATTCAGGGAGCGCGTTCATCCTATCATGGTCTGACGGGACAAACAAGCACCCACCGGTAAAAAGGCTAGAAATAATTTCACCAACTGCGCAGTCAAATACATGAGCAGCAAACTGTAGTGTCCTGGCACTCGGCCTAATTTTGAGACGCTTTGTAATAGCCGTTAGTGAAGTGCAAACGCTTCTATGCTCCATTACGAGCCCTTTTGGAGTACCAGTGGAACCCGAGGTAAAGAGCACGTAGGCGGCGTTAGATGGAGAAATCTCACGATCTGGGCCACGGTGAGATGACTCTGTCTTGCTTAGGATCTCATCCGTAACAGGCGAAACTTCTACCACATGTTCCACAAGATCGATGCAAGTTGAAATGTTAGAGGGCGAGACAAGAGCAAGCCGAGCTTTGGTTTGATCAACAATCTGTTGATGACGCTGAGTTGGATGGGAAGGATCTAAAGGAACCCAAGCACCGCCGGCTTTATTGATGGCCAGAATAGCAACCACAAACCAAGATGACTTCTCAAAGCAAACGTGGATAAGCTCGTCATTCTTGATTTCATAATCTGCAATAAGGTGGTTTGCCAACCTGTTGGCAGCCTGATCAAGTTGACCATATGTGAAATTACCATCCCAGCCGTGGACAGCAGGGGATTCCGGTCGAATAATTGTTTGCTGCTCGATGACAGTGTGGAAGCAAGACTCAATGAGCCTAGGTATCTCGTTGTTCTGACGTAAGGCATACTCAATATCCCAAGAACCTGACACAGACACATTTCCGAGAGGCATGGTGCCGCTATCTTCTGCAACAAGCTGCTGTGCGACATGTTCAAATTGATGAGCTACAGCGAGCAGCTGTTGTTCAGGCAAGATATCTGCGTCATAAATTAGGACCAAGTTAACCGAGTCTTCGTACACATGGCCTTGAATAACAAGAGGATAAGAGAAGTAGTTTTGCATGTGATCTTCTGAGTCCTCTGTAGTCGCACTCATGTGCTCTAGTATGGGTTTGCGGTTGCCGGAATCAAGTAGCTTCTTCATGGGCTGAATGACTAAAAGTGATGAAAAATCACAAGCTTCTTTAGCTTCAACGTTCAATTTGGCGATATTTTGCAAACCAAATTGTTCAAAAGGAATCATTTCAGAAGCTTGATTCTGGATACTCTGAAGAAACTTCGAAACTGAAGCCAGCTTATCAAGTCGAACGCGTACTGGGACAGTAGCGACAACTGGGCCGGCCATTTCGGTTATACCAGGAACTGGAGCCTGTCTACCAGAAATTGCAGTGCCAAAAGTTACATCATTGGTATCACAGTGTTGTGCGAGGACAATCGACCATGTGGCACGCAGAATTGAAGCCATGGTGATCGAAGTTTGTTTAAACCGGGGCAGCTCAATAGCTTTCTCAAACACACGAGTGTTGGATTTCTTATTGCGAGGGACGCCATTAGAAATTGTAGGAAATAGTGCTCGCTTAGCATCTAATAACTGCTCGCCCCAGTAGATCTTCGCAGCATCAGCATCAAGACTTCTAGTGTAGTTGATAAAGCGAGTATAGGGATTTAAGGGTGTAATTTCATCACCCATGTAGGCAGAGAATAAGGTGTTCAGGATCAGGCGAGTCGTCCAGCCATCGAACACAGCGTGGTGAATAGACCATACGAAGTAGTGGTTGCCATCAGCTTCCTCAATAAGAGCATGACGACTTAATGCAGACCCATAGATCATATGAGAATTTTGGTTAGTCTCGAGATACGACTTGAGTGTCATATTGGAAGTGTCTTCCCAACGGTCCACATTTTTCAAGACAACCTGAATAGAGGCATCGTCGGAAAGGACAATTCGAGTGCGAAGGTTGCTGCATAGTTCCATGGTGGTCATCCAGGCGGCTTTGAAACGAGCAATGTCAACATTTTGAGAGAGTCGATAGACTTGCTTGGCTATATGAGAACCTGGTTGCTTAACAGCCAAAGCCATAAGACCTTCTTGAAACCTTGTCACCGGATAAATATCTTCAACAATGGCAGTGCTGGATAGCCCACACTTGGCACGAACATCTTCTAGAAGAGTATCCAAATCCCTCGTAGGCGCCATAGAGAATGGCTCGACATCACGGATCGGCTCTATTTTGCCATCTCCAGCTGATAAAGCCATGGTGGATAGCTTTGAGTCAGCAAAAATGCTTGCTACAGTCAGACTAATGCCAGACTGTTGCGCAAGTGAGACTAGATGAATTGAACTGATGGAATCACCGCCAATCTGAAGGAAACTGTCGTTCTTTCCAATATCCTCAGAGCTGATTTTAAGCACCTGAGCCCATAGATTCGCCAAATTCTTCTCCATGGGAGTACTGGGCGCGATGTAGTCACGCTTCACCAGAGAGAACGAGGTGATCTCTTCCAATGACAAAGCAGCGGCCATGGCAGTTAACTTCTTCCGGTCAACTTTCATTGAAGTAATAAATGGCATCTCCCTGACAGGTAGGATAGTGCTAGGCACCATGTAGCCCGGAAGTGACATCTTCAAATGCTCCATAATAGTAGCCAAAGCTACGCGTAGGTCATCATTGAGCAAAAGGATATTACCAGAAGTAGTAGCCATCTTTTCCTTGAACGAGACAAAGGCGATGAGCGTATCACCAGTCTCGCGATGAGCTACATCAACGGCGACATGTTCAATGTTAGCCAATGATTTTTTGACATGATACTCAATTTCTCCAAGCTCAAGACGTTGTCCGCGGAGCTTGACTTGCGTATCCTTTCTACCAAGATACTCTAATTGCCCGTCGGGGGTATACCGAACAAGGTCACCAGTCAAGTAAAACCTGTGGGGACCAGAAATTATAGATTTGGGCAAGCAGTCGACATTGGTGATGAAAGAATTTTTAGTGCGGTCAGCATCGTTAATATAGCCACGAGCAAGAGCGTTTCCTTGGATAATCAGCTCTCCAATGCAACCAATGGGAGTCAGCTTATTGTAATCAGTTGGATCAACAATCCAACAAGCACTATTGAAACCGCGCCCAATTGTATGGGGAGAGTCAGTGGGCTTGAAGTCATGAGTTGTCGCATAATTACATGCTTCAGCTGGACCGTAACCGTTGACAAGACGGAGGCGGCCACACCAAGTCTCGAGAAGATCTTTGGAAGAAGGTTCACCACCAAGGACTAGCAATCGCAAGGACGGAACTTGTTCAGGTGCGAAAGTCCGAACAAACGAAGGCGTTAACATCGCAGTATTTACTCGGGCCTCTCGCATAAATGAAGGGGCTTTTTGGAGTCTTTCATCTTCAGAGGGTACGCAAACTGTACCACCGAATGAAAGGGTAGTAAAAATCTCACCCAAGCTTCCATCGAAGATGTAATTTGAAAATTGGAAGACACGAGAAGCTGGACTGAGGTTGTATATGCCACCGTGTCCTAATGTGCTGGTAGCAAACGCAGAGTGCTCCATTAAGACGCCCTTTGGTTTGCCAGTGGAGCCAGAGGTGAATAGGACGTAAGCTGCATTGCTAGGCTCAGCCTTGGGTAAGATCTCTTGAAAGGCATCGTATCTTGACGAAAGCTGTTCAAGCAATTCAATTGTGAACTCTACCATTATAGAAGTCAGACCCTCGCAAGGAACAGAGGACGAAGGTGAGACAATCATAATTTCAGCTCCAACTTCTTGAACCAAAGCTTCACGGCGGTTTCGTGGATGTAATGGGTCAAGGGGCAGAAATGCGCCACCAGCTTTTAGAATAGCAAGCATGGCAACGATAGCCCACGGCGACTTGTCGAAGCAGAAGGGAACAATAGATTCAGGTCTCACACCAAGCCTATGCAAGTAATGTGCTAAGAGGTTTGAGAGACGATCTAAGTTAGCATAAGTTACTATGCCCTCACTTGAGTAGATAGCTTCGTGGTGGGGATCTCTGGCTGATTGCTGGGTAATAAGCTCATGTACACAAGCAGTAACCATGCCAGGTTCTTTTACATTATAGCTCATAGCCTGCTGTAGATCCCATGGTCCTGCGGTCGTGATAGTCTTAAGCTTAGCCTCTGTATCTTGGCTAAGCAATTGCTGAACCACATAATCAAATTGGGTTGCCAAGGCATGGAGTTGAGCCTCCGCAAGAACGTTAACATCGTAGATCAGCAACAAGTGGACCGCATCATCATATAAATGAGCTTGAATGACAAGAGGATAAGAGAAGTAATTTTGTAATCTCTCCTCGATATCATTATTGTCCATCTCAGGGGAGACAAGGATAGACTTTGCATGGCCGACGATGCTAGACATGGGCTGAATAACCATGAGGGATGAAAAATCGCAAGCATCTTTAGCTTCAGGGCTAAGCTTAGAAATATCTTGCAAACCAAACTGCTCATATGGTATCATGTCAGTTGACTGGGTCTGAATGCCCTCAAGGAATGCCGCGGCCGTTTGTTCAGGATTTAGTCGTACACGAACAGGGACGGTAGATACCACTAGTCCAGGCATCGACTCGATTCCAGAAACAGCAGCATTACGACCAGAAACGTTGACCCCGAAAGTTACGTCATCGCTGTCGGAATACCTGGATAGAACAATTGCCCACGCAGCCCTCAGAATAGACGCCTTAGTAATACCGGATTGAGTTGAGTAAGTAAAGTTTAGAGGCTTTTCAAGAACGCGAGTAACAGGCTGGGCTGACTGAGATGACGAGAAGGGTGGAAACGAGGCGCGCTTTGCATCCTGAAGTTGATCACGCCAGTAATTAGAGGCAACTACTTCATTGGTGTCCAGAATATGCTTCACAAATGCAACATAAGGTCGGAGGACCGGAGCTTCGACTCCGCGATAAGCAGCCTCTAGTGTTTCCATGATCATAGGTAGCGTCCAGCCATCAAAAATGGCATGATGGATGCTTAAAACGAAATAGCTTTCCCTTGAAGGTTCATGAATGATGGCATAGCGGAGTAAACGAGCACCGTATCCCATATTGAACTTTTGAGAAAGGTAGGCCTGCACAGTGGTATTGGAAATCTCCCACTGAGCTTCTTCGTTTTTAATAACAACTTGGACGCTTAAATCTCTAGCAATGATAAGGCGAGTTCTCAAGTTGCCACAAAGTTCAATAGTACGCTCCCAGGCTGCCTTGAAAGCATCGATGTCCACATGCTCAGCCAAGCGATAAACCTGTTTTGCAACGTACGAACCCGGTTGTCTAGCAGATACGGCCATAAGACCCTCTTGAAGCTTAGTGGACGGGTAGGCGTCTTCTAGAATGGTATCGTTAGTTAGGCCATATTGTGTATGGAGAATAGTTGCAACAGCCGTCTGATCAAGAGTTGCACTGAGCAGACTGAATGGTGCGATCATCTCGCCGGCACAGTCCGACTTGAGCCGGAGTGAGGCCAATTCTGCCATTTTCCAAAGTCGCGAGTCATCAAAGACATCTTTCACTGAAAGAGAGATTCCAGACCCGCCAGAGGCAGCGACCAGTTGAATAGCAGAGATTGAATCTCCGCCAATGCGTAGGAAGCTGTCCCGGCGGCCGATTGAATGAGCAGGAAGACCCAAAATCCTGGCCCAAATATTTTGAAGGCGAACTTCCATCTCAGTTTCGGGAGCCTCTTTCTGGGCGTCTTCTAAAGCATACGAATGAAGCTGCTGTTGATTTAATGCAGAAGTGAGTCTGCGGAGCCGGCCTTTATCAAGTTTGCCAGATGTTAAGTGAGGCATCTGAGAGCATGGGATAAACAAAGTGGGCACCATGTAACGGGGCAACAAAATGCTAAGTTGACTAGCCATAGCATGAAAATCTCTTTGGAGATCGTCGGTGAGAGGTATAAATATCTCATCAGGATTATCCATTGTCTCTTCGGAATATCCAATGTATGCCACCAAGACCGAGCCTGATTCAAATTTATGAACATCCACGGTAACATGAACAGACTCCCCTAAGAAGTTACGAATTTGATGCTCAACTTCTCCCAGTTCCACACGGAGCCCTCGAATCTTGATTTGTGTATCCTTACGTCCATGGTACTCAATGGTCCCGTCAGGGTTATAACAGCAAAAATCGCCGGTTAAGTAAAACCGATTCCAATGTTGTGATTCGCAGCGTGGAGCCCATCTTGGGGATGATTCAAGAATGCTAGCTTTCGTTCTTATAGGATCATCGAGATATTCTCGCAGCAGTGTAGGGCCCTGGACAACAGCTTCTCCAACGGTGCCCACAGGAGCAAGCCGATGGGGATTCTTGGGATCAACGATCCAGATAAAGGAGGCAACAGGTTTGCCAACTGTAAGAGGGCTTTCAGTTACCGACTTCCATTCGTGTAAACTGCTGAATACACAGGTTTCTGCCGGGCCCCAACCATTGAATAATTGAACCTTGCCAACCCATATCTCTAATATCTTCTTATCAGAAGCCTCACCACAGAGGAGGACTAATTCTAACTTCGGAACATCGGCAGGTTCAAGGGTTCGGATAAACGATGGTGTAAACCATGCCCAGTTAATATCTTTCTCACGCATAAACTTAGCGAGGTTATTCAAGCGAACCTCGTCAGACGGGATGACAAGGCAGGCCCCGCAAATCAACGTGCAACAAATCTCGCCAACGGAAAGATCAAAGACATATGACGCAAATTGCAACATCCTAACACCTCTGTGAAGCCCAAGGCGATTAGTAATAGCAGTTTGGCTAGTACAGACAGCCTTGTGCTCTATCACAAATCCCTTCGGTGTTCCAGTACTCCCAGAAGTAAAGAGAACATATGCAGCATTGCGGGGAGACAGAGCTACATCTGGAGCGAGAGTACTGGGCTCTACCTTGAGAAGAATATCGTCCAAGGCCTGACTGATTTCAAGGACAGTATCTGATAGCTCATCACCTAGCGTGTGATATAAAGGTGAAGTGAGAAACAACTTTGCTTTAGCCTGGTTTACAACTTGTTGCAGTCTCTGCATAGGATGCGAAGGATCAAGGGGAACCCATGCAGCACCAGCCTTATTAATTGCGATAATTGAGACAATATACCATAAGGATTTTTCGAAGCAAAGAAGTATGAGATCACCAGTCTTTACATCAAATGCCTTAACAAGGTGGTGAGCTAGGCGATTAGCCATCCGGTCTAACTGGGCGTAGGTTAATTTTCCATCCCAAGCGTCGATGGCAATTGCGTTAGGGGTAGAAATTGCGTGCCGTTCGATTAATTTATGGAGATAGTCTTCAATTATTTCGGGGTCTTCTGTATTCCAGGCAATTGCCTGTTGGAGATCTTGTGGACCAGCCAAGGAGAGATCTCCAAGTTTGACATCATTAGAATCGAAAAGCTGTTGAGCAGTATGCTCAAATTGACCTGCTAGTCGGTTAAGCTCAACTTTGGACAAGATAGTGCTATCATAGGTAAAAGTTAAATCAATGTGATCGTCGAATAAGTTGCCTTGGATGACTAAGGGGTATGTGAAGTAATCTTGCAACAGGTCTGCTTCAGTTTCATCGCCTTCCATTGCCGGGATTAGAATGTTGTCATTATTGCCATCGCCATTGTTTGAGTTCAGGTGAGACCTTGGTTGGATGACTAGAAGAGATGAGAAGTCGATAGCATCTTTGATATTGGGGGAAATCTTTGCGATATTTTGTAGGCCGTATTGCTCATATGCAATCATTTGGGTAGCTTGCGATTGTATATTATCCAGAATTTCATGCACTGTCTGCCGGTCATCTAGCCTTATGCGCACTGGAATAGTAGCAACAATAGGGCCAGGCATATCTAAGATGTTCGAAACAGATGCTTGACGACCAGACACTGAAGTGCCGAAACAAACGTCATCAGTGTCAGAGTAACGAGCAAGGATAATAGCCCAAGTCGCACGAAGAATAGTCGCTCTGGTGAATGAAGACTGGGCACTGTTTGGCATTTGAATGGATTTTGTCATCACGCCAGTGACTGCCTTGTGCTGCGTTCCAGACCTGTGGCGAGGCGGATATGAGGCCTGCACTGCGCCATCAAGTTGCTGAGACCAATACTGCTTAGTGGCCGGGTCCTGGACCACATTACTTGCATATTTAATGAAAGCTGAATACGGTTTTAGAGAAATATTGTTGGAATTTTGATAACAGTTCTGGAGCGTTTCAAGAACAAGACGAATGGTCCAGCCATCATGAACAGCATGATGTGCAATCCAAATAAAGTAGATGCCGTCTTTTCCTTGGTATAAAGTATGCCGAGAGAGTGAGGTACCGTATGTCATTTGTATATTACGGACTTCGAGCATGGCGGAATTGAAATCTAAAGCAGTGGATATCTCGAATTTCATATCTTCTTTGATCACTAGTTGAACACAATGGTCTCCTAATAGCACAATACGCGTCCGTAGAGTAGGGCAGAGAGAAACGGTTTGATCCCAACTGGATTTGAACTGCTCAATGTCGATATTGTCTGCTAATCGATAGACAAACTTGGCAATGTGAGAGCCAGGAGATTTCATTGATAGAGCCATGAGACCTTCCTGAAATTTTGTACAAGGATAAGCGTCTTCAATAATCGCTTCAGATTTAAGACCGCATTTCACTCTGGTGCTTTCACTCATAGAAAGATGGCGCGTCTCGTCGTCCAATAAGGCGAATGGCTCAATAGCGGCATCTTCAACAAAGTTCAGTAAGCTGGCAACCTTGGCCACTGAAATAAGCCGAGGGTCATTGAAGATATCCTTCACTGATAAATAAATGCCCACGTCGCGTGAGGAACCAACGAGCTGGATTGCTTTAATCGAGTCGCCACCAATACCGAAGAAACTGTCATCACGACCAATCGAATCCTGTGAAATACCAAGGACACTGGACCAAATTTGCTGAAGTTTGCGTTCCATAGAAGTTTCTGGAGCTCTCTTAATGCCACTTTGTAGAGAATACTCTGACAATTGATCGCGCGTAAGGTCTGCTGTACGGCGCCGTAATTCGTTACGATCTAGTTTGGTAGAAATAATTGACGGCATGAAGCTGCATGGAATGTAAAGAGTAGGAATCATATACTGCGGTAGTGTCACCTTGAGGTTGCCGACCAGAGCATTCAATCGGTTTTGAAGCTTTTGGTCAATCGAGAAGAAAGGGCTGCTATCATCAGAGTTAACTCCAGCGACACGAATTTCGTCAGTGAAGCAGATATAAGCCACGAGATTGGTACCATGGTCGCCCTTATACACGTCGACAGCGATTTGGCGAACACCATGTAATGCGGTTTGGATGTGGTGTTCCACTTCGCCCAACTCGACACGAAGACCTCGAATCTTGACCTGGGTATCTTTCCTGGAGAAAAACTTAAGGGTTCCGTCAGAGTTATACGAACATAGATCGCCAGATTTGTAAAAACGACCCCAATGCTGAGAGTCAGGCTGAGGTGCCCACTTAGGGGCCTTGACAGAAGAAGCTGCAGTACGTTCTGGATCGCCCAAATATTCGCGGAGTAGAGTTGGGCCTTGGACAACAACCTCACCCACTGTGCCGATAGGTGCTAGCTTATGGGGGTCTTCAGGGTCCACAATCCAGCAAAATCCTCCAGCAGATCGACCTATAGTTAAAGGACTCTCATCAACTGACTTCCACTCATGCCAGGAACTGCAGACACAAGTCTCGACTGGTCCCCAGCCATTGATAAGGCGTACTCTACCAAACCAAGTATTCAAGATTTCTTTAGGAATAGCTTCGCCTCCAATGAGAAGTACTTCTAGGTTAGGAATATCCTTGGGCGCTAGGGTGCGAAGAAAGGAAGGTGTAAAAAAAGCCCAATTAATGCGTTGATCCCGTATATATTGAGCGATGTTGCCCATCCGGATGTCTTCTGATGGCACAAAAACACAACCGCCACTAAATAATGTGGGGATAACCTCACCAACTGACATGTCGAATACAAAGGAGGCAAATTGGAGCATTCGAACGTCGGATGTAACCCTCAACCTTTTAATCATGGCAGTTTGTGAGGTGCAGACAGACCTGTGTTCTATAACGACGCCTTTTGGGGTGCCGGTTGAACCAGATGTGAATAGGACATAAGCGACATTGTCAGGCGTGACAGCAACATCGGGAGCTTCGGAATCAACTGTCTCGGCCAGCTTTTGATCCAAGCTCGATGTAACTTCAAGGACTTTCTCAGATAAGGCAGAACAAAGCATAGAGTTACTCGGAGAAGTTAGAACTAGATTAGCTCCGGTTTGAACGACGATTTTACGGAGGCGCTGCTCTGGATGGGCTGGATCAAGAGGAGACCATGCTGCTCCAGCCTTGTTGATGGCTAGAGTAGCAACAAAATGCCAAATCGACTTCTCAAAGCACACATGAACCAGGTCACCCGGTTTAATTCCATAGCTTTTAATAATATGATTAGCCAGTCGGTTAGCAGCAAGGTTAAGCTGACTGTACGTAAACTCGGCATCCCAAGCAGAAATGGCGACAGCATCAGGTCGACACTCAACCTGGCGCTCAATAAGCTCATGCATGCATGCATTAACGACTTCAGGAATTTCGCTGTTAAAAGCAACAGAGCGCTCCAAGTCCCAGGAGGAGGAAATAGAGATTGACCCAAGAGTACTTTGGCTAGCAGTAGCTGCGAGCTGACACATGACGTGGCCAAACTGCTGAGAGAGGGCCTCAAGTTGTCTCTCGGCTAGGATGTTTGAGTCATATATGAAAAAAATGTTGACATGATCTTCATACAAATGAGCTTGGGCAATGAGCGGGTATGAGAGGTAGTTTTGCATGGACTCTGCCTCCTCCTTAAGTTTTCCATCCGTGCGCACTAGAATAGATTTGCTGCTCTTAGAGTCTGAAATGTGCTGCATGGGTTGGATGACCAACAACGATGTGAAATCGCAAGCGTCTTTAGCATCTTCGCTGATTTTAGCAATGCTCTGCAGACCGAATTGCTCGAAAGGAACCATTTCCAATGCCTGCCTCTGAATGCCTTGGAGAAAGGTAGACACCAACTGTGTTCGGTCTACTCGAACTCTTACAGGAACAGTCGCAATTATTGGACCAGTCATATCCATCAATTCGGGTACTGGGGCCTGACGACCTGAGACAGTTGTACCAAACGTGACATCTTCTGTCTCGCTATAACGAGCGATGACTATGGCCCAAGCAGATCGCGCGATAGTAGCGACAGTGATTCCTGATGAAGTCATGGCGGGTAGCTTAATGGATCTTTCAAGAACTCGTGTAGTGCCGGCTATATTAGAAACTTCACTTGATGCCGGGAAAACGGCTCTGCGAGAGCCCTGCAATTGCTCTTTCCAATACGATTCGGCGGCGTCTGCATCAAGACCAAGAGTATACTTGATGAAACGGGCATATACTGGTACATCGAGTGTGTCGATACCCTCATAAGCCTTATCAAAGATCTTCAAGACGTTTTGGGCAGAAACTCCGTCAAACACAGCATGGTGAATGCTCCACATGAAATACATTTCACCATCCGTGTGCCCTACAAGAGCATACCGGCAGAGTCGGGAACCATAGCTCATCTCTAGTCCCTGATGCAGCCTGAGATACGACTGGAGGTCTTGAGATTCAAGGGAATCCCACTCAAAGTCGCCATGAATGACCAATTGCACGCTAGATCCCTCAGACAAGATAATTCGAGTGCGAAGGTTAGTGCAGGCGTCAACTGTGCGCCTCCAAGCATCTTTGAAACGGGAGACGTCAACGTGACTAGGGAGGCGATACAGAAACTTTGCGATATACGAGCCAGGCTGTTTAGCAGATAAGGCCATGAGCCCTTCTTGCAGCTTTGTGGTAGGATAAGCATCCTCAATTCTCTGCGTTTCATGGAGACTATAGTCCTTGTAGGCGCTAGGAGACTGAATCGACTCTCGAATACCGTCATCAAGGAGGGAAAAGGCAGGGATTGGAGCAAAAGTCTCTTCAGCCTGGTCAGCTGCACTAGCGGTAGAAGCCACTGAAGACAAGCGAGGATCTTCAAAGATTGCATTCACAGTGAGAGTAATGCCAAGTTTACGAGCCATAGAGACCAAGCGAATAGCGGCAATCGAATCACCGCCAATGTTGAAGAAGCTATCGTCTTTGCCAATAGCCTGAGGAGGAATGTTAAGAATATCAGCCCACAGTTGTTGCAAACGGATTTCCATAGCCGTGTCAGGGGCGCGCTTATTGGCATCAGTCAGCGAATAAGCTTCCAACTCTTCTTGAGCTAGAGCAGCCGTAACCTTGCGGAGCTTAACCCTGTCCAGTTTTCCAGAAGATATAAGGGGCATGTAGCTACAAGGAATAAAGTAAGTTGGTATCATATAGCGAGGCAGCAAGATATTAAGCTTGTTAATAGCAGTATTCAAATCGGTCTGGATACTTTCGGTCATGAAAAGGAAGATATCGTCGCCCTCGGGGTCGACATTAGGGCCAGGGATCTTCTTCTCACTGCTAAAACAGATATAAGAGACAAGGTTGGTGCCGGTCTCTGTTCGCAACACATCAACGGCAACTTGTCGAACCGAATCAAGAGAGTTCCGGATGTGGTGTTCAACTTCTCCAAGTTCGACTCGAAGGCCACGAATCTTGACCTGGGTATCCTTGCGGCCAGAATAATGGATTGTTCCGTCAGGATTATAGAAGCCTAAATCCCCTGTCTTATAGAAGCGTCCCCATTTTCTGTCATTCGCGCGAGGTGCCCAGTTAGGCAGGGTGGTCAAGGTCGATGAGACAGTCTTAGCTGGATCAGCTAAGTATTCACGAAGCAGCGTAGGTCCCTGCATGACGATTTCTCCAATACATCCAACCGGGGCTAGGCGCTGAGGATTCTCTACGTCGATTATCCAAGCAAAGCTTCCAACGGAGCGCCCAATTGTCAGCGGTGATTCATCTGCAGATTTCCATTCGTGGATAGCACTCAAAACACAAGTCTCAGCAGGTCCCCAACCGTTTACAAGTCTAGTTTTACCAAACCAGAGGTCGAAGACATCCTGGCTAACGGGTTCACCAGCAAGGACGATAAGCTCGAGATTTGGAACGTCTTGAGGGCAAAGTGTGCGAGCAAAGGACGGTGTTAAGAATGCCCAAGTCACTTCGGCATCTCGAATAAAACCGCCCAGGTTATTAAGACGGTCATGGTCGGATGGGATGCAAACGCACGCACCGTGCATAAGAGAAAGCATAATTTCTCCCACGGAAACGTCAAAGACAAAAGAGGAGAATTGAAGCATCCGGACGTTGCTCTTAAGACCAAGTCTCTTTGCAATATCACGCTGGCTAGTGCAAAGCGAGCCGTGTTCCATAACAATACCCTTAGGGACGCCGGTACTGCCAGAGGTGAAGAGTACATAGGCGACGTCGTTAGAAACAACTGCTACAGAAGGCTTTATATCACTGATACCCTCGTCTCTATTCAGTTGCTCGTCCAGGGTCAAGGAAACTTCAACAACAGTGTTCAGCAGTTTGGAGCACAGGTGTCTATGAACAGAAGATGCGAGCGCGAGCCTAGCGCCTGTTTGACTGACTACTTGTTGGAGACGTTGAAGTGGATGTGCCGGATCCATTGGTACCCACGCGGCGCCGGCCTTGTTGACTGCGAGCACTGAAACCACGTACCAAAGGGATTTTTCGAAGCACACGTGGACGATGTCACCGACCTTGACGCCATGACCCTTGATCAAGAAATTGGCAAGCTTATTAGCAGCACGATCAAGTTCACTATAAGTGAGAGTGCCATCCCAGGCGTAAACGGCATGGGCTTGGGGGGTCTGTTGAGCCTGCCGTTCAATGATGAGATGAGCGCAATCATCAACGATGTCAGGACAATCGCCGTTGGAAGCCTGAGCAAGATCAAGGTCCCAAGAGCTAGCCACAGATACATCTTTCAGTTTGCAATTCCCATCGTTAAGAAGCTGCTGAACAACCCCATTGAATTGGTGAGACAGCGCAATGAGTTGTGGCTCGGGAAGAGCAACAGCATCATAGATCAAGACAAGCTCAATCCTGTCGTTGTAAATATGCCCCTGTAAAACAAGAGGATATGAAAAGTAGTTCTGTAGTTGATCCTCTTGACTATCTTGTTCTAAAACAGGCACTAAAATAGTGTCGATATCCTCACCAGTCAGATGCTGCATTGGCTGAACCAGCATCAAGGAAGTGAAGTCGCAAGCATCTTTAGCATGAGCACCTAACCTCGAGATATTCTGTAAGCCATACTGTTCGAAAGGAATCATCTTAGAAGCTTGACTTTGAATACTCCGAAGGAATTCTGACACGCGCTGCTCGTAATCGAGACGGACACGGACGGGAACAGTAGCAACAGCTGGACCAGCCATTTCGGTTAAACCTGGAACCGCGGCCTGCCTACCAGAAATGGTAGAACCAAAGGTCACGTCGTCAGTATCGCAGTAGCGGGCAAGAATAATAGCCCAAGCTGCCCGGAGAACTGTCGCCTTAGTGATGGCCGGATTTATAGAGGCGGGGAAGGGAATAGATTTTGTCATCATGCGAGTTTTATGTGTTGTCTGGCCGGGAGCAATGGCAGCAGCTGGGAAGCTGGCCTTTTTAGCGCTCTCAAGCTGACCTCTCCAGTAATCAGCAGCCGCCTCAGCGTCGAGGTTCAGGGTATAACTAATGAAGCCGTTATATGGGATAATAGTCGTCGAACTTCGACCTTTATATTCTCGCCACAGGGTCTCCAGAATAATTCTCAGCGACCAACCATCATGAACCGAATGGTGGATAGCCCACAAGAAATAATTTCTTCCATCTTGGTCCTCAAGAATCATAAAACGAGATAGAGGTGTACCATATGTCATTCGGAGAGATTGAGCCGATGCGATAGCCGTGCGAATGTCATCGACTGTGGCAGTCTCCCAAGAAAACTCCTCGTTAATCACAACCTGAACGCAGGTATCATCAATCATCACGAAACGGGTGCGGAGAGCTTCAATAGCAGATGAAGTGAACTTCCAGGCTTCCCTGAATTCCTGGAGGTCAACATGATCGGGAAGGCGGTAAGTATACTTGGCGACGTATGATCCCGGCTGTTTCACAGATAGAGCCATGAGGCCTTCCTGAAGTTTACTGCAAGGATAAGCATCTTCAACTTCCTGATGTTCAGAAAGATTAAGCTTTTCTCGAAGATCATCGGAGAGAATAACTTCTCGCGTATCTTCTTCTAAAAGGCTGAATTGCTCAATCTCTTCAATTACGGTCTCTTGGCTAATCTCGTTGGTCTTGCTAGCCACAGAGAGCAAGCGGGGATCATCGAAGATGTCTTTCACAGTTAATGAGATACCATATTCTCGCATAGCATTGGCCAAATGAATGGCCGTAATAGAGTCGCCACCGAGGCTGAGGAAGCTATCATCGCGTCCAATTGATTCCATAGAAATATTAAGAATTCCGGCCCAAATCTGCTGTAGCTGGCTTTCCATAGGAGTCTCTGGTGCCCTCTTTTTGCCGCTGATAAGAGAGTATTTCGACAACTCATCGGCAGATAACGCAGCGGTATATCCCTTCAGCGCCTTGCGGTCAAGCTTAACGGAGGTACTAGTTGGAAGGTAGCTGCAGGGAATAAAGAAGGTTGGAACCATGTAGGACGGGAGAACAACCCTTAATTCGCCAGATGCAGTAATGATACGGGCCTGAAGGTCTTCATCAATCGACATAAATGGGCCCTTGTCATCATCTTGAACACGAGCATCAGCTGTCTTGCTTTCTTCATTAAAGGAGAAGTAAGCAACGAGACTGGAGCCATTTTCACCATTAATCACATCAACTGCGACTTGGCGAATTTCATTAATAGCATGCTGCAGATGATACTCAATTTCGCCTAATTCAACCCTAAGGCCGCGAATCTTAACTTGTGTATCCTTGCGAGTTAAATATTCGATTGCACCATCCGGATTGTAATAGCACAAATCGCCGGACTTATAAAATCTATTCCAGTATTGAGACTCGCGGCGTGGAGCCCAATCTGGTAGATCATATACAATCGCTAATTTGGTTTTCTCAGAGTCGGCAAGGTATTCGCGCAACAGGGTCGGACCTTGAACAACAAGCTCGCCGATAGCACCTGTAGGGGCTAACCTCTGAGGATTATCTGAGTCTACAATCCAGCAAAAGCCGCCAACAGGCCGACCGATAGTAAGGCAATTTTCGTCAATGGACTGATACTCATGAATTGTTGACAAAACACAGGTCTCAGCGGGACCCCAACCGTTGATAAGCCTGACCTTTCCAAACCAGGTTTCAAACACATCGCGAGCGGGAGCCTCGCCCACAAAAACCAAGAGCTCTAGGGCAGGAACGTCCGCCGGCTTAATAGTACGAAGGAACGATGATGTAAGCATTGCACAGTTGATATTATTATTCTGGATGAAGTTTGGTAGGTTGTTCAAACGTGTGTTTTCATCTGGAATGTATAAAGAGGCGCCTGAGATTAACGTCGCTACAATTTCACCAACAGATATATCGAAAACAAAGGCTGAAAACTGTAGCATGCGAACGTCGGTAGTTAATTCAAGTCTCTGGCTAATAGCGGTCTGCGAGGTACACACGGAAACGTGCTCCATAACTAAGCCCTTAGGGGTGCCCGTAGAACCCGAGGTGAAAAGGACGTAAGCAATATTTCGGGGCGTCACTTTGGTAGCTGGCCCAGTGGTGCTGGTCACACCACTCTCCACAAGCTTCTGGTTGAAAACAGAGCTGATCTCGATGACAGTCAGGCCAAACCCATTGCAAATATAGGCATTGGACGGGGAGCATAGCACAATTTTTGCTCGGATCTGACTAACAACTTGGCGCAAACGTTGCTCAGGATGAGATGGATCGAGGGGAACCCAACCGGCCCCAACTTTGTTGATTGCGAGGATTGCGACGATATACCATGACGATTTTTCAAAACAAACAGGTATCAACTCATCAGTTTTGATGGTAAAATTCTTGGTGAGATAGTTTGCCAATCGATTGGCCGCTTCAACTAATTCAGTATAGGTAAAAGTTCCGTCCCACCCAACAATAGCGAGGGAGTCTGGCCGCTCAACGGCCTGTTTCTCAATCAATTCGTGAATACAAGAATCGATAACGTCAGGAATTTCACTATTGGCTTTGAGACTCTGCTCAAGGTCCCAAGGGCCAACAACAGAGATATCACTGATTAGTTTGTCACCAGGATTCAAAAGCTGCTGAACCACATGTTCAAACTGATAGGAAACGGCTTCAATTTCAGCCTCGGACAGGACGGCAGGGTTGTACAAAAACCTTTGTCTCACGCTCTGTTCGGCCATGTAGCTAAGCATAACCAACGGGTAGCTAAAGTAGTTGTTCATGGACTCGATCATCAGATGATCTTCTTCGTCCCCTGTCTGAAGTAGACCATCTTTAGTGTTGAATATGGTGCTTTCTTGCTCCTTGGGCTGAATAACCAGTAAAGATGTGAAGTCGCAAGCTTCTCGGGCTTCAGGGCTGAGCTTAGAAATGTTGTGCAGACCATACTGTTCATACGGAACCATGTCCAGCGCGTGAGCCTGGAGATCTTGCAGCATTTTACTCACAGGCTGTTCAGCGTCTAGATGGATTCGAATCGGAATGGTGGCAATAACAGCGCCCGGGGTTGACAAAAGACCGTCCATGGCAGCCTGGCGACCCGAAACAGTGGCACCATAGCACACATCACGAGTATCGCAGTGTCGGCCCAGGACGATTGCCCAGGCAGCGCGAAGGATAGTAGCCATCGTGATTGAGGAGTCTTTCTGATCGGAAAAAGACACCAAACGATCAATTACACGAACTGCGCCTTCAGACTTATCAGCAGCAATATATTTTCCAGTAGCAGGGTAGCTGGGTCGTTGAGCGCCAGACAGATTGGATCTCCAGAAGTTAGCGGCCGTCTCCCCATCTATATTGCTAAGGTATTTGATGAAGTTAGAATAGGGAGATATAGTGGAAACAGGACGTCCGTGGTAAGTGTTATAGACGCAATCCAGGACGATGCGCATGCTCCAGCCGTCATTGATAGCATGGTGGATGATCCAGACAAAGTAGATGTCATCTTTATCCTCTACAAGAGCAAATCGAGTCAGGCGAGTTCCATATCCTATATCAAACTGGTGAATCAAGCCTTTATAGGACTCAAGATCATGGCCAGTAGTATCCTCCCAGTCGCTATCGTTCATGACGACAGCTTGCACTGCACAGCCGTCTTCAAGCATAACTCGGGTTCTCAAAGTGGCGTTACGCTCCACAGCTTCTTTCCAAGCAGCCTTGAATTTGGCGATATCAATATACTTTGGGACTCGATGGTACCACTTCGATATATAAGAACCCGGTTGTTTTGCAGTGAGGGCCATAAGACCTTCTTGAAGGGGTGTGCAAGGATAAGCGTCCTCAATAATTTGGTCTTTTCCAAGGCCATATTTAGTTCGAACACCATCACTCTGCATAAGTTTGCTCAGAGTTTCTGTGAGGAGGCTAAAAGGCTTGACCTGAGAAGATTTAGCCTTGTTGGCAAGAATAGTAGCCCTGGAAGCTACTTGGAACAGACGGGGGTCGTCGAAAACATCTTTGACGGCAATGGAGATTCCGGCGTCGCGGGCTGCAGACACAAAGTAGATTGCAGCGATCGAGTCACCTCCCATCCTCAAAAAGCTGTCATCTCGACCAATGGAGGAGGTCGGCAACTTGAGGAGGTCGGCCCAGATCGCCTGGATACGAGTCTCCATCTCATTTTCTGGTGCGCGCTTCTTACTATCCACAAGGGAGTATCTCGCGACATCTTGCTTGCTAAGTTCGGACATCGCGAGTCGCAAAAGCTTCATGTCCAATTTTGTCGAGGTGATAAAGGGCATATAACAACAGGGGATAAACATTGTTGGGATCATGTAGCGAGGAAGTGTCACGCCGAGCTGACCAACCAAAGCAGTAAGTTGGCTCTGGAGATCAGAAGTCATCGGGGCAAATATATCCCTCACGTTCGTCTCGTAGTTCTTGCCAGCGGTACGAGTTTCATCTGTAAAGCAAAAATAGGACACAATGATTGCGCCACCATCTCCGTTAGCCACATCAACAGCGACCTGCTTAACGCCCTCCAAGGCCTCACGGATGTGATGTTCGATTTCTCCAAGCTCCACACGGAGACCTCGAATTTTGACCTGGCCATCTTTGCGAGATCCAAATTCCATCGTACCATCGGCATTATATCGACACAGGTCACCAGACTTGTAAAATCGATCCCAGTGTGTAGAAGTACGATTTGGTACCCACTCAGGGAGACTCCGGACCATCGAAGACTCAGTCTTAGTAAAATCAGCAAGGTACTCGCGAAGGATAGTTGGTCCCTGGATCACAACTTCACCAAAGGTTCCGATAGGAGCTAATCGCTGCGGATCCTGCGGATCAACAATCCAGCAGTGGCCACCAACTGGTCGACCGATCGTTAATGGAGATTCATCGAGACTTTTCCACTCATGGAGAGTTGAGAACACACAAGTCTCGGCGGGACCCCAACCATTGATCAGCCTCAGCCTTCCGAACCAAGCTTCAAACACATCTCTCCTAACAGCCTCACCAGCAAATAATAGCAGTTCCAAGCCAGGAACGTCAACAGGATTTAAGGTCCGCGCAAATGAGGGGGTTAGATATGCCCAGTTGATCTTCATTGTATTAATGAAGTTAACTAAGTCATTCATCCGTGTTTCTTCTGACGGAACACAGATACAACCACCAACAACCCAGGGACCAAAAATCTCACCAATAGAGAGATCAAAAACAAAGGAGGCAAACTGGAGCATTTTTACGTCAGAGGTCATTCTAAGACGCTTTGTGATAGCTGTCTGTGAAGTGCAGACGGCTTGATGTTGCATAACCAGGCCCTTTGGCGTTCCAGTACTTCCAGAAGTAGACAGAACATAAGCGGCATTACGCGGCGACACATTACTGACCGGTCCATGCGAGCTCATCTCCGTCTGGGCCAGCGCCTCATCCAGAGTATGCGACACTTCGACGACGTTACCAATCAACTTAGAACACATATCAACATTGCTGATGGAAGCCAAGGCCAGAGCTGCCTTCGTCTGCGAGACAACTTGTTGCTGTCTCTGAATTGGGTGTGATGGATCCAGAGGAATCCACGTAGCACCAGCTTTATTGACGGCTATGATAGACACGAAAAACCAAGCTGATTTCTCAAAGCATACGTGCACGAGATCTTGATCTCTGACCCCACAAGACTTAACAAGATGGTGTGCGAGGCGGTTAGCAGCACGATCGAGTTCCAAGTAGGTAAGCTCTAAGTCCCAAGCTTGAATAGCGGTGGCGTTAGGGCGATTCTTTGCCTGTCTCTCAATAAGTTGATGAAGACACAAGTCGACAATCTCGGGTGTCTCGCTGTTAGCCCTAAGGGATTTCTCCAAGTCCCATGAGTCGGAAACCGAAAGAGCACTCAGAGGCATGTCGGTAGGTGCAAGCAATTGCTGGACAATGTGCTCATAATGAACACACAGAGCCTCAAGCTGGCCCTCGGTGATTGCGTCGGCGTAGTAAGTCAAATCCAACTCAATGCTGTCATCGCCAATACGAGGCTGCAAAACGAGGGGATAGTTAAAGTAATTACGCATTGCCTCTTCTGAGAGAGCTTTTTCAATGGGACCCTGTTGCAAGATAGCATCAGAGGCAGTATCAGCGATGGATGTCAAATGGCTGTTTGGCTGAATGACGATCAAGTTAGAGAAGTCGCATGCTTCCTCAGCATCCTGGCTTAATTTTGAGATATTCTGAAGACCATACTGTTCATGAGCAACCATTTCCGCAGCCTGAGCCTGAATTTTCTCAAGAAAAGACAACACACTCATACTGCGGTCAATTTTGACGCGGATAGGAACAGTGGCAATCATTGGTCCGGGAATCTCACTCAATCCAGGCACCGCAGCTTGACGTCCTGACAATGTAGTACCGAAACATACATCATCAGAGTCGCAATAGCTAGCAAGGAGAAGAGCCCAGGCCGCACGAAGGGTCGTGGCTGTAGTGACAGAAGAGTTTTTCGTGTTATGGAAAGGCATCGTCCTCTTCATGACCTTGTCTTCGGAGGTAGCAGAAAGCCTGGCGGGAGGGAAATGAGCGCGCTGAGCACCATTAAGTTCTTTATGCCAGTATTCGGCAGAGGCAGTGGAGTCAAGAGATTCGACATAGCGGATGAAGTTGGAATACGGCCGCAAAGCCCTAGTGTCATTGTCTCGGTAGGCGTGGTAGAGAGCATCAAGAACGATTCGCATGGTCAGACCGTCGAACACCGCATGGTGAATTAGCCACACGAAATAGACGCCACCATTGCTATTTCGAACCAGAGCATGTCTACTCAAGCGCTCACCATAGCTCATGCTAATGCTTCGCGTTCGATTCAGGAAGGTGTGGATATCCAAACCAGGCGGAAGATGCTCCCAAGCGGTATCCTCAGTTATCACAGCTTGAAGAGCTTGACCGCCGAGGAGGATAACTCGAGAACGCAAGCTGCCACATTGGTTAATAGTAGCCTCCCAGGAAGCAATGAATCGATCAACATCGATGTCAGGCATCAGCTTATACACAACCCTGTGAATATAAGAGCCCGGCTGCTTCATACCTAAAGCCATGAAGCCTTCCTGGAGAGTTGTACACGGATAGACATCCTCAATTGTTTCAGTTGCCGTAAACTTGCACTCTTTCCGAATATTATTTATGATGTAGGCCTTGTCATCTTTAATCAGGCCGAAAGGTTTTATTTCGGCCATCATTGTGGCATCGTCCTCAATGGTTGCCGCCGCAGCCATCTGAGCAAGCTCAGCATTGTCGGAAATTGCAGCCGGACTAAGACGAATACCGTGCTGATAAGCAGCCGTAACAAGCTCAATGGTTGCCAGGGAGTCGCCACCAAGCAAGAAGAAACTGTGTTTCTTCCCGATATCTTGAATGCGGATTCGAATTACGTCTCGGAGGATATCAACCCAGATAGCTCGAAGAACAATTTCCAGCTCGGTTGTTGGAATTTCATCATCTGCAAGTTCACTCTCCAAAGAACTGGCCTGTTCAATAATGCGTGCCCGTTTACCATGAGCAGATAGATAAGTGGCATCGGAGCTCTCGTCAGAGTTGCCGTGACTCCATGGATATTGAGGCAATCCAGAAAGTGCCTTACCATTAGTAAATAATGGGGCCAAATTCAGATCAGTCGATTCTTGCCACAACCGTCCAACAGCAGAAAGAAAGCTCATTAAACTATCCGCGCCGCGAGTTTGGGACGAAATATAGCTATATTGAATATTTGAAGCTGCACAAATCTGGGACAGAGGGACTGATAGGGCAGAATGCGGTCCAATTTCCAGAAACAATGGCTCCTCGGAAGATAACTCGAGAAATTTAGAGATGGCAGTGCTGAATCGGACTCGGGACACCAAGTTGGAGATCCAGTATGCTGCACCAAAATCACTCTGCTCTTTGAGGACCTTCTCACTGACAGTAGACACAAAGATGGCCTTGCTCTTCTTAGGCGCCTGTGAAGCAATCTTTTCGGCCTTCAAAAGCTCAAGCAGATCACTCGCAAGAGGAGCCATATGATGAGAGTGATAGGCAACATCAATGCGCAAAGCACGAGCAGTCACATCAGGCTTGGCTGCCTTGACGGACCTCAAAACTCGTTCAACCGCCTCACGATCACCAGAAATAGTGGTACTAGTGGGAGAGTTTTCACAAGCAATCACTGTATTTTGTTCCAAAAACTTTTTCGTTTCTTCAACGCCCAAGCTTATCACACCCATGCCGCCATCCTTCAAGTTCTTGGTAGTGATATGGCCATAGTAGTAAGCAATAGCGATAGCGTCTTCAAAGGAAAGGAAGCCCGCTGCATAAGCGGCGGCGATTTCACCACTAGAATGACCAATGACCACCTTAGGCGTAACACCAAGGCGCTCAAAGCGATTAACAAGAGCGATTTGCAGAGCTGTACTGAGAGGATAGGAGAGCTGTGATGAATTTATCCTGTTCTCGGGATCGGCAGCATCACGGAGAAGCTCTTCTTGGATCGACCAGGTAGGCGGTATCTTCAATCCCTTCAAAACAGCATCCATCTTCTCAATATCCTCTCGAAACTCCGGGTCAGCCTGGATGAGCTCCTTGCCCATTCCTGCCCACTGAGCACCCTGGCCGTTGAAAATCATGGTGATGGCCGAAGTCTGTGCAGAAGACTTGGCATAGTTTGAGGTGTTGGTAAAAGATGAATTGGAAAGAATGGAAAATGCCTTATATTCCAGAGTCTCGCGCCGCAGGGCGCGAGTGAAAGCGATATCAGCTGCCTGTCTTGGGTGAGACTGGGCATACAAACGATGGAGCTCTATTTGTTTGGCCAAAGACGACACGTTGTGTGCAGAAAAAAGAACAAGTTCTGGTCGAGCCTCGAATCTAATTGGAGCAGATTGAGGATAATATCCGATAATAACTTGGATGCCACATCCATCAGCGCCAGAAGAATTGATGCTGATTCCCTCGGTATGATCGGACGAGTCCACATTAGAGGATCCTGTTACTCACGTCAGTACATTCTGTAAAAATAATTTTAAATCAAGCCCAAAACTTACCAGAAGAAGCATTTAGAGGAGTAGCACGATTCTCCAGGGTTACCACAGCCTTGATCAAGCTTGTAAGGCCAGGTGCGGCCTCCCCAGGTACATCGGATCCAGAGCTTTGGTCACCCGCAATATTTCCTGCACTGGATGCTCGAACGACTGCACGGATTGGGTTACCATCACGGATGGCATCAGGCAACATCTTGATATACACAGCTGACACTGCCTCAACCGGTTTGGCTCCATCTTCAATGTCAAGCACCAAGCTAGATCCTACAACCACTGCAGATCTAGCGTCGCCGGATTGCACAGCGCAGCAAGCCTCATGCAGAGCCACAAGAGATGGCGATGGTGACGACTTGGCAACCATGCTAGAAGAAACAAATGGGTCAGCAAACGGAACACACGGGTTGCAGGAGCAAATCAACAGTAAGATGGTAAACAAACCATGGCCCTTTCAAGTCATTCTTCGAGGATATCATAGATGCGTCGACATCTTCAAGCATGCCAACATAACAACCAACACAAGCATCTTCGCCCTGGTAATTGATCTCGCACGCGTCCTCAAGGCATTCGCGAGTCACTTCCAGAAGCTGCGCCTGCTGCAGCGTACAGCCCTCGGCCTGTTCGCTGGTCGTGAAGAAAAACGAGGCACCAACTGGGCCCTGGTCCTTCTGACAATCGCCACCTAATCGTGGCGGGCTCGGAGAGTCGCAACCAGTGGCGATGAACTCCCACAGTTGGTCAGCATTGTGAATGCCTCCAGGAAGCCGGATGCCAATACCACATATGGCAATTGGGGTATAAGATTGGCCCCCATTCTCGTCAGTATTGTTCGACGCCATTTTTTCTAACCGTGTATATTTTCCTCGCGTTCGCTGGTTCCTCAGTTCTATATTTTATATACCTGTCGTATTCCAATATGATGTCGATACCGGTGTGTAGCAGAAACGGCGCGTTTCTTTTTTCTCCGGAATCAAATTGTCAGTTAAGAATTGGTGAAATTCGTTCGGACGCCCTATCAAGAATGTCTCTATTTTTTGGTATAGGGATTAGGTTTTGTAAAAACGGAAGGGTAAATTTCAAGAAAAGAGTTGGATGCTCTCAAATAAGAAGCATGTGGCTCCCAGAAAAAGAAGCCGAGCAGACAAAAATGTCTACATCAAGATAAGAGGAGGTGCTTCGAAGCAGCACGTCTACGAACTCGTTGTGGGAACGAGAATCTCAATGTTGGAGAGTTGAAAGATGCAGTAGTCCAGTGCATCTATTATCAGACCACTTCACAGTCTCCATGTATTACAGTTGATGCCAAATATTATTAATATGGTACCCTGGCATTCGCCGCCTAGTACGAGTATGGTGAAATGCGTAGGGTATCCGTAGCGGCTACGCTGCTACTACAACCGACATGTGGGGCCCGAGCATCGGTTCTTCCCGGCCATCAGTAATACATGTTCGCAGTATTACAGTTATGAAGCATTGGAAAAGGCTTGGCATACTACGTGGGGTAGTACCTTCGTACCCTTACATAGCGGCTGGCTACTCTGTATTTTGTATGAGAATCAACGGGTTCACTCAGAAGCAGGACCAGGGTCAGCAAAATGTAGGGAAGCGCACAGACCCCGAGGTCAATAGTCAGCTACAGTAGTGAGTGTCTTAGACAACGCAATAGGTAAGTGTAAGTGTAACGCGAGAAAAGGTGTTCGTAGTCAGGATCTGCCATGCACGAATTACTCGTACCTGTGAGAACGAGTCAGAGCAAGGAGCAATTACTTGTCTGAACACCTAATACCAGGCGGGCTCAGGTCCAAGAACAGGGATCCCCTGTCCAGCTGGAGATGAGGTCAGGGATCAAATTAGAGCAAAATCGAACTTGGTGTTTATGTCTCGCGTTTCGCCCAAAGGAGGACTCCCAACAGAAACGCGTCTCGCCACTGTTCCTGTGGAGATCCCGGCTTGACTGGGGACCCCTTGCGGGCTTCAACAGGTAGCGCGCTTAAAAGATGCACGAAAGAGTGCACGAGCAAGACAAGCTTAAACAAGCGGCAGCTACGGAGTAGATGGCAACATTAATAACTGGGTCTCGGAGATAATCCATAGAACGTACAAGTACCGGTTCCACTGGTCACATCCGTTTGCCTGGTGTTTCCGGTTCTCTACCATGCAAGGGTTACCCTACAGCATTTCAGGTGATGTTTGGCAAGAATAAACCATTGGTAGATCACTTTATATGATTCCATACTATCACAAAGATATAAGATATATCTTTTTCTTTAAATTTTATCTATTATTTGTCGAATTTGCTGTGCGAGTTGTTATTTTAGCTGGAGTAAAGATATAGGTGTTAGAACGCCAGTGGTATGAAGGAACATACATGTAGTATTTGCAAATTTTTATGTTGGCATTTGGTGCTGTACGAGTACATGTACAACAAGAGGTTAAGCGGTACAGAGCAAGGAATACATCTCCACCCATACTTCAAAGAGGCCGGTTGCATGCGTGAAAGAAAGCCTCCACTTGCATTGCTAAGCAGCCTATGAGAGCAACGACGATGAATCATGAGAGTCAATCTAGGCCAGTGGCTTCTCTGCAACCTGAATCTCGCATCAGAAGAGGCGTTTTTAACTCTCAACTGACACATATGCAGGCAAAAGGAGAGGTTGGTGTCACAGTAGCCCTGTCCAGCTCCTCCACCATCCCGTCAGACGCCAGTTTGGAGGGTACCGCGGCAAGCACGGTAGCACCAACTTTGCCTATTCCGGAAACCAGCTCCCTTGTCTGACAACTGCCGCCAGAGATATTACGTGGGAAGCGTCGATGGCGTTTCCGGGACTTACATGCCGTGGACGGTGTCGCGAAAAGTCATCAGGCCACACTGATGATGACTTTTGCGGGTTGAGAAACCTGGGTATGAGCTCAACGAGGCAAAGGAATTCCGTCTCGCCCTCCCCCTTCCTTTGTTGAAACCCAGCCCGCATCTCTGTGGTATGGATGTGGTAGGTTCATAAAAGACATGGGGTCCAAGACAGCCTCTCAGTGCTCACGTAATGTCAAGACGGGTGAGGTGGCGATTGTTACGATGAACGACAGCTGCTTTGCCTGTAGGGGAATAGATGTTTCTTGCTGGGCCTGCTTGTACTGGAACGCAATCCCGAACTCGTACGAGTACGGTAGGCTCCTTGCCGCTTTGGTTACAATCCCAATGTCTCATTTTAGAGCTTGTCTTGTTCAAAATTACACCGGATGAAAGCATCCGCATCGGCTTTAACGGTCGCCCCCTACCATGTTTCAGTATACGACCTTGGACTATCAGGTGGAGGTTTGAATGCGGCCGCTCATCTGCATGTGAGAGACATCAGCAGCATCAAATTTCGGAAAACACAATTCCAACCTCACCGCATGAACCTTGATCGTGGTCTTTATTAGATACCTTAGCCTACTTGATCATACATGCGCCTGGCTCTGTGAGCGAATCTCGGAATTACCCTTATTTTCCTATATTTATCTCCTTTATGTGAAAGTTATATACTGGACGATTTCTGGCAAGTGGAATCAGTCAGAAGCTCATTCGAGTGCTCTGAGAGATGACTTAAAAACTCCCTGTATGAAGTCTGTCGTACATTTTGCGAGCGCTCTAGGAAGAGCTGCATTGAATCCTTCCTCGAACTTTTTACACATCCTTGCATCTTTGCATTGTATGGTACTATGTCGAAGAAAGTCTGATATGCACCATATGTTATACAGCATATGCGGGTTATGCATATTTAAATGTCGTAATTTGGATTGTGGTTGAGGTACAAAATACTATCGTATGGGAGTTCCAGAGACCTCAAGACATGCTAGGTCTGCCACGGACTCACACATAGTTACAAAGAGAATAACAAAGAAAAAGAAAACCATTTTATGGCGGTCTGGTACTGGGGGAAAAGATGAATACGCAATCGCCCCCCAAGATTTCAACATCGTCTATTAATAAACTTATCGATCTCTATTATACTAGTGGTATATAACTGAATAGGGCTGGGTGGGGAAAAAAAATGCGCCAGTATTATTCACAATGCTGTAACATTGGCAATTGTTAATTTACTGGGTGACATGGTGTGCTTTGATCTATAGCTGTAGAGTTGTCATGCGATTATTGCTGATCAGACGTTGACAATTCTGGTGATTAAATGAAACAACTATGATAATCGAGGCGCGAACTTATAATAATCCTGACAAGAGAAACTGGTGCAGCTGTTAGTAAGACACCATCTATCAACGCTTTATATGGTAAAAAGGACAGCTGCAGGATTATTTAGCTGAATGAAAGAGTTGGATGATTAATGGTGGTGCCTGTAGGCGGCGAAGTGGTTGCTACCATATGCGATCTGTGTTTCACGCTGGGCTGCATCGAAGTCAAATATTAATCATGGTTCATCACAGACTCAATCGATCCTCATTCGTGGTCAGATATATGTGAGTATTCATCAATGCAACCACCATGTGGCTTTGGGACTGAAACTTACCGAGCAAGTGGTAAAGCTGCCAGCTCTCATATAGTCTGCCCAACTTGCACCACATTTTGTTCTGCCGCATCTACACCACATGAGATCTGAATCAAATACCAACGCATAGTCGCGCTACATCGAACATGTCTCGGGCTTCAAAATAGCACCAGATACTGCAGAATCGGGCTTGAATCCTAGACAGTAGCAATGAGTGATCGAACGCCACTCTCCAAGGCTGTGCCAAACCAGTTAGATGTACCGTGCATCTATTGGTTCGATAGTCTCACCGTGTCAGATACTTCATTTAGAGCAGAGTTGTATGCGAATGCACGTATTGACCAGCTTCCTTAACCTGCTCTCTGGCATCGTGTGCCTAGACTGTGGAATAATCTTCCACATAAGAGACATGTATACGACACACCAGCTACACAGTGCTTTGAGTCAACATACCAATCTTAATTATGTGTGGCAGAATTCCTAGCTCTCCTAGCATCACTACTGGCCGGTTACATCAGTCCAGTTGGGACCATCTTTTAAAAGCGAAAGTATTATGATTCATGCCATATTCGAGAGTTGACCTTCTGCGTGCCTGGGAAGTTATTCCTGATAGACTATTAAATTCGCCGCTCAAACAAACGGGGCTTCAAATGGTGTTGTCTGCATTGGATCCAGAAATATAATCTTCATGCCGCAAATGCGAATGCAGAGATAGGCAATGACAACCGAACCAAGACCTACCCTTCCAGGCTTTAAGCAAAGCTATTACACCGATCGCTGCCAAATTCCGATCATACAACACGTAAGACACTGCAAGAAAAGTAGGGCATAATCCGTGTGAATCGGTGCTCACACTGATATACAAAACTGCCGTAGAGATGTGCACTGTCGTCTGGTTCCCAGCCACATCAAATGCAGTCTTGATGAGACTGCAAAAATTTCAGCTGCCGAAATCGGAGAAATAACACATATCAACCTTCACTTAAGTGTGGCGGCTCATAGTTGAGGACGAGTTTGCTTGATATATTTATCGTCTCAGATGTGTCGTTATTGGGTGTCTTATGGTGAATGAATAGGGGGCGGCCGGCCCACACACGCCTGACAGCTGAAGGAAGCGTGAATCCTGGTCGCCATCTCTATAGATAGACAATTGCTAGAATCTCCTACAAACTTTTGGAGCTCTAGTTCTGTATGGGAGCATTGCCACGTCGGATGGACTCCGTTTTGAGAACCAGAAGACAAGTATGTGGTGCTTACCGCTCGAAGCTTCCAAAGAAGCGAGCATAAAAAATGAGATGAGGATATATAGCTGGCATGCCACTTTGATTAATGCAGTATTACATGTTCGGGGCCTCTCCATATGACAATTACATCATTATCTACTGGAAGATTTTGTTTCTCTGCTAAAGTATCGACGTAAGTGAGATACAACCCATCTTCCCTTGCGAAAGCGGGCCGATTCAAGTGGGTAAAAACATTCGGTAAGTGGAGGATCTTCCTCACAATATGAGTGAGAGCCGGATGCTATATGCTGATCCAACGCGGCAGGATATGAGACATCATCGCCAAATGAGGTCTTGTGGGTTATTACTTCTAGAAATAGGCGCAGCTTGCTTCGTGAGTTTTACGAAGCGAGTGCGTCCTCTTCTCCACGAGAGCTCCAATTATTTAAAAAATAATTAAATTAATTATTATGTTCCTCTGACTGTAGGTACACTTGAGATTCATCTGCTAAATAAGATGCACCATCAGGCGACCAATAACATCCAATATAATATCGAGTGGCTGTCGACCCGTAGCTATTAGTACTTCAACTAAATAAGTAATATACAGGCCGACGGATCATATTTTTAGTGGGGTCTAATATGCTGCATTTGGTATTAACTTGACGTAAATAAATGAGGACACTAGATCAGTATAGACTACAAGACACTCCCTGACAGTCTCAATATTTGTCAAACATGGTTAACCGTTACATTGGTGATCAATCTGATGCATTAGATTTCTGATTCAAATAACAATGCCTCAGACAACATCGAGCCTAAGCTAGATGCAACAGCTGATGCGGCCACACCTTCACAACATAGTCTATCATAAAACTTTCACTCATGGCTAGCTCAAATTAGTATTTGATATCTGACAATGTTACATTGTAATACACATTGGATATTTGAGAGCCATCTCACAGGCCTTGCCTTCTTATGACCTCTAGCGAAATATATACATATATATAGTTGGTTTAGAATACCCTTAATATTCTTCTTACTTGGTAATAGCGATTAACATACTCGAAGGCATATATGTATGGCCCCATGGTAAGCATCATAAAAGTGAAGCCTTCGGCACATTTGGTCCTTGAAATAATTTCTCCACGACTGAGTGAGGACAAAGCATTAAGCTGGCAGCGGGAGGGAAAGCAGCGTTATATGAAGTGGGATGTATCAAATGCATAAGCTTAATATCCATAATATCTATTTTATCAGTAATCTATCTTTCTAAATAGTTCATTGATATAAATTCGTTTACTACTGCATATCCAGTGATTTTGTGAAAACATGTGACTTGCAAGGTCCGCACTAAACAACAACGGACGTCTCCAGTTCCTGAAATGTACTGTTCCCACTTGGTGATGAATGAATGCACTATTGAGATTCTGCATGATTAAGCTTGCAGATGTACTGTAAATTATGGCTTGAGAGTTTATTCTTCATCCTAACTGGCCAGTGTAACGTCCACTGCATACTGACAGTCCACTCACTCTCTTTGCGACGTCTAGTTGTCAAACGTCAAAGTTTCGGAATTCCAACCACAATAACCCCGCAATGGGAACTACTTGGCACCCATTCAGTTGTATAAAAAAGTCTCCTGCTCGAATATGCGTGCACTGATGAGCTTTGAATCACAATGTGGTACAAAAGAAGAGGTCGTGACTGTCAGCAGCACCAAATCATGAGCCATGATGCACAAAACAGCCGATTTTCCTTCATTCACGATTAAAACTCTCTCAGAGAAATATACTATAAAATAATGAGTGTCGATCGCTTTTTATCAATAGAAACATATCAGTAGAACCAGATTTTGCAGTCCCGCCAACGCTGTGCAATAAAACTCCCAAGAAACAAATCTCACATCTCGATCAATTAGCTAATCCGGCCAAGATTTAATCAACAATGTGTCTAGTCATTGTTACCCGGTGCCTCATATGCTTTCAAACTATGCAATGCAACGTAGTTCCCTGCAGAAAGGTGGCTATCGCTCATCAAACATGCGGCGAGCGGACCCAGGCTCCCGACAACATCTCAGATGTAATGTGCGACAGATGCTACGAGAAAACACAACCAGAAATACCTGCACCATCTTTGAAGGACAAAGCAAAGTATTACGCCAAAAAATTCAGCCCCGGTGGCGGCTCTTCATCTCAGGTGCGTATTGGATAGCGTTCATATATGCTTGAGCCGATGCCCCTACTCGACGATCACAAAGTAAAAGAGCTATCTGAGATTGGAAATAATACATATCGAAGCTTATGGGGCCCTGCTCACGATCAATATGTAAATCATGTACTAACTTGAGCTTCAGTAGGCAAATCGTTCCGAGATAGGCGTCTGGGGATACATCGCCTACCGATGGTCTCCCACCAGCAGCTGAGATGAGCAATGTGTCCTTCAATTGTTCAGGCCCAAGCGAGTATTCCGAAGATCCACCTCGATCGCAAGGATAATTTCATGGCAAAGGCCTTTTCGGAATTGCCTGAGTTGGAGTGGAATTAAATCTTAATATGCCTTGACAATTGGCTAAGTCTAGGCAAGATTCAGCGAAGTGTTGGACGTGGTGGGGGCATGGATGGCCATTAATTTTTGGCAAAGGCAGTAGGGTGGGCATTGACAATGCTGGACAATATCACCTTTTTCTTTATTCAGAGGGCCCGTATCTTCGCCTTAAGCAAAGCAATCTAGAAAATAAATTGGGTTGTAAAAAGAAAGAAATGGCAAAAAGAATGTCCTCGGTGAGGCTCGAACTCACGACCTTCAGATAGCCCAAACTGGTTATTTGGATCATATTGAGAATATGAGACTGACGCGCTAGCCAACTGCGCCACGAAGACTTGTTTCTTGACGTTGCTCTGCTCAATTTTAGAATATGAAAATCTCACGACCCGGATCGGTTGACGTCGCTACCTATCTCAAAACTCTGACATTCTCTTATTACGCTGCCCGCATTGGAGAAATTGATCGGAGTAGAGGCTATAAATAAACTATGGTAGACTGAATAGCGAAAATGAGAGCAGCTTTAGGGCTATGAATTAAAGGTGCTGTCGTTGGGGCCAATTCCTGTCCTAGATCTACATCTGGTGTTATGGCTACATCAAATCTTAAACTGTTAAAGGACAATCCAATCTATTTCTATTAAGCCCTTGATGGCCAACATTTACCTTTACTCTGCTTCAATCCTCTATTAAATCCTGAACACGGCATCATGTTATCATGGTTTCCCTTTCTCAACTGGACAACGCAGCCAATGCAGTACCACGGCAATACCCCTCTTTCAGCTCGCTTTACCATAGCCACGCTCTCATCAGCCAGTTGAGCTGAGCTACATGATAAGGCTGGATCACAGCTCAAACTATCGATCTTGGCATCGAAAACGCCTACCACGTGGTATCTCTCACATTTAGGGCTGTTTCATATTTCTTTTCTCAGACATTCTCCTCAGTCACTTTTCTCTATGCATCACCTAAATGCATTTGTGCAACTCAAGTCCCTTCTCTTTTGGCATCCGCGTGCCATCATGTTGCAAATTTTCTCAGACTATGTTGCGATTCTCAAATTCGTTGCCGGAGCGAAAGGATTCCACGATCCTCAGAATAGGTACTTTGCCAATACGTTCTGGACAAGCATGCATATATGCGGCATCATAGCCACATATACCTGGGCGTGGTATTGCCGACCCAAAACAAGTCGACCAGCCCTGTTAGCTCTGAGAAAGGTCTTGATCAACGAAAACAAGTCCAGGATTATCGTTTCAGTGTTCAAAATGATATGGCTAGTGCTATTTAGAACAAGAGGTCGCGGCCGGCGAACTTTTCTACAAGTTATGAATGGCCTTGTCAACCTCACATGGTGGGGTGCATTTGCGGCATACGGGCTTTGGGTCTTCGAATATGAGTTCCTGAATCACTGTGCCTTTTTCTATGGGACAGCTTTACTCGCCGTCTTGGTGCAGCTTGCTGTTGGGGGTAAGCGGGATTGGACAGCTAATACCGAGCTCGCCAACTTACGACACAACACAAGCTGGTCATCTTGTCTTTATGTATTGCTGAGTCTCTGGATTGGATGGCTCTATAGTATCTCTAGATCCACAGCTACGTTATCTCCTTTCCTTGAGCATTTTGCGAGAATAGGGTACTTCGTTCTACCCCATTCCACAACCATTTTCATGGTTCTCTTTATCGCACAAGAGCACGACGACATATATCTTTCTCCGGCAGGCCCTTTGAAGATTAATGACCCACCTATTCGATTTTGCGGACTTTGTTGTCGCACTGTAATTAAAGCCCTTGAAGGGCGTCAAGATTCTCATGGCACTCATCATTGGACTTTTCGCTCTCTCGCTACGTCGGTCAAAGCCGGCTGCCGTGTCTGTTCCACCGTTTGGGAGCAAAGAAGGGGAGTGAAGCGCGATTTCCTCGGATATATCATGTTTTGGAGACCTGTTACATCATGGGAAGCTTCTATTCTCGGATTCACCATCATATCTGAAGAATCAAGAGGTGACTATTCCAAAGCAAGATGTAGTTTCAAGCTGGCCTCGCTGAAAGCCAGCGACATTGCATCTCAGCCATTGTCTAATAACACAGGATCATACACGTCTTTGCAGCAAGCTATCGAGTGGTTTCAGACCTGTAGGATGAATCACGCTCATTGCCGCAATACAAGTCTTACAGATGTACCGTTCAAGCCCACTAGACTTTTGTTTGTCCAGTCAGATGGCGAGAATATCCAACTGCGGCTCCATTGTTCTACAAAACAATTGGCGGCAGTTCCATATATGACTTTAAGTCACTGCTGGGGTGGAGGTAGTCCACTAAGACTAGTAAAAGCAACACTCACTGCGTTTCAGCAAAAAATTGACACAAAGCAACTACCAACGACATTTCTACAAGCTGCACAAATGACAAAACGACTGGGCTGCTCATATCTGTGGATCGACTCCTTATGCATTGTACAGGATGACTGGGACGACTGGTTGCGGGAAGCGGCTCGTATGGGTCAAGTATATAAGAACTCCATCGGCAATATTGCCGCAACCGATGGCACAGATTCTTCCAAGGGATGCTTTTGTATCAGAGATCCCCGCGCCATTCAACCGGAGCCATTCGATGACATTCCAGACCAGAGTCAGTATCTGGTCGGTGGCTCGGATGTGTTCAGGCATCATATTTTGTACACTCGCGGTTGGGTATTACAAGAAGTTCTGTTGGCACCTAGGGTTTTACACTGTTGCCGCGAGCAGCTGTACTGGCACTGCGACGAACTCAGAGCTTCGGAAATCTTTCCAAATGGAATGCCAGCTTCTATTTTGGAAGATTACCATCCTGTAACAAAATATAGAAGCTTCAGCAATGGTGGGAAGCGCACTATTCTCACATCTTCTGCCCTAGAGAAGGTTGCATCAAATGTCCATCACTATGTAAGCTCAATGACGGCTCCTCGTTGGATTGAGTTCCCTCGGGCGTATTCAGGCGAGCTTGATATAAATACTCTCGGCTTTAAAATATTGGGCAAAGAAACAGGCATTGCTTTGAAAGATGCAAACCGATATTTAAATCACCTTTCTCTATATGAAGAGCTCAGCTTAAGATGGAAACTCATAACTTACCATCCATTTACATATTGGGCGAGACTTGTCCAGGCATACTGCGGCATGTCATTCACTAAGACTGAAGACCGAGCCGCCGCTTTTTCTGGTATAATTTCGCTGTTGAGACCGCATCTCGGAGATTACTTGGCTGGACTATGGAAGATATTCTTGCCGTTCGAACTTCTATGGGTAGCTGTGAAGCCCTCTAATAGGCATAAAGCGCTTAAAGTGCCAAGCTGGTCTTGGATGTCTATCGATGGCCCTGTTGATTACTCCAGGTGCGGGCATAGCGTGCAACATGACCAGATACTCGTTGAAGTACGCAGTGTATCAATCGACTACACATCCATCGACATGTCTCGCGCCTCCAGTTGGGAGATGAGACTTTGGGGCAAACTCGCGATTGGAGACTATAAACACCGAGGAAACAGGACATCGAAGCGAGTCCACATGCAATACATCGGAAATCCAACCTGGCGAGTCTCGCCATCCAGGGAAGGCGAAATACACCCTACTGAGCTATTCTTGGAGTCTGATGATCCACGTCCCCCTACTATTTTCCTAGACGAGATTGAACCAGTTGAACTCTATGACGGACAGTTTGTTTTCTTTCTTCTATTCAAAGAGAAAGTTGCCGGGAATAAGATCCAGACCGGTCTGGTGCTGCGGTTGGTGGACGAGGAGCAGCGATTTCGAAGGATCGGTGTTTTTGATGGCGCAAATCCGAAGGTGCAAGCAATTTTTGATTCAGTTGAGCCAAGTGAGGTCGTGTTGGTATAAGCGTTTCCTAGTATGGATGTTTTAGCTCTCAGTCGTTGCAATTGTTGGTGATAGAAGCGCTAATTAATATCCAACTCGAACATTCGGAGAGGTAACCGCGGGAACCAATGACAAAGGATGAGGAGTTGCTGAAAACCCGGCTTGGTATCTTACCAACTCTGCCGAGCTGAGCCGAGCCACAATACACTGCATCGTTCACAAATTTCTGAGACGATGTTCTACAACTGAAGGCTATAGTCTAGGTTGTAGCTAATTTATAGACATCCCTACGGCCGATTAAGCTTTGGTATCTCTGTGGCCACCCTGCCTAGGTCTCACAGGAAGCCACAGGCAGCTGCTATTGCATCCGCCATCATCTGGATCAGAAATAACAGCAGCTGGAGAACACGGCCGCTATATCACAGCTACAAATCACACATTTACCTTGTATTTGGCTGTAAAGCCAACCACATATTTCTATTCTTTGAACTGTTATGGCCGCCGAATACACGTGGAGGTCCTAGCTTCGATTTGCATGTCTGAGCGTCGGCCCTTTTCCAGCTTGGGCCGTACGCTCTCAGTCAGAGTTGTGATCAAACCCACCCAAGAAAGGACAGCAAGACAACTGCATGCATGAGCTACTCCTTTTGGTGCGTTTCAACGGGGATCGTCTCATAAATGCAATTCCATAGGTGACAATTAAGGCTTCTCACCACTGTCTCGTGGATCTGCGATGCACCTTAACTTGAATGCAGTAGCAACTGCATGCCATCAAGAGCGCTTTTTAAAATGCTTACACATTTCGCATGACCGCAGACCCATTGCCATACGGCCGAGAGAATCCAGTCCATTGGCAAGTATTACTCCGTACAGGTGCCACCTATTTAGAGCCATCATTCGCCTTTTCCGCCTCAAGCCACACTAGATTATGCCTCGCTACGAAATTTGAACTTTCCCGCATCGATTCCGTTGCAGCTATGTTATATCGAAACTGTAGCCAAAACGCTCCATGTTACTGTATACCTATGTATAGTCTGTACCTGCGTATCGCTCGACTAGTAGGCATCATGCATGAGAGCGGATAATTGAACTGGTCCAGCGAGGGCCCCAGCCAAGTTCATTCCGCTGTGTTGTGTTCTGATTCGCTTTTCAATTAGTAGCTCTCGGACTCTCGCCACTCGACTGAATATGTAGTTCATCTCACAAAAGAATTCGGAAATGGCACGCAGAGAAAGAAATCACTGCCAAGAAATCCCGCGAACTTTCGCTTTATGCCGTGGTGGAAGCAAGACTAAGCCTCACAAACTCACCAGACGTGACTGTAGGGCAGGGGACCAACAACACACCCCGTAGCTCAAAGGAATTATATGGGTCTTCCAAGGGCGCACATCCTAAACTAAGGGACTGCCTGGGCAAGCGAATTCCGAATAGGCAAGACGGAGTAACATCTCGCACCCCTTAGTCTTGTATGCCCTGGACGTCCCACGCGGTTTTAGGGCATGTACATCTACATGTAACATGCGAGATGAAAAGAAAAGGCGCGGGGACAAAAAGTCTCTGCATGATAGCACGTCTAGCACCGGTTTTACTACTCTCAGCTGACTTTCTCCTTCTTGAGACAACCAACAGTTTTAACAATGCCACTTGGCAATTGTTGGCTCCAACCGGATCAATATGAGCCCCTAGTCTCCCCTCTTTCCACGTCGCCCTTAATATTGCTCTATTACCAACAGAATTAATAATACGTTTGCTATTAACCAGTATAAACCTTTAGAAATCTGATAGATTTCATGCGCTGGGTGGGCTCTTTTTCCGTTGTCGATCATCTTTCGTGATCACAAATCACCCCTCCACAGCCCTTGGAATCCCCTCTCCGCTTTATCAGAATCTCGTAAGCCTATGCCATTACTGCAACCCGTATGTACAGTACAAAAATAAGGAGGGAGAGGAAAAAGGAAACGCAGTCAAAATTATTGAACCTATCAAAAGAATCTCCCCGCATGATCGGTCAACCAGTCTGCGCCAATCTCACTGACAATATTCAGACCTAGAACTGTCCAAGGTCGTTACATCCAGCCAGTGCTCACACGCATAAGTGTATACAATACCGCATACGCTACACCTGCCTTCTTCCTAGGAAAACTACCAAAAAGACAAATTATATCTCTATAAATGATGGCAGTTTTAACATGGTTCATCACCGGCTGCTCTAGCGGATTCGGCGAGATCCTAGTTCGTCAGCTCCGCGCCGCTGGTGATAATGTTATAGCTACAGGTCGCAATGCCGATACGAAGCTCGCCCATCTCAAAGAGACTGGAGCATCGATTCTCAGCCTTGATGTCACGGCGCCCGCCACCGAAATCCAGTCTAAAATTGACGAAGCTTGGGATATTTATCCCGGGGGTATCGATATCCTGGTCAACAATGCCGGCTTCATCGTCAGCGGAGCAATTGAGGAGTTAACGTAGGTGGGCATCCATCCCAGGCTTTGAAGACTCTCCTCATTGGCAACTTGCATACTCGTATTACCATTTTTCTTATCATGGCTTGTCGTCCTATACACCCACCCCGTACACCTTCTCATGTGAAACTTATACTGATCGATCCTTACATCCTGGAACCTGGTTAGGCAAGAAGATATGGACTCCTCTTTCAAAGTCAACTTCCATGGGCCACTCAACATCACCCGTGCTATCCTCCCTCGCCTCCGGGAAAAGGGCAAGGGAACGCTTCTTTATGTAGGCTCTCAAGCGGCATGGCATGCCGATCCCAGTGCTGGAAGCTATTGTGCTGCCAAATTTGCTTTATCAGGTATGTGGCAAATCTAGTTCTTCACCTAAGAGCTCAGGAGGTGGGATGATCCGTTTGATCCCCTTATGCCCGTTTCACACGACTTGCTTAAACGAGCACGGTGCACTAAGAGACACTATTTCTTTGCCAACCAAGCCCAAATCACAACCAATATTCCATCCGAAACTACACCAGTTAGGCTGTTCGCTGATATTTACGGACCGTGCACACGCTAACCATAACCAAATATAGGTGCTGTTGAGTGTCTCGCCAAAGAACTGGCCATCTTCTCCCCGGGTATTAAGATCCTCATTGTAGAGCCCGGGTACTTCCGCACAAAAGTCTTTTCCAACATCAACCATGTCGAGCCTCGCATCCCAGACTACGCTCAATTCAATGCTGGGGTCCGGCAGTTTGAAGCCTCACTCGTTGGAAATGAGCCTGGTGACGCCGATAAAGCTGCTATGCGGATGATTGAGCTTGTAAGGGGCACGGGCATGGCTTCGGGGAAGCAAATCCCTCTGAGAGTACCCTTGGGAACGGACGGCTGGGAGAGGATCAAGGCAAAGTGCGAAGAGACGATCAAGATTTGCGAAGATTGGGAGGAAGTTGCTAAGAGCACAGACTACACAGCGGTAGGTGCGGTTTGAATTAATTGAGCCGTTCTTGATACCGCAGTCTTCCATTCAAGACAATATAGTTGTGGATAGCCCCGGCGATATTGCATCAATTGGGGAATTAAAGACGAAGGCCTATCCACACTCCATAGTATTGAGCTCTTTCTATCGTTAATAGGCCAAAGTTTAAGTGGTATGATAGAGTAGCTTGATCCTTGTTTGTGCTATTTCCATGTAACTTCTACTGCATTGATCTATTCCCTTCCTCTCCTATCCAACCCCAGGCTCCAATCAACCTCCAAACCAGCCAACAGCTCAAATTTTACCCTGTCTAGAAACTCCTTCACAAATTTGCCCTCGTAAAAGCTCACATTGAAGCACCCCGCAATATTCAGCTCGCCCCTAAAGCTCCATACATGGCACTGCACTGACCGGGACAGCATCTGCGTGCCAAGCCAAAAGTCAGCCACTTCAAACCCTTCCCCGTTGCCACCATATGAACGTTGGATATATGTCTCCACATTCCCGAGGCTGCTCATGTCTGGATTCTGTATCGGCGGCAGCCCGGGAGGAAGAGGTGTGGTGAAGAGCTTCGTAGTGCGCCGCACATAAGGCGCAATTATTTCGAGCATGGTTATGGGGTTCCCATCAACATCGTAGGCCAAGCGTGAAAGATCCTTCTTATATGCCGAGGCTAGCTGTTGGACTATCTCTTCGTAACTCTTGGGGCCCCGGCCCTTGGTGTCCCCGAGCACATCGTGGACGCAGATTGGGAGACCTGAGGAAAAGACGCCCACAGCATAATCCGGACCGTCGTATGGCTTGGGTAAGCGCCTGCGCATGTCGACTGGGAAGAAAGCGGCGTAGCTCACGGCGAGTGGATGCTGCGGGTATGTGGCCGTGGCACGAATAATGGCAGCATGGACGGCACTGCTGATGCTGACTTTACGAACTCGACATGCCGAGATGATGGCAGCAGTTGTAGAGACTTCAATTCGCAAAGTTTCTCGCCCGGTATCGCCCGGTGAGACTGTTTCAGAGCCAGGCAATGTAGGTAGACCAACAGTAGGCACTCCGCGGATATACTCGTTGACAAATCCGTCTGCGGCATCTTTGATGTGCCCTGGTGTAGAACTTTCGTCCACGTAGGCGTTGACAAGATCATCCAGACTTCTAGTAAGGGATCCGCTGCCCGCCAGTGAGTCATACGACTTCAGGTCACAATCCAAGCCATTTCGTAGAACGGACGCCAAAGAAGATAACAAGCTGTGGGCAAGCATAAGCATGCCAATGCCGTCGATACGCCAGTGCGCAGAACGTAAGAGCAGCTGCTGAGTGGTGGGCAACCAGTGACATGTAGGAGTGCCATTGCGAAGCATACTTCCAAACAAATTGTTTGCATGTGATGCTGACATCGCGGTATCCTTCCCATCATTGCTCCCAGTGACTATACTGTTTTCTGTGTTATGTATTATAAAGGTCTTGGATACCCAAGCATCAGCATCGAAAGGGTGTACAACAAGACGCGAATTTGCGACTTCGTCCGCATCTTCAACAACTGAGCCGGTCATTGTCGGATGGAGTTTGCCGGTAAGGATCCAAGCACGTCGTATATACGGAATAGGGTCCACAATAGAAGCCTTGAAGTTGATTTGCAAAGCGAGTGATATAGCCCAATGCTCGCGGTTGATAGGTGAGCCACTGTCACTAAGTAGCTTGAAGAAATTCTCCAATGTATCAAAGGGTCGTGATGAAGCGCCGGTAACTGGAGGCTGCCAGTTTAGAGTTGATGAGGGCTCGGGGAATTGATGAAGAGACTCTGAGGTAGTTACATCGCTACGTTGATGGTAGCAGCCATGATATGGTTGTTCCATTATGTGAGTTGTAGGGCGAGTTGATTTTACGTATTAGGCGATAATCGCACAAGAGGGTTGCAATAACTTCACATTTGTCGATGAATAGAAAGACTAAGCTTGCAACCAGAGCTATACGGTTCCAAAACGGCTGTATTCTGAGTTGAGAAGGTTAAAAGAGAGGTATTATTTGCTTGAACCACGCATACAAAGAAGCACCTCCCGATCCAACACAACATAACAACATTCCTCCATCTATGCTATCACTCAGGCATAGTAATGACCTTAGATGCCCAATTACAAATTCACTCGGCCATTGTACGTACTAATGGCAGGATAGGTCAATGGAAGGTGAGAGAAGGTCGTATTGTTAGTACTGTTCCGAGAGCAAGTGAGGCAATATTGGCCAGAGGAAGAACCAACAACGCCAAGCACAGAATCACCTGATGTCAGTATAATGGAATCCTTTCTAAATACCCTTACCATGCATCATCCTTCTTTTTAATTTCAGAAAGTCGGTGGCAGTTCTAATTGTTGCATCGGATCAACCAGACAGTTGATGAGCATCTCCACGCAAGACACTGCTTCTATCCAGTGTAAATTGTTTGAACTTCTCGACTACCACCGGTAGGCGCCGTAAGTAGAATGCAAAGACTCGTTGATAAGCGGGCACCGGGCATTTCGTTTTACAGTCGCGATCCTACACCGGATAGAACATAAATCGGCGAGATTAAAAGCCAACAGAGTCTAGGGTCCGTTACTTCTGATAGGCCAAGACAAAAAGAGGGGTAAATACAAGAATCCTGTCGTTAGAGACAAATATCGGAGACTATGGAAGAAAATGGATATGAAAATCCTTTGACCCATATAGTTCCACCCACTTGCTTGTAAATCTAGCAACCAACACTCTACATGCTTCGTATACGGAGTATGTTGGCCATGAGAACCAAGCTAAAACCTTTCGGGCCGAGGCTCCCGGAGAATCCCACCAAACTAAATGATGGATATTAATCCAATTACAGGCAACGAACCTAGTCTTGTGCTCATGAAAGCGTTGGTTGACGAAGGCCGCCACCAGCGACCCGTGGTGGAGCAGTCATAGGAAAACGTTTAGGATATTCCTCTTTGGTCTTGAACAGGTCTAGTCCTCAAAGTGCTTTGCTTTAGTGGCCGATCCTTCTGTGCTAGAGCCTAGTAGCGCTATACAGAACATGTACCTGTACCTGACCATCCCGTGCCCGCATTATCAGTCCTTGGGCCTTTCGTCTGCTCCTATCTGTCGTCAGTATCAGCCATTCGAATCGACAGATAGCGATCTGTCGTTCCCTTATTAACAGGATCAGAGCTTTCGGATATGAGAACACCAATTGTTTCTCTATAACATCCGGGCCATTGGCGAGACTACTGGGTAGTCCGCTCAAATACACGGATTGGAATTTGCCCAAGGATTCCCCCACTTCCTTCACCATGTCTGTTTTCCTTGAGACACAGATAGTAGTGCTGCTTGCCTGAATACCTCTCGACATCTCGGGCTAATAGCTGTTCTTAATAGAGTCTGCAGGTGAAGTGCCAATTAACCCTACATGCGTGTTGGCAACGGGATGTAGCCCTTCCCTAAACATCCTCAAATCAACAACACCCTCCAAAAGAGCGAGCCTCATTGCGTTCGGTAAGATTGTAGAGACGTGATGTTGTCCACTCTTTTCATCTCTATGTTTCTCTTTTTGTCCAATCGCTTCATTGTGCAAAGTCACGAGCTGGAATGAGACAGACTCCAAAAGGCATCTGTATAGATGCCGCGGCTGCGGCAGAGATTGCCGATACGGAGGCGCATATTGACAATAATCTAGGGCCAAATATTGTCGCCTGCACAGTGATATGCGGTCCCGCTTCTCTAGTCTTAATTATCCTCCGATTCTTGTCGCGGTTCATCACCAAGTCCGAGCTTCAGAGAAATCTTGGTGCATACTTTTTGATTGGGTGAATTTGTCGCTGCAAGTCTACAACTACCGTAGTATGGTCAGTACATAATTAGGGAATAATGGAAGCCTGAAAAAGCAAGAATCATGAGGCTGTAGAGAGTATTTTCTGAATCCATTTCCGTCTCGTAGCTTAATTTTGCCGTCTTCGATAATTGCTTCGCCATCACGGTCAAGTATGGAGAGGGTCGACATGTTATCCTTGTTATGCTGACCATGAACGAATGCTCCAAGTTGTGAGTCAAGAAGCATCCTCATATTACATAACAGCCTCGAATTACGACAACAGGATGTGAAAATTCTTGAGTTTCAATGTCTCTCCTCTTGGCAGATCAACATCATCAACGAAAGCCTCTAGTGTGTCTGCATAGCCTTTCTCAAATTCAGTATTCTAAGCATGTACCGCTCAATTTTTTTCGCAGAGTTTTCATTAGTGTCTCATAGCTGGCGGGGTCTTTAGGGCACATTGAGTCATTTCCCGTGCTTTCGTCTTTCAGTACGTCCTATTGTATATGGGTGAAATCCGACCATCCCTGGAGGACATTGCGTCAACTATGGTGCTCTCGTTCTCGTTGCTGGCATATGCAACATCATTACAAATTTCATCGTTCTCGCCATCCCAATCCCGCTTTTGCTCAAGCTCCATCTCTATGGTCATTTTCTCTTTTGTAACAGGTGGCAAGCAAGTCTCACGACCTCATGACAACCATTACGCTAGACTTCAAGACATGGACATTAACTTTCCCCTTTATTGCATACATTGTCAGTATTGTCCGTCTTGCCTTTGCTCTCACAGTTGGTTTCACAGCCGATAAAAGCCGTAAGTCTAAGCCCATTAAATCTTGAAGGACAATGAGCCGATAAATAATGACATACACCTACAACTGTTATGTGTGCTCCGAGATAGGCAACTCACACCGCGACTATCATCGAATATGAAGCTGTCAAAATACCAAAGTACCTTCTCTTCAAGCTGTAAAACTATGATGATGCTTACATCTCAGCCCAGGAACATAACTTGTGATAAGCTCTCTATTCGCTTCCATGCTTTCTCATTCGCGACTCCATCCACTGTGTCTTGTCGCCATCACCTCTCTCTATACAAATCCACTAAATAGCAATTCATTTCTTTCACACCTCTTGGAAAGACATAATGCTTCCATATTATCACAAATACAACTTTGGAAAATGAACCATAGGCGGTGCCAAGTCTAGATAAATTCCCGGGTAGGCGGTGCATGTTTACCAACAGCTTAGAGACCGATTACAAAGAAGAAAGAATGTATGAATAGATCCAACAATTGGGGGAAGAGTTACGTGCAGTACAATAATGATATGACGGGAACAGTCCAAAAAAAAAAATGGCAATTGTCGTTTCTTGTTGCTACCACCAACGTACCACAATGCAACACTTTTCCTCACAACGATGCTACTCAGTGTTTCTACACTCCCCATCAAGTTGCCAATTATCTTCCCAAATCCATGTTGTGAAATATCTAACAGTATATTATACCACCTTGGTAAAAAAAATTGCTTTGCTTCTCTCACCATAACCATCCATCTCTTGCGGGGCCGTCTCCGGCCCGGACACGGCGATTTGGTATCCACATCTCGGAGTATCCATTGCGCGCTCCGGAAAAGATTCTCCCTCATAGTATGTATTAACAATTAATCGCTTCTGAACAACTTGAAAATAGTATGTCATTTTCCTCATATGTTCAACAATGGATTGTTAAAATAACCGATGAACGTTTATGCCGTTACCCACATCATAGAAAAGTCTCTACATCACTTCAACCTATTCTCGCCCCCGACATATGTTGCAAAAGCTGAGCACATTCACTAGATATATAAACATCTTCCGATAATATTTTCGCTAGTATATGGAACTGAATTCCGCCGGAAAAACTACTACAATAGCGAGTCTCAACCACTTATGGCATAGTCACATAGGTTCGCAAAATCACTCTCTGTGATCGCGGAACGGAGAGCTGTGTAATGTCAGATGAATATGAGCGCTACACACACAATTAATAATCTCTAAATAATTCCCTTTTCTTGATAGTACACCGTCTTCAAGTAATCATCTCGTAATATCCATCACACCATAGATGCGTCGGACAAGACCTCCATGCAGCGTGGGGGACGAAAACACGTTGGTATCTTTCCACTCCCTTCATCGCACTATTTCACAATCATCACTTGCAACTTATCATGTCCAAGGCTCCGTAAACCCCAAAAATCCCTCGCCATTGATGGGCGGGAACCCCTCATGTTGGAATGAAAGGAGTGGCCGCGGCATAAATGTGACTCCGGCGAACCTGCATAATGTTCTCCGCTCCCTGTCCACCAAGAGCCATCTCATATTCAGTCTTCCGCAAATCCGCAAAAGTAATGCAAAATTCTCATTACGAAGGTGATCCACAGATACATTCAGTGAGTGCGAAATTCCGCAGCCAAAGTCATTCACAGCTCCATATAGGCAAACTGTTGGGCAGCATACATCTCTAGCGTCAACTGCAATCCTGGTTTATAGTCCAAAAGCCAGGGCTACCCCTCTTAGCCCATCTGCAGCGGCGCATAGCGGTTGAGAATCTGCGTCCCAAGAAAATGTGATTCACCGCTACAGCTGCGATGGCATCGTTTTACCATCAATAGCGAGTTTTCATTGTGACAGCCTCGCCTCTTAGCGATACCCGAGTATTTCTAAAGCCACGAAAGTCCATTAGTATCTTTCTACATTCATGTATCACGATTCGTAAAGAATGCTATAGAAGACTCGGTACAGTAGAACATAGCATGTTGGTTCAAGCTGCGGATTCTCGGACCGGACACTGCTACATTACCTGTCAGCAATCTCCGCCCCTTAGGCAGATTTTGCAATCCCGACACCATAGAAAAGAAGCAGCAAGTTGTCGTCTGCTCAAGTTTGGGCATCAATGAACAAGTATCCACGAGTACATCGTCATCCTGGATGGGCCTTTTGCAACACTAGCCAGCCCCTGATTTCGACTCATTCACTCCGCGGTCTACTCAATCCCATTGGATAGCCAGTCAGCGAGGGCAGAGTCATGTCAGCTGCGTGGCACCATTTGTGCCAATGCCTGTGTTGTATCAGCAGGCTCCAGGCCGGAGATGAGGTCCGGGTATGTAACATGTGAAGCACACCAATCTGCCTATCAACAACTAGAGAAGCCACTTCCTAAATGGTCAGTGGGGCTTTAACGACACCAATTGAGAAGTATAATACAAAAGGAGTCAAAAAACTGAAATGTAGGTCAAAATTTTGACAATGTAGTTCATGTAATCAGCGGTAGTTCGCCTCACGGGGTTCTCCCCGAGTCCGTTCACTTCTGCCTTAAACGATCTCCACATCAACTGGTCAGTCTAACCTCTTCATATGATATCAAGAAATCATTGGGAAGAGGTACATGGTGAAGTGGATGTGATATCCAACTCGCTCTTCCCATCAGCATGAACAATGGCAGTATTGAAGGAGCTATCGCTCAACAACACTAAGGGGAAGTGAAAGAATCGGACCAATGAATATCGGTGTATTATGAGAAAGGTATCCATCATTCGGCCGTTATAAGAAACAGTTGATTTACCCTCTACTCGTACTTAGGTGGCCATGTTACGAGAACAATATTAAAGGTAGCAAATACTCCTAGCCAGACTTATATCTCGAGAATAGATTTCAAGAGGAACCTCAAGACACACTTCTAAAAGGCCACTTGAACTGGTGTCCTCTACACATAAAGCCACATTTAAATATCTGAAGCTGAATGGCCTCGGTCCAAGACCATTATACATACTACGGAGTACTCCGAGCACGACTCGTCTACTTGGTAGATTCAAACGTGAAGGCGCTTCTGTTCTGCCCGGTTAGGTAATCGTCAGCCCCCTCGAAAGCTCGAAAAAAAGCAGCCAGCAAAAAAGTTTTCCCATTTGCGGCCAAGCTCGCAGCAGGAGCATTACCTCCGGCGGCCAGAGGGCCAATCGCGAGCCAAATTCACCGCCGGTAACCAAAAAGTCTCCGCCCTCTTAAATTGGGAAATACGGCCAGAAAATTTCGTCTTGCCCAGCCCAGCAAAAAAAAGAACGAGCTGACTTGTACCGAGGCGGAACGTAGATCCCGTTTGGCGTGTCTTCGTAAGCCCAACGCAAGCCGCTCAGCAGTGGCGTGACAAAATCAAGGCGACAAATCTGCAACTGTGGCGACAGTACATTTCTTCAACGGTCTCGACGGTCCCCCACGGTGGCAAGTTCGCAACTTCAGCCACAGCCGCCACTGTCGATCACTGCGCGAGGCTGCTCTGGGACACGTCGATTGGCGCGCGATTGGATCTCATTGGTTGGACGGAGACAAGTGGTGCGTAGCTTTGACGACAAGCATGGGCAAATCTCAACCTCGTGGGATCGGCGGCGAGGCGAGATGGATATTGAACATGCAAAATTGAATCAGAATCCCGTAGATCTACTCGTATTCAATTGGTGTGTCGTTCGGCAATGCAAACAGCAGCTCGAAGCCCCAAGGAAAGGGTCGAGATCCTGGGCCGTTACCAGCATCCTTGGCCGGCTCGTTTGATTGGTCCCAAGTGGTCCCTCCAACGCAACGCCTTTGTTGTGGCCATTGCAAGGGTCATGGCGGCATTCGCACATTTTAGGTGAGCACCATCATTCGTAAAGAGCCGTAAAGCAAGCTAACATGTAAGTCGTATGCCGTACCAAAGAGCCGGAACAACAGACACTAAACCAAGAAGGCCATGAGCGTCCTTGACTCCATAGCATGGAAATGGCAATAGCCAGGTCGAGACTCCGCCAACCCGCTACGCTGGAGTCCCTGAATAGAATAGTGGAAGATGGTCTTCGGCCTCGGCGCCACACGTGGCTGGCTTGTGCCCAACGATCCGTCCTTAACACAAGGATAGAACATGGGGAATTTTGCCGCCTTGAATCTTGAAAGCTCAGTTGACATCTCGCTGGCGTCACTCTTCGCTTCGTGAAGTGGCACCGGCCACGTAGCGTCGACTTGTGATTCTACTTCTACGCAAGAAAACTGCGGAAATGAGGTCAGTTTGTCTGTCAGGATTTTCCCCCGTGCTTATCGCTGGTCTGAGCCGCTGTTACATACTTGTACAATACATACATACTGTATTTCCCCGCCGCTGTGGCTGAAGCATGTGAACCTGTCAACAGCCTAGCTTTGGCCAATCATTGCGTCCTGCCAAGCGTCATATAGATGATCATCTTGTATATAGACCAATGATATTTGGTATAGCCCTGTTTTTGAATAGATCATCTCCGAAACAGAAGAGTTGTGTCAGAGAGACCACAGGAGCATATGCATATAGGAGAAGTTGCGTCAGCCACCACCTGTGGCAAGGATGATGGCGATAATATGCCGTCACGTCTCAGGAGAGACACGGCTGGTTCACTTTCATTCAAAGTACCAGTCAGTGAAGTAGTCAAAGACTAAAAGTCTCGGTTCTTCTTTCGTCTTAGCTACCCGACCAAGGCGAGTTCGACTTCAAAAGCTAACTAACTTTTCAAATGTGCTCCTGACCAGGAGGCGGAAATGTACAGCTGCCGTGATATACGGCTCTACAACGCCACCCTGTGGCGCCTCGAATTCCATACGCCGTGTGGAGCTTGTTTGGGACCGGATTCCCGATGTCAAGGGAAGAGCTACACCCTCGATCCCCAACGGGGCTTGCAAAGCATGTCCATCGGAAAGTCTTCCGAGTCCAATGACAACCAGGAGGGCGTCTGGGCCGTCTGGGCGCGCCTCACTCACACCCCCTTCAGTCATGTCCCGGTGCTAGCTGCGGGTAAACGCCATGGGTGACAAAATGAAGCCAATAGTATCAACAGGAGGCAAAGCCGATACCTTGATCTACATGGCAGGTTAGCCCAGGGACTGCAGGGTCCCAAGGCAAATTTCAGCCACAATACTTCGTCCAGCCGTCAGGGTGGGCAGCAGATTCCAGGCAAGCCAGGCAGCGGGCCCCAGAACTGGGCCTTTCCACCAGACCTCAGTAAACATAAGTGAGATGGACGAAAAGTTCCTGAAAGGTAATTCTAGAAAAAGCGGACCGTCCTTGGGGCTCGCCTCGGTTTTGTAAGCGCGGCCTGCTGCTTCGGCCTATCACGTCTAGCTGGAGCATTTGCTCCGGGGCTTTCTGTTGCTGTGCCCAATGCGAATCGGATCACACATGGCTCAAGCCAGCACAAAGAAATGCGGTGGTGCACGCGATTTTATCTGTCAAAATGGCTCTTCTTCGCTGTTGCAATTGCCTGTGTCTCTCACAGGCCAATTGTGTGCCATCTCCCGGTGAATCCCTGAAGCAGCCACGGAGGGACAAGGCCGCTACAAACCCGCCTGTCCACTCCCCCCCAGTCCGCTGTGGCTAGGAACCGGGCAGTGGCAACGGTTGGTAGCTGTCTCCATTCGGATAGGAGCCTCCCTCCTGCCTGCCTGAAGCCACATCTTGTGTTGATCTTCCCTAAATCTTCAGGTCCGGCCGTCTTCTTGGGGAGATTGTTTGCCCGCTGGCAAGTTCAACTTTCAAGTTGTATTCCCGGTAATACATCTTGCCATTTTGCCATTTCCGTCGGGCACTTTCAGAAGCAAGATACAGAATCGCCTCTCCCATGTTGTCAACACAAGGAATTCGCCCTACCCCTGACCATCTTTTGATCTCCGTCGTCAAGAGTGCTTGACGGGAAATTCTACTTCAGATAAATGTGCACGGCGCATACGGCTGAATGCCCAGTTTGCGGGAAAGAATACCTCATCTTTGCTGCTCTTTGTCCGGATTCCCGGCCACCTTCAAGCGACTGCCCTCAGGGGGTGACGATCATAAGCGAGGAAATGCGTGAAGGCGGATGTCCGAGTCCCGTTTGTCCAAACAGCCTGAGAGGTGGCTGTCAAGTAATGTAACGACTAGCTCAATTACAAACAAGGAGAGACTGCCAGGTGCAGCCGAAACAAAAGAAAACACAGAAAGCCACGACAAAGACAGCACACTCGGAACGCTTTGGAATTGGACTGACCCCTGAATCAAATCAGAGCTTCTGCTCGGACGGTCCTATCTCGACAATTTGGTCAACACCTTGGTAGGGGGGCACGTCGAAGTTATACTTCTTGGCAATAGATGGAGACACGAATCTGTCACCACTGGTCAGTTGGCTGGCTCTGATGAAGATGACTCGAGCATGAAACAAAGAGGTACGTACCGTCCACCAACAAAGTGCCGGCCAGTAAAGTGATTGACCAATGGCTTAGGGGCCGTGAGGCTGACAAGAGCCGTGGGCATAAAAGAGCTACCTAATCCTGTCTTAGGAGGGCCGTTTTCGATATCCCATGACGACGGTGCATCCACTGAGGTGACAGGTATTATGGTCTCCTGGAGAGATTTGATCACGGCCGGAAATGGCTCCCGAACTTCGCCTGAAAAACTAAAACCTAGAGCAAGGGTCAATCATCGAGAACTTTGTCTAGGTGTGCAAAGTACACGGCACAAACCGAATATCGCATCCACTATATGGTCCGTCGATTTCATGGCGGTAGGGAAATCATCGACGAACGGAATCTCGAGATCCTCGAGTTGCTTAGCCAATCGCTACGAGCCATTGGTTAACCACCCTCCAAACATTCAGAGAGAGAACTCGCGAGGAGTTGAAATTTCAGAGAGATAGAGAGGCAAAGAAAGATGAATCAGGGCGGAGGACAAGTGAACCCATCGACAATTTTTGATCCACGACACATTCCGAATATCAAAGAGAAGCATCCTTCAGCAACGCCTGCTCCTTGTGAACCCAAAGAAGATGCCCAGAAGCACAAGTTGATAAACAAATAAATGCCGAATATCGCTTGTCCTCGCATGTTCAATGGTATACAAGTGTGGCCAAAGTTGAACAAACTGAGAATGCCCACTCACCTGATAAAGTTCATTCTTGCTTCTCTTGGGGTAAAAGATTGTTGGCTTGTAACCATAGTAGAATAGATGTCGTGCGGCAACAAGGCCGTCTCCGCCTAGGGATGACAGTCAGATATTTGCAATCTGAGGGGGAAGGGATATAGGCATGGGAAATACCATTATTTCCAGGTCCACAGGCCACAAGAACTCTTGGGCCTCTCTCCAAGGGCTGGACACGATAGACTAGCGGCGGCCTCTTAGTATCGGGCAGTCAATTCTGTAGCTTCCCATCAGGTGAGCATGCTGACCTGCTTGTGACACTGCCAGCCCGGCAAGCTCCATGAGTTGGTCAATAGAGAAGGCGCCAGTGCTCATAAGCTCCTGGTCCAGAGCCGCTGCAGCCTTTGCGCCGAGAGTCTGCGCAACACGGTTAGCGCTGTAAGCTTCAGCCACAAGACGGAGCGTGAGAGAACCTTGATAGCCATTGTGAGTTGTGCAGGGGCGAATGTCGAGATGCTCTTGTAAAGGCAGATTATGCGCCAGAGGTCAAACAAGGATGCGAACAACGGCCAAAATCCTGCGACCGAGGCGTCTCGGATGTATGATGTCGTTGGAGCTTAGCGACTGCCGTTTATAACACCAGCGTGATGTCAGCGGTTTCCGGGTCCTGCGACTCCATACACTGGCTCTGATTGGCAGGGACGGCTAAACTGCAACTCCGGTCCAAAATATTCTAGCCAACTCCAAAACACCATTGCCGACCAATCTTTCGAGGCCAATCGCATTTTACCAGATTTCGCTCTCTCCCATTCAGGCCAACCCTCACCTCGCCATACGCCATGGTCGTTAAAATCCGTCTCGCCCGATTTGGGCGCCGAAACTCCCCATTCTACAACATTGTCGTGGCTCATGCTCGGTACGTGCGCAGCCAATTGAGTTGAAACCCCCACCTGGCATGCATCAGCTCATGTCTGCAATTGACTGACACTCTTTTTTTTTTTTTTTTTTCCTGTAGTACTGCGCGCAACTCTCGTCCTCTCGAAGTCATTGGCACATACGATCCTGTCCCCAAGCCCGACCCCTATGACAACTCTGGCAAACTGCACAAGGACATCAAGCTTGACTCTCAGCGCGCACGATACTGGATTGGTGTTGGTGCTCAGCCCACTGACACGGCATGGCGACTACTATCCATGGTGGGCATTCTACCAAAGAGGGACTTTGCTCCAAAGGCAGACGAATCCAAGGGCAGTGTAAAGGCGGGCGATGTGAGGATTCGGTAAAGGATCTGTGATGGTCAAAGGAAAACGTGAAGATGTGAAAATTGGAGTGCGGATGATTGTATGATATGTGATTTGGGCATTTCAACGGCGTTGGTATGGGTTTGATATAGAGGGGCAAATACCACAACAAGCTTGTTTCAACTATATGAAGCTGGCTCAAATCGCATCTGACTTGAAATCGGTCAAGTGAGGTGTGTGCTGTGCATATCTGTTCTGCTCGTAAATGGTACGGCTCTTTGGTCTAAAACCATGATATACGCATCTGTATAGAGGTTAAATTTAATATCAAGATGAGAGGTACAATGCTGTAACAGCTGGTTCAATAAAAGGCTAGAGGCATCTGTATTGATCTGTTGAAATGATTCTATACCCTGCTACTAATAGTGCTCATATCATTCTAAGGATATCCATCTCTCCCTCTCTCTTTAATGACTCATGCCACAACATATTTCCACCCCCGCTGGGACGTAATAGCGCTTCGATATCATAAACCCTGTGCATCACAAAAGGATGACTATACAACTCGCTGCAGGGCTTTTCGTCAAACAACATCTCTCGTCATCGGTATACCCACGTTTCCAAAAGAAAAATGAAAAGAAAGAAATCAACGCCGTAAACCACCCTTGTCTAAACTCCACGCGTGTCAATAAGCTCTGTGGTATGTTGTAAGACCAAAAAAAAACGCCTCTCCAAAAAGAAAGACTGAGTGGCACTCTTTCTGCTGGTGTCTCCGCAAAACGATAACTTTATGTCAAATCATTCTTAGTGGGCAGCCGTAATGAAGAAAATGTTCATAACCAAGCAAACCACCATCACGACCATGCCGTAAATCGCTAGGGCCAGAGCCATCTTTCGTAAAAGGCCGTTGTCGACATGCTCCAAATCCCATCGCCACTTTCTACGCCAGCGCAGGGCACTTCCGCTCCGATTGCTAGCGGCACTGGCTGCACTGCGAATGCTGTGGGTGCTCTGGGCAAGCGCTCCGGAGTCCTCAACGTCAGAATCGTCAGAGCCATCCATATCGTCGTCCTCTTTGGCTAAGCGCTGATGGTGGACACTTTCGGGATCGCTAATTTTATAATAGAATAGACCAGGTAGAATGAAGCTAATGGATGTAGATCCCGTGCTACCGACAAAGGCAAGAACACGGTCAAGGCTGCTGACTGAGAGAGCAGTGATGTAAGCTAGAGTTAGAATAATCGTAGTAATGAGGGCAAATCTGAGATCAGACATTGGTGCAGTGCTGCCGTGGTCACCACGCTGTGCCGATGACGAGTTCAGTAGAGGGGAGCCAGCACGGCCGCCGCTTGAGTTTCCCCTGCTGGGTCGCCAGTTGAAGACGGCATCGAGAGAGGCACGACAAGGATGGACCTGTAAAGGAATGGAAAATAGGACGAGGACAACGATTGCTGCTTTTCCAATTGTAGAGGCGACTCCGGTGGGGTCTAGAAGATGTCATGTCAGTACTAGGCGCTCACTGTGTGATGACAGGTGATTCTTACACATGGATACAATGTTTCCAACAATGGAATTACCAAAAGTGATGTATCCAGTAATGGCCACCAAGACATAGATGGATGCTGCAGACCCAATGCTAGATCCTACGACTCGCACAATGCTGGGTGGGGAATTGTCCTTGATCTCGTTGATGATGGAGAACATCTAAAAAGAGTCAGCGACTTGAACAACAGTGGAAGTTGAAGTGAGCTCGATCATACGTTCTGGTGACAAGTATAGGCGAAAACAACCACAGGCAGCGCGCTGAGGGTCTCGACGGCTCCAGCCCATTGAATGACTCGGATGTTGCTTGGATCGGCATGGGGGTCCACGGAAAAGTGATAGATGACTAGAATAATGAGATATCCAATCGATACCAAAGCGACTATGCTAGTATATTTGAGTGAGTCGAGTCGCTTTAGAAAACTCAGAGGGATAACCAGGAGCATAAAAGCAGTGATCCAAAAATTCCGGTCCACCAGATAGGGAATCTTGTCCGCGTTGCTGTTGAAGCCCAAGGCCACTCCGGGCATAAGGTCGCCAATGATGATCATGTATGAAACTCCAACACCGAAGCACTTGATGGCGATGGCCGCATCGAAGATGACGGATGCATTTGGATACGTCAACTGGGACAGGGCGAAGAAGGAGGACGTTCCGCGGTCGAGATAACGCGCGCATCGGGACTGGAGGTAGAGGCCGAACGCAGAAGTGAATCCAGACCAGATGATAAGGAGAGTTCCCAGCATAATTCCCATGTGCGACAAGACCGATGGCATGGCAAGTGTGCCAGCTCCAACAACTGCGCAGCCAAGTTAGCAGCCGTTCAAAGATGTCGCAATCGAGGGCAGGGGTCGCGAACTTGTATTCAGCAGATTAACGACGCTGCTGCCCATGCTAGCCTGTCCGCCATGGCCATCTTTACCGGCTCGGCGTCGTGATCTATAACGTGAAAAGAGAAGTCAGTCAGTCAGTCCGTCAATGATTCCAATGCGCACAACCGAAGCCCTCCGGCTCACCTTGCCATGTTGCTGGAGCCCCCAGGAGAGGCGGCCCTATCTGAGATGCTTTGGTAGTTCGTCATAGCCGGTCTCGATACGGCTTGCTCGGCGGGCAGACGCGCTGCCCAACGGTCCTAATGTAGCAACCCTCTGGCTGGTGCTCAGCCGGAAGTTGGTCGGGTGACCAGCTGTCGATGCCAATTTCCGGGTATCGCAGAGGGTAGACGTCGTGCGACAAACAACAGGGACGGCCTGGAGGGCGGCGCTGCGGGTTTGTATGGATAGCGAGTGTCGGAGGGAGGATGGCGAACGAGCGGCGGCTGGCTGCCAGGTGAGGTGAGGTTGAAGATTGTGATGCCCGCTGCCAAATTGGCCCTGACCGGGGGGGTCTAATCGTCAGCGCCCTGGCAGAAAGCGCTGTGCTGGCCTGGCGTCTCGGACAGTGACTGCATTTTACAGCGGGGGGCGCCTCCGGACCCAAACGGCCGGCATCCGCAGCCAATCACGAGGCATGGGGCACATGGCCACATCTTATCGCGATTGCGCCACTCCGTATTCTTTCCGATGCCTCTGCCGCTGAAAACAACAGGGCAGAGAGTAGTGGTAGATAATTGGCACCCAGTATATGCAGTATTTGCTTTGTCGTCGCTCAATGGCTCGGGTTGTTGGTTTTTACTCATGCTGTGCTTTGTGTTACAGGTAGTGCACGCTTCTCCCGTAAAGGGTCCACTCCAGGCACAGATGCTACTGCACTCAGTGCCTGTCTTGGCCTCGAGTTAGTCTAGTATGGTGTGGTTGAAATTCACGGTCCAGCGCACAATGCATGGCATCAATAGCATGTACATAGCAACTATGCCTAATGGGCACTTTATAAACAGGCTGCTTGTGGCGATCTATACTCTCTCCGTGGTAGCATTTGATTCAGTGTAGCACTTTGCGCACATCAGCCCGTCTCTCGGCAGAAACAGGGCGTCTAAGAGGCACGTGTGCTGTGATGCAGAGTTACACAGCAACTTGGCGATTATCACCACTACTAATATGTAGGTAACGCAGAGGCACTTACAACGCAGAGGCTGTTTCATGACCTGAGGGCTTACATAGTCGTACAAGAGCTTAGTTAATAGGATAACAGCCTCCTTTATATGACGTGGTTGATAATAATGGATAGCTTATGCTGTAGTGGATGTGCAACCGATGGATGCCGCTTGTACCCCCTGCTACCTAACCACTGAATATTCAAGAGCGTGCAGTTGGAGCACTCCAAAATCCAGCGAATCACAGCACACGGCACTAGTCCGCGAACGCACATGCAGCTTCAACCCGAAAGCTGCTCCAAAGCGTCATAGTGCAACCAGCTTCGCATTCTTCACTCAATCGCAACTCGCAAACCACAGGGCAAACGCAAAGCGCTTACCGCCCTCATCCTCAAAGGCTGGCGCCTGCCAATACGCAAAATGTCGGTGGAAATGGACGATCCCCTCGACAAAACCACGCTCGCGACCATCTCTCTCCTCGAATCGCGCCTCCTGCGGATCGAGCATCTCCTCTATGGCACCACTGCCTCACCCTTCTCCAGCCAGAACCAGCATGACGCTGCCCTCGCGAAGATGGACGCCTTAGAACGGCGATTTGGAAGAATGATTTCTCAAATCCGTGTCTATGCGGAGCTTCTCAAGATCTGTCAGTTCAGCCCAGTCCACCGAAGCATCGTCCTCTTATAAGCGCAACGTCTTCTAACCCTTTTCGCTCGCCTAGACAAGTCAAATCCAGATCTCTTCCACGCTCCTCCTCCCTCTCAGCCTCCCTCCCAACTCGACTCGGAGGCTGTCCAATCCATCGTCCTCTCCGCCGCCTCGTCTTTCCCCGCTACGCTCTCCGCCCTCACCGCCGTCAAGGACATCCCCATCCCAGAGTCCTCTGCCAGTGCGAGTCTGATCTCGCTCACCCAACGCATGAAAGCCATCGAGGCTACACAGCTCGCGCAAGCTGCCGAGATTTCCGCTCTCCGAAGCAGAAGCGAGGCGCTTGTACGATCATGGTATGAAAACGGGGCGGTGGTGAACTCTCAAGTATTAGCGCACACCGAGGGCAAAATCCAGAGGGTGGAGCGTGAAGTGAGAAGAAGAGAGCGGATAATCGAAGAGGAGAAGCAAGAAGAGTGAGCTGATTGCGCCGTTGCAGCGCATGACATTCAATTCTGGAGACTCAAGTCACCCTCCTCAATTAGGGGGGATTTCGATGTTGGTGTCCAACTACGGTTTGCTTTTTACAGCAAGATTTTGTCAATGAGGTTATTCAGAGGCATTGCGACCAACAGCCTCACTGGAATCCGAACCAAATTCCTCACTCGACCTAGCCATGGTGCTAGAGGTGGGCGGAAGACAGTGTCTCCGAGATGCCGCAGTTGTGGGTGTTTGCTATAGAGATGATCGAACTGACCTAGGCACCTGGTGGCTTGTTGGGATATGACGCCGGAAATGAAGAGAAACGCATGATGAAAGACAGATACCCCGTGTTAGATTAGATGCTGCCACTTCCCCCGGTTTCACGTAACCTGAAGCCGATGGTGAGGAGATCTTGGCCAGCTTAGACAGCTCAAAGAACTTAAAATTCCCGCTTACGAGAACTACACCAACCCGCCAATTTCGATATACCACCGTAAGGAAGCAGATAATCCAACGGAAACACTCCGATTGTATGTCACTAGTCGTCATGGAGAGTAAATCTCAAGACTGGTTCAAACTCGCGGTGCGTCAACCTCCGGGTTCTTGGTCCCCGCGTTTCAGCAACTCAGAAGAATCGAAAATGATACAGTACCGATGGCGCTCGTATGGCACGAGGGAACCTATCAGAAAGATGCTCTACGCAACGGCTACTCCCAGCTGGCTCAAACATTTCACTCGTGACCAACTCCAAGGTCGCGTGAGAACACCCTCAAATCCAGAATCCATGCAGCTAGTCGCTCAAAAAAAGGCCGAGATTCATATTCAGCCCAGCAAAAGCTGTCACTGCCGGCCTTCTGTGGCGTCTTGGTTTCGAGCAGGCCAACTCCCGGCAATCCCATTGTCAAAGGGCCATATTCTGAAAAGTCCCACTCTACACGTGCCTGACAATAGCCAATGACGGACGGCATGGTGATACGTACTCTCGGGATCCGTGGTGCCAGGCTAAAAGAGGCCGCCAAATGGATCAAAACCGGGCCTAGTCAGGGGTTTGATGGGGACTCGCGAGTTTCAATTTCCATGTTACAGATTTTAGAGCCTTTTGTTGCCTGTGGGGGAGAGTTTTTGAGATTTAAAAGTAATTTTTTTTTTTTTCTCTTTCAATATGAAAAAGTCCCCATTTTGGCTCCGTCGTTTTCTCACATGCTAAATTGGGGGTTTTGGATATACCATTGTATTCGAATATTGAGATCAATAGTGCTGACAGAACCATCACTATTCAGCAGAGAGCCCTGGAGTACGGAGTACTTCTGCTCAATAGCTCTTACATGGTTGTCTATGTACAAGTACTCGTATACGGAGTACGAACCGTCAATAGCTTGAATCTCGCCAAGGATGGCCCTGTATGCTAATCTGCGAGACTCTCCATCTTGATTCTGTAACTTACAATAGCAATGTGGTACTTGTACCCAGATCCTTGGTACTGGTTTTTTTGTAAGAACTGAAGTAACAGCGTCAGGATCCTCTTCATCTCTTGCTTCGATATGAATTGAGCTCCCTACGTCAGACCTACAACTATATGATGCAGTTGAGATATCAACTTACAGGCTGTCGAGACCTAGAATCACAGATCGCCCTGGATCTAATACACGTACTGCTCCAGGCCAAGCGCCTGCAAACCGGAACACAAGCCGGATAAGACGACAGCCTCATGCAGATCTGCTCCGTAGTGCGGTTCCGTGACAGCACTGGAACATGCCCAAGTGAGGAGAAAGATGCACGACATCCGCCGCGCGTGTCGAGTCGAAAGAGAAGTGGAGCGCTGACGAGCCGCAAAAGAGATGCGCCAGTCAATCGATGCCATCAAGCAGGTTGACGGCTTCACAAGTACGGACCATCCGTGTACAGGCGTCTACCTGTGTAGCTGAGGCTCAGATTCAAAACACGGGCAGCTTCTAGATACGCCATCCACTCAGTACTCGTACTGTACAAGCACTGCACTCGTAGGCATTGGCTGGCCTCGCAAAGCAATTCTTTCCGGCAAGCCGTTAACCATCAATGTTTGCAAGGCTGGCCCGTGTTGAGTGGGGCATATGAAGCATGAAACTCGTTGTGGAGGAGCGCACGACTCCCCTGCATTTTCCAAGGCCAGGGTCACCACCTATCGTGAGCGTGTTAGTGCTGGCGCGAGACACGCCGCCGAATCTCAGACCATCGCCATGGTCAGCGCCCGATTGGTGAGAAAAACACGGGAAAATGAGAGAAAAGAAAAAAAAAGAGAGAAAATAATCACTGCCGGAAGAGCGGAAGGGACTCGCTGACACGGCCCCATGATTACTCGCTGGTATTGATTGATGCCTGTAATTCATCCGTGCTGGGCCCTTCACATGACACTTTTTGCACAAACAATGTGCTTGCTTGTACATTCTGCCAGAGCCGTGCGTGAACCTTTTCAAGACCAATGATTGCCACGGCTTCTTGTTCCCGGCGTTTCGCTACGTGACATGAAATGGCGGCGGATCCAAAAAGTGGTGGAGAAGCAAATGACGACAGATGGCAGAGTAGTGAAATAAATTGTCACTTGAAGCATCATGGAGTGCATTCCTTGGAAAGGCAACGGCCGCAAGAGCTTTTGCTGCCTACCTTAGTAGTATCTACCATTCCTGTCCCGAGTTTATTCCCGTTGGCGCGCAATCAGGAGCGTACATGTGAGAAGAAAAGATTGATGTAAGAATTACTGTTTTTGAGATTGGGTAGCTACAGTAGGTAGAGATGGAAGAAACGCACACCGTCTCGTGATAGGTCCTCTTCTATTTTGCAGCATCAATCAATCCATGTTCAAATATCAATCAGCTTTAGCAGTTCACAGTATTAAAGAGCTGCCGTGGGTTAGTACATCTTCAGCTTCAGCCTGTACGTAACACCAAGTACCTGCTCAGCCTCCGCCCTCCAGCCAGTCCAGTCAATCACATCAATCCCGCAGCTTGCATGCTTGAACCTTTCATTTCGCACAGCCGAGCCACTCGATACGACACCATTGCATCCTGCAAAGCACTGTACAGCACCGCATATTACTGGGCACTAGCCTAGCACCAATCGCCAGGCCTAGCCACATCCCGGCTGCGAAGCGCTAGGGGCCACCGACTCCTCCCGTATCTTACATTGAGGTACACGCCAGCTATCAATGCATTGAGGTACCTGATTGATTGCTGACCTGGAGCCTCAGCGCGCGCACAGGGCACGGGTACATGTACCTTACAGGGCCTCAACTCTCCTCTGCAGTGGTTGCATTGCAGTGCTAACTCCAATCGTCGTGCTGGCTAGTACTGCAATCCTCGCTCGTCTCCCTGTTCCTGTTCCTGTTCCTGTTCCCTCGAATCCAGCAACTCGACAGGTTCGCAGCTAGTCCAGCCCAGCCCAGCCCAGCCCAGCCCAGCCCTGTTCGTGTTTCTCGCATCGCCACCTCGTCTCCTTTGCATTTGATCTCACCTCAACTTATTCATCGTCGCAAGCGCCGTCCCTAGGAATTCTGTCCCGGCGGATCTGCACCCACGCCTGTGCTGCCAGTTCTTGTACCTCACCAGCACTGCCCGTACTGCCTGTACTGCCTGTACTGACTGTGCTGTATTTTTCTGCCAACCTTGGAACCCCGTCGCACCAACTCCACCATCTCGCCCGGCGCCGTTTTCCTTTTCTCCCCCTTCAATCCATTTCTCCATCTTGCACCGACATCCGCCACTTTTTCCTTTCTTTCAATCCTCTCTTGACGACTCGGCGACCCTCGCGAAACCACCTCTGTCGCCGTCGCTTTTCCTTTCTTTTTCTTTTTCTCTCTTCACTCGTTCTCCCTTCGGCTGTGCCGGACACCAGCTACGCGCATTACACCCCCCAAAAAAAATAAACACGTCTTTTCTACTCCCCTCTGATCGACAATCGCCTCGACTCTCGACGACACTCTTTCCCTAAAGCGCATCCAATCACAGCGTCGACTGTCGCATTCGGCCGCTCGACCCCCCAACCGACAAGCTGGCTAACTCTCTTATGCCCCCCTACTCGGTTACTTCGCCGTCAATTCTCAAAATGGACCACTCCAACATCTACAGACGTCGAGGCTTCCAGGCTGGCAATATTTTGGGAGACCCATTTGCGCTCGCCACCACGTCCATTGCTTTTGTGCGTTCCGTCCCGTTGCCTCCCCCCCTTTCTCGCCGCCGCGTTGAATCAAAATGGTAAGCGTCAGAGCTAACGACTTGTCTAGCTTGCGTGGCTTATCACCATTGTCGGCTGCGTCATCGGCCAGATACAAGAAACACCAGACGACCCATTCCCCAAGTTCGCTTGGTGGGCAAGCGTATACAGTTTCTTTTTGATCATTGGCATTTTCTATGTCGTCGGCAGCGACACAATTCAAACCTATCATGTGGCGATTACGGGATATACTTCTGGAGGCATGGTGCTGGTAACCTCGTCCGTCAACTCGCTGGTATACTCGAAGAGCGGAGCTAGAGAGGCAGCGGCTGCTGGCTTCATTCTTCTTTCCATGGTCGTGGTAAGTTGCCGCATTTCAAGCTAGGGATTTTTTTTTTTCTTTTTCGTAGTACTTTTTTCTCATAATTGGCGTATGCTGACATTCAATGCGCGCACAGCTCGTGTGGACTCTGTACTTTGGATCGACACCTTCTGCTACGCCCCGTGCTTTCCTGGACTCCTTTGCTCTGACCAAGGAATCGGCCACCATGCAGCGACAAACCATGAGCAACTACGGCGGAGGCATGGGCCGTCCTGAGACGTCCAATTCCGTCCAGCCGCCTCAAATGTACACCTCTGCCCAGCTCAATGGCTTCGAAAATCCTTCGCCCGTTGGCGGCGCCTCTCAAGTCGGTGGAGGACGCGGCTCCAACGTTCCTGGCTTTGGTGGTAATGCTGGACCAGCCCAGATCAAGGTGACAGGCCCTGATACCGAAGTAGTGCCACCCACCGAATATCCCTATCGCGCAAAGGCCATATACAGCTACGAGGCCAACCCCGATGACGCCAACGAGATTTCCTTCGCCAAGCATGAAATCTTGGAAGTATCCGATGTCAGTGGACGATGGTGGCAAGCGCGAAAAGAAACTGGAGAGACTGGTATCGCACCTAGCAACTATCTCATTCTGTTATGAGCTATGACGACATATCCAAGCGGGGAGTGCATTTCTGGGGAAGTGAAGCCACTATGGATGTTCGATTTGAACAATCATTGGATGGAGGTAGTGACACACCTACGGGTCTGGCCTACCATTCTCACGTATACCTTTTTTCCCCTTCGCTTTTATACCCCCGTGCTCTCTCTCTCTCATCTCACTTGATGTTGTGTTGGTTGTTTTTATTCACGCCTTAGAGTCACGACTCCCGGGAATTTTTGCGCAAATCGGGCCAGGGATATATATTGGATGGAGTATATTTGGACGAGACCACTCATGGAGAATTGGCTACAGCAGTGGAAGGGGCAACGCGTCAGCATCGCCTCTTCTTGTTTTGGCTCTTGTCTCTTTTGTTTTCCAAGCTGATTCTTTTTTTTATTGCTCTTCTTTTGTCCATCTTATCATCGACGTACGAGACGTTTTTTTTTTCTGTCCATTTTGTTATTTCTCCTTCTTACGCTGCCATCTCCTGCTGCAAAAACTCTTTTATCATCTTTTATGACTCTACATATATCCCCCTCTACCAAACGTGGAATCAAAAAAGAAGCAGCTAGACGCGGTGACTTTTTCTTCCTCTCTCCCTTTTTTTAGGCAACGATCTATTGTTTTTTTGTCCTCTTTTATTTCTTTTTTTTTCCTCATTTTTTCCATTTCTTCGGCGGGAGACTGAACGGAGGGAGGGCCAAGTATGCAAATTGCTCCGAGAAAAAAAAGAGAGTCCGGGCTTGCAGGAAAGAAAGGCAGATACGGAACTGGCGCTGTTGGTAGAAAAAGTAGGGTCAATGTCTGCCCATGCAATCGCGATGGGGTGATGTTGGAATGAAAGCTTGAAATGATACCTAACTGTTTGTTGCAACGTGTGCCTGCGAAGTCTTGTGAAGTAAGTTGGTTTGTGCTTGTTACGGTTACTCAGGGTGTGTGGGATTGTAAGCATACGATGGTTACAAGAAATGAGAGTGGAATTCTAACTGATTAAATCGCAAACTTTCGTACTTTGCACTCTTCTGGAAAATTGAGCTAATAAAGCTTCGCGACGGGGGGGAACTTTTATAAAATCATTTAGACATCGTCAAACAGCTAAAGCCACAAGGGAGAGAAAGGTGACGAGATATTGCCAAATGCGGCAGCTCACGAGGCATGCAAGGAGGAGGTATGGTGATTAAAATTTGTTCATCAAAAGTCGTGCTCGTAAAGCTAATCACATAATAGCCCATAACATGTTCCTGTGAGATAACAAAGCTCAGAACGCGGGTCCAGACCACGCTTCAAAAAAACAAGGGAGAAAAGGCTAAAAGCTGAGAGGGAGAGACATGGTGGCTCGCCCCAACGCGCGCGCAAGAGGCAGGTTTGCCCAAGCGCAATCGGAGGGCGGACGCTGCTCGTCAGACCGGTATGCGGGCAAGATTTCGCGGAGACGAAGGCATCGTGAAAGCCGATCCTGCCGGTGTTGTCGTGATGGAAGATAGTGGAAGACAAGGGCACAAGGACACTGCCTTTTGGTGTCTCTAGTCGTGACATCTATCCAAGGGGGAAGGGGTTGTCTTTCGACCGCTCGATGCAAGTAGAGAATCCTATAGCCATCATGATGGCACGCAGAGCTGCTTGTTTTGCATCTCGCTATCGGTTCTCTAGGCGCTTTCTTAATTCTCTTTCTTTCTGGAGCACTTCTAGCTCCAACCTCTCAATGCCATACCGTAGAGCCTCTTTGCGCTGGCGCACGATCCGAGCACGCAGCTTGTCCTCACCTCGTAGCTGCCGGCTCCTCGTAGAAGCAGTCTTGGATATGCTACGCGCCGGTTCATCAGGCCTAGCAAGCCGTCCTTGCTGCAGCTCAGCGCGAGCTTTGAGCGTCTCAGTGCGGCGTTCCTGGCGTTCGACTTGGGCATCGGCACGGCTGAGGAGAAAAGCGATGTAGGGCCCAATCTCGTCGCGCAGGGAAGCCTCAGCCGCAGCGAGTGTGGGTTGGGGAATGAGTTCGTAGTGCTACGACGGGGGGTGGCAGGGTCAACGACAATGTACACTGTATTTTTGATTGCAAGCTGCGCAACAGGGAGAAGCACATACTCGAACTGTCTTGAGGACGCTTACGAGGCGAGGGAAATCGGATACGCCACGGTCAATCGTCTCCACGGAGGCCTCGAGGAATTTGAGAGAGTTACGCAGCGAATCGACGCAGTCGCCATAGGTAGCTGCGCCGGTCGGACCCGTTCTGGCAGCCATTGGAGCCCGGAGTTCACGATGCCGAGGAGTCGGGAGGAGTTGGGAGGAGGCAAGGCAAAAGATGGAGCTCAAGCCCGATTCGTGGAGACGTTTCTCGCTGGAGAATGTGGGGAAGATGCCTTGATGTTTTCCTGGTCTCGTATTGTCTCGCGGAGGGCTGGAGCGAATCCGCGTGCGAGCGCGAGCGGGAGGGCGAGTTTGAGTGTGGGGAACTAAGCGTGTCCGTCGTCTCTATGCCGATGAGTCTCTAGAACAGTGCTGCTGCTTCTGCATGTGACAATTGAGGCGGATGGTGGATTGGAGAGAAGCCTGGCAGAAGCTGTTGATGATGTTTACATGTGCAAGTACAAGATGCGACAGGCCCTTTTGCCCCGCCATAAATAGCACATGCCATGCACGCTTCTTGTCGATTGGCAGCCCCACACCAGCTCTGCCGTGGCTTCGGCAGGTGCATCGCGGTGCTGTGGGGTAGTTGCTGTCTCGATGCCAACAAAAGAAAGGCGAGGGAAGGTGCTGAAGATCCTGCCAACACGTGAGCTTGGCCTCTTGGGAACTGCCCAGGTCTAGAACAGCAGAAACTCAAAACTCTTCCTCGTCATCTCATCCTCTGCCTTGCTCTGCACAGCTCCCCTGCCGCTGCTTCCTACACCCCCTAATCCAGCTTGTCCTGATTCGCCATGTCTCGCTCTCAAGCAAGCGCCTAATCACTCTGGAATGTCGCCTCATACCAGATCACCTCCTTGCTCTCACGCGCTCTTGAGCAACGCCACAACTGGCTCCAGCCTCGCCTCAAGGTGCCAGAGTCAGGTCCCTCCTGTGCCGTTTGTTCGACAAGCCGAGAGCCCGACTCTCAGCAACTCATTGTTCATTCTGACGCAGGACTGTGAAGATCTCTGAACCCCGAAAGCTAGATGCCGAATAAAGCATTTCGATCCTCAGGCCTGGCAGTGGGTCAGTCCGCATCGGCGAGAGTCTACTGCATGGTCCCGCTTTCTATCCGGCTCAATCTCAAGCCCTTCCATGTTCCTGTACCAATGCTTCTACAGACCGTTTTGACTGTTGCCGTGTGAAAGGTGTAGTTGGTATCCATCTATCCATCGTGTAAGCCCATCTACGGATACTACTACATCCGGGCTTGGGTTCAATAACAATACCACTAACTCAAGCCCCTTAGAAATTTGCGGCACATATGCTAATGACTCTGGTCGCGCATGCCAGCGAAGCCATCGTGAAATGACCCGTGTCCCTTTAGATGGAGCTAATAGGCGATGAGATACCATCGTGACCTTGCCCAACCAGAGGAGCGCCTTGCGGCGCCCAATCTGTGCGCTCCGTCTCTTCTCTTTCCAATCTCACGATATCACCCGGTCCGGCGACGCCGTTCTCAGTCGACACACCCCCCTCTTTTGGCACTTTGACGCCCCGATTCTATGACTAAATGTACAGCGGCTCTCCCTTGCCGACTGAGACGTCTTGTCTGCCAGCCATTCTCCCATTGCTAGCCTTTCAAGCGCCCGCTGCATTGAAAATCACTACTTAATCCCGGGTCTCCTGTGTTCTCCAGTTATTCTGTTCCAGCCAGCCCCAGCTTTGACTGTCAGAGTTGCTCATATTAAGTGACAGGGCTTGATAATACCTCTTCATTTTCAGCTACACATCCTGCCAGTTTCTTGACAATCTTCGTAGGAGTTGTCTCTGAGCACGACATGGTCATAGCAAGCTTACAGCATGAGCCACGGACTCGATAACCTCACCGGCCCCGCCACCGAGGGTATCGGTCTGCGATTTCTAAATGAAGAATGGAACGATAGCATCTCAAACGACCATCCATTCGCCATTCAATGGAACGAATCACTGGATGGGACTCAGGCACCGGAGCTTGGGTTGTTCAAGATCACATATCCCAGAGATGGTATTGTCGTATACGAGTTGGTGTCAAATCTAACAGGTATGTGTTGCTACCTCACTGGATTAAATGATGCTCTTTAAGTTCTTACACTTCATAGATGGCATGAACAATGAAAATGCAACATGTTTGTGGACACCAAGACACTTGGATGATGAACTATATACTCTGTGGCTCTCATCCTCCCGAGATGCTCACTCAAATTGGACGACATCTCCGCCTTGGAGACTAAAGGAAGCTGTAAGCTTCTTATAAACCCCCATTCATCTCAAGTGCTAGAAACTGACCAGAGGTACAGCCCCGGCACTCTCTTCACTGGGCGGCACCTATTGTTATTCCGATTCTTGTCCTGCTTGCGGTGTACACACTGGGGCTCACCACCTGCATCGTATATCGACGCCGCAGAAAGGCGAGACGAGAAAGAGAAAAAAGTAAGGGAAAAGATCTGGATAAAGAAAAAGCAAGCGAGACGCCGCGCTTCCTGAGCGACGCGGACAGACATCCTTCGGTTAATACCGTGCTCACAATACAAAGTCTCGATGACTCAGACAAACCCAAAAAACCAAACATCTGGGTCTTGACACAATCCGAGTCAGGGTCCCTTCTCTTGTCTTCTCCAAGTAGGAAGAATTCCGATGCGACACTGTTCTCAGCTACAACTCAATCATCCGAGCAAGTCAGCTTCTTAGAGCAAAGTCTGCAAAGCCCCACAACTATCGGTTCCGAGAGGACGTTGGTGATGCTTCCAAATCCTAGAGATCAAAAGGTCATCGTTGCTGAAAGGCAAGGGCGATCGGTAAGAGTGACTGTACCGTCTGACCATGCGCAAGAGTGAGGTGTGGAAGTGTTTGCATACGCATATATCGGGCATCATTTGGCAATTGCGAAGAACTTTACATTAATGACCAGTTGGTACCCCGCGGGACTTATAACTGGGATTACATCGATATCAAAAAGGCGCGAATATGACAATGTTTGGATTTAGGGGGTTTCTTGCAGAGATGGACTTTGGCTACCCATAAACACGATGGATATATATTTATAGCATGTAATGGTAATTTTGGACCTACCCCTCTCGGCTGACACTCGCATACAGCTCATGGCGACGAAAAGCATGATTGTCCAATTCGAATGTTTGTGTTTGTATTGTCGGTCAAACAGCAGGGCATCACGCACTCTGTTACGTTTGACTCGAATCTTTACGTCCAATGACATCTTCAACCCCTCATCTATCTAAATCCCCTTATATCTCAAAACTAATAAAAAAAATCAAGCAAAAACAGAAAATTGCATTTCTCTCATATCATCCCTTTCCCAATGTTGAGATTAGCCGGCGCTTTCATAACCATAAATAAACCAAAAAAAAAAATTGTATGTCTTTCGTTTCTTTCTCTCTTTTTTACCCCGCTATGCGCCGTACGTTTTTTATGTTAAAAAACCATGTTGAAATGTTGGTTCCCCCCTTTTTGTCCCTCCCAAGTTTGTTGTTTTGGCCATGAAAAGAAAATCCGGTGGAAAGGATTTACTCTGGTCAAAAAAGTCTAATTATGTCGTGATATTTACTGAAGTAATGCTAGAATGTTCGGAAGAAAAGTGGCGGGTGATGAGATTCTCCCGCGATGGAGTCGTGTCTAGTGATTTAAGCAGAACCGGTGGTGTCCTCAACAGGGGGGCATGTGCAGAACAGGTTGGTATCGCCATAAGCTGCAAATGGATGTTAGTAAAAAAAAATGAAGCCAAGAAAAGAATAAGGGAGGCAGTCGAAACTCACTATCATCAACACGGCCAACCGTAGGCCAGAACTTCTTCTCAAGAAGATACGGCAGCGGATAAGCTGCCTTCTCTCGCGAATAAGGTCTGTCCCACTTGCCCTCTGCGTCGCCGAGGATCAGGTCCCTCTGGGGGTGGGGCGAGTTCTTGAGCACATTGCCCTCCTTGGGCTGTTTGCCCTCCTCAATCTCACGAATCTCGTTGCGGATGCTAATCATGGCATCAATGAAGCGATCCAGCTCCTCCTTGCTCTCACTCTCAGTGGGCTCGATCATGAGCGTGTTAGGAACAGGCCAGCTCATGGTGGGGGCGTGGAAACCGTAGTCCTGGAGACGCTTGGCAATATCGATAGCCTCGATGCCAGCCGTCTTCTGGAAGGGGCGAGCATCAACGATGAACTCGTGAGCGCAGCGACCCTGGTCGTTGGTGTAGAGAATGGGGTAGTGGTCCTTAAGACGGGTCAAGATGTAGTTGGCGTTGAGAAGAGCAACAGTGGTAGCCTTGCGCAGACCCGCGTCACCTATTTTGACATATTTTGTTAGCAGGACAGTTTTGAAGCCAGTCAAGTTAATACAAGTTGAAAGATGAACATACCCATGGTGGAGATGTAAGCCCAGCTGATGGGGACGATGCTGGCACTGCCAAAGGCGGCACTGGAGACGGGTGTCTGGGTGCTCTTGTGGGGCAGGTAAGGGATAAGGTGCTTCTTAACGCAGATGGGACCAATGCCAGGGCCACCACCGCCGTGGGGGATACAGAAGGTCTTGTGCAAGTTCAAGTGGCAGACGTCAGCACCGAGGGCGCCAGGGGAAGTGAGACCGATCTGGGCGTTCATGTTGGCGCCGTCCATGTAGACGAGACCACCATACTGGTGAACAATGTCGCAGACCTTTCGGACCTGAGGCTCAAAAACACCGTATGTGCTAGGGTATGTGATCATGATGGCACCCAGCTCGGAAGCGTGCTTCTTGCACTTGGCCTCGAGATCCTCCAAGTCGAGGTTGCCGGTCTTGGTGTCACACTTGATGGGGACAACGCGCATGCCGACCATGGCGGCGGACGCAGGGTTGGTGCCGTGGGCAGAGACGGGAATCAAGCAGATATCACGCTTGTTGCCGGGCTGCTGCTCGTGGTACTTGCGAATGGCTCGGAGACCGGCAAATTCACCTTGAGCACCCGAGTTGGGCTGCAGAGATGTGGCATCCATACCGGTCAGGGCAGCCAGCTGGGCAGAGGTGGCGTCAAACAGCCTCTGGTAGCCCTTGGCGCAGCTGTAGGGTGCATGGGGGTGGATGTTGGCCGCGGTTTCGGTACCAATGAGCTCCATCTGGGTAGTGCCGTTGAGCTTCATGGTGCAAGATCCGAGGGGAATCATGGAGTGAACAAGGGACAGGTCCTTGGACTGGAGGTGATGCATGTAGCGCAGCATCTCAGTCTCGCTGTGGTGGGAGTTGAAAACCGGGTGAGTCAGGAACTTGGATGTTCGGCGAACAGACTCGGGAAAGCTCTTGACAAGCTCCTCCGATGACTGCGCGAATCCTTCCTTCCAGCACTTGTTGGAAACATCGAGGTCGGCGTCACTGTGGTTCTTGTAGGCAACGGTCTGGAAAGCCTTGACGATGCGAACAAAGAGCTTGAGAGTGAAAGTGGTGGGAACCGCCAGGACAAGCTCGTTGGGGGACCAGGTCTTGCCGCTGCTGATGCCCTGATCCATCAGCTCACGGCGCAGAGACCGGCAAACAACAGGCTCGTCGAAGTAGAGAGAGACAGTGTCGGAGAGAACCTTGCCGTTGTGGTCAACGGAGCGGGTCGAGACGTTCAATCCGTAGTGGTGGGCGGCAGCTTGAATCATGCGGGCGTGTCGGAGGTTGTTGATGGCCATCTCCTTGAGCTGCTCAGGGCCGTGGTAAATGGCATACATGGCCGACATGTTGGCCAGAAGAGCCTGGGCAGTGCAAACGTTGCTGGTGGCCTTTTCTCGTCGAATGTGCTGCTCTCGGGTCTGCAGAGCCAAACGGAGGGCTCGGTCGCCGCGGCGGTCCCTGGAAACACCAATCAAGCGGCCGGGGAGACGGCGCTTGCTGCCCTCCTGAACAGCCATGAAGGCAGCGTGAGGACCACCATAGCCCAAAGGAACACCAAATCGCTGAGCGTTTCCGAAGGCAATGTCAGCACCCCACTCGCCGGGAGGCGTGAGGAGAGTCAGGTTGGAGAGATCGGTGGCGGCACTCAGCAGGGTGCCCTGCGCATGAGCAAGCTCAGCGAGCTCCCGGAAGTCGGAAACACCTCCGTTGGAGTCGGGATACTGAACCATGACACCAATCAAGTCATCGCCGAGAGCCTTGATCCTCTTCTGGGCATCTGCGGAAGCCAGATCCAGGACCTCAATGTGAATTCCGAATCCTTCAGCACGGCCATGCATGACTCTAATGGTAGCGTCGTGCACCAAGTGAGAAACCACATACGTCTTTCCGGGTCGCTTCTGCCTCGAGGCGGGGAGACTGGTCAGAGACATGGTCATGGCCTCACTGGCAGCAGTTCCCTCGTCAAGCAAACTGGCATTGGCGACGGGAAGGCCGGTCAGGTCGGAGATCATGGTCTGGAAGTTGAGGAGGGACTCTAGACGACCCTGGCTGATCTCAGGCTGGTAGGGAGTGTAGCTGGTGTACCAAGCCGGGTTCTCCAGGATGTTTCGCTTGATAACGGCCGGGATTTCAACGGGGTAGTAACCTCCTCCATTCATCCACACGCGGATGTCGTTGGACGCATTCATGGCCTTGAAGGCCTTGACAATTCCAGATTCGCTAAAGACGCGATCCTGGATCGTCTTCTTGGGCGGATCCAGGACATCCGCAGGAATGACCTGGGAAATAAAGGCATCCAGAGTCTCGGCACCAGGGCCAAGCGCCTTGAGCATCTCCTGGATTTCATCGTCGCGAGGTCCAATGTGGCGAGCGCTGAAATCCTTCCACGGCAGCTTGTTGGCAGCACGGATCTCTCTCATTTCCTTGTAAGTCGGGTCATTCTGCAGAGACTCAAAAGGCGGCCGTCTGCCATCCCGACTTGCGGCGCGAACATCGGCAGCCGTCTGGGCGGTGTTAGTGAGGTAGCGGGCGGACAAGAGAGAAGTCTGTCCTCGAGCGCAAACCCTCGCTTCGTGTCGGGCCAGCGCCAGCGATGGGCGAAGGGAAGCCCCCCGTGCGATAAGCAGCCTGGAGGCCATGGCGGCCACGATGATGTGAAGAAGGAGTTAAAAGCAGAAACAGCAGAGCCAGAAGAATCAACAGGTCTCCCTCAATCCTCAATGGCTGGAAAGAGAAAAGAAAAAGGAAAAGAGAAGGACACGAGGGCGAGGAGAAGCGAAGAAATTAAACCGAAGCCGCCCGGACGATAAAGATTTGCTCTAATCAGTTCCCCCCCAGAAAAATGAGATGACGGCGCCTCTGTGGTCCGAAAATGGCTGTCCAAGAGGCCCGTGGCGGAACTTTCGTGGGGCAGCCCGGCAGCCGTGATAGCGCTAAAAAGTTGAGGCCCTCGCCGGCAACGAGTCGAGGGAACAAGGCAGGCGGTCTTATATCGTGCCGGGATCAGGCCACGCTGCCACGCTGCCACGCTGCCACGCTGATCCTCGCAGGATGAAGAAAAAGGACTAGAGCAGGTGAGATTGTAAGTAAGAAGACGGTCAGCACAGCAACGACATGCTCTTCTCCTTTTCCCTCCGAAGTTGGATCGCCGTGCAGCCTGGCCGGGGACCGGTTCCATCTTATCTGTGTTAATAAAGCGCCGAAACGCATCACTGCATCACAGGCCTTCACCTCTTCTTACCTCGCCTTTTCCCTATTTTTCCCTTTTCTTTTTCGTCTCCATTCCCTTTTTCGCTTCCCCGGAGCCGAGCATCGCTCCAATGCCCAATGATCTCCCTGATGCTACTCCCGATGCTCCTCCCGTCCAGGCCCTGGTTGGACATCCTCCACGGCAGTGCTCCGTAATACTGGAGTCGACTCCGCAGGCTTTTGGAGTAACTGGCCAGGACTTGGATGCTTGGAGCATAGTGTATAGTTGCATCCACGACTCGTGCCCACTAAAAAAAAATCGCAGCGTTGCTAGAGCTTAATCTTTCTCCCGAGTTGGAGGGTTTTTTTGCGCAGCTAGAGGTTTTGGTTAGGTGATGGCTATCGACATGTCGTTGCGGCCACTGTGCTGTGTCGCATGGCCCCAACGATATCGGCCATTCACGGGCCGACGCTGAGCGCCCCTGCGGCAGCTTGTGATTCGCCAAGGGGGAAAGGGGAATTTTTTTTTCGTATTGTCATCGGGGTTTTTTTCTTCCAGGGTTTTTTTGTTTTTTTTTTTTTGTTTGCCCTCCAAATGCGATATCTGTTAGATAGCACCTGTTAGCACAGGCCAACAAAGTACCGTACCACACCTCTAATAAGGCATCCAATCTACTAAGGCATCAACAAACTGAGCTTTGCCTATAGACTACCACCTTATCTGCGCCAGGGCCTTGTCTATCGCTGTACTCGTATTGTCCATAGCACACACCGCACACTGTATTGCCTCCATCTTTCAAAGCCTTAGGCCAATCTGCCCTGCACCCCGACATCGCCCAATTTTTACGTAACTATCCGTCACTTGGACTAAACATCAACAACCAAAAAATCATCACCATGTTTGGAGGATGTACGTACACGCCCAATCCCTGACAAATGCCCATGTTGGCCTTGTCGTGCACCATGTGATAGCTGCATGTAAATGCAATGCTGACGTCTCACGCCCAGTCGCACCCCCGCAGCAGTCGCCCGAGGAGATTCGCGCCATGGAGGCCGAAGCCACCTTCACCGTCCAGCAGGTCGCCGCAACCGCCTTCATGCTCTACCTCTGTATGTCCGCGCCATGAGAAGAAGAAGAAGAAGACGATCGATTTTGCCCGTCGATGATGCTTCTTCTGCCTCGTCTATGTCATTGCTGACCCCAGGAATAGCTCCCTTCGCCGTCGACATGATCAGCCGAATCTTCTAAACCGGCAAGAAATATTTCGTATATAGACAACGTTTCCATGTAACATACATGCTTTCCACTCCGGTACATTGTCATTGACGGGTGTCGCGCCGGTTTTCCGACTGGCAAACCTGTTTGATATACATATCACTGCCAAGGGAGCCAGCAGGTCAATGCCCAAGGCAAATCGCTGTACGATAGATGTGGTCGGCCGAGGCTTGAATGAGGAAGAGAGAATCGCTCATCTTGATTCACCCAAGACGACACGAAAATGAAACGAGGCGACGATAGAAGAAAATAAAGAAACATCAAAGTGTACAGTTACTGGAATTCACCGTGAGAGACTGCCAAGATGGAGCTGTTATGTGCGGAGGAAAAAAAGATCCAAATGGCAAATGATTACTCTGCATGCCTTCCGGATGTGTCTTCATACCTATCTGTCCAATCCTGCAGCAGTTTACAGATCCGTACCGGAAACAACCTGACTTAAAACCCCCCGAATTCTATCGCATTCGAATACTGTTGCCATTGCCTGCCAACATTCCGACTCCATTTGCATCAAAACATAAAAAGCATCTTCAAATTAACACCATTACGATGGCTTCAGTGAAACCTCCCTTCTCGCGACACAATCTCCTAGAATATCCGCACAGACCCTTTTACCGGGACCGTGATGGCGGGTTTCTGCTCTTTTCCCACTCCTGGTAGTCTGCGCCCAACGCCTCCAACTCCTTTTTCAAATGCTGTAGCTGTCTCTCGTAATCTTCCAATACCTAGAGTCATTGCGGTTAGCGACCAAATGACACGGTGAACGTATGTTGAATGTATCAAGCTTACCCGCTTTGCCCTTGTCTGCGTCTCCTCATCCAGCCCCTCGCTCTCAGCTCCAGCCGGCTTCTCCATTTCCTTGTTCAGCCTCTCGGAGTATCCTCTCAGCACGATCAGCCTGCTCCACAGCTCTTCTTCCCTGGCACCAACTGCCGGGTCTTGCACGTCGCGCTCCAGAGCCTGCAGTCTGCTCTTCAAATCATCCTCATCGCCGCTCAGAGCGTAGCCCCTGTTCCTAAGAATCTGCACCTTGGCGGCCAAAGCCAAACATCGGTTGGAAATCATCGTCTGCCGCCTCCTGGCAGCGAGTGCTCTGGTTTCCGTCTCCAACTCATGTCGCTGCAGCAATGCATCCAGACAGCCGTTGATCTGGTGTAGTCGTGTGTTGAATTCGGAAATGGCACGCTTTTGCGTCTTCAATCGGTCTGCCACGCCAGTGTAGCCTGCGCACAGCACAGGCATGAAACCAGGGGCGGGCTTGTTCTGCAGCGCCTCCTCCCATTCTCGAGGGTCTTCGAATGGTTGAGGCTTGTAAAAGGGGATGTGTGCTTCATCGACTTTGTTGTAAAAGTAGTGCTTGAACACGCAGCTGGGGTTGGCGGGATCCCATTTCTCCGTCACGAGCTTCATCTGTTCCAGAATCGGCTTCTGGTCTGTAACATCACCGAACCGTTAGCAAAGGACATGGCGCTTCCATAAGCATGCGAGACTTACGCGGCGTCTCTTGGCCAGGCTGCCATAGAGAGCTCGACAGCTGGGCTTGTGACTGCGACAGCGCAGGCACCTGTTGTGTCTGCTGGGGCTGCGCCATCAGCGAGGTTCCTATCATCGCGCCCTGTTGGCCAGCACCCAGCGTCTGGCCAAAGACGTTTCCGGATGCTTGCGTCTGTTGAGCGGGCTGGGCGGTTTGGGCCGAGCCAAAGAGTCCTCCCGAGACCAGAGGCTTGGCTCCTCCGAACAGCGACATGGTGAAAAGGCAGACCGCAGCAAGTGTCGTGAGGCTATCCGCAAAGCTCCCAAAGGAGCTTCGTTAAAAAGGATGGAGGCGCAAGGGACTGCAGAATGCCGATTCTCGAATGTCGGAGACGCTACGGTCGGCGAATCGCTGGATGGGTTGTCGTTGATGCGCGGATGTTTTTCTCGTCGCTGGGCAGTTTTGTTGACTTGCTACAAAATTGCTGCAGGGTCGCGCTCAGTAGGAGGTACCCAGGTACCGCGCAGGTCAGCCTTGTCCGCCGGCTGGCCAATCACAGGCAGTCTCCAGAGCAGAATCGCGAAATGAATGTCTGTCGCTTTGACGCACACACCGCCACTGAGTGATGCAAAAACAGATACAATGGCAGCAAAATATGAATTAGAGATGAGAAAATCTCTATGCTGAAATTAAATTCCCCAATAATTCAAGGTCTTGAGTACGGAAGTGACCATGAAGAAATACATGAATTTCTCTTGACTGAGCAAGCGAATGAACTAGTGCCGCTACATAGAGTTACTTAGAGTACCTGATTCTCTTAATCAGCAGCCACAGGCCTACTAAAATGCAGTTATCTGTAGCGCTAAAGTGCAAAAATTCAGTGGCGTCCACAAGACTAGTCGCAGTGAGCGAGGTATTTTTTGCAAATCCCATCTCCCTTCATGTACCGCCAACAGCCGCCTCCAATACGCCAACGAGGCTGCGGTTGCTGACCCCCCGGTCGTCGCTGATTGGCTAGAGCAACTTCAATCTTTCAACTAAGCGTCAGTCGGAAGAACCTCATAGCTCCATTATCCTACCGCAAGCTTCACAGAGGGTCAATCGAAACACCCGGCAATCATGGCAACGCGACGGTCTCAGTATGTTGATCCAGCCTCCCAGATCCAGCAGCGACGTCATTGAGTCGGCCTGAGGGCACATTGGCGACATCCCGCGGCAGCAGCACTAACATTGTGGGCAGATTCCACCAGCAGGTGCTCATCGACACCACGCCTCTTCCTGACAACATTCCCCAGGTCCAGGAGATTGGTGCTTCCTCTGCGCCTCTGCTGTCGGCCTCTTTCTTCATCGGCGCACGATGCCGCGACTACAACGACGATTACATGCAGTGCAAGACCGAGAACCCCGGCAAGGGAGAACTGAACTGCCTGAAGGAGGGACGAAGGGTAACCCGCTGCGCCCAGAGTGTGTACGTTTTCCTCCGCCTGCGAGCGACTTGATGAATTGCAAGAATTGGCACCGGCCATCTTGGTCCAGGGGCTCGGCTGTTGGAAGAGCCATTTATTTTGTGGAAAGGAGGGGTACTGACGTTTGGGTTCGTTCAGGCTCAAGGATATCAACACACACTGCTTAGCCGAGTTCCGCAAGCACTGGGAGTGCCTCGACAACCGAAACCAGCAGCTCTGGCAGTGCCGCCCCGCCGAGTGGAAGCTCAACAAGTGCGTTTACGATAACTTGGTACGTCTGGCCTCGGCATCCATCTCAACATCAATGCGCCATAATTTATTAACCATGCTCCGGCTTTAGAAATTGGAGAAGAAGATTCCTGATCAGCCCGCCAACGTCACCCCCGTTGAGCTGAGGACGAAACAGATCTTTGCTGACGTGAGGGTTGGACCTGGTGATGGCAAGCCCTTCATCGCCGGAAAATCGGAGGCTTCACAGTGAGGGAAAGAGGGGAACGGTTGGAATGGAGGGGTGAAGATGCGTCATGTACAATTGCTGTCACCTGAGTCGAAACAAAAATAACTCATCAGCCTCTTACATACAACACTCGCACCATTTGATTCTCAGGCATCTTGATTCTTTTGTAGAAGGGGCTCTAAGGGGCCAAGGGGAGTTGAAAGTGTTTGGTCCTGAGCCAAACAGTACGAGGCAGGTTGTTTGAGGCAGAGACATTGGCGCAGCCAGACACTCAAAATAGAAGGTTAAAAGTTGACGCGTTACACGACTCAATTCTTCAAGTCGACCGGACATCGGGCTTTCGCAGCATCGTGCCCGCCGATAGCGTAGTTGCACATTCACATGCTAACTCATGATCCTGCCATCACTAACCCCGGGCATCACAGAAATCATTCCACAACAGCCAACTTAGACCGGTCGAAAATGAGGGGCCCCTCACTCTCTCCTAGATCTTTGCAACATGTGAATACTGTCAACGTCATCACGTAGGCTGCAGGCATTGTGCCGAGACATTTTGAGATGAGATATATCTCGTTCAAGTTTGTGAAGCGCCGGAAGCCTGCCTCTGGGACATACATGTCCATCCGTTGGATTGTAAGACTCGGGGAAGCTGACAGCCAGATTAATATTGGCGTGTAGCCGTGGTTGATTGGATAAGATGTGTAGAGGGTGAGGCGGGACGGATAGTTGGCCGTTTGGAGTAAATTATTGATTCAGCAATATCTATCCGCTTGTTGTACTTTTTGCTACCAATGAAGTCTCGGGTGGATGGTGAGTGTGAAGATGCTGTGTGATGGTGAGGCTGAAATAGCTGAATATTTTGTAGAACAGGATATTGTAGATAGCTGGTGAGTTCGCAATTGATGCTCTGTTGCTTCTCACATGAAAATTGCTTCAAGTCATACACAGGCAGTGAAGAATTCATTGCATAGGATTTCTAGCTTCCTGAATAAACAATCTTACCCTAGACTACCATATGATGTAGATTGCGAGTAGTCCTACAATAAATAGAATAACCCACCATCTTGATGATTTATAGACGTAGACGATGCCGAATGCAGTGATGGAGAAACGGGGAGCTATAGGGTTGGCTGATACGTAGTAGTACTGTTCATGTCACCAACCTACATGTAAACTGGCTCTCTTTCTACAAGCTCTTCACACCCTCATTCAGAACCACCAACTTATAGAATGCGACAAAGGCAACAACACCTCTAGAATCAATCACCTCCACGTCAGGACACAGTACAACCAGCACAGCACATATCAATCGTCGTACGTTGAACACTAAAGAAAAAAAAAAAGGCGGAACTTGAAACCGCCAGGTTCCACAAAGAAGCATCTAGACAAAGATCGACCCAGACAGAGTCCACGAAAAAAAAAAAAAAAAAAAAAAAATCTCGAAAGAAACCGAAACAAAAGAAACAAAAACCACACTCCCCCGGCGGATTCATCTGGCCGTTTCAGCCACGCGCCTTACGCATCCCGCCGGTCGACTTTATCTCGGCGACAGAAAGAATAAACGAGACCCGATGCTTTTCACTAAGGGGCATCCGCATGCAGGAGGACACACCGAATAGAAAACAACTTACATTTTGCCCGACGACTATTTTCTTTGCAAACAAGCAGCCGTAATCGTCAGAGGCAACAAGGTATTCGTATATGCAATACCAAAGCTTCGGCTCAGTACAGTAAAAAACGACAAAAGTCTTCGCAACACCAATCCATGGGCCCGGCCATCCACATGTCGGCCCACGCTTCAAAAAAAAGGGGAAAAGGACACTTACTTAGGCGTACCCGTAGGCCTTTAGCGGCGCTTATGTGCATCTCCAGACTAGACACGTCAAAGAGCCCACAAGCAAACAAACAGATGGAACAAAAAAAAAACTGGGAAAACGAAACCGGCGGCATGTTTCAAACGCGGCCGGTGTGCAGGCCCGGTAAGCCCGCAGACTGGGGGGGTTTTTGCAGCTCGGAATGTGACCGCCAGGCGCCCGTGGCCAATGGCGTGAGAGGATGCCGAGCTTAATAGTACTTGCGTTTCCTCCAAATTGTAGCGGCAGCGCTAAGTACCGTGCCATGAATATTAAAGGCATGGGCTCCGGACCCGTCCTGGCAATGTTCTGGAAGGACTGGGCACCTTGTTAGGAGGCTGACTTTGGCCGTGATTGATATTTGGCGTGGAAATTGGCTGGGGTCCTTTGATTATTTCACTCACGTTACGTAAGGCATAGCGGCACGATGTTTATTACTTGAGGCCATTTTGTTGAGGGGCTATCCGTCGAAGGAAGAGGCAGGACTCATACGAGTACTAGTACTGATCACGCCCAAGGGCAAAGCGCGCAATATATTGTATACCTACCTGATTCATCGGGTATTTATTATAATCAGTACTGTAAGGGGAAATGAGTGCATCTAGTGGAGCCATTCTTGCCTGTACACGCATTCTAAGGCATCAAGCAGAGAAAACAGCGTCTCTGCACAGGTTTTGGCCAAGGAGGTGGTGCTCGATAGGCGCCTCGGATCTGTCTAGCGACGCCAAGAGATGGAGAGCTGTACGGAATCTAGTCTCCCATGCGGGTGGTCACTCGGCAGTGGCATTTAGAATTAGCATTAGGTTTTTCTGCAGGTGTGTTGCCGAGACTCATCGAGTATCTTGCGTCGAAATACGAAGTGCCAAGCAGGTAGTACTACCGTGGCAATCAACGACTGGTGCAAGCCAGACACAAATTAAGCCCCTAATGGACTCTCGATTTTGGGTCGCGCGAGTAAGCCCGTTGGGCCTCGACTCAAGGCATCCCGGACGCCGGCCGAGAAAGATTCTGCCTCCGAGCAGCACTACTGTAGGCCCGGCGTCGTCATGGGGGATGGGGCAGTTGGTTTATCTGATTCACCCAGGGGGATGCGAAATAGGCAGCACGGCTAGCATCGAGCGGATACACGATCAAGGTTGTGGGACCATCAAGAGGAGATGAGCCGACGTACCGAAATGATGAGGGAAGTGAGAAAATAAACGGGTTGACTGTTGATTGCATGCGGCTGCTCGGCCGGAATGAGCATCGTCAACGCGGGAGGGAAGTGAAGGGGAAGGGGAACAATGGATCAATTGTCTCGTGCTGGATTCCGGCCATGTGCTTTAAGCCCCGCCAATAAACCACTTACACTCGCAGTGTTGCTAGTGTCGGCGGCAAAGGGAGAAATGGCGTCAATGTTTCAAGGTTCTTACAGTTGCGTGTGCAAACAGCAAAGGAAAAAGGATGGCCGTTTGGTGTATCCGGAGCTGGGGCTCGCGTGCGTCCAAAGCGTGCGCTTGATGAGACGGAGTACTGGATTGATGCGGAGCACGAGGCGGATCGCCGGAGTGCCACTACATAAGGTACTGTACAAGTACGAGTACAACACTGTACCTATAGACGTGGTGGTGGTGGTGGTGGTGGAAGAAGAAGAAGATGATGATGAGAAGAAAGAATACGATGGAATTGTCTGCAGCAAGGATGGCAGATTCAAGTGCCAAGCGCAGTGCTTGCCGTTTTGGCACACCCCGCATCTGGACAATTGCGATCTGCGACTGGCACTATTGAATGCTTGGTAGGCATGAATGCGACTCTGCCTGTACGGAAGACGCGGGCCGAGGGCGATGAGTTCTATTGCTTGATCCATCAAATTCACTGTACTGTACAAGTACTTGGACTTGCACAGCTGCCGTTGGGAAACAGCATGTACCGTCCCGAATCGCGTCGACTATCCGATTCCAAATTTCCCGTCAAGCTGCTAGCTGGATTCACCACTCAGAAAGCCATACGAGTGCAGTATAGGAGAGCCGAGGGTGATGGAAATGAGTGACATTCATCACGCTCCTCCTGCATCTTCCAGCAAAAAAGGGCCCCATTCGCGTTGCCCAAAGGCCCCCAATTGCAGGCCCTCAATAGGCTGACAAAGAGCGCTGGAGATGAGGTAGGGGGTGATACAGAGCGATTAGTGCCGTTTCAGGGATAAAAGTCCCGCAAGGCCGCCTGTAGCTTGTTTGATGGGGACGCCGGCGCTGGTTGGTGGAGGCCGAAAGACGCCTGCAGCAGGCAAGCGCCAGAGCAGCTGCTGCAAGGCACAGCGCTGTGAGAGGCGGGAAACAAAAAGGATGAGGAGCAAGGGGGGAGGGGGTGTGAGTAGTGATGCTGCTCGTATGAGTGCTAAGGTCTGTAAGTACTGTAAGCAACACAGCATGAAGTTGAAAAGATGAATCAAATTGAGAGAAAAGTCAACTTGATAGGTACCTATGAAAATGCAGATGGACGTACACCTTAGTATTTTAACTTTAAAGTTAGGTATTCAATATCAAGCTATTGCAAGTACCGAATTGCTTCATGCACATGCAGCATGCAAGCCAATAAACGCTGCCAAGCTTTTCAACCTTATGCCGGGATACACGACGACGGACTCGGCGAATAATCGCGCCGATTCAGGGCTGAGAAAAGAGAGCACCGGACGTTATATTACGGAAAAGAAATGGAAAAAAAAAAAAAGTTCGGTAGCCAGTAGTTGGCGGGTCATACGTAAATCAAGGGGGGAATCGCAAGTGGTACGTGAATAATGACATATCGACTAATGCCATCATCTGCGTGCCTCCCCCTCTCTCTGGACCACATACTGTACAGACAACACGCAGTTGAAGCGTTGGAGAGCTCGCATCAAGTGACAAACTGGCGCGTCGGGCGTTTCCAAGGCATTCTTCGGCCAACGACAAAAGAAGCAATTGCGCAGCAATCCGGTCTAGTCAGACGCATCTAATCTCGATACACGGACGGAATACGAAGTAGCACTTGCACAGAGGTATGATGGCGTCGGCTTGAGGGGGGGCTCACGAGACCCCCGGCAGAAACATTGATGAACCTGTTCTCTCTCTCCTCGCCAATGCGGCTGCGCCATCCGATCTCAGACATATCATTGATGATGTGCGTAATCGTTGAGGAGGGCCACGCCCCAGGGATACGACGTTGAAAATTCTAGGGGAAAAAAAAGGAAAAATAACGATGATAAAAAACCAAAGCAAATTCAAGAGATGATGTCAGGAAAAAGGCTTGGTTTGGCGAATCCCTCATCCCGGCTGCTGGGGTCTGGCCAAGGCGGTAATTTCTGGAGGCTTTAATTTTGAGCCTTGTCAGTGCAAGATGAGCGCGGGCCAGCAGACCATGGTCTAGAATGCTTCTTTTTCAGCCTTTGCGGGCTGTTTGATGGGAGCTGGGAAAAAGAAAAGAAAGCTGGCGGCTTGTACGAGTAATAATTCTGCTTAGTACAGGTAGGTAGATGTGACGTGGCAAGGCAAGGTACATTAGTAGCTGTAGTCGGGACGATGTTGCTTGTAGAATTGTCTATTGCTGGTGACACGGACAAGAATCTGCCTGTCGATAGTAGATACTTGGCAGAGGATTGGAGGTTGCACCAGCAATCTACAGAACAGCATCAATCACTCGATGTTGATGCAGCACAGCTTGAGAGTTTCTGCTCAATTTGATGGATCAATGAATGCCCTTTACTACAGCCACGCCATGGCCGTCACCCCCGCGCTGCCCAACTAGGCTAAGCTGGCAATAAAGTGCAGTGCTAAGCAACTTGGCTTGTTTCGTAGCGTCAGGAACAGCCCCATGATTTCAGGAACCCGCACGCATGGGTTTTTCTTGTGCTTTTGTTTGTTTGTCTTAGCAGTTTTCGTATAGCCAACCGGGCGATAAATGCTTTTGAGCTCGTACATGGATAATTACCCGCCGTTGTATTTTTGATGCAGAGGACCTGATGCAGTGCAGTGCAGTGCAGTGCAGTATTGGCAATCAAATGGAAGTGTTCACTTAATGTTGATTTGGATTCAGCAGGTATAGCACTCAAGGTACTAGTACAGTAGAGCTGTAGGCAGCTGTAGGCACAGCTCTAGGCCTGAACTACAGCTGCGTTTACAGGGCTTCCCTCAGCTGCCTCTCGCCAAGGTACGGGTCCCCTCGTACCTATGTAAGCACCCCCTGGTCCCAGCGGGGGCGTGCGCATCTCGAAACACTGCAAACTTGAGCAATCCCAGCTTCATCTCCCCTAGCCTCCTCCACCTCTCTTTGCCATCTCTGCTCTGCACTCTACTCTACACACTACACGCCGCCTCCCCCGTTCTCCCACTCCTTGTCAATTCGGCCGGTTCCCACTGCAGCCGTTCCTTTTTAACGTCGCCCTTCTGCCTCTGCCGCTCTCGCCTCTCCTTGTCCTCCACTCCTAGAGAGCGAAATCTTGGCCATTTCCCTTCCCTCCCCTCTTTTTACAACTCTCCTTACCGTGTCCTCGTCGGCACATTCCACTCCTTTTTTCTGAGACCCGATTGATTCACTTCGTTATTTATCGGCCTGGTATCCGGTTCTTCTTTCAAGTTCGCTATCCACAAAGTCGAGTGCATCCAGCCGCCGACTGAACACGCTCTTTTCCTTCGTCGACCTCTACAGCTCCACGAACAAGACGACCTTCAGTCCCTGTCCAACCACACGGCTCCCGACTCTCCTTCAACTTGAAAGCAGCGCTGCACCAGACTGGTTCTGACGCAAGCCAATATAAACCCTCTTCGACCACCGTCCAGATCTCACATTTGGATCGCCATACCATCAAGTCCATCAAGGTAAGGCAGTGATCGACAACCTTATTCTCACTCCTTGTTTGTCTATATATCTATTCGCAAATCATGATTGGCTTTGTCAAGTCACCAGTTCCCAAGTTGCATCTCTCGTCATACATGTGACAACTCCATGATCATCTCTGTCTCTCTCCCTCCTCTCCAGAGCAACTGGGCAAGTGTCCCTTCGCAAGTTGTCCCAGCACTGCCTTGGCCCATTCCTCAGATTTGTTTTAAGCTCCGGTCTCGAGTTGTGGGGTATTGTTCCGTTTTCAACGGCCGCCTCCTTGATCTGCATTCCTCATCCTCCCAAACCGCGTTCCAGAGGGCATCACCAGCCTCTTCCCCGGGATGATGCACGAGACCTCCCGTTGATCGACGTCGTTGTGAATCGCTGTTGCTTTCAGAGCACTATATATCCAGTTTGATATTTCCAGCATCAGCGAGATATTCCATACTCACCGTCTCTATTCAAATATACAAGTTCAAATATAGTCCACAAAGCTAACTCCATTTCCTAGCAAGTTCAACTTTGACATCTGCAACTCTAAGCAAAAAACTATTCCATCGTTCAAGATGAAGACGTCCGCTGTTCTTTTGGCCGCGGGTGCCCTGTTGGTTTCGGCCATCCCCCTCGACAAGCGAGCTCTGGAGACCACTTGGGTCACTGACATTGTCACTGTCACTGTCACTGTCGACCCCAGCGCTTCGGCTTCGGCTTCGCCAACCGCTGGTGGAGTTTTCGTTCAAAACGTTTCTGAGCAGCCCGCTGCCTCTCCCTCTCCCAAGCCCGCAGTCGCTCCCAAGCCCAGCTTTGCTCCTGTTCCTGCTCCGGCTCCACAGCCTACCTCCCAGGCGGCTCCTCAACAGGCTCCTGCTTCGCCGGCCCCGGCCCCCCCGAAGCCCGAGTTCACAACCGTCGTCGTTGTTTCCCCGAAGCCCTCTCCCCCTCCGGCTCCCAAGCCGTCACCGTCACCGTCACCGTCACCGGCCCCCGCCCCCGTCGTGGTCAAGCCTTCTCCTAAGCCTTCGCCTTCGCCTTCTCCTTCACCCTCTCCTAAGCCTGCTGCTTCTTCCCCTAAGCCTGCTGCTCCCGCTCCCGCTCCTGCAAACGACTACGCCTCTGCCATGGTCAACGAGCACAACATTCACCGTTCCAACCACTCCGCTCCCGACCTGTCGTGGGATACTACTCTTGCAGGATATGCCCAGACCATCGCCGAGGGCTGCGTTTTCGCCCATGATATGTAAGTGGATGCATGAAAGCTGAGATTATGTAGATATGATGATTCTAACATAATTATAGGACCCAGGGTGGCGGTGGCTACGGCCAGAACCTTGCCAGCTTTGGCTCCACTGGCAACATCGATGACCTGCAGATCGAGTCTGGTCGCCGCGGTGTTACCGATCAGTGGTACAACGACGAGATGGAGAACTGGACTTACTACGGCCAGTCCAACCCTCCTTCGGGCTCCAACCTGGATGCCTGGGGTCACTTCACCCAGGTTGTCTGGAAGTCATCCACCAAGGTCGGATGCTACACCGCCAAGTGCCCTGCTGGCACCGTCCTCTCCTTCCCCTCTTGGTACACTGTCTGCAACTACAGCCCCCCAGGTAAGCCTCTCTGAGAAGATCGCACACTCTGATGGCATGGCATAGAAGCTAACATTGATGTTTACAGGAAACTTTGGTGGAGAGTACGCTGAGAACGTTCTCCCTCCCTTGGGCCACCCCACCGTTACTGTCTAAACAGTAGCAGAAACCCCCATCCGGCACTTGCCACTTTCTCCTGGCCATGCAGATTCTATAGGGACTCGGTCGTAGCATGACAATGGCGGTCGGGCTCCGGGAAGGCTGAGATGTGCGTGGTTAGGGTTTCGGACTATCGAAACGTTGACGAATCTTTTTTCGCTTCTCATTGTATCTTACGCGATGTCATTTTGACAATCTGGACTTGATTTCTTCTACTTCTCTTTTCCCCACAAACATTCGGAGTCAGCTCCCTTGGCTGCTCCCGATTTCTTCTCATTAGTCTTCTCGGCTAACTTCAACGTGCATGGCGTCGTTATGATGAGTATACAGACGGATCCAGGCTGGTAAGGGGCGCTATGGGGCTGGCACAATGCCCGACGGTGTGCTGGATTTGCAACGGGGGGCATTTCGATTCTATGCGGCTGCGAGACACTATCGAAACGTGTTGATGGTGAATCGTAGCCGCCGACATTAGGGACTCTCTTCTTGGTTCATTTTACATATGGAGGCACGGCGGTGCTCATTTTTCTGTGAATAGACGCAACGACCATAGACATTTGCAACGACCGTAGCTGAATATGTTTTATGGCATGATATAAACAACTGCTCTTGTTGTAAGCCCTCTGTGACATGGTAGTGAATGTCGTCGCGTGACTCTCAATTGGTCTCTTCGGGTTGATATTTTTATCTGATGTTGTAGATTTGGCTACTCCGTGTTAGGTCGATGCTCATGTAAGGAGGATTTGGTCATCTCGGCTCAAGCCACGTGAGTGCTATCGACTGTGAAGAATTATGTACATGCTATGGAGCACTCGATGATTATACTCTGCTGTTGGCACCCATGGATATCACGAGACGCAGATCCGGGATACAGGCATGTTTGTTTAACTAAGGTGGAGAATCTCACTGAAAAAGGCAGAGAGCAAAGAGATATGTACCAGCTGTGTACCTTGTGCTTTTTTCACTGAAGCTGTGTGTATTGTTCGGCGCGTCTTGGAACCCGTGTCACTCGACTCGTCGTATGGGGGAGGGTTCGGGGTGGTATTATGCCGAGGAAGGGCTGTTGATAGGCGGGGGGAATGAATATTCATGGATGTTATTGGGAGGAGTTTGAGTTGGGGGGGATAGGCTATCACTTTATATACGATATGGGTATGTGTCTTGCTTTTTGGGGGTTGTAGCCTACATCTACGGGGTGGTGGTGGTGAGAATAGATGTCATTGTGAAGCGTGTATATGGTATATACGGGATATGGGGGTTAGGCAAAGAGGACCAAGTACTGTATGGACTTCTCCAGTTGAAATGAGTGTGTATATTTTCTTTTCAGGGAGCCAAAGTTTGGTAGTTGGAGCACTGTGAATTTTTTTCTGGGGGGTAGCTAGTAGACGAGAAAAAAAAAAAGAGGGCCGTGGATGAAGTGACGAAGCATTTCCGAGGATTTGGCAGATGTGGATTAGGAGCCCATGTTTTATTGTGGGTAGATGTAAACCTTGACATCTGCAAGCTTCGCAAAAAAGGAGGAGAAAGCTAAAGCTGCTAACAAAGCTTGGGTTGCTGTTGGAGAGAGCCCAAAGTGATGCTGTATTGGGCATCCGATGGAGGGGAGATACTAACTGGAAGCGAGAAAGCCTGAGGGGTAACAGATGGAAGGAAGAGCTGGAGGAGAGAGAGACAAAAGCATGTTACATACTGTACGCACGAGTAAGCTGGTGAGTTGGAGGAGAGCGGAAGATGCCGCTCCGAGGGTTAGTATGGGGGTATTTCGGAGATTGCTGGAGGGAAACGTTGACGTGGTGGATGAAGATGATGCTTGGGTTGGGAGAGGGTCGGTATGGAGATGCCTGTCCAGCCCAGCTTTATGGATTAACACATGTGACTTTTCGTAAATCAACTTGATAGCGCTTTTCACTCTGTAAATCAATCAATCAATCAGCTCAAGCACTCAACAAAGGCCAAAGTCTGAAGACGCGGCGGCAACAGCCTCATCGGAGCTTTGTGCGCTTTTCCACCGGACGGACATTTGGCGTTCCATTTCGCAACATGAAAACCCTGACGTCAGCCACAGTATCGCAGAGGAGACCGTTTCTGGTCATTAGTAGTATTCTGACACGCTGCGTCCACTACGGGTTTTACAGTGTCGATGTACTCGTACGGATACGTGTAACGTGTAACGTGTATATGCGGCATGTGCCCGAAATGGATGAAGATCGAGATCAAGAAGAGGCACTTCCCGCTCCTCCCGGGGAACAAATGACAAACCCAAAGGATTGCTCAGCGGATGGATTTTCCTTTGCTTCCTTCCTGGCCCTTTTGCGGCTTCTTCATCATAATTCCATAGCCTACCAAGGCTTCAAATCATCAAGCCGCGGCCTTGCATTTCCCGTAAAGGGCAATAAACCTCGACACGCCCATATCAATTAATAATCGTAGCCAAAGTACGACGACAAATCACCAGCCAAGCACTGACTCGCCTCAATCCACGGGCGTCCAAATCAAAGAAAAAAAAAAGGGGGAGAAAAAGCCTAAAAAAAGCCGCCATGGCTCGCCACAGTAGATGATGGCTGGGTTGCCTCCAAACAGGGCAATTACGAGAACAACCAATCTTCCCGCCCTGTTTGTGTGTGAGCGGCAAAACAATAGGAGAATTTGTTATGGATTGTAATAGATTTGTATTCAGGAAGTGCTTGGCTGTTGTTAGAATGGGAAAAGCGCAATTAATTGCGCGTCATAAGAGCCGCTTATTAATACGGGCATGTCGCGACCTAGTAGGTACCTATACGGTACCAGCACATATACGAAGTACGAATAAGAGCCCAATTCTTTCGGCATCTCTGGAAAAAGAAACGGCAAAGAAAGGTAGGGCTGCGGTATAGGTAAGCATCTTTACACAAGCAAGAAAAAGAGACAAAATACGGAGCAAATATGTCATCATGGCCGAGAAAAGAGTCGCCCAGCTCCAGCTAGGGAAACGGGGACGACCCGCGAGTCCGTTTCCAAAGCCCGAAAAGCCAAGGGCAGACCGGCGCTGTCGGGCTCTTTTTACAAAGCGCCAAGGGCCGCTGAGCATTTTATAATTCCGGAACAACCAGGCGTTTGGTGGCGGGCTTTCCGGGTCTCGGTAATAGCAGATTGCCCTGTTTTTTTACCTGTCGGCGATTGAAGGTCTGATGCCGGACGGGAATCATCAAGAAGCCATTGATTCACTTTTTTTGCATGGCGGTCGCCGCGGGGTTACCTCGGGTCGCAAAACGTATTCATCGTAAATGATCCTCGGGGTTGTTGCCACGCCCGATCGGCCTTTACAGGTACGGCGAGGAAACGGAGGATTTGGGTTGACGAGAGGAGAGGGCGAAGAGACGGAATGCTGAAAAGGAGATATTCGGCCTTCCGTCGCGCGCGCTTCTTCCTTTTGGTGGAGTGGGAGAGCGCCTTGGTACCAAGTGGCGGCTGTACTTGTGAGGTACCTGGATGTTTTTTGGGGCTCCGCGGAGTAGATTGGCTGTATTGTAGGTACTTTGTAAGTTGATCAGAATATACAGTACAATCAATGAATCAAATGCGTTTTAAAACCATCGATAATGGCATTCGCTTCAATTCTACAAACACAGAAATACGTTCTTACCTACCTAGGTACCTAATCGGTATTATCATTCCCATCATTCATCCGCGGAATGCGGGGGCACCAACCGGAAAAGTTAATAATGTACAAAATCAATCGATTCCGAGAAACCAAAAACCAACCAAAGTCGTACTACAGTAACAAGGAACTCGGCCAACTCTGCCTTGTCTCGGGCTAGCAACGCGGAGATAGCACCCCTAGCACCGTCGCCCATTCTCCGACCCTCCCTTGAATAATTAGCAGCCAGAATGAATGTCACTGCTACACCATCTATTCCGGGGGTTGCTGACCCGTTCATGCCCTGCAATTGCCAATGCGAGCAACAATACAGAACAGAGATAAAACTATCAGAGAAGACATGTAAGCACATTAAGAAGAAAAATAAGGTCGATAATTCGAATCCTACGAGCTGCAAATATTCCGTGGCAGCAATGAAATACCCCCCGTGCCATCGAGATACGAGTACATCATCATCATGCCGTACCACCTCCTCGGAATACCGAAATATTCCATATTCCCATCCCTTGTACCTTGCGCGTACCGCCACCACCACGAACGCAATTCCGGAGCAAAGAAAAAAACAAGACAAAAAAAAAAAGAAAAGAAAAGAAACCCAAGAGTACAGCAGCCGCCAAGTACCCCCTGAGTATCTCCCTCTGTCCCTCCGCCCATCGGGGATTACCCGTCCCAGCACAGCTCCGGGTCGACAATCGCGCCGAAAACGCCCACTGTGCACCCGCGAAATTGCAAAGAATGCCCCGAAATGGGTACTTCCACGGTACCTCCCTCGTGCAAATTACCTTGGTACCTTGCCTTACCTAGCAGTGTACTCGTACCTCTAATGGTTTCCCTTTTGTTTCTTTCTGCCCAACAACTCCCCCCAGCTCTCCAAAACTGCAGCCCGTCCGTGTTGTCAAAAAAGAATTTTGGATTTCCGGCCGCCGACGTATTACGCAACCCAACGTACAGTTAACGTAAAAACGGGCTCCGGGCTGCTGAACTGGATTCCCGCGGCTAGGGGGAGTTTTAACCTACCTAGGTATCTCCCCCATGTTACAGCAAGTACCTGTCGACAGCACACACAGAACAAAATGCCACCCCATGCCGATGCCAAATCACGATAAACCCAGCTAAGCACCTCCCCCCCCCCCCCGGCTCATCTGCTCCCCTCCCTAATCCAGCGAAATTCAAAAGCTCCCGTCACCAAATTTCCATTTTGCCAAAAATCCCGGGGTAAGATTAGCCAAGGGCACAGTAAAAAGAACCAGACAGAAAGTATAGATATATAAAAAGAAACAAGAATAAGATGGCCAAATTTCAAAATAACATGAACCCGTCAATGCAAAAATATTAACTTTTATTTTTTTCCCTTATTTCTTTTTTCTTTTCTTTTCTTTCCCTTTTTTTGCTATTTTCGGAGACTTTTTTCCCTTTCCCTTTTTCCCTTTCCCAAAAACATCCTCGGTCCGCAAGCCTGCCGATTCGGCGCCCGTCCAGGCCGCCCAAGCCGGCTACTTTTTTTTTGCTTTTCGCTTTTCGCAATAGTACCAGTATAGTAGCAACGAGAATATGTACTGCGACGCTGCTTGCATTTCTTCCATCTCACGTATATATTATGCTCGCACAACCTCCCCCCCCCGTCTCGCATAAAGAAAGAAAAGGGAAAACTCTCCTTCTCACTTCAAAAACGAACAAGGTACATGCCTGACCTTTTCTTTCTTTTTCTTTTTGTCCGTGTCATGGGCTTTTTCTTATGCCCGTTTCGCTGTTGTCTGTTAGTCCGCACCCGCCGCAGGCCCAGCCACTCGGAGTGCGGAAAAAAAGGGCTGCCCAGCTTATCGGCGCAAGATGCATGTACCGTGCATGTTCTTTGCAGAAAACGGTACAGTGCCAGGTAAGGTCATGGATTCGAGTCAGAGTACAAAGGCGGTACATGTGAGTACTCGTAGATTGTGGCATTTCAGGCCTTGTAAGCAACCTTGGAATCTCTGTAGGCTTACATAGGTAGCTGCACGGTACTGTAGCGATAGCCTAGGTACCTACCTTAGGTAGTACCTACAGGTAACATGAAATGCCTATTGATAGTAATACAGTTGGCTTGACCAAAGACGTCGCATTGTATTGCTGCTCTCTCCTCTCTCCTCTCTCTTCTCTACTAAGCATCAAACCTCCCGTAATCATTACCAGTGCATTCGATGCTCGCCTTCTCTTCCAATTTCCTCATTGCGGAAACGCTAATTTGCCCAATCCTGCCACACGAGTAGCGCTTAGTTTCGCTTATTATTGCCTGCGCGAATCCGCGACCCGCATTTGAAATCATTCGGATTTTATATACGGTAGTAGCACACCCAAGCCTGCCAAGTACTCGCATGTACTCCAGCCTTCCATCCGCCTTACCTTATCTCACTTACCTACTTCGGACTTTGCTACCCATTCAGCTCTTCGCCATCGCCTTTCGCCTTCGCTGCCAAAGGCCTTAAGCTGCGCTGCGCTGCTTGGTCATTCGCTGCCAAAACATACACACACACACGCTACCACTTAGACACGGCACGCCACCAAATACCAGTCCTTGTTCCCTTTTCCCATCTCCTCTCCACTCCCGTACTTTATTTCTCCCAAGTCCTCGCCAAAAGTCTCCAGTCCCCTTCTCTCGGCCGGGTCTGGCGGACATCCGGCAATAGGAAGCCCTTTAAACCTTGCCCCCGTCCCATCCAGCCCGATCACAGAAAAACGTCCTCAGCTGCCCCTCCAAGTAATCCAGTATTACCAATTACCCAACCACACGCTCACTCAGCAGCGACTGCGGCAAAGCTCCTCTCCCGCCCGTATAAACCTTCTCCTGCCCCGGGACGTACCGGTTACATACCCTCGTACATATACACCACGTCTCACCCCACCGGGATTATCCAAAGGCGGAGCCTGATTGCGAGATTCATATACCCATCTCCTCCGCTGCCGACCAGCCTTCGGCCCCCCTCCTACCAAAAACAGACGACATCCCATCGTCCTGGATTGATGCGCTCGAACCTACATCATCCAAGAAAAACGATAGCGTAAATTGACATCGCGCATTGTTCGATTCAACTTTGACAACCTCGCCGCGCCCGCCTCGGGTTCCGTCACAGTGGAGATTTCTGCAGCCGCCAGGGTCGATCCGGTACTCGACGCAAAAGCTCAAAAGACAAATACGCACACCTCTCTCGCGACTGGAATAAATGGCAACCGACACCGAGACACTCTCTCTTCCGACTACCACGGCCCCTACCGAGGTCGCGGCGTCAACATGCCTCCCTCCGGACGAGCACCAATGCCGCGGGATCAAGAGAGAATGGAGTACTGATGAGTGGGACACGAGCATCACCGCGACCTTTGGCTTTCCCGCCAAGCTAGGCGGCCCGAGCAACTCCGCGGCGAGCCCTCAGCACCAGACACAACAGCCTCAACAGCAGGATCAGGGAGGCGATGCCACGGTGACGGGCAAGTACGTCGCGCAGCTTAACCCCGACGAGTGCGATAGGCCCTTGAAGCGCAGGCCAAGCTCCGATTACTGGCTAACATCCAACCTCTTGTCCTCCTACAGGAGCGTAGAGGAAGCTTGCAAGCGTTCGCTGGAACACTTTCCCTGCCCGAGCGTCTCCTTCGCCATGCCTACTCTCGAGTTTGACTTTCGCATCGCCGTCGCACTCAACCCGGAACCCTCCAGAATTGAGAACCGTGTCCAGAAGGAGATCACCACCATCAAAGGAGGCAGGTGGTCTGGATCATTTGGCAACGGCCGAGTCATGGTATGATGCACCCTGGACATTCCGATCCAATTCCGGCCCATGACAGACATAACACATAAAAAAAAAAGAAAGATGAAAAAAATCAGCTGACAAATCGTTAGGCCGGCGGATATGATCTCGGGCAGGCACGGGGCTTCCGTCCGATTCGGATTGTTGAAGGCGCTTTTGTCCTGCAGACTACCGACCAACCTCCGGCCATGCTGGAGATGCGTACGCGAGGATCTTTGTCGGGCCCATGTGACGTACTCGATACCCTGCTCAGTGCTCGGGAATCCAAGGAGAACATTGATCCCCGTCAATACGGCTTTCGGACCTTTGCCACTGTCAAGACGGCAGACAAACGCTATGCCGAGTTCGTCAACTGTGGGCTCTGGGTCGCAAGTGGTGTGTGGCGAGGTGAAGAGCTGATTATTGAGTGAGTAGATAATCACCCAATCATGCCGTGATTATTTTCCCAAGCAAGGCTAACCAGTGATCAAAGCGCCTATCGCCTTACTTGAAGACGGCAGCATAAGGCCATCTATCGGGAAAAGACGCATTATGCTACGAGCATAACCCGAAAATCTCTTTTTTTAAAAAATGCTATTGCAAGACCAAACGACACAAAGCATAGGGAGGCGGCGCCGGCGGACTGTGTTTTCTTTTTCTCTCTTCTCAACGGTATGGCGGAATCACGATGACTCGCCCGGGTGACGGCAGATTTGCGGAGTTTTGAAGCGTGGAGTTCTCTTTCTGGAGTATTTTTCGACATCGGTTACCTTTGGTTTGGCGGTAATGGGCTGCATCGGAATCGGAGTACGGGGCCTTTTTTTTTTCTTTTTCTTTTTTTTATCTTTTCTTTCTAATGAGGCGGCAACGGAATTAGGCATGGGGAAGTTTGAAGCGAAAGAAATCCTGTTAATTTGACGCTTTTTCAAGGCATCTGTGGGTTGGTCTCTGTGAGGTTATTCCTTGGTCTGTTTGATGGTGGCGCTTTCGGCGTTTGATATGCGTGTGCTCATCTTTGCTCATGGCGGTTCATCGATGTTGCTTGTCTGCTGGAGACTTGTTTGGTCAGCGAGATTCGTGCAGTGGTTGCATAAGAGCTCACTGCTTTGCGCATCGCTAATAGATGTCATCCTTCAGCGAGCCTGATTGTCCACTTTCCCCCCATCTTGCCCTTGATGCTTTTAATGTTTTCATAAATGCTCGTGTTCCGAGGCGCTTCACTTTAAGCTGATAGCAACTTCCAAGCAATTAAGCTTCCTCAACCGACTTTCGTTGTCAGCCCCAAACACGTCGTCTGCATCTCCCGTAACCACATCGTCTACTGTCCCGATGGTTCGTGTTTTAATCTCAACCACACAGTCTCCTTGCTGCTCGAACCAGCTTGCAACGTGTAGTGTCTTTTCAATAGCTTTACCTGTGCCCATCACTGTCACCACAGCTCCACGAGCCGTCCCACTACCACTGCCTCGCTTCAGTGCCTCAACGCGCGCGTGCAAGGACACATTCTTGGCAGCAGCAGCATTACTACGCAGGGCCTTGTCCAGGAACTTTCTAGTCCGCTTCACGACGGACATGAAGGGAGAATTTGAGGACACGTAAATGACGGGCGTCTTGGACGACGCTGGGAGCTGGCGTCGAGTGAGGGGACGCTTCTGAATCCTGGCGCCTAGAGTCCGGCTGTTAGAGATGTTCAAGGTTCAAAACCGTGTCCTCAAGGGCCAGTAAAGGCGATGTGCCTACCCTGTGGAATTGGTGGCATCTTGCTTGCCGCTCCAGGCACCAGCTTAGACGAGGCGTTTTCTTGCTGTGTCATGGCGAAGAACCGGCAGTAGTGATGGACTTCAGGGAGTCTTTTCGAAGTTCCAAGAGCTCAGCTCGGCTTGAATGGAGGAGAAAAACTGATTGAATTAAAGCCCGCCAATATGAATGAAAACGAGTGAATATAGAGGCGTAAGTGAGGCAACCACAAGCGTCCCTTTTGCCAATTTCTCTCGCTGCTACGAAGCGTAAAAGGGAATATGAGAGGAAGACTTTCATCAACAATGACTGCCTAGCACTTGCTCCTAGTTCTTCGCCAGCCCGCTTTTCTTATCGGCGCTGTTATCGCTGGCCCCACCACGGCGAGCCAGTCTCAGTCCATCAGGAACGTCATCTTGTCATCTCTAGCTAGACCTCTCTCTCTCCCAGCTTCATACCTCGAAACTGGCCTCTTCTTAGAGGAATGGCTGCCTGTATCCCAGGCTCCGACCATTTCTCGCCCTCCGCTGAACAGCCATGTCTCTGGACATCTGGCCTCCCGTTTCCCCAGGGGAGCTCAGCATAAAAGTCGCTGAAGCCCAGGTCGGTAGTTTGATGGCGCGCAAGCTGAGCAGACTGGCAACGGGGGATGCACAATGCTGATATCTTTCAAGAAACGCGAGCTGGCGTGGATAATCGCAAGGACCCTCCAAACCTGCGAAGACCTCAAGCATGGCCTGGAGGATTGCTACGCTCTGCTGGCGCCGGTTGATCCCGGCAGCACTCTGGTGATGAGCACGCCGCGCAACGAGCGAGTCAAGGGCACCATTACTCGGGTCGGGACGCGCATCGTCAAAGGGGTAAATGGGCTTCTTCTTGAAAATATGTGCCACTTGTATGGCATTGCTGACACAGTTTGCTCTTCAAAGTCTCTCGGTCTGCAATTTCGAACCATTGCGCAACAGACACTCACCCTCTCGCCCGCTTTCCCCATCCACGTCCACGCGCTCGATACTCTCCATACGCACCTAACCGAGTCCATCGACCTGCTCGGCCTTTTACTATCCAACAGCAAAACATCCAATTCCGAAGCCGACGTCTCCTCCAACAACCAAGCGCAAGCCCTTTCCTCGGGGATGCGTCTCCTCGCCGACTCCATTTCCTCCTCCATCGCACTCCTCAAGGGACCGCCCTTGAACGAGCCAGACACGAATTGGACCACACAGTCCTGTCCATCGTCGCACTTTTCGCCCCCCTTGACGCAAAACTTTAGCTTCTACATCACCCTTCAGGAGTGCAGCATTGTGCTCCTCATGCGCGCCCTCGAGCCCGTGGATGCGCCCGTCCATTTCGGCACAAAGCTCGGTCTCGCTATCGGCACGTATCGACGCCTCGAGCACGATGAAGCGGATATTGTGTTCAAGTACAAACCCGGTGGAGACGAAATGTCGGATACCAGGCGATTGGCCGCCAACCACAGCATTCAACCCCCATCTATTGCGAGGACACTTTCAAATTCTCAGCTGGAAGAAGTCTATGTGCGGGAAAAGGTCCGGGTAGAGAGCGCTGACCCCAGCCTCATCTCGCTCTACTCAAAGCTAGGATATCTGAACATCATGCTAGACCAGGCGCGGCGGAACTTGGATGCCGTCATGAGTGTGCAGTTGAAGACGTACACGGAGTAACCAATGCTCTTGAACATCATGATAAATAGTGCTGATGATGGCTTGTACATACATAACCGTCGATTTTAAGGATGTCTTTGGTCTGATTGGCAGCATATATGCAAATACCCCCAATGTAAACCGTTGTCCCCGTTGGATCTTAGTAGCCACAGTCTGGACGGGAAAAGAGCTGTGGATGATTTGTTCAAATTCAATGAAAGAAAAACTAAGTACATATGATGCTCTCGTCATGCCTATCTCTTGCATATAAAATGTCAACTCCTCGTACAAGAAGCCACCCTTGACGCCGCCGAAACAGACAACTCAATCTTAAAAATCCAATGCACTAAAAATTGATTGCAAAGCAGGAGAAGCGGGGCTTATGCTACAGGTGACCAGGGCATGGGGATGAGGATCCTGGATTGCATGGACTGGATCAGAGGCACCGTCTTGTGCACTGTATCGCTCCAGCCCTCAACTGACCAGCTCTTCTCTCGGCGGGCCCTCCGCTCCTCAAGGTTGGCAAACTGCCAGAGATGGTGGACCGTGTTGAGTTCTCCAATCTGGACAAACCAGGCGCCAACACCTTCCATGACCTCTCTTCGGGCCTTGAGACCTCTTCTCCAGTGAGTCTCCCACTCCAGCAGGTTGCCGGGGTGGAGAGTATATGATCGAAGCTCAAAAACACCTCCCAGTTGGCGTGGGGGAGTGGTAGGCCAGAAGGAAAACTCCTGCATCAGGGATATCTTCTTGGAAGTGATCAATTTGCTGAGTTTCTTGTTGAAATCGGCAAAGTCGGGGTGGTGGGAGATGGAGTGTCGGGATTCGTGGTAACCCTCGTACCGCTGGTACTCCCAAATGTGCACTATGAGCGGGAAATCATTAGCTGAGAGTGGCAATGAGCAAAGCACGCGTGGGAGCTATCCTTACCAAAGGTGTCGCAGTCGCCGACCTCTGTTCGCCAACTTCCGACCAGATGAACCTTATTCTCGGGCGTGTTGGCCATCTTGGGGTAGAATTCGCCGGTGAGCTGGACATACTCGTCCACCTTGTCCGGCTGGACTTCGTGGAACACAATGGAGTGGACGTATTTGCCTCTAGCCAGGACCTGGCTGAAGCTGGCCTCCATCTGGGCCTCCATCTCCCTGCCTTCCTTGGTGCCATAAATCAGATTCGTCAGAGGCCCTTGCTTGCGATCAGGCTCGCTGCTCTGGACTGAGGCTGTGGCTCCTGCAGTAGATTGAGATGAGCTTTGGTTAGGAGAGTTAGAGTCAAGCGAGTTCTGGGATCCAAACGCACGAGCTCCCCGTTCCTTCTGCGCTTCCACCAGGTGCTCTCTGAATGCTCTCTGCTTCTCGTTGAAGGTTTCGACCGATGACGCCGTGGGGTTGATGTCGCCCATCGACGGGGTTTTGGCTTGCCTCAAGGCTGTTGTAGCCAGAGCTCGCACGCCAGCACGCGGAGCTGCCGCGGCGGCACGGCGGTACAACCTCTGAGCAAGCATGATGACGTTGTGGCGGGCTTCGAACAAGACACAAGGCAATATGTCGAAGCTTCAGACAAAGACCAAGGACAACGACAAAAACTCCCTAGAGCTGCAGCCTAAAGCGTCAAGGCACAGGCTGGCAGTCTTGGTTGCTGATAAGAAGCGGCGACTAAGAAGCAGGGAGCAGGGAGCAGAGAGCAGAGAGCAGTTGAGTGGCGGAAGGCACAAGGCGGGCAGCTTTGATGGAGGGCAGGATTAAGGGCCGATTGGATACTGTGTTAATTTGGCGTGGTTGCAGAGGCAGAGACGAGAGCTCAGAGTAGCCAAGAAGAGGCACGTTGCAGCAAGGGAGCTTCACCCCGCACTATCAGATACCCGATGGGGGTCGCTTCGGGTTAATTGGGCGGCGGCGATTGGTGCAAGGCTGTGAGTGTATGCAGCCGGGCGGCTGTGGGCGGACAAATAGAGCAAGGGGGGGTGCAATTGGACGAGACGAGATTCTGGTGATGGCTGGTGTAGATTGTGTCTCGAGTCTTTGACGACGGACGCGTACGAGAGAGAGAGAGAGAGAGAGAGAGAGTACCTGTACTTGTACCAGTCGAGGATGAAACCTGGGGAAAGATGGAGCTCGACGCCGTACCAGCTACAAGGCGTTGTCACTCCGCTTTTCGGTGCGGAGAAGCACAGGAACAAGCAGGATTGGGGGACATGATGTCACACTAGTGGCTTTAGTGGCCAAGTGGAGTATTGCACGGAACAAGAACAGAAGAGTGTTATGTAATCGTAACATCATGTGATAATCCATGTGATTCTGCTAGGTACATCGCAGCAGGTACCGACCAGCCCACTTCAGTCAGTTGAATGCCTAAGGCAGAACACCCTTGTCGGCTACCGTTCGAATCGCTGCTCCGAAGCCTCTGGTTGGACTAAGGGAAAAAGGCTCGTTTTGAAGACTTCACCAGCAACTTCATCCACCTCCGTCCTACTCAACCGCCCCCCTCGCGCGACTCCCGCAATACCGCCATCATGTCTTGGTTCGGCGTCGTCCCCTTCAAGAAGTTCCCGGCTCCTTTCCGTACGTCGCCCGCGCCCCAGATTCGCCGGCAATTCCTCTCGGGAAAAAATATGGACTGACAATCGCCCGCAGTGAAGCCTTACTGGCCTTTCTTTGCCGCCGGTATGTGATTTTGCGACAATCCTCGATGGGTTTGAGACGGTGTCTGTGTCGATTGTGCGCCGATTGCGCCGGGATCTGCTGGTATCGCGGGTGTGGGCGAAAGTGAAGTCTTGACTAACATGGAATACCTAGGCCTGGTTATTGCCTATGGCGCCAACTCTGCCCAGAACGCCATGATGGCCTGTATGCGCCCCCCGAATATCTCTGCTGGAGCTTGACTGATACTGACGCTATTGCACAGCCGACGAGTGGAAGAACGACCCTCGCAACCCCAACGCCAAGACTGCGGGCAACAAGGCTCACTAAATCGCATAAAAAGGGAAAAAATGGATTGCGAAGGAAACAGGTGGAGGAAGGGATATATACTCGGACGACTCGAGAGCATGCGGCGTGATAGTCTCGCTGCACTGTATCATAGACTCGCATTCAGGGCTGAATAGACCTTTGTGAAGAACAAGCAACGACTGCTATGAGCTGTGATTTTCTCGACATTGTGCAGAATCGGTCAAGTTGTGGGTGCATTGTTCTCTGCAACTCTACGTTCCATAAAAGAAACGAGTGCTAGGCAGTTCGGAACTGCATACCTATGTACCTGTGGACATGTTGAAGGTATGGATTGCTTGATCTACAGCTTACCCTGTGATGTGCTTCAACTGAATGTCCTACACCAATTCATGTATAAGCTGCAACAAAAGCCAAAATGTCCTGTAGCGTAAAAAACAAATACCCTAGAAAAGAAACAAATTAAGGGTGTCTATTACGCAGGCATAAGGCTATGCAAAACAAGGCTTATTTCACATCTGTTGCTCACACACCGAGCTTATCTCGGCATCCAACTCGGGCGCCCCAAAACTTCTAGTTTTTTCCCTCGTCAGCCACAGATTACTAAGTCAATCCCAACGGAGATGCACTCGCCCACTCACATCCCTTCAACTCATTTGCCATTTATATTCTCACTTACACCACCCGTAATCCCTTAGATGCAGTCTTTTCTGTTTCAATATTGCAAATACACATCGTCTTGCTTATTGCCTGCGCTTCATTCATCGTATACCCCCCGTACGTCAGCTTTCAGTCTTCGCGCAATGTCATCAGCATCTACGCCCATTGGCACGCCTCGGCCTGAACAGCAGGCTCAGAAGAATGGCGCAAAGAAGGAGGTCAAGATATTAATGATTCACGGTACGTATAGCTCGTCTATCTCTCCTAGTCAACCACATTACCGTCATCCCATCTGTATACCGAATATCTCAACAGTCCTCACCCACTCTTACTCATCCCATCTCATCTCATATCCCGTCTCACACCTCTCACATCGACCAAAAATACCAGGTACTAATGTCATACAAAAGGCTACACACAATCAGGCGCCCTCTTCCGCGCAAAAACCCGCGCCATGGAAAAACTCCTCGCCAAAACCCTCGCCCCAATCTCCCTCCTCCCCGTCCTCTTCTACCCAACAGGCCCCAACCGCCTCCTCCCTTCCGACACCCCGGGCTTCAAGTCCTCCGCCGAGTCCCAGGGCGGCGACGACCCTTCTGCCGACGACCTCCCCGACACCTGGGGCTGGTTCCGCAAGGACGACGCCACCAACTCGTACCGCCTCTTTGACGAGGGCATGGCCGTCATTGCCGATGCGATTCGTGAGGCTGGCGGTATTGATGGCATCTGTGGGTTCAGTCAGGGAGGTGCCATGACGGGCTTCGTCGCTGCTGCTTTAGAGCCGTCGAGGACTGTCCTGGATGGACCAAAGGGCGACTGGGCTCGTAAGCTGCGAGAGGCGAATGGCGGCCGGCCGGTCAAGTTTGCCATTTCTTATTCCGGCTTTTATGCCGCTGTTCCTGAGCTGGAGTGGCTGTATGAGCCCAAGATCAAGACGCCGACGCTGCACTACATCGGTAGTCTCGACACTGTTGTCGACGAGAGCCGTAGCCAGGGATTGGTGGATCGATGTGAGGAGCCCGTCGTTGTCGTTCACCCCGGCGGCCATCACGTCCCCGTGTCCAAGGAGTGGGTGATGCCCCTGGCCGGATTCATAAAAAACCACGCCAGCGGCAACGAGGAGTAAGACAGTCAAGCAGAGATGGAATCATTGAGCGATAGATGGATACAAAACTAGAACCCTAGACTTAAAATGATTTGTTTAGTTTAGCAAGGCAAGCCAAGGTGGAAATAAACGGACATGGACACAAGCATCGCATAAGCGTTACATAACCTCAGATTCCCTTCCGAGGACTATCTAAGCTGTATCATTACAAGCTGTGAAATCCCCACCAAAGCCGTGCCCGCAAATATTCATTGTAATATTGCTCCTTTTCAATGCGCCGTGCCAACCCCCTTGCCCCTCCTCAACCTTCTATTTAGAACCCGTTGGCTGGATGCGTGCCATCATCTCCTCCTTGGTGATGAGGTGGTCGATCCTCTCCAAGAGCCCCAGCAAGCTCTTCATGTTGTGGCTCCACTCATTCAGGACATCATCTGCGTCTCTCGGCTTGGCGAAGCTGACAATTCGTGCTGGCCGGTCGATTTTGGCATACACAGTCTTGGAGGTCACCAACTCGCTAATGTACTTCTCCGTCTCATCCTCTGCAAGGTCAAGGAGCTCAGTAAGGCGGCTCATCTGAATGCGAGTGTAGTACTTGGCAATGACCCGAACGTTGTGCTCGATAACGCGCTTGCGCAAGTCTTCCCATCGCTGGTTGGCCTTTTCATCTGCAGACTGTCCGGGCTGAGCGTCAAAGACGTCGGTGCCGCACAGATGGGGGCCGAATCTCTTGGCGATTTCCGGCCACCGCATCAGCTCGTGAACTGTGAAGAGCCGGAGAAGCTCGGCATCTTCAGAAACTTGAGAGTTTCGGGAGTCTCTGTGTATGCGCTGAAGGAGGTCGTGTTGTTCGTTGTCGTAGGGAGCAAGGATTACGAAGTAGATGATGCGTTGGAGAACCTGTTATGGCAAGATATGATTAGCATTGGAACAAGGGGTGGTAATGGAGCTGAGGCGCAGTCTTACAGGGCGAAGTTTGGCGGCGTCTTCCTCGACAGCCTCGGTGTCGAGAACCTGGCGGTAGTTCTTGCATGCGTCCAGGTATTTATCTTCATGCTTCGCCAGTGTAATCTGCTGCTCATAGTATCGCAGTTTCAGATCCGTTGTATCGTCCTCCTTTTCCTCTGGGACCTCCTCTCCACGGGCCTTCTTCTTCTCACGCTCCTTCTGTTCCTTTTCCAGCTGCTCGGCCGTCTTCTTGGGCTTTCGCGACAGGTATCTTGTGCTAATCTTTCGGCCCAGGATAGCCGCCTGTGTCCAGTCACCACTCTCAATGCAGAGCGCAACTTGGGCTAGAATGAACTCCGTCTTCTCTCGTCGGTCCATGGAGCCAAAGGTTTCTACCTGCAGCTCGCAAAGAATCTCTGTGGCTGCCTTGACGTCACCCTGCTGCTTCTTGATGTCGGAGAGGATCTTGGTGACACGAGCGCGCTCGACTTCAACAAAGATTTTTCCTTCAGTGACCGTTCGCAGTGTCTCGATGACGGAGAGCTTCGTCTTTAGATCGGGAGTGTCGTCGAGGAATCCAACAACGGTCTGGACCATCTTGGTGATGGCTTGCTTGAGCTGGCTGTGCTTCTTCGACAGGACCAGCGTTTGGTCGTTCATTAAGCTCCAGTCGCCGGCATTTTTGCATAATGTGACGATTGCCACAAGAATTCGGGATGTTGAGGCGAGATCCGAGGCCTGTCGCAATGTCAGGGGAGCTGTTTGGAAGCTAGAGTTGGGGCTGTTGGCTTACTTGGCGGGTTTGCTTCTCAAGAGCGGCAAGCTTCTCGATTGCGCCCTGAAGGTTGGTCTACTCAAAAACGTCAGCTTATAGAAGCTACAGGTACGTCTCCAGCAAGGAGAACCATACCTTGGCCAGGCTCTCGGCCTCTGGAAGCTGCTGGTCAACCTCCTTAGAGAAGTCCTTCTCGGGCTTGAGGGTTGCCTCGGACATTGTGGCGTGCTGCGTCGACTGGGCGGATAGAAGGAGATGCTGGAGGTGCGTGTCGTATTCGGAATCTGGGAGTCGCTGGGCGGTAATTGAAAATCCAAAGTCGACTCGATGATGCGTTGCAAGCGATTCAACTTAGGTGGGAGGGTTGGTCTGATAGTGATTGGCGAGGCTGCTGTGGGTAACGCAAGAGGCACCTGCCTGACGTCCTCAGCGTATGTAATCCCGGCTTTGGCCAGCCCCCACTCTGGAGCTGTTGGAAGAAAGTAACCCCGGACACAATCGATAAGGCGACATCAGCTCAAGGAAGCTTGAGGAAGCATGACATGTATGAGAGTAGAAGGACTCGTTTACGATTGTTTGCTGGTTAAAATGGATTTATGCAGCTAAATGTTCCTTTCTTTTTTTCCTTTAAATAATGATGCTCGCATTTCTGTACCCAGAGAATCTACCATATGCTGAAAATGGGCGCTTATTACAAGGCATGGTTGACACTGTTTTGACACTTTAGACCGTGGACTTGACCCTCACATTCTAAGATGATAGAAAAAATTATAAAACAAAATACAAGCTGATATCCAAACCTGCCATGGTGGTGGGCAGGCCATTTTAGTTCATACCCTCTCCGCCTCTACCAGTGCGTCTATACTTCATTTATGCCTCAAAAACCAATGCAATACCATCATCACCAGCCGTGACCACTCTCTCGCCCGTCTGCCCCTGTACGAAGCCCAAGACACCACCTCCCTCGCCGTCGCCCCTGTGGCCCCTCCACTCCTTCAGCAAACCAGAGCTTCCTCCCTCAGGACCGCCAGTGGTGCCGCTGGCTCGCAGATCCCATCTCCGCACAACTCCATCCATGCCGCAGCTTGTGAGCAGCCACGAGTTGGGAACAAACTCGACCTTGACGACAGAGTGCTCCTCGTGCGCGCCGATAAGATTCTTTCTGATAGCAAAGCGGCGGGTTGCGTCGAACACGGTGATGGAGCCGTCCACAGAGCCGGCAGCCAGAAGGGTGGTGGGGGGGTTCGTTGATGCCACTGACACGGCAATCGTCTCGACGCTGTCAGACTGGCTGTGAAGTGAGGCCAGGATCTGTCCACCAGTGCTGGGGTCGGCGGCAGACTTGCCGCCTCGAGCTGACCTCGCCGGCGCGGCAGCTGTAAGACGAGGAAGGGAGACAATCTTGATAGCGCCACCAGCACCGCCAGTAGCGAGGAATGCGCCCTTGGGGTCAATGGCAATAGAGTATAGACCGCCCTCGACCTCGAATCGCTGATCCTCGGCCGTCAACGACACAACGGTCATGCCGTTGTCGTTGGCAAGGCCCTGTGCAGCAGCGAAACCCCACACATCCCAAACGTATAAGCTGCCGTCTTCGGAAACGGTAGCCAGAAGCTGGCCATCGGGTGTCCATGCTCCGGCTGTGCAAGAAGCAGTGTGCAGGAAATAGGACTGAACGATCTGGAGGGGGTTGGAGGAGTCGGAGGGATCGATTGTGTAGACCCAGACGGAGCCGTCGTTGGCGCCGAGGGCGATGGTGTTGGGATTTGATGGCGAAGGACAGGGTGCAACCCAGTTGATTTCTTCGACCTCTTGCGCCTCTCCAAGGAGAGTGACCTTGACACCCGTAGAAGGCTGCACATCCGTCTTCCAAGCTTTGATCCTGCCGTCCAGGCCCGCGCTGACCAGGACCTCACCCTGAGGAAGAGTCCAGGTCAGGGCATTGATGGAGTCTGTGTGGCCCTGTAGAGAATACAAGCTCTCGAGCTGAGTCGTCTGAGGCTGGGCAGAAGGATCGCTGGCGTAGCTCGCAGGCAGCACAGGGCGCGACTGGGCGGCCGAAGCATCAAAGAGCCAGCCGGCTCCAGGAGCATTGTCTGCTTCACCGGCAGAACCACCAACAGCGATGAGCGAAGGGTGGACGGGGTGCTGCGCAATGGTGAAGAGAGAGTCTTGGGGTAGGTCGAAGAAGGCAATCGAGTCGTTTTGCAGGACGAGCTCCTCGTTGTCAGAGTCCATGGCGAGGTCATCGTCGTTGGCAACCTCCTCTCCTACATCCTCAGCGTCGAGGAGGTCGTCGTCAATCTCGTCTTCAGGGCGGTTAGAAGCAGACATTTTTGCGATGCGACGGCTGGACTAGAGAAGAATGGGAGTGTAACAGATACAAAAAAGGAGAGGACAGCTTGGTCGCTCTTTGACAAAGGGTATAAATATGAAAAGGAAATTGATGTGAAAAGGAAAACGAGAAGAAGGATCTCGGATTCCGGGAGAAGATTCAGCTGTTTCTTCAGCTGGAGCAAGACGTCACCTTCTGCTTGATAAGCAGAATCTTCCGGCTTCTTGATGCTGGTAGGATTTTTTTTTTTTTTTTCGCCTTTGACCCCTCCCCCGCCATTGGCTTGGAACCCCACCATATTGTGAGTGAACGCTTTCGTACTCACTAGTAGTAGTAGAGGCTTGCTGCTGTTCTGAATGCCTTCTAAAATGGCTGATTCTTTTGTTGTAATTTATGGCGAGGAGAAGCATGTAGATACTTGAAACGCTCTTGCAGCTATTATGGATGCACGTCGCATAGAAGATAAAAGAAGGCTTCACATATTATCAGCGTGTGCCAATATCTCATATATGCTATATGAGACAAGGAAACAGATAGTTCATTAAACTGTGTTAATCCTCGCTTCAAACGCCCAAAACTCCTATACCCCGATTTGACGCCCTTCCGCATAAAACCTTTCGTGATTGAACCCAAATATTCACTCCTCAATCACCTCAACCCAGTTCCTTTCAGCCTGTCTCCTCCTCCATCTCTCCTCAGCAGCCTCCCGAAGTATACGCTCGTCCTCGCCAACTTCCGCCGCCTGATCCGCCATCTCCTTGATCTGGTGCTTAACAGCAAGGAGCAGCATCTTATGCCAGCCACTGTGGATCTTGCACCGCTTCCGCTCGCACATGCCCCTGACCTCGTCGCCTTCTCCCAGGGGGTCGTCGACCTTTGACGCCTGGAAGATGACCTCTCCTTCGGGTGACTTGACAAAGGCGGCAAAGGCGTCGCGCGCACAAATAGAGTCAAGTCTATGATCGTAGCCGCATATGTCCTCTGCGATTCGACCAGCGCTGATAGCTGCTCGGCGGCGTTCTTGGACCATTTCGACGAGGGTAATCATCTTTTGGCACAGAAGAGTTTCCTCTGCTAGTTTGAATCTAGCGTTTGCTTTTCTGTCCAAATATTCCTTCTCCTCTTCTGTTAATATCTGAGCAAGACGCTCTTCGGCGGCTGTGAGAGTTGTCAGCTAAAATGGAGTAAAAGCTGCTTGCGGAGACTATGCATCTAGACTTACCTGTCACATCTCCATTCACTTCGGACGGCTTTCCTGAAAATGGCGCCCTTAAAGTCCACGATCCATCCCCATCAATAGTGGCAAGATCGCTGCTTAGAAGTGCCATGAATTCCTCCTGAGATAGCTCGTCACTCAATGCAGCCTTCGCCCTGGCTTTGGGTAACCTGGTCAGCATGCGCTCCCACCATATCTGAGCATGCTCATCCGAACAGAAGACGCTGGGTGGGCTTTGTGTCAGACGAGCCGCCTTTCGACATGAGCCCAGCGTGCAGGTTTTCTTGTAAATCGTCACCAAGTTGTCTGTCGTGCAGTTTGGACAGATGAACTTTTCAATAAGGCTCTCTCCAACATCCTTGCCGATGTGCACGCACTCTCCGTGGAACCAGTCTTCGCATCTCTCGCAGCAAATCATCCAGCGGTGGTCGTCTGGTCCTCTGCAGATGCAGTATGGCCCATTGTCAGACTCGTCGTCCTCGTCAGATGCATCCTCAGCGGCGGTACTGTTGGCCTCACTGCCGGCTGTCGATCTGGCTGACTTGGGCTGTTTGGGGTCTCGTACGGATTTTGGGCGCTTGGGAGTCTTTTTGACAGCAGAAGCTGTGCCCTTCTTCTTCTTGGCTGCGAATGATGAGCCTGCCATTGAGGGAGCTGGATCTGCGGCCTCAGCAGTTTCTGTGGATGGCAAGGGAGTCGAAGATTTGAAGGCTGGGACTGCATCAGAGTGAAGTGGAGTGGGCGAATTCACCGCGCTCTCACTTTTGATGTCTTCATCAATAAGCTCGAATCGCGTCTCCATGATGTAGGGCCCTGTGCCCGCGCCTGTGCCTATCCGCGCCGGATCCATTGGTAAGGCTTTGAGATTAGAGCATGAACGCTTCAAGTGAAATAACCCCAGCCAACAAGCAAATGCTGCGTCACCCCAGCTTCGGTACGATACAGCAAGGCTTTAACACGGCCACACAAGACAAATCATCCCCTCGTCCAGCAGGAAAGATTCTATGGCAACGAGATATCTCAATTACGGCCTTGAACGGGTATTGTTGAGATACGTTCAGGAGGCGTTCATACTGAAAGATGGAATTTGTGCCTGACTAAGCGTCTCAATGGCATCGTTTACCAGGGATTGTGGCAAGGAAGATCGATGCCGGCAGATATCCGGCGATATGACATCTGGTTAGTGGCATTAATAAACAAAAATGCAACAAACTTGCTCACTGCGGCATGGTGGGGCAGCATCTGTCGATATTTGGCAAGCTTCACTTGTTCTACCGAGACAACGCAAGACAGCACAAGAACAGCAATTGAGGCGCGAATACCATGTCGCATTCGATCGCCTCGTCAAGGGCCCTTCAGGGCGCCCTGCGGAATCTTCCCGCGCAGCAGTGCCGAAGATGCTTCTCGAGCGGCGCATTCCAGCCGAAGCAGCTCCGGCCGGTGCTCCCACCATCGCCGGTCCAGTCCAGACAGCCGATTACACAGAAGCGAACGAAATACAAGACTATCGAGCAAGCCAAGAGCCGGTATAGCACAGGGGTATGGAGAGACTCTTTATCTTTGACTGGTTCTTGATCAGCTTTGCAGAGCCATCAGCTGTGCTAACTCATTGGGCAGCCTTTTTCGTTGAAAGCGGCCGTCTTGTTTGTTGTTACGTGTGGTGGACTGGTGTGGTACTTTGAGCATGAGAAGGAGCGCATGCAGCGAAAGAGAATAGCAGAGGCAACCAAGGGCGTCGGTCGCCCCAAGGTTGGGGGATCCTTTGAGCTGACGGATCAGAATGGCAAGACGTTTACTAGCGAGATGATGAAGGGCAAGCACTCATTGGTAAGCAAGCTTTAGGACGTGAGACTACTTCTCATGCGATGGTTCTAACTCGCCCAGGTCTACTTTGGGTTCACGCGCTGCCCCGACATCTGCCCCGAAGAGCTCGACAAGATGGCCCGCATGCTGGACATTGTCGATGCCAAGATCCCCAACAACGAACTCCTGCCCATCTTTGTGACGTGCGACCCGGCCCGCGACGATCCCCCAGCGCTCAAAAGCTACCTTGCCGAGTTCCACCCCAAGTTTATTGGCCTGACGGGCACATACGACCAAATCAAGGATCTGTGCAAGAAGTACCGGGTGTATTTCAGCACGCCGCGAGATGTGAAGCCCGGACAAGACTATCTGGTCGACCACAGCATATACTTTTACCTGATGGACCCTGAAGGCGACTTTGTGGAGGCGCTGGGGCGACAGCACTCGCCAGAACAGGCGGCACAGGTGATTGCTGACCATTTAAAGGATTGGAAGAACAGCCACTAAGCTGTCACTGCTGCGGAGATGAGAAGCGCAATATACTATGTAAAACGACGACTTGTTTGTAACAGTAGTGTACCACTAGGCTATAGAAGGGATGTCCACCAAGCAATGAACCACTCAATGTTAATATAATATCTCTCATTATGTCATGGCCTGCTCTGCTTTAGTGTGAGAAACGAAGAAAAATAATTCCAAGTTACCTAAAAAGAAATTATCGTCTCCATGGTTGTTGATTTGGCCGCCTTCTGACTACAGGTATCTTGGCGGAAGACGCCTAAGATAGTGGAGATACGGATCCCGGCCAGTATCGGCGCCCTGCGACTTCTACGGCTACCTCAACTTGTTCCAGCGTATTTGTATCTTCACAGTACCAACGCCGTCTTTTGTCGCAACCGCAGCGAAACCTCTTGGATCCATTGGAGGCATCACGGCGGCCAAGGTCGAAAGACTTCAACTTACCAAATGTCGCGCGCACGGGTTTTGGGCCGATTCCGGCCGATGCCCGTTTCGCAACTTGTCACTCGGCCATGGCCAACTCTCAACGGCTTCAGCGCCAGTGCAACTCGAGCGAGCACCGATAGGCGGAGGTTCCATGCGGCGACGTTGCTTCACGAAAAAGTAAACTCGCCTTCTCGGTCCTTGCAACAGGGCCCGGTGGATGACGCCTCGCGCAAAGCTTTATCCGAGATTGCGTTTGCCTTTGAGTACGTGGGTGAAGCTATCCAAAGAGGCGCACATGATGACTAAGAGCGCCAAAATCACAGCATCGATGGAGTCTTGTATCAGGGCCAAAGGGCGATTCCGGGGGCCAAGGAGATGCTGAGGAAGATCAGATCGCACGACATCCGCTACGTCTTCTTGACCAACGGCGGCGGCAGTCACGAAGATGCTAAGTACAAGTCTCTATCTAAGCGTCTGGGACTGTCGGAGGACGAGGATGTGATCCGCAACAGGGTCATCCTGTCGCACACGCCGATGCGAGGGTGGGATGAGAACGTCAAGAAGCAAGGAACAGTGCTGATTACGGGATCTCACCCAGAGATTGCTCGCAGGGTAGCCAACGAGTCGGTGTAAACCCATGCCCCTGTAACCCCTTGGCGAGAAACACTAACATGGAGTTGTATGTGTTTATGTGTGCAGATACGGGTTTGCCAGGGCCGTGACACCCGCGGACATCATCGAAGCCAACGACAAGGTGTATCCGTTTGACAACCTGCGAGAGAGCCTTCACAAAGAGTCGAGGCCGCTCCCCGACGGCAAGATCGTGTCAAACACCATCGACCCCTACAGCAAGGACGTGCCGGCGAATGCGCTCAAGATTGACCAGATCCTTGTCTGGAACGACCCGAGGGATTGGTCCCTGGACATTCAGGTGATCCACGATCTGCTCATCTCGCATCGCGGCTATCTGGGCACGATATCCGACAAGAACGGCAACGCTCTGCTCCCCAACAATGGATGGCAGCAAGACGGGCAGCCACAGCTCTGGATCTCCAACCTGGATCTTTTGTGGAAGACGGAATACCCCGTCAACCGCTTTGGCACAGGTGCCTTTGTCGAAGCGCTAAAGGGCGTGTGGGCCGCCTCAACGGGCGGCGCCGAGCTGCAGTTCAGCGCCTTGGGCAAGCCATCGCAACACACGTATGAGTACGCACACGACAGGCTGCTTCACCACGCGCCCGAGGAGCCTCACGGCAAGGGTCAGAAGAAGCGGGCGCTGAAGAGGGTTTACATGATTGGCGACAACCCGGAGAGTGACATCCGGGGCGCCAACGAGTTTGCGCCGGCGGACGGAACTGAGTGGATATCCATTCTGGTCAAGACAGGCGTGTGGAAAGAGACGGCAGCAGAGAGGGAACCGAGGTACAAGCCAACGGTGATTGTGGACGACGTGGTTGAGGCGATTGCGTGGGCTATGAGGAACGAGGGAGTGGATGTGACGAGGGAGTGGCTGGCGAGCGAGGACTGGGTCTAAGTGTGATTGCTTCCTTTTTTGTTGTGTCTCGCCTCATTTCAGGCCACGACCTGAGTGGCTAGAGGTGCGTCGGATAGAGCCAATAGAGCCAAATAGAGCGGACGGATTTCGTATAGAAAGTGCGCACGCGAGCAGGCAAGGGAAAAGTGGGCTGAGAAAAGGCCTCAGCCCTTTGAGGCACGCTTGGGATTTCCTCATGCGGCGACCGAGAGACGGGCTGGGGCTCACCAGGGATGATGGTGATTTTTTTTTGGCTTTTGTGTGTGTCTGTTCATGTTCGTGTACATGAATATGTATGTGTATGTTTGTGGCAATGCCTCATGCGGGCTCTCAGCTACTCGTACATACGAGTACATCTTAGGGCGATTCGTACAGTAGCATTACAGGAGCTGCATTGTCTAGACGAGGATGGAATAGGATAGGATAGACAAGGGGGGAATTCGGTTGGGTGGAGTTGTTTGGTGCTACGGAGTATTAGTGTCAGTGGATAGAGAGGCTTATCACATGTCTGGCCGTCCATGTCCGCCATGACTAGGCCAACGACAGCCAGAAGACACCTTGTCGCTGCGGCGCGACGGGCCGTGAGTCCATGGCTTGAACCTTGTGAGACGAAAGGGTCCAGGAGGAAAATAAAAAGCAGGATAAGCAGAAATCCACTGAGGAACTGTAGAATCGAGAATAGGATCAGCCACATCCTTCTGCTACGTCATATGGCTGCTTCGTCGACACCTCCCGTCTACTCTCCCGGTCTTCTTCTCGGTCTAGCCTCGTGCGATCCCTCCAAAACGCCCAGCCTAGTCAATCCCTTATCACAACTCAGGGCCTGTTGCTAGCACAGAAAAACAGCGTGGCGTTCATCTAGAACCTTGTCACAGAGTCCTGACCCCCAGCCTGTCGTTTGTCACTGGGTCACGAGGGCTGCCTTTGTCCTTCCCCAGATCCCTTCCAATCTTTTTTTCTACTGCTTTCGTCCCTTTTCTCTTTCTTTGTCTTTCTTATCTATCATTGAGACACAGTTCCTTCTTTATTTTCCCCTCCCTTTTTTGGTTAACTGAAATTTGGCCGACAATACTACCTAGTGAGTGGTGACTCCAGGAACGGGTTTTGTTTTCCACGCGACACTCTCTACTAGCGACTTTTCTTTTTTGTTGGGCCGACTTGAAGCGCTTGCAACCCCCACGCCAACTCTTTGCGCCCTGCTTCCTCAGAACTGAATCAAGCCGCATTCCTGTTCACCACAAAGAAGAAGCCCCTCTCTTACTTTCAAACAATCGCATTGTCTGACGCAAATGTCTGAAACCCCAACCCATCCTCCGGCGCCGTTGCGCTCGGCTCTCAAGATGGACGACGAAGCGGTGCGAACTCCGCCTGCCAGCGGCACTCTGAAAGGTACGTACGAGTGAATGATTTCCCAGCCAATGGGGCCGAAGGAAGCTCCGTCGCTTTCGACTACGGCCGCGAATATTCCATCGTGAACTGGACAACACCTCCACAATGGTCTCGAGCGCTGCTATATTGCTTCGATGACGATAATTTTGCCTGTTGTGGCGGGGTCCAGCCGGTGGGGTGAATGCCATGTCGACATCTTTTGCTGTCCCCGGTCGTCGATCTCCTTCGTGCGCTTCTCGTCGTGTTGCTATAGGCCGATGAGGTAAAAAAACTGGAATTAGAAGGTGTAGAATGGGTTGCCGAGCTGGGCTTACACTCGTCACAGCGGTGCAGATTGCCGACCCTGTCCCCGAGGACTATATCGAAGACGATTCGCATCATGCCAAACAGCGCCGCCCAACGGGTCCTACTCGCCGATTGAGCGGCAGGCTGTCTGCGACTGCTTCGCCTGCGATCCGACCCGTGGACGACGCGACTCTCTCGTCTCACCATAATCATAATCATCACCGCCGAAACCACCAGAGCGAGAGGATTCTGGCCCAGGTTGGAGAATGGCTGGAGCGAGAGCGCAAGAAGGCAGTGGCCAGGAAGCAGAAGCGTCGTCGGCGCAAGTCCAAGTCTCCTCCGTCCGACCAGACACAAGCCGCGACCGATGCTGCAACTCCGGCTCCCAGCCATCCTCCGCGCGAAAGATCGAATTCCACGAGCTCACAATCCAGCGACATCTCCTTTGATGGCCTACAGCATATATTGGAGACGTCGATGGCTTCCATGGGGCTTACTACGTTGCCAAAGTACAGCCCACGGGTTGGACCTAAGCACAGGCGACCGACTTCACGCTCGGCTCTACATCGCACCGCCTCCTCGGATACTGATTATGTCGACGGTGACGCCATCGTGCCCAGCTGTGATGCTTGGCTTGACAACTCCAAGACAATGAGCTACACTGGTGGAGCCAGCACCAGCACGGAGGATGCCTCAGCTCACGCTGCCAAGGCCGAGAAGGAAAAAGAGGCATGGACTGTTTTTAAGAACGAGATTCTACGCATAGCCCATACTTTGAGGCTCAAAGGGTGGCGTCGTATCCCCCTCGGCAGCGGCGAGTCCATGTCTGTTGAGCGATTGAGCGGCGCATTGACCAACGCCGTATATGTCGTCACTCCTCCAGCTGAACTGCCCCAGGCCGACGGAAAGAAGCCGCCGACAAAGGTGCTGCTTCGAGTGTACGGACCCCAGGTGGAGCATCTCATTGATCGAGAGAACGAGCTCCAGGTGCTGCAGCGACTCGCGCGCAAGAAGATTGGCCCGCGACTCCTGGGAACCTTTAAGAACGGACGCTTCGAGCAGTTCTTCAATGCCATCACGCTAACTCCGCTGAATTTGCGAGAGCCTGAAACCTCGAGGCAGATTGCGAAGCGTATGAGAGAGCTGCACGATGGCGTTGAGGTGCTCCTGCACGAACGAGAGAATGGGCCTGGCGTGTGGAAGAACTGGGACCAGTGGCTGGATAACGTCGGCCGCATCACTAGTTTCTTGGACAAGGAGTTGGAAAAGACGCCCGAGACTGAGAGGAAGAATTCGGTTGTTAATGCCTGGAAGGCCAACGGTTATGTGTGCGGTGTTCCCTGGGAACAGTTTAAAGAGGTGGTGATCAAGTACAGGGCCCATCTGAACAACTGCTACAAGGGTCACCGGGCCATCAAGGACAGGCTTGTGTTTGCGCACAACGACGTGAGCGCCTCCCCTATTTCCCTTTGATCTTTTGCCTGGCAGAAGCTGACATTTTGTTTCTAGACTCAATACGGCAACATTCTTAGGATTCGCCCTGATGATGAAAAGTCGCCCCTCCTGCAGCCTGCCAACAAACATAAGCAGCTTGTCGTCATTGATTTCGAATACGCAGCTCCCAACACCGCTGGTCTCGAATTTGCCAACCATTTCACGGAGTGGATGTACAACTATCATGACCCGCTGATTCCTTTTGCCTGCCACGCCGATCGATACCCAAGCCTTGAGGAGCAGAAGCGGTTCATCAGAGCATACGTGGACCATCGCCCCCAGTTCCCCCAGGCCAGCTCGACGCCTCGACTGACACCTCTCGACACTCCCAGCGCTGCAGCCACGCCCTCGCTTCTTCCGACGGCGTCCAGCAGCTCCATTGTCGACTTTATGCTAGATGCTCGCTATCCTGGTGGAGACTGGGGCGCTGTCGAAAAGGCGCGCGAGGAGCAGGTCGACCAGCAGGTGCGAGAGCTCATTGAAGAGGCTAGACTCTGGCAGCCGGCGAACAGCGCCCAGTGGATTGCCTGGGGTATCGTGCAGGCCAAGGTGCCAGGGCTGGATGGAAACCCTGCTGAAGAGGAGCCCGGCGCGGATGAGTTCGACTACTTGAGCTATGCCCAGGACCGGGCCATGTTTTTCTGGGGAGACGTTGTGCAGCTGGGGCTTGTCAAGTTGGAGGAGTTGCCGGAGGCACTGCGGGCGCGAATCAAGATTGTCAAGTATTAAGCGTTGCGGCCAGATTTTGATTTTCATGTATAATGTATGGGTTTCTGTTTTGTTTCTGATGATTTGTAGTCGACTTGAATCGTTGTTGTGCGGATTCTGCTCTTGTACAATTAGAAGCAAATAGGAGTATACTAGCGCTTGTATAAGCGTATGTTAATGTCATGGATTCTACATCTCGTTTATATAATAAGTATGTATTGTATGTAAATATTGTTGATTCAATGTACCCATATATATATTTCCCATGTCCACTTATGCATCCAGTTTCAGTCGTTCCAGCATGGCATCAATCTTTTGCAGCAAAATCTGGTAATTGATGGCATCCGAGGCAAACTCATCCTCGGCCGTCTCCCCATCCAACGTCCGCACTGCTTCATCCCCCCCTTCAACAACGTTGTTTTCATTCTTCTTCTCTCCATTCACGTCAAGCTGAGCAACGGCAGCAGTAGCATCAGCAACGTCTGCCGAGCCATTAGCCAGCGCAGCTACCATCTGGGCGCTAATCTCGCCGTCCTCGTCCATCATCTCCTCCAGGCCGGCGTCTTCGAAGCGCAGGCGGAAGCGCTCCGAGAGGTAATACCGGATATCGTCGAGCAGCTCAATGGTGTCCGTCTCCTCACGCTTGGTGATGCGGTCGGCACTCTCGCGGATGAGCTCGTGGAAGTCGGGCTCGTCGATGTAGTCCTCCAGACGCTGGGCGAGGTAGCGGGCGGCGAACTCTTCGAGGCGCTGGACGCGCAGATCCCATGCTGCGTGGATGACGTCGTAGATGTTGATGGGCTCTACCTCTACCTCTACCTCTACTTCCTCTGCTGCTGCGGTGCCTTGGCCGTTGGCCGCGACGTTGTGCGTGCGGTCGATGAGGGCGTTTGTCGTGCCGCTGCCGAGAGTGCTGATGGCGATGGCGGCCTTGTTCTTGAGGCTGTCGAGGAAGAGCATGTCGGCGGCGTAGAGCAGGTCGAGCGCGTGCTCGAGCGGGCACGCGGCGTTTTCGGTGTAGAGGAAGGACAGGATGAGCTCGAGGACGGCGGGCGTGCAGTCGACGGTGATGACGTGCAGGTGCTCCGACTTTTTCGACTCGACAAAGTCGCCCGAGAACATCTTGTCAAAGTACTCGCTGCGGATGAGCATGGCCTTGTGGGCGGGATACAGGACCGACTTCCTCGTCCTTTTCGAGCCGTTGGTCTGGGAAGAGGGCCCGATGGGGATGCCGGCGGCGGCGGTGTATCCGGAGATTGGATCGGCAGGGCGGCCGTCTGTTTCTTCGTTGACGGCTTCGTCTGCTCGCAGGAGGATGTCTGCGAAGATGGAGTTGTCGTGCTTCCACCGGACTTCGTCGACGCGGTCTGTGTCGACAACCATCTTATGCGCCAAGACGCTCTCCTGGAAGAAGTCGCCCAGCTGGTTCAACGCCCTCTCGACCTCGTCCTGATACCGCTGCCGTGCCAATCGACGGTCATTTCCCACAAGGATGGCCTCCCACAGCTGTTCAATCTCGAGCAGCTTGCTGATCTTGTCCAGCCCCTTGGCAACGTCTTCCTCCGTGGCGGTGCTGCCCGGAGGCGCAAGATCCCTCGGCACCTCGCCCAGGTAAATGTACCGGACGGCAATCTGAAACGCCTCCACGGGGATCGTCGATGATAGTTTCCACGATGCGGTTTCCGGGGCCGCCTGGAGCTTCCTGCGAAAGTAGGGCGTCCTGGATGCCAGCAGGAACTTGTGCAGGTTGAAGGACTTTGTCTCGGCATCGAGCGAGATGTCCGTGGTTTGCGGAGCCGGACGGCCCAGCAGGGTGGAAATGTGTGATGACCAGTAGACGTAGGGATCTGAGCTCTTGGAGAAGTCGTACTGCAGCAGCAGGTTGCGGATTCTGTCGTTGAGGGCGTTGTATATGCAGCGCTCTCCCTGGAATGTGTTTCTCTCTGCGAGGGCGCCTATATATGGGGATTCTGGTTCAACAAAGGCGCTCTTGTATATAACTTCAAACCACATTGATATGGACAGAGGATAGAGAAGAAAAGAAAAGAAAAAAAGACATACCGGATTCTAGCAACAGCTGAACCAGCTCATAATGTCCACACAAACTGGCCTATTCTCGTCAACCCCCAAAACCCCGCCATTGCCACACAAAGCACTCACGATGATCAAGGGCGTGTAATCAAACTTGTCCTTGCCGTTGATGTTGACCCCCATGCCAATGAGCTCCTGGCACTTGCGCAAATCGCCCCTCCGACACGCCAGCAGGAAATCATGGAACTCTGCACTCGTGTCGAGCGGGTTCTCGTCCCGCAGTACGCCGCTCTTAATCAAGAGGCTCTCCTCGCCGAGCTTGCCTTCGAGCTCGTGTTTTCCCAGCACCATTGTATGATGTAATCCAAGAAATGAAATGATAATATATATATATATATAAAGAAGAAGAAGAGAAAAAGGAAACAGGAGAAATGATTCGCTATGAGGGTATACAAGTACAATCTTTCAATTTGGAAGCAAAGAATGAGAAAAAAGATGGATGGATTATGTAAAGGCCGTCTCACGGAGATAACTTTGCCGCTTATCGGGTTTTGAGTATGTCACCGGAACTGCCATCGCGGGCCCGCCCGTTGTTACTCCGGACGTTGCTGTACAGTAATATACTCGAGCACCTCACAATAGGTAATCGGTAGTAATAGGTTAATAGTCAGTAGATAGTGATTGTACAGTAAGCGTCTGCTATCTAACTGGGTATTCTCATTTTACCTGCTCCGTCTTACTAAGGGCAGCGCCGTGTCATATAGCAAGTTTGCCAGCTGCTCTACATACCCTAAAGGCCAGGCAATCCAAAAGCTTCATTGCTCTTGACCGCCACGGCAGACGGCAGAATGTCAATTGTCAGCCGCACACAAAACAACACGCCAAAAAAAAAAAAAGACGCCACCAAAATGCCACATTAGCTTTTGTTCTCTCACACGCCACAACGTTTTGGCCCAGCGGCACTATGTTGCCAAGTTGCCCCAGCTCCCTATCGATAAGCGGATATACCCCGGCACTTCCCGCTTTCGGCCCGTTGCCATGGCAGCCGCACGCACTGTTTACATTCACTCGACCCAAGACCCCCGTTTTTGGCTCTTAGCGGCCAACGAATTGGCGGAGCAAGGGTCCCTTTTGGCCGCATCGCCAGCAACTGGTTGTCTGCGCAGCCCAGAGGAGCACAAAGGTGGAAACGCACGCCTGCTTTGGGCTTGGAGCCGGTTTTTTTCTTTGCTAACAAAGGCCCGCCCCATTTAGGTGCTGAGCCGTTGCTCTGTTGTCCATTGTATTACCTTTCCGACATTCCAACTTTTTTCTCCTCCTTTGAAGCAGCATCACCAACAAGCTTTCTCCTAGTGTTTCTTTTTTGCTTTGGTGCTAAGTCTGACAGTCCGAGGGGAAACACAGGATATACATTTTTTTTTGGCTTCTTTTATATACCCTCTACCTTGTCTGGGATCCCCTCGCCCCCTCCTCTTCTTCTCCCCTTCCCTGGCTGTAAAGTCGGAATAGGTCCTTTATGGGGCTCGGAAGCAGACAAGCATCGTTGGTACCACCGTGAAAGCCCCTCAACATGTCGTTAGAGGACAAGTACGAGACGCTGGAGAAGATTGGTGAGTCACAAAGAAGCATATTTTGGCTTCATTCCCAGCTAAACATTGGCGGCGCCTCCCCCCAGGCCATGGCTCCTTTGGCATCATCCGAAAGGTCCGTCGCAAGGCCGACGGCTTCATCATGTGTCGCAAAGAAATCTCGTACCTTCGCATGTCGCAAAAGGAGCGCGAGCAGCTCCATGCCGAGTTCCAGATCCTGTCGCATCTGCGCCACCCGCACATCGTCGCCTACTACCACCGCGAGCACCTAAAAGCGAGCCAAGACCTGCATCTATACATGGAATACTGCGGCAACGGCGATCTGGGCCGCGTCATCAAGGACCTGCAGTTGAAGGGCCAGAGGGCCCAGGAGAGCTTCGTCTGGAGCATATTTAGCCAGCTGGTTCTGGCGCTGTATCGTTGCCATTACGGCATCGACCCTCCCGAAGTCGGCGGCAACGTCTTGGGCATCACAGGAGGAAACGCCCCCAAGACGCCGGCCGGAGCAGTGACGATCCTACACCGAGACCTGAAACCCGAAAATGGTGAGCATCAATATACAGCGCATCTCTGTTGGGGGGATTGCCGGATGGTATTTCTTGGCCCAAATCAACTAACCATGCTCTCTGCGAAACAGTCTTTCTCGGTGAGGACAATTCCGTCAAGCTGGGTGACTTTGGTCTTTCCAAGATGATCAAGTCGCAGGATTTCGCTTCCACCTACGTCGGTACTCCGTTCTACATGTCGCCCGAAATCTGCGCCGCCGAAAAATACACACTCAAGTCCGATATCTGGTCGCTGGGGTGCATTATCTACGAACTCTGCGCTCGCGAGCCGCCCTTCAACGCAAAGACACACTACCAACTCGTCCAGAAGATCAAAGACGGCAAAATCAACCCCCTGCCAGACATGTACTCCCCCGAACTCAACCAGGTCATCAAGGACTGCCTCAAGGTCAACCCCGATAGGAGACCCGACACTGCGCAACTGCTGAACTTGCCGGTTGTGAAGCTCATGCGCAAGGAGAAGGAGGTGGTTGACCTGAACAAGGCGCTCAAGGCACGCGAGGAGATTCTTCGCGAAAAGGAGACGGAGCTGAATCTGCGGCTGGTGAACCTGGACAAGGAGAAGCATCTAATGCGGCAGGAGATGCGAGAGGAGATGCGAGAGGAGATTGATGCGTCTATCCGAAGAGAGTGGGAGGTCAAGGCCCGGCTAGAAATCGACCGCCAGATCAGCGTCGAAGTGGAGAAGCTCAAGAAGCAGTTTGACGAAGAGGTCAGGAAACACGTGGAGAGAGAGCTGGGGAGAGAGCTGGAGAGCCGCCGTAAGAGGGCCGCATCGCCGCCGACGGAAGAGGTTCAAAACGATTCTCCCCACGCAAAATCAGAACACGCACACACGTCGTCTGCCGACGGAAGCGGCGACGAGTTCCCTTCGACCACCGACATCACCGAGCTCTCCTACACGGCGGTCGAGAGTCCCGACATCATCAAGGAAGTCAAGCGGACGGCGCGGACGCCATATGGTAGGGCGCAAACCTTTGCCGGCCACATGTCGACCCCCATGGACATTGAGATGACATCCCCTGACCCCATGGCCCTTGCCACGCTGTCGCTGTCGCCGCGCCGCCGCGGAAAAGCGAGGCCGCCAACGCATCAGGGTAACATCTTTGCTGCGAATGCGACGACAACGTCCAACCCCGAAAATTGGGAGAGAGATGGCGCCAGCCTGGACTCAGACGACGAAGACATCACTCCGCCCTCGCCAACAAGACACAGGTCCTCTAGAAATCCCTTCACCAGCAAGAACCGGCCGATCCTCAGCTCACAGAAGACTTCGAGTGTTGCCGCCCGCATTAGGACCAGCGCGGGCACCTCGAGCGGCTTCGTATCCAAGGTTGCTGTGCCGCCTGCGCAGACAAGCAGCCGCACGCGCTCTCCGGTTAGCCGGTTGAATAAGGTTCCCTCCGTCGCCAACCTGGGGCTGCAGAACACGGTCAGCGAGGCTAACACCCCCTCTCCCATCTCCTCCTCCTCGTCGAGCCTATCGCGCAGGATATCTACTAGGAAGGACGCGGCCGATGCGCACAACAAGGTGGCTAAGAACAACCTTAAGGGCCGGACACTTGTTGAGCTGCAGCAGGCGCGCGCAGGAGGCCGGCCCATGAGCGTCTCGAGCATCTCGGGCGTCTCGGGCGTGCCGCTGGGCGAGAACGTGAGCCCTAAGAGGTCGCGAGGCACAGCATATCGGGATCGCGTGGTCAGCTCCGGACACGAGCCGGTGGCCGTGTGGGACCCGGAGCGGGACGAGATGCCGAGTCCGTTCCTGGACCGGCGCCGCATTGCACGGGTTTAAGAGGCCTTGCTGCGGTGAGAGGTATAGGAAGAGGAGAAAAGAAAAACAAAAAAAGCAAGAGAGAAAACAGAGAAAAAAAAAAAGGTTGCTTTCCTTTGGGAGTTTGGCAAACTGGATTATTTCAGGCCCCTCTGTTTTTATGCTTTGCAACGGTGGCCCCCTTTTTGCTTTTCGAGGGCTGCTGTGCAAACTTCATCGCATCATGCATGGCATCAAAATTGCATAACATCGATTGATCATCGACATCATACCCAGAAAAAACTACATACATATGGATACCATACATTTACCTCTTTACACCATTTGATTCTGCTGCTTTTGACTTCTTCTTGTCAGGGGCAGCAAACTTGGGCGAAACTCATATTTCGACGGTTTCTTTTTTTTTTTTTCTCTGCATGAAACAGTCAACATGCTAAGACCAGCATCGGCACGAGTTTTCTTCGCTTCGTGTGTTAAACTCGTTTAATCATTTTTCTCTTCCCTTTGTCTCCTTTTTGTTTATATTGATGTTTATCCTCCTATTTTGGCATTCGCTCAACGGAGGGGAGACGAGGCAAACAGAGCACGGCAGACCTTCTTGACTTGATCTTTCTTACGACGGGAGATGGAGAAGAAGCAGTAGATGTGGAAATCACTCAGCAGAGAACACATTCTGAAGGGATGGCGTTTCAATTCCCTTTTCTCTCTCTCTCTCTCGTTTTCTTTCGCCCCTCCTTTTTTAACTTCCCTTCTTCCCATGTATTTTGTGTTTGTGTTTTTTCTTTTTGTTCACTGTTATGAAGAAATGTGGCGTGTGGGATGAGGTCTTTTTATTTAGCTGGCTGGGTAGGCTGGTATTTTTTTTGGTCGGTCTTGGTTTTTGTCTGTTTTTTGTGTGTGTGTTTTGGCTTGGCCCTTGGTTTAGGCGTTTTAGGAGAGACGGAGAGAGATGATACATATAACCGCAACAAGACCAATAACGTCATTTCATAAGTACGGAGTTACCTCTTGTGATACCATATGTCTGTATGTTTGTGATTTGGGCTTGGTGTATTGATTGGGCGCTTGACAAAAGGCACATGCCTTCTTCTCTCGCGCATGAGACAAAACTTGTACTAATGTACTGAATGGATTGATTTCTTTTTGCCGTCAATGCGTCTGTATCGGACCATCTGCGATAAATGCGCGGGGTGGAAGACGACGGTCGACATCCTTTGCTATAGGCTCGTCTCGGTCCACTTATGCAGCGTCGAATGAAGCAGAGCAGGCAAAGAGCATGCGTGTCATGTTATGATCTGGAGCACTATTAGATTAGCAATGCAAATCATATCAAGGAATCCGATAAATGGTAAATCGCCACTGTCAAAGTCACTGTCTTGCAGACGAGCAAGACGATGTTTTGGACCTCCTCTCCCCCCCAAGACAAGATGCTATGCTGAGCACAACCACGAACCAGAATGCTCTGATATGCCCATTTGTGTCCAATCAAGACGACTCCGAATATCTCTCCACCTGCTTTAGCCAGCTCCCGGCTCCAGTTAGACAGGGTGATGAAATCATCTTTTAATCGCCGCTCAGTCCATTGGATCGGCTCAAGTGACTATGCAGCCATTGATGCGGTGACAGACTCTCCACAGCCAACCAGCAACCCGGTCTACACCGAAATTGACAGACAGCAGAGGGGGGCAGACGAAAGAGAAGGGGAAGCTGATTACGCTGGCGCCTTGTAGATGCGCCAACTCACATTACGTCTTAAATAATACTAATAGTGACTAACAACGCAGCTGCGTCTTGATGCATACCGCCTCGCCTCGCCTGTCGGCGGGAGGGGATGAATGCATTGCATCCAGGTAGCCAAGCGCTCGCTTGCGCAATCCAAACACCATCCGTCCAGGCTGCTCGCTGCCTGACCAAGGCAGGTCAGAGCCTCTCCTTCTGTCGACGCCTGACGGGAAAACACAATCATTCCGTATCTTTCCCAAGGGTATAAAAAACAAGTCGCAACGTGACCGCGTGCGCCGTATTCCCGGTATCGCATGAAATGAAAAATAAATCATGTTTCTTCTTCGCTCCCTGGTGAACAAATTCGTTTCCAATAAACATGGACGTGGTATCCCCAGCTCCCCCCCATATCCCAGATAGAAGAGAAGAAGAAAAAGAAAAGAAAAGAAAAATAAGAAGAACAAAGTAGACTGCATCTGTGGCAGCATCAGTTGTAGTGTAGTGAACAACTGGGCAAAAGGGACAAGAAAAGAAAATAAAAGGGGAAAATAAAAACACCGAAATGAATCGAATCCGCAAATTTCAACGCCAAAACCAACAATGACCCAAACAACAGACTGAAATGACCAGCCGTGAGGCTTTTTCCCTTCTTGCCTAGCCGCGAGGCCTCACCCATCTTTAAGGAACTTCCGTTGCCGTAATCCCGCAGCCTCGAGAATGATACAACTCCTCCCTAAACCGTGCCTGCTAGGGCATCTGAAGACAAACTTTCTTTTTTTTTTTTCCTTTTGTAATGTCATATTTCCTTTCCATCGGTAATCCTGCGAGATATCTTTTGGTGTTGACGGGCTCGCCTCCCATGGCAAACTTCCAAGCCTCCCTCGCACAATATAAAAATGTTATCCACAAATTGGCCTGTAAGACCGCTGGCTGCAGGTCGCTCTAGCCGGACGAAGATCAAACAAGGAAAGAGAGAGAGAGAAAGAAATGTGGTAGCATTGGCGTCCTGCATCATTTGTGGCGAGAAGCGCTGTGCTTGTGCTTGTGGTGATGTGAAGGCGAATGCTTGTGTCGACTTGACGAGCCACCGCTACTCTCCAAGTCTCTTTCTAGCGTTTCAACCCTTGATCTGTATCCCTTGACAATTTCCTTAATATGGGCTATCCTGTCGAAATCGACCTCGAGTTCATCGAGCTGCCGCAAAATGTCTGTATATCGTGCAATTTCGGCATCGGCGCCGTCAATGATGTTGCCGGCTCGATCGTATTGAACCTGTGTGAACATTTGGGCTTGTTCGCTGAGGTAGCGGATGTTCTGCTCGATGCCGGCCATCAATCGATCAAAATATCGCCCAAGGGCCGATAGCGATGAGCTATCTAGCATCAAAAGACCTTGGCTGCTGGCTCTGCTGGCTGCCCGAGAGCTTGTCGAACCTCCGCCGCCTCCCAAAGCCGCCTGGCCTTGCCGAAGCAGCTGAATCTCTTCGGCGCTGAGTCCCAGCTGTGTATCTGGCACGGCGTTGGAAGTGGCCATGGCTGGCTGTCGTGCGAGGCGCTACGGCGCCTCTTGGACAGAGAGAGCCACTCGTGGCCGTGACGAAGTCAGCAGAGTAGCAAGGCGAATTGTTATGGCGTCGAAGTCGAGGCTGGTGGGGGGGCACAGCGATGGTAAGAGCGGTTGGTGAGGAAGGTAAAAGACGTCGAATCGACTATATCGTGGAACGACGGGGTTTGCGATGGAGAGCGAGGACTATACTGTGCATGAATGTTCGAGTGACGATGGCGTCTGGTCCGGCAAAGTCAATGCACAGAGTGTCATGGTCTCGGGGTGATGACGGCAGTGATGTGCATGACACCGCAGGTTGGATTGAGAGCTGGCGGCGCGCAAGTGGTTTGAAACCGAACCCCGGTGTGGCCAGGTTGGCGCAGGCCTTATCCCAGGATCTCCGTAAAGTCAGGAGCTTGTGATTGGAGAATCGGTATCGTGGGGGGGAGGGCGGTCGTTGTTTTTGGCCGGCGGCTGGTAGACGTCGTCACCTTTTATAAGTCGCAAAAGCCAGGCGGGAATGGTGAACAATGGAGATGGAGATGCCGCTTCGTCTGTCGGTGAAGGAAGAAACAGAGAAGCAAAGCATTCAAGCTCAAAAAAGTGCCCGAGGTGGTGAATGGCCCGGCACCAGCGATGGGACAGGGCCACGGCCTGTTTGAAAGCTGCCCGATTCCAGCGGTGCGGGCGGCCGAATATTAGTGCCCAGAGGCGAGCATGAGGTACCTGCGATGACCCCACGTTCCACTAACAACAGCTCAAGCCAGCCTGCAAAGCAACTGACCGACAGCGATTCCGGAGTAGCTTGTGAATGAGGCCAGCCGCAATTTTGAGCCTCTCCCGCGCTCGTTTGATCGCCTGGCCTCTCCTGCCGGGAGCTATTTTTCGCATGTTTATGCGGCTAGAAATCAAAGTTCAAAGGCTGTGAATGGCTACCAATCACATGGCTCTAGAACCATCGTCGAATATCTAGCTCGAGGCCGTTTGATCTTGACGGCTACCAGCATGCATTCACTGCAGGGGTAACCGCTGCAGGCCGGGTAATAAGTCTTGGGGGCTGCTTTGTGCTCCGCCCATCGAGATGGAAATTTAGTCTGGCCCTTCGTTTTCTTGTTCGCCGATAACAAGCTCAACAAGGGGGGCCGAGCTAGCTGGGCAAGAGTCCGAGGGCTGAATACATAAATCGCGGCATCTTGTTTGCCGGCCCGTCCATAAGATTGCAAGAGGCCTTGTTGTTAGCTTGAAGGGCAGCTTTAGACCAAGCACCGGGCGGCTGGATAGATGCTGAGGTAACGGTCGACAGAGTGGCCTCGTCGTGGAATCAGATCAGTCTGCACGATGCGGGAACTGCTCTCGTTCAATCAACGGCAGGCATTGCAAACGCTCACCACCCTCTCTCTCAACTCTCTGAAGGATACTGGCGGAACTGGCCGGAACCAGCAATGTTATACGGATCAGCGTCGACCGGATAGGAAGCTCACATTGAGACAAGGGAGCCGGGACGAAGCCAAACGGTCAAAAGGTGGTGTGTGACGGTCAGCATCTAACGTTAGCTGGAAAAAAAGGAACGTGAATTAATTACGGATAGCGAGTCAATGAGGAGAAAGGAGGGAGAGAAGGAAAAAGGAAAGAAACAGAGGCGATCACGAGGGGGTTCTGGCCCCTCCCCTTCGCTGGGAAAGAGCGTCTTGCCGTGTTTCCAGCACCTGCTTCATGGTGCTATTGCAGCTATTGCAGGTGCCTCGAGATGACTCCAAGAAAAACCTCGTCCTCTTTTACTTCTCCATCGTCATCATCATCGTCACCAGCATCACCATATTCTTCTCCTCCGTCTTCTTCTCACCGTTGCCGTCACCGTCAGCATCATCGTCCACTTCACATGCTCTGCCCAAGCCAGATACACACACATACAGGAGAGCCTTTTTTTGTCCGACGCGACTTTACCCAACCACCATCCAGTCTATCCACAGCCACAGGCGCCAAACCGCCCCTCCCCTCCCTCTCCAGCATCTTGGACGCTCACGACATCCCTTTTCTCTCTCCATCGCCGAAAGGTCACGCCCGCCGCGGAATCGCCCGGACCGTAACACGAACTAATACCACGCAGGACCCATTGCTACTACATTATCATGCCTCAGAACTCACTACACCACAAAATCAGAGACCGGTTCCTTACATAGCCTTGCGGGCTGCTACTCTGACTTGACCCATCCCAGAGGATCTTGGATGCGACGGATATGCGCAGACACATGCGAAGGCCCGTCTAGGGATGCATTTTGCCCTTCCTCCCCTTTGCCCGAGGCTAAATTCTCCCTCACATACGATCTTGATTTGCGCGCGATTGTCACATCTAATATGTCTTGATATGCGTGCGTGCACCTTTGATACCTACTCTAGTTGGGAGACGTGTTGTGGTTGCGTATCCCCGCCTAGTTTCTGGAGCAAATGTCCCGTCCCTCGGTTGAAAGAAGTGTACGCCTGTTCTTTGCCGTGTGAACATACGGCTACATGACTATCTGGGCCCTGAATTTGAATCTCTCGACATAATCCATTACTCTTCTTCGCGCACCAAGTCGCACTGCATCAAGCCTCGCAGCCATATCGGGCCCGCCATGCATCCGATGTGCACGCGGGATCGTCTGCAGCGGCCCTTATGCAAATCACCCTCCGGCCGGCTGCGCGGCTTGCAGCAGCGTGCAGAAGCTTGATGCTTCGGTAACCCCATGTAACCACGGGTAAGCCTCATGACAGCTCTCACTCCGCTTTAGTTCGACCCGTTTCCACTGGCTCGGCAAAGTAAAAGATCTTCCCTCACGACCACTCAGGATGAATGGTTCGAGAGAACTGCACATCATTGTGCCACTAAACCGACTCGCTTCTTTTTATTGATCCTTCGTACTTGAGAATCTCCTTCATTATGCCCCCGCCTGGTTACCTTGTGCCATTCCAGAACAAGGCATCACACCATCTCTCGGTGGAACTTCTTCGGCCTCAAACTTTATAGAATTGCATCTGTCTTCCTCAATACACCCTCTTGGGGGCCGCTTGAACATCTAACCAATGGTGGTCATGCTGATACTCGTTTCGACTCGAACCTCAACCAGTCAAATGACTGCCTGAGGTCATATCAATCGATTCCTCACGACGCTGTCGTGCGACGGTGGCGTCACTGCATGTGACTACAAAATGTATATTGCGTTACTAGGATATTTATCCCGCCTATTGAAGGCATAATAATGCCTTTGTTATAGCGACAAGTTCCAAACTATAATGCCGTCGAGAGACAGTCTCTCCCCTTGTTTCACGCTGCGGCATATTTCATCATCCACCCACCTAATTGCCTGTTCGACAAAGTACACACCGCTGATGCCTCTCGTTTATGCGTGCCAAGAGTATTATGTGAGCTAATGCTTTCTGCCGAGGCGATTTTGATGCGTTTCAGAATGTTTTTCAGCGCATCTGTGGGCGAAACTCTTGCGTTTTTGGGAGAGCACTGCGTGAATGCTTCCGAATAGATGCTTTCCGTAGTGAGACGCTTTCACGCCTTGGGTTTCGTGCTTTGCTGCCCTTTTTTATTCATCATTTACCAAAGAGGTTTGATTAAACTCGTTACTTCGAGATTTGTAGCATTTTGATGTGAGGTATTATTAGCCGGGCTGTATTCGATACTGCATCATTTCAGATGATAATCGATAGCTCTCCAGAGAGTCAACCCGTATGGCTCTCGATCATTATCTGCTCAACCGAACTACTCTTATCGTACTATACCATAAATTGTGCTGCAATCTCAGACTCCAGACTGAGATACAGGTATTTGATTCATGGATTTGGTGCATCCATAATGGCTTCGATTTACGTGGGAACCTCACTTCTCAAGTATTGCGTATCTGCCAATGTTTCCGGTTCCTTTTATTGACGTAGATGTTACCTTTTCAAGTGCGAAATGTAATTTCAAGTCTTTCTTTTGATGGTACTCTGTTCTTGTACATGTATATTCTTCACGATCATCATACACTTATTGACAAAAAAAACGCAGTATGATATCTCCATCAACAATCGGGCACATTGTCGAGCAGCCAATCCATTGTTTCCCAACGCCCAATACCCTTAGGTATAGCCTCCAAACAACCTTCAAGCTCCCGCACAGTCCAACTCGAGGGAATCTTCTCAACAAATTGTCCGCATTTGGCACCAAAATCGGCCTGGGAAGCATCACAGAGTAATCGCAATCCCTTGCCTGCCAATGAGGCCGCTATCCACATGATAATCACTTTGACAGCAGGATCGCCATTAAATGCGCCGCAGCCCCATAGTCCCGTCCATACAGTCGGAGCATCGCCGCCCGTCCAGGATGAAAACGCCGTATATGCCTTTCGTATCTCACGCAGAATGTTTGCCTGCTTCAAATCAGGTAATATCCCACACTCATCCGCCTCATCGAGCTCCAGTGCATCCATGAGCAGCATTCTACCTCCTTGTCTAGCCCCCGGCCCAAGTTCCTCCCAAGCAATGTCACGTCGTTGGCCTAAGATTCTCAGCATGGGGCGAGCTCCATGAATAGCCAGAATATGGTCATGCCGGAGCGTTGGCGTGAAGAGCACTGCGGGACAGGCCTCGGGACAGTTACCCATATAAAGCTCCTCCTGAGTCGCTGTTTGCCCGAAACCAATATCTTTATTAGCGGAGACTACCACGGCGCCATCGTAGCCTTGATAAGCAACTTCTTGCTGCTCTGTACTGAACTTTTGGACATGAACAACATTGAAGCTCCGCAGCCGAACTTGATCCCAATTTCCCATTATGGGGCCTCCAGGGCCATCAAAGGCATGTAAAAAGAATTCTACTCCAGTATCAACGGAATTTTCTGGGCTGGTCCGAGAATCCGCACTAAATTCTTCAAAATATTGGAAGACCGCCGCGAGATACATTCGCACTGCCTGTGGGTGTCGCTGCCCAGAGCCATACCAAATACCAAAGTCGTGATATCCTTCACGCCAGGGAGGAGACCGAAGAGTGCAGAGAAACTGGTGAGCCACAAGGCATGCAACCATGTCTCTTGTGAGACTCAACTTGTCCCCTGGTCGTAGTACTGGGATGATACCTCCCGGGAAGTGATCCGGTAGCATTAGCGAGAGCTGCACAATAGTGGGCCATAGCCTTGAGAAGAATGTATCACTATGATGCTCCACAGCTTCTCTGAGTGTTCCGAAATCGCTGGCTGCCCCAGAAGAGCCACAGCTCGTATTAGCAATTGTGTCGAGAACATCGATAAGCTGAGCAGGGGAGTTGACAGGCTGCTGGAGTATACGTTGAAGCAGCGCCCAAAATGCTACCTGCCCATCTTCACCTTCTTCATCGAGAAGACTGAAGCGGTCAAGGCACCGCCATGACGGCGAGCAAGGTAGTAACAGATTCGGCCACGACGGTTCCATCAGAGCAATATGTGTAGTCAGACCAAGACATCTTCTGTAAGTTGAGAAGACTCCGGTGCGCTCATTCCGGACTCCCAGACATATTTAGCTGGATGCTCAATCTGCCTTTTGGCGATGAGTCATCCGGCAGAGCTGAAAGCCTTCAGGTGGGGGTGCGACCGACCTTGCGCTCTAATTTCAGCATTATAGAATGGCTTGATATGAAGCAGAATAGAGAGGTTGGCCATAAAGTGGCCTTAAAACGGCAAATAGTTATAGTATAGCCAAGCTCGTGTTGAACAAGAGTCCTCCGATAATCTCGTAATGCCCTGGCAGCCATGCTTTGCTCCATGCAAGTTGATAACCAGTCGACGCGTCAGACGATCAAGAAGTTCATTTCCGGATCTTTCAGCGTTTGCACCCAACTCTTGGATCCTCTTTCTTCAGCAGCTAGATTCCAGATAACCTGAAGCGTTTCCATGGCAGTATGGATGAAACCCCACGGACATACCGTAGTCATTATGCGTAATCTTTCCATGATAAATTTCTGCCGTACTGGATCCCTCGTCTCCGCACCTATGATGAATGTTGGCCACGTGGTTGCCTTGAAATTCGGGTCTTCTACAGGCATCATGTTCAAGTGCGCCAGTAGGTCGTCCGTGAGGAAGGCGGCAAACTCCGGGCCAAGCCTCTCTCCGGCAGAGGGAATAGCCTGCAGAATATATATGCAAGCAGCTAGACGATGACTAGCCCCAGCGTGCATGCGGCTTTGCATCACATCGTTTGGTAAACCAAGAGCCCTGGCAGTGTCACGAGCCCATGCATAAATATCGTAAGCTTGAGCACGATTAATGAGCTCCAGAGCAGCTATGGTGGCGGCTTCGTTGGACTCGTCCCCAAGTACACTGTTTGAAAGCTGAGAGGCCTCGTGCAAGATTTCCATCAGCTCCGGCGGGCAGCACAAGTAGCTATTCGCTACCGTCTTGCCAAGCACAAAAGGAATCTGCGAGGACTCAAAGTTGAGCGACGCTGCATATCGCGCCGGCATAAATGCTGAAGCCAGGATAAAGTAACTGAGCAGAACAGTCAGTAAAGAGGGAGAAGAAACAGTAATGCAGCTACAAAGGCAAAGGGTATGAGCAGCTTACATGAAGCAATCTGATAGAAGGTAGTCTCGTAATGAGCTATCCCAGGCCTTGGTAAGCTGCAAGAAGGACATGATCTTTGCAGCTCCCTCAAGATGTGCCCTCCAGCCATGCTTTCCAGATTCAATCAACTCCACGTTGATGAAAAAAAGCGAGGCTGCAAGCACGACGTCACCATTAATGGTATCGAGATTTTGAATCGCGGTAGACATTAGCTTCAGCGCTGTGTGTTTAGCAACCAGCGCATCATCCAGCGCCCTAGTTGATGCCGCATCCCGGTTCGCCGGTATGAACCCGCCATCAGGGTAGGGCAGGCCCATTCTAATCAGGTTGGACATGTGGGCAGCTGAGGCTGCAACGATGATGTGCTGCAGCAGTGGGTGAGCACGGGTCAGCGGGATGAGGCTGCGGAAAGGATTGCACTGTGGCCCGTCATTGGAGACCAGGTCTTTGCACACGCGGGTTGTGACTGGTGACAGTTACGATACGATGTTAGCACAGAGGAGACGAGCAGCGATCTGACTTAGACGCACAGTAGTCGAGATAAAACCGGTGAGACTTGTCTAAGCCCTGAAAGAGAGGATCGACCAACACCCACGGGCTCCTCAGCTTGGCGCTGGGAGACACTGGCTGGGAAATGACCTGCAGGGCTCCTGCGCCCGTCGACGATCGCCTTGCAAAGCTCCCGTTGAGAGCCACAGCCTGCGGTGAGCTCGTCCTGGAGCGCACAAGCGGCGACACAGCTCCGGCCTCTGACCTCGCGTCGCCGTCCACCCCGGCGTCAGCATCCTCGGCGTCACCCGCGCCCACGGGGGCACTCGACGTCCGGCCGGCCAGCTTGCCGCGACTCGCTATGGCGCCCGTCCAGCGAAACAGCTTGCCGTATCCGAGACACTCTTTGCCCGAGGCGGCGCACTTGTTGCAGTGTGGATACGACCGGTCACAACGGAGCCGCTGCCGACGGCAGTTGTGGCATGGCTTCGTGGGTGGTTGGACTGAGCCCATGATGACGGTGACGCTGCAGACGCCTGGTTGAGTCGAGTGGATGGGGCCACCAGTCGAGCAAACAAAGACGCATTGCAGCAGAATGGGACGAGAACGGCCATTTCTGGCGCCGTGGTTTGGGATATCCAAATATCTCCATCTTGATGACAAGTGGCCGCTAGGCCGAGACCGGAAGCCAAGGCTCAGCTGGTGCGCTAGGGGCGCGGGAAAGCAGCGCCGGAGGAGAGTCCCGATTCTCCGAGGCTCTGATCACAGCTGCTGGAAGGCTGGAAGCCTTCTGTATTTGCTCGCTTAGTGTGCTAGCTTCAATCGCTGAATGATTCACGTCAACTCTGCATTAGCTAGTACAAGTACGGAGTACATGTACTCGTATCGTGGTTGGCGGAACTACAGTATTGGGGGATTCACCAAGGTACTGGAAAAGCGGCTTGTTCAAGAAAAAAAAAAAACAGCTGTACTTACTTATTGAAAATTCAGACATGTTTCAAACTTTGGTATCAGCGTCACCGCAGAGGCATAGACATGTATCCATGTCTTAGTACCTATATCGTGTTTGGTACATGTGTGCAGGCTTCGCTCGTAAACCACTTCTGCTACAGGTACATGTAGCCATATTTATGCTACCCTGAAATGCCTTGTCACCATCCTTCTTTTAGCAATGCATAACAACAAAAAGAAATCCAACGCAAACAGCATGGTGATTCTTATTTTGAGTTTCTTTCAATCATAATAAAAGGAAAACGAAGTAAAGGAAACCTCAAGTGTAAGTCATTGATTCTACTTGCATAGTTATCATCAATCTATTACTTCGGTAGTATCAACGACAATGTCTTACATGCTTCACTCACTCATAACATACCAGGAAACGTTTCAAAAACATGGTCATCGAGTTCCTTCGAATATTACTTCAATTTTGATAGTGGAATTTCAAACTGTACCGCAGTGGTACTACAAAGTGGCTAGACTTGCTTTCTCCCCAACTTCGCCGTCATCAGACGAACCTGTCTATGCATTACGACGCAAAAGGATACAATAAGATCATATGATCGTTATATAATGACTTACAAAGCTTCGCCATACCTGCGACTGCTTGCTATTTTTGGATCGGACTAGTCATTCTATTACATTTGCTTTATAATCCCTCCGTGGTCATTGCTAGTTGCTGCACACCTCATGACAAACCATGAGAGTGATGTCATTAACATTTGAGTTTTATTACAAGACAAATGTATTCCGTATTCCCCAATGATTTTGAGAAATGATACTAGAAACTACCCTTGTCTCTTATCTCTTGAAATTGCCATTGGGGGAGCTTGCAGCCGACCCTCCCCTTACTTCACTGGTACTCTAGTACTCGTATCTTGATAAGCTGGGCAACCCCGTCGAAACTCCTTGCCATATTGAGTTCGGCATCTCGGCCCCAATACCAGAACTGAAACGTTGTTGACTCGGGGTCACTCAAAAGTTCCAGCCATCTCGCTTCCCGCATTATCCGGCCACCACGTGTCTCAGCGCTGCTACATCAGTCTGTAGCTCTCAAGATCTGCACGCAACAGTAATAGAATAATTATGCCGTAGGGTATATAAACTCCTTTATTTATCCGTATAAAGTACAAAGGGATGATAGAAGCTGTGACATGGTGAGAATAAACTACTGTGATGGATGTGACTTGCCCAAACGCTGCTGCACCCGGTATAGAATCCGACGAATCTATGGAAATCAACCACCGTTTGAACATCATATACGCTAGTTAATGTGCCAACGTTATACCCCTGGGCGCTATCAGCTGTCAATGAGTAATCTCATTAAACTTTAGGGTTCTTAGTCGCCCCCCCCATCCATTGAACGGCGGCTTGTCAAATGGTCGCCGAGGAGATGCAGTGGCAGAAACTTGGCGCGAGAAGATAGCCGCGAGAGAGTGAATAATGGATCGCTCGAGATACACGCCACACAGGGGGACAACCAGTTGGGATTGAATCCGAAAACAAGCGCGGCGCAGCTTCATGGGTGATGACTGAAGTCGAGTCGATCTGTCAGAATACAGTCCCCGGGGGAGTGCCCGAAGTAATGAGCACGGGTGTTACTCTTCCGTCGGTCTACGGGTATGAATGTTTGTATTGTTGTCCCTCATCCCCTGCATATGTGCACTTGACATCTCAGCCTTGCCGTAATGTGAAAAAGGTGGTCAGAAAAAGCGCCTATCCTTTCCTGACGGGGAGTTGCCCGGCATTTGATTCTACATGTTGCAGCCCGAATATGAATCCGATACCTCATCGGATCACTTGCGATGCCGACCCTTACCTGAAATTCAAGGGCGATATCATGTCTCAGAACCAAGCACTGCCAACATGCAGCACAGGTGCAGGCGTGCTTGCTGACATGGAGTGGACATTTGCCGCTGACTTCGGCGATATGTCTGCTGACAGCTTTCCCAAGAAAAGGGGCGAGCCCTGCAAGAGTGGCCCAGAACCCCAACGGTACCGGGTTCGGGATTAATTATTATTACTATTAGTCGTACGGATTCGCCCAAGCGCGTCTCTTGGGCTGACGAGCCTGTCCCAAGAACCCAGTTGTCAGGATTCGCTAAACGGCCCTATCGCCCCCCTCGCAACTTGCTCGGGGTGCAGCCGAGACCGTGGGAATGGGTCTGGTGATTTACATCAAGGCTATCAAGCGCCGCCGTTAAAGACGTAACCCCCGGCACGGATGCGTTGCCTTCTTCTGCCTTGATGATCCGAGAGCAAAGCCTTGTCAGGCAACAACAGGCAGCCAACAAAACAGCTCGAAGGATTTACCCAGCAATACCCGGTACGGATAGGCGTTTCCCACCTTAGATACGCAATTTGTCATACCATTGGCGATGCCAATTTGCGCCTTGTATCATCTCTAGGAGATGGCCATGCGTACACTCCACTACATTCCCTTTTGTGGGATTATTTGGAGAAGCCATCTCGAAACGTTGGATGCTTCTTTGAACCATGCTTAGCATTTTCCGGATTAGGATAACAAGGAATCCTTACCGGGACATGACTAGCCACATGTCCTGGCTTGTACGAACTGGGATTGGATGCTTCTCGGTCCCGACACCGATTCTTCTCCGGCATGGCATTTGACAAATTCGGTGTGCTTCGGGTGCAATGGGGCTTACTGAAGGCAGTGGTGTGACATGCTCTTCTCCACGGCTTGGCTTCTTGGCTTCTTGGCTTCAACTTTTTCCTATTGTGTTCAGCAATCATGCTCCATCCATGTCCGCTTAATCCAAGTCCGCTTAGAGCAATGAGACCGCATAGAAGAAAGAGCAGCTGACATTGAAGTACTATTGGCCAGTATGTGGTCATCTACTTGGCAAGTTGCAAGGATAAACAAATAACTTAACCAATCAATACAAAATACAGCGTGCCTGATTAGAAGATGTGGAATCAGTTTCTTATGGATTTGAAGACAAAAGTGCCCTTTGAACAAGTCCACGTTCAGAGACTCTTGGCAGGCATTGAGAACCTGCTGACCTCCCTCAGTCACGATGGTGGTGGTAGTGTCAGGATTCCGATTGTCCTTCTCATCCTCGGATGTAATAACTTGATGGGCAGCAACGCATCCCACCACATGTCCGTCTGCACGTACTCGGCATTATAGGTAACATTGTCGTCTTCATCCTCGGAATTTTATTGCCAGCCTTGTTTGGTTCTCGGTGCTACCCCTCATTTAACCTTGCTGCCTTGCGGGCAACGATGACATCCTCGTGCTTGCTTGTCGATGGGAGGGTGCCGTACCCCTACCTCATGTCGGCTTCGACACTACTGTATTTCCATCTTAGCTCTTGTGATCGATCCTACCCCGTGATTGTTGATGGCAACTGGGGGTGATGGCTTGTCCAGTTCTGCAAAGGATCCATGGTACTGGTATATGAGATTCTGGATCACATTCCGATTCTCTCCGCCGAGAGAACAAGGGGCCAGCTCCTCCGTGTGCTACGTTGCTCTTTTCAAATGATCGAACTACGGCACCACAACACGAAGCTATCTCATGAGAGGCTACAACCTGGTATTCTTATTGCAGAGAGACCCATTATTGTTCTTTATGCTTGTTCATTTCAGGCGTTAAAACAAGTTTACGTGGCATTCCTGCACTAGTGACAATAGTAAAGTAAAATCCATTCGCCATCACTAGTCGTAGCTATTGATAGGGCGAGTTTCAGGAGGCGCCTCTTAACTCCTATCCAATACCAGTGGAGTAAGATTCATGTTTGCAGGCTTGGATGGCGTTGCTGGCAACAAACTCGATCAGCTGCATAAACTACTATAACGCAGACCCATGATTTACCAATACGCCTAAAATTGCTGAGCGAACGAAAGTCCCTCCGTGGGTTTAGCGATTTGTAACCGACGCTGCCGACAGCTTGGAGGAAGAGGCTTGAGGAGTTGTTTATGTCTAATCTTTGCTATTGGTGGTTCCTCCAACAAGGGTACAACGGATTACGCTATGCACTTGTCATTTAGGGACTAGAGCTCGTAATCGTAAGCCCTCTATTTACCCGGAGGATTGCCTGCGCAAGGAGTATGAGTTTGACACTGGTGCAGATTCTCTTTCAATGAAAGGCTTTTTCATGCAAAGCGAGCCCAGTCTGCACCTTGAGTCGTGAGGCTGCAGAAGGCTTGACTTGAAGCACATTGTGCTACTATAGTTACAAGGCTGCTACCGCCATTGTCTATCCTTGCTTGATCCGGTCCTCAATGTCACTTCGAGGTGACATCGTCTTTGCACTGTATATGTACGGAGTAAGCAGACTGTCGGGATCTCTTCCCCTTCCTTCTCTTGAAATTGATTGATGGATTAAATGGATGGATGAACCGTACAGTTAGTAAACCGCATTCCCGCTCTGCCTGATGAGGCCGTGCACCAAGCCAAGCCAAATAAGTGCTGGGCACAATCTCCGTTAAAATGACGTTAGATATAGTTCATGATGAGCGTTCGTTACGGAACACTCGCAGAGCTAGTGTCATCGGGGATGCAATAGCGCACCCGATTCCTGGAAACTGGCCAAATGGAAGGGATCTAGACTTTTGCAACACGGAGCAGACTAGCGGCGCAATTCATTTGTAGAAAACACCGGCGTCTAAAGGCGCCCCCTCCGTCGGTGTGATAGAAATTAACCCAAATTAAACAATAGAAAAAAACTAGAGAGCCACAAACGCAAAGGCTTAGAGCCACGACCCAATGGCATGGCTGAGAATCTTGGCGAGTTGCGAGCGGCGCAAAGGCTGTGCGCCCCGTCCGTGCCACCGGATGTCTGAGCCAAAGCCAGCGAAACTCTCCACTTGTCGCGTGGGTAGAGCAGGGAGTATCCTGGGAGATCGTCCAGACGGCGGGGAGGATCTTAGTCAAACGGAGAGCTCCCGAAACAGCGGGCTAAGCTGTCCTCGGTAGGGAAAGTAAGGAACACGAGGATTGGACACAGTATGGTACGTCGATTCTGCGTACATCGTCAGATGCGTTAGGGGTGAGAGACAGACGCCATCCGTGTTGTAACACTTGGTCATTGAATACATATAAATGTGCGCCTATAACCAAGGACGTAAATAAGTAACATGGCAGTTTTGCTGTCGAAGTGACACAAACTCCTGCTGTGGAGAATGTTTATTGGAGTAGGAGTTCCCATCGAGTAAGGTGAGCATTTGGGCAATGATTTTGGCAATTCCAAATATATCTAGTGTGGCTGTGTACATGTCCTCAGTATCGGATGCCGTAACCTGGTAATGCTCGCCATTGGAAGGGCGTCGATCACAGTCGCTTATACCAACCATATTCTGTTTACTTGCACCTGATAATTTCTTTTCAATACAGGCACTACCCTAGCATAAGTAAGCGACGAACGAACTTGCTGTACGCAGTTCTTACTCATACGTTTTCAAAGCATGGGTGAATCCCTGACCGATTTACTCGCTCGACCAAGAGCAGCTGCTCCTGTCTTCTGCTAGGTAGTAGAGATTTGGTGTCTGAATCCGAGCCGGTAAGCCCACGCACACAAGCTTTTTCACCCTAGTTTACTCTTGAGGATGGCAGTCGCCGTTATTACTAGAATAGGAGAACAGGGTTGAGCTTATCTCATTAGTGCAATTTGAATGCGTTGTCTGATATTTTGCAAGGTGTTGATGGTTTGAGAAGAAATCGGCGGGATTTGCTGCTCTTCATGATGTCATGTTACGTACATGTATTTAAGAGAACTTCCAAATCATGATCGCTATCCGCTTTCACGGAGAACTGTTGGTAGTTGCGTTAATTCTGCAACCGAAAAAATGTCACCTGATGACACGTATTCACGACTACCCCAGATATTCTATAGATAAAGTCGGTCAGCATCACGAAGCAAAAGTCTACGTCTAGTGTACAAATTTATCCACCGTCTTGTCAGATTTATCGCCTAGGATTAAGCAGCTGGGTTAAGTATGGTAACTGTTGATGACCAAGAGGACTGGTGGCAATATCATGTGGACAGTAATAGCTGGTGAAGCTTCACTTGTCAAAATTTACAACATTAGTCAGTATAGTGGTTGAAAGCTAGGTACCTAAGCATTTTATGGAGTTTATAGTGTAATGCAAGGTCGGTGAGATGCATAAAATAGAGTGACATTGAACTAAGCAAAGAAGATTACTTTGGGGAAAGTACAGGCTGCTGATGGTAAGATGAGAGCGCACGGATGATGAAAGCATGGGTGGACCGTTTGTAAATGCGTACTCGTATATGGATTAATGGTAAGCCTCCCGGAAAGATGGTTGCCCCATCCCATCTAAGGAATGCGGAATAGAGACAGCAGTGTTACTGAAAAGGAAATAGTATCGCCGCTTGGTCCATTTCGGGGCGCCATAAGGCTGACGATAAACGGCATTACCCGATGACGATACATGTAATAGCAGTCATCTTATAGCAGTCATCTGATGCTAACCAGGAGAAGAAGCTGTTTAACCCGGAGGCCGATCCTGGCAGTCGTCGGGCCACATAGAATACAAATCATGAACCAGACTCAGGTCATCAAGGATATCGAACAGGCATGTGTGCAAAGCCATAATTGTCTGAACATGCCCTATCTACGTTTTCAACCGTCCAAGTGGCATTGCATTAGCCGCAGAGTACGGAGTATACTCGTACACGGCTCCGTTGAGCTCCAAAACCCCCATTCCAGCGTAGTATTTTCCGAGATGGCATGGTTTCTAAGGGTCCTGACGGTCCATGCTTAATACTCGTATTCGCAAGCCAGAACGCACACGCCCCCAAACACTGGCAGGTTACCTATAATGACGTATGATTCATTATGATTTATGTTGAAGTGAATACTCCGTAAAGTCACCGGATAGCCAATATACATGCTCTTGTCGTTGCACAATCGGAGAGCCCGATTGGCTATCAAGAAAGTGCAAGCAAGATTTCTACATAGTATCTGTCTATTCATTTGTCTTTATTGGCCCTTCACCTACTGGGTACTTAGGTATGGTCGTCTATGCTCTGTTAAACCCGTCGCTTTTCTACATCGTTTCTAATGCCTTGGAATGCAAATCACTGAATTAAAGATGGTGAATGTACTCGTACATGTACCTGCCCATTTGTGAAGGCCAAAGTCCATTGTACTAGAGTTGTAGTTCATTCGCCGCAAAAAAATCGGTACTTTCTCTGGGGTATTTAGTACGCAGTTGTGACCGTGCTGGGCACTGATCTGCCGCATCACGACGATGTAACTTCAAGGTACTCTAGCTTTGTGCATTGTTAGCGCATTGTTTAGCGAGCCTCAACCGCCGTGACTTCACTGCTCGCAAGAGCCTCCAACTTCTGCCATTCTTTCTCTCGCAATCCATGATAACCGACACAATGCCGTATTTGCAAGTGCTAAGCGCTCTCTATCACGAAATAACTACCACGAAATAACCCGACAGACGGACATTGAAACGCCGGCGGGATCATGCTGTATCTGGAAATAGTGGCCTCTGCCCATATCGCAGAGAGCGATCGTCCGCAGATTGACTCCGGCGGGAGTTGATGACAGGAAACCTCCAGCAGATCTTTTACTCCCCGAAATCGCGAGACGGCTCCGCATCACCGACGACATACCGCTCTCCGTCTTTGCCTTGTCACTCGCTTAGCCAGGCCTCATGCAGGCTGTTCCGGAAGACCACTCCGTGATGGCATGTCCACGGGTTTCAGGGTGAATTCAGCGCATGTAGTAATCTTTGTGGCTACGTGTTCGACCCTTGGTGGGTTACCTGCTATCTCCGTTCTCAACGCCGGGCTAATAGCTAATTAGCAGGCATAATTGATGCTACTTCAATACATGGTAACCATAACCTGGTTCCATTGTGCGGCATGTCCGTCGGCCTGCAACAACTCAACACCTTGACCACTGACTCTTGATACCGACATGGGAGAAGAGTTGGACAGTGCGCTCATAGGGTCTTGAGCTGCCATCAGCGCTTCCCCGTCGGATAAGCGTAGCGATCCACCGCTTCGATAGGCTCGGACGTAGTCGGCCTGTTACAACTCAATTGCACAAGTGAGCCGCGGAATATGACCCGTGATGATTCCCTCCATGGATGAGGCTGTTGGTTATGGGTTTGAATGCTACGTCGGCTTTCCTTGATACTGCTCCGTGAGTCCTTCGTGGTTAGGTTATATGGAGCAGACGTTAACCGTCCTTGAAAGCCGAGCAACAGCTATAGCGTCCAAGGGTGATTCTGGCGGGCGGGAGGATCTTCCTGCACGTTGCTGATCAACGCAACCAACTACTTCCCCCTAAACTATTCTGGAAGTCTACCCCGGCACTAGCTCATCAGGGGCCTATTCAGTCGTCATGGAGGCAGATCTTCTGGAACGGCTCATATCCTCCTCCTGCCTCTTACGCCGTTGCTTCATAAGCGTCGTACATGCTTTTGGCGTCCTGCTGTATCATCGAGGATGATCACTCGGTGCAGCCTTTCCAAATTGAAATATCAATCATTGGCAGATCGAGTGGAGTGAACCGTCAAGCCTAAACTTGATGGCGATCAGTTGCTTTGGTCCAAGCTGTGTGCTCCACGGTTGCTTGCGGGCCGAGGCAAATCAGCCGGGAGCAAGCCATATCTCCAGGCGTTAACTCCCCGGTCTTTCAGTATACGGTAGGTATTACCAAGAAGGACGGGCGTTGTTCTCGGTTGGGCAGCATAAAACCGGGCTTTCTTCAGCCATTGTTTCACAACTTTACCGGTCGAGTAATGGCTGCTAGAGCAACTACGCAAGAGTTCAACGGCGTGTGCCAAATTTGCGGAGTTGGTGCGGAGTAAGGAGCACAATACGGAGTGCGTCAGGTACGACGGCGGCTACAAGAAGCTTTCAACCTTCTCGGCCAAATACCACAAGCGTTTAGAAACCGACGAATGGGCGACGTTTCTGTTAATTTACAGAGTAAATGACCTCTCCAAAGGCTGCAGACTGGTTTAGCATGGGCTGCAAGCCTTCTCACAGTCCATGACGCAGGATTGCATTTAACCGTGGTGATCACAGCAGAATCAAGTTGGCACACATATGTGCGGTTGGCCGTTGGCTCAAGTCTTGAGTGTGTGAAGAAAGGACCCTATATGAGCGGGCGAAAGAAGCTTGGATAGGCCCATTTTTACCTTTATCGTATTTTTCTTGTTACTTTGACCAATACTTTGGTAAGCAGCTCTTGTGACGTACACAGTTACTCCGTGCTTGGGGGGCGGGTTCTTAACCTTCCAGAACATCTTGACAGCTCATTTCAAAGGCCCAACTATGCTCCACGCAGCGCGCCTTAGCAAATTGGAATGACCCGTAATAAGTGTTGGCTACGAGAACTCACCCCTTGTCAAGGGTGACACTTGGGAAATACGATCGACGAATTTTCGAAAGCCCTGCTGAGGAAGCTGCATGGTTATTTTTTCTGTGGCCGGGGCCATTGCCATCTACTTCCCCATACGGAAGAGGGAGCGCGCGGGAGGTCGGTGCTGGTTGTAGATGGTTACTAGCTAGCGGTCGAGCAGCCGACAAGCTGCTGCTGCTCCGTCCAAGCACGCTCTTGATACAACGATACACCAACATGCATGTTGCATGTACCGGGTTGCGTACAGCGCTGGTTGTTGCACAAGCAGAGAGAAGATGAGTTGAACCGAACGCCGTGGCTTTTTGCCGTTTTGCAGTCTTCCAGGTATTAGCATCAGCGGTTGACCTGCACACCCGACGGACTTGACGAGCAAGGAAAATAACCTAGTTATGACGACGCATGTAGCATCAAGCCTCTGACATCTGATGGGAATGGCAAGAGGGATTCACGCGACAGGAGGGTGCAGGTCGGCGGCGAGCAGGCAATGCTCCGCTGGAAACAAAGAGACAAATTAACCCCGGCCCCAGGAGTGCTCCTTGATACTGGCAGATCATGACACACCTCTGCGCTCATGCTAGCAGAACAAGGGTCTTCAACCAGTGGCGCCTGCATCTCCCTTGTCTAGCTGGGAGAATCACGCAACCCGATGAAAATCTACTGGCTGCTCCCTGGGCTTCGACTAGCACGACGATCATTAATTAGCCTGTACCATGGCAGCCAGGCGCACTCCGGAGTGGACGCCACGCCACGAGGTGATGCTCGCCCGCTCGAAAAACCACGACGGTAGCATTGACTGCTTTGCTAGCGGCCAATGCCATGAGAAGGCCTAGAACGGGGCTAGCCATGCTGCTGTGCTCCAGATAACGCCGGCGCGGCCACGAGCTCGCTCCACGAAGAAAGTTTGCCGATGTCATTCTGGGAGCGCCACCGCAACAGGCTTCACCGAAAGGAAAATCATCCCCCTCGCATCTTGGGGCTGCATCGAGTATGTGTAAACCTATGAGGTTGGAAAAGCCGTCGTCATTCCACGGACCCCTCACACAGGCACAGGCACAGGCACGGGCATGAATTGGCTGGAAACGTGTGGCATTGTAGGAACCGCTTCCCCTTTGCAGACCGTCTTTTTCGCAGAGGTTCGTATTGTAATGGATCGAGATTGTTGGTCGGGCGTGACGCTCCAATGACGACTCTGGCCGCATTGAACCAAGGAGCGCCGTTGTCACTAGTCAGGTCTCTCTTGGTTCTTGCGTGTCAGCTCCAACACTTCGCCGGGTATTAATCATCAGGTCTATCATTTCCATTTGGCCAAGGGCTCTGATCCACGGTCCGCGAGTCGTAGATCGTCTCAAGTTGTGCCAGGTAGCTCCAAAGGGGGGATTTTCCGACGCGGGGCGGCTTCTCGGAGCGCCTCAACCTCAACCTCCCCCCTTTGCAGTTTCTTGGCTGCGGGCGAATAGAAATGCTGCGACGTGTGACTAGTACTCCTACTGCAATGGGGAAACGCATGCTAACAAGCTAGATGTATGCGAGGCGGTCTTAGCAGGCTGCGGCCGTCGTGGTTGATGCATCTTGCTACCATGTGGTGGGCGCTCGGGACTCGGGGACTCGTTTCGCATCAGAACGCTTCTTTGTCCCCTTTGCAGCCCACAAGAACCACGCCAATAAGACCAAAAGACGAGAGAGGACATGCTCGGCGGCCGTGTCTAGTACTTGGTACGCAGCTGTTGCGGACACCGTCCAGAAGCTGAGGAAGAAGAAATTGCCCAAACAAGGTCGACTGTCTCTAGCGGCAGGGATGTTCGGCGCTCGTTGCTCGTCGCTCGTCGCTCACGTTTTCTCTCCGTTATGTCCAGGCCACCGACCCACCGTCTCCCACGACTGGGCCACACAATGATCCCTGATGACAATCCCTGGAGCTCCGTTCAGCCACCATTATGCAATACCACCCACGCCTACGATCTCTATCCGCGGTCCCGGTCAAGGAGAGCGACCAAAATAGGCCCCCACATTGGACACGCCTCATGTTGTAATACCCCCTCCGGCGGTGCTACTTACACTCCCCTCCTTTCTCCCTTATCCTGGCATGTTCCCGCCCTTGGAGCAGGTACAGTGTCTAGGAGCCCCAATCCCGAGAGCATCGAATACCCTGCGCTTCGATGACATCCTCAATACACCCCCCCTCTTAGTGACCTCGACGCCCGTTTCCACCCCGTTATTCAAGCCCTTGCCCCCTGGTAGGGTTAGATGGGCCGAGCGTATTGATTTTTTGGTCCCAGACCTTTTCCTGGGAATGATGGCTCTCTGACCAGGGGGGAGGGGTGGCCCACTCCTAATATCTGCGATGTTCCAAACGCCGGGGGCACTTCCTAGCCTGTCGTGTGGGATACTTAAATGTCTACGGAAGACAGATCTGATATGCCGCTCCACACCCAAACCGCTCGCTCTGGTTCAAATAGCGGCTCAAAAACATACTTATACCATCTCCAGCCCCCATTTTGCCTCAAGCCGCCTGGTTTCTTTTGAATCGACGATTTGACGACGGACTCTTTGGTGCATCTCTGCTTGCTGTCCAACCAACACATCATCCAACCAAGTGTTAATAAACCCTCGACGCAGGTTTCTGATCTGAAACTCACGAACTTTTTTCCCGACTGTCGACATCTACATCCGAGTCTTCCCTATACTTGACTCTTCCCTCTCGCCTCTTCAACAACGCACACAATGGCGTTGGTCTCCTCTTTCCAATCTCCTCCCTACGGCACACAGTACTCTGGATATTACCGACCGCCTCCTTCGCCCCCCATGGACGAGCCAAAATGCTCACTGCCCTCTATCTCCAATCTCCTGGGACTTGCCGACGCTGGCTCACTGGCGAGCGAAGCCTCGTTCAAGTCTCAGCACAACTCTCCTCGACCCTATGTCAAGACTGAGAGCCGACCAGCTTCTCGACACAGGGCGCTGCCACCCACACCGCCCATGTCCACAGATACCTCATTTGACATTCGACGCTCTCCATCAAGCAAACCCAGCAGCATCTCCCACGCTCCTCACAGCCACTATTACGAGACAACCCCCCCTGTAGAGGCCCATGATGCGCACCGACATCAAATGGCCGCCTCTCGGCCTACCATCTCAACCTCAGCTGCCCAGCAGCCTGCAATGGCATCTGCCCAGTCTCCTGTCGGCAGCTACTATCCTGTTCAGAACCTCCCACCGCCTCCTCCTGCTCAGGTGCCTGGTCTTCATTACCAGCGTCCGCTGCCCCAGTCATTCCCACCGCCGCCTAGCCCTCTCAGTGTAACACCCTCTGGTGGCTATGTCTGGCAACACCACCACTATCTCAACCCGTCCAACGGGATCCCATTCCCTCCCACACAAGACCGATACATCTGTCAAACTTGTAATAAGGCCTTTAGCCGCCCTAGCAGCCTGCGAATCCATAGCCATTCACACACTGGTGAGAAGCCTTTCAAGTGTCCTCACACTGGATGCGGCAAGGCCTTTAGCGTTCGAAGCAATATGAAGCGACACGAACGAGGTTGCCACGGCTTTGACGTAGGAAAAGGACCTATTCTCCTCTCCTAAACGCCCA